CGGGGATGGATCGCGACATTTAACACCATCACTTGTAACTTGACCCTCCATGAATGTTTGAAATGGCTAGTTAATGGGGTCATCTTGAAATTTTTCATCAACGAACTTGTGTACCAAATCTATTAATGAAGTAAAAAATGTGGTAAGGAGATAGAGATAAGATGAGCAATTTTTGCACAGGAACCACTTAGCAAGGTCGGCTAAGCCTTCGCCAAGCGAATCCTTTGCCGAGTCTCATCCACTCTGACATTCATTGAGGCGCACTACATACCCTTTTAAAGCACTCGATCTCAGCTATCGGGCTGAAAAGCTGGTTTAGCGTGCACATACCGCGTGGGGGCTGTGAACCATGCCCCATCCAGCTGACTTTGAGCCCTCAGCTCTAATTTGAGTCTTCTCTTGTCACCAACACCCACCACTTTTCCTAACTGATCGAAGGCAAAATGGTATACTACCTAGGGCTCCGTTGAATGAGAAGAAAAGAAAACTAACAATAATTCCATAGCGAGATCAACTCATCATTCATCTTTCTTTGGTCTTGCTAGGACCAGAGGTGCTCACACGCATGATCGGGTACGCCCGTATAGGGTCCCTGAAGTCCTCTGAGACAGAACACGCAACAAACATAGCATTGGCGAACTCCCTTCCATTATTGCTCGGCGGTGTAGTACACTACGCGCGCAGAAACAAATTTTCCTCCTTGGGAACAAGCCTCATTTTCAGTACTCTCTACTTTCTCGGCTTTTTGTGCCTGCAAGCAGAACAGGGTTACGGGTACGAGATAGCCTTTTTAACCTCCATCACGCTAGGGATCGCTTCCCTATCGCAGGGTTTAAAGCTGGTAAGAAACCTACTTCCTAAGGAAGTCTACCTGCTAAGCGTGCATGGGCTCGTGACATTCGCTCTTGGTATTCATTTCTGGCTGGCTACGGGGCCAACAATCTTTTTCTTTGTGGTGATGCTTGGTATGCCGGTCAAGAGATTATCAAAGACGGGCAATCGGCCAAACGGCCCAGGGCGAATTCATGAGGCTGGCATTGAATTGTGGTATCAATTGATCGTCTAATTGAAGAACCGTACATTGATTGTCAACGAAGGACAGGGCATTAGGGAAAGGGTGTTACTTGGCCTTAAACAGACCGATCTCTTGCGAGATTCTGCTCTTTCATATCTCTTGATCTTGGTGAAATTCTACCTGATAGCCGGGTTCTATTTGTCCAAGGTACTACTAAGCTAGTGAAGGCCGTTTCTATATAGGACTAACAAACACAAACAAGATATTTCCAGACGAGGCCTACACATGCCTTCACCAAGACATTCGAGTTGCTCGTCCTCTTTCATAAGGAATGTAACCGCTGTTCCTGCGAAGCTCAGTGGTTTGTTTGAAGACTTGTTTTTCTGGTGAAAACGGTGCATACAGCGAATGGGGCTTTCGAGTTGACCACCGCACTTAAAGTTGACTTGGAAATTAGCCGCCAGCTGTATAATTCCTTGGAGGACAATTTTTGAAATTTTCACTTTCTTGGACATGCCTACTGTCTGAAGCATCGCTGACGCTTGTTAAAACCATGTCTAGCATCGAAACATTCAGGCAGCAGGCTCGAGCTATCGCGCCATCAAAGCCCTCTCTTGACCTCCATCTGTTCATCGGCGCAAAGAGCGATTCAGCCGGAAAGCATAGCGCTTCACTGTAAACCCAATGGCAGCTTCGGACTTGACCCAGCTTTGGCTGGTATCAGTGTAAATTGCATGTGGTGAAGTCTGTCTCAATCTACTCCTGCAGCTGCAGCTTCTGCTCTCATCTATGACATGACCGGTGCTGGGATCGCCTGGACTGGTCTCAGGACCTATGCAAGATCCCAAGGCCATTCTGCGGACCCGAGTAGTCCATTCTCGGGAGTGGTATATTATTAAAACATATTTTTCAAGGGCAGGCTCGGGTCCAGAAGACTCTGTTTGTTGCAGGAAAGCTGGTCCACGTAATGTTCTTGTGGAAGACAAAATCGGAAACAAACAGCCTACCCGTCATGACATTATGATTCCTCAGACTGGCATTTCTGTGTCTGCATCCCTGAACGTAGCGTCCTCGTCATTTTCAAAGCATACGCCGATGCCATGTGTTTCAACTAGACAATGACATGGGCCGTGCATGGGCCGACGCATCGACACCTAATTCTGCCTGATTCTGATATTTCTGCCTTTGTCGGTACAAATCCCGCGGTGAACAGGAGATATAATTATCCTTCATGTTTATTACTTATATAATCTAGAATCACCCTATAAACTGCCAGGCTCAGGAGTAATACAACGACCGAGTTTTTGACATCGTCAATTATTGGTTGTATAAAAGGTCACTCCGGCTCAAAATTTCAGCCTGGAATTCCAGGCGTCAGTAGGCGGACACGAAAGCGATGGCCTAAGAATCTGCTTATATCAGCATTGTCCCCTAATGGCACTATTCACCGCGGTAACTGCCCCTGAGTTCTCACTTCTTGATCCCTGCTCGTTCGTTTATGATAAATCGCATGGTTTGACGGCTGGTGGTGTATGATGCTTATCTACTACCTGGCCGACCGTACCCCATCAAAAACTTTCCCTTACTTCCTATTCTATTAACTATGATTAAATTACCTCTGTTCAACTTAAAACTGGGATCTATAAAAAATTAAACAATTATTTTTTTCGCAGTAAATGATCTGCTCCTCTTCACCGCATCCCTTGCCTCGGCCTCCATGATAAATCAAGATCCATAGCTTCCATCTACAGAATCTGCATTTCACTTTTTCCTTCCTTCCTTCCATCCTTCCTTCTTCATAGTATTGAAGTGACCGGCAGTACGGCTACTATATACAAACTTGAGAGAGATTCTACAGTTTTACAAGTTTATTCTCTACAGAAACGTTTCATATAGTTGGTGACCGAACTTTGTTCAATTTCAATCAATTTTTGGGTTTCGCCACACTGCATGAGCTGAAAAAGGTCAGTGGATACCAATCATCCTGTGCTCAAGATGACCAGCTCAATAATCCAGAGAATGTTTCGTAACAAAAGTATTCGATCTCATGCTGCTTTGAAAACCTTAAAATCAAGTTCAACAGAGGGACATTTGTGGATTATGTCCCAAAAAAACATGAGCAGGCGATTGAATAGTGATATGCCAGCTACAAACCCTATCAGCCCCATACAGAACCACGTCCACGGTCGTTCTCCGATCCATATGAACACATTTGTATCCGCTCGATGCCAAGTGCTACTTTCGAGGTCAGTGATATAACGCGATAATTCGGTTGCGTTAGTGACCCCTACGGTCGGTGAGGGCAGCAACGGCTGCTTGATAAGGTAATCTTTCAATACCATCGTCAAAAACATAGGACCGGCGGATATCATGACAGCGCAGTGTGGCTGCCACCGGGCCCAGGCTTGAGTGATGGCATTGAACATGGGTAATCGGGTAATTGCTGCTGCGTAAACGGGATGTCTTGCAGATGTAGCTAGGAGATCATTGGTGACACCAGTTGGAAGGGTGGATTTGAACAAGGCAAAATCTCTTCTCGCGCTTAATCCGAAATCCTGAATAGGTATAGTATCATTACACCAAGTATCCATATCGAGATAGATACCACCATAGTGATATAAAACAAAATAACGGATCGAGTCGGCCCTCTGGATAGGGAAAGGGTAGTGATCCCAAGTATCCACGAACCATAGGTAATTATTGACGAGGAAATCGCGAGCCGATGCATCAGTCCAGAGCTAGAAAGAACGATCAGTGATATTTCAAAGAATGAGGACGAAATGTCTCATAATTTTGCATAAGAGAATATACCTTATATTCAAAGCCCGAGTAAGCTCGCTTGCAGCTCATGTGCGACCCAATCCAACGATCAGGTATCATCTCTGTCGCAGTGGTTTGATGCAAGATGAGTGGAATTTGACTCGACCGGGCAGTATGATTCCGATAGTTCAAGATATTAGAGCTAGGCAGAGCTACCCGAGGGCCGAAAAGCTCATTGTTTCTGCGCAGTAGAGTGATCAGAGGCTCAAGAGTGTAGATCAGCAGCCCAAAGATCACTATGTCTATCAAAAGAAGCAAGCTTGTAGTTCTAATCGGCCATATGACTCTTCGAATCACGCGCCGCGGTTTTGGCCTGATTCGTGACTCTTTTCTGAGACGCTCTTCATCGTGGACCTTTTCGTGTTCGACGTAGAATGCTCGAGATGACAAGCGATGGATATTTATCCAGAACGTCATCTTATAGCACAAAGGCGAATGATACGAAGTTGTATAACGCTATTGATAGACTGCAGACGATCGAAATCACTTGGAAGCAGTGCTGCCAGATGGAAATAGTGGGAGAAAGACAATTAGTGGAGAAAACAGATCAATGCCGAGAGAAGAAAAAGCACAAGCAGCTTTGCTCAGTCCGATCATTGATATTTAATATTCAGTGAAAAATTGACCGGGCGTGGTGTAGCTAGAGTCTAAGGTGTCATAGCTAACGTAGTGTAACCTCGTGTTTTCAATTTGCCGGAATCGTATTTTAATCCGACTATGGACCAACAGAGCCAATCACCATTTGACTTCCCAACCTAATCAGAACTTTTCTTTGATTGAATCGGGAACTTCATTGAAAGCTCATGAAGCTCAATACGGACAATCGCCTCATTTATGGGGATCGTCGTGTTGAGTCCGAAGCCACGTGACTGGGATTCACAAGCAACACCATGAATTTGTTCTCTTCTGTCGGAATGTTTTATATGCAACCAATCAACGATATCAAAAGCTCTGTTCTTGTATTACCCCTGATTCTGCCAATTTATAGGGGGATTCTAGATTACATAAGTAATAAACATGAAGGATAATTATATCTCCGGTCCACCGCGGTATTCGTATTGACACACCCCCTCAGCGGTCTCAGGCGTCCTGAGATTGCTGGAATGCATCCAATTCGCACGAAACCGTGGTCTTTGCAAAACAGCCTCTGATTTCCTCTTTAGGACTAGTCAATCAGGTGACTTATATCCACCATATTCAGCAACCTGACGAAATTGTCATGTTTTTGTCGCGGGAGCACCTTGGTGAGTCCATCGGCCACCATACTTGCGGTAGGTGTCCATCTAATGGCGATTCGACCTGCCCTGACCTCTTGGCGTAGCCAGTGGTGGTGTATATCCACATGTCGGAGCTTGGTGTCAAACACCACGTCGTCTCCTTGGAGCAGACCAATTGCTCGCTCATTGTCGCACTGAATGGTGATGATATGGGAGGGTATGAAGCCCACATGCCCAAGTAGTCTCCTCCACCATTGGAGGTGCTTGCCTGCATCAGACAAACCCAATAGTTCAGCTTCAGTGGTGGAAGTAGTCACTGTACGTTGCTTGGTAGCCTTCCAATCCACGGGGCCACCGTACACCTGATATATGTATCCTGCTGAACTCTTCCGGTCTTCATGGTCACCGTACGATGCATCACTTGCAAGCCGCACAGATTCAAGTCCGCTATTCTGGCAATACTCGATGGCGAGGTATCGCGTGGTGTAGAGGTATGATAGCGCTCTGTCTGCAGCATGATGATGTTGAGGGCCGGGGTTGGTAAGGAACTGCGCCAACTTTGCCATTGCCTTTGCAGCGTCCGGACGAGTGATCGTGGTTGCATATCCACCAGATCCAACCTTCTGTTGATAAAGATGGATCTCTCTAGGTGTTGCAATGCCCTCGTATGGCTTCAGCTCCTCAACTGGAAGCGGGGTGAACACTGGTGCACGTTTAGTGAGGTTATACCGCATAGCTACACTGGTAATGTAGCTATCCTGGCATAGCCAGAGCTTCCTTTGCTTCCGGTCTCTGATGATCCGAATATTCAGAAACCAGCCTGCATCGCCATGATCAGTGAGCTCCCAGTGGTCTTCGAGATCCCGTTCGAGCTTCTGCGCTCGTTCTCTTGCTGACCGGTGACTAGCAATTAATATATCATCGACATAGAAGAATACAAGGATTCCTTCGCCTACGAAGACACATGGATCCTCAGGGACTTGTCGCAACCCGAGCTTCTGCAGGACGCCCGCTGCTTCCTGCTGCCACAGGCGCGGCGATATACGCAACCCGTACAAAGCTCGGTGGAGCTTCCAGCACTTCCCTGGGGATTCAAAACCTTCTGGCATCCTCGTGTATGTCTCCTTGTTTAGTTTGCTGTTCAGGAATGCCGTCACCGCGTCCCGCTGTCGTAGATCAAGGTCAAATGCTACGACCAAGGCAAAGATCATACGTGCCGTACGTGCTGCAAGCGTTGCAGCTCGCTTCTCTTCGGATGAGATCGTTTCTAGGTCGCCACGTACACAGATACGTGCTTTTAGCTTCAAGAGGTAACCGTCCTGATCAAATTTATAGGCGAATACCCAAAGCAGGGGAAGGATTTGCTTGCCTCTGTCTTTTGGTCTTTCCACCACATCGTACGTCTCTTTCTGTGCCAGAGAGTCGAGTTCTTTCCTTATTGCTGCGAGGAAACCTTCCTGGAAGGGATGGTTTATGACATCCTTCTAGTGCTTCGGTGGTTCTGGAAGGTCATCGCGATGACGACGGCTATCTGGTTTCTCTGCGTATAACCCTGCCGCAAAAGCATGAAGGAAGGCCGGTGGTTCTTCTTCTTCATCAATCCTTGTTGTATATGCTGCATAATCATTGTCCTGTCGTGCTCGACGCGTCCTTCGGCCGCTCACAATGTTGTCTGCATTCACGTCGCCGTTGATGTCCCGTGGCGCTCTTTCCCTTGCCAGTTCTGTCTGCAATTGTTGTTCAAGCTCGTCCTTCACACTTACCTCTCTCTGGTGATGATCTGTGTCGGTTTGTTCGATGCACTCGATGGCTTCTGGGGCCTGGTCTCGCACGACTGGTTCTGGGTCGGTTTCCACCCCCTGACCAGGGTCCGGAGCCTCTTCGTCCGGTGGTGTCGGTGGTAATGGGGGGAGAATTTCATCAGGGAAAGCGCCAGGCACCTCCTGGTATGTTTCGTTATTGTGTTGATTCGGTGCCGGCTCAGGTGTTGGGAATACTCTTTGCGCTAGGGAAGAGACGGTTTTTTGGCTGAAAAGACAATTATGGTCTTCCGTCTCCTCCACCCCCTGACCTATGGTAGGTCGGTCTATATTATCGTCATTCCGAGAGTCTCTTCGCTCTGGTAGCGTACCAGTTTCCTCAGGCATTATCCCGGTAGTGATCGATGTCTGCATCGCCTTCTGGACTTCTGTTCTATCCAGTTCCTGCGGTTCCTTAATAAGTGGCAGTGGGATAGGCTGATAATGCGCGAACTCGGGTGAATACTTTCGGGATTCATCGAATACCGCATCGCGAATAAACCGCACTTTGCCGGACTGTGGAAACCAGATCTTCCACACATTTGAGGCCATATATCTAACCAGGAAGCCGACTTCTACGCGTGGATTCATCTTGTCCGATTGGATTTGTTTCTGGATACGGCAATATACGAGGCTTCCGTACAGTCTAACATTCGATAGGTTGATCTTCGGCATTCGATCGCCAGCGAAGTCCTTTCGAACCTCTTCCCATAGCACAACCCAACGATTCTCGGTGGAGATATACGTTAGTATTCTATTTAGGAGCCACACTGTTGCTTGTGCAGCTTCGGGCCAGAGGTCTTTTGGAAGCTTTCCTTTAAGCATCAGCATCCTCATTCTAAGGATGATCACACCTCCTGCTCTCTCGGCGTACCCGTTCATCTCTGGGTGTGCCGGTGGGCTATGATATACGACGATTCCATCGGAGGTAAGACTCCATTCTGCGGACCGTCCTGCAGCTTTCTCATTGTCATAGTGGAATGCTTTGATCGGCAAATCCCACCAATTCTTTGCAAGCTGGACAAACTGGTTAATCGCGAGCTGACATTGACTCTTCAGCTCGTGGGTAGATATCCAGTGAAACCTGATACCTTTAATAACAAAGTGCGATATCCATCGATGACCATTGTACGTCACTGGTAGCTGGATTAAATCGAAATGCACTCTTCCAAAGCGCCCAAAGGTACGTCCAACTGGCCTTCTTGACACCTATCGGGGTGCATTGCCTAGTTGACATGTCTCGTATAGTGCTTCTTCTTCGTTCCCGTCCTCAATAGTCACTCCATCGACCATCGAAGCTAGTTTATGCACTGTCTTATGATTTATATGCGCGAAACGACGATGCCAGAGGTTTGCTGAAGCCCTCGCTTCGAGTGGCTTCTCTGATGATCGCACAGCGTGTGCATGGGGATATACGACTTCCTCTGGTTCGTCGAATAGCCAGAGATTCATACTATCCCATAGGTGCACGCTCACTATAGGTCGGTTGTCGGTGTCGACAATGCAGTTGGATTTCTGGCACCATCTACCGCCTTTCTTCAACAATGCAGCGTATGAGACCAAGTTGGTGTGGAAGCCCGGTGAATAGAGTGCATCACTTAGGGATATTACTCTCTTCTTGCCTGTTTCGGGGTTTCTTCCAATGAGTTTGACCGTACCACGTGCGATGACTTTTGTGCTGCTATCTCCGGTTGCGAGAGTTGTTTCGTACGGTTCAAGGCTGATGAACCGACTCTTATCGTTGCAGATATGCCTTGAAGCTCCAGTGTCCAGTATCCAACGGTCTTGGATGGTTGATCTAGCCTTATGGCTTGCTGAGAAAACTTCGGCACTGATTTGTGGCGACTGCGTCAGGAAACACATATCAACCGGATCTTCTTTCGGGATGTCTGTACGGGCACTATTTGTCCGTTCGTGCACTGCATGCGCGGAGTCTTGAGGCTTCTGTTTGACCTCATTCGCGTCTTTGACTACCTTCTCGACCCATTTCTTCCATGCAGGATCCGCTGCAAAGTTCTTCTTGATCTTCTGAAGCGTCTCATCGTTTGGCTTGAACCAGGAAGGTCGGGCGGCCTCATTCAGGGCATAGCACGTTGCAACCCAATGCCGATGGTTCGTGCGTCCGCATGGGCATGGTCGTTTATCAAAAGGAAGAGGGGTCGGCTTTGGCGTCTCTTCTGTTTCTTCCTTATGATCCTGCCAGGTGGAGAATGATCCCTTCAGTTCTGATGATAATGACTGCTTGGGACCGATCTCTCGATACATTGCGCGGAATGATTCAATCAGGTCTCTGGTGTCGTACGGCTTTCTATCCATAACAATCTCTTGATATCTAGCCTGCCACCAGATAGGTAACACCTCTTTCACTGCTTGCAAGAAGTCCCTGTTCGCACTTTTGACTTCTTCAAGATAAAGGCTAACAGCTTGCTCTCTTAGGGTGTCCTATATCGATAACCACTGATCGACATTGCCTTTCGGCTTCTGCACGGCGAATGACCTCTATTTCATGCGAATTTCCTCCTCATACGCGCTAGAGCGGGCAAAGCGAGACTTTAGGTACACCAGGCGGTCGTACGGCGTCTCATAATCGATCAATGTAAGATGGTGGATAGGATCAAGGAAGGAGATAATATATTCATTCACGTCATCCAGTCCCTTGATCTGTTTCTCCCACTTTGCATATGCGACTTTATAGACGTCCATACGGTCTCGCCACTCCTTTCTTTCCTCTGTATCCCCATCTTTAGGGTACTCCGGCTCGTACGGTTCTCTCAAACCTCTCGGACGGTCTTCTTTCTCGATATCTGGGTCACATAAGTCCCAGACTCGCTTCTGTTTCGCATACAGTTTTACGCGGGCAAACCACGTGCGCCATTGCGGCGAATCCTTCAGTTTATCGCCCTTCATGGCGGAGAGGATGGATACTGCCTCCATTGCGGTGTTCCGGTCGAAGGAATACCCTCAGGGGGGGATATCGTCTGTTGTATTGGTTGGTTCAGGTTGGTTCAGGGGTCGAGGGTCGAGTATGGTCGACGGATGTGCTTCCTGGTGATATAGCAATATCAATTGCTTCCTTATTCACCCACAAATGCCTCTATATCATGCGAACCGGGCTCATAACTGTCGGAATGTTTTATATGCAACCAATCAACGATATCAAAAGCTCTGTTCTTGTATTACCCCTGATTCTGCCAATTTATAGGGGGATTCTAGATTACATAAGTAATAAACATGAAGGATAATTATATCTCCGGTCCACCGCGGTATTCGTATTGACATCTTCTAAATCGCTTCTAAGTCTCAACTTTCAGAATTGAAAAGCATATGGGTCTGTGGGACTTGAATTGAGTGACTGGCCTAAAGACCGCCGACTTCAGTAGCAAGGTCTCCCAGTATTCCCCTCTCCGGGGGCATGGATGCCATCACGCAATATTTTTTGTTGTCCATGTTCGCCAAATGAAATTGATTTCCCGCACGTTTCCAAGGACCGTTCCAGTACACGGATGTAATCCGATGTTTGTCATGATAGAGATCTAGCATGCCCTCCAAACCCAATCCGAAAGCTGCACTCCCACAGAATGACACTACTCGACTTTGATCATGTTCGATTGATATTCTCTCAACATTTACCAGGGGAATAAGCTTGGGTAGATCGCCGTCTTGATAAGCGTGGCCGCTAGAATTTCCGTCAGAGTATTCAGAGTCACAATGGTGCACAAAATTAAGGGTTTTTATACCTGAGACAGATGGGATTTCTTAGCACGAGTGCCTTCTGCCAGATTATTATATATTGTTAAGGAAAGCCGCTGGGTCACTAGGTCTTTCATTTTTATCTGGGTATGCCGAGTCAGAAATTTGCCGTTAAGTTCAACCAGTTGTATAGTACGCTGTCGAGAGAGGTTCGGTAGCGACAAAATCGCTTGATTCTCTTAAGCGTCCTTTTTAACTGTAAGACCTATTTGGCCCTTTTCTCTCATACCTGAAAACACTATGCTTTGATTACGCGGCCCACCTTCATCAGGCGATGACGCTGAGCCGATCTTATTAGCCGATTGCCGTGTACGGAGAATTGGCCGGGCCCGATGTACAAAACGATATTAATCACGTGTAACTCCTTCCTGTCCCGGAATAGGAAAGATACCGAATATGGAAAACTCATTAGTGATAGCCTCGACCAATGAGGCTACGGACGGGCTAAATGTCATGTGACCATTTTCGATCATGTGTCGGAATGTTTTATATGCAACCAATCAACGATATCAAAAGCTCTGTCTCTGTATTACCCCTGATTCTGCCAATTTATAGGGGGATTCAAGATTACATAAGTAATAAACATGAAGGATAATTGTATCTCCGGTCCACCGCGGTATTCGTATTGACATCATGCAAGAGAAAAGATTCACTTCATAGAATGGCAATGGTCTAGGAGCGTAAAGTTACTGTAATTATCATAAATGTGAAGTCTGGATAAATTCGGCTAGATATTTGAGAGACACTCGCCACCAGTCTCGAAATCGAGAAATGGCATTAGGCACTACCAGACCTCTCTCGGCTGAATCTCCCGTGTTTCTTTGCTGCCTGCATATCTTGCTCCCTTTTGATGCAAAGATAGCGTGGGTCAATCGAGCACTGAATTAAAAGACTTTATAACAACATTGGGACAGCATGGATTTATTTGTTGAATACAGTAACCTATGACAAGTAAAGTAGTGTTTAATTCTATGAGCTTCTTTGTGTCTTATAGAATCTAGCTATGCGATCTTGGTGCGTATATCATGGTTTGACGGAGGGATGATTTAATATAGGAAGAAGGGACTGATTGTTTCGGAATCCGGAAATCGCTTTCAATGTCATAAGAAGCTAATTCGGCTAGACAACGATGGGAACGGTGCCTGCATGTGGTTATCGTGTTACATGTCGATCGAAAGCTACTAGCGGTATTGATTGATGATACGTGCAACCGGATCAACGTAGGCCCCATAGTGAAAAGCTGTACATTTCCTCGCCCGCGATGTCTAACTGTAGTTTGATAGTCCAATTTCTATCCCTCAGATCTGCGACCAATTCACGATACCGAGAGCTCTAATTGTAGTCATTATGGTAGAGATACGACCATGTTTGGATCATCCATTTCCCCAACCTTGTAGCACCAACGGCGACGAGTCCTACGATGAGTATCGCTAGGGCTGGGGTACTCAGCGCTCGCTACAGAGACGCCAAAAATTTACGCATGTAGAAGATCACGTAAATCAACGATGCTCCCATTCCTCCATGGACGTCATGGTTGAATGGCTACTTGTCCATCGCCTTCACCCTCTTATCGCTCTGTTACGATGGAACGAGGAGCTCTTCAAGTCACGAGTCAGTCTCTCCAGCCTAGAAGCTTGGAGTCTCTGTAATAGGAACTACAGACATAGCGACTGTCCATTGACAGTGTCAATGTCTTAGTGCCGGCAAGTAACGATCAATTAATACTAGCATAATGAAAAAGAAGTCTTGAATCTCGGGTTCGATTTCACAAAATTTCATAGTTTCTCTATGGGCTGATCCCAAGTTATCGCCGGCGAACGAGATTTAGATCACCAAAATGATGATTAATTGGTTCTCCAAGGCGGTGAAAATCGATAAGAGTGCCCGCGTCCCTCATCCCTCCTAACACATTTTCAAGTCTTAAGAAAACGAAAAAATCCCTCGTTTCTAAATTATGATCGCAACCTCGCCCCCAACAGATCCCCTTGCCATCTTACCCCCGGAAATTGTGCTGCAAATCTTGGACTTCGCTCCTATCTCCGCTCTTGCGTCCTTGACAGCCGTTTCCCGCGCATGGCACCAACTTATCGACGTCACCCACCAAGAAGCCATCTACTCCTCCGAAACCAAAACCACGAAACAGTCCGGAGGTGGACGTGATCTCTCAGCTATACCAGAACCTTCAAGCTTCTGCAGACTTTTTGAAGGCACCACATCATGGAAGGACCTTTGCAAGCGACAAACGCTACTCGCCAGCAATTGGGCTAACCAGCGTCCAGTCACTCGGGAGTCGGTGTTGCAGGTCGGCAATGATCCCGTTTGGAGATTTCGTGCCGATTTTCAACGCCGATTTTTCGTCTCCACCTCACACGCCGGTGGCTTGAATGTCACCGATATGGATACCGGCCGGATTTTATGGCGACTGCCCTCTACACTGGTTCGGGATGAATTTGCGGTACGCCCTTACGCCCATCTGGAATACCAAGATGGATTGGCTGTATTTGACCGCGAAGGAGACGCTGTAGAAGTCTGGCAGGCCGGTTTGGAAGGTGCAGCTCGTGGAGAGTTTCGACGCGTTGCAATCTTGAACCACGACTGTCAAACACGAGGATTCCAACTCTCTTACTCGACCCTGTGTGTTGTCTCGAATCAAGGGCACGGGTTCGTATATGATATGACCGAGCGTCCACCCAGGTTGATTACGCAGATCGACATTGATCATGGCGCCGTTGGTCATTTAGATCAATGCGAGGATGCTGTAATCTATTCTCTCGGCGCCCAGGGCTATCATGTCCATGACAAGAAGTCAGGTAAACTTCTTGGCGTCCTACAGCCGTCCCATGTTTCCGAAAAATACCACATTCGGCCACCTGCCATCCCATCTCTTTCTGCGAGTTCGACCTTGGCAGGGGCTGCACGGAACGGGCTGGCATCGCAATACCTCCCGTCCGAAGCCCCCCGCAAAGACTGTTTAAAACCCATAGCGCTCGTGAAAGGTCCATTGCCACCACCGAGCGAACCTGATCATGTCTATCACCGAGAAGATGAGTGGGGGGCTGGCATGCTTAACGGTGATCTTTTTGTTGGTTTCTCCCGTGCGGGTCGGGTGTTTTTGTGCTCAAGCTGGCGAAAGGCTCTTCAGGACCAAGCTAGCTTCGCCAAAAATAGCTCTATTATTGAATGTGAATCGGATGGAACAAGCTTTGACCTGGGCGGCTGGCTATCTGTGCGCAACCACCGTGTGATGTTTGAAATACAGGACCACATTTATGTCATCGCACTTGATGAGCATGACAAAATTCAAAAAACCAATCGACCTGCTCGTGCATCGTACTCACTTGTCACAAGCTCTGCTCCGCAGCTAGCCGTGCCTGTCAGCTTTATGGCCCTCTACGACGATGCGATCATGACCACGTACACTGTATGTCGCGACTTTTCGAACAATTAAATTTACCAGTGCAGGAACCAGATCTGACATTTGAAAACCCAGACCCTCGGCTGGCGCCAATCTCTCTCGAACATTCCGGGCGGCGCTCCCCCTCCGCAACGCCAAAATGTCGCTCGCATTTTCCCAACCAAGACCATTCGCATTGTCAGTTTGGCTCCTGACCTCTCCAAATGCAAATTTACCACCAGTTCTGAAAGTGAAGATCCCGAAGAATCGAATCTTGAATCCCCCAATCGGTCGGACCCGGCAGTTGAAGGGATTTGGCGCTCGCAGGCCGGATTGCTACAGTTGTTCAGTATGCTTGGTGACGAGTTTGGAGAGCAGGATGACGATGATGATCATGAACTGGGTAACTTTGCCGCAGACTTGCACGACGATGATATAGACGAGGAGTGGGAGGATTTGGATGAGAACGAGGACACTGCATGAGAATGAAAAGAACATTAGGGAACTCGGACTTCCCGTGGGCTTCTGTACTACGCGGGCTCTTTGCATCCTCCTGAAATCCGCTCATTTTACTAGCTTGGAATTTCGGTATTCTTGGCTGGCTGGTTATGGATTCCTACTTCATGCAATTTTTCACTAATCAAGACTATAACAGCCCTGGATACTAACAGTTACTTAGTCCTTGTTGTAATACAATATCGACGTCCAAATTCAGTTCATCGTTATGTAGGCACATATCTATGCCGGGTGTGAAGTGCAGGATGGGTTTATGAGCCCTCCAGTGCTGCGAAAGGCCTGGGTAAATCAGCATTCTGTTCTACATCTCCTGAGAAGTATGGTGATAGCGCGGGTTAATTACATACCTTATAATGGATCTTCCATAGTCTCCGGTGGAAATTTGAGCAAGTTCAGCCTGTATATTTAGTTCTACGTAGGTAGTTGCGTTTAAAGATAGCATCATCATCATCATCATCATCATCATCATCATCATTCATCGACCGTTTATCATCAATAAGACCATCGTCCACCACTGGTGGGGGTACTCATTCACTTTCAAACACCCTCATGCTTCTACTCTTCCACCTACCCTCAAGGCCTCTCCCTTTCCATTAAGCTTTCATCAAATGTCGACCAAGACCACCGTCTTCACCGAACTTAAGCTCAACGACCTCATTTCTATCGTCGAAGGTGAGAATCACGACACTTCGTGGGCTACTGGCCTTCGCTGGTTACTCGACTCACGCGATACACAAATTAATAAGCTCATTACCAGTGAATAGGCACGCCGCCTCTTCGATACACTTCCGCCTACTACGCACGTCGCAAAGCATAGGACAAATATTTCGTCTACAAGTTCCGCTACCGTCAAGTCAAACACTCAACAAAAGAATGCGGCTTCAACCCAAAGAACTAGGGTAACAAGCGCCCCGACACAAACACCGTCGAAATTACCGACCCTACCAGTTCTTCCTTGAGTCCGCGTAATCATACGTATTCGATCGCCATATATAACCGCATACAGCTACGCACCCACATTGTGCTAATTGACGGCATCATACCAATCGCTGGTATTCATTACCAATCGACGACATCGCTCCTTGCCAATCGGCGATAAATTTACCTTACCTACAGCAACTCACCTCTTTCGCCTACAAGATTCTATCTACACTAGCCCTAATCAAGCTATGTATACAGTATGACTGTTTTAATGGCATCCCCTACACATATTAACGGAGAAACAGACACTTCAAGAGGACGAATAATGATTGTTCTTCATAAAAATCGAGCAAAGAGAGTGCTTAGCTTCTTACAAGAGACGACCTCGAGCGTCGCCCGCAAGAAGCTAGCGAGGCAAGGGGGGTGAAAGTATAGGATCTCAGATGACCACATAGAAAAGATATTGTAGGTAATCTCGTCAAAGCAAAAATCAACCTAGGAGATTATTCCTTCAAATGAAAGAAGAGAAATAATAGAGCCCAGGACCTGAGACATCGCTAAGACCCTGGAGTTTTTACACCCGGACTAGCAAATTCTCGACTGAAATCGACAGCAACAGTGACGCTCGGTTTTTAATTAGTGTACGGTTTTACTACTAGGCTTCATCTCATGAAAGGAAGGCCCCTTGCGGCAAATCTTGAAAGTTTCAGCTACGTACAAATAAATATGGAAAGAATGTATACTCCAAAATGTACGTATCTCCTACCTGTGGACCTGTCGAGACAGCTTCAAACTGGGGTTGATGATCTTTAGATAAAGTGTTATAATTTCAACACTCTAGGGCTTGAGCAAGCAATGCTTGAGAAAGACCGCTCCGTTTTCCGATTATCAAGAGCGATTGGGCCCTGGGCATCTTACGGAAAGCCGTCCGTGGGTCGTTTTCTGGACGTTTACTACGGTTTTCCCATCCTGTGACTACCGAGGCCATGCGTAGTCCATGCCAACGGTGGATCCCCCCTGGTGTTTAACCTATGGTCAAGATCATATTCTAGCCATCGAGAGGCGCAATTTTCGGTTCGAAAACTCTTATCATCAGGGAATCGTCAAAGTTGTAATCCTGATACGGACCGCCCCACTGGAGAAATGCGACCGGCGTAGTACCAAAAGGGAAATAAGACCCCGGCAAATTCATGACGCCATTAGAACCAGTATAACTCCCCACAATGAGTTTTGACAGAATCTCGGGGTAGTCCACTTCGAAGTCACCGATATGCGTCATCGTCAGGACAGATCGACTGCAGTCCTGCCCACAATTGATGAATGGATTGCCCTTCCCCTGCCCGGAGAGGCAAAGTACTTATGGCCCCGGCATTGGCGTGGGGGCTCCGTACATATCCTTATAACGGTACTAGAGAAAATCCAGTTCAAACAATAACGAAAATTAGAATAGCTTGTGTTCGTCCAAAAATATTGTCCTAGTGGGCTATGTGGGTCTGAAGCTGAGAGGGGTTGAATTTGCAAGGGCGGGGCCCTGCGCACTGCAAATCGGAGTCTGATCACCTAGACATGGCGGTTGTCCATGCATCTTTCAAGCCTCAATATGGACGGGCCTCTGCAAGTTATAGGACTATCACTCCACTCAAGCTCGAGAACACCCACCACATGTGTTTCCTATCGCTCCGGGGAGCCTGCGACCGAGGACCCGAGGCCCGTGAGACATTGGATGCTAGTGGAATCTGGGGAACTGGCGGGCTAGCCTGTTGATCATTGTCCATGATCGCCATTGCGAAACCGCTAGGACGGGCGCATGGACCTGGCTTCACAACAATCTGGGGACCGAGGCAGACTCTGGGAGCGACGATGAGGGGTTTCATGTGGATTCTCGACGATCAGTGGGCGGGGGTACGGCGAGATATATGATGCAGTCGAGAGACCCCTTCGAGGATTCCGGCTACTCTGAAGATTACCTACGCCACTCGAGACCAACCTCAATTCTTTCCTTCTTACTTTATCCTTTATACCGGACCAACTGACAACATCTCGCACACAATGGCCGCGGACGGACCCAAGCCCGGTTTCCTTGGAAACATCAACCAGGAACAGGAGGGCAAGTTGCAGAGACTATGGAGCATCCTTTTGAAGTCGGCTGAAATGCCTTCTGGTGATGAGTCTTCAAATGAGTCTTCGAATGGATGTGTAGAGGAGCACGCTAGTCCCACCCAGCCTCAGCGACGCTCATCTCTACTCGGTCGCACCCAAAGTAACATTTCCGACAAGAGCGCCCCGAAAGCCACTTCAGTATATCAGCAAAAACTTATGGCGTATCTGAGGGAGTTGGGAATCAAGCCTCAGGAGACCAAACAGGTCGAAAAGGCCCTCTCAGAGATAAACCCCACTGAATTACGCAACGGCGTCCTGGACACACTCAAGCATGATCACCCAGATGCCATGCTACTGCGCTTTCTTCGTGCTCGTAAATGGGATGTCCCTAGAGCGTTTTCCATGATGATGGATGCCATCGTCTGGCGGGTCAAGGAGATGCACGTGGATGACGAGGTTATGGCGAAGGGAGAACTCCATGCTCTGAAGCAAGAGCGAAGCTCGAATGTGGCTGATAAGAAGGCTGGAAAAGACTTCCTGGCTCAGATGCGCATGGGCAAGAGCTACGTGCATGGTACGGATAAGTTGGGCCGGCCTATTGTCGTCATCCGGGTCCGTCTTCATAAGCCCGGAGCCCAAAGCGAGGAAGCATTGGAGAGGTATATCGTTCACGTCATTGAGTCCGTGAGGCTCACCCTATCTCCACCTGTCGAGACTGCCGTATGTGTCATTTCTCTCATTGGATGTTCGTTTGCTTATATTCTTCTTAGGCTGTTCTTTTCGACATGACCGGTTTCTCTCTTTCCAACATGGTATGTGACGAAGGAATGCTGACTCCAACCAGCAGTCCTTGAGTTCGAGAGCTATGGTTCTAATTATGTCTTACAGGAATACCCCCCCGTAAAATTTATCTTAAAGTGCTTCGAGGCAAATTACCCAGAGTCACTGGGTATCATGCTGATTCACAATGCCCCTTGGGTGTTCTCCGGTTTGTGCACTTTTTTTAAAAAAAATCTTGAATTTCCGACTTGAGATTTCGATCCCTGAGACTGACAATTTTCTCCTTCAAATTTGCAGGCGTTTGGAGACTTATCAAAGGATGGATGGATCCCGACATTGCGGCCAAGGTTCAGTTTACAAACTCCGCGGCTGACCTTGAAAAGTTCATCGCTCGTGATCAGCTTTTGGAAGAGGTGGGTGGTGCAGAGAAGTGGAAGTACGAGTATATTGAGCCGAAAGAAAACGAAAATGCCATCATGGAGGACACCACCACCCGTGACGCACTCGTTTCCGAGCGACAGCAGATTGGCGAGGAGTTTCTTGCAGCAACTTCCGAATGGAATGAGGCTACAAAGTCGAATGATAAGAGCAAGATTCAATCAGCCGAGAGTCAGAGGGCTTACCTCGCTGAAAGACTGCGGGTCAACCACTGGAAGTTGGACCCATACGCACGCGCACGTCTTTGTCTTGATCGAATGGGAGTCATCCAGAAGGACGGGAAAATTGACTTTTACCCCAATGAGACAGTTGTGGAGGAGAAGCCCCAAGAAACGAGCAAAACATCAGGCACCCAGCATCTGGAAAGCGTGAACGGCAATGGAGCGCAGGTGTTTGCTTCTTAGATTTCCAGTGAACCGCGGTTCTTCATTTCCGATAGATATTTTTCATTTCATATTGTGATATACGATTCAATCTCTCAGATAAGATTATGTGGCCTTGGGTAGACTTTGCACAGTATTCGGGATAGAGATTTGAATCAGTTGGATCAGGCTTGAATATAGCTATGTTGAATTTTAATCACAACATCGCTTCTGCCCGAGGTTACCAGATTGGGCATAGAAAATCTTTGTGAGGCTGTGAGTTTGCGAAGCCCTGTTATACCCAAGCCGTATCTAGAATTATCATTGGGGCCAGGACCCCTTTGGTCAGGACCAGGGTGGTGCTTATCACGAGTCCGAGATCAAGCATGTCTTGAGCAATTTTATGCGGCTGGCTTGCTGTGGGTTAGTAATAATTTCGTCATCTTTAAGAAAATCAACACTGCTGGGGCAACTTCGTTAAGTATCGGTTGACCTGACGTCTATTTGTCGGAGCTTGTCTAGCTGGATGGTGACCGATTGGGTCAGATTCCAGTGGGATAGAGTTGAGAGGACGCTATATCATGGACCGAGTATTTAGAAGATCGGCATAGCACTACGAGAAATTAGACCTATCAAATAAATGAAAATAATTACTGGAACATAAAAAAGTATGTGAGCTCAGATGTGGAAGGAATTGACTACGCAAATAGCATTGCCATTGTTCCCGCGGGCGTCGCATTCATGTGACCGTGGCTTCAATCATTCGGGCTAGGAGTATCCGTGGTGTTTGCATAGGACAAACCGCGACTTCTTAAATAAAATGGAGGTACCTTGGGTTTGTGATCATTCCTGTACACCTGAGGCGGCTGGGATACGTTTCGATTGAAGAAAATTTCTTAAAAGGGGCCTGGAGACTATAATGTTCTCACGAGATCCCACGAAACGAGGAAGTGTGTCTACCTTCTCTTTATCAAAACAGTTAAGAACAAATTTGTGAATTATGGGCTATCATTCGTGGAGGCCTTATTCAAGTAAGTGACGGGCATGTTATTTTCATTACCACACCTTCGGGCCAAAAGTCTGACCCTTGGGCAGGACAACCTGGATGGCAGTATCGGTGTAATCCATGGTCGAGAGGGCCTTATCGTTACCCCACCAGCTTGGGAAAGAGGAGTTGCTCAGACTGATGGCGAAGAGCATAACTATCAGGCACAAGGCAGTACCAACGTCCAACCCAGCGGACACAACATAGTTGTACTCCATCCACCAGCCGCGCCAGCGGTTGCGGATGTACTTGTTGAACACGAAACCGACCGTGCCCCATACAAGATAGGTGAGGGGGGTAGCAGGTGGGATCATGCCGGTACCACTGAAAATTACGGGAGCGCTCAGGAACTTGGCCCGGCTTTGAGGCCATTTGCGAGCGGCGAGCCATATAAGGATAGGCAGGGCGATACCAGCAAGCCAGAACCATTGGAGGGTTGAGTACATCTGCCCGATGGAGAACATGCGCTTAGGGCCAATGACACCCCAGATAACAGAGGCGTTAAAGAATACACGTCCGTTCGGGCAGGTGTACTTGTTTGCCTGGGTCGAGGAGCAAATATCGGTGATGCTACCAAATGCCCAATTCACAACTGCCACTTGGACCACTGAGGACCAGATGCAGGAAGCCATCTGTGCCCAGAAGGTAACGCGCGGGGGGATCTTCATGTAGTGACCTATAGGCTTATTAGAATTATGAAACTGGGCTTCCTATATAAGCCGAAGATTTGCGGAACTCGAGAGGTTCTTACCAAGCTTCATATCTTGGCAAAAGTATAACGCTTGAGACATAGAAATATAACCGTATGTTTTGAAAAGCATCATTGCCATTGGCTTGCCAGGCTGGATGTAGCCGACAATAAACTCAGTGATGACATTCAGGCCGAGCTGAATGTTGGTGGTGGCCTGGATCATACCGATAGGCAGGGTCCAGACCAAGGCAATAATGAGAGAGATGAAAAATGCCCACCAAGACATATGGGTGGGATAGGAAAGAACGACTGCCAATCCTATAGCTGCCATGACAACAAGAACAACAACATACCACCAGATAGGCACTGTGTCATACTTGGCCATTAGGCGAGAGTGAATATCCTCGTGCTTTTGTCCGGCCGCCCGCATGCGGTGCCAGATCTCTTTGCCGTGGAATAGGCTAACGTGGACAATAACAGCGGCTAGGCCAGCAAAAGACAGACCGTAGCATAGGGCAAAAGTGGTGGAGAGGAAAAGCGGGGAATAGCTCTCATACTTTGCCAGATCGAAAGTAAATTCGGGTGTCAAAATCTGAGTGACATTGTAAACAGCGCCAGTATTGTCGTAGCTGCTTGAGTCTGACATAGGCAGGAACTTTCCGTAGTAGATGTTGGAATAGTGTAGCGCCGGAGTTAAGATCCAGAACCACGCAACCATACCAATAAGAGTGTTGGCAATGGCAAACCAGGGGGAGATCATAGGGCTGGTGACGTAACCCGAAATGATAGACCAGTCGAAAGAGATAGGAATCAGCGAGATACCGGTAGCACCACCGAATAGTTGGTTGATGATAACATTGTTTGGCTTAATCCAAGTGACAAAGGCAAACACACTAAGGAATGGGGCGATCAGACCCGGGAACCAATACCAGCAGAAAGCGCCAATCATGATATACATGAATAAGCGATACCGGTTAACAGTCCAGCCAGCTGTCTTGGCAGGGTCTGGTGGATTTAGCCCACGTTCGTGCATAGCTGTGAATAGGGTTGTGTTGACTAGATTAGATGGCCAGATCATGGCAGCGGGCTCTACCAGAAAGCGATGAAGCACTCCGCCCAAGCCGAATCCTAAGGTCTGAGTCGAGATAGTTGTGAATATCTCGAAGGGCCATCCGTAGCGTTGTCCGTAGAAACCTCGCTGCGCGGTGATGATATCGAGTGTATACGCAAACCCACCAGCAAAGGTTGCGTTGGCCATAATAGTGATGAGGGCATGTTCTTTTTTTGTGAATGGCCCGGGGTTCAACTCAAGCTTGTTGCCGAACAGGGTGAAGGTGAAGTTGGGGACTAAGCGAGCCCAGGCAATCCCGAAGGGAAACGCAACGACCTCAGCAATATAAGAAGTAATAGAGATCGTAGGACTGTGCAGAGAGAAAAGAGCATTGAGGCCAGAACCGATAGTAGCAAAAATAAGACCCAGGGTCCAGGCGCGGATGGTGTTTCCGGTGCCTCCTTCGTCGTAGTTAAGGACTGCAGCACGAACCTCTGGATAAGGAGAGTCTTCAATCAGGTCCCCAAAAATATGGCCCTTGATTTCCGCATCTCCAGTCGCAAGAGCTTCATCCAACTCCTTCTCAATCTCGCCGGGGAGATTGAGATCGAATTTATGTTCAGCTTTGAGCTCCTGCAGATCATCGATGGTTGCAGGGGGCATTTCAGCCACCGAGATACCGGTAGACTTGCCCGACATGATTAAGATTCAGACTGACCTGGAGAAAACAAAACCAGTTCTCATAGAATCACGAAGTCGCACCATCGATAAATATAAGAATTCAGCGAATCGTATTATCGTTTCGTGTTACATTGGTCTTATCCAAAACCGGAGCTCCGTCTGGAAGCCCGGCGGCGAAAGCACGGATTCCTCCTGCAGCCACCACTAAGTACCGCTACATAGGAAATTCGCTTATCAGGGTCCATTTTCGCCTCCCTCCCTCCCCCCCCCTCCTGGGGAGACATCTGCCCCGTGCCCCTCCAGGCGGGACTCATGTGACCGAACGGAGTATTCCGTTGATGCCAACTATCCAAGACCTCAAGACCTCACCTTGGGTCAATTCAATGGTAATTTACTATCGTCATTTTTGGAGTTCACTGGAACTATTTTGAAATTATGTCAGTTGTATTTCGGCTGAATATGCTTCGAAGATAACGATCAACTACCGTTGCGGGAGTTTTGACATTTATCAGCCAGATGGTTGTAGGTCACGCTCAAGGACCTTCGCTGGTACAATCACTTCGCGTAATCTTATCATTCCTGTGCGCTAGCTCGGTTTACATCGTGTCTAGCTTGCATTAGACTCCACCCCGAGCGCCTCCAAGGCACGATATATGTAGAGTTGGAACGTGGATTTGGCCTTTGCCACCCAATAGACTATGGTATTCAATCCTAGACCGAACTACAACCACAAGTTAATGATTCTAAATTGACCGCAAACCTCTACATAAATTGCCCAGTAGAGTCTCCTGTCAATGCGAGGTAGTCGGCAGCGAGTTTCGAGCTTTTTTTGGCCAAGGCCGAGATGGCACAGACAAGAAACACCAAGCTCTCTTGTTAAGTGGCTAAAATGGCCAAGCGCGACACGTCAGCCATATTCGGTTGATTGGCCCTATCGTCTAAAATAGCGTATCAATGGGCGCTTTCACACGGTATTTTCTCGGCCATGCTACGATTGACTAAGCTAGATTAGGTCTAGAGCTGAGAACCTAATACCTGGGCTTGCGCCGTTCCTAAATTACCCCACCCGAGCCGGCCTGGGCACGCACTTCCATGCACTTGGCCAATTTTTAGCTTGTCTGATCACTGGTCACCCGAACACAAGTGGCGGTTGATGTGACATTGACCCAGCAAGGGTTGATACCAGCTGAACAGCCCAGCCGCCACCGAGGCTGGAATATTTCGGATAGGCTTTGATGGGGTTGAACTAAATTTGCAGTCCACTCGAAGGCCACAACGCGTCTTCTTATCTCTTTCCGTTCAGGAATCCCGGGCTATCGCATGCCAAAGCGTTCCGACTGATAACTCGAGGGTTCCTCTCCCTAATTGGCGGAAGACTAAGAGCCGACCTAGCGATCTGAAAATAGAGGCAAAATCGGAAAGACAAAAAGGCGTGCATTGGCGAGATAGCAAAGGAGATTCCATTCACGGAGGGTGGTGGATGGGAAATAGCAGAGGCTACGGTCAAGGGAGTCCTCCGGGGGAAAGATCGTCACTTTTATAATGTCGGCATGGAATCCCCGCTCCTGGATACCGGGAAAAGTGTTATTTCTGCATGTTCATACTGTTTGATGTCTTTTCCCATAAGTAGTTAGTTAACTAACTAGTGAAATGGGGATGGCTCGATGGCTGTCTGACAATGCAGACTGGACAGCAGCAACCAACGGACAACACACACAGCCAGCACGTAGTATAGGTCGTCCAAGGGGGAGGTCGCAAGTGTCCTTAGTGAGGCCGTGAGGCCGTACGGGTTAAGGCCGTAGGACCGTACGGGCAATCTTTAAACGCAGCAATCCTAAATGAGGCCGTACGGTTTACCGACTGAGGCCATGTGGAATGTACTCTATACGGCATCATGAATCAAAGAATGCGGTGACAACTGTAATGAATTGGGTAGATGCCTCTTTTTTTCTATCCTCATGTAGAAGCTATTGCTTACATCTAAGGTATTCTGTCGGAATGTTTTATATGCAGCCAATCAACGATATCAAAAGCTCTGTTTCTGTATTACCCCTGATTCTGCCAATTTATAGGGGAATTCAAGATTACATAAGTAATAAACATGAAGGATAATTGTATCTCCGGTCCACCGCGGTATTCGTATTGACATATTCGTGACACCTCAGGCCGCAACTGTATTCATTATGTCATGCGTTCCACCACTAACGTGGTCGGTAAGCGAGTGACGCACCCCAAACACCATACTAAATGCAATAAATTAGAACCTTATATCTCAACAACCATAGATTCTCGTAAGACTTCCTTGTAAACATATGCTATTTATGTCAAGTCTAATGTTTTTTGAAAGTCTCAAAGAGTTTTAGGAAGTGGTGGTCGAATAACATATCCTTGAAGCTCAACAACCAAAATTACAGTGTAATTTTGGTAAAAGTTGTCAAATCAGGATTAAATAAATCGAGACTTTTATACCAGACTTTTAATGCTCTAACTAAGTGGTATAATATATATTGCGAAGAATGAACTTATGATTATTGAGATAAATTGTTGCATTTACTATGGTGTTTTGGGGTGCGTCACTCGCTTGGGCGCGTCACTCGCTTGTGAACCACGGTCGGGAAACGAGTGGCCACCTAACCACTTTTTCTTATCTCCGCTCGACCATTTATCTTCTATCAAGCACCATGCTTCCAATTCGCGTCAGATCTAGCCAGGATTCTATCCAGCAAGATGGTCACCTTTTACTTGCTATCCAGGCTATAAATAGCCAAGAAATTCGCACTATCCGGCAGGCTGCAAAGTAATTCCAAGTCCCCCGTAATACGCTCACGCGTCGCCTACGCAGGACTACAAATCGCGCTGAATGTCGCGCAAACTTTCATAAATGAAAGTAAATCGAAAAGGGTATACTCCAGTAACGTATACTATCGCCAGATCCACGTGGAGCAGCCCCTGCCTAAGCTTATATCCGAGAAATAGCGAATATTCTACTTACGAAGCGCGGTTCTACCCCTGTCTATACCGTCGGCGAAAATGGGTATATAACTTCACCTAGCACCGTCTAGAGTCTAAAGCTTGCTTTTCTCGACGATATAATTACTCGTGGGTAGAACAAGAGGACCCAAAGATCATTTAAGCGTGGTTGAACCTCATATAAGCCACAATTTAGCAATACAGTTGGTACGGGTTAATCTACAACATGATGCTATCCAATATCCATATCGGGACGCGATAAAGAAACCCCTCGTCCTCTGTCCGATAACCTGCAGATAACCTGCAAGAAAGCGAGTGCCACGTGATCCCACAAATGTACAAAAAGAAGATGCATGTATCCAGTTTGCTCTCCTTCGGCAGGGATTAGTTCAGTTCTATCTAGTCATACCATTGGTGTTATCGTTCCTCACTACCTTGTGCTTTACCGCGTATTCCTCGTATCTACTTCAGCCACTCGATATCGGATATCTTACCATTTTAACCATTGATTACGGTTGCCACTTGCTATATGCGACATATAATAATTTGTCACCTGACCTATCACCGCTGTCGCAATACGTGGCCTGATTAGCCAATCAATGATACTAAAGACTATAATCTCATTCTATCTAGAGATAGAAGTTCTTCGCGAATGAAACCCAAATATCCAGAATATGATTATCGACAAGCAGTCACAGTACGAATGAAATATATGAAGGATGGTGTTGGATGTTCCGTGGCAAAAAAGCTCTTCGATAACGTTGAGAAGAAGTGGTATTAAGTGGAGGCAGAGGCGAGGGGTTTAAAAGCTACACGTGTTGATGTCAATCAGACAATCATCCCAAACAATCATTGTTTAGAGCTTTCTCCATGGCGTGAAAAATGATGACCGTGATCTGTTTCTGGACTGTTTGGACGGCAGTGTGGTTTAAAACAGCGTCCTGACTCTTGGATGAGATGGGTCGGCTTCAATTGATACTTCTGGCGTTGATGTGCACATAGTATCTCATTGCTCTGAACATCTATAGTAGCTTAAGAAAATGGCTCATATTAAATTCGAGATTTCGAATCGAGGACACGTTAACGAGCCACCTAGCTAGGTATAGTTCATGAATGCTTCAATGTCAGATACATCTGCAAGCCTGCCTGTTAAGCCTGCCAGCAATACTGGGCTTTGCTTATTTACGGATTACTTTGACCAGGCCCAGGTAATTTGACTTTGAATTTGACAGAATCTACGAGTGTGCGAGTCACGATGTTTTATTGACGGTCGCGGAATCCATCCGCAAATTGATAAACAATGCAAACTCATCCACATCCGGCTCTCGGAACTTATCCCGAGACACTCCGGACTCCATGTTGAGAGAGAGGTTTTCGACGAATTCAAGCCCACCCGTCAAAATGAAATCTCATGCTCGCGGCGGGAAAAACGGAATCAAGCGCCAAAAAATCACCGTCGCATGCGATGACTGTCGTGCAAGAAAAGTGCGCTGTGATGGGGCACAACCCGGTGCGTCCGGAGACTGGGCACTCGGAAGGTAACCCGTGTTGATTCGTAACAGTTTGTGGGCCTTGCAGCAGGAAGTCTGACCATGGCAAACTATGCGCTTATACTGGCGAGTTGGAAAAGAAGCGAGCAACGCAGACGTGAGTGAAAGATATCAAACAGTAGCCTGTCGGTATTTTTACGAACTAACCTTGACCATTGACTTGCTTTTTAGCTACATTTCGACCCTTGAGGACCGAATCAAACAGCTGGAGAGCTCTCTTGCGAGCGAAAGAGCTTCATTGTCGAAAGGGTTGCCGGTAGGATATCATGAATCGTGCTGGAAGTACACCGGAACCTGCCCCATGGCTGACGGGTCTGCAGCATACGGCTCTGCCATCCTTGTCCCCAACCGCAACTTACCCAAGACCACCCACTGTCTTTGTACAGAAAGCACAAAGCAAAACCCAAGTCACCACGGCAGGTTCGAGTGAAGATGGTGTCAATGCAATGATGGGTGCTGTGGAAGAAGGGCGGCTAAACCAAGGCTTTTTCGGAAGCTCCAGCGCTGCTGGCTTTATAAAGCAGATCAAAACTGCCGTCGATCAGAGAATGTTATCACCGAATATACATTCATCTGCTCCGGAAACAACTCTTCGCTCGAGTTTCTTGTCTGTGCCCAACGAAAAATGTCTCTCAGAGGTTTCGAACTGTGTCTTTCCCCCGCGAAGGATTGCTGACAATTTGATGAATGTGTACTGGGACTATGTTTTCCCTTTGTATCCCTTTGTGGATAGTGCTCATATGAAAGAAGAGTACGGAAAGATCTGGCACGGAGATACTTTGCAACGGGACGAACACATGGCCATGTGTACTTTCAATGTCGTCTTCGCTCTTGCCTGTCAATTGGCCGACTTTATTCAACCTGAAGAACGAGAATCTTGGGCCGATGCATATTTCTCTCGCGCCAAGGATCTTTTCCAGTTCAGTTTGTGGGACACGGGCTCTGCAGGGTTGATACAATGCCTGCTCCTAATGGCACAGTACCTACAGAGTACAAACTCGGCGCATCAATGTTGGATTGTGACCGGGCTGGCTATTCGGAATGCGCAAAGCCTAGGTCTGCACCTTCCTCAGACCATTGCACATCTACACAGCTTTCAGGACAAGCAACTAGCACGAAAGCTATGGCATGGATGTGTTTTGATGGATCGGTAATTTGGTACTCATTCTTTGTGGGCTCCCTATCTCTAACACTTCTTACATATTTCAGCGTGATATCAATGACATTTGGCCGACCGGCAATGGTATCGAGAGTTTCCAGTGGAGCAGTCCCTTTGCCAGTGAAAGTGGATGATGAATTCATCATCCCTAACAGTATTGCGGAACCCTCTCAACCGGTGGAAAGGCCATCTATGATGACCTTCTATATCAAAACTCTTGAGTTGTACGAGACTATGAACGATGTTCTTCTCAGTCTATACAAACCAGCAGCAGAAGATAGCCCAAACGATATTCATGGATTTTATTTCAACACTACTGTCAGCGAGATTGAGCGCACCATCTTCGATCTTGATTGCTCCCTGGATCGATGGGCTCGAAACCTCCCGGCACATCTTTGTGCGGGATCGTCGAGTAGATCTGACAGTCCAATATTCTTTCGACAAAGTGTCGTTTTACAAGCAAGGTAAGGCCAAGAAAATACCTGCATATTCACCATTGCGATTGCAGCTGATAGGGGCCATTTGATAGATTTCTCCATGTACGAATCTTGCTCTTTCGTCCCACGCTTTCCAAATTTTGCGCCCTTCGTGACAACGCGGGAATTCATTCGTTAACTACCCGACACGACTCATTTCCGCATCGTGTTGCTTTACAATGCTCCATTATCTGCGTGAGAGTCGCACAGGAATCGATCAAACTCATTCATGATAACGTGCCTATCGATGGAACCGGAGGTCCGCTGCCAGCGTGGTGGTATAATATTCTTTGTGAGTAACCCCTGATATAGAAGCATATATGTACGTTTCACCGGGTCTCTAATCCTTCAGATATATACACTGCTGCGACCGTTCTGATTGCTGGTCGCTTATGCTCGGCTATAGTCTCCGAGGTCACGGAGGCTTCTATTACACACTCATGGGAATGTGCTCTAGAAATTCTCCGCAAATACCAAAAATATAGCACGTCAGCTCGGCGCTGCGTAGCGGCCCTCGAAATACTTTATGAGAAGGTCGTTTCTGATGGTCAGCCGCTTGCAGATCATGACTCCGCCCAGGGGTTCACGGCTCATGTTCCAAGTACTCTCAACGATTATTCTTTTGGAGAAGGAGTGAACGCGACAATGATGGAGGGATTTGAGCTGCTTGATTTTCAAGATATGTCCTGGCTCAACAGTGTCCCAAGCAACCTTATTTAGGACGGCTAACCAGTGGTTTGCCTAGTTATATTCAAAAAACGATCTCAAGTTTGGCAAATTTATTCGAGCTTGAACTGTGAAATAAACCGGTGCTTGCCCGTCATTAGAGACAGGTGTAGACTACTTGTTCCTGGACCTCATACAATGCTCACTTACAATATCCATGTACAATATCCACGCACAGAGCCCCTTTACTATGAATTTTCATTCCTGCTGACCACATCCAATCGGGTAGCGGCAAACTGAACGGCAATGATCGGAACCAAAGCGCATCCACCAATAATGGCGACCATTATACCGGCAGCCCCACCTAGTCCCAACGTTGCAAACATGTCTGGGAAATAAAATGGCCCAAGCTAGATATCAAAAAGGTTAGAGCTGTTTAACAAAGATAGTATGGTGATGCCGAAGCAGACAAAATCTCACAAATCCATATATTTGTCGACAAACATTCACGAAAACGCCGACCTGAGCGGATCTTTCCTGTTTGCTTTCAACAGCAAATGTGGTCAGAATCGTAGTCTGCATCTGATTCCCAAAACTGGCAATGGCAGCCCCAATGCAAGGGGTGATATTCCAAGATGTAGCATACTGCAGCTGGAATCCCCAAGTCAACAAGCCGGTGATCACAGTAGAAAATGCAATGTAAGATAGCCATAGGCGATCGGCCGGGCAGGAGTGGCCCCTCGTGTGGCGTAAACGTTGCAGAAACCAATCTGAAATTGGTCCGCTAACTTGTTCACCCAAGACACAGCCAATAATGATAGCAATAAACTGCAACCCAATCTGCTGAGCATTGAAATTAAATTTCTCCCCAAAAGCAATGGGCATCTCCACAATCAGAGCAATGTTCCCATAGCAGAACGTAATAGCATGGGCACACGCTGCTATCAAAACACGAGGAAATTGAGCCAAGGAGAACGGAGCCACAAAATCGTAGAGGTGTAGTGAGCGTGAGCTGATCTGCCGAGGCTTCATCTTTCCAAAGAACCCGTTTTCCTGCCTCTCGTTGGCAGGATTGTAAATGGTTTCATCCCCGAACGCCAGATAAAGCAAAAATTGACAGAAATTGATGATAGCGAAGATCCAGAAAATCCATTGAACCCCAATATGCTGTGTCACGAAGCCCATAAGAAAAGGACCTATCGGCGTTCCGATTGTGGTCATCAGGGTCCACCAGCCCAATTTCTGGGCTATTTTCTCGGACTCGCATAAATCCGTTATCACTCCACTGCCTATTCCGATTGGAGGAGATATTAAGAAAGCCGTTAGGACCCGGGTGGTCATTTGCGCACCATATGACGTACACCTTGCACCGCCAATATTGCATACCATACTACCCAGGACAGATAATAAGCTGACATTATATCGTCCGTAAACAGCAGTGACGGGATTCCAGACCAAAGGGGACAGACCAAGAAGCAAAATCTGCGTGAGATGTCAGTTATTAGCAGACTTTCCAGAATTCAATTTGCACGTGTCTAGCTCTTCGGCCTTACATACCTGGAAAGATGTCAAGTAACTAGCATCTGGAACTGTGACGTTGTACTCTTCGGCCAGTGTGCCGTATGCCGGGATAATCCCTGCGGCCATAAAAGTTCCCATCATAGAATGAAACGCGACCATCATAATTTGGGCATTCTTTTTCCCCTGTGACCAGTTACGAGGATCTTGAGATGAGGATTTCCGCGTGCCTTCATCCTTAACGATGGCTTCATTCGGAAGGCTGGGGGTCAGATTCTCCAGATGAACGGAGCTTTCCGCGCTTGCGATCTTCATGCTGTAAATTGAACGAGATGATTTTGAGCGATGAGCCCTGGTGGCACAAAATGATACTGCCAGGTTGCAATATCGATATTTGTGTACAGTCGGCAAAGTAGACTTGCGCTGCCAAGAGTTGAATTTTGGTCTGAGAGTGCCAGCTGAAATTTCGTTGGCTTCCAGATACCACTAAATCCAAAGCACCTCCCGAATTTCTTAAATAGTCCCAGAAACCAAATGTGCCAGACTTTCAAGAACCCCGTGGGGGCGGGTACGGGGTGCTGATAGGATGTGGAACAGTCAGGACGGAGGAACACCGCCTTGTCGAGGTCTATTGGAGCATTGTTCAATTTACAACCCCATAACCCGGCTAATCAGTAGGAATTTCCGCACTCCAGTTACAGTTACCGAGGGAGGTCTTCAGCCACGCAGGCAAACCGAGGTTAAGGCAACGAAGCTCGATGTATTCGGGACTTGACCCGGCCCACATTCGGGATGTCCTCCGAAGCAGTCTTTAATCATTCTAAGTGATCCATAAAGGTCCCTCCGCCATGGCCCACGAGGTGCATGTGAGACCAATCGGAGCAGAGTTTCGTCGATCTTTGAGAAAACTTCGAGGGCTTCTTGAACTCTAAGAATAATACCTCGATGAGCACGGTTAGCAACCAATGGCATCGGTATGGCTCATACAGCTAGTTTTCGGAATAAATTGAAGGACGGTTCTAGAAATCCCTGTTAAAACATAATCACCAGTCGGGTCAAACCAAAACCGAACGACTTTCTCGTGGTGTGCCATTTTCAACCCCGCATGCCGAGACTTTTCAGATCGAAAGAATATATGCAGTGATTGGTGGGATTGATTTCGGCCAGGCACCTAGAAGTTTGCTCCGCTCGAACAAAAGTGAAACTTCGGGGTATTGAGCCCCGGTATGAATGTTAAGAACCGGTGATCGTGAAACCAGGAGAAGCACTTTGCTCCGAACCCTTCCCTTGCAAGACTTCTCAGATATCTTTTTATTGAGCTTCATTCAAAATGAGACCCTTTTTACTCCAATTTGCCGCAATTTTCAGTGTTGTCTCGGCTACCCTTCATGTTATTCAAAATAAATCTACAGTTACTCTTTCCAACGATCGCCTTGCCGCAGTTTGGCAGAAAAGTGTCGGTCAGATAATAGACCTCACTCTTGATGGACAGGATTTGCTGGGTCAACAGTCTGGTTCGTCTGGAATAGGCCCATATCTTGACTGTTATTGTATTCCATCCGGTTTTTACACCGCAGGGGCTACAACACCAGAGATGCAGGTTGTTCAGGGAGTGGATTCCGGTGGGACAGGCTACGGAGGAGTCATACTCAATGATACCTACACACCTACCGGGCAACAATTTCAGCAATATTGGTTTCTTCGCAATGGTGAAACGGGCCTACATACGTTCAGCCGTCTATCCTATCACAATGAAACCACACCGTTTCTCCGCAATTTGCAGGAGTTTCGAACTCTCTTTCGCCCAAACACGGACCTTTGGACTCACTTAACATCCAGCGAATTGCAAACTGCCCCACTGCCTAGTAAAGCGGCGGTAAAAAGCCAAGTCATGGTTCAAGATGCGACTTGGACATTCAACAACACCCCGTCTGATGCATATTATAGTCAATTCTCGGACTATTTTACAAAATATACGTTTTCAAACGGTAAGAGCTCGTTTCGAAAGCATGACAATGTTATCTTGAAGAAGCTCTGAGGGCATAAAATGATACTAATGCTTCCTAGCTTGGAGGAATAATAGCGTTCACGGACTCTATGCCGATGGTTCGACATCATCCGGGACAACTTACGGAGCGTGGCTTGTAATGAACACGAAGGTGAGCACTTCCAAATTAACAACAGAGATTTCAGGCTAAAATCAGGATTCCAGGATACATATTATGGAGCAAGTTTCCTACAGAAATACAGCCACACGAAAGCAAATTATTAACTTTATCTCAGGGGCCGCTCCATTCGGACTTGACAGTAGACGGTATTGTATACAATTATCTTGTTTCAAATCATCACGGAGAAGGAACTCCAAACATCACAACTGGATTTGATCGCACATTTGGGCCTCAGTACTACCTTTTCAACGGTGGAACGGGCTCAGAGTCGCTGGAAGAGTTGCGATTTGAAGCGCGGTCTCTAGCAAACGAAGAGTGGAACACTGCCTTTTACGATTCGATTGCAAAACACGTGGTGGGATATGTCCCATCAGGGAAAAGAGGAAATTTAGAAGGGACTTTGAAGCTTCCAAAGGATGCTGTGCGGCCAATTGCCATTCTCACAGTCAACGGCTTTGATTTCCAGGACAATAGCGCGGTGCCTGACTCGCATCAATACTGGGCTGATATCGCGAGCGATGGGACTTTCAAGATCGATCGTATCAAGGAAGGCAAATACCGACTGAGTGTTTATGCAGAGGGTGTTTTTGGTGATTTCACTCGTGACGGGATCGTTGTGAAGGCCAACAAGAAGACCGTTGTTCACGACACCTGGAAGGAAGAATCCGCGGGCGTGGAAGTCTGGCGGCTGGGAATTCCCGATAAATCTTCGGGGGAGTTTCGCCACGGCAATGCAAGGGATACTACGCACCCCTTGCAGCCTCCAGAGTATATGATTTATTGGGGCGCATATGACTGGACAACCGATTTCCCGAGGGGCATCAACTATAACATTGGCACCAGTGATCCTGCTGTCGATTTTAATACCGTCCATTGGTCAGTCTTTGGACCCACTCCGAATAATAGCCGTGCCGAATACAACACGACGTACGACTGGAATATCAATTTCTCTTTGGATCGGGAGCAACTCCACAACCGTACGACTGCGACACTCACCGTGCAACTAGCCGGCGCCAAGACTGCATCTGGAAACACTGATATTGACAACGTCGGCGAGAGATATACTAATTTGTCCCTGGAGAGCTTCATAAATGACAAGGAAGATCCATTGACCTTGAATATCGGGTTTGATCAGTCCAGCAGCTGCATTGTAAGATCCGCTATCAGCTGCTATCAGATACGTTCGCGATTGCCCTTCCCAGCCGACTGGCTTCACGAGGGAGAAAATCAGCTACGTCTGCATTTACCCTACAATGCGACAGATGTAGAGACCGCAGTTCTGCCGGCAACTGTATACGTCCAATATGACGCCTTGCGGTTAGAACTGGAATGATCGACTGGACGACCATTAGGACACTAGCTCGAGGCTGCTTTGGATTATTGTAAATAGGTTCCATGCCTAGCTTTGATCACGAGTTCCAGCACGTTACCTTTTGGCCAATTTGGCCAAGTTTGATTTTCCGTACTCCATTCGTACTGTAGTTCATGGTTCCCAGGGGCCTCGGGCTCGATTTCCTGTCAAGATGCAAGGCTCTTCGTCTCCCTGAACAAGAAGCACGTCTTCATGTCTCACTCCAAACTCATTAACCAGGTAGATCCCGGGCTCCGATGTAAAGACCATACCGGTCTTCAAAAGGCTCTCTTCATTTCCCTTGTTCAGATATGGACTTTCGTGAGCTAATTATGCTGGTCAGCTCAATGATCTGGATTGGTAGGGATAAACGAGACACACCTTTGATCCCTATACCATGGCCAACACGATGCGTAAAAGAATCCCCATAGCCGGCTTTGCTGATGATATCGCGTGCAGCAATATCCACGCTAGCTGCGGTGAAATTTTCACGCATTCGATTGATTGAACGGGTTTGCGCCTCGAAAACTATGTCCCAAATCTTGCATTGAAGTAAGTCATCTGGATACTGAGAGGAGATGAAACACTTGCCTTCAACTTCTCACTCACGCGTAACGAGGGCACATCGTCTTTCGAAGGTTTCTGCAAGAAGGGAGGAAAGAAGGTGCGGCAAATATCGGACGAGTATCCATAGAGATGTGCACTATCATGGCGTCAGATTTGATTTTCAAGCAATGCTTCGTAAACAAACCCAACATCAATCAACACAAAGGTCTCCGCTTCTAAAACTTTAGAGCCATTGGTTCCACCATGCGGGTTAGACGCATTCTCATCAAAAAGTACGATGTCGAAGAAAGGATCTAATCCAGCTGCTCGGAGAGCATTATCGAGAGCAGAAGCTATTTCGTTCTCCGTCAATCCCGGATAGAGACACTTTCTCATCTGCCGCACAGCTTCCAAAGTTCCCGTATTGACAGCGCGTAGAATATTGACTTCCTTGGCAGTTTTGATCTGTCGGACTTCCTCTACTTTACCCTGCAAGCCAACTACCTCAAATCCTGCAGATACAAGTCCGCGCTGGATGAAATCTCGCATTTCCTCATCCACCATCAAACGTGCGGGTTGTCGGAGGCCTCGGAACACTTCCGATTGTTGGAGGGTGATATATGGATTCCAATGTTCTTCCCAGGGAATAATTTGAATAGCATCCGTAAAGGGCATTTCAAGCAGGCGCGCGCGTTCGGCCTCAAATGACGGGCAGAGAAAGGTGGTGTTGGCCTTGACGTTACCAGTGGCCTGATCGTAAAATGGGCGCACAACCATCAGAAAGGGACGCTCTTCCGGCTACCTTGGTGAGTTTATCGACTCATTAAGTTCAGTATGAAATCTTACCTCCCAAACTTCCCACTCGGGCTGGCTGACGTTGCCATAATACTTGAAGGTATACCCCGGTTCCACAACGAACGCATCAACCCCTTCGGCGACCAGCGCTTGCGCCAACCGATCCCGTCGCTCTTCAAAGTCCGATACTGCGATAGGTGATACGTTCATAAATGGAAGTCCTGTCTCAAGCAAATTATCGATTGCGCAATTTTGGAAATCTCTCAAACGGTCGGGGCTGTTCATATCATTAAATACGACATCATGGCCAAGCACGCGAGGACTGTGGATCGCGAGCGACCTCAGTTGAAAAAATTGTAGGCTGTCGCCAACAGACCAGCACTTGCTAGAATCCATCCCACGTTGCGAGCTGAGAAGCGGTTGTAGGGTTTGGCCTCCACGGCACTGAAGGGCAGTTGTTTCGACATGGTCCGGGAAGTTGATCAAGGAGGGAAAGAAGTTCCTGACTTCAACATTATCACCCCCGCCTCTTCCCGGTGCACTCGGGCGGATTCCTATCTCGTTTTGACCTTCCCATTTTCGCCTTTACTTTCCCGCCTCTTGTTAGCGTCGACACCAAAGCCCCGTCGCGTTAGCTTCCCCGCCATTTCAGCCCCCGCAATGCCTTTGATTGGTGCAGTCGGCTGCGGCAATCTGCAAAAATATCGGATTAATCAGGCCTTCTCTCCCTACTGATCTAATTGTTACCATGGATTGATTATAAAGTGCGAGTCGTGGCCAGATCTGCAGCAACATGCAGCCGCACATTTCCTCCCATCATGACCGAGCCTACGATAGTTGAAATGCGTGAAACGAGTGAAAAGAGCCCAGTCTCGGGAAAGGGCATTCAGACGTCGGACTCTGCTTCAGTTTTTCCAAACGCGACTTCCCCAGATGTGATCTCTGATTCCCCTAATGAGACAGAGGATCTCTACAACGGTCGAGGCTACTCCCGCCTTTCGATGGTCATGATGGTAGTCTTCAGTGGCCTCGCGATTGGCTCGGACGGCTTCAACGCCTCGATCATAGGCAACCTTGAATTGATCATGGCAGTTATCTATCCAAAATCACTGACCACTGCCGTAGCTTCTCGATTATCCAACGCATTCATGGTAGGCATGATCATTGGCATGCTCTCATTTGGCTACATCTCCGATAAACTGGGCCGCAAGACCGGCGCTGTCCTGACCACCACGATTTTGGTTCTTGGTATTGCGCTGAGTGCTGGTGCTAGCGGATTAACTGAGGGTGGTATGTTTTGGATGTTAATCATTGCTCGAGGTATTGCAGGTGTCGGAGCAGGCGGGTGAGTACTTATTCATCTCTGCCTTAGATTCCACGGCTACTAATATGAATCGACCAGAGAGTACCCCGTTGCGGGAGCAGGTGCTGCTGAAGCCACAGATGAGGCCCCAGGCATCCGCAAACGAAGAGGCTTCATTTTTGCCATGATAGGTGACCTATCGGCCTCTCTTGGCTTTGCTTTCGGTGCCCTGGTACCGCTCATTTTGCTCTTGTGTTTCCATCAACAAGTCCAGCATTATGAAGCCGTGTGGCGAGTCTCCTTGGCCATGGGAGCCGTTGCTCCTCTGTCAATTTTCTGGTTTCGCTATCGTATGGTTGTTAGCTCTGCCTATAGCAAGAGTTCTATGAAAAAGCAGAGAATACCCTACTGGCTAGCGATGAAGAAGTATTGGCGCCCACTGCTGGGCGTTTGTGGGTCCTGGTTCATGTAAGCACCTCAAGGCCGTGAGTTGGGAGTGATTATTTGTCGCTAATATTACAAACTTTATCAAAGTTACAACTACATCTCTTACCCTTTCGGCCTTTTTGCGTCGACAATCGTCGATCAAGTCAATCCGTCCTCTTCCCTGGCCCTCACAATGGCCTGGGGAGCGTTGATCAATTGCTTCTATATTCCAGGCGCCTTCATTGGTGGTCTTCTCTCGGACCGTATTGGCCGCCGACGTACTATGGCACTGGGGTTCATTCTCCAGGCTATTCTTGGTTTCGTCCTAGGAGGAGCATTGGGCCCGATCGAGACGAAGTTGCCGCTTTTCATCGTGCTCTATGGAATATTTCTCACACTCGGAGAAGTTGGTCCAGGTTCTACGATTGTTCTCACTGCTAGTGAAAGCTTTCCCACGGCGATTCGCGGCCATGCAGTAGGGCTAGCTGCTGCTTGGAGTAAGGCTGGAGCGGCAATCGGAACACAAGTTTTCAAGCCTATTATGGCTAGTTGGGGAGATGACGAGCTTCGTGGTACCCAGGCCGTCTTCCTCATCGGGTCCGCCTTCGCCGTTTTGGGAGCTTGCCTGGCGTGGTTTGTGCTCCAGGACAGCAATAAAATCTTAGATCATGGCGACCAAGAGTGGAAGGACTACCTGGCCGCCCATGGTTACACAAACATTGAATGGGGAACTGAAGAACAAAATGGCATACCAGACAAGGGTTTGGCCGACTAGAATGTTTCAGTGATAGACGATACCACGAAAATCAATGCGACCTTGAAAAGACGAGGGGTCCAGAACACCGACCGGTCTACTGTGGTGATCGGCGCCATCCAATGAAACGACAATGAGACAATGCTTATATAATCGAATCGTGGCGGGCAGAATCTTACGAATTCGGAATTCTATTAAAGGGGCCTTTGGCTAAATCCACTATTTACATACAGCTGGATCATGGACATAATACAATTGGTTCTAAACAGGCGTTGCTGACTGGTCCCACTGAAGTTGTTCAAAGCTATTAGATGAAGACTTGTATAATGAACCATAATAGGTCTAAAAGTGCTCCAGAGCGACAACTAAATATAGAAAGATATCGAGAAAGACTTAAAAATTGAGTGTGGACGCCGCATTAGATTGGGGAATGGGCGGGGTAATAGGACAGGCATCTATAGCAAGGAGTTGGCCTAGATTCTTGGGCTTTACAAGGCGGACTAAAACATTTAGGAAAGGTGTAATTGCTTCTAAAGGCATTGTCGCTTCATGGCACTGATTACCGCGGTACTTGTCCACACTGGTTATATGCTGTTTTTTTGAGTTAGGTCATACTTAGGTTGCTCTCGGGTTCTCATGACCAGTGATATTTGCTTTGTGTGGCAATCACTTCACACCTAAACTTTCAATTGTTGCGATTGTTCTACACAGAGAGTATTGGTATTCCTATTTGAGCCATCACGAAGGGCAAAAAGGGCGAACAAGTGTGCAGTATACCGGATAAAGGAGTTTCTGTTTCACTTATCAAGGATACTATTCATTCATAAGCACCTAGACCTCTGGACACGTGACATTGGAGGGAAATATCTTGCCAGCCACAATCTCCGACCGAGATCCGAGATGGAAAAGTGGGATGTGCTGGACCGGAGCAGGCACAGTGACCGTCTGACCCCCTGAATAGGTCTGGTTGGTCCACCAGTATGTCCACGGCTTCACCTCATCACTCCCGGTCTGTGGCAGGTAGACGGACCATTCAGTCACATTTGGTTTGGTAACGGGTGTGACCAAAAGCCGCGGACCGAACATATATTGCTGGGTTGTAATATTGCTGTTGTCCTTAGTCCACGCCGAGATTTGGGGGTCTGAAGTTTCAAAATCCATATAGAGCGGGCGCATTATCATACGACCGGACTTATGGAACTGAGAAAAGACCTCGCGAATATATGAGGTCAATTGGTAGCGAAGCTTAATGTAAGAAACAATGATTGGGGTGTTCTCTGCCCCATATGACCATGGCTCATTGGCACATGTGTAGGCATTTTGGGTGTCACACGCCCTTGAGCCATGGGTGCGCATGAACGGGAGGAAGGTCGTCCACTGTAGCCATCGGACATAAAGCTCGCGGTATTCTGGGGTATCGATATTTGCACTCCAGGGCACTGTTGGATCTGCTTGAAAGCCCCCAGCGTCCAAGGTCCACCAGCCCCAACCGGTTGCGGCTGCTGATAAACCACTTGCCACTTGGGCACTGAGTGTTTCCCAGACGGCAGTCGTATCACCGGACCAGATCATACTGCAGAATCTCTGCGAGCCAATATAGCCCGACCGACTCAGCGAGAGATAATCACAAGGATTTCCCATATTTGTGGAGGTCACATTCCGAAGCCCCTCTTCAATAGCTTGCTGATGAGCCCATGGGTATAGCTTGCCAACGCTGCTTTGGGTACCAGCCGCATATAGTACATCTGGAAGCGCAAATGGAATGGATTCGATATAGCTACTCTGACCATTATTTTCGTATGCTTCGCCCAGAGATCCGCCATCGGCCTGGTCAATCCAGAAGTTTTTAATGCCCTTGTCAAAGTAGTTTTTCTTCAATGTATCCCACAGAAAAGATCGGGCGCCTGGGTTGGTTGAATCGTAGTTCCGGATGTAGGAGCCATTCCAGGAGTCGGTCGTGCCAGGGCCAGATCGAGTGGCAGAGAGGAACCCTTGTGCCATCATCTCAAGATAATTCACACTGTTATCCGCCACACTGGGCCACAGAGATGCCATCATTTCAGCATTTGTCAGCTTCTTCACCTTCTGCGACATTTCAGCCACGTCAGGCCAAAGACGTGGGTCGAGGCCCCAGTCACCTTGATGAGCCCATGACTGGTAGTCAATGACAATCATTGAGACAGGAATTTGGCGTCTTTGAAACTCTTCGGCAAGCAGAATTACTTCAGTTTGGTTTTCATAGCGTAATTTCGATTGAATGTAGCCTAGCGACCAGTCTGGCGGAACGGGCCCCCTCCCTGTGATAGCCGAGAGATGTTGCTGAAGCGTGTCGTAATCACCGGCTTTTGATGAAGCTACTATCACGTAGTCAACTACTGTTGCGGAATCCGCCGTGAATCTGTTGCGCAGCGGGCCGAACTCCATTCGGCCTGTTGATGGCATGTTCCATATAAATCCATAGCCTTTGCTACTCATAAAGACTGGGGTCGGAATATGCGTATTGAAATTGATGAGGTCAATGGTCATTCCCTTTTTATTGACAAGGTGGTCCTGCTGGGTTCCTGTTCCATAAATTTGCTCATTCGGTGTTGTGCTGAAGGAGAATTCTGCGGCAAACTCGCTTCCGGGGCCATTCCACGAGTAATATCGTGGATTGATTGATTTGAGCGGCGCATACTCATTCGTGAGCAATGTTTCTGTGCCATTGACTTCTACCCTGTAGAAAGCTAGACGGTATCCACCAGGGTTGCCACCCCAGCCAGACGTGCGCACAATCATGTTTCCATTACGAAGCTCTTCAGACTGATTGCCTTTAGAGACAGTATCGAAGCCCATGCCATGTGCCTCGCCATTCTCGGGTCCTTCAAGTGGAGGGTCATACACAAAGCCGATCTCATGTCCTGTCGGGGGACGAAATGGCCAAGCACGCACTCGAAAGCCATCGTAGCCAAAGGGCTGCACTAAAATAGTCTCAAGCCCATGTTGCATGCGAAATCCTTTGGAATTAGGTTGATGATAGCCTTGTGCCGGAGCCGCCAGGGTGCTCCCTGCGTAGAGAGCAATCAGGCCAGCAAAACAGAAATGCATATTGCTTTAAACAGACCGGACTGTTGATAATACGAAATCAAAGGCTTGATCAGGCCTCGGGCATTTTAAGCTTGTTTCATGCTGCCCATTTAGCCTGAATTCTGACAGAAGATTTTGAGGAGACCCCGCCGATCGACATCGACGGTTACTCTAAGTGTGCATAAATGGCGTGGAGACCGTTGACGAGGTCTCTTTCATGTCGGTCGGATGTCCGAGCGATGCACGGACAACAGGGAACGGAAGAAATAATTCGGAATCCAGGCCGATCATAATCAGACATGGAAGTTAGTTCGGAGTGTAGCGCTAGATGCGTACCCCTGCTTCATACAAGCGTTCATTCTAACATTCGCGGCCATTGGTGAGGCAGTCTTTGGGAAGCTTCCCCATTCCGCATGTGTACGAAAGAGCGGAAGCAGGAGATCCAAACCTCCAAAAAAAAAAAAATTAAAAAATAAGGAGACACAACTGAACATTGGATGGAGCCAAATTCAAGATCAGACTAGTTTTAAGAAGAGAAAGGGCTCAACTAGGAGGGTAAAGTAGTCTGAAAGAACTTTCAGGGCATTTTTATGTGGGAGCTGAAAATCAAGGGAGATATCCAATAGTTAGTTAACGCTTTTTCAAAATCATACAAACAGCGGCACGACGTGTTTTTCGACTCGTCTTCAGGCATATTCAGGCATCAAGGGATATGTGGCAGAATTTCAGGCGGTGAGCACGTCGTGATGTCACATAAATCTCACCAAAGCGTTGAAGGCGGGTACGTCGTCAACAATATTGAATACGATCCAATATGGGAGGAGGCAAAGAAATTCCCCCTGGTTATGGCTCCGAAAACAAAGATGAGACTCCGACCGCAAGCCAAAATCCTCATCTCCAGGCTGTGGTTGACTTGGGCAGGTATTGGCTGATCCCATCCCCGCATACCGAATATAACAATTGACATGAAGTAGCAATGGTATTCGTTGCTCGATTTCCGACCTTTCTGCTCCTGTCGCTCGCGTTATTCCGACAGTCCACTTTCACCGAGTCAACATCTCTCTTTACGAAGCCCAGGTCGATCCTGACACCGGCAACCGTATCCCGATCCCACGGTCGGTGATTGACCGAGTTGTCAGTGCCATCGTCCGATTTCAAGTCATATGCGTGGAAATTGGCGTCTTGTCCTCCAACGTTCGACTCATCGCCACTGAGGCTACTCGTACAGCCGTGAACTCTACGGCATTCACTGATGCAATTCGCGATGCAACGGGCATCTCCGTTGCGATGCTACCGAAGGAGCAGGAAGGCATCGTTGGTGCATGGGGCATCGCAAGCAGCTTTTCCGACGTGGAGGGCCTGGCTCTCGACCTTGGCGGGGGGAGCATGCAAATGACCTGGATCATTTCGCACTCCGGCAACGTGGAAATTAGCCCGCAGGGATCTGTCAGCTTTCCATACGGAGCCGCAGCTTTGACCCAGAAACTTGCCGATTTAAAACGAGGGAAAAGCAAGGAAGAGGCTCGAAAAGCCAAGGAACACTTCCGCCACGAGATGGCGAGCGACTTCCGAGCCGCCTTTGAAAAGCTCGAAATCCCCAAGAGCCTGGTCAAAAAGGCACGGGAACAAGGTGGTTTCCCTTTGTACCTGTCCGGCGGTGGCTTTCGTGGCTGGGGATACCTACTCCTGTATCTCCATCAAACCCGGGGTCAAAGCTACCCTATCTCTATCATCAACGGGTATTCTGCGCCCAAGGAAGATTTCGAGAACACCGATGCTCTTGAGGAAGTGGCTCGGACGGCGCACGAGATCTTTCGGGTATCGGATCGTCGACGGGCACAGGTGCCCTCGGTCGCGTTTCTAGTGAATGTATTGGCCGAATCGTTGCCGCATGGAATCAAGGAGGCTCATTTCTGCCAGGGAGGCGTACGTGAAGGCGTATTATTCCGTGAGATGTTACCAGTGGTTCGTCAGCAAGATCCTTTGGAAGTAGCCACCAGTCGATACGCTCCTTCGTCGGCGGACTCACTTTCAGCGTTGATTCTCGCTGCTCTTCCTCGACCTTCAACCGATCGGTCGGTCCCGTCTTCACTCAGCGTGCATCTCATCCAAGCGTTTGCCAATGCTCTTTATGTGCATTCAACCATGGCCAAGGAGCTCTCCTCCAGTGCTGCACTTTACAGTACAAGTACGGGAATTCTCGCCTCGACGCACGGAATCCCCCACTCACATCGTGCGCTCTTGGCTTTGATGCTTCAGGAACGTTACGGCGGAGAGCTCCCACCACGGGATGTGGATTTCAAATCTCATCTTCAGGGAATACTCACCCCAGAGGAAGTCTGGTGGACGCGTTATATTGGAAAATTGGGCCTTGTACTGGGTCAACTTTACCCAACTGGGACCATCGACACATCCAAGCCACGCATCGTCCCGTCCGCGAAGTGGGCGAATGGTCTTGGCACAAAAGGGAACAAGAGTGGCCTGAAGTTGGAAATCACTATTCAAAGGGTTCTCTGTGACCCAACACATCTGAAAGCAGAACTGGAGCACGATGTGAAGAAGATTGAGAAGGTAGGGAAACGCAAGAACTGGATCGGGGGTAGGGATGGCTGGGGTATGAGCATCCTAATCGAGGTACTGGAAGAGGAGCTTCCTGTGCCACATGCATCTGCTACATGAGGTCAAGCTTTCAGGTGGCGTACGATCTATGAACGGAAGGACTCAACTTTTACTTCTTCGGGTGCATCGAAAGCGAAGAGCGGTTTTCACTTACGGCCGTTAGCTAACCGGAAAGAGCCCACGTTGCATGATTATTGATATTCCTGGTGTCATGGTCATGATTGACCCTATGTAGAAATGGGAATTGGCGGCAATATTAGCTCCCTTGTCCCCTGTGCCTCGTGCTCGGAAAACCCCGTCGCTGTACGTCCATATAATGTCGACATGTCTCCACGCCGGTTTTCGAGTAAATTCTGAGCGCTTTTCACAGCTTTCCGCATGATCTTTTAAGGATGGCAACGCCAAATTACCGATAACTTATACTTCACTGTGAATGAACATCTTATCTTGTCAATATCAGCGGCAATCCGTAGCTTGACTCAAGACGACCTTCCCAAGTTTCGCCGCTAGGCAGACATGAAACCTTTCCGATGGACCAAAGGCCTGGCCTCTGGCTGTCTTTTTTGAAGCGTCTTTAGGGCTGTGTAAGTCTAACTTTGCTTGAGCTCCGCCCTAGGTTCGTCATTGGAATTCCTGTTGTGGTCATCTTCTTGACTATTAAGTTCACCGGCGCGAGTAAGCAATTCAAACGGTAGGGCACAGAAGTCTACAAGGTGCGAGACACTGTGCTGCAGTTCTTGTTCCGAATTTCCAGCTCTCGGCTGATTCAGAAGACCGGAGGAGGTCATTTGAGTGTGAAATTTGACGTTTCCCATTCCACGCGTGGGCCTTTTAACGAATCCAAGAGGACAAGCCTAAGAGGCAGTAGCTAGGCCGTATATCTCCCGAAATTCAACTATCCGCAGTGTCAAGTCTGTTTTGAGTATCACTTCCAATTATTGAATGGAGATTCTGTACTACCCTTCTGTTCAATGCCGAGACATTTTTAAACAATAGCGCAACGTTAAATCAGGCCTCATACGCGCAAATCCCCAAGTATCACTGCAATATTAGACACTCTACTCTCATTTATATGATGTCAAACCCTGCAGTAGAGAGCATCGACCCAATCAATAGCAAAATGGAAAATCAAGCTCGAAATCCTTTTCCTTGGCGCCCGGACTAGTCTGAAACAGCTATAACTTAGCCCGTTTTCCCACTTTCTGGAATAATGAGGTAAAGGCAGACTTTGTGTTCGCAAGTTTCCTGTTATTTAAATCTTAATTGTATGATTATACATTTCTGGGGGAATATGTCCCTTACCAAGGGGGAAAGCGTACCTAGCGGCTGGCCGGCTTTCATCGCCGGCTAGACCGGTATCATACGTGTCACGCGCTATGATTATCTGACGATCAGATAAGATGTAATGGCGATATTTTCTTCTCAGCCTTCTCCGGACCCTGGAATCTATCGCTGGTCGGGGTGTCTATATTGACTAAATACCCTATGAAAGTCTCTTTAATTTCTTATGTTTTCAGACTCATCTCCAAGAACGAGTCCTTTGGTTACCAGAATTTTCGTGGTGACCGGGAGGATCTCGGCCGGTTGTTGGGTTGTGCGATCGTCAGCGCTCCGCCTTTTCTCCTCATCACTCTTCCGCGTCCCCCGGGCTGGCTTGTCACCAACGGCAATCATGGTGCTTTCCAGATGGCTGGTCATCGCCTTGGGTACCCAGGTTGCTCGAGGCGGAGACTTGCCGGTGAATGAACGATGTGTGACAGCGGTGTACTCCGCGTACAACTATGTTTCTTTTGCTGGAAGCCCGGCCAAAGGCTTGTGGGATACCCGATGCCGAAACCCCCTCAAAGTTGCATCTATCTATGCAGCTAGTGAAGTTTATTGTCAGGACCAGGAGCGTGCCACGGGGCTTGCGCAACTGGCTGCATTCTGCGAGGAAATCGGCCATCGTGAACTGCTCCCAAGAGAGGCTGTTGCCGAGAATTTAACTGAAGATGTCATTAGGAATATGCGCACTGTTGGCTACTTAGAAATACCCAGAGCTGAGATGATCGATACCCCGGTGCTTCTCTCGGCATCTTTCTTCAATCGAATGTTCAATACCATCGTGTGTCCTCGTGCTGTCCCATCGTTACCAGCTTGGAATGACAGAAAGCTGACCATTGCTATCTTCCCCCTACATAGAATTCGTGGCAGTATGAGACTTGGTCGCATCATGCATTTGGGTAAGGATGTTTTTGGCGCATCACTATGTGAGATCAACGTGTGCTAACATTCTTTGGACAGCTACATCGGATATGTATATTGGAGTATTGTTTTGGCTTGTGGGGCTATTCACCGGTTATGCTGCCATATGTTTCATGTCCGCAATGTTCGAGGAGAGCCCAATTTGGAATCTCAAGTGTACCACCGATTTGGTATTCGGTATGGCTTTCCGTGGGTGGAACATATATTTCGTTTGTTACAGACCCATTTCATTGTCCCTGCGCCTTTTGCTACAAAGGGCCGGAACCTGATCGGGCTCATATTCTCAAATCGAGCCGAGTCATTGGTAGTGGCCGGCTTTTGGCTTATCAGTATTATATTAAGCCTGGTGGGCTACCAAACTTTTGCAGGCAATATCTAGTACGTACTCGATTTGTCCCCTGAATGATTCTTGATGTGTCTGACGGAATTGAAGCTGGCCCGAAATTCCAAGCCAACTCTTACGCTATTCAGCTGATCGAACCGGTATCATGTCATTTGCCAACTTCCCCTTGCTGTGGCTGTTTGGCGGGCGGAACAACATCTTGATCTGGGCGACGGGGTGGAGCTTTGCAAGGCTCAATGTTTTCCATCGCCATGTGGCGCGGGTAGCTACCTTACAAGGTATAGCACATTCGTTTCTATATTTCGTGATTATCGTTCGAGGTAAGCGATTGACGACTATGCATCCAAAATACGTTTATGTGATGCTAAAAATAATCCAATTCGCAGCCAATAAATTCTGGAAAGACCTTTCAAAGATGTATATACTTTGGGGCATACTGGTGCGTGCCCAGCACCTTGAAGCAGAAACTTGGGACGTAAGATGCAATAGCTAATGTAATGACATATACTACAGGCATTTTTCGCAATGGGGTTTTTACTCGTCACCTCTCTGGACCGAATTCGCAGCGCAGCATACGAAATCTTCTTGATCACACACATCGTTTTTTCTGTAATGTATCTTATTGGTTGTTTTTAGTGAGTTTACTCAAAGAGAAAGAAGAAAGAAAGCTTCTCCTCCACCATGCTAATCTCATGGCAGTCACACCATAATTTTTGAGGGGCATGAATATTGGAAATATCTATGGCCGTCAGTAGCCGTGTGGGTTATCGACAGAGCTTTAAGGATTATTCGAATTTTCTACTGCAACCTCCATGTCAATTTTTTCGGTCACAAATTGATTCGTAGCTCTGAGAGCCGAATGACCTATGACGAAGCAGCCGACGTGATCCGACTTGAAGTGACGCCAGGCACTCAAGTGAAGTTCACTCCAGGGGACTATTACTTTTTGTACCAACCATTTCGATTGACTGGTTGGGAGAACCACCCTTTCACCGTCGGAGCCACATTATACCAAGTTGTATCCGAACGACAGGCCTTCCGAAAGACCCCGGGAAAGCCAGACAAGTCACTGGACGTTTCACAACTTCCACTTTTATCTGAGACACAATACCATGATCTGAACACCACAGGTCAAGTCACGCCAGAACAGGATGCTGCAAAATTGAAGTTGATTTTCTGGATCCGCCCTTACGATGGCTGGACGCAGCAGTTGCGACAACAGTGCCTGCGGTCGAAGAGCCAGTCAGTGAACGCAAAAATACTCCTTGAGGGGCCGTATGGTCACAACTTTCCACTTTGGAGATACGAGTCGGTTTTGATGATTGTAGGTGGGACTGGAATTGCTTCAGCCGTGCCTTATCTCCAAGACCATCTTCAGCGGTCCGACCATGGTCGTCGTCACACTCATGAGGGGACACGGATTCGAGATATCGAGCTGGTTTGGACTGCAAGACAACCAGCTCTGATGCGTAATATAGCCCGTCGGGAGTTAGCGCCTGTTCTTGCGCGAGAAGATTTCCAAGCGTCTTTCTATACAACCGGTGCTTCTCACGAGCCCCCTCAGGATCTCAATGACCTCGGCTGTACCATTCAGATAGGTCGGCCTCATCTTCAATCACTCATTATGAGCCGTGCTTCTGATGCTTCCGCTTCAGGTGTATCGCTCGTTATTCTCGTATGTGGCCCAGCCGGAATGGCCGATGAAGCACGTGCGGCGACACACCTAGCAATGCGACAGGGTTATCGGTCGGTAAAGTACGTGGAGGAGTCATTTGCCTGGTAGTCGACTGCCAAAATCTTCCCAAAATTGTGATATATTGCGGCTGGAGCTCTTTTGGATGCTCTCTGGTTACCTAGACTCCATATATTGATCATGCTTAAATTTATTTCACTTCACAACACAAATATAGGGCAGTGGCATTCCATAGTTAGCGAAATTACTAGATGGCCAAATTCAATAGTCGCCTTTTGTCAACGCTGGCTCTTTGCGAGATCGGTCTCTGTGGCTCAATCAAAAACACCGTCTTTGAGGAATTAACCTGATAGAGACCTGGCTCGGAAAAAGATGCTTGGCGAGAAAATTCGGTGATCGAGTGACTATGCGTGATACAGGAGGTGGCTGCTGCAGGTACCTTCAGGGTACTTCATATTCCCGATTCAAATTCTCAATGCATGACCGAGCTTAATTCGAACGGAAGTCCGCAATTGCCCATTCTCTAGGCACCATATGCGCAGAACATTTCAACAGGTGTTCAGGAATTGAAATGATATTGATGGATGTTGATTCAGTGTTTAATTGAAGAATTTGAAGTGGGCTAGCCCTTAACATTTCTGATCTTTGGTTTTTTTTTTTTTTTTTTTTGGTAGCCTCTCATCTCGGATTGATGTATCATGTTACCGATCACTCCGGAGAGAAAGAAGCTGCCTGCCTTGAAGAAGCAAAAATCTCTGCGATGAGGCAAATCTCAATTTCGTGAAGCCACATTTCAATAGCGGGCTGTCGTGTATCTCGTGGTGTGGGTATACCACCGTTGAGTTTACGCGCCTTCGTGGGATCGGCATGGACAGCTACACCCTGCACCTCGTTACGACTTACAGCTTGGACATGCACGAAGCCATCTTTTTTGGTCTCGCATTGCTTTTCCAGGAGATTGATGAGGACGTGGGGCGCGGATGGCGGGAATTATGACCTCGGTGCAGGGAATATCCGGAAGACCCTGCATTGAAAGCTGACAGGCCCATTAGGTCAGATGCTGCAGTGGAGACCCGTTTTTCGGCGCGAAGACGCCAAGACACAGGCGCGAAGCAGGGTCGATTTTTCCAATTTACAACCTTTCACAATGTGGACTAGACTGATACTGGGCTGATTGATTAGATTCTTCATACTTCTCGCCTGGCCTGAGGAATGTTTGGCGAGACGGCCCAAAGACGATCTCATGTCCGAGAGCTGATCCGGGTGAATTTCCCGTGGGCCACTGGACCGTATTTAAGGTTCCACTCAGGGCTCGGACAGCAACGAGCCGAAATTCTGTTGACGGTCTACGAAACGGTTCGTACAGAGTATTACACCCATTTGTTATCAGACGACTCCGCGTGCGCAACTGCCGTGCAGAAAACATTATCTGATCCAATATGGAGCGCCACGAGGCCGCAGTAAGCGAGGGAAACCCCGCCGGTGACGACCGGTAGGGAATCCACGCTAGGAAAGCCGTAAGGCGATCCCCGTGGAAGCTCTCGGAGAACCTTTAGGGCTTTGAAGACAGGGACAATCTCTAAGCATTAGTATTTTGCATCCAGCGGAAGCAATCCCAGGACTTCTAGGGCTTTGTCAAAATGCTTCCAAGACAGAGCTTCCATAGAGCCCATGACATCCCGAGGATCGGACATAGACAGAGATACAACAACTCTAGGCCATGTTGCGCGTGCCTTGTTTCAGCCCAAGTGGAACACGCCAAGGACCAGAATCCAGAATCTGCATCGGGCTTAAAGTCTGGCATTGCGAATGTAATTACGCATTACCGGCGTTACGGGGGTCCACTGCGGCGGATCTGATTTGATCGGGCTAATCTGATCGGATACTGGTAATCTGTGGTGGTACCTGCGAGGTATTTGTTCGGAGCTTTTTTTTTTTTTTTTTTTTTTTTTTTTTTTCCTCTTAGGGGAGGCTAAAAGCCGTGGTGCGCCATCTTTCTGAATTGCTCTCTCTACCTTTGATATTGCAAGATGGCTACCACTAGGAGTGTTCAACGCCTGCAGCAGACGGTTTCACACGTCTTGCCAGCAACGGCACCGCTTCAATGGTCCATTGTCGAGGGTCCGACACAGCCCGAACTGCTGGATATTACTCTGGGGGAGCTGTTGACATTACAGGCCCTGCAATATGGCGATTACGAATGTCTTGTCTTTCCCTGGACCGGGGCACGCTGGACGTACGCCACTCTAAAGGACGAGGCTGAGCGTCTCGCGCGAGGAATGCTGGCTATGGGGATTCAGAAGGGCGATCGCATTGGTGTGATGGCAGGCAATTGTGAACAGTACATTTCTGTCTTCTTTGCCGCTGCTCGGGTGGGTGCCATTCTGGTCGTGCTCAACAATACCTATACTCCATCCGAGCTTTACTATGCTCTGAACCACAGCGGTAAGACACCTATTTGGTGGTAAACCCATCACCGTGCTGATACGGACACAGAATGTCGACTGCTCTTTATGACCCCGCATATTGGACGCCACGACCTCGAGGAAGTCCTCATCGAGCTGGGACCCCGGCCCAAGCAGAATGGAACCTCGCAATCGCTTGAGGAGATCGTCATACTTCGCGGCAACCATGATAAATTCTCCACCTACGCCGACGTCATCGATCGTGGCCTTTCACAGGCCGCCCATGTACTGCAGGATCGCGAGTCTGAGCTGCGCTCGGGCGATGTATGCAACCTGCAGTTCACCAGCGGCTCAACAGGTAATCCCAAGGCCGCCATGTTGACGCATCAGTAAGTTTGGGTGATCGGTAGACGGATCGACAGGGCTGACGCTCGGCAGTAACCTTGTCAACAACTCGCGCTTCATCGGCGATCGCATGAATCTGACCTCCTTTGATATCCTCTGCTGCCCGCCGCCGCTCTTCCACTGCTTTGGGCTGGTCCTGGGCATGTTGGCCGTCGTCACTCACGGCTCCAAGATCGTCTTCCCCAGCGAAACCTTCGACCCCAAGGCTGTGCTGCACGCCATCTCCGATGAAAAATGTACCGCGCTACACGGCGTGCCCACAATGTTCGAAGCCATTCTCAGTATCCCCAAGCCATCCAACTTCGACACCTCTAACCTGCGCACCGGCATCATCGCGGGGGCACCCGTTCCCCGACCGCTCATGAAGCGCCTCCTGGAGGAACTGCACATGACGGAATATACGAGTAGCTACGGTACAACCTTGCTTCCCTCTTAAACTCCCATGACCCACCATGACCCGCTAATTCGAGCCCCAGGTCTCACCGAGGCATCTCCCACCTGCTTCAATGCCTTCACCACAGATAGTATCCACACTCGTTTGACCACAGTCGGCAAGGTGTTGCCCCACGCACGCGCCAAGATTGTCGATGCCAACGGAAACATCGTGCCGATCGGCCAGCGGGGAGAGCTTTGCATCGCCGGCTACCAACTCACCAAGGGCTACTGGCACAACCCGGAGAAGACCGCTGAGACACTTGTCACTGATTCTAACGGCGTCACCTGGCTTAAGACCGGTGACGAGGCCTCCTTCAATGAATACGGCTACTGCAGTATCACCGGTCGCTTCAAGGATATCATTATCCGAGGTCAGTCTACCTCACCTGCGCCCTTTCCGCTTCCTTGACTGACTCGCATAGGCGGCGAAAATATCTACCCCCTCGAGATTGAGGAGCGTTTGGCGGCACACCCACACATCGAGCTAGCCTCCGTTATCGGCATTCCCAACCAAAAATACGGCGAAGTGGTCGGGGCTTTCATTCTAATCACTCCTGGTCAGGCCCGCCCCTCGGATGACGACCTTCGAGCGTGGACGCGTGAGACCCTCGGTCGACACAAGGCACCGCAGCACGTGTTCGTATTTGGCGAAGAGGATGTTCCCAGCACGGTGCCTATTACGGGCAGCGGAAAGGTCCGGAAGGTGGAGCTGCGACAGATGGCGACTGACGCGCTGGCTCAGCGCAGTCAGTGACGAGTAGAAAATACCCTCGTTCTTGTATTGTTTGGTTTAGGCATGGAAATGAATTCTTATTTTGGCCAGCCCCGCAGGGCATGATCTTATCAGATGCCATGATTCGTGTGCAGCACTCGCGCTAGTAATGCTGACGAAATAACATGTGCGTTCGTGGCGTAAGCGAATTCGGCGGCGGAGCCGGCCGCGCCCTATTGCCGCAATCAGATTAGATGGAGATCTTGTCTGATCGAGAATCCATTAGTGATTGGTTGACGCTTGCCGTATCGTATAATACGGAATCCCACATTACCGTAAACCCGTACAACGTCCACAATAGCGAGCCTTGAACCCGTCTCTGATGGGTCCCCGTCGCACAATCTCCGAGGCTTCGATTTTCTTCGCGCTTTCTGAATACTGGGCTAATAACTCATTGTGATTTCCCCGCTGATTGTATGCAAAGTACCAAGTCCATCGCTTCGGCATCCCTGGAAAGGAAGGCAATTTTGGTTGGGGGACTATAGACGGTTTTAAATGCGCAAAATTCACACCGGCTTGAGAGGCCGTGTCTGCTGCTATACGCACAATGAACCTACGAGCTCAATCTTAAACCCGTTGCAGTATAGCCCTGCGAATTCCTGCGATACCGCTATATTTCTAGTTATAGTACGCATGCCGAAGGAAGATAGTTGCTTAGAGTCTCTGTAGGTAACTCCAAGCTACCCAGAATGATCTTATGTGGTTCAAGTCCTCTTGGTGAGTTTGAGAAAAATTTCAGCCACATCAGAACCTCTCTCGATTGCGTAAACAACGCTCAATGCTCAACGCCAACCCCCTATAGGTTCCGCGGGTGTCGGCCGACCAAGGAGACGCTGGGACTTCGTCGTATGCGTGCACGCAGAATTGTGGTTTTTGACCTGGCAGCCCATTGCATAGGATAGGTAAGAGTTCTGACGGCAGAATGTCATAGCCGGCATTAGATGGCTAGAGCTAGAGCTTTGCGCAATCAGGCTGCAGTGGGCACCGTCTGCGGGTTTTGATATAATTTCCGCAGCTCCAGAAGCGGGACCGAGGATAAAAAGGGTTGCATCTGGCTATGGCGACGATGCCAAGACGAATGTATCAAGACAAGAATGAGTCCAGGGTGCTACGAGAAGCCTCGTTATGCAGGGACGTATACAACATGCTATCCTCCATCTCGGAGGCTTGCATCCGACCTGACGATCCATGATCGTCAGACGCCGGTTCGTGCAGTCCATCTCAGGCACAGTTAGTGAGTGGGGCATGTTATTTCGTGAATCCTGTGCGTCAGCCATGATAAAACCTTCCAGTCAAGTTCGGCTTTGGGGAGCTCCTTGCATCCGTGGTAATGAAATCCCAGCCCGTCGCCAAGTCACATTCGTCTTGTTCCGTCGACTGTGCGGCTAGGATCGGAGCCAATAAGATACATTTCTGGCACCCGGATGGCGTGCCCAGCCTGTCGAGTGAGACACAGACCCGATGTCGCATCTCATCTGATAAGATTCGGATCAGTGGGAGCCGAGCCAGGAATCCTGGAGTTCACCATCAAAGTATATTATGGCATCCCCGACCCCGTTATTTTTTCTTGCATTTGTCACCTAAACCCAACCCCTTCTCCGGGCCCCGACTGCTTCCAGAGACTCCCCTCATAATCTCCTAAATTCACGATGCCCTCTAATGATGGCGTACTGGCTGCAGGCAGGGCTTTCCGAGTGCTCGTCATCGGCGGCTCTTACGGAGGTCTCGCCGCCGCGTTGACTCTTGTCGATCTGTCGCGTGGCCGTGTACCTCGCTTCAGCTCAAATCCTGATGCCACACCTCCCCCGCATCGTGTTCCGATTCAGATCACCGTCGCAGACGAGCGAGATGGTTACTGTAGGCAATCCGCTATTATTTCACGCCTCGACCCGTACTAACTCCTTAGATCACCTTATCGGATCACCCAAGGCTCTCGCTTGCGAAAACTTCGCGTCGGAGTCATGGACTCGGTTCCAAGATATCCCCGCTCTGAAGTCTCCCAACATCAAGTTTATTCGGGGAAGCGTCAGTGGGGTCGACTGCGCGGCGAAGGTCGCCCAGATCCTCGAAACTGAGACTAATTCTAAACGTGCCGAACCGTATGATTATCTCGTTGTAGGATCTGGGCTGCGACGAGTCTTTCCCACTGTGCCTCGGTCCCTGCGAAGAGCCGAATTCTTGGAAGAGGTCAAGCGACACGCAGACGACATTCGACAAGCTCGTGAAGGAGTGGTGATCATTGGCGGTGGTATGTACTCATCTTAATCCTTCGCATGTACTTCGCGATTTCTGATAAATTTTTGCAAACCTAGGTGCGGTTGGTGTCGAAATGGCGGCCGAGTTGAAGATACTCGTTCCTGAACAAAAAGTGACCCTAATTCACTCCCGAAAGCGATTGCTCTCATCCGAGCCACTGCCCGATGACTTTGCGGAGCGTGTAGAGACCATCCTAAACGAGGTAGGCGTCGAAATTATCTTGGAACAGAGGGTTATCGAAACCACTGCAGTGAATGCGGACGGAGAGCGGCGTACGTGGCGTCTGACTCTCAGTGGTGGCCAACAGCTCGTCACTGGACACGTTTTGAGTGCCATCTCAAGGCCCATCCCCACATCGACGTACCTGTCGCCCGAAGCTCTGACAGACGATGGTTATGTGAAGGTGCATTCATCGTGAGTACTCATCTCAATGATAATACCCTTGCGAAAGTGACATGATCTGATAGTTTCGCAGATTGCAATTCTCGGGCAGCGTTCCCAACTCAGAGCACCACTTCGCCGTGGGTGATCTTGCAGCGTGGAACGGTATCAAGCGTTGCGGCGGTGCAATGCACATGGGCCATTATGCTGGCAATAATATTTATCAGCATATACTCGCCGAGTGCGGTGCTGGAAAGCCGAGATTCATGACTCTTAATCCCTTCCCCAACGTGATTGGACTGGCCCTCGGGCATAAAGCCGTCAGCTGGACCCCGGATGAAGGCACACGTCATGGCGAGGATCTTCTGATATCGTTGTTTGGGGAGGACATGGGAAACACCAGTAGGTCTCTAATACGCCATGTCGGTACCAAAGGCTAACTTGGAGACTTCCAGCGTGTCGAAATTATATGCGATTGAGTGAGCCATGTCAAGCATGAGTAGCATCGAACGCTAGATTTCGGAGGGCATGGTTTACATACTGTCTCTGGTGTTTTGATTTCGTTGAGGCGGCTTTCCGGGTTCATGCATTCAGACTCCGCGGCGTTTGATCACTAAAACAGGGGTTCTTGAGGCACAGTCGGAGTCTTCTCTGACGCGCTAGGGTCCTGCCAGCAAGACACGCATTCTGAGGTACTGCGCCCTAAACGGTCGCGTGCACCGGGCTTAAAGCGCTGGCAGGAAAGACACAGCACGAACAAGATTCCCCGAATAGTGATCTGGGCACCCGCACCATACCGCGCGGTGCCCTCGCGGGGTTTCAGACCACACTCAATACAAAAGCGCTTGCTACTATCACGCCCCGCGCGACATCTCCGTCGCCGCAGCATCCGATCGGCAAAATGGCATGCCGGACGTAGTCTTAAGCAGTAGCGACAGGTGTAGAGATCCCGGTTGCGGGCCCAGTCAGCGGACTCAGCCAGCAGCAGCCGGTCGTGCGACGGCCGAGGGATGAGATTGTGCAAGTATCCACAAGTCAGCCTGAGTATGAGGACGTCACAAATAGGTAGAAAATCAGCAATCAAGATATGAAGCTCCGGTGGTAGGGTGAAGAAGGGCGACATGAGAATGATGAGAGAAAGCGGTTGGACGGGGCAGATCAAGGCTTGGGATTCAACTATGTACCTTTGATTCACATATTACTTTCTTTGTCTCTACTCTATTCAGCTTGGAAGGCTCTGGCTTCTCCGATTCTCTCTCTCGTTCTGTCCCTTTTCTTCTTGTGGACCGAACCATCTCCAGGGCCATCCCTGGTTCAGTTGACTCGGGCTCGTTCAACTTCACATTGACCCCTGTCAGCTTCCCCTTGTCGCGTACGTTGGTTCTATGCGCCACATCGCGTGTCCTTGGAGGCCTTGCTTCTCCAGCTCTCCTCGACTCGGTTCTTTTCGTCCGTGTTACCCAAATGCATTGCACCCAATCTTTTCCCCACTCATTAGCAATCGGTTTCCACTCGCTTCCACCCCACTTCCCATTATTAATGCAGTATCGAAATCGACTTTGTTAAACAGGAGCCCAGCATGTCCTTCAATCCCCAGATATCACCTCATCTGCATCCAAAATGGCATCATTCGGCAAGATCTATTCATACACGCCTAGCCCTCGGGTCATGAAGGTACGCCACGCGCATCAATGGCGATTTCCAGATCAGGCTAACCCCATATGAAGGCCCAGGCGGCTGCCAACCTGAACGGCCTGAAACTGGATATCCCGGAGTTCGCCATGGGTAAAACCAACCGCACCGAGGATTTCCTGTCCAAGTTCCCCCTGGGCAAGGTTCCCGCCTTTGAGGGTGCCGACGGCACCAACCTCTTCGAGTCCGATGCCATGACCCAATACATCGCCGAGAGCGGCCCTGCCGCCACGCAGCTGTTGGGTGCCACGCCTGCGGAGCGGGCCGCCGTCCGCCAGTGGATCTGCTATGCCCAGGGTGAGATATTGGATCCCATCACTCAGCTGGCCCTGTGGCGCTTGAACATCCGGCCCTACGTCGAGGCCACCGAGACCACCAACCTGGAGCGTCTGGAACGCTCGCTGGCCTGCCTGGAGACCTACCTCAAGGGCCGCACCTGGTTTGTGAACAACGACAAGCTCAGCCTGGCTGATATCACCGTGGCCTCTGCTCTTGTGTGGGGATTCTCCATGGTGATCGACGCCGAGATGCGCGAGAAGTACCCGACTGTCGTTGCCTGGTACGAGCGTACCATTGAGGTCGATGGTGTGAAGGAGGCCTTTGGCGAGAAGAAATTCGTTGAGAAGCGTCAGGCCTATCAGGGCTGAAAAGCCCGGAAACTGGACTAGGTGCTAGCAAGTAAAAATCCCAAAGAATCTAATAACCATCAAAGTTCATTCCTAAAAGTATATACAAAGCACGACGCCGGCAAATTATGTGTCATACACGCATCAGGAGAGATTGCGTAGGGCTGGATATCATCAACGGGAATCACGGCTATAAATTGTCTTTAACGTGGTTTAAGCACAAGCTGATTCTGGCCAACACTCCTTGAGGCGAACGCGGGAAGTGACCATGGTTCGTCTTAGAGACGAGCCATTCCATTTCGCTCGCTCTTGGGCTTGCCCAACGCTCTAGCGATGTTGCGACTAGCCCAGTCGGCAATCCCCATGTTGGTGACCATCGGGTTCACGCCACTGGCACTTGGGAACACCGAGGCATCCACGACATACAACCCGTCGGTATCCCAGACTTGACAATCGGGGTCCACGACGCTCGACTTGGGAGACTTGCCCATCCGACATGTGCCCATTTGATGAGCGCTGGCAAACAATGCACGTTCCGGATTCAGAGGTGACTTTCGGCGCAATTCCGCAATCCAGCTCTGCAGCGCAGCGTCGTTGGTACCGTCTGGGTTCTCCGGGTCCGACTCATCGGGTCGAATAAATGGAGCAATGTCACGGTAGGTCGTGTGAAACTCTTTGGCTCCCGAGATGTACGCAATTTTGGCACTAGCAATCAACCCTTCCACGATATGACGGCGGTCAAATGCAGACACTGTGTAGTCGATCCGGACGCGTCCATCGGTTGGATCGGAGTAAACACGGCCGGTGTCGCGGTCCTTCGTTAAGGTAATGAAACTAGTGGTACGCCTCATACCGGCCGCCCACAACTTATACTCCAGTCCATCTCGCCAGGGGAAGACGGGAATAAATACCGAGGGCATCATCGACACGGCTTCCACCTTTACACCGTGTCCGTGCCCGTCGAGATCTTCAAACTCGTTGACTACTGTCGTCAGCGCTCCGCCTTCCCAGGGACGGACCTCGTCATCAAAAACAGCACCAGCTGCCATAACTGAATTCTCAGGTTAGCATCTAGCTTGCAGAATACTGGAGAAGTTCTGCTTACCTGGGTGAAGATGGAGATTCTTTCCGATCTGAGAATTTTTCAAGCCACTGCGCATCAGCAGCAAGGGACTCTGCAGAGTTCCAGAAGACACCACGACCTTCTTAGCCTTCACAATCACCTTACGCTGCACAGCACCGCTTCCGCTCAGACCGAGATACGAATCCCTTGAAGTCCACGTTCCTTGCACTCCGTTGGCTACGCGCTTTCCGGTCCCCTTTTCAAACAGCACCTTGTCTGCATGGAAACCCTCGACGAAGATCGCTCCGGCCTTGGCAGCATCCACAAGGAATGTTTCGGTCGGACCTTTCTTGCCACATGACGCGCATCCCAGGGTGCAATATCCGCAGTAATGTCCGGCATTTCCGGTATTCTGGGGTACAGGGTTCGCGGCATACCCCAGCTTGCGAGCACCCTCTAAGATCACGCTGTTTCCGCGGTTGTGCTCGATATGCTCGGTGTTGACGCCCATCCGATCACAGACACGATCCAGACTCCGCTGGAATTCTAGGGAAGTGAAGAATGGCAGACCGCCATCGGCCCATTCCTGCCGAACATACGCTTGAGTCTGGAGGGAGGCAGACCAGTTGACGGTGCCACCGCCACCCCATGTTGAGCCCGCCAGAACCGCCATGGAGCCATCCTCACTGACAGTAGCGCCAGCGTTTTCGAACAAGCTAATGTATCCATCGTTGGGCTTCATGGGGAAGGATTTACTGCCGTAAGAATAGGATTTCTCAACCACGAGCACACGAAGACCGGCCTCCGCCAGGTTCTTTGCAGTCACAGCACCACCACAGCCACTCCCCACAATGACTACATCAGTCTCAATGATCTCGGGTTCATCGCTCGGTGGGAATTGCAGGAACTCAAAAGGGAACGAATCCAAGGGTTTCCCGTGGACGGGGACACGGGGAAACCCAAGGACATCGTTAATCGTCGGACTAGCCATAACCCATGATTTCTTAACAATACCAGTAAGACCGCGATAGACGGCGCGAAGAGGGGGTAACCGAGAAGTGTCCCAGCCCTGAAACACCTTTTCGCGGAAAGCAATGGGTTGTTGGTGGATGGGTGTGGTCGAACCGGTCAAGATCAGTGACCCGGCCCGAGTGCTGCAGGCGATTGTCAGCCAACTGTTCTCGCCTTTGGAGCATCAAAAGACGGATTCATACTTGAGCGCATTCAGGACCAGACCGAACCCGGCCTTGCCCTCCTCATGCACATAGTCCCCGAGGATTCTCTCGACATAGGAACGGAAGACAGGATTAGACGAGGCATCTTCCTCCAGATAACGAGTTGCAATGTTTGCAGCATCTGGGCCAGGGTTCAGAGAGATCAGCTTTGAGAGAGCGGCATCCCATTCGCCGGTCGAGATGACTTTGTCGGTCGATGACTTGACCGTGGCCGCGGTACGAATAGATGGCACGACTGCGTCACAGAGCGCGAAGAGAATTGTCCACTGCGCACCGGAGAAGAAGCTGAGATTCGGGAATGGAGGAAGAGGAACCTCCAGCGGAGTGTATGTTGACACGGACTGGTCCATGTTGTGGAATTTAATCAGCAAACCCACGACTATGACGGAGAGGGTCGATAGCTCGGAGTGGCGAGGAGAGATTATAGATTATACCCGGGAGCTGTCTATGTCAACCCGAAGCTTTCCCCGCGATGAATCCGGTGCACGGTCAGCAGAAGAGATCCAGGAACGACATGGTGCACGAGTTGAGGCGAAGAACCTCGGCCGTGGAGACTCATGGATTGAGCTGCGAACCACTGAAAAGGGGAGAATCCAGGGCAGTCGACCGTCTTGGTGCGAGGGCTCGTGCGGGGGAAACAGCCGAGATGGAAGGCCATGTGAATTGACGAGCATAGGCTCGGGCGGTTTTATCTACAGTGGGAAATCGGGGCTGCACATCGAATCTCCACTAGTCTGTTTAAGCGCCTAGCCTCCCTCTTCTTGTCTGTAAAATGTAAAATGGGTAAATGGCTACCTGGCAGAACGGTTCCCTCGGCTTCTGGAGGTTTGAGGCGACTAAAGTACTCCAGGTTATGTGCTACTGTATGTGCTCCGATACTCAACTATTGCTAGACAATTGCTGGGCTGTCATCAACGCCTAGAAATTTCATTTGGAGAATGATCAATGCTTGATTTCAACAAAGAAGCAAATCATGTAGGGGCTTCCAATTTCGGCTTCTAGGTTGACGTGGTGCAAACCACCTGGACTCCGTGTTGCACCGCAGCTCGCGCTCCGCATCTCCTCACATCATGACGGAATCGGGCCGGACTCCCTGCAACTTGCCCTCGGAGAAAGTCTTCTCAATCCAGATTGGCTCGGAGTTGTTTCGTCTCTCTGGCGCTTCGATTGCCTCAGATGGTGAATCCCCGGCCCTTGGACCCTTGGTCCCATGGTCCCTTGGGTTGCGATCGTGACTGACCTGTGCAGCTCCGTCCTACTTCTCCCAGTTCTTCGAAGAGCAATTGTGCACACCCGATGCCTCCAAAATTCGAACCCTCTATATTGATCGCGACCCTGCCACCTTCCACGAGATTGCCAGGCACTTGCAAGGTATCCCATGGGACTCCTCAAGCCCATTGAGACATAGCTGACGAGTTACAGGTTACCATGTGCGCCCTCGGGATGGCGCCCAGTTTGTCAAGCTGTTCGCCGATGCTCAATTCTATACTCGTCAGTGCTTCTCCTCATGCGGAGGTCCCAACACGTTGCTGACCAACGGCAGTGCCCCGATTGATGTCCCAACTGTTTGAATCCGAGATCTTCATCCAGATCGGCGACCGCCATTTTCAGATCCCCCGCGACATCTTCAACAGTCCCGGCGACTCGCCCAACTTCTTTAGCCTCGGATTTGGTGCTTTCTTCGCCTCGCCCTCCGAAGTGTTCCCCGGTCTCGACCGTGTAGGCCTCCTGCGACCTCCCGCTATCGTCCCCCCGGCGGTCCCCAATCGATCTGCAGACGTCTTCTCAGAACTGCTACATCTCTTGCGCGGTTATCCTTTACAAATTCGAAATGAGATTCACCGTGCCGAGCTCCTGCGTGACTGTCGGTACTTCCATCTGCGAGGCCTGGAGCAGAAGTTGATACCCCATCAAATCGCCGTTAATCCCTTCAGCCAGCGCTCCGAGATCATTATTCGACTGGAAGATGTGCGACCGTCCGGCATTCAATCCACCCAGGATGCAGCATCACCATTCGTTGGCGGCTCGATCATGTATACCCGGCCCTTTGTGGACGACGATCCCGCTGACTTGATCCTGGAGGTTGGTGATGAGTCCACACTGGTGCACTGTGCAAGTCAACGCGCCAACTTTGTCGGCCTGGCCAAATCTCGCATGGCCAGTCTTCTACAGGTAGTAGGCAAGAAGATGAACCTACCAGATCCGCATCTAGGGGGGCTTCCCGTAAAAATTCGCCTAGAGCGGGAGACGGATCTCACCATTGACGGTGAATCGGATGTCCAGCGTACAGGTATAGAACCCGAACCCGAGGTGAGCGATGCACCTCCGGCGAAGCGCCCGCGTTCCGAGGGATCCAAGAACGGACCTTGGATCGTTCGAACTGGACAGTGGCGGCTGCACGTTCAACCAAGTGGCAACGGCGCATACGAAGCAATCTTGATAGCCGTGAAGCTGGACGTCTATACTACACCGCGGGTTCGCAATCAGGCTCGCAATTTCTTATAACCCCAAAATTGCCCGAGAACAGACGCCTCTACGAGAATGGTAGTGTTATGGAATGATGATTGTTTTTGTTTTCTACATTGGTTATAACCTTTTATTCAGAGAAGCCCTCCCATCCGTCTTCGCTATTATCTTCATCAACCTCGTGCAATGGCTCAGCTTCTTCGATTGTATTCCTCTGGGGGTCACGAACGAAGCCGGCGACGAAGAAGCCTCCGAGGCCTTCGGCATCGCCTGACCAGCAGCGCAGGCAAGCCTCTAGATCTTCATCAGATAAACTGGCCACCACAGCGCTTTCCTCCGATTCCATGCCAGTTTCGGCATCCCGGTCACATCGAACCCCACGGTGTTTCCACTTCTGTAGTCCTTCCGGTTGCTCGTCGCGGCGCAGAAGCCGCCATCCGCGCTGCTGAGCAACTTCCGAAGCCAAAAGACGAGCCACAACGGCCTCGTTCTCGATCAAATGAATGGAACAGGTGCTATAGGTCACATGGGTTGCGTTAGAAAACTTCATGGCGTGTTCCACAATTCGTGCCTGAAGATTTGACAATTTTGTCAGCCGTTCGTTGTCGACCGCCCCGGCAGGAATGTCATTCTCATCCGAGGGTGAAGCATCGGAGACGCCCGTGGTGGCTGCCTTTGGCTGCTGTTTCTCAGCTTCGTCCTCATCGTCCGCACGGCGCTTTCGCTTTTTACCTCGCGACTTGGACGGTTGGGATGCTTTTGCGGCAGGTAGCGTAAGCTGGGGAACATCATCTCGACCGACAATACCGCTGCCGGAGCAGCTGGGGTCGAGCAATAGACCGGAAACATTCTCAAATTGGTCGTCCATCGGATCTAACGCCAGGAAATCTTGTCCTTGTAGAACGGTGACAGTTGGATCCGCTCCGGCTAAAGAGACCATCTTTTGTAGCGTCTTGGAACGCACTTTTGATGCATCCATAGAAAAGATTTGTTTCTTGGAGTTCCTTCCCTTCTGTTGTTTCGCCAGTAGAGATGCCATGTGTGTAGTTTTATTTCCCGGGGCGGCGCATCCATCCACAAGATCACCTTCCCAGGCATCTTGCGGCCCGCGGTCGCCCAGTAGGAGGTAAGCAGGGAAGCACGATGCTTTATCCTGTAAGATAATTTCTCCATTCTTATAGGCGGGTGAAGAGGTGAAGTCCGCTCCAAAGGGAACGGCCACCAGATCCGGGATATTAGGATCCATGTATAGCAATTTTCGGCTATTTCGGTCATCATCATCCGGTGCCAATTCCGCGATTGTGTCTACGCGTTTGTAACTCGAGAACGTCGTACTCAATTGGTCCTCGAAGGTACTGCGGATGTTGTTAATTCGCACCCAGCGCGGGTATATGAAATTGCTACCGCCATCGGCCTCTCGTTTCTCGCGCAGGAGAGCTGTCTTGAGCTGTTCGACCGTCGCGCATCCGCGGCGCACACGAGCCTTGGTAAACTCGGCCTTCAATCGAACTTTATGACGTTCCACGGCTTGACGAAGCGGGTGAGTAGCGGGAGCGGCAATGCCTTTTTTGGAGATCAGGTGGTCATGGACCAGGAGGAGGGCAAGGAGTGGATTGAGCTACAGGTTCAGGTCTCGGTCAGTCAGCAAGCATCTCCGGGTGGAATCATAGATAAATCTCACCTTGCGCTCCAGGGATAGAATATCCGCGTGCTCAATGACCTCGGCGAGGACGCGGTCCCATTTAGAGGCCTCGATGATCAGCGCATAGATTTGTGGTGGCGTCGCACGCAAGTTGCGCGCACTGTAGATGCGGGATTTGAATGAGCCACCCGAAGATGGCTCGGTCAGGATGTTGACCGCATCAAAGTAGAGCGACATGGAGTGTGTAGTTGAAGAATTTCATCGATCCGTGAAAAGTTGCTGTGGTCCGGGCGGTGTGGGGCCTGGAGTTGTGATGAATGTTCTAGCCCTGGGGGGTTCAAAAGGGATATCCATAGACGATACATGCTAGTTCATATGTCAGTGTTTTCTTTTGTTTTTGTTTTAAAGCTCTTAGACAGGTACAGATCAGTTGATGGGGGGTATAAGGTCAAATGTTAGACATCTCCAGGTATCTTGGAAGGTGCTGAACCCCGGCTACATAAACAGAGCCGCTACTTAGGTACCAACATTATTACTCACCAGCCCTGGAGGTTCCAAGGTTCCAATTTTGGAAAATTGTAAATACGAGAATTCAAAAGGACAAAAGACTAGCATATAGAGTACAATGATAGGCTATTTGACTAAGTTCAGAATGATGATATTCAAACATTGGAAAGTAGGCTATGCTTAGAAGTCTTAGTAAGAGCTTCAAATCCCTGGCACAGACCTCGTGATACGGGAAAGTAGATATGATAAGAGTCAACACCTTATCGCTCTGAACGTACCCCTCGATCTCCAGGGCTCTAGATCTCCGATCTAGCTAGGTCCTCTCGAGTGCTTTCTCCAAGACTTCCATTTTTGACATCATGGTGTCCAATTCCACCCTGACCACGGCCATTCTACCACCCCCCGGTCCGGAACTATCTCTTCCCGACCAAGCCAACTCCAACCCAGCCGTCTTCCAGGATGCGATGACCGTGCGGATGCGCGTCTTTGTTGACGAGCAACACTTTAGCGCCGATGCAGAGATTGACGAGGACGACGCGCGCAGCTGGCACTGGGTCATTTCCGCTACCACAGGCCCCGGCACAAGTATCCCAGTCGGGGTGATCCGTCTCGTCCCACCCCCGCAGCCACCACACGAGTTGCTCACACACCCGGACACGACGCTGGAGTGCCCATACGACTGGGCCCACGAACCCTGCGTTAAGCTCTCCCGCGTGGCGGTTCTGCCGGAGTATCGAGGCCTCGGACTGGGTCGGAAATTGATCCAAGTGGCTCTCGAGTGGGCGGTACACCACGCGGCGGAGATCAACGAAGCGGCCGCTCAAGTGGCGGCGAGGTCTCATTGGACCGGAAGGCCCGCCCAATGGCAGGGATTGGTACTTGTTCATGCACAGGCGGAGGTGGAGAGGGTGTACAAGGGGTCGGGATTCCGCACGGACGAGACCTTGGGACGTTGGGACGAGGAGGGCGTCGAGCATGTCGGCATGTTCCAACGGGTGGAGGTGACGAGGTGACGATATGGCGATAAACTCAGGACAGGAATGTTACTCTATAGATCGACATGTTACAGAACGAGGTAGAAGAACAGATTTGAGATTAGACTACTTTCATCTTGTGGGGAGTGCGAAGCAACAGCCCCGTGCCATTCCGTCCTCGCGACATAACGGGATCAGGTATCAGAAAACAGGTAAGAATGAGATCGCCGCTCAACAGAAATGACGGGGTATCCTGATCAATGAGAAAATGCAGAAACACAAAATCACGAAAACACGAAAACATAAGAGCTGCCGATATATCTCGGAGCAACACGCAGATCCTCTAAAGCGATATGTAAGGAACACAAAAATCCAGTAAGAAATCATAGAGGACAGGTGAAGAACATAATGCCCATAGCCCATTAGGAACGCCGTAACCGATGGTCGCCAAACCAAGTCATGAGAGAGAAAAAAAAAAAAAGGTGGTCGAAGGAGATAGCAAGAAGTGAATATGCCGATTTGCTGCCAGGCCTGCTGACCGCACATGGAAAGAGAGAGAGAGAGAGAGAGAGAGAGAGAGAGAGAGAGAGAGAGAGAGAGAGAGAGAGAGAGAGAGAGAGAGAGAGAGAGAGAGAGAGAGATCAAAAGGTGCTCCAGTTCCAGTCGCGAGGCACACTGGCAGCCACCTCGGCAGTCTGGGGCAGATTGGCCCTTGAGGTGGCGCGGCCGGATTCCTGACTGGTGTCAAGGTTGGAGGTCTCACTCGAGTCCTCACCATTTCGGGCCTTGTCGATGGAATTTTGAATCTTGCTCAAGCGATTGGTCCGGGTCTCCTCCCAGCGCTGGTGGGCACTCCAGCAGAGATCGCAGGCGCGGGAGGGAACACCCTCGGGGTGGAAGCGCGCATTTTGGTCGAGCGGTACGACGTGAGGAGTGTGGGAAGAGCAGAAGACATGACCGCAATGACGGCAGTGGTGACGGCGCAAGAAGAGACCAAAGGAAGAGCGACAAGTGGGAGAATCACAGTTGGGGGAGGCCGAGTCCGCCTGGAGGGAGAAGGTTAGCTGAGATGCCCATGGATCCTCATGTGGATGATGTTCCGGTGCCGAGAGCTGCAAGCACGCCATTCCATAGAATGACGAGCTCGCATACGACATGATATATGGGACATGGCGCCATTCAGGCGACCACGGGTATATATAAAGGCTGGTAAGGATTGCAGAATCACTACTCACTTTCCAGTGGTCACGGGTGGGCAGGCCAGTCACCTCGCCGAGGGACTCATTCTTCATCCATTCGTGCTCGGCAACCTTGCTGATGCCGCTGGACTTGCTCTCCATGGTGGAGCGGCGACTGATGGGCTCGGCTGACTCTTCCAGGCTATCGAGAGAGCCATGAATACTCCGGGGAGGAGTGATGGGCGAGGACTTCTGGGGGCGTTCGGTGGGACGAAGCGCAGCAGGAACATACAGCGGGCCCTTGGGCGGGCGCAACTGGCGCGACTGCAGAGGGAGTTGGTGAAGCGCGGCGGTGGTAAGACGAGGGGAGGTCGGGGAGTTATTTGAGGGAGTAGTGGTGGCCGAGTTGGTCGGAGAGGGTTGACCATGGACCGAGATCTGGTTCGGAACACTCGGGGAGGTCGCAGTGACGGCGGTGACAACGTGGGTAGCCATGATGAAAAGTTGGGAGAGGGGGGAAAGGTTGGAAGGGAAATCTTAGAGAAGCAGAGGGCAGAGGGCCATAAAGAACGATAAGTGGTGATGTCGAGGGGCAAAGGCACACGACAGAAATGGAGAAATGGGGGGGGAGGCGAAGGAGGAAGTGAATAGCAGCGCGGTGACTGGCCGAAACGGTGGAGACGGGACGTTGAGGCTAGATGAGGCCGGGTGGATGTGGAAGAGGTGGGTTTGGATTTCGGAGATGTTGATCGGGAGGCGAACAGTAGAGTGGAAGTAGGGATTGGTATGTTGGAGGCAGGACCAGAGACTACAGTATGTAGAACTCGGACTCAGACTAGGACTCGAACTAGGACTTAGGATAGAGTCTGAACTCGGACAGGAATAGGGTGGTATATACATGTCGACTCCGTACTTCTGCCACCCCCGAACCGGGCTTTGCTCACCGCTGCGCTTATCCAGAAGTTAGACTAGGAATCTAGGGAACTAGGGACTTAAGGGATCCGGGGCATCATTGACCGCTTCTTCGTTTTCCCGCCCTATCCTTCACGCTGCAAGATATACCGTGTTCTTTGGTGCTTCTTGCCTCTAGCATAGTGTGTTTGATTCTATACTCGTTTCTGCACATGCACCCGCACGGTTGCCCTTTCAGGCCTCTCCACCGGGGCTCCGCTGCCCCGCCGCGGAGAAACCGGCACTGCCGAGTGTCAAGTACCAAATCCCAATCCCAATCTAAAGCCAGAGCCGAAGCCGAAGCCGAAGCCAAAGCCAAAGCCAAAGTACCTCAATGGTAGATCTAAATCTTGAATTATGTAGTGATGATGTATGAGATAGCCAACATCCTTGTCCAACGCCAGACCGACTCTCGAATTGCGAACCTCGAACTCATCGCCGAGTCGCGTTGGAGATCTGAGTTCACTAGTGCCAGGCATCAGCCAATAGTAATATAGGTGGCGCTATAGTCTTATCGCTGATCTATGATTGGCTATAGTGTCGCATATGCCCTTTCCGTTTGGGGAAATCACGGGGCAAGTCACGAGGCGCGTCCCGCGTATATCGCCTCCGAACCAATCAGACGTTCCTGGTTGCAAACTCCGCCTCGGCAACTTCATAACTCTACGACCTCCCCCCTTCGGCCGTTGACCGAACTTGTGTCTCAAGTTTATGCTCCATGGGGCCGTTCGACCGGGAGGCCAATCTAGTCCGAACTCAATTCCCAGGATCGTACGATGGTCTGAGGGTCTAGCCTCCTTCTAGCTTCCTTCCAATACTATACCTAAACCCCCAGCCTCATGGTATGCGGTGGAGCGAGGAACGTATACGCGGGACACATTCCCGGACTCGATACGCACGGATCAGGAATGTTACACCATGAACTGTCCGATCCAATATCTGGGGAAGATCGGTCATTGTGTACAGGCATACCGCAAGCGGTCGTAGACCTCTCCGACTCCGGGTGTAGGTCTCCGACCACTTCATGGCGTCATGACTGTCTCTGCCACCCTTTGAATGCTCGGGCGCACCTCATCCTCTCAAATCCCGAACTATGAAACTCGCCGTCTTCAGCGCCAAATCGTACGATCGCACCTTCCTGGAGCGAGTGTTGGGTGAGCAGTTCGCTCAGCTGGGTAGCATCGAATACCATGCCTTTGCGCTCTCCGAAGAGACGGTACCCTTAGCCAAAGGTTGTGATGCCGTCTGCGTCTTCGTCAACGACACCCTTGACGAGCCCGTATTGCGTGCATTGCATGCGGGTGGCGTGCGCGCGGTCCTTCTGCGCTGTGCAGGCTTCAACCACGTCGACCTGAAGAGCGCCGAAGTGCTCGGTCTCTTCGTCGCTAATGTACCGGCCTATTCACCCGAGGCCGTCGCCGAATTTGCGGTGGCCCTGATCCAAACCCTGAATCGCAAGACGCACCGCGCCTACAACCGGGTGAGAGAGGGCAACTTCAATATCGAGGGCTTGCTGGGGACGACGCTGCATGGGAAAACAGTCGGCATCGTCGGGGTTGGGCGGATCGGTCTCGCCGCCGCTCGTATCTTTCACGGCTTCGGGTGTCGACTCCTCGCTCACGATCCCTTTGCCGGTGAAGAATTCCGTCAGTACGGCACACTGGTCGATCTCGACGTTCTGCTGCAAGAGAGCCATATCATCAGCTTGCACTGCCCACTGACCGAGGGCACGCGGCATATCATCAATGAATCCACCCTGTCACGGGTTCGACCCGGCGCTTTTCTGGTCAATACGTCAAGGGGAGGGCTGATTGATGGGCTGGCAGTCATCCAGGCCCTCAAGACCCATCGTCTGGGCGGACTCGCGTTGGATGTTTACGAAGCCGAAGGCGAGCTATTCTACAACGACCATTCGGGCGAGATCATCGACGACGATGTGCTCATGCGCCTGATGACTTTCCCAAATGTGATCATCTGTAGCCACCAGGGATTCTTCACCCACGAGGCCCTGACAGAGATTGCTACAATTACCCTGCGCAACTGGTCGGACCTGGTGGATGGGCGTTCGTGTCCCAACTCCTTGGTTACCGAGGGCCATGTACTTGTCCGCGCGGACACGGCCCCGGTTCGATTATGATCATAGTACGCAAGAGTCTACCGCTAGGTTGATCGTCCAAAATTAAGAGCTTTCATAACTAAATGGTATCGTGGTATCATCTACGCCGAGTAGAAAATGGAAATCAGCTTCGTAACGGTCGAGTACACTGGAACTGATCCCGCAGAGCCTGCCACGCACGGGGAATGAAGCGGTGTCCGTGAACAATCAGTGGCACGACCGCAATCAGCCACATCCCATAGACGATCCCCACGGCGAGTCCCAGTCGGATTTGTTCCGACACCTGCGCGATGATCCCCGGCCGAGCCTGTGATGGAGGACCGTGCGACTCCTGGTCGGTGTGCGTCAGCGCCTCTGCCAGCTGCCAGGCGGCTCGACGGTTGATCTTCTCCCAGGTTGTGTCGTCTGCGTATTGGTGCGCGGCAATCGTCAGACTTGCGCGCAGCGCGGCGTCTCGAGATACATCGCGGGTCAGGGTGGTGAATTGATTGAGATCGTGGGGTGGAACCAGGTATCCAGTTTGCCCGTGACGAATGATATCGGATGGGCCGCCCTGATCGCGTGCAATCACTGGCAGGCCGCTGGCCATCGCCTCGAGAACAACCAGCCCGAATGTCTCGGTGATGGAGCAATGCAGGAACAGATCGGCCGAGGCATAGGCGCGAGCCAGTGCCACGCCCGTGAGGAAACCGGTGAAGACAACGTGCTTGCTGATACTGTCAAACAAACGCTTCACCTTGTTCTCGACCACCGGGTTGCGGTTCCCACCCACGATCAGCAGCTTAAAGGGTACTTTGTCTGCTGCCAGCTTTGAGGCGACTTGCGCCAGGAACTCGAACCCTTTCTCTGGGGCAATGCGACAAACGCAGATGAGAATGATCTCGCCGGCCGGAGCAATTTGACGGCGGTAAGCCTCGTCGCGTTGTGTCGGTGTGAACATTGCGGTGTCGACGCCCCGACCCAGCTGGACCAGTCGGTCTGTCGGGGCACCCGCATGTTCGAGATACTGGCGAATGGCGGAACAGGGGTAAAAGATGGTGTGAACCGCGCGCGAACGGAACAGAAAGCCCTGCACGACGGCCAGCAGCCAGACACCAAACTGATCGAGAGGCGCGGGCAGCATGATCTCCGAGTAGGCGGATAGATCTGTTTGAAAGTTGAGCACCACGGGCGGAGGCGATCGCAACTGGCGAATCTGCAGCAGAATCTGGAACCCGAGCGAGGCCGGACTGGCGAGGTAGACAAGGTCGGGCTCAAAGGATTGACGATAGACATCATTGATATTGAACGGATAAACCACGGTCAGATCTGGATTATAGGGCAAGGCGCACCCGGGGAGGCGGCGCTCCCAGGCATTGGTGACATGTTTAGTCGTATCGCCCTTGAAATGCGGCGCGAGCAGAATGAGCTCGGCACCGTGATCCCGTAGGTATTCAACCAAACTGCGCGTAGTGCGACTGACGCCGTTGACGGGACCCCAAGATTCCGTGGCTAGTAAGATCTTCTTCCCGACGAGAATACTGGGGAACTCATCGGGGCCCTGATAGGAGGCGAGCAGGGGGGCAGATTCCATGGTGATACATGACGATCCAAAAGAGAGGGGGGAGAAGGGGGAAGAGCTAGACAATTAAAAGGGAAAAAAGGTCACATAGTTCAATTCACGAGGTTGAGTTGAGTTTAGTGAGTTAAGCTCCTCTCAGTTAACGTTGGCCGCACGTGCCGCCACCACCGGCTGCAAATCGTTACTTGGCGACCAACAGTATCGCGTCCTTCAAAGCGTGCGCGCATCGAGACCTGTGGATAGTTCTTTGATAAGGGTCACGGGTGGAATGGGGGTGACCGTGATCGTGATCGTGTGAAGCTCCTTTTTATTTTCGTTACTCCGCCTTTTTCAGTAATGTAGTTGAACCTTCCCCCTTCCTGGTTATCGTGGTATCTGGGTATCTGGGTATCTCTTTCACTAGGGCATCATGTGCGACGATATCCCAATGGAAGTCTTTTCCTCGCCGTCCGAGAGAAGTATGTCCTGCTCGACAGCACCTACGACTCCAAGCTCGAGCCCCCTCTTTCGACCCTCAGATGTCGATGATCTGAAGCTGGGGTTACCCCAGGCCAGACTCGGCGAAGCGGACCTGAGAGACGGTACGGTGAAGAATGTTTGCGTGGTGGGTGCAGGATACGTCGGTAGGCTTGCTTTTTGAATACGGGGACGGTGATCGATTGGGACGGCCTCGTTGACACTATTGCAGGTGGCCCAACAGCGGCAGTATTGGCCCTCTACCACCCTTCCATCACCGTAGAGGTGCTGGATAGAGATCTGGCGCGCATCCAGCGATGGCAGTCATCGCACCTGCCGGTTCATGAACCAGGTCTGGACACAGTTGTGCGCATCGTGCGTGACGGCGCCGAGGTAGAGCGTGAAGCTAACCCCCAAGCTGCGTCGACCGTGGTCACGCGCGCCCAGAATCTCTTCTTCACCCGTGACGTTCAGGCCATCGCACGCGCAGACATCATTTTGATGGCGGTCAACACTCCAACCAAGATGTTCGGGGTCGGCGCAGGTTGCGCCACCAACATGACGGCCTTTGATGGGGCTATGCGTGATGTCGCGACCCATGCCAAACCCGGCGCAATCATCGTGGAGAAGAGCACGGTGCCAGGAGGTACTGCAGAGCGTGTTCGAAGAATGGTACGTCTTGCCCAATCTTCTGCAAGCACCCCGGGTTCCTGACCTTGACTAGCTGGCGAGCCTTCGCCCCGGAGTGCCCTTTGAGGTGTTGTCCAACCCCGAGTTCCTCGCTGAGGGCTCAGCCATCCAGAACCTCACAGTTCCAGACCGGGTGTTGATCGGATGTGCTGCGACCCCCTCAGGACACCAGGCAGCTCAGACGCTGGCAACCCTCTATTCGGCCTGGGTCCCTCGAGGACGGATCCTCGAGACAAATGCCTGGTCTTCAGAGCTTGCCAAGCTTGTGGCCAATGCCATGCTGGCACAGCGCATCAGCAGCATCAACTCAATCAGCGCGATTTGCGAGAAGACTGGCGCCGAGGTCGATCAAGTGGCCAAAGCCATTGGTCTGGATGTACGGATCGGATCCCAGTTCCTCAAGGCGGGACTGGGATTTGGTGGTTCATGCTTCCGCAAAGACATCGCCAACTTAGCATACATGGCCGAGTCGTTGGGACTGGACGACGTCGCCCATTACTGGCGACAGGTGAATGTGATGAACGAGCGACAGCGCGATCGCTTCGCGCGCAAGATCATCGATCGCTTTGAGGGCAATCTGGTCGGGCGCAAGCTAGCCATGCTTGGCTTCGCATTCAAGAAGAATACGGGTGACACGCGTGAATCGTTGGCAGGGGACGTGATCCGGGTCCTGCTGGAAGAGCGACCGGCGGAGATCGCGATTTTCGACCCTTACTGTCGTCAAGAAGATATACTTCGGGAGCTGGAGCTTGTCTGGCCCGGCATCGCCCAAGGTGGAGTCGTGAAAATCCACACCGATCCGTACATGGCCTGCTCCCAGGCTCACGCCATTCTCGTCGTCACCGACTGCGACCAGTTCCGCAATACTCCACGGAAACCATCACCACCGGCTGTTCCGTCTGCAGAGAAAAGCTTGGCTCGAAGCGCGGCTGATGACTGCCATGAACACGTCAAGCGTGCATGCGCTCGCCAGGAACGCGAGACGTGGACACACGCGGGCGTAACCTATGAACTGACGCCACAGAGCTGTGGCTCCGACTGTGCAGATTGCCGATCGATAACACGACCAACCACCGAGGCCGTGGAATGGACGCGCATTGCATACAACATGGTCGAGCCCAAACTGGTGTTTGACGGCCGAGGACTGTTGGACTCGGCGGAGTTGGCCAAGCTGGGTTTGCGGGTGGATAGCGTGGGAAGGCGGAATGCTCTTGATGTTTTGGCCTAAGTATCTCTAGGCACGCGATACCCTTGAATTTCCTTTGTTCCAACCTGCTTTAATTAGACGAATGACACGAGAAAGTGAGATCTAGAATGACATATTGACTCTGAACATTTGAATTGCCTGTTGCTCAAATGTTGGGATGGCCGTGGTAGATTCCGTGACAAGACCTCGGCTCTTCTTAACTCCCCGACTGGTTAGATTGCGGTTCCCGTGCTAGAGTAGCGGGGTCCACCAGCGCATTCTCGCGGCCTGATCATAGTCAAACTAATCCGGTAGACGCCTCGTCACATCACGACTCATTGGGACCTTCGAAGCCAGAGATGAGAATTGCTCAATGTATTGTGCAAGTCTAGGCACTAGCTGTTCCCCACCCCCTCTACTCCGGTGCATCATTCCTTGTTCATCTATGTACTCATAACTTGGACTTCTCATCCTTGGAGACTCTGGTTTCCCGAGAAATATTCAACTCTGGCCACCATGGGTACTCGGGGCAGCTGCCTTCTCGAGGATCGGTCTCAAACTTAGGCTTGCGCTTTTCAAAAAACGAGTTTACCCCTTCCTTGTAGTCACTGCATGACAATTAGATATCTGTCTCTCCATTTTCCTGGTTGTAACATACCTTTGGCCGATCATGTGATGGAACACTCGAGACTCGAGTAAGTGCGCTGCTTCGGGAGAATCGCCGCCTTCCCACATCAATGCCCGGCTCATTGAAGAGGCCAGCGGACTGACATTCTCCGCCATATCCTGAGCCAGCTCCAAGGCTCGAGGCAAGACCTGAGAAGCCTCGGGAAGCACTTCAGTGAAGAGATCACCAAAATACTTTTCCAACGGCGGATATACAGCGCCCGTGGTGATCAAATGCATGGCACGCGAGAAGCCAACCAGACGAGGAAGGAAATAAGACGCACAGGACTCGATTGTGAGCCCCCGTCTGGCAAACACGAACCCGTACTTGCTCTTTCCGTGGCATATTCTGCTTACGGCCGGCAGTGTCATTGTCATTCCCACACCCACGGCTGAGCCTTGAAGTGCAACGATCGTTGGCTTATGACACCGATGCATCGCCAGGCTCACTCGACCTCCACTGGTGGAATTAATCAGCACCGAATTGCCCCAACTTTGAAAAGACCAGACACTTACATGTCTCGGAAATCAGCCGCTCTCCCCTGATTATCCCCGAACCCAATGTCAAGATCCATGCCGGCGCAAAACATCTTACCCGCGCCAGTTAGAACGATTGTCTTGACCCGAGGGTCAGCGTGAAACATCTTGAAAGCCAATGTAAGGCTATCGGCCATCTGTGGGGTGAATGCATTGTGCTTTTCTGGTCGATTCAATGTAACAATAACCACTGGGGTAGCAGCTGGGGCTCCAAAGGGATGATGAGATATTTGGATATGGGTGAGCTCAAGGGCCTCGTAGGAGGAGGGAACATTAATAGAATTCTCCATGGATGGCATTTTCTCAAATGAAGGCTAGGTTCATTCAACGTAGCGGGGCTGTTCCTCAATATATTATATGATGTCTGGTCTAGGTAAAAGCGGAAGCTTGGGTGCGAAGCGGCCTCCACGGTACCTCGGCCCGCAGGGGCCATTTGGGCTCGAGCGGAGAAGATCATCAACCGCATGTGGCCAGAAAACCGCCGCTGCTAAGTGATAATAAATTTGTATCTTTCAAATTCGAACGAAAAGGATTGTAGTGAAGATGGAGATGTTGACTGAGCTCTGAAACCCTTCTTTCTTATACAAGTATTAGATCGAAAGATGTTACTAAATAGTGGAACAAGGACATCGGGAGGAGGCAAATTAAAACCTCCTTATGGACAGTGGTTGATTATCAGCTTATAAAATGAGTATAAGTGTATTCCCAGGAGTCGATAACTTGACCAGGAAGGCAATCGGATCCCTAGCGGGTGTATTGGAATTGGGGATTCTCCTTGTCCGTCAAATCCATAAATGCTAGCATGGGATCGGCATCCTGATTCGGCCCGTTTTCTACACGCGCTGATTTCTTCTCGTTAGTATATGTGTAGTAGAACCTTCTGATAGTTAGCACTGGTTCACAACTTGATCAAGACAAATCATGCTCAGTTTTCGACTCAGAGCAAAGACGATAACCTACCAAAGCGCGATATAAGCGGCAATAGATGCGCAAAAGAGACAGAGGGTTGAAATCTGACCATCCAAGTAGCCCTGAGCAGCCTGGTTACCCTGGTAGGCCCACGGTCCGCTGAACCCACCAAGAGCAGCCATGACGGTTATTGTGCCCATTACGACTGTCTTTTTAGAGTGTCCTGCGATGTTGGCTGCCAGAAGAGAATAATGCTGGACCAGAGAGCCGTAAAAGGTGGTAGACTACTCACCCATGGAGGTTGGAATTGGTTAGCCTTATTTCTTCAGCGCGACAAGTACCAGGTAGAATCCCGCAAATGATAGAGAAAGAAAATACGAACAATATAAAGCCCCGCAAGTAGTCCAGACTTATTATCTCGGCGCATCTTCCAGAGGAGAACGTTTCCAAGCAAAGAGGGTAGAATGAACAAAATAGCAATGACAATTCGATGGCGTGGGAACCGACTTCCGAGAAAGCTGCAAGTGCCAATTGGGGTCAATATATGCTTTCCGTTTAATGAGGACAAACACATACCCGGCCGCAACAATACAAGCGAGTGCGATAGCGGACGCAGGCATGAAGAGCACTAAAGCTCGACGCTGAGAGTAACCAAAGGATGTAACGAGAAACCCGCCGAAGCTAGACAACGATTGAGTATCAGGGGAAATATTTTCACAGCCAAGGATACGTACCTCGAAACGGCGACATTTGAGAAAGAAAAGGTAAACGAGAAGATGCACAGTAGATATACCTGGGGATCGAGAAAGGTAGATAATCCTTGACGCAGTTTGAACTTTCGGGTATGAATGCCGGTCTGGTTCTTCATGAGACGGCTCACTGCAATGAGTCTCTCCCGAGGCGAGAGAAACCATGCTTTCATTGGAGTTGCGGGTAAAGCCAGAATGATCAAGATACCAGAGAATAACGCACACGATCCTAAAATCACGTAGATCCACTTCCAACGGCTAGCAGCAAAAGTCCCTGCAATGTTTAACGCCCCAAAATCGACACCATTTCCTACTAGCGAACCGACAGCATTTCCGGCAATAATGACGCCAATCCGGAGGGGCTGCTCAGCTGTTTTCCACCTAGACGTTGGTAAGTAATAGATTAATATCAGCGGCAAATGATATAGGAAGGGCGTTAAGCAAACAGACATACCACATTACGGATATAATGATACTAAATGGCTGGATAATCTGGCTGAAGCCATAAAAGAATCTGCTCAGGTGGTATCGTGTCAGTGACCTCACATGTTGTTTCGTTCTTTGAATGTTGCCCAGGTGCTGATACGTATGAGGTCTTTGCGATTCTTACCTCAACGCCATGATCTGAGCGGTATCTTTGCAGACGATGGTCAAAAGCGCCAAGGTGCCAATGTAAAACTGAATAAGACCATAAACGACCCCTGATGGAAGAAGCTGAGCCGGTAATAGAAGAAGGTATTGCCCCTAGAAGAAGAACCAGTTAGATTGCCCTCTGTGCTTCTTTTATGTGTCTTGGCCTACTTACTGCTGCTCCACCTAGGGATGTCATTCCCGCAGATAGCTGATATTTGGTAGTGTCCAGCACTATCTTTCCGTCAACTACCTTGGCGATAAACAAGCCGAGATCCTCGACCAGGCCGAACAGAGCGGCAAAGCCATAGGCTTGGCTGTCTGCGTAGCCAACAAGTGATCCAAGGAAGAGCTAATATCAGCATTTGTTAGCAAGGCTGGAATGCCCATATATATGAGTGTTCCGTGAGAACGATAAGATTCATACCAGCGGCAGAATCACCAGGTCGATTTTCCTCACAACAGCACGCTCTTCCTCCTCGGTCCAAGTCTCCCCTTGGCTATCGATAGCCATCTGGAGAGCATCATCCGCTACAGAGCTCTTCATCATTGCGAGTTTGGGATCCGATGGTCCTGCGAATTCATCTGCAACAGAGGCTCCGCTTTCAAGATGGACAATCTCAGGCTTGGGAGCTGTCATAGCCGGTTGCGTGAGCGGTGTATGCGTATAATTTGATTTAATGGTGAGTTAGGAAGCAGAAGGGGTCCTTGAATCATGCTTCAACGCAGATATATGGGGCCCCGGATTCCCCCAGGCATTTCCCCACAAAAGAAAAGTGAAGTGCGAGAAAAGAACATTCAGCGAATGATACACAGCATTGTGATGGGGAGACCCGGCCTCCGGGCCCGGCGCGGGTCTGTCACGCTACGTAGACCGGCGGCCGGTAACCGGTGGCGTCTTGGGAAGTAAGCAAAGATGCGGCCCCGACCACATCGACCAGAACTCATCTCCTTGCTACCCCACAGGAACGGAAAGCTCATGGAAAGAGCCGAATGGAGAACGGATTACTACATCCGACCTAGTGAGAATTGAAAAATTGGCCCGTCAGATTAGTTTGCAAACGACCACGTCACATAAAATGTCCTACCCTGAAACATGTAGTGGGCGCCTATAAAACCCAGGGCTTGTGATGCTTTCTGGAGGGCCCAAAGGTCTTTCATTTGAATTTCTATTTATCTTCTTTTCCGAAGCAGCAGGACGCCCGCACTCTCAACTACCAGCGGACAAGTTACGTTATTGGTGGACACAATGGTGGCCAAGGAAAGACACGTCTTGGGCGACGGATGGAGATGCAGGCCAGGGGATAATATTCCAGAATCTGTTGATCCTGGAACATGGACAAATGCGCAACCATTGCCAACGTCAATTCACCTCGACCTTCTTGCCGATGACAAGATCCCGGATCCGTTTCCCGCGAAGAATGAAGAGCTGGTGCAATGGGTCGGTAACAAGACCTGGATCTATGAGAAGCGATTCACCACTCCGCGAGGCCTGTCTGAGAACCCAGATCAGAGAATCTTCCTTGTATTCGAAGGCCTGGACACCTACACGACGATCAGCCTGGATGGGAAAACAATCCTAGAGACCAACAACATGTTTGTGGGCTACCGCGTGGAAGTGACCGAGAAACTGCGTCCTGTTCCAAAATCGGCAAATCAAGATGATACACACATCTTGCAAATTACATTCCACAATGTTGAGGAGAAAGCTGTGGAGGAAATGAATGCCCATCCAGAGCATAGTTGGTTTAGTTTCCATTTTGGCAGCAAACGTCTGGCCGTGAGAAAGGCTCAATATCATTTTGTACGTGCTCCAAAAGATTACCAGCTTGTTCCAGTACTGACAAATGAACATAGGGTTGGGACTGGGGTCCGGTCCTCAAAGATTGTGGTCCCTGGAAACCGATTTATCTTGAGGTCTATCAATCACGGGCAACTGATCTCTCGATCGCAACAAATATTAGCCCCGATCACAAGGAAGCGACACTTGAAGTTGCACTCAGTATTGACGGCAAGGCTGACAGTGCGAAAATTGAGATCGAATGCGAAGGTATCAACGTTGAGTCACGCATCATCGATATCTCCAGTAAATGTACAGCAGCCACAATTCGGGTACACAGCCCAAAGCTCTGGTGGCCCTGGACGCTCGGAGAACAAAATCTATACACTATAAAAGCCACACTGTTCAACCGAGATGATAAGGGTAAAGAAATTGTTCTAGACACCATTCGAAAGAGATTTGGTATCCGAAAGATCGAGCTTGTCCAACAGCCCTTGCTTGACGCTGAAGGATCCAGTTTTTTCTTCCGGGTCAATGGTGTACCTCTCTTCGCCGCTGGCTCGTGTTGGGTGCCTGCTGATTCATTTGTGACTCGTGCAACATCGGAGAAGTATCGTAAGTGGATACAATTGGCGAAAGACTCTAATCAAGCTATGATTCGCATCTGGGGTGGAGGTATATACGAGCACGACGCATTTTTCGATGCCTGCGACGAACTTGGCATTCTGGTCTGGCATGATTTTATGTTCGCATGTGGCATCTACCCTGCTTATCCGTCTTATGAAGAGAATGTAATGACAGAGGCACGACAGAATATCATACGGCTACGACACCATCCATGTATCGCAGTGTGGTGTGGTAACAATGAAGACTATGCCATTGCATATCTAGCTCAAGCACACCGTGGCGCAGCCATTCACGACCCGGCGGAAATGGAAGTCGAAAAAATCAAGGAATCTGGATTCCCTGGGCGTTTATTCTACGAGATTCGCTTGCCAGCTTTGTGCAAGGAACTGATACCGGAAATTCCATACTGGCCAGGCTCTCCCTATGGAGGATCATTCTGCAACGCAGCAACAGAGGGAGATATCCATCAGTGGCATGTCTGGCACCTCGACAAATTTCCTTACCAGGACTACCCACGACTCGGCGGCCGAATGGTCACAGAGTTCGGGCTGCAGTCTGTTCCGCACTGGAGGACAGTGAAGCAATACTATCCTTCCAAAATTTTCTCACTCGACGATGTCCGAGACTATGGGTCTGATGAGTTCATGGAATGGCACAATAAAGGGCGGGACGGAGCCAATAACATCGCCAAATATGGAACAGACAATATCCATTTCGATGGCAGCACTCTCCGAGGGTACACATACTGCTCGCAATTGATCCAATCCGAAGGAGTAGCAACAGCGTTCCGATCCTGGAGACGCATGTGGAAAGGTCCAGGGCAGGAATACTGCGGAGGTGCTCTAGTTTGGCAGTTAAATGACTGTTGGCCCGTATCATCGTGGTCAATCGCCGATTGTGACTACCGTCCGAAGATGGCATATTGGGCCATCAAGCGCGAGAACCGCCCTATCACTGTCAGTCTAGCTCGCATGGTGAACAATGATCTGCTCGAGTTAGAAGCATGGGCTTGCAATATGACATTGCATTCGGTACCAGTGAGCTACCGAATCCAAGCCTGGGATGTGCGGACAGGACGACATGTTTGGAGCCACATAGTATCAGTTAAAACCGACCTGGCTCCGAACAGATCCACAGAACTTGGAAGAATTCAATTTGGCTCTGTGCTCATTGACGAAGGCGAAACCAAATGGAGCCATCTGGTCTTTACAATTCATTTGCTCTCTTCGCCGGAAAATTTGTTGAGAGCAAGCCCAGTCGTTGAAGAAGAGACGATTGCCCATCATACATCGTTCCACGAACCATTAAAGGAAATTCCATTTGGTACTCAAGAAGATAGAGTCTCAGTAATGCTTGTTCAGCATGAATCGACTTCTATCATTGAGCTCCGTACAACAGTCCCGACCAAAGGCGTCTACCTTGATTTCGAATACGAACAGTCAGCTGAGTGGGACGATAACGGAGTGGACTTGATGCCAGGGGAAGTCTTTAGATTGCGCGTGACTGGGCTTGAGGACAAAAACGAGCATATACTGAGGGTCTACTGGTTGGGGGAGGATGGCTGGCAGAGCCAACTAGTTTTTGTATGATTTTGAAACAACATATGGTTTTTATTTCATTCTAGCGCAAGATCTGAATATATGTCCAAGTTGAATAAGTCGGATACTTGATCGTGAGACCATGTCATTGCGTCTTCGCTATCCAGTTCACTTGCTGGCCAGATAAATTGGTCGGCTGTTGGCCCAATAGGGGATAGAGACGACTCAAACCCCCAATACATCGGATGATTGATGGGGAGAGTTGTTGACAAGGGGTGCGGTTCTTCGCATGCCTTTGAACAATTCAAATGAGGGTTGTTTGTACTCAGGCAACCTCTGTTTTCATCGACTGATGGGTATGGGATGCGACTAGCACTTCGTAGCTGGAGTAATATATAGTTTCCATAGATTTTCGGGCATGTATTGCAAGCGACAGCTGAGTCTGTCAGAAGATGCGCTACTTGCTCGGCCTTCAATAGGTATTTCCTCAGCGTCAAATTGTCCGGCGGCATAGTGAAGGCATAGACCAAGTGGAGACAACACAAGGCAATCATCGTAAAGCCAAAATCGGGTGTGTATCTCAGAAACTCTCTTTCAGTAGGTTTGAGATTAAGAATGGTGTCGCAACACTTACTTGCCGCATCTGCCGATTTCAACACGCAATCTAGGAGAGAAGATAGTTCAGGCGAAAGTGAGGTCGTTGTGTAAAAGGAGGCGGAGCCTGTTTTGGCAGCTAGTTGGTGGGATACCACTGGCGTAGCAAAAGACACAATGCTAAAGTGGGTGAGAGTGCCCATGAATGAGGTAATGCTATTCGCAAAAGTAGACACATCGGGAGAACTTGAATCGAGAAACTTCGACGTGGTTATCTCAGTAGGCTGCAACCAGGTGGACCGCCATTGCTGCAGCAAGCTCTCCGCATTTTCAAGGATCCCAAGTAGGGTTCCAATGTCTTTGGTACTGGAAGGTATACGCCACCATTCCGCTAGGCTCTTGTCGGAGCCAGCAGCCTGATCCCATACGTGGTGCAGGGCGGCTTCAGCCAAGACCCTCCACACACTCGGCGAAGGATCCAAATCCATCATTAAATCAACCGTTGATATAATTGTTGTATCGTTGTGTATCGTAGGGGGTGATCTTGTGATTATGGAGTGATGGCGAGATTTCACAAACAGCCAAACCCAGTAGAAGCTGCGACGGTATGATAGCGAAGTAGATATGTCAGGTCCTCCAGATCTGACAAGCTCATTGAGATCATCTATCGACTGATGGAGTGACATCTGCATCGCACATGCCTCAACTGCTGATTTCACGGACCAGAGACTCAATCGTCTTTCCCCGGTTCGTCTAGATTCTGTAGTCACTTGTGGGTATGCGTAGATAACAGCTAGTGCCTGAAGCAAGGTCCAATTCGCTTCTGGGCTGTTATTAATGATATCATTGGACCCATCCACCATTCTCACCATGTGAGGTAGTAAGGATCTGCGAGGTGAGCAGTAACCGGGGGCAAAGTTCGCAGCCACAAACGCCATCGCATATGCAAGAGGTCTCCGAGTTTCCAGAAGAAGATCTAATCGGTCCATCGGCTCCAAAGAGAGGACCGGTATATATAGTAATAGCCGCTGTACAAAACTGAAGTAGTAATCTCATTAGCCAATTCTCTCGCGAGATTTACGGCAGATAGAAAGCATAACTCACAACTCTACCAGATCAAGGATCACACTCTCCAAAATTCGATCTGATTCCGAGTGATGGATGGAGGCAGAGATGATCTGCGGTGGGCTTTCACCGCCAGTTGTAATGGTCATGGGCGACGAAGAAAATATCGAGGGAAGAGCAGGTTTGTTGGATTGTGGTTGCCCTTGGATTGAGGATGTTCGGGGAGAAGTTGATTCACGGGCCTGACTGGGACTCTCTGTCGGTGAAAAGGAAATTATAGGTGACTTGCTGGCAAGTGGTGATATGTGAAAGTCAACGGCCTGTTTGGGGGAGTTGTGGTCATGGCGATTCCTAGGAACCTTGGAGGGGGATGGGAACCGAGGTTGTTGACGGGTTGGAAGGCGAACCACGCATTCGCGATTGTTCTTCAGACAGCGAGCACATGGTGGATTGCTTGCCCCAATGCATCTCATCTAACAATTGGTCAGCTCGCGAGAAGTTGATGGGTTTTATAACTTCCTTTAGAGAAAGAAGAGGGATACTGGGGCGAAACCTTCAATTTGCGACAGGAGACGCAGGCGACAGCGGCAGCGCCCATCAGTCGTGGAGCTGGTTGCGCATGATCCATAGCTCCAAGATTAGTTCAAATCCGCATCGGTAGGTTGAATTGAAGTCTGCAATTGAAGAACCCCTCTGGCAGGTGAGAATTGCAGGCAACTCGTCTAAGCGGTACGAGGTGCTTGCCATTTCGGGAAGGCGAATCGATACTCCACTTATGTACTACCCCGCATTTTATTTCCTTTGGCCGGACCAAGAATGTGATAAGAATGATTCTAATAGGTATACGTGAGTAATCCACCAGCCGTATTTCAGGCCATTCAAAGGGGCGCCTTGGAAAAGGAACAAATAGAGTTCTAAGAAGGGCTTTCGAGAGATGCCCAGAGAGATGCCGAGAAAAAGCCGCAGAATGAGTGTGGAATTCCCTTTAGATGATCTTCTTGGGAGGGCTTCAGGGGTCTTAGAGCTGAGGTTTACTGAATTAGGGGAATGAGCTAGCAAGATAACACTTGAGCTAAGCGCAATTTACGGAAGAATAATCTATGACAGATGTGCTATTGTATTATTGATATTTCAATCGCTTTTTACTAACCCCGGAAGTCTTGAAAAGGCTTCTTCAAATCTTCATCCCATAGTATCTGGCTGAAACTTTGCTCTTGTCTAAACCTCGAGTGGTGATGATTTGCTCGTCACCCGGGATAAGGTCAATGCAGTTGTCACTAAACTCGACAGTGTCCACATCTTCCACGTACAGCCACAACCCTTTCACAGGGACATCTTCGGTACTGACGAAAATTTGATCGTTTTCAACCCGAATAGTCAACAAGGGCGTGGGGATATCAAGGTAGCGATATGGCTGGGGCCAATTTGTGCATCGGGCAACAACGTTCTTGGTGGATGGATCAATCAGTCGTGCCGAAACAACAAGTGGCCTATCTTGCTTTTGAGAGTCTGTTACCAAGCCGGACAAGCTCTCATGAAAGATCTCCAAAGATTGATTAGGTGGCAGCTCGCAAGGCTCTTCCTTCGAGAAGATCTCTTTGCCGCTTGGGAGTTCGAAAACTTGCAGAGAGAGGATGAAACCCGCCAGTTCAAGTGTAAGGTTTGTCGCCCAAGCCTCAACTACTGTCACTTTATCGATGAAAGCACGCGTGTACTTGAATTTAGGAGATTTGGTTTGATCGCGTTTTATACCCAAGGTGATAGGGGCCATGTCCCGTTTCACGGTATAATATGCCATTTTGGGGCGATTAAACCAATCGATGAGCGCCTTTGAGGTCACTTGCCAAGTGCTGTTCAGCTATAAGTGTATAAACTTTTAGCATTTATGCAGAAGAAAGACAATTGAAAGAGATGCATGCATACCTGCCAGATTAAAGCTCCACCGCAATACTCTTTCCCTTCGCCCTGCCATTCTCTACGCCACGACCGGAGAGCGCATGTCAAAGCCTCTGCTTGGTTCAACTGAGATATGTAAATGTATTCCTCGAGATCGTACGTATAGCGGAAATTCTCGACCAGATATGTCGCTAGTTTGCGCTCGTGCTGGTGCTCTTTGTTATGCTCGTCAACAGTACGAGAGTGGGGGTGTCTCTCGAAAGCTGGTGAATCGATCAGATAAGAGTCAATAGTTTTGATGTGTGGAAGGGAGGCCATTCCAAACTCGGATATAAAACGACTCTTCAGTTCGGGGTACTTTTGCCATGGAAGAAGGTAGTGCCACACTGGAGAAGAAAATGTCAGTCGCGTATTTACTTGAAGTCTGAGCGAGGATAACAAAGAGAGAGAGATCGTTGTGGACCAATTTGCTTACCTTCCCATCGATGGGTGTCTCCAACGGTGGCATCATTAAAAGAAGCTCCTCCCCACGGAGATCCGGGGTGGTAGTTGGAACCAGGGAGCAACGTTTGGCAAAGGCCAGGCAAGACCACCTCATATATATAGCGAGCTGGGAATGTTGAATTAAGCCAATTCTCTGGATTGGTATCTTTTGGGTCATAGTTTGTCTTGAAGAGTTCCGCAAAGAGATAGTCTTCATTATTGCCATTCCATGCAACGATACAAGGGTGATGACGCAGACGACGAACATTATCATCCACCTCTGCAGTTATATTTTGGATGAAACTCTCATGTACCGGATATGCAGCGCATGCGAACATGAAGTCTTGCCATACGAGAATGCCGAGTTCGTCGCAGATGTCGTAAAAGATATCCTCTTCGAATACACCACCTGCCCACACACTAATAAAATCTCAACCAGTTAGTAAGAGCCTTGGAGTATGATTCAATTGTGAAGAACAAAATCTTCAAAGCATGACGAACCGAATCGTGTTTTGATTGCCTTGAGCTAGCAGTTTGAGCTGGGTGCGGTAGCGCTCAGGAGTGACCCTAGGCACGAAATGGTCTGCTGGACACCAGTTTGAGCCGTTGGAATAGATCGACACTCCATTTATCGCAATGAAAAAAGTTTCTCCAGGAGCATCTTTGAATGGTTGCCTGACAAGCTTTGCTTCCCGCAGTCCGATCTTCTTTGAGATCGAAAAAACTACTATTTCCTATTGTAGATGATCTCGTCAGGCCATTTCACCCAAGGCACTTTGGGGTGCACTCACATTTCGAATCAAATCTGCAGTCAGAGTGTATAATGGTTGACTTCCATAGCCGACAGGCCACCAGAATTGAGCATCTTGTATTTCCAGAATGACCTCTGCACGATCATCGTGTAGCGACCGGAGATTAGGCTCACCGAGAGCCTGGCCGTCTACACCCCAAGCTCTCAAATTGATCTTGTCTCCTGGGAGGGAGCATTCGGTCTCAATGATAGCCTTGACGCTAGCGGCCCTATTCGCTGTGTTGATAGTGACGTGAGACGACAGGTCCGATATTTTGGCCGAGTATTCTTCCAACACGATGGGGCGCCACGGTCCACAAGTCATCAGTTCGGGCCCTGTTGAGAATAAAGCGATATTAACAAACTTGATACCTATGAAAGTGTCCATTTCAGTCACGCAGAAATACATACCCCAGTTCCACCCATAGTGATATTGGGCCTTCCTGACAAAGACACGGCTTTTCTCGGTCGATCCGTTGAATTGAACAACATGATGATTGGACTGCTCCATGAGTTCTCGACCTTTAACCAAAGGTACGTCAAAGAGAATATCCATCGTGTTTGTGCCTTGTTGAAGCTTCTCAGTGACATCTACCCGGTATGTCCGATGCATATTATCGGCCTCGAGAATGATCGTCTCGTTGAGGGAGACGGTTGCGAATGTGTCTAAGCCTTCAAAACGGAGAACGTATTTGACGCCAGCTTCTGCGCTGGAAGACATAGGGGAAAAAGATGTTCGGTATTGCCATTTTTGCTCCCCCACCCACTGCACATCGTACTCGTTCAGCCCAATATAAGGGTCGGGGATTTTCCCGTGCTTGATGAGGTCGAGGTGTACATTGGTAGGGAATTGCGATACGGGGAGAAAGCCATCTGTCCATTCTGGCGCGTTGACATTGCCGACCTGCTTGAAGCTCCAAGCGGAGGTGAGAGGAGTGGATTTGAAGACGGCCATGTTGGGGGTAGTCGTCAACAGGGCAAGGTTGTATATGTATCTAACTGCAGAATGTCCTCTGTCGATTCCAGCAATTCGATGCCAAATAGTATCAGTTATGGTGACTGAGGGTAAATCAGCTCACGGAAGCTCCTATTTTGATATAAATACTCATTCTATGGATAGGCCATACCTCTTCACGCTTTACAGGCATAACTATGAACCGCCGACCGGCCGGGGGTACCGGCCGCCGGTTCATCCACAGAGGCCTCGGACACCGGATCTGTGAGCAGACCGGGGCCGCCAAATCTTCTCCAAACGTTGGCAATTCTCCAAGCCTTAGACTACCGGGGCCGCTGGCTGGAGCCTGCATACATGTTGCCAGCGTTATCTGATTCTCGAGAAAGTTGGCACCGTTGACACAGGCCTCTTAAGGTGCAAAAAAAAGACCAGACTTAAGCGTCAGCTACATGATTCGAATGTGCGGGGAAACTCACCACCCATCGCACAGGCTGATCTTGATAAAAACGATAGGACCGAGCGAAAACGAAAACGACGCAGTGGATACTGGATCAGGCAAACTGCGAATCCCAACAAATGGGCTTCACATGAAGGATCCACCGATCTCGGCTCTTTATCCTTATCAATCGAGCTACGTGCCTCGGGCCATTTGACATCATGAACCTGAAATCTGGGACCTTAATTGAAATCTATCCCTTCCTCCTACTCAATTTAATCTAATACCATATTTCCATATTACAAACTTTCATATTTTCATCTCTTTAAATCATGACTGACTACAACCAAGGCTGCAAGATCACCCTCTACTGGTAGGCATTCTTAAGGCTTGTGCTCTAAGGTCGATACTGACGCAAAACCAGGCTCGAGCAATCTCGAAGCCACCGCATCCTGTGGCTGCTGGAAGAACTCAAACTGCAGTATGAGCTGAAGACTTTCAAGCGCCGCTCCGACAAGCTCGCACCCGCAGAGCTCAAGGAAGTGCACGCCCTCGGCAAGTCGCCCATTGTTACAGTCGAGGCCCCGGGCTCCGACAAGCCTATGGTCCTGGCCGAGTCTGGCGCCATCGTTGAGTACCTGTGCGATCACTTCGGTAAAGGGAACCCTACCTTGGTTCCCGAGCGGTATGTGGCCGGTCGCGAGGGCCAGGTCGGCGGAGAGCGCGAGGAGTGGATGCGCTACCGGTATTTCATGCACTACACCGAAGGCAGTCTGATGCCCTTCCTGGTGATGACCCTCGTCAACGACAGTAAGTGGTGATCGCTTTGATCTTTTGTTCTGGCTCAGTGGGCCCATGCTAACATCCTTGAAGCCATTCGCAACTCCCCTCCATTCTTCGTTCGGCCCATCACCAGTATCGTGGCCTCGCAGGTTGAGGCTGCCTTCTTGACCCGCAACGTTGAGGGTAACTTGGCGTTCCTGGAGGAGCAGTTGAAGACTGCCCCTGAAGGCGGTCCCTTCCTCTGCGGTAAGGACTTGACCGCGGCGGATATCCTGATCAGCTTCCCGGTGATCGCTGCCGGTGGGCGAGTGCTGCAGGAGAAGAAGAACCGGGAAAAGTATCCTTTGTTGGCAGGTTATGCGAAGAAGCTGCAGGAGGTCGAGGGCTACAAGAAGGCCGTGGCCAAGATTGAGGCGGTCGAGGGAACCTTCTCAGCCTCGATGTAAGTTGCAGACTAGATGCGACTACGATCACGTTTCTTTATGTATATGCTAGGCAAATTTAATGATCTTAATAAGTCATGAAAGGAAATGTGCAAGAACAAACTGTGCTTGGTAAATTCACCACTCCGATTGGTGACCCTCGGAAAGTGAATTTTCGTGCGGGTAATCGAAGGTCTCGGTGAGGCAGATACTAGTATTGCACATGACGAGTATTTATAAAACAGAAAAAAAGCCAGTCAATCATAAAGAACCAATTTAGCGATACTGCGAGGAAACAGGAACTCAACTTCGACAGTTTCATGTCGAGATGTGAATATCACGTGATCTTAAGTACTTGATGACATAATATACCATGTGACCTACACCTCACCTCGTCCGCACGTCTGCAGATGTGACGGCTCTGTGTCTACGCTACGAGTTACACCGCAATCATGGCCGGCCCCAGCAAGTGTGAGTACCAGTGTCATATTGGCCTGAATTGAGCCAATCGCTAATCAATTGACTAGCCCTGATCCTTGACCCGGCCCTCCAGAAATACTACGGTACATCCTCCTCAACCCCATCCCCTCGGTCCCCGCGCTTCACACAGTCCTGGGCAGGACAGGATTGCTTTGCTGGATTTTAGAATGGAATCCGCCTTGTCATCCGCCCATCCGTCTCATCCCGTAGCCTAAAGCAAGCTTTCTCCGCATACAGAAACTAACCAACCCGACAGAACTCAACGCCAACCGCTACAAGTACTGGCGCTGGAATTCCCGCCATGCCTGGCTCTCTCTCATCTATATGGTTGCCATTCCCGGCGCTCTGACCTGGGCCGCCTACAAGACCGATGTATGAATCGATACTCTCCACCTTTCCGATCTTGAAGGCTCGCGCATGAGGAGACTTATCTGACAATTATACAGGGCAAGTACGAGCTCCGCGGCAAGCGCAGAGGTGATACCATCTCGGAGTGGTAAAGAACAACGGATCGATGATTTGAATTGGTCGAGTGACAATCGCCGCTTGGCGAACTGGTGATATGCGAACTCTCCCACATACGGCACTACCGCGTTTTGCCCGAAGGCTCGAAGCGAAAACTGCTTTTTTTTCTGCCGGTACCTCAGACCGGATTATGTACCTTACTACGAGCATATACCGCATTGATTTCTCTTCTGTTTCCTTCGCCTTGCGGCCACTTATGGGAGTTTGGGACCCTGGGAATTAACTGTAGACCATTTTGGAAAGGCCTATCTGGTTGTCTTCCTTCGAAATTAATCATACATTGTTGCGAGCGGATATCCTGAATTTCTGTGACCGCCACATGTTAAGAAATCGTAACTGCACATCCGTTGAATCTTTAATATGGAGCCCATCCCCGGCGACCACCACGTCCACCACCCTCTGGAAGCCTTTCTCCTCGCTTCCAATCACCCCGAGGAAGAATAGGAGGCCCACCACGATCCCCGCCCCGACCACCGCCCCGACCACCTCGTCCAGGCCCATCTCGGAATGCGCGCATGCCACCACCACCACCACCACCTCCCGTCCCAGGCGGGCCAGAAGCACCACGAAGTGCAGGCGCAACTGATCCGTCCTCAAGAGGAGGCAAAATAGCGCACTCCACATAATCTCCGACAATGAACCGAACGTCTTGCAAAGCCTTGTCTGCTTCCGAGCCTTGGAAACGCAACGGGCCTGGCCGAGGTCGCGACTCAGCGCGACCGTCTGCGTCTTCCTCGCCGCGGTATGGACTATCTCTTGGTGCAACGATGACGCTCCCTAGATCCTTACTCACGTATCGACCGCGCGTATCGGGGCCCATAATTGCCGCACCGCGAGCGTCGGGATAGATCAGACGAAAGCAAAGACGGGTGCCGACGGGCGGATCGGGAAGTAATGAAGGCAGTGCAGAAGTAAGAAGCTGCGAGAGTTCCCGGAGCGTGCATGACTGCCATGTATAGATCTCGAGGTGAGGGGGGTGTGGCGCAGCTGGTGGAGGAGAAGGTCCGCGAATACTGTTGGGCCCGCTGGCTGGACCTCCGCGGCGGGGAGGGGCAGGAATACTATAGTCGGAAAGGTTGTGATAGTTGTTGGCTCGGTAGAAGAGCTTCAGGTGAAAGGGGGTTGTGGTCTGGCGGTCAATTGGAGCTTTGGAGCCTTCTCGCGAGGGAGCAGCCATGATGGCAGGGCGAGTCGCGTGTAGGATCAGGGCAGGAGCAAAGCAGAGAGAATTCCGAGCTCGATGAGCGTGTCGAAAGATTATAGTATGAGCTCGGTCTTCTCGTAATGAAGCTTTAAAGCGATCTGGTTCATACAACCGAGTGTGGAGTGAAGTGGAAAGGAATTGGAGCATGACCCGAAGCTGTCGGAGTTTCTGACCTTTCAACCGCGAACATTCTTTTCCTTCTGCCACATCACCCCTCGCCCCCCTCCAACCGATCTATTACAGCGTCAATAATAATTGCGCAATCTATTATATCCGACCGACTCCGACACCATCAAACAAAAAAGAAAGGACTGCGCCGGGCAGCCTTCCCCACCATGGATTTCGCCGCTCTCATGTCCAAGGAGATCTCCAAGGCCAAAGCTCCCGATGCCTCCAAGTCTTCTGGCGGAGAAAAGGGCAAAGGATCGCCCGCAGAGCCAACAAAGAAATATCTGCGCCGAGGAGAAGTTGAAGCTGCGCGCATCGCAGCCTACAACGAGGAGCAGGAACGGTTACAGAAGGAGCGTGAAGATCGCCTAGCCAACAAGCGCAAATTCGAGGAAGAAGAGGCAGACCGTCGACGGGAACGCGAAGAGAAGAAGCGCAAGCTCGCTGAAGAGTCGAAGAAAAAGAGAGAGGAGGAAGAGGAGGCACAGGAGCGTGAACGGCGACGGAGACTTGGTCTGCCTGAACTACCCTCAAAGAGTGACAACAATAGCCCGAATCCCGAAAGCCAACAGGAAGAAGAGATCGAGGAAGAAGAGCTCGTCGAGAAGCTCAGAGAGCTTGATGAGCCGGCGCGACTATTTGGGGAGAACCATCGCTCTCGACTTCGACGATACCGCCGCCTGATTCAGCGCGCCGCTACGCAGCAGAAAATGACAGATGGACCCATCCCTACGATCTTGGAACCTGTTACGGGTGGGCAAATGATTATTCCGGCCAAGATTCCCAAGGACCAAGAGGGTCGACTGTTTCTTCTCCGCCAGTTGGCATCCTATTTCAACATGGTTCTGTCGGAATGGGAGCTTGCTCTCGCGAAGCGCGATGTCACTGTTCGACAAAGCTTTCAAGGAAAACAAGCATACAATGCTATGTTGCAGTCTCGAGAAAATATGAAGCCGCTGTACCGCCGGCTTGAAAAAGCGGATTTGGAGGACGGGCTCCTAGAGCCAATCGTGGAGATTGTTCATAAAGCACAGCAACGGAAATACGTTGATGCCAATGACGCATATCTGCGCGTGAGCATTGGAAAAGCGTACGTTCTCTTCCATGCCCTGATTGATACCAAGAATGCTAACAAGTTGATAGTGCATGGCCCATTGGCGTGACCATGGTTGGTATCCACGAGCGATCTGCGCGCGAAAAGCTACACCAGAGTGACCAGCAGGCACATATTCTCAGTGATGAAGCAACACGCAAGTACTTGCAGAGCATTAAGCGGTGCTTGAGCTTTGCGCAAGTTCGCTGGCCCCCGGAGGATCAGCTCCAGATCATGGGATAGAATGCCATGAGTGATATGCTGCTTGATATAGTTTGATATACCCATAGCGTTTAAAAGTTGGATTTTGATTCCGCGTATAACTGAAAACAAATGCCTGTGCATCGAGATTCTAGTTGATCCAAGCCAAAGTATGCTGGGCGGGTCTCGGCCTTGGGTAGATTTAAATTCACTCCTTTCCTTTCTCAGTTCAACTCTCCCGGGCCATGTTCGTCGCTCTCGTGTGTACGTTCAGTCTCTTATGTCCACTATATCTCATATACAAGCCGCCTGGTTCTTTGATACGCTTCTTCCAACGTCGCTGGCCCGATGTCTTATTCCGTCACGCAACTGTCGAGAAGGTTGTCGCGTTAACCATCGACGACGCCCCGTCCGCACACACGCGCGCTATTCTCGACCTCTTAGGGTCAAATCATGCAATCGCAACATTTTTCCTGATTGGATCTCAGATGTCCGGAAATGAGGACGTTCTCGCTGAGCTAGTGCGCGCTGGCAACGAACTAGCCAACCATGCAATGCACGATGAGCCATCGCGCGGACTCAGCGACGCAGCCCTTGCAGACCAGATTCGTGCAGTGCATATCTTGATTCAAAACGTGTATAACGCAGTAGAACAGGATGGGCCTGAGAACTGGCTCTTCCGACCAGGCTCGGGTTTCTTCAGCTCACGAATGCGACGCCTGGTTACGAAGCTGGGTTATCGGCTCGTGCTCGGGGACGTCTATCCCCACGACCCACAGGTGCCATTTGCAAGACTCAATGCAAGGCATATCTTGAACATGGTGAAGCCAGGCAGTATTATCATTTGCCACGACCGCAGAGAATGGACGTTACCCATGCTACAAGAGGTGCTGCCAGAGCTGAAGCGCCGCGGATACCGGGTGCTCACTGTGTCAGAGCTGCTTAAGACGCTCTAATTCTACCATACCAAAACACTGAATTGAAAATGACACTGCTTCCAAAGGAGCGCATGGGCTTTACAAAGAATCTCCAAAATGTCTAAACTCCAAAAAATACATATAATCATCATCATCTCACGTATTATTGTGTTAGATCCTTCCACATCTGCGCCAGCGTTTTCCACCAGCTCTGCGCGGCTGCAGGTATTGTCATCGTCGACACCTTGTTAAAAGTATCTTCTCTTGTCAGATCAGACCCGGTATTGGGATATATATGGTGACCGTCCATCCCATTCATCACGGCGAGGGAGGAAGATTGGGGACGAGTTGATACGATACTACTAGCCATGCTGCGCGCTTCCCTGTCGGTGTCTCGATCACCAAGTAGATGACCTGCGGTGGAGACACAGCCTCCGTAGGCAAAGCGGACTAGCGAGTCACCGGTCAAGCTGCCAATTATATGCACACCAGGGGTAACTTGCAGATCTTCGGTCGCTTTCGCGCGAAGAGTCTGGCCAGTTATAGCCGTATCGACCAACTCATGACCCAGCACCTCGGATTGCAGTTTGGAATCCAGATAGCCCAAGGTGCCCCGCCGGCCAGCAGCGTATACGAGACCCCGCACTGACCGAGTCAACGTGGAACCATCTGCACGACGAAAACTGACTTGAGCCAAATCGTCCACGACCTCCACGCCGGTGATTTCAACATTGCAAATGCCCTCATAGACATCGTCCCACTTCCGATTCTCCAAGAAGGGAGTTGAAGTGCTGCGGCGGCTTTTAGGCGGCTGGTCCTTGGTGGCGTCTGCGGCAAGGGCGGCTCGCTTCATTAATCGATACACACCGGCATATTCCGGGTACGCCCGCTGGTGACAGCTCCTGAGAGGCGATGGACGATCCGCAGGAGACCATTTGAAAATATGCAGTATTTGTTGGTCAGGTGGGGCAGATATGATAGCATCCGCAGCGGAAAATCCAGAGCCGATGACGAGAAGGGAGGTTTCGGGTCTAGATTGGGTTTGAAGGATGGGTTGAAGGATTGGCGCAGGTGGTAGCAATTCCGAGAAAATACCGCTCGCTAGCACCAAGCGCTTGCAATGGATATTGTGGGACTGAATGTAGAAGCCGTCGGCGGTGCGGGAGATGCCTTCCAGCTCTTCCCCACATCGGAAAACGTCGTCGATGTGGACCGCCACAGGGTATGCACCGAAGTAGTCAGCGATCTCGCGCCTCGTCGGCCGCGTGTACGGTGGCAGTTCCTGGCCAGTGGCCTTCCTATGGTGGTCTGCGAAAGAGTAGCCCGGGAGTGACAGCATCGCTGCGTAGCTCAGGGTTTGGATATCCCAACTGGCCCCATGGGGATCCTCAGTCCACTGACCTCCCGGATACGACGGCTTTCCAAAGACGAGGTGCGAAACGGCCTTTTCAGGTACATGGCGCCACTCAACATTGGAGGTGGTGCCAGTCTCATCAACGTCGACACTAGGTCGCACCAGTGTATCCAGAAGCACGTTGACGGGTAATGCCTGGGTCGAATACGAAAGACGAGAGGCGGCGAAATGCGCCGTCAAAGCATCCACATCAGCGTTCAACAGGTTAGGCGCATCTTTTAACTTGGCATCCAGTAAAGGATCTGGGTGTGGAGGGTTCTCCGAGTAAAAGGGAAGATGGCCATGTAGAATGTACGAAAGGATCATAGCCGACGGCCCATTGCCTATTGAGAAAAAGGATTAGCCTCAGCCGGTTAGAATGGAGAATTAAAGAAGAGCGACCTACCGACAATGACCGTATCGGTTTCCATGGAAGGAGAGTCAAAGGGAATCAGCGCTGGGGCATTCTGGATTCATGCGACGAGAATCACGCCTTAGAACCAGAAATCAAGGAAACAGGAACGGCCATGGAGGAGGGGGGGGACATGGAAACAAATCGCGGAGATCAATAATCAGGCTGACAAAAGCCCGAGGTGGGGGGTCTCCATTCATTTCCGTTCTTTTGGGGTTGTCCAAGTCCGGCAATTGGACGGGAATTGGATTTCGGATGGCAGTGTCAGTCTGGCATCACCGGTGCGTCAACAGAATGAGGTATGGCTTTTACCCCGGATTTCACCCTAGTGCTCTTTAAAGCTATGTAAGAAACTCCAGAAACAACTCATCCTTGCGTTGAATGGCGAAAGAGCTCTCAACATAGCCCTAAGCCCTACTTTCCCTATCCGGAGGCTGCGGGATGCGCGCGTCTCGAGTCGATGCGTCGATGCTTCGATGCTTCGATGCTCTACTTTTTGATTGTCTAGATTTCCTTTCATGATCTGAGGATTTCATGATCCTTTTGCGCGCATCTCTCTCTTGATCGCGCAGCCAGCTCCCGCGCGATCATGTATCACCTGGCCAAGTCGCTGTATACGTATGCGACCAGCAAAGAGGGTAAGTCGCCATCTATCTCTATCCCCAAGTCGCTCCTCATCTAACGTGTAGGATCTTGCTTCAGAGTACTCTGTCTTATTATTAGGTCTCGACAATGCCGGCAAGACCACTCTCCTCTCCCAGATCAAAGCGTTCTACCAACCGCGACCCGATGGCGCCCCGGCACCCAACCCCGGCAAGACCGTCCCAACCGTCGGCCAGAATGTCGCTACGATTTCCCTACATGACATGAACTTAAAGATTTGGGATGTAGGCGGTCAGATCTCGATGCGCGGTCTCTGGCAGAGCTATTACACTAGCTGCCACGCCATCATCTTCGTGGTGGACAGCGCCGACGTGGGACAAGATTCGGATATCACACGATTGCCCTCCTCAGGTCGACGCCTGAGCTCAGTCTCCGGTCCCTCGCGAGGTGGCGACCTCTTTACGGAACAAAATGTTGGGATCAACGCCGGCGGCAGCGATTTCGGGCGCCTGGACGAATGTCGACAGGTTTTGGAATCTGTTCTGCAGAACGCCGACGTCGCGGGGGTTCCCATCCTCGTGCTGGCTAACAAGCAGGATCGAGAAGATTGCGTCGAGGTCGTTCGTATCAAGGAAGGCTTCGTTCGCAAAGTGTTCGAAGGAGAAACTGGAAGCGGCGTCCGAGACAGTCGCGTGCTGCCGGTCAGCGCGCTGATGGGTTCGGGAGTGCAGGCAGCTGTCGAGTGGGTGCAGAGTCGCGTCAAGTGGAATAAAGAGGGCCGCCCGCCGGTGATGCGGTGATATGGTGATGCGGAAATGGCCTTGGACATACATGCATACTGGCGTTTGATAATATTAATTTCTATTCCCATCAATATACCAACCAAATTTGATCAGTCACATTAGAAGCAAATGGACTGGAAAGCCCGCAAAGATCTCAGAAATCGTCCTAACTAAAAATAAAATAAAATCTGTACTAGAGGCTAACGATCAATTAGATCGAAGGTAGTTCCAACTTTTGAGCACTACTTCTAGAATAATTCCAGGGTTCAGAGGCCCCGGTCTCTAGGCCATCAGCGCTTCTCCAACAGAAGCCCCCGACACGAATGAGCAAGGTGACTGTGTTAGTTCTCGCTTGAATAATGACTATTGACTGGGTCGAAAATCAAGGAAATACCGCAAGTATTGCCATTTCTTCATGCAATCGTCCAAATTTCTGTATCTCCACTTTTTGATGTCACGGACCGTAGATTATCCTGATGAGCTGCACCCAGAACCTCGACGTCAACAATTGGATCGATCAATGAAACGTGGACATGACCTACAATCTGTATCATTAGATCCACAGGGGATTATCCTCCTACTTTCACTTGCCAGTGAAATCCCGGTCGCAATAGCCTCAGGTGCCGTCAACTTGACGTCATGTCGTAGTATACATTCAAGATAATGAATGACCTCTAGGATGGAGTGAATGACACTGAAGGAGCAAGGTCAGACTAATAGATGCGGAATGACCCAGCTATAAAAGCCTCTCCGATTTCCATTGCTACTCAACTCAAATATTTCTAACGCCCATCTACATCATTCCCAACCTTCAGTATGAGCACTTTGAACAACGTCGAGTCCGTCACCCATCAGCAGGGCAGCTTCAAGCCTTCTATTGCCCGCGAGGGACCCATTACAGACAAGGGTGTAAGTCTTAAATTCAATGTTCACCGTGGTTTATAGGGCAAAAGACTAACATCATGTAGCACAAGCCCGGTGTCAAGGTTAACGAGGCCGACCAGCGTCCCGAATACCACATGGAGTCTTTCCCTCCTGGCACTGCTCCTGCTAGCAACTCTTACACTTCGAATACCAACGAAGTCGGCAGTCAGGCTGACAACCCCAATGTCCTCCGCGCACACGGCAAGGAGTCCACCTACACTTCTCCCGCCGACACTTTGACGGGTGCCACCTCCCAAGACGTTCACACCGGTCTCGGTAAGCCTCTGCAGGGCCAGTCTGGTGTTGAGCTTGCCCATGATGGCGCCCACGGTCGAAAGAAGCAATCCTCCGGCTTGGGGGGTGTAGGTGCAACCCACGAGCACCGTGGCCTCGAGCGCCAGTTTGTCAACCAGCGTGGTCTGGAGAGAGAGGAGGGTGCCAACGCTGGTACCCGTGGCAACAAGGCTGATCGTGCCGCCGAGGATATGGAGCCCGAAGGGGCTGAGACTTTGGACTCTGAGTGGAAGTACGAGCCTCGCACTCAGCGTGAAAAGAAATAGATGTATTATAATGATGTTCTGAACAAATTTGGTTTTGCGCTATATGACTCCGGGTATTAAACGAATTCAGTGTTTTTTTTTAGACGAGCGCGCTTGAACGTGTATCAATGCATAAAGGAATGAAGCTTTTGATGTAACTTAAAGCCTTGCACACTATTTTTTCGATTTAGATAGAAGATAATTGAAGATGCCTAGCTACATAGCTACTTTGGTATGACGAGTTGAAATCTTGCGAATCCTGAAACAACTTGGAAATGAAAGTGTGTAGGAAAACTTGAATAATATTTCTTCCCCAAAAGCAGCTTTTCGGCTGAGGTATTAGGCATATGTTATATGAGTTCGGTTTATGTACAGGTGGTTCATGGTGCCGGATTAGCGAGTCATCCCTCCGACTTTCACCGACTACTCTGGGCGGTAGTCGATACACGAGATTTTTCTGCTGGCTTTTTCTTTGGCCAGCTTCTGGCAATGTCGATGTTCGCCCGGGGAAACCACATCTCGAGGAAGACATAAATCAAAAAGTCAATGACCACGCATAGACAAAACAATTTGCCTGCCCAGACACCGCAGCCGTAGTACCGTTTCAAACGGTCAATCAGTGCGAAGCTGCGTACTCGATCTCCACTGGCTTCCCACCCCTGACCAGGGTAGTAGCCGTAGAACTCTTCCGGGCTGATATCGCCGGTAATGCCTTGGTAGACCCGCTCAGTGCGCTGAGCCACGTCTCGCCAAGAGTACATCATCTTGACCTGATCATGGAAACGGTCTGTTCGCACTTTGTTCGAGCGCAAAGCGGCGATAGCCTTGCTGGTTGCAACAACCAGATCATCCTCCTCTGGTTTAGCGAACGTGGTCATGTGTTGGGGTAGAACCTCGGGAATACCACCAACTCTGGTGCAAACCACATACAACCCGCAGCTCGCGGCTTCGACAATAACCGTACCGAATGCCTCTGTCAAACTGGGATGAAGATAAATATGGCCTCGAACCATAACATCTCGCACCTCTTCGTGTCTAACCGAGCCAAGCATTTCAACTTTATCCTGGAGCACATTCCGTTCCAGCATCTGTTCTAGGTCGATCGCCTTGGGCCCGGAGCCCGCAATGATGAAGCGTGTGTTCGGGTTGGAAGCAAGAATTCGCGGAATCGCCGCGATCAAAAGATCTGTGCCCTTGTTGTAGAAGAGACGGGAGATCACCACGATCGTAATGGTGTCGTCGGGCCCAATTGGTGTTGGGGAAAGTCGTGTATCGGCGGGGGAGGTTGGGATTTGGTCGAGGGCTCGGGGGTGTATGATAATGGACGGAAATTCTCTGCAACGACGGCATTGGGAATGACGGATACCATCAAAGGATCTAATGAGGCTCGAAGAACTGTATTTTCCTTGCTATAAGCTAGTTAGTAGGCGATCGTTAGATGGTTCATCAGCCTACATACCATGTATGGCTGACGCAGATCGCATGATCGACATCGCTGAGAGTAAACTTGAGTAACTTGTTGGTAAGGATTGAAGCTGCATCGGCAAATCCAAAGAGAGAGTGGTCTGTAAAGACAGTTCGCAGACCCATTGTCCGCGCATGAAGAATAGCTTCTCCACAGAAGCTACTGAGACTGGCATGGCCGTGGACAATCTCAATTTGTTCCCGAATAACAATGTTGCGGAAGATGGGAAAGAATGAAAAGACGGTAGGGAAAGTCGTCTCGCGGTAAACGACGAAGAAGGGGACATGGTAGATCTTTAAGCCATTGGTGAGGTAGCGCACCCCTGTCCGGCCTTTGTATGCGTGAGTGATGATGATCACTTTGTGTCCACGATCGATTAATTTCTATATGATGGTAAGAATGCGCTCAAGGCACTGGCGAAGTGGGATCGCGAGGATGAGGGTGTGGCAGCATACGGAGGACAATTGGTAGATGTGACTCTCGATTCCCCCTGGGAAAAGTCAGTATCCCGAACCTAGACCTATTGTCGTCTTTTGGGACTATTCTGACTTACCTGATTGAGGAAAGAAGAAATCACTGACCATACTGTCTCCATAGAAAAACAGAAACCATTGTCAGTCTATTGTGATCATCACGGTGCTTGGCGCGTTCAGGACTCACGCAATGTTATAAGGCATTTTGGCGGCTCTGGCTCTTAGGCAGCGATCCTTTCGATGACTTCCAGATGCTCCTCACACTCAGCATCCTTCCCATGACGAAAGAATTGCGCTGGCCACTGTGAACATTGTGCACACTCGATCGCAAGTGAGGAAGCTCGAGGGATACTGCCGGGCGGTGAACCTAGAGATGACTGGGCGGTGTGTGACTCCGACCATATGCCGGCAAAATCGTCGGTGAAGCGCAAAAAACTAAACTCCCGTCGAGTCGAGTGTCAATCCCGAGGAATGCAGCTCAAAAAAATGGCCGGATTCAAGGCTGCGCCCGATGCGACCAAAATGACCTCCACCCCCACCTCTGGCAAGACTCAGAAGCGAAAGCGAGATGTCGAAGCCACCACTACAAGCACGCCAACGCCCACCAAAAAGTTTAAGAAGCGTGAAATCCAGTCCGTCGATGAGGGTAGCGTCAAAAAGCGATCGAAGCTTAAGGACAGGCTTCAAGGTGAAGATTCACCGGCATCGACCCGGAAAGAAAGTACTGTCTCGGCCAAGCGCCGCAAGACGCCTGCTACAAACTCGGACGACCGCGAGGATAAAGCGGGAAAGAAGTCAAAAAATGGCAAACGAAAGAGCGCTGAGAAGAACTCTGGGCCGATTGACGAAACTGCATCTGTGAGCTCGGAGCCTTCAAGTGCTGATGAAGCAGAAGTGCCCGCCGAGGAGAAGTCTACGAAGAATAAGCACGCCGGGCTTTTGTCCAAATTCGAGCGAACGAAGACCGCTGCCGCTACAAAGGCCAAAAAGGCCAAGGTTGAGATTGAAAAGCCCGAGGAAGAGACAGCCGAGCCTGTCTTTGCGAAGGGCCTTGAACCATTGCCCCAGCCTGAGAATCCTGAGGAGCTCGAGGCTCTACCGACATATTCGTCTTTACCAGAATGGCTGGCAAATCCACGACGGACATCGACCAAAGAGCGAGCCAAGTTTTCCGATCTTGGCATCAAGTCCGACCTTTTACACATCCTTGAAGAGCGCGGTTACAAGGAAGCTTTTGCTGTGCAGTCCGCTGTCATCCCGCTCCTTCTTGACAATAACAACAACTACCACCCCGGTGATGTTTGTGTTTCCGCAGCCACCGGTTCCGGAAAGACCCTCTCCTACGTACTCCCGCTTGTTAGCTCCCTCAAAGCTCTTCCCGCGTCAAGACTGCGGGGACTGATCGTGGTCCCCACTCGAGAGCTGGTGCGACAGGCACGTGAATCATGTGAACTTCTTGCCACTAGATCCGGACTTCGCATCGGAAGTGCCGTGGGTAATGTGGCCATCAAAGATGAGCAAAAGCTTCTCATGCGAGTGGATCAAGTGTACAACCCAGCCACAGTCGCTCAGCGACAGAACCCAGGCCTACAGGGGGGCGACTGGATTGACTTCGATCTTGAAGCCTGCGTCAACGAAGCACTCGGTACCAATGAGTACCTCCCGGGCCATATTCAGCGATTTGAGCCCAATGTCGATATCCTTATCTGCACACCTGGCCGACTGGTGGATCACATCCGTTACACCAAGGGTTTCACTCTCAAGTATCTGGATTGGCTCGTAATCGATGAAGCCGATCGTCTACTGAACGAGAGTTTCCAAGATTGGGTTGATGTCGTGATGGGCTCACTGGACTCTCGCCAGGCCCCTGAGACTTTCGGTCCCTGTGGCAAGTTTTTGTCCGACATGAAGCTTTCCATGGCTGCCAAACCACCGCGAAAGGTTATTCTCAGTGCTACCATGACCCGTGATATTTCTAAGCTCAACTCATTGCGCTTGGCAAATCCCAAGATGGTCGTGGTTGGGGCTGAGAATACCTCCGAGGCCACTGATCTCTCCGCCGACAGAGCAGACGCCTCTTACGACTTGCCGCCAACTCTGCACGAATACATGGTTCCTGTTGCGGAGGGCGCTCACAAGCCTATTTACTTGCTGCATCTTCTTGAATCACACATAAAGATCGCCGCAGCGAGCATTACCACCGATGACGCCGACAGCGATACTTCGGAAGACAGCGATGATACCAGCTCCGATGAAGATTCGTCTGACTCCGATTCCTCTGATGACTCGGACTCGGATTCTGACTCAGATACTGATTCCTCAAGCGACTCATCAAGTGATTCTGATGAGGAAGCCGATCCCCCTGCAAAGTCGGATACACCTCGCTCGACTGTTCTCGTCTTCACCAAGTCTTCCGAGTCCGCATCACGACTTGCTCGCCTCATCACTCTGACCAAGCCATCGCTTGCCAAGCAGATCGGGGTCATTGTCAAATCTAACAAGTCTGCGGCCTCTCGTAAGACTCTGTCTGCTTACCGACGAGGCGGAATCTCGATTATCATCGCTACGGATCGTGCTTCTCGTGGTCTTGATCTGGAGTCGCTGACGCACGTTGTCAACTACGATGTTCCCCACAGCATCACCACCTATGTCCACCGCGTCGGACGTACTGCCCGGGCTGGTCGCAGTGGATCCGCCTGGACTCTGGTTGCTCACCATGAGGGACGCTGGTTTTCTACCCAAATCGTGAATAACCTCGATGGCCAAATTACACGCTCGTCCGGCATTGATCGGGTGAATGTGAAGGTCGACAAGAACTCGACGACCTTCAAGGGTTACGGAGCTGCTTTGGAGAAGCTAGAGAAGGAGGTCAAGATGGGCGGGGCAACCAAGTCCAAGTCCAAGTGAGAGTGAGAGTGAAGTTGACAAATACATGTCACGAATATCCTACGCGCATATCGTTGCGTGCATAGCGTCTTTTATCCAACTGTACAATATGATTAACCATACGAGTATCATGAACGAGCTTATCCTCATGACGTATCTGCATACTTCGCAAACAGGCCGATCCTGTTCGGCTTTGTTCCGTTTTTCAACCATCAGTAAGACGAATTTAACCTTAAGATACGCCGCATGCTATAGAAGTAAGCAGCTTTCGGGCAGGAGTGGCCCGAAATCCCGAATTGAAGCGGAGAAAGTGGGTCGCGTCTGGGGGAGGCGAATCTGGGGCCTGGAGACATGCTTCGGAGTATGTCCGAGAAGGGGTCCAAGTCGAAGAGTTGAAGAAACAAGACTGTCAAGGGCCCTCGACCCTTTCTGCCAAGCTCATTTCATCCTGTATGACTTCTTGGCAACGAAGCAAGGATGGATAAACTCGAAAAAGTTGTCATAGTACCTGGTGAAGAGTCGATGTTCCGACGTACGTGCATTCAAGTCTACTCCTCTCCTCTCTTCTCATGACTCCTTCTAATACACAATTTCAGCGGAACCTCTATTTGCACGATATATTCCTGGAGGATTCTCACCGTCGAGATGCATGAAACTTCAGGGTAGGGCGATGACCTATGCCATCTTCCTCTTTTCGGGATGCGCCATTCTCTTTTTCGGATACGACACAGCAGTGATGAGTCAAGTCAACAACAACGACGATTATATGCAGCGTATGGGTGTGGCCAGTGGAAGCGATCGCGATGCTGCAGCCATCGGTGGTTTAGTCAGTTTATGGTTTGGAGGCTTTGCCATCGGTGCGTTGATCGTAGGCTATGTCGCCGACTCCATCGGTCGCTTGAAGACAATCCAGCTGGGTTGTTTATGGGGGATTGTTGGTGCCGCTCTGTTGGCATCAGCACAAAACATAACTTGGCTCGCATTTGCGCGAGTCATTAGCGGTGTGGGATGTGGCCATCTGAACACGATAGTCCCCGTCTGGACATCCGAGCTAGCAGACCCTCACCTGCGAGGTGCATTTGTGGCGGTTCAATTTACGCTCGCAATGGTCGGATCTACGATTGCATACTGGATGGAGTATGGCTGCCTCAAGACCCAAACAATGTCCTTTGCATGGCGCTTTCCTCTCGGTTTCCAGATCATCTTTCTGATCTTTATCTTGATCGCGGCTCCTTTCTATCCAGAATCACCTCGACATCTGGCCAAGATTGGAGACCTGGAGGGAGCAAGGACAGTGTTAGAGAAGTGTCGCATCAAGACTGAAGAGCAGGCGATTGAGACCGAGATGGAGGAAATCGTTGCTGCCATCCGCGCCGAAGCCACGTCCACATCGCACAGCTTCTACAGTATGCTTTTCACCAAGGATAAGCTACATACCCGGCGACGGGTCATTCTGGGATCTGGTGTACAGGTTATGCAGAAACTGACTGGGATCGACTTCATCGCGGTGTATGCTCCAAATATGTTCGCTTTGTCAGGATTTACCGGAGACAAACCCGCCCTACTGGCAGGAGGTAACTGGTTTGGATATATTGCCAGCCTGGCACTATCCATCTATCTGTGTGATCGAGTTGGTCGACGCAAGTTGATGCTGATTGGATGTCTTCTTATGGGGATCGTCTTGGCCGTTGGAGGCGTGCTTTCCCACGAGACAATTGCTCATAAAGACAGTGATCCGGCAATGGCCAGCAAATTCGGTTCTGGCGTTGCAGCAATTTTATATATCTATACCTTCATATATGGCAGTACTTGGTTGACAACCTGGTAAGGTATCCAAGGCACCCCACCCTCGCTTGACGCTAATTGTGTGACAGCTGGGTTTATCCGACAGAGGTGTTCCCCCTCGCAAGCCGTAGCAAAGGTACCGCATTGGCGACCTTCGCCTTTTCCATCGCGGGAGGCACTATTAATATGATCATTCCATATCTTATTCAGGCAATTGGCTTCTGGGTTTTCATTCTGTTCGCTCTGATCAACCTGTCGTTGCTGGCTCCTATATATCTCTTCTATGTCGGTTAGTCTCTTGACCCTTTCCCCTATTTATAGTCTATTGATCTACTTACTGAAACTGTCAGAAACTGCAAATCGCCACCTTGAGCAACTTGACGTTCTCTTTTCGAGCGATAGTTGCCTGGCTTGGAGAGCGGAAAGGAACTTTATTCAAAAGTTGAATGAACAGGGCGGAATCCTGGGAGAGGCCAACGAGAAGGGAGCTGTGGAGCAAGTGGAGCAGAGCAGTGATTTTGATGCCGGTCGATAAGAGTCCTAGAAGTCGAGCATTGCATACTAAGAACATATTGCAAATTGGTTTAACAAGCTGCCATGACTACCCGTCCAGGCATGTTCAGAGAAACATTCAACAAGATACTCTGAGAAGGGCCCAAAAGAAGTCCAGAAAGACGCTCGAAGAAATGTCTGTGAGCTAAGAAAAACTTGTTCTAGCTCATTCAGATAGTCTCCTTGGTCCGGCTGTACTGCTCCGTAGAACATATTCAGGGCTCGGAGTTGCCTCGGCGAAAACACCGCGCCTCCGCACGCCGATCAACTGGTTTTAGCCGATCAGCAATGAATCTCCCAATCAAAATTAAATACCCGACCGATAGGAATTATGTAGTCAGTGTTACAATCTTCCAGACTCCGCTTCTGCGGGGAAATGGCACCGTTACCATCAAAGTCTGATAAGTTGTATATCGATGCCGTGTCGCCTCTGCACTTGCTGTTCCTGAAGGTGCTATTTCCTCACAACCTTACCATGCTAGTCACGAGAAAAATACTCTTTGGGCTTTTCGCTTCGATATCTGTCACTGGAGCGGTTATATTTAAACCCCAAAATGAGTTCCAAGAGCTTTCTGGATTCAATGCCTCCTTTGCTGTGGACTTGGGGCCTTGGTTCAATAATCGTGCATTTGGAATGAAGCCTAATGAATCGAGCTTCGATGGTGATGGCAGTGAGTAGCCCTCAATGGTGATCGCGAAAGACCAAAATGAAACGTGATTGACGCGTATTACCTAGACTCTTACCCAGCAGCAGAAATGCCACCCGAGACATTTTCATACGGAGGATTCAATTATCGCTTCTCAGCATATAATCGCTCAGGCTACGACAATATGTTATTAAAAGGTCAGGAGCTCAAAGTACCCCGTGGTAAATACTTTAGCTACCAGATGCTTGCCTCTTCAGAGTCAGGAATGGCAGCTGGCTCGGTAACCGCCAAATATGCCGATGGAACCAACACCACTGGACCGTTGCTGGTCCCAGCTTGGTGGAACTGGCCATATCCTGCCGGAGGAGACTTGGTCTTTTCATCTTACTTGACTGAAAATACTACCAACTTCAATAGATCCAACATCTTCCAAACCATCAATTGGCTCGACTCCTCGAGAGAGCTTGTCTCATTGACTTTCCCCAAGTCCTCATCCGGGTCATCGACTTCTCCAGGAGGAGCTTCTGTTGAAACCAAGCTTCATGTATTTGCATTGTCGATGCTACCAGTGTTGAACCACAGTTCGCAATCAATCCAATTGGAGACACAATATGCCCGCTCAACCCAGAAGTGGATGGAGGGTACTGACAAAGTACAAATCGTGGAGGTTCTCGTTAATAACTTTGGATCTTCGTTTGCTCTACGGAATAATAGTGTGCGTGTTCAAATTGAGTCTCCAGGTCTTGAAACTGTGACAGAAGGTGTGATCCATCGTCTCGGACCCGGTGATCAGGCCACAGTTGAGGTTGGTGTTCGAAACCGCGAAGGAGCGACACCCGGAAATACTGGCCCAGCCACTGTGGTTATCAAGGGTCGGAATGTTGCATCTGTCAAGTATACATTCCAGGCAACCTATGGTATTGGTCTTTATGAGGCTACCTATGAGTCGGTTTACAGTCACGAATCGCCAGCCTGGTATAACAATGCCAAGTATGGGATTTTCATTCACTGGGGAATTTACTCGGTACCTGCCTGGGGAAATACGGGATCCAAAGAAAACTATGCAGAATGGTGATTGAATAGCATTTCTAAATGATCTTTGAACTTTAACTGACAAATTCACTAGGTATTGGTGGTGGCTTGGCCAGGGGCCGAACTATCCAACTGATGTATACGACTATCATCTGAAGAAATACGGACCGAATGTAGTATACGACGATTTCATTCAAAATTTCACTGTGGATGCCTGGAATCCAAAAGAATGGGTAGATCTCTTTGCCGATGCCGGTGCCAATTACTTCGTTCAAGTCAGCAAGCACCACGAAGGGTATGCGCTGTTTGATCTTCCAGAGAATGTGACGAAGAGAACTTCTGTAGCTATGAAACCACACAGAAACCTGATCCAGGTGAGTTCAAAGTGATCCATCGTCATTAAAATGGTACTTACAAATATTGATAAAGGAACTCTTCGATGCGTCAAAAAGGTACCAGCCACAACTCCACCGTGCGGTGTACTATTCCCTACCGGAGTGGTTTAATCCCGATTATAAGAAATATGGCTTTTCGACTTGGCCGGGGGGTAATCTTATCAATAGAAAAATTCCCGAGCTATGCTGACATTCTCTAGGAAACGCCACAAACCCTTTCACAAACAAGACTCTACCGTATACGGGATGGGTGCCGGTCAATGACTATATTGCCGACAAGATGCTTCCCGAAATGAACACCTTAGCCGACATGGGTACGGAGATTATGTGGTGTGACATTGGTGGACCCAATCGGACTCTTGAGTTTGCATCCAAATGGTTCAATCGGGCGGCCAAGGAAAACCGCCAAGTTGTCATGAATTCCCGCTGTGGTCTTCCGGGCGATTTTGATACACCAGAATATGCTTCCTACGACGGAGTACAGGTTCGCAAATGGGAGAGCAGCTTAGGAATGGATCCCTACAGCTATGGATACAATCGAGCTACACCTTTGGCGAGCTATATGAATGCCTCTTCGATTGTGACCCAGCTCGTTGACATCGTCAGCAAGAACGGAAACTTACTTCTCGACGTTGGTCCAACTGCAGATGGAACCATTGTAGACGTGGAGCAAAGGCATCTGCGACAGGCTGGTACTTGGATCAAAAGCCATGCTGAGGCCATTTTCAACACTACCTACTGGTTCGTTACCCCCGAGGAAGGGGACAATGTCAGATTCACTACGTCGCTTGAAGCATTTTATATCCAGACCCTCGCCAGACCTAACGGCACTATGACCTTTTCGAGTCCAATCCCCTACGTGCATGGTGACAAGGTCACTGTCGTGGGAGGGAAGATGCACGGAACAGTCGTGCCGAGCAGAAAGGACAGCAATGGCTCGTTGACATTGTCTATCAGCAAGGATGTTGCAGCCGCTGACCGATTCGCCTGGGTATTCAAGATTGCGTATTAGTTAATGCAGGACCCGGCATTCTCCGAATTGAGTAAGAATCATTCAAGCAACAAATTTGTGGGAAAGCAACCCCTTTTACCAAACCACTAATTAAGAATGAATCGCGGCAGAATGCCTAGCAACTTAGCTGTACAGTCAGGGTAAGGAAAATATACGTGGGCTTGGACATCGACCATGACATTTTTGAGCGTATAATACTCGGAGAGTCGTATATAAGAAGTTCTTGGAAAGGGACACAAAGCTGTCTAAACGTCTAGAGACATGCCTAGCAAGAAAATGCAAAGGGCCTAGAGCATAACAGGAGTAGGCCCATTTAAGTTACCCGTATCTTCCGGGTATAGGCACAAAACCATCAAAAATAAACATTTCAAGGAGCGCCAATTATCCAGACCTTGCAAGCAGAATAATTATCAGGGACATTATTAAGCCGATGTCTCTCTTTTCGGTGAAGCATCCGAAGAGAACCTTGACAGTGGAGAAGGCGTATTAGACCACTCGAAGCTCCGACCGTCACTATACGTTCGTGCATGGGAGGGGTTACGAAAACAGGTTAGACAAAAAGCAAACATAGGCCGCGAAAACAGTGTTCAGCCTGAATTTGTCAACTTAATTTAATGATTACTTGGGGCCATTTAGGACCACCTTGGCTGCGTAGCGTAGTGACATCGACAATAGAGCCTTACCAGTGTAGGGCTTCAATTTGATGGACATAAGTGAGGAGTGTGACTGCTTGAAGTAAACATGTTTGCATCGGCCCCTTAGAATATTATCGAAGTCGGTCTGGGCCGTGTTGATAGCAAACTGCAGTGCTAGTTCAAAGGACATAAGCCGATGTTTTGCCGACCGATTTCAATATCCGATCAGCGTCATCACCAGATTCAGGCTAAATAGCAAGATTCCAGTGAAGTCCGGAGAATCCCCGCGTGGAAGACTCCGGCAAAGCGTCGGGATCGGCTGCGGGACCTGCCGAGTTCGGTGTTGATGTGGAGAAATTGTTGATTCCCCCGGAGTTTGGGGATCTGGTCATAGCCGGTTTGCAGACCGGTATGCACCTGCGCCAGGGGGTATAAATTGCGAAGGAATCCATGAATGGAAAATATCAAGTGCAATCTCAACAATGTCTGCTGCATTGTTCTTGCTAGCGGCTTTGGCGCCGACTGCGGCGTTGGCCCAGGCCAATGCCACCTATGTGGACTATTCGACGGAGCCCCAACCCGATCTCGATGCTCAGACTCTCGCGACCATTGATCTTTCCTTCCCTGACTGTTCCAATGGCCCATTGAGCAAGACCTTGGTGTGCGACACCTCGGCAAGACCTCATGACCGTGCAGCGGCTCTTGTTTCTATGTTTACACTCGAAGAGCTGGTGAATAGCACTGGTAACAACATTCCAGCAATTCCTCGACTCGGTCTACCTCCATATCAAGTTTGGAGTGAAGGTCTTCATGGATTGGATCGTGCCAATTTCTCGGACTCGGGCGACTACAGTTGGGCCACCTCGTTCCCGTCCCCCATTTTGTCCATGGCCGCCCTGAACCGCACCTTGATTAACCAAATTGGTGGCATTATCTCGACTCAGGGTCGCGCATTCAACAACGTTGGTCGGTATGGCCTGGATGCCTACGCGCCCAATATAAACTCCTTCCGCCATCCCGTCTGGGGCCGTGGTCAGGAGACCCCGGGCGAGGATGCCTACTGCCTGTGCTCGGCTTATGCCTATGAATACATCACTGGTATGCAAGGTGGAATTGACCCGGAGCACTTGAAGCTCGTGGCCACCGCTAAGCACTACGCTGGATATGACATCGAGAACTGGGGTAACCACTCCCGCCTGGGTAACGACCTGAACATTACCCAGCAGGATCTGGCGGAGTATTTCACTCCTCAATTCCTCACTGCCGTTCGCGATGCGCGGGTACACAGCGTCATGTCGTCGTACAATGCCGTCAACGGCGTTCCAAGCTCGGCCAACTCGTTCTTCCTCCAGACCCTGCTTCGAGACACATGGGACTTTGTGGACGATGGATACGTCTCATCTGACTGTGATGCGGTTTACAACGTCTTCAACCCACACGAGTATGCTCACAATGTCTCCAGTGCGGCAGCTGACTCCATGCGCGCTGGAACTGACATTGACTGCGGAACATCTTATCAGTACTACTTGAATGAATCGTTCTTCCAGGGCGAGATTTCCCGGAGCGAGATCGAGCGTGGAGTCGTCAGACTTTACTCTAACCTCATGAGTCTGGGTTACTTTGACGGCAACAGTAGCGAATATCGCAATCTTGATTGGTCTGACGTTGTCTCGACCGACGCATGGAACATCTCATATGAGGCCGCCGTGGAGGGTATTGTTCTGCTCAAGAACGATGGAACCCTCCCTCTGTCCAGCAACATCAGTAGTGTCGCATTGGTTGGACCGTGGGGCAACGCTACCGAGCAGATGCAAGGAAATTATTACGGAGACGCTCCCTACCTAATTAGTCCGCTGGCGGCTCTCCAAGCCTCGAGCTTGGAGGTCAACTATGCATTCGGCACCAATATCTCATCAGAATCCACCACCGACTTTGCCAAAGCTATCGCTGCCGCCAAAAAATCAGATGCAATCATTTTCGCAGGAGGCATTGACAATACCGTTGAAGCAGAGGGCATGGACCGCTCCAACATTACGTGGCCAGGAAATCAGCTTCAGCTCATTAAAAAACTCAGCGAACTGGGCAAGCCAGTGATTGTTCTGCAAATGGGTGGTGGTCAGGTTGATTCCTCATCTCTCCAGACCAACAAGAATGTCAACGCTCTCGTCTGGGGTGGATACCCGGGTCAGTCCGGCGGACAGGCTCTTCTGGATATCATCACCGGAAAACGCGCGCCCGCTGGTCGACTGACAACAACTCAGTACCCAGCGAAGTATGCATTGGATTTCCCCGCCACGGATATGAATCTTCGTCCTAGCGGAGATAATCCTGGCCAAACTTACATTTGGTATACTGGGAAGCCTGTTTTCGAGTTTGGACACGGCCTATTCTACACAACCTTCAAGGTCTCGCTTGCACGGTCAAGAAGCTTGAGCAATGGAAGCTCTTATGATATCGTTGACCTTTTGTCGCGATCTCACGAAGGCTACAATGCGGTGGAGCAGCTGCCCTTCTTGAACTTCACTGTGTCTGTCACCAATACGGGAAGTGTTCTCTCAGACTACACAGCCATGCTGTTTGCCAATACAACTGCCGGGCCGAAGCCTCTTCCCAACAAGTGGCTAGTTGGCTTCGACCGGCTAGGCTCTTTGAAGTCTCACTCCTCCCAGGCAATGGCTATCCCTGTCTCGCTGGATAACGTTGCCCGCACCGACTCCCTAGGCAACCGCATTGTCTATCCTGGAAAATACGAGTTGGCCCTGAATAATGAGAGATCGGTGGTCTTGTCATTTACCTTGACTGGAGATGAGACAGTCATCTCAAAGTGGCCGTTGGATGAGCAACAGATCCCTCCTGCGTGATCTTGAACTTTGAGCAGGTAAAAATACATGTATCGATATGCTTTGCATAACTCTGTTAAATAGTTCCATAGTGTGGATGTATGGAACAATGAACCAGTTTAACTCAAATAACTTCGTGCTAAGAGGCTTTCTGAAGTAGCCAAGGCCTCTGGATGCTTCAAGGGCTTGGAATATCTCCCTGGCATTGTGCCACAGCGGCCTCCGCCGTAGCCCGGAGCTTGGTCATGATCGTGTTGTACGTATAGGGTGCGAATTGCGTGACATCCGCTAGCCATCGAGAGATAGACTTTGAAGGACAGTTGATCTGTGTTGCAGCCGCTGATACATTCACAGAGAGGCTCTTACATCACGTTTTGGCTAGACTCGTTGATGGGAAAAAGTCATTAGTGGTGGAGAGTAACCCATCAAGACGTGTCTTCCAAGTCGGCGGGGCATTACAAGAATGGGAACATGGCTGTTCATTAGGCTCAATTTCTTTTTTTAGAGAATTGAGATGGTAGAGGCTCGCACCACATAGTTATACATAACAGAAGCGCCATGAAGGTAGACACCAGCAGTATATGACCATCGGGCTGTATGGTAAGATGTGAAATTGGAGGAGTCAGTGGTACCATCGTACACTTGATAGTCTGAGGTGATCAAACCGACGCCTTTCGACCAGTACCAAGCTTTGTTGGCCCAAGTTGCATGTGTTGTATTGCCAGTGTATCGTAAATGGGCCAGTGTATCGTAAATAGGCCTTGGGCAACACAGATACAGGTGCCCAGCGCCAGCATCGGTAATTATAATGCGAATAGCTTCGATCTGAGGAGGGCTTGGCATGGAGGCGGAGGCATTGGACGGGTATATATAGGCCAAATAGGTTGACGGGAGCCTCTATATTGAGAGATGCCTACCAATACGAGTTCGGATTATGCATACCCTCTAAGAATGATAATGCGGAAAGATATTCGTTCGAACAGTAGATAATTCAAGCTGTCATTGGTACAGATTGAAAGGAATAGGCATCCGTTTGAGGTAGCTGGACTGGTAAGTTTGATGAAATGCCGTTTTGGACAGAAATTTGACCGGCACCATCGAAGGACAAGAAGTATAGAAGCGATTAATAACTACTAAATGGAATGGAAAATCTACAAGTATTGACTCCGAGTTGATGCCTTGTAGTCCAGGTGTCGATATAATGTGGATGCGGTCATTGGCTCCAACGTTGGGGAGTTCGTTCCCCGCAATCGACCATCCGCAGTTCGCACTTCACAGATCACAGCCCTGCGCTCGAACCCTACTGCCGGCGGGACTATGGACACCAGTCCTCCAAGTGCCCAGCAGATCTCGGGTATTGCCTCTGGGGGCGCCTCGGCGCGGGACCCGTTGACCGGAGGTCGTCAGATTACTCGAAATCGGGCGAGCTACAGTTGCCACACCTGTCGCCGGCGAAAGGTGAAATGCGACAAAGTACGCATCTCGGTTCCTCATATACAGGAAAGCCGCTGACTTTAAATCTCACATAGGTGCACCCGATCTGTGGGAACTGTGCGAAGACCGGGGCCGAATGCGTATACGATGTGTCGTCGCAAAAGCGGGAGGAGGAGCGCGATGCACCTTCTCGAAGTGGACAAGGTGTGAAACGAAGGAGGGGAACCTCAAGGACTTGGGAAGACAACGTGCACGAATTGCAATCAATCTATGGACATTTAAGGGAGGCCGAGTCATCGCCAGATCAAAAACCAGACCCCCGAGCGATCGAAAATCGACTGGACAAGCTGATGAACATGATTGAACGAATTGGTGGGACTAGTCAGGCTCTCGAAGCGGCCGAGAAGCAGTCGGCGGCGTCGGCTGCTGGTATGGAGTCAGCGCTTATGCAGGATTTGCGACAAAGAAATGCACGGAATGAGACATTCGACCCTTCTCGACAATCTAGTCCACGTCGAGCTCCACCAGAGTCTAGTGGTGATGAGTTTCCAATTCCATCTGGGCAAGCAACAGATTTGGTTGATCCAGTGGGAAGTCTGAACCTCGGGCATCTTAGCCTGGAAGATGGCGGGAGATCGAGATACGTGGGAACAACATACTGGGCTTACATTTCCCACGAGGTATGCTGATTCTGATTTTTCTTGTTCGTGGTAAAAAGTTTTAACGTGATATGAAGATCAATGATCTCAATCAACTGCTAAGAGATCAAAACCGGTCGCATGAACAACAATCTTCAGATGTCATTAACGAGGACGATCTCATAACGAACGGCCGCCGACCGTGGAGGCAGTCTATTGACAGCTCAACATACGCAACCTCATCAAGATCCCCGCGCGGTTCGTTCCAACAATCGATCATCTTCCCGACTGGTGAATCCCCGACCGTAAATGAAAAAATCGTCGAACCAGAAATGCTTGAGCATGTTCCGTCCAGACGCCAGAGCCACATTCTGTACAAGGCCTTCATGTCGGGTATTCATGCAATTAGCCCCGTTCTCCATCCACCAACTATCCTGAAGCTCTACAATGCATTCTGGGACTGGTACGACTATAGCAGCTATTCCGGAGAACCTTGTCCGAATCCGTCATTTTTACCACTGCTATACGCCATCTGGTACGGAGGATCAGTGACGATATCGATACGAACCATCAAGGCCGAATTCAACGTGCCTTCTCGCGTCCCGTTATCAAACATCTACAGCGAGGAGGTCACTCACTGGTTGACGAAAATCTCTTTTCCTCGAAGCCCTTCTCTGCAAGGACTAGCCGCATATCTCATTGTGCAGACCATTCTGTCCAAGGAGGAAGAGCCTCTGACAAGCAGCCTTTTTATTAGCCTCGCGATGAGAGTGGCTCAAACCATGGGCCTACATCGTGACCCGGCCAAATTTGGGATTGAGCCCTGCGAGGCGGAATATCGGCGCCGGTTATGGTGGCATATCATACACATGGATGGTGTGGTGGCAATGTCCAGTGGGCTACCTCCATTAGTCAGTGAGGAGAACTACTGGGATGTACGTGAAACGAGCGAAGTAAAGGATACTCTGCTCGGTACCCCGGCGGCTGAGCGATATGAGCAGCTGGTGGCCACAAAACAGCGAGTCCCAGACAATCCTGATGATCCGTTGCTTGGCGGGGGACCGTCGATGGTAAATGTGTTTTATCTGAATGCCAGAGGCAAATACATAATGGCCCGTGAGTGCGATCTATTCATCATTCAAATAATAAAGCTAACCACAGTTAATAGGTGCCGTTCGCCGAATTCTGAAAATTCAGCTGGGTACGAAACCAGTGACTCGCAGAGACATGGAGGAACTTCGGGTAGTTCTTCTCGATCTTCAGCTCAACTTGAACTCCATAATTGACAGAATTCCTGATCGGAAAGCCACAGATGGTACTCCGGGATCTTCTGGTCGCGCCTTGTCCATGTCCAAGTCTCCCATTGAGGCTAGTTCTGCAGACCCAGAGCCTCCCGGCGAAGGTATCAACGGCTGCCCGGAACAATACCATTCACCAGTCCATGCTTCATTCCACAAGTGGGCGAGAATTATTCTGTCACTGTATATTGACAAGGTTGGTCATTTCAAGGCGCGAAGCGGTGCGTTTCTTCTCGCTAACTTATCATCGTAGGCATTCTGTGTCGCATACCAACCTTTCCTCAAGAATGCCCGCAGCCGTATTTGGCCCGCCGCACGACAAAGGTGAGTCTTGGGATTTCCATCTACAAGAAGGTTTCTCTAACAGCTTTAGTGCCCTCCGTCACTGCCATGGATTTATGGAAAAGTTCATTCAGCTCGCCACAGACCCTGATTTCCAACCGTTCCAATGGAGCTGGCCTGGGAATCACCAGCCCATGCATGCAACAATGTATGTGAATCGCTTTTTCTAATTTGCGAATTACTCTTGAAGCCAACTAACTGTTGACAGGATCATGCTCATCGACCTGTACGAACGACCGTATAGTCCGGAAGCATCAAAGTCTCGCGCGTTCATTGATCGGATCTTAGCTCTGTCTGGGCCCGATGGAGGTGTTGTAGGCGGCGAAGATGGCATCTCTACACAACGGCCACTTAAGGATGGCGGACGCGAAGCTTGGGAGATGATCCGCCGTCTCCGTCAGAAAGCCTGGCAAAAAGCTGGCCTCAACCCGCAAATGCTTTGGACCGAACAGGACCAAATACAAGCTGGCATTGCGTCACCAGCAGGGGATCCAGGAAATCTTCGCAGTCCGTTCTACTCAAGGCCTGATTCTCCCTCGGCACTAGCAACGGCATCTGTGGCTCCAGACCGGCAGTTATCGGACTTTAACAAGACCTTTTATAACATGACTCGTGCCCATTTACTTCCGAATCCTGCTGTTTCTCCAGCTTCACCCCGTCCCAGTCCTCTACGATACTCATACCAACCACCTCCCCCGAACCAAACTTCCCTGCCGACCACTCAATACAATCCCATACCGGCAGCTGTCAACAACTCAAAGACAGGTAATATGGCTACTCAGTCTGCCATGGTCACATCCGCTTTGGCTAGCCCCCCTGTGACCCACTCCCCCACTGCCACTTCCACCATTCCTGTACCCCCTCAGCAAGCCATCCCCAACAATACCTCCCCACAAATGCCTTTCATGGATCCAGCTTCACCTGCTCCCCCGATGGGAGTCCCCACTCCGCCCTCCATGGTGGATCCTAATCTGAACTTTGACTGGGATCAGTGGGATGCTGTGTTTGGACAGCATCTTCCTGTCGCCGATGAGCTTATGGAGCTGGATCCCGTGGCAGGGCTGGACTTTGCCAACCTTGGAATTCCATCTGGAAACACCCCCGGCAATTTTGGGGCCAATGGATTTCCTGTCACTACGCCAAGTGATGTTGGACTCCCGTCTGTCTGGCCAGACCAGGGCTCGGCGAACCCCCAAGGACCTTCTTCAAACAACTGGACTGGATACAGTTGATAACAAACTTTTGGAAATCTTGAAAATAATACAACTGTAATATAGTTCAATGATCAGCGGTTGAAGACCTGCATTGTACATAAAAGGAGTCAAAAAGGCAGTCTGGCTGAAGATTTCCAATGTCTCCGCAGCAGTCGCAGATCTTGGCATCAACCATAGATACTAACGTATAACAATCTGAGTCATGGATAAAGCTCCTACGGCCATCGCATATCTCTACGTGAAAGGTATAATTGAAGACATAACAGTATATCGATTCATGAGGCGTTACTCTTGACGATCAGATGGATCGATCAATTAGGATACGAAGATGCGAAGTGTAAAGCCGGAACAGATAAAAGGCCCGGCGGGAGGGAATAAACAAATCTCCGCGTCGATCTAGGCAAGGATGCAAAGAGATCGCGTTTCTTCGTAGCTGGCTTTCTTCAAGTCAAGTGCATTTTTAAAAATTCGCCGAGAAGATCAGATGCTTAGACCTTGGTCTCCTTGAAGCCGTGCTTCCAGACGGTGGCGAAGGGGGTAACACCATCCTCACGGAAGTCAATCAGGACGTGCCTATGATGAATTAGCGTCAGGCTATAAGTCAATAGAGATCAATGGAAACATACATGGCATCACCGTCCATGGACTGGCCCATCAAGACATCGTAGTTGTCGTAGTTGGCAAGGATCTTCTTCATAGCAGCGGGGGCACCGGCCTTGAACTCGGCAATGGCCTCGGCGGGGGCACCGTTCTCCTCGAGCTTCTTCATGACCTTCTTGAGGTAGGCTGGAAAAGGAAACAGGTTAGTCGAATTGGTGAGTTGTAAAAGTTGAGGCATAACGAACTCTTCAAATGAGACTTGAAGCCGTCCTTGGAAGGCTTGAGGCCATCTTCCTGCTTGAGCCAGACGAGGCGGAACTGGTCCTCAATGTCGTGGACCATGACGGCCTCGCCCTCACCACCATCATCATCGCCATCCTCAGCGGAGGGGTTGGCACCCTCGAGAGTGAAGTCCTCGTTAGCCCTCTTGAGGTACTTGCGGCAGTCGGTCTCCCAGAGGATGGGGCAGTCAGGGGCGGGCTTGATGTTGAAGGTATCGGAGAGAACCTCGTCTCCGGAGATAATATCCTGTGATGATCAGCCGATGATTCCTATATGCGCCTTTGATATGCGATAAGATTGAGAGATATACCTCGTAGATAATCATGGTGACGGTTTTTTAAAGAAAGAAGACTTTGAAGAAGAAGGAATGGGGTTGGAGGGGAAGAAAGGAAAAACAAAAAAGGAGGGGAAAGAAGTTTTTTTTTAGTGGCGGCCGGTGGGGGAGTTTGCACACGTGTTTGCATTGGATTCACGGTGCTGACTCAGCCATACAGATGCACGCCTTTCTGGGAAGTATACACCCGGGGCTAATCTGGATGGGAAATGTCGTCTATCGTTTTTATAGAATAGCATTTCATCTCATTCTTCTTGAGAGTACCATATATACTGCTCACTCTAGATGGTAGAAGATGCCATCGTGAAGATCAAACCCCGCATTGGCGACCATGTCGACCCACATCTCTTCTTGAAACAGTAGATCTGGGCGCTCATCTAGCAACTCTGGACTCTCCGAAGTTTCGTGCGATGCTCCGTTCGATGGGCTTGAGGTTGGATTGGAGCTGAAGAAGACGTCATTGGACGCGATAATTTGTGCACTAGTGTCATTTAGGGCGGCAGTGGCGACTAGCGCCTGGGACGAGGTACGGGCAGATGGGGTGACACCCGAACTCGCCATGGATTGTTGAGGTAACTGGTCCCGATAATGGATATTTCCGGGTACCGAAGATAGCTCTCTAGGCTGCTGGGCTACTGCCGGCCGGTTTTGAGCAGTGCGATACTGAGCAAGGAGATTCTCTAGGAACCGGGCCTGTAGAGTACAGCTGGAGCCGTGGGGAGCAGACTGGTCATTGAAAGTGGCAGCAGCCTTGTCAATTAGCCCCAAAACAGTTGATTCCATATCGGCCGTCATGAGCTTAGAGCACATTATGCCAACCTTCATGAGAAAGATCGCTGCGTACGCGGTCATGACATGCACCGAGTCCTGAGCGAGGTACAAATGAGACGAGAACTCTGTCACCAGGTTGAGCATGGAGAGAGCGCTTTCATAGCTAGTCCAAAAAGGCTTGATCTCTGCAGTTTCGCCCTCCTTCGGATTGAATATCGTGTCTTGAAGAGGGAGAGAAAACAACTGTAGCCGTAGGTGGGCTCCATAAAACTGAATCAAGAACGAATGGCATGTTTCTGTGGTGTGGCTTTAATTTTATTTATTCAGCAAAAGGGTTCTTATAGATAAATACCGGTTTTGACGATTCTCGTCCATTTACTTTCCCATGAATCAATGCGCTTTTGAAGACTCGAGAGTAGTTGACCCCGCGAAGATGAGAATGGTCGCAGGCATTCAAAAGCATCTGCTGCCAATAATCGAAGAGAGACAAAGCTGCAAAGCAACCGATCGTTAGGGATAGCAAATGGGGATTGCCACCAAACGTCTGCAGATTCGATCAATTGACCTCTGTCGATCATCCACGGCTTTCCCGTTTGCAGGCTCATGCTTGTCAAGGTAAGCATAATTGGCCAGGTTTTGTGGAACAGTGCTCTCACCTGCGGTCATAGACAAAAAGAACCAGCCACGTTCGTTCTACATTCCTGGCTTCTCTTTGACCGCTCTCCGTTGAGTTGGTTCCATGAGCCGTCAATGCATGCCAGTTCAAGTCTGACCCCATTCTAATGGCGAGACCGAGTGACATCCAGGCACGCGCATCATTGGGTTCCTTCCAGTAGGTGAGGATAAGAATTGCCTGGACTAACTCTGTGGATTTTTCACCTTTGCGAAGGCATTGAGAGAATAGATCTTCGGCATGTGCATGGAGCGTAGTGTATAAGGCAGAATTGAAGGCCTTGGATGCCGCCGCCAGGACAGTTGTAAAGAGGAAGGGGGACTTATATCGCACATAGGTAAAAGAGTGCAGTTCGGGGTCTAGCTGGCTAACATATGGATTTAGTTTCGTCATGAAACTGGTTTATGGTGTCAATTAGTTATTAAAATGAGGTAGAAATGACGATCGACTCACTTCTCAAATAAAGAACGGGCGACTTGGTAATTGATCAAGCATGATACCACCGGATCGTTTGCAGGAATAGACGCGTTTTCATCGCTGAGCGTCACAGAGATGTGATTGGTGCTCAGAACATTCTGCAGCGAGAAATTTCCCTTGATCGCCTGCTGGCTCAACAAGCCATCTGGCTGCAAACCCTCTGATTGTGTCCAGAAGTTTGGCGTGTCCTTTTTTCTTGATGTAGATGACATCGGGGATATCATGTCCCCTTGCGAGCCGTGTGACCTTGAGTCTTTCAGGCATGGACCTTCTCTGTTGATTCTGCCCTTGAGTCTGCCATGGAGTATGAGATTAGATTATCCTCTCGATCAATGCTTGATTCTCATACCTTGTGCCTGGCTTTCTGCCCCGGCGATGCTCACGAAATGCGCAAACGAAGGACTTCCGAGAGCAACGGTCACATTCAGCTGCGCCTGGTGCCATCATGCACTTCATTTTCACCTTTCTACAAGCAAGGCAGGCATTGGATGCTGTCGAAGAATCAGATGATTTTCCTCTGCGTCGTCGGGCCATCTTACCGAGCGTTGTGCCATACACATCTCTCCCACTGCGAGAAGCCATCTAAATTGGGGCAAGAAACAATTTTAACAATCCCGTCCGTCCGTCGAGATCGAATTCAACCTCGTTATAGAAGGTGAGTGTTCTAATGAGTCACTAGCGCTCATTACTAACGGGTTCCCCGCGACTTCCACATTTGTTATCGATCCGCGCACCTTCTCAACCAACAATATCTTGACCCTTATCTCGCCAAGATAAGAAGCTGACACTCTTGACCGGTGACCTTTGTGACCTCGGCGACCTTTAGTGTCATTTAAAACGCCGGTGTACCCACTCCAATTACCGGTACAATTTGAAAGGCCGAGTGGGAGCTAACCAAACCCAACTTTAGTACCGGGTGGCATATGCCATAACTTCTCAACGTTCTTGCAGACACTCGTCTGAATGATATTACCTCTCGGACTTTACGATGGCAGCTCAAAGACCCAAGTCGACGCATGTCAACATGATGGCGGACACCACCATTGCCAATCTTTCTGTTGACGGTCTACGTGCAGTCTTACGTGGTATGCTGGCAAATAAGCCTGATTGCACCGGAACGTTTGAAGAACAAGCTAGAAACTTTATTCACGAGACGGCTCCCCGTTTTTCCAAAACGACAATAAAAAAAGCGGCAAATGGCCCTTTCCAGCCAAAGTCCTCTTTTGAGGAGACTCGAAAACGTGTCTGCTGTATGGTCGGCTGTGGACTATGCTACGAGGCTCTTCCTCTACTTCAGTACGTTGTGGAGCGAGTATCAGAAATGGACCTTCAAGACTACACTTGCCTCGACCAAGAAGTTGCAGCCGTGGATGGTGCCATTGTGCAGAACATTACTGCTGTCCAGAAGACACTCTTCGTGGTCACTGGCACAAGGGAACTCTCTGCCGAAGAGCGATTGCCACTCAATGCTTTGCTTCAGTCGCTTTTGACATGTAAGCTGAGCTGGGAGAGATTCGAACAGTCTTTCCCATTAGAAAGAGGGCTCGAAGCGACGACAGATCTTCTTGAGCCTTCTGTAGCCTCTCAATTACCGACAAATCCAAGTGCTCTCTCTTGCGAGGATCTCTCGGCCATCCCAGAGACATTCCATCTGAGCGGCATTGCACTGCCTCGAGTCTTTACGGGATTGTGGCAACTTTCTAGCCCCGCATGGGGAGCGGCATCGCGATCTAAAATGATGGAGCATTTCTCTCGATACGTTAAAAATGGGTTCACTGCATTTGACATGGCCGACCACTACGGGGACGCAGAGATAGTCTTTGTATGGCCCATTCCCCTTCTCATGTAGGGCAACCGTCTGATCGTTGAATCGTAGGGTCGATACCGGGCTTCCAGTGCCTTTTCAAATCAAATGTTCACTGCAACCAAGTACTGTGTATTTCATCCAATGACCGTTACCCCGGAAGCCGTCCGTGCCAACGTGAGCGAACGGTGCCAGAGGCTACGGACCGATAAGATTGATCTCCTTCAATTCCATTGGCAATTTGTGGGTTTATTTAAATTGAAGCAATCAGATTGTACTTGAAAGGTTTTGCTGACTATCAAAAACCAGTACGATGATACTCAGTATATCGACGCCCTTAGGTACATACAAGAAGATGCTCGAGTGAAGCATCTCGGTCTTTGCAATTTTGACACCAAGAATATGCAGAGAGTGGTCAACAGTGGGGTCAAGATTTTTACAAACCAGGTCCAAGTGAGAGGCCGTGTATATTTCTATTGTTTGCCTCCATGCTAACTGATGCAGTTCTCTCTCATTGATTCCCGACCAACAGTAAAGATGGCCAAATTCTGCGAAGAACATGAAATCAAGCTTCTTACATACGGCACCCTTGTATGTACCACCAATTCTGTCTTTCATCTAAATTCGGCTCGTTGTAACAATGTGATATGCAGTGCGGTGGGTTACTCGCAGAGAAGTGGATTGATCAAGATGCCCCGGATCTATACAGCGAGAACATCACACCAAGCCAACGCAAAGTAAGGTACCTCATTCCGAAAGATTGATGATCTTGGCTAATTTGTATCTCTAGTATTTTTCAATGATCAACAGTTGGGGAGGCTGGGGCCTGTTCCAGGAGCTTCTCCATACACTTCAGTCTATAGCACGCAAACATGGCGTTACAGTCTCCAACGTCGCTACACGATGGGTTTTGGATTTCCCATGTGTGGGTGCGGTGATTGTAGGAGCACGGATGGGTGTCAGTGAGCAGTGGCAAAACAATTTGGCCAGTCTAGGATGGTCTCTGGATGCGGTGGATCATAATTTGATACAAGACATTTTGAACAAAAGTAAGAAAGACGAGATGTTCGAGGCCTTGGGCGACTGCGGTGGGGAATACAGATAGCATCTTACTGGTCAAATGAGATCATCTAGGATAGGCGGAAAAATGCGAAAGAATGGAGGTTGTTATTTAGTTATTATCTATTCCGACGCTGCCTAATGCCCAAAAACACCCACCTCGGATAGAAAACCCTACGAATTGAACCTGATTCAAAATACTGAAAGATCTTGCTAAGGCCTTGTAGATCATATCGAGTGAACTAAACGAGTCCACCATCGACGTTCCGGGTCCTCCTCACTGGCATGCTGCCAGTGATCCTTTTCCTGCTCAATGGACTCGAACTCGGTCTGTAGGTCCATCTCCTTTAGTGGGATCGTTTTCGACTTCAGGAAGAACTTAAAGAAAATGTACAGCACTGCAGTGCATTAATAACATGAATAAGAAGCCCGTTGTGGAGACAAACCGGCAAAGATGGCAATGTTCAAGTAAGAGGTCAAGAATCCGGCTGCGGTAAAGTTTCCGGTGGTAAATACGTCGAATCCTGCAAAGCCACAAGGTCAGTTCTAGCGAGACGAGCCGCGAGGGACAGGTCTCCAAGAAACAAACATACCGGAGAATAGGACGACCAAGATAACCATGAAGAGAGTTGCCCATGCCGTGTATGGCTGCAAGGGGCTGCGATAAGGAAGGGCTGGATCCTGTCAGTAAAAGATCCTCCCTTGAACAACAGTCAACTCACCTTTTCTTGAATATCCCTGTGCGGAAAGGCCCGCGTGGAATCGAAGATAAGTTATTTCAATAACAATCCAGCCTATCAAGCCCGCAACGGTAGTAATATTCACAAACCAGTTGAAAACGATGGATGAGTCGCTTCCAACCGACATGTACATCAGTGGAAGTAGCAACACTGTCAGCCCAACTGCATAGTAAGGTGTTCCAAATCGGTTGCACCTTTGAAACAGCTTAGGAGCGTGTCCGTCTCGACTCAGTCCGTACAAGGTTCGAGATGCGATAAAAACACAGCTCGAACCGCTGCTGATAGCAGAGGTACAGACCACTCCGTTGATAATATGAGGGAGGACAGAGACACCGGAGCGCTGAAAGGCGATCACGAAGGGTGATTGTTGCGCAGTGCCAGTAGACAAAGTCAGGTCAGGGTCGTTGTACGGTCTAGGTCAACAAGTTAGTGACTCGTGGTCCACCTCAAGTGGAGGTCTGTGGGCCATACACAATAAGTCCAACGATGAATATGCTGAGCACGTAGAATAGAAAAACGCGGATAAAGATCTTCCTAGTTGCAGCAGGAATGGTTTTGCGAGGGGTTTGAGTCTCCGAGCCCGAAATGGCCACCACTTGAATATTGCCATAGCTAAAGGCAGAGGTCAGGAGGACTTTCCAAAATGCCAAAAATCTTCCAGTGGACCCCGTGTTGATATACTCGTTGAAAGCACCGGGCGTGTTCCAATAGTGGAAACCGAGGCGTTGATGATTAGGGCCGCCGCCGAGATCAATAACGAGGCCGCCGATGATCAACCCAAGGATCAGCATAATCTTCAGAGTTGCAAAGACGACTTCGGTCTAGAGTTTCATTAGCAAAGCCCATTTCCGTAACCGAGCACGACCGACTTCTCCATATAGACGGACGCCGCAAACATTGACGACGGTAATGAAGAATCCAAAGACGGTGATCCATACGGCTACATTGACTGGTACATTCCAGAATTGAACGACAGTCGCAGCTGCTGTAATCTCTGCGGGAGCGGAGATGGCCATGGTATACCCTGCAGCAATCAGCCCTGGTCGAGAGAGACCGAGAAAATGAGCTCACAGAAATTCCAGCCCGTCGCTGCGCCGAGAGCTGGCTCAACGAACTTGGTAGCATGCCGAATGAATCCACCAGTCACAGGCATAAAGGCCGTGATTTCTCCTGTCGTATAAGCAACTCCAGCAGTGATGAAGCCCATGATAATATAGGCCATGAATGCACCTGCAGGGCCCGCAATGGCAATGACCTGTCCGGAGCTTAAAAATAGACCCGTCCCCTGCGTATGGGTGACCCCGACGTAAGCGCTCCGTCTACCAAACCACCAACGAACAACTTACAATCATTCCAGCAATGGCAATCATATTGATATGACGGGACTTCAGATCCCTCTTGATTCCTTCGCCTTCGTCGACCTCGGGACCTGCATACGTCTCGACATCCTTGGAGAATGACTTCACCTTTTTCTCGTCGGATGACTCCATAGTTTTTAATGTGATAGAAACCTGGGAGACACAACTAAACCGCCGTAATGGCTGACAGGAGATTTAACTTCAGCAGAAGGACATGGGAGTGACGGCATGAAGAAATAGATAGCTTATCTTCACGACCTGTACCAACATTCCCTGACAACCAAGAGATAGGGAGCATGTTCACCCTGTGTTGTGTGGGGGTGGATTGATGAGACCGGCCTCTTAAGTTGCGGGGGAGCCCCAAGAACGCCGGTCATCCCACAGATAGGAACGCCGGCCTCTTGGCCATACTATCAATTCCAACCGCACGAGCTTCAACGAGGGCAAATTCCATCGCTGGGATAGACACTGGCTCTCCGCCATAACGACTCCAACAAATTCTCTTGATTCTCTTAATTCTTTGTGTCCCCTTCTCACTTTTCCTACTGCTTAGTTGTTTCTCACGGAATGAGCGAAGAATTCCAACTCTACGATCTGCGCGTCGAGGTGGTATGCCCGACCGGCAAACGAATCATGTGCGGAGCGAAGGAGGGCGACCATTTCACGCTCGAGGGTGAAATGATGCATTTGCCTGCTGGCCAGGGGATTAGCATCTATAGTCTGGGTATGCGAGTCGATGCACTGTGCGAAGTGAATAATCAACGACTGACTCGTTGAACCTTGTAGCTTCAGTCCTACCCTTGCTAGCAGCTAAACAACGCCTGACGCACGAGCATGATTGGATGACAACGGACTCGCTGATCGCCTGCCCCGATCCCAATTGCCCGTCACAGTTGAAAATCATTCGAACGGGCGTTCGGACGTTTAAGCATTCCGAGACGACTGCGGTGCCATTGACGACGGAGTCTTAATTCGTAAAAACACTACTACTGTACATGTCGATATTGAAATGGCAAAGCGCAGCCAAGGCGCCGACTACATGGTTCGGTGATTGTTTGGGTTTATGCATGCGGCGATGTGATGCTACAGTTGAAGTTACTTATCGATCCGTGGTGGGCCCAAGCCTAATTCCAGGAGTCACCTGTGAGGCGTCTGGCGCGAATTGTCCATCAGGGGGAGCCAGGTACCCTGTTCCACGGCCCCAGGTGGTTCGGGAGCTTGCTCTATCCCTCGGTACCTCAATGCTAGTCAGACCACTTTTTCTCTCTCCCTCTACTGTAATTGGAAAAAAGTGGGTTACACGCCGTCGAACGCAGATCAACTGATGCCGGGCTGCTTCAGATGGGGCAGATGCGGGTGTTGATTATGATCGAATACGGTAAGTGACCATTTGCCCCTGTGGTCCGTCCAATCACTCAGCTCAGGGCGGTAATACGACGGTCACAGCGACAACCGGATCCGAACTCGCGCCACTCGTCACCTCCTGATCTTTTTTATCTTCTAATCGTTCTTTTTTGTCCCTTGAGACTCCCCCTCCTTTTCACCCTAGATTTGGTATCGCCTTGTGTGTGTGTGTTTGGACTCGAACTGCACCATTTGCATCGCGCTTACCCGTCAGCTTCCGACTCCCCCGCAGGGTAGTTGCTGACTGCCTTCCTTTCCCGACTTGACTTGTGTTATCCTTAATCATTGTATTGAGAAGTGGCACACTGCCACCACTCCTCCATCATGGCCAACGCGTCTGCCACCTTCGATCTACCTCCTCTCCCTAGCTACACCACCTCCGTTCGCGAACCGCTCTTTCCGCCCATTCCCGATAACTATGTTGCCCTCATCCTGCCCATTGTCGCTTACTGGGCCATGTCGATGATCTACCACTACCTGGACGTGAACAACTACTTCGAACAGTACCGCCTGCACACACCCGCCGAATTGTCGAAGCGAAACCGCGTGACCCGGTGGGAAGTGGTGCGCGACGTGGTCTTGCAACAGATCATCCAGACTATTTTCGGTGCAGCCATGGCGTATTTTGATCCCGTGGAGACTTTAGGCCGAGAGGAGTACGATATCGCCGTCTGGGCGCAGAGAATCCGGTTTCTGCAAAAGGCCATCCCCCCGATCTTGGCTCTTGTTGGCGTGGACGCCGCTGGTCTGGCCAAGACGGTGTCACAGCACGGACACACGATGCTGGCTGGTGCTCTAGCCGGTGGATCGTATCCGGGCGTGATGCAGAGTGTGATTCTTGATAGTGGCGCCGAGGTCTCGGCGCCCGCATTTACGGGCTGGGAGTTGACCTTGGCTGGGTTCATCTACTGGTACTTTGTCCCCGCTCTGCAGTTTATGCTTGCTGTCTCGATCGTCGACACTTGGCAGTACTTCCTGCACCGAGCCATGCACCTGAACCGTTGGCTCTATGGTAAGTTTGGATAAGCATATCTCCATGCATTTCTTAGTCTGATTTTTCTAGTGACCTTCCACTCTCGTCACCACCGACTCTACGTGCCCTACGCGTTTGGGGCCCTCTATAACCACCCCGTTGAGGGATTCCTTCTGGATACAGCCGGTACTGGCATTGGATTCTTGGTCTCTGGCATGACCAACCGCCAAGCCATGTGGTTCTTTACCCTTTCGACCATCAAGACTGTTGACGACCACTGCGGCTACGCCTTCCCCTGGGACCCTCTGCAGCACTTCACTTCTAACAATGCCGCTTATCACGACATCCACCACCAGAGCTGGGGCATCAAGACCAACTTCTCTCAGCCTTTCTTTATCTTCTGGGACCGCTTGCTCGGCACACAATGGACAGGCGAGGTCAAGCTCCGCTACGAGCGGGCTCGTGAGAGCGCCCAGAAGCAGGTTGACGCGGATGCTGCTCAGGCCAACAAGGTGCCGGCAACACCCGCTGTTGAGGAACGTGAGCACGAACCCGTGGTAGTCTTCTCCGAGGGACCGGCGACGCGGACCCGTCTGCGTCGCAAGACAGTGGACAGTTTAAAGAGACCCAGCCACGGTGTGTCGGGGACCGTCCTGCACAATTGAAGCTGTGATGAAATTTGAAGATGTTTTCACTACTCATGCATTGTTTGTCGGTCCTCGGAGCTGCCGGCCACCTCCCCGAGACCTTGCATTGTTTCTTTCATGTATATGGGGTTCCTAGTCCCACTGTATTAATAATATGAGACTGCCAGTCAATTTTTTTTGTACATGGTTTTCTCTACGGTTCACCATGATTTCGTGTCGATAATGTCTTATCTTACAAGTCGACGTCCATTGTTTACATTACAATCCAAATTCGATGTCATTTGCACAAACCAAAATACGGTCTATTCGTCACTAAAGAAACAAGTTCAAACGCTATTAAATCATGTTCGATTGATCAACCATCATGCCCCAAGTGGTCATCACCCGGGGCTGTCCCTGAAGTACAGGATCTCGGGGCTGAGGTTGCGGCGGAGGCTGGGATTTAAAAGTAGAAGCTAAATTCTCCTCTTCTGAATCCAAGGTAGCATCCGTCCAGTAATCACTACTGGAATAGTTCAAGAATGAGCTATTCTCGTTCACATAGGGTTTGTAGGTCGGTGAATTCCTCATGCTCATGCTCATGCTCAGCTGCTCATGCCGAGAATCCACTCTGCTGACACGCAAAGGTTCAACTCTTGCTCCCGGAACCGGCGTCGCTCGAGAATATGGGTTGTCGGTTGCAATTTCCCTGCAAGTCCTGATCATACTGAGCTCTCGCTCCACTTCCGACCACGAGTGAATCGAGGTCGTGCTGCTGTTTGCTCCGAATGGCGCCACGTGTAGGCTCGTGCTTGCAATGCTTTTAGGATGCAGATATAGAGATTGACGATGTGAAGTGAGACTCGATTGGCTTGTTACTGGAGTGAGGGTTGTAGATCGTCTGGACATTGCGCTCTCGTGCGTATTCGGGGAGTCTGAAGTGCGCCTTGAGTATGAAGCACGATCGGGGGGAATGTATGGGCTTCTATCAGTCGAGCCATCGGACCTTCTGTCACGGCGTCTGCTACTACGGAGCTTCCGCTGATGACGACGCGAATCCTTATTGTCAATGAGCCAGGCCTTGATGCAGGCCTTCCGAGTCGCTTTCATTTGAAAGGCCAAGTTGCTTGCGATCCCAAAAAGCTCGTCTGCTTTATCACCGCCGAAATGACGGATGCACTCATCAACGAACACCAGGAGAGTAGGTGCTCGATGATTCTTTCGAGTGCGAGTGCGGCTTTGCAAGACCACGCGCAGATTCCGAATCATCTCGCTGTCTGCTGCGATGCGCGCTAGGATGCATGCCGCACACCCATTGATCTGGTACGGCAAGGCATTCGGAGCCACCGGTTTGCCCATCTGAGGCTTGGTCCACATGCCCTGCAGGGTTCGTAGCTTGGCTAGAATCTCTGCCTCGACATCTCCAATGAGCTCAAGGTATTCTTCAATCTGGCGTAACCCCGATGTGACCTCATGCTGAACCCGGGTCAGAATGTCGTTGATCAACTCGGAGTTCAACCCTTTGTGTACACCACAAAGCCCTGCCGACCTAACCCTACTGCTGGACAGAGGCTGTGCGCGACGTAGCCGCTTCGGCATGGAATGGATGAGCTGTTCAATAAGTGAGGCAAGATGAGACGACGAGCCTGTGTTGTCTAGGTGCAGAATATTCGTTAGCATCCTCACCTCCGTCTTGCCCAATTCTCGGACTGTTCGCGGGTATGTCTCACGGGCTGTGGATTTTCTTTTATTGATCTTTACGGTGAACCGCTCGGGCACAAAGCTATGGTTCATGACCCCGAGATCTGTGCGAGAGGCGATGGATGAAAGCGTGCTGATTCTCAGGTGTTCGATACTGTTGGCTTGGTTGCAGTAGGTGTTCTATCCAACTTTGGTTTTATGTTTGATTCATGATAATGCTGCCCAGAGGGTGGAGGCAGTTCTTATATCTTTTCTTTGGGAGTCTGTCTTGCACTCTTTCAGTCTCAATTGTATCGGACCATGATAATGCATCCTGTGGTCTCAAAGTTATTCAGGCTGGATTGAGATAATGCGCTTTATTCTTTCAGTGGCTTCACAGACAAAGCCCATTACGTTTTGGATTTGGGTGATCTCGAGACCTTCTTTGTTATTCATAAAACTCTTTGACTTGGCACCATCTTAACTATTGCCACGGATTATTTTAGCTTCTTCAATCCACAGTGGTCACTGGAAACGTCACCTGGGGTCTGGGCATCCTATTCTAGATTGGATGTGGCATATACATGCAAATGTCATGGGATTGGTGAGAATTGTATCGAAGACTATTTAGAAACATCTGGATCTAAAGATCAAGCACGACTCGACCGACCCCTCTGGAGACACAGCTAAGCATCGCGGTGTCCTTTTCATTGTCAAGTAATCCGGTACCGCGATGTTCAACTCGACCACTGCGAACACCAACACGGCAAGTCCCGCAGTTGCCGGCCTCACATGTAGATGGGATATCAAATCCGGCAGATCGAAGCGCATCCAGAAGACTCTCCCCCGACCCCACGTCCACCTCCTTTTTGGTCTCAGCCAGTTCGGCAGTAAATGGGTCGCCAGTGCTGTTTGCTTGGAATGACTCGAAATGGACGTTTTCTTTGGGAAGCCCGAGTTCATCTGCTGTTTCCCGAACGGCATTCATCAATCTCTCCCCTGAGCAGCAGTAGATGTGGGTATTGCTGTTGGCTAGCTGAAGCGCTTTTGACACGTCGAATGGTTTGCTGAGCTTCTTAGAATAGATAGTCACATTGGACAGAGTTTGTAGATATGGCGTAAACGCCACCTCATCTGGGAATCTGACCACGTAGTGAAGATGGTATGGCACATTCCTTTGTTGTAATTCCCGGGCAGATGCAAGCAATCCGGTGATTCCAATACCTCCGGCGATGAGGGTATGGTGGTCAGCCTCACTCGCTAGAGGAAAAGTCGAGGCAAATTTGCTGATACTGATAGTGTCGCCTTCACTAATAGTCTCATGAAGATAGAGGGAGCCTCCTCGAGTGGTATCTCGGTCCAGGGCTACCCCTAGCGTGAAACGGTTCTGGTTTCCTCCAACCACTGAATAGGCTCTGATCAGACGACCACCCAATTTCACGCGCACGTGTGTGCCTGGTAGGGCATTCTCTGGGGATTCGATAGGCTGAACTGCTTCGAAAACAAAAACCTCTACGGTGGGTGTTTCCTTTCGTTTTTCCGCGAGTCGATAGTCGGCCCACATGTTAAGAGCCATGGACTCGTCACCCAGCAATCGCGCCTCTTGATTCTCGAATATCTTGTTGAGTCGATTCTTGAAGATATCTCGAATTTCACCGCCCAATTCCGCCATATTAGCCAAGACTTTCATCATCTCATAGTTCTCCTTTTCAATATAGAGGTAGTGTTGGACTCGAGCTACCGTCCATTCCGGATATGGACGCTTCATAAGCTCGATATCGTCGCCCGCATGAATAGAGCCCTCCTGGAGAATACGATAGAACCAGCCCGTTCGAAACTTTTCCTGGGTGAATCGTGACATGTTCTTTTCTTGGAATCGATGATTGAGTTTGTAGCATGGCTGTCGGGGTAGGCTAACCTGCGCAACCACGTCGCGACCAATTCGGACAATGTCTCCGATGCAAGTATTGCGCTCATTTGCTTTGCGCGCCACCAAGTTCTCGCCAAATCCACCAACGCGGAACATATGCTCACTTCCGGGTAATTCTTTGCCCCAGACATCGTAGTGGCGCGAGCAATACTGTAATAAAGCCTTGTCCGGGCCGCCATGGAATTCGTAGACATGTTCATCACCCCGGCATCCCAGTTTGTCCACGGTAACTGATCCATAGCGAACAGACTTGAAGATGGCGGACTGAAGTGGGAGGCCAAACACCGGCTTCCCTTTCCCGGTGCGGACTTCTACTAATTGATCCCGCTGCCAGGGCTGTTCCAACTCGGAGATGATTGTATCTTCGTCCATGGCATGCATTGCGCAGTGATGTGGTTAAGATTCCAGGGGCCGTTCCAGAGGATATTTGGCGGAAGTTAAGAACTTAATGATGACGGAAAGAGCCGAACTCCGTTGCATTTCCAAATGGTTGGTTCGCATGGCTGTGAGTCAGCTTGATAAGACTCAAGGCCCGAGCACATGGCTGGTATTTTGTGGCTGTTGATCTGCCACGCATGTGTTCCCAACAACATGGGACATGGATTCTGGAAAGGTCGGGATGAAATCAAGTTGAGTTGAGCATTGAGGCCGAGGGCTGTACCATCACATGACAATTGCGAATGGCAATTGCCTTCACGCTTTGGGTTTCTGTTTTCTGTTTTTCTGTCTGTTCTAGTTTCACTCGAGAGAAACAGCTTCACCATGCGGTCTCAGGTTCGTCTTGCCAAGAGAGACCGAAATGCGACTCCTTTACCATACACCGCATCGCCGCTCAGGCTGGTGTTGAGCGACATCTTGTTGGTTTTTGCGAATGCATGGGCATCCCCGGAGCTCATTCTGCCTCTTTGCCTCGGACGGACAAAATCGCTCGATGAGCTTCATCCATCCTTCCAAAATGGAGTATCAGTGGTCACTCAGGCGTTCCTTACCATCGGACAGGTTCTTTTTCTTCTATCCTTGCCGCTTGCAATCATATTCATGATTCCCGCTCTGTGGATCATAATATACATCGCAGCCAGCTTGCTTCTGAACTATGTGATTTGCATGCTGGTATTGAACGGCTTTCGGCGAGTTTTGGTATCACAGGTACCGGTAGACAGCCCTGGCCACGAGCGGGAACAGTGGTTCTTTATAAACGGAGTGGCAGGCGGGTGAGTGCGGGCACCTGGAACATCATCCTTGGCTAACGACGGTTTCACCTAGTTCCCATTGGCTACAGAACAGCATTGATCAGCTGTCGTACACCTTTGGTCGGAAAGTCACCGGGATCCATAACCGCACGTATGTTGCAAATTCCCCCTAGCTGTTCATTTATATGGTCTAATCGTTGTAGCGCGGGCTTACCGTTTGACTTGGTCGAGTGTTTGATCCAGCGCGGTTTTGCCTATGCCACTGCTGACGTGCGAGTGGCATATCCCCTGGTCAAAAGGGCACTGTTAAATCTCTCGTGTGAGAAGGTAGTCCTCATTCTTCACAGCCAGGGAGGTATCGAGGGTGGTTTGATCATCGATTGGCTATTGGATGAAATGCCTCAGGATCTTCTTCAGAAGTTGGAAGTTTATACTTTTGGAAACGCTGCTAACCACTTTAACAATCCTCATCGAATATGGCGATGTGGAAACGGCGAGCGTTCGAGAATCCAGCGACGAGCCAACCGGTCTATTGGATACATTGAGCACTATGCCAATACGGCCGACCCAGTTAGCTGGCTGGGGGTTCTACGCTTTGCCAATATCCCGAATCGCTACATGGGCCGGCTCTTTGTTCGCCCTGGATCAGGGCATCTGTTGAATCAACATTACCTAGACAACATGTTTACCCTTGGTCCTGATATGATGGTTCTAGAATCGAATCCTTTCATGGATATGGAGGTTGATACCAAAACTGACATGGCTCCGGGGAAGACTATGCGCGACTCAGAGTCAGAGGATCGTGAAGAGACATTGTTCCCTATTCCTCGCATCGAGAGCCAACTAAGACAGACATGCGAGCCAAACAATGTCCGAGGGCTTCTTTATGTCAAGGACTTCAGTCGTCTCTGGGCATACCGGAATGGAGGCTCTCCAGAAGAATCAAAGACTCCATGCTGCTAATGCCTCGAGGCTTTCATTATGCCACGCTTAAAGAGAACAACGAATGACACCCTCTATCCTATTGGTGCATTTTGGATATGCTCATGATCTGCAAAGGCTTTAGCAGACATCATGGAATATATATAGATACCAAGCCTAAAATTTATTCCCCAGAGGTGAGCTGCAGTCGAATATCTCAGGGGCCTGTTTTCTGGTTCCGTCTAGGTATTCAATATCCTCAGTTATGACAAGTGCGCTCGATATCTAGGTATTTCTTTCTTTGGAACTGCTACTTACCATTGTGTCGCCTTAGCTCACTTTGAATAAACTCAATGCCCGGAGGTTAGAAATCTTGTCACGCGGCCTTTGTCATAATGTAAATTGTGATGTGTTTTTAAGATTGTACATAGAGTTCAGATGAGCACTGCGGATGGATAATATCCACAGCAGCCCCCCGCCCCCCGAGCAGGTATCAACGAAGAATATATCTTCTATCATATCAGAAGCAAATAACGCCCATCGCCGTGCAATGCAAGTGGAAGATAGAACGGAGAAGAAGACATATCGTCCGATCATTTACCCTTCTTCTTATCCTTCTTCTTCTTTTCCGTTCCAGCTCCGGAGGGCTCGCCTCCCATTCCTGGCATTCCAGGCATTCCAGGCATGCCGGGGATCTGGGGCATACCGGGCATTCCTCCCATGTTCTGCATCTCGGCCATGGCCTCCTTGAACGGGTTGTCGCTGACACCGCCGCCGCTATAGGCCGGGGAGTGGATGGGTAGAATCTTGCCAATCTTCCAGCCACGCGGGGCAGGAGGAGCCTCCGGGAGTTTTTCGGGCATAGGGAGTCCGCGAATGCGTAACCGGTAGGGCGATTGCTCGGTGGTGGGGTGGGCTTTCAAGTATTCGGCGACGAGGATGAAAAGATGATGCTCTGCAGATAAATGGGTTAGGTGTGCTCAAAGAGGGGGGGAAAAGGGTTTCAAATCCACCAGCGCTGCCAGTTCACAATCCCTCAGAAGAGCCATTCGACGACTTACTATTCTTGATTTTGGAGTTCACCAATTTTCCATTCTCATCTTTGAGCATCACACGCACACGTCCGGGATTTGCCCAGTCCTTAGGGTGCAGCTTTTCAGGTTCCAAACCGGCGTTCAATCCCAGCATCTGCACGGCGTCCACAATGTCACGAGCGAGCGGGTTCTCCACAGCCAACTCAGCGCCGACCTTGCGGCCTTCTGCGCGAGAGCGGGTCTTGTCGAAGTAGACGGGGTAGAGGCATTGGAAGTGTTTGGGAATTTCGCGCTGCGGCTCAGGCATTGGAGCCTGGGCCTGAGCCATAGGAGGAGGGTTCGATGGGCGAGGAGCTGCTGCAGGGACGGACACGGGCGCGATGATGTTATTTCCAGTGAGCGGGGTGTCATCGTAGGGCGCGACCTCATCGGGGTCGGAGTCGGACAGCTCCTCGATCTGGGCGTGGCGCGACATGATGTGAGTTGAACGTGGAGTGGATGGAGTTGGCGGAGGAAGAAAGTGCGGGTGTGGCCTCTGCGCTTCTGTGCGGGCGGAGTGGGCGGAGTGGGCTGCTCGCCAGTTGCCGTATTCCAAGTAACTAATAGTTGTGAACATTATGCTCTATCACTCAATCCTTTCAAATTCGCGATAACAGGTGCCTCAAAGACCATGGTTCTTTTCCAGACTATGGTAATAGCAATGGTTCCATACATACGTTTTAATAATGATATACCTAAGGTCTGATGTAGGTTCTCTCCTGTTTGTCCCATTGGATATACTAGTCTTTAGCTCAAGTGCTTATTTTCCACTGGGGATATTTCTCTATTTGCTTCCAGATTCCTGAGAACAATTCGATTCAAAGTACACTATCCATAGTTATCTAAGGCTCTTGAAAATGGTATACTCGGAATTGAGTCATAGCCATAACCTCCGCTCATCCACGGATCTACAGTAGTGCCCTGAGCGCCCTCGCAACCGGAAAGCCCCCGGAGATTAACCCCCACCGAACACGAATTTGCCTTGGTATTCCTTCAATCATAAAGCACAGATAACGATGGACGGTAGGAGCGCGATATTGAATCCAATAAGCCTATCGGCTTCTCTCCCCTCGGCATGCCGAACCCACTTAATACATTGATGCCCCGCAGGAATTGCCTCGGGTACTCGAAGTGAAGTAGCATAAGAGGAATGCGTCCTCCATCTGCTCGAACGAGCTCAGACTTTAACCAATTCATTCACTTCGATACTTCCAAAGTTGTCACCGGTGTGTGAAATACCTTACGGAGCATGAGATGTCCCTCATACTAACATAATTCCTAGATTCTCCAAAATGTCCAGCGCTGTTCTGCACCGAGATACACGTTTTGTCCCAAAGAAGGCAATTGGGGGCCAAGGCTGCTATATAAATCTTGAGGATGGCACCAAGTTTCTTGATTCGACTGGCGGCGCCGCCGTCTCATGCCTAGGACACGGCAATGAAAAGGTCAATCGAATGATCAAAGACCAACTTGATCAACTGGCATACTGTCATTCGGCATTCTTTGGCACTCAGGTATCCGAGGACCTAGCTTCATTCTTGACTGAATCTACCGGTGGGAAACTCTCTAAGCTGTTCGTAGTCAGTTCAGGTACGTGACTAGCCAGAGAAAGTGATTCGTCCTGCTAACAAGGTGATCCTGCTTAGGTTCGGAGGCCATTGAGGCTGCTCTCAAGCTGGCGCGACAATATTTTCTCGAGCTGCCGACTCCCCAAGATCAGCGTACTAGGTTCATTGCTCGTCTCCCCTCTTACCACGGCACCACACTCGGGGCTCTAGGTGCCGGCGGACATGTTCTTCGACGACAGCCATTTGAGCCATTGCTAGCAAAGAATACCTCTCATGTTTCACCTTGCTATGCCTATCGGGGTAAGAAAGATCGCGAGTCTGATGCAGACTATGTCGCTCGTCTTGCTACAGAGTTAGATGCAGAGTTCCAGCGCGTGGGCCCAGAGAGCGTGTGCGCATTTATTGCAGAGCCTGTCGTTGGCGCAGTAAGTTTGATTAAATTTCAGGGGGTTCACACCAACTAAGCGATGTTTTAGGCTCTGGGCTGTGTTCCGGCTGTTCCCGGCTATTTTCCCGCTATGAAAGCTGTATGTGAGAGGTACGGTGCGTTGTTCATCTTGGATGAAATCATGAGCGGTATGGGTCGTTGTGGGACTTTACACGCCTGGGAGCAGGAAGGTGTTGTTCCCGATATTCAAACCATTGGGAAGGGACTAGGAGGTGGTTATGCCCCCGTCTCGGGAATCCTGATCAACGACTCTATCGTGCAAGCAATGGACAAAGGCTCAGGTGTGTTTCGACACGGACAGACATATCAGGGCCATCCAATATCCTGTGCTGCGGCACTTGCCGTGCAAAAGACTATCAAGGAGGACTCGCTACTTGAAAATGTGCGAACAATGGGTGCTTACCTTGAAAGTCAACTGCGCCAGACGTTTGAAAATCATCCGTATGTGGGAGACATCCGGGGCAAGGGTCTATTCTGGGGCGTACGTATAACATGGGCTGTCTGGGCTGAAACCTTTACTGATCTTTACATGCAGCTCGAGTTCGTTAAGGACAGGACCACCAAAGAGCCGTTTGATCCCCAAGATCGACTGTCTTTCCTCATTCAAGAGAAGGGACTGCAGCCGGAATTCGCTGTCTCTCTCTACGGTAGCCCAGGCACAGTAGACGGTATTCGTGGTGACCATGTGGTGCTAGCACCGCCTTATATCGTGTCCAAAGAAGAGATTGATACCATTGTGAATGTCATGACCAGAGTTCTGGCTGAAGTGTTTGCAGAGTTGGGGGTGTAATTGGGAACTATACTATCCGAAAGACTAGACGAGTGCAATTTGTGATAACAGAACGGAACGAGTTACAGCGAAAAGATCAGTTGAAGGATACTCATGTGGTAGTCTTTGCTACTATTGTACATTAAAACAAGTCAGGGAAAATCAACCCTGGGCTTCGATGGCAGCCATCTTCTGCGCCGCCGCATCCATTTCCATCTGTCCCTTCGAAGTGCCATTAGACACCACCTCTTTCGGCATAGAACTCGCTGCCCACAGTCCAGCGACGGTCTCGACCGCTCGTTCAACGACAACGCGCACGCGATCACGAAGAACAGGGTTGGTGCATTCCACTTCCAGATTCTCCAGCCAGACACGAGCGACATGTTTGTCGACTGTAATTTCAAGACCTGGAACCGGGATTCCTAGGGCTTGGAGGCGATCGAGCTCAGCCGATTCGATATCCGCAAGCCGCTCCTCGTTCACCTCAGTCGTAACACCGTCGGGTCCATTTGTGCCATTGACAAGATCCGCTGGAACACGAGGGCGTTCGATGGGGACAATGCTGGTGCCGAATTGGGCCTCGAGCATCATAAGCAGACGGGCCAATCGATCCTCAGCACCCAGATGAGAGTGAGGGTTGGGGAGAGCAGCAAAGTCCTCTTCATGGTGGTGATGATGGTGCTTGTTCTTGGCAGATTCTGTAAGTAGTAGTTGTTAGCATGGTCCTATCAGCTTGTCGATACAGTACGCACGCTTCACGGAGGCCGGGCTGCTCTCGACTGTAAGAAGAACGGCCATGACAGCATCAGCAACTCCATCGTTCATCATGTTGCCCTCCCACTCGAGTTCAACCTCCCGAGTACGTGAGTGGTGACGTAGAATCACACATCCCATGACAAGGAAAGTTTGTGTCTCTTCCATGGGGATTTCTTCGTCGGCAGTCTCCAGCTTCGCGCTTGAAATGTCCAAATCGCCGTTGGTCTCTTCTTTCGTCTCGGTCTTCGCGTTTGTCCCCACTTCTTCAATGGCTCCAAAAGTACCCTCGAGGGCCCATCGAATCAAATCCATGCTTGCCGAACTAAGTGTCAGGTGTTGCTTGCAAGTAATGGTGGTCGTGGTCAGACCGGCGTATTCCCGAAGGTCATCTGGGGCCATCAAAGCCAGGTCGAAGCCGTTCTGAACAAGGACACCAGCCATCAACTGGCTGTCATCTTCCTCCGAGGGCGGAGCGATCTGTGCGAGTTTACCGACGACCTTGGCAAATTTATCCTTTCTGAATGGGATGCGAACTTCGTCGCAGTTTGCAGGCGTGTACACCTTGACCTTAACAGTTTTGTCGGCATTAAGACTCAAGAGCTTTGACTTGAGTCGCATCATCTGATGTTTTTCGCCATGGACAAGGATCTTAAAACACAAATTAGCGGGTAGCAGGGAATATACGAGCGCAACAAAAGACTTACCACGACCGGCGCAGCAACCTCTTCGATGAAGTTGCGATTCTCGACACCATCGACGTGTGCAGCAAAACTGATTTCATCGACCGTGCAGCGACGTGGAATCATCACTTTCTGATCCTCATCGTTGCCTCCAGGTACACGACCTCGGCCCTGCATGGTAGAAACCTTTGACATGACGGCAGGAATCTGGTCAGGCTCGTTGAGAAGCTGCTTAGCCATCGTTCCTTCCACACTGTAACCCGTCATGACGACTCCGTTACGCTCGCTGGGTGCCCATCTTTCAAGCAGTTCACGACTGGTACCTGTCTGTAGCATACCGGGCGATGAAAGGAGCACACAAGGGGATACATCCTCGAAGCGCTCGAGACTTCGCAGACTTCGGATGAACCGGAAATCCCATGGGCCGGCAGTCACACTCTTGTCTCCGCTCGCCTCGGCCTCCGCCATACGCTGGCGAAAGAGCATTTTGATGTTGTCATTCATCGCTCCAATATAGGTCTGATAAACAACCATGCATCGTCTTGCCATATTACCAATGTAGTAAATGGGAATCTTCTGCAGTTCGGGATGGCGCGCCCAGTATTCCTCAAGAATGAGTAGCAGCTCTTGGGCGCGACCGAGGGCAAATACAGGCAACAAAGCACGTCCTCCGCGGTTCAGGATACCGGTAATTGATTTCATGAGCGCAGCCTCCCGTTCCAGACGGGGCGGGTTTGAGGATATACCGAATGTGGATTCTGTGATCAAGACATCGATGTTGATTCCCGAAGGAACCTGTGCAGGGATCAAATGCCGGTCCTCTTCACGGGAATAGTCGCCGGTAAATAAAAGGTTCAGCCCGGCAATCGACACCAGAAACATTGCGGCACCCAAGACATGGCCGGCGGGGTATGGGGTAATTTTAATGCCGTTTATCGTATGCGTGGTGTTGAAATCGATTGTTTCGATCAAAGGGAGTGTGGACAGGTGATCTTGCTCAGTATAGAGGGTGGTGCGCTGATCAGAAGATGAGGACGTATTGCTGACCCGAACATTATCTTGGATGAGCCACTTGTAAATTGCCTTGTGAAATCTTCATTAGTTCACGGTCGAAAATCTGACCCGGAAGGTACGCACCTTGGTGGCATGGGTCATCATGACCCGGCCAGCAAAATTGGTCTTGCTGAGAACATAAGGAAGAGCAGAAGAATGGTCCACGTGGAAACTAGAAAAGCGCAGCATTAGTCAAATGTCGCAAGCACAACGCTTGCGGTATTAGGTCAAGGGTTCCGGGAGAATATGGTATAAATACCACCGTAGACAGGAATCTACCAGCCCTTTTGTAGAACCAGTCGAGGGATTATGAAGCAGGTCTGGAAGATACGACCAAACACAAGAATAGCCTCAAAGGTTCAATCCACCTCTCGACTCAAAAGCGCACCGAGAGAATGAATGGGGAATTTCACATACTGGCTAATCAGTAAGACGTCTACCGTGCTCAAGTCGAACTCGTCAAAGAAGGGGAGAGCGGAGAAGCCTTCTTTGGCCGGGTGCATTCCTGCGTCGAGCTATAAGAGTCGCATATCAGCTAGGTGTTAATTAAAATGGTAGTAAGCAGATCAGGCCTACCATAACCGTCTTGCCCTTGTACTGAATGATATGACATGATCGCCCGACTTCGTTTCCTCCACCCAGACAGTAGAATGCAAGCTCATCTGACGGGTCAACCGGCTCATCATCAACGGCCGTGCCCATCGCCGAAGCCTTGCGCTTAGCTGCCATCGTGATTTGAGTATTGGTGTTTGACAGCGAACCTCAAGTGTCTGCTATTGGAGGGAAGGGCACAGACGCCCGGGTCGCGCAGTTGGGAAGCCTGGCCTTGAGTTAACACCGAAGACACTGGCTGTATCCCATGCGACGCGATTGAGAAAACTGCCAAGAGAAAGTGAGAGGAATGCGATGAAGGGAAACCTCGCGACGCAGTGAGGCCATGATCTTGGGCGGTGTCACGTGCCGGACAGCGCGATCCGCAAAACCTCGAGAAAGCTCCCTGACCCGCCTCATCCCGCATCTCCTGCTTCACCATCGTCCTTTGCACCCCGAGTCACCCGTGCTTCTTCTACGTGTCAACTTCATGATTCATCAGCTCTTCTGAGATGGTCACATTTGGTGCCATCTGGTGGTGCGAGCAAGTTGCTCACTTCGATAACCACGCGTGACGTGCCTTCACCTCGCTCGAACTGCGCGACAGCAGACTTACTCACCTGTTATCCGTATCGTCGCTCAAACATCATTCACTATGGCGCAAGCTAGGCATCCACAGCAGCAGCAACAACAGCCGCCTCCGCCCTTCTCCACCCAGCCCTTCTCCCCTCCCGTCTCCTCGCCGTCTCCTCACGCAACATCCCCCCTCAATGGTGGCCCAGCACCTCCTCCATCGAAAAAACTGCGTCTCTCACCAATCCCTCCCTCTCAAGTGCAGTCTCCATACGCCTCTCCGGGCTTCAGCGCGATGCAACTTCCTCAAGGTCAACCCCAGATGAACGGGGCCCCGAACAGCATGCCCTCTACACCCATTACCCACGCCGGCGCGTCTTTCCCCTCAGCCGCTCCGGGGACGATGGGACCGCCCTCTGCACCGGCGAACCGGCCCGTAGATGCCTCTGAACTCACGGATGTTCTGGCATCCTCTGGAATCGACGTTCGAGAGGAAGAAGCGTTTCTCACAGGCGGCTACACCGGTCGAACTGCGCAGGCGCAGCCTCCTTCCCGAGGCCCTCAGGTCATGAATTCGTCTTTTGCTTCGCAGCCGTCCACAGGGACACTCTCGGCATCCAGCAGCTTTGGTGACATCAAGCCAGTGATGCACCATGCATCATTCTCCTCGCAGCCTGCCTCGCAGGCTCCGCTGGCCTTCAAAGATCCCAACGAACCCACACGGGAGGATTCAGAAGCGGCGAGAAGATCACAGTTCGAACTCCAGTCTCCATTCCTCTGGACTAAAGTCCTGGAGCAAAAGATTCAGAAAAGAGGATTCGACCTGGGTGTGCGCATTCCCTCTGAAGGCCTCTTTCACCCAATTTCAACTGGAAAACAAACTCCCATTGAAATCACAGGGCGGGATGGATCGTCGGTAACTCGAACTGGTTGTACAATCCTTAACCAAGAGGGTGCGCCGCTGGTTGACATTCTAAATTTGCTGTCACTTTCGTGCGAGGAACGACTCAGGGGAGTAGTCGATTATGCGTCAGCTCTCTCCCGCAGCCGGCGAGCACACTCTGGGGGATCAATTCCTCAGGAGTGGCAGGATGTGGCACAGCCTCTGGCACCGGTGACTGGGAATCCCGCAACACCCTCGAAGCGTATGTATCCTTGCGGGAAGTTTGATTTTCGTACACTGACAATTCGTTTCTAGGTCCCCACCCTGATAGCCAGATTATCAACACCAAGCCTATTTCCCAGCGATATGTTGGTCTCGTCAACAGAGAATCCTCGCAGGAGAATCAACGCGAGGCGAAACGCAACAAGCGTGGCGCGAACGCTATCTTGGGTGAAGGTGCCGCTACCCCAGCTCCCGATAGCGCCCCCTCCACGCCTATGGCTGAACGAGCACCGAGCTTTGACAAGAAGTCGATGACGAAGAAGGAAGCGAGGAAGCTGGTCGATTCCAAGGCCAGCGAGGCTCAGCAACACCAACAGTCTGTGGAAACGGCTCGAATGGCAACGAACAGCATGCTCTCAGGCCGCATGTTCGGTTCCAAAAAGTCTTATTCGTGGTTGAAGCCGGGTGGTTCGTCTAGCGGCTTCTCAACTCCATCGCGTCCCAATCCCTCAGCTACCCCCACCACTGGGCCCGAAAAATCGAGTCGACCCGGCGAACAGACCCCTGCTGCCAACCAGGCAAAACGACTTGGAACATGGCGCGAGGACCAGGAGAAGGGAGCTGGTATCCAAGTTCGGGACATTCTGTTTATGCTCGAAGCAGATGGACGAGGGACTAAGCACATCCAAAAGGGCTACATGAAGGACCCAAAGGAGGACCGTGACCGCGGGGCTTGATAAAGCCCATCTTGTAATCTTATTTCTTTTCTTTTCTTGTGTCTCTAATTTGTTCTCCACCCGGAGATTATTGCATTGTCTGGGTGCGGTTTGTGGCGTTGGGAGGTTAGCACCGGAGGTTGCCGGGATCTTTGATTTCTTCCATCTACTGCATCTTTCGTGGAGGAGAGAATTGCCTTCCATCATGAGCCGTCTGATCCGTTGCTTCACTGTGTTTACCAGCTTTACGCATCGCCGATCGAATACAGCCGAATTACGGGCAATAAAAAGAGTGATATCAATAATCTTATCCTCTAAAGCTACCATGATCTCTTAACAAATGGTTATATAGGCCTCCGGCTCATTCTAGTGGCTATAATATCTGGCCCAGTGCCTCGCGTGCCCGGGTCATTTCATTCTCAGATGGCATGTTGACAATAGCCAAGTACAAAACTTGCTATATGGAATGTTAGCTCTGTTTCGTCCGAGGTCCTTGAGGCTTCTTACCTTTTTAAGCAATTTTGCAACTGGTGTCAAAGGGCCCGCGCGGTTGCTATTGTCCCGCGGCGATGCCAATCCCTCGAATCCGCTGCTTGTGCATTCTGGTCTAAAGTTTCCCTTTGCTGGCATCTGCGCGGAGTCTTGGGAGGATCTCAATTCCTTCACATTTTCAATGATTTCTTTCAGCCCTAGGCGCCCACCGTAGGGGGCGTGCGGTGCAGGCGGATTTGAACTCATATCGCGAGTGAAGAGATTGGACTGTGACGTATTGAATGAGCGTCCTCTTCCACGACCTTGCCTTTTCATGCTCGAAAGCTTTTCTGTTGTTACCTTGCCACCAGTCACTAGGGCAATGAGATCGCCACTACTAGCCGGGTGGTTAGGGTCGGCATATCGCGATGTGAAAGTCGGCTTGGGGCCCTGGCTTAGGTGACTATCGGGGTTTTTGGCTGTCTATCGTGAGAGAAAGGTCAGCAAATCAAATCCAATACTGCATTGAAACGACTTACAAACTTGGCTTGGGCTCTCTTGTCCATATAGTTGGCGACGAATTCTTTCTTCTGTTTCATCTTTGATAGCTTCTTCTCGGCATCTTTATCAACCGCCAACTGGTCGATCTGTGGGAAAATCAAAGGCGCGACCTCTGGGAAAATATTGCCGTATGTCTTTCCATCAGATGATTTGAACTTGTGCTGGAGTCGTCCCAGCATATCAGAGCTACTGTCACTGGTAGCCTTGGAAATGAAGGAGTCGAGATCAATCGCCGTGGATGGAGCATCTGAGAGCTCCGGGTTCCAGGTCATTACGAGACAGAATAGACCTCGAGGTTGAAAAAACTCTTTATTGACCTTGTCGAAGAAGGTGTTTGTCCTAAGGAATGACGGTCAGCATGTTGGAAATTATGTCATTATGGAAGTGAGACTTGCTTGCGACGACCTTCGACAGCAATTGCAATGTCGGTTGCAATCTGAATAGCGATTGAAACGGCAATTCCAGTGACAGAAGGGAGGAAGGTGGTTGCAATAGACGCCAAGTTGATCGCATTGAGCCACGGAGACGCTTGGCAAGCCTTCTCGGCAGTGTCGAGGAAATTGATGAACATGGCCTGGTCAATACCGCATGCCCCGAGAGCAGGAGCATACGCACGGATGAAGCCGCGAGTCCGGTTTTTGGGTCTGCGCTGGGGCAAGACAACTGGTGCTGATAATTGAGGCAGAGGAGAGTGCAATGTATAGGGTGGCGGTGCAGGATATGCAGAGATAAAGCGGTTTGCAAGACGCGCCTCGTCCACAGGCTCTTTCGATACGTTCTCTTTCAATGGATGAGCGAGCTCCTCCTGTGCTTCATCGAGCGCCCATTGCTCTTCTAGAGTGCCAGTCGCTGTTCTCTCCGTGACTGTGACTTCTTGTGTTGGTAGCTCATAAACAGCTTGTTCACCGCCGTCTCTTGGGCTCTCGCTCTGTCTGTGATCGTGACCATTCTCTCGATCGATTTGACTTTGTTTCCTGGATTTGCGGGCCGACATTCCCTCTGAAACAAGGCCAATGCTTGTGGCAATGCCCTGGACGGCTTTTCGGGCTGCCATCTTATGAAAGGGATTTTCTTCGATTGGATGTAGGGTTGGGTAAGGTAGTTAGGTAGTTAAAGGGATGTTATTCAAAGATGGATAGTCAACAATCCAGGAACGCTCCAATAGTTGTGGAAATTAACCCGCTTTTATACAAATGCTACAGTATATCGCGCAGATTACCGGATTGGGGGCTATTCGCGAGATGATTCATGTCATGGATGTCCCCTTAGTCATTCCGCATATTGTTTGATCAGATGTGGCTGTGGTACAGACCATGTCCCAATCGGGCCACCAATGCGAGCGGCTGAGCCCCACTATTGAGGCTTGTTTTGAGGTTTGGCCGTTGCCTTGTCTAACGGATCAGCCAATAATCTGATAATCAAATAATCTCCTCCTCTTCTGGTTTCTGAAACGGACATGCCTTCTCGGGCGGCTGCCATTGTAGAACCATTCTCCACTTATTTTTCTTATCAGTGGTAGTGCTTGTTCCGCGAGTCCGGGGAGCCGCTCCCGATGCGATAGAGACGGAGCTTCTAGAGCTTGACAACGGTGTTCTCACGCCTCGTCACAGGGCGTCAGCCTTGGGAAGCCAGAGCAATAGTATGTTCTGAAACTTACAAATGAGAAGGACAACCCTGGAACAGTTGTATAAGAAGGAGGAAAAAACTAACGCAGACACATGCTGACAATGGTTTTGAGAAAACAGAGGCCCTCCAGCGAAACTTATTCCATGAGTTCCGCAACGCAATTGCAACGCATATAATTTGAGTTTAACATTTCCACCCCAAGGCCGTGTACGTTTCGCTATCTCAAGGCTATAAGTTTCCACGTGCCTCTCTTGTCATTTGGCTCTCAGCAAAAGAGGGCGGAGGGTCCTCTACAAGTAGCATTTCTTCCTCTAGGTGGGAAGGTGGCAGCACCGTAACATCATGACTAGCGGTCAGTTTCATCTTTTCATCATCAAAGACTCCCCGGATCTCCCATGAAAGCCGATGTGTATGCTGAATGTTGTACGTCGTGAAACTAGGGTATAACTTCCCGAGGTTGTATCTCCCCAGTCTGAAGTCCAGAAGTCCACCGACATCGATGAATTCTATCTCCGGTCGACTCTTTGAGTCAGGGGGTCCCAGAGTGCCCCATGACATAAAGACTTCCTCGCTGAGACCTCGGACAGCCGCTGATGAGATCAATTCTATCTCTTGCGAATCGCAGGCTTTCAGCTCACCACATTCCAATTTCATACTTGGCTTCAAGCGCATGACTAGAGACTCTAGTTTGATATTCTGTGGCACGTCATGGATAATTTCGCTGGTCTGGCTCCAAATGGGTTCGATCCCAATTCGTAGGGGCATGTAGTTGGTATTTTCAACCTGCAAGCGCTTCGGCAGTTCGACATGAACTTTGAACGAGAAGTTGGGCAACTTGGAAGAGCCAATGAATTGCTGGGCCATCTGTGTAAAGGATAGTCCGGAGTCTTTGAGACCAGGTATAAGCCGTTGCGAGATAATTTTCCGATTGTAAGAATGTCTTTGGAGCTGAAAGTCCGTTATTGGGGGCTCCGTGAGGAATTGCTGCACTTGCAATGGCAACGCGGCTCGACTGGTTCTGGTTTTTCCACGCTCTCGCAATTCAAGCTCGGCCTCCAGAACATATTCCACGAAAGCTCCTATCCCCGATCGGAATCCTTTGGACCGAAAAGCAGACGGCAGCGGTTGGATGGCAGCTTCTTCGGGGTTTAGAGGGAGGAATGCACTTCTTTGACAAATGCGAGGTCCAATCAGACTTTCGTGATTGACCCTCGTTGGAATGGTTAGAGCAAAAGGCCATGAAGTGCCTTCGCTGGCCGGCTCGATATGGAGGGGCTTGTCAGCTACCAAGACCTGGGTGGTTGCTTCGGAATCAATGAGATTGAATTGGCCATAGTAATCCCTATGGGTCATGCCTCTCGCCAAGATCATCGAAGCTTCGGATTTGCCGTGCAGCTTAATCGTTAGTCGGGCCTCGGGCGCAACAGTGGGCGCAGTCCGGTAGATGGTGCCGACAACGACATCTCCGGGGCTGAATCTCGGCCTGCTCCCGTCCAGCCGAATTCCCAGGGCTGGGCATGAAATTGCAACGGTAGGGGGCATTTTCTGCAGGTCCGATCGGGAATCACCTGGGTTCAAGACGAGGTGAGATAAGGTACACAAGGCTAAGGCGTGAGACTGTTGGCAACGCTGGCACCGCTAAAAGCCGAGGCACCATTCTCTTAGGGGCATAGTCTCACGCAAGTTTGATGGTGGCTGCGACATCGAACGCGGGGATTGGCTCTTTTCAAGGCGATAGCCACTTAGTTGAGCTTGTTTCGGCGTTGAATTGTTTGGTTCTGATTGGGCTACGCTTGGTCTCCGCATGAACCCGGTATCGCCATGTCTCAATCATTTATCTCGGTTGAATATGTACCACAGCGAGCACTTGAGAGCCGGGTGGTTTCCTCAACACCTATAAGGTCAGTGTGAACTGGGCTCTTGCTATTGACTATTTTGATAAGAAATGAGAAGGATCCTGACCCAGAATGACAAGACATTTAGATAACAATAGAGCTACACGAGCTGAATAATCTGAACCTTTGATTAGGGCGTGAAGCAGCTTGTTGCAAATGTTCAAAGTGTAGCAATTGGTTGATATTCCTGCCCATCATGCTCCCGTTTAATGTATCACAAAAAGTGTTTCAAGCTTATTTCATCCGACTATCTGGGCCCCTTTCAAAAGGTTGTCGCTTTCAAGTGCTCAGTTGTCGACCTCCACCTCATGCTCCATCTCGCGGCCTTGGCCGTAGCCGCGTTTCTCGTTCTCAATATCGGCAGTTCGGTATGCACCACGCTTCTCTTGCTCCAGTCTGCTGCCACTGCCGACGCCGCGCTTGACATTCTCAATGTCGGCAGCTCGGTAATCACCACGCTTCTCGTGCTCCATCTCGCGGCCACTACCGAGACCGCGTTTCTCGTTCTCAATATCGGCAGTTCGGTATGCACCACGCTTCTCTTGTTCCAGTCTGCTGCCACTTCCGACGCCGCGCTTGACGTTCTCAATCTCACGGCCAGCTTCACCACGCTCAAGCAAGGTAGGGGCAGCGAGAGCCAGACCGGCAGTCATTGCGAGCACAAGAGCAGAGAGCTTCATTTTGGCAGTTATAGACTAAATGGCTGGGTGAGCCGATGAATCCCATTTCAAAAAGCTTGCACTTACCAGTTGGATAGATATTCTTTGGGGAAAACTTATTGTCTTCGAAGAGCTAGTGACATTTGATGGATTACTAGGTACATCCTCTCTGAACATTTCAGGGTATTTATATTCCAATGAAGGCCGACTAGGTAGACATTACCATTATCACGTCACTATAAAGTGACGACGCTAGATCCCTCGATTACATCATGTCGGTTAACCCCTTGTATGTGGGGTGGCATCTCAGATCATTCCAAAGCAGTTGAGCTTGCGATTACACTAGCCCTGACCCTACGTGTGTATCTCTTTTTAGCAAATATGATGAAGCTCTAGACTCAGGTGACATCTTCACAAATTCTTTCAAATGATGAGCCTATTATAGGTCGACGCCACATATTCGCCCCAGTCATGTTATGCAAATCATTATGTTCGGCCTCAGATAGTTATCGGAAGTTGGAAAATCTGAGGAATGCACAGATCTTCCGATCGACGGCTTCTGGGATGTGGATCATTCCTGTCCCTTTCTACGTCAGGATCCGCAGTGATACACTGGAATGTGCTGGATGACGAAACTCGAGATGTCCCAGTATACCGTCCTATCCTATCGTGCCGATTTCTAAATAGAAGCAATAGACGTTTCATTCCATAAATGAATCCCTGTTTGATGTTCTGGGGTCATTATAATAAATTTCCCACTTGCAACCTACACCCTCTCTCCCGTCCTCAAACAATCTACCAAATCTTCGACAATATCCCACAATGGCCATCTTAGATTCCCTCAAAGAACCACTCTACCATCCAGTACATGTTGGTGTGGCAGACTCGCAGTCCTCCGAAGAAAGTCCCTTCCTTGAGTCTAAAACTTGTCAAAGGTCACATGTACGCATCGTCTTTCCGTGGATAGTGTCAACGGTTTGCTTGGCTTTTATCTCAGCCTATCTCCTGCTACACCAGCGAAATAATCACTGGCATCAGTGTTTCGCAGCGACATCACCTGCTTTTCGAAGTGATCTTCAGGATTCACATCCGCACATTTCTTATGAAGAGCGTGTTTTCTCTGGGAGACTTTGGTTCGATGAAAAGACCGAGACTGTTTTTCGAGACATCGACCCATCTGGGCCTCAATACTTCGGACTTCCGACTCCTGAGATAGACGCAGCCTGGGCTGATCTTCTTCGAGGTAATCTTCGCCAGCCTACTACTCCTAGGCGGTCTCTACCGCTTAACTTTTCCCTTAATAACATGTGATCTATCTCAGGCGAGTTTGTAAGAATGACTGCTGAAGAAGCGGCTTCAATTACACCAGAATTGTCTAGGTCTCCAGATACAGATTATTACTACTTCGAGTGAGTTGTCCAATAATTCCTAAGGTACCTTGCAAACCCCATTCTTACCCATTATCAGGCCTGATATGTTTCACTCTTTGCACTGTTTGAATGCAATTCGAATGGAAATGGATAGTGACTACTATTCCAAACACCCCCACAGTCACCTCGATATGGAAATTAAAAACTCAACCGCCTTCCCGCCTAATTGGGATCGAATTCACAGGGACCATTGTCTCGATCAACTCCGACAGTCGATCCAATGCCAAGGAGACCTATCTCCGGTTCCTTTATACTTCCACAAAGATGTGCCAGTTGGCCTTGGGGTTGGACAGACCCATACGTGTCGGAACTGGGAATCCATAAGGGGGTGGATGGATGATCGCAAGAAGCTTCATAAGCAAGATTTAGACTGGTGATTAAGAGATTACATAAATCCACTTGGGGAGTAGAGTGGAACGCCAGTTATCATGCGTATTATCATGGTATTAGCAGATTTGAACATTGGGCCAATCTCCAAGCTTGGCGATCCTGCAGAAGTCTAGAGACAACATGTCCAGGAATGTCCGGTAGCAACAATGCATTGCCTAGAGCGACGTCCTCTCACGCTCTTGTCTGGAAGGCTTTGAAGGGAGCAGTGACTGAGTCTGATTTTGAAGGATTGCCGTCCGAAAGAGAAGGATGCCCGCTATTGAACTTAAAGATAACAGGAGTGTGAACCGCATCAATGAGTCGCAATAGAAAGCAGCTCGTGTCGGTCTCAACTTTCATGTAATCAAAGGCTGGTTAGTTAGTTCGGTTTTCTAGATCGGAAAGTATCCCACCTCTTCTACCTCAGGATGTCCTTTAGCATTCTTACCTTTATTAGTTTTAATAGAGTTTATATCACAGTTGTCTACAAATATATCTTTAGGTTCATGACTAGCAGCCAGTATTTTAAGTGGATTTACTTATCATATCATGATTTCTCCTTCGAAATCTGATCGATCAACCATAGAGTGCACATTGCCGGCGTCTCTACCGCTGTGGCTTCGATTTCATGTAGCGAACTTGTCATCGACCATGCCTTTAGTGCACTCAATTGTTTCTTCAAATCTACCCGAAGCCCGTTTGTTTTCTCTTCGGGCTGCAATCGCTTTTTGGGATCTGAGTGCCCGATGCAGATATTCCGTGGCTTACTTGTTGTGTCCCTGTGGGGCTGGCCCCGCTCCAGATCCGCCTCCAGAGAACCGTAGACTCAGGTCTGGGTCAAGTCAATGATCTTCGTGTGTTGGGGTTCTAAGCTGTAGTTTTCATTACAGAGTGGTCTCGGGGTGCCTTCTGTGATTTAGGTACCCGGGGAAGTTCGGTCGATGGAACCTCATTTTTGGGTCATGGTCTGGATGATCAGGCGATGCCTGTGATGCCGTCACCTGAACACCAGATATTAGATCCTGCACATGTGGAATGTTGGTATACACCAAGAAGACAAATCAGTCTGATCGAAACCAAGTCTACTTTGAGTTGTGCATAGAAAGTTCTCTGCGTATCGAATAGAATAATATTGTATTCCGAATGCCCCGGTAGGTAGGTTAGCCTGAAGGTCGGGAATACAGTGGTTACGGATGGAAATCCACCTGTAACACTTCTCGTTTTCACCTTAAGAACCAAGGTCCGGATCAGAGCCCTCAAATTCGTGGCCACTTTTCCGGCCATGGATTCCAGGCCGGGGCCATCCCTGATGTCTTGTATCGAATTTCCCGCACATGGCCCGTCCAGATAAAACCTAACATGCTTCGAATGTTGAGCTCGACCGGTAGCGAAGGAGTGAGGATAATCTTCAACACTCCTCGGCCGAGTTTGCAGAGATCGTAGTGCAGAGACTGCAGAGACACAAGTCAACCTTAATCCCAATGGGGGCTCCCACGTCACCTAGGCGAATCCCTTGCATATCGCGACAGACGCCGTACGTTAAGAACTAGCCGTTTTATCTCTGGGCTTCAGTACGTGCAGGTCTCCTTTCTATCCTTCCATCTTGCTTTGTTCTCTCCTTTTCTGGGCGTCTCCTCTTTCTCGGTCTTCTTTCACCTCCAGGCTGAGTCATCAGGTATGCCCGAGATCAGGTGATCTGGACAAGCCAATTGCCATCCAATCCTCTGGGATGGGCCTCGATTCTCCCGCTCGAAATTCACAAGACTGTACGAAGGCTACACTTGAAGTTCAAAGTCCCAAGTTCATAGGTCGAGGCTCGAGGTCCCCTATAGACGCCGATAGTGGATTCGCGGGTTGAATGTGGGTGTCGGCTAAGCCAGGGCTTTAGATACTCCAGTGGCGGGCCTTTGCACTGTTTGAACCCGTTAATTCATTCCGAAATGGCGTGCAATTGGAATGAGCCGAGTCCCTAAGAGCCCAAGGACTCGCTTCCACTTCGTTTTCCCAAAACGCATGGACCCGTCCATTCCGCGTCCACCGTCCGTCAACACGAAGAGATCTCGCCGCGACTGCCTGTAATAAAAGAGCTAGACTATCGTAGACGAGCCCTAAGAGTTGGAAGAGATCAAACGTAGCTAAAAAAATCACAAGAGATTGTAATACTAGATGAAGCCAGAAAGACGAAACGCCGAAAATGCGAGTTTAGCGCAGAAGCCGAGTCCGCGATGGATCGGCAACGCTCTTACGTCCCCAACTCGGCCATCATCACCACTTCTCGACTTTGACCTTCTCTTTCCTCCCCCTTCCTCGCGAACCCGCAAATGTTATTCTGTTACACTCCAATGTTCTGTGAAATCCACCCACCCTCTTGATATTGTGAGGAAATGCCTCTCTGAACACTGTCCTGTTCTCCGACCGCCTCGTCATCGTCACGTCCAATCCCTTCCGACACATCCTTACCCCCTGCTCAAGTCCACTCGGACTGGTCTCTTCTAGACCGGTACGATCGGCCTTGATATTTGTCGCCCGAGAAGAACTACTGTGTTCCTCCGCCAACAATCCGTCTGAACTGCGTTCTCCGTGCTCTCTACCGTTCGTGTGACGGACGGGACTCCTCCGTACACAATGTCAACGCCATCCACGGCCACTGCAACCCATACTACGCACCAGCATTACGGATACCCCCATTCTTCATACCAGGCAGCGACCTCCTATCCCGCCCCGACCACCGCTGCAGGCGCTCGCCTCCCCAATCCCTACGCCTACTCAGTTCCTTCGCCTACCACCACCACCCTCCCCTACACGCAATCCTCGAGAGTCGCCCCGGCGACGTCGACCCCCTCGGGTATGGCGTCTCACCAGAGTGGCTCAAGTGCGGCCCCCTCACAAGGAGGCCGGAGGAAGAAGCCTGACTGGGGCGAATTCTACAAGAATGGCATCCCCAAGGAGGTCATCGTGATCGATGACAGCCCTGCTCCAGAGGCTGCGAAAGCTCCTCCCGCGCCTCTTGCGCATGCATCCTCCGCTGCACAACCTGCCGTACCCCAACCTGCTGGTAAGCGACGACGAACCGGACTCGAAACGGCGTATGACCTTGGGTACTACGACCGGCCGACCTTCTCTACAAACCCTCAGCAGTACGGTGATGATTCGTCGCACTCCTTGTCGACCGATCGAACTACCTCATTGCATACTACGGCCCCAACATCACTGGGCTCGCAGGGTAGCTCGGGCATGAGCAACGGTGTGAACGGTGCGAATGGCGTGTATAGCGAAGACGCCACCGTGGGCCAAAAGCGCAAGCGGACCACCCGAAAATCTGCTCGCGACGAGCAGAAGCGACGAGAGGAGGAGACTGTGGGAGACGCGTTCCTCAGCTATGTTCCTCCACCAAAGCCCCCAATCAAGGCTAAGGATGTTCCTGTACCCGTGATCCGCGACGTGAGTGCCTTGTTGACCCTGAAATTTTGTCTGAGAGTCGTCTCAACTGACCCAACTAGTTCACGAGCACGCGCCACGAAAAGTTCGACGATGACGATGGTCACTACGTCGTGACCCCTGACACACCATTGACAGATCGATGTAAGTAACCGGTCTTTGGAGAGTTGTCCTGCTTTTGTCTGATTGTTTCTCCCTTCAGACTCCGTTATCAAACTCTTGGGCCAGGGAACCTTTGGCAAAGTTGTTGAGGCCTATGACAAACAGCGCAAAGCGCGCTGTGCCGTCAAAATCATTCGCTCCATTCAAAAATACCGTGATGCCTCTCGGATCGAACTGCGCGTGTTATCCACACTGGCCTCCAATGATAAAGCCAACCGCAACAAATGCATTCACTTACGGGACTGCTTTGATTTCCGCAACCATATCTGCATCGTCACAGATCTGCTAGGTCAGAGTGTATTTGATTTCCTGAAGGGCAACGGGTTCGTTCCATTCCCGAGCAGTCAGATCCAGCAGTTTGCCCGGCAGCTATTCACCAGTGTTGCCTGTGAGTTACCTCCAAATTTTTGCGTGAAACCCCTACCCTAACTCTCATCCAGTCCTCCACGACCTCAACCTCATCCACACCGACCTGAAACCTGAAAACATCCTCCTTGTTAGCAACGCCTACCAGACTTTCACCTACAACCGTACCATCCCCTCTTCCTCTCACGCGAACCCTCGAAATGCCCGTCAAAGGCGAGTCCTTCTCGACAGCGAGATCCGACTGATTGACTTTGGCTCCGCTACATTTGACGACGAATACCACTCCTCTGTTGTCTCTACACGGCACTACCGGGCCCCTGAAATCATTCTCAACTTGGGCTGGAGTTTCCCGTGCGATATTTGGAGCATTGGGTGCATTCTGGTGGAATTTTTCACAGGCGATGCACTCTTCCAGACGCACGACAACCTCGAGCACCTGGCAATGATGGAAGCAGTGATTGGCGGCAAGATCGACGCAAAGTTGGTCCGGCAGGTGGTGCAGGGGCGAGCTGGAAGCAACAACAACTCGGCTGCGAAGTAAGTACACCGATGATGGTTGCATGAGACTAGAAACTGACTTGCCCCTCCTAGGTATTTCCAACGGAGCAAGCTGGACTATCCGAATGCCGAGACGACTCGCGCTTCGCGAAAGTACGTTCGGGCCATGAAACCGTTGACCGTAAGTCATTTCGTCCCATGTTTGTTCCTTGCGAACCGAACTGACCTTTCTACAGGAGTTCATTCCCATGAATACCCCCTTCAATCGCAACTTCCTGGATCTGCTGCAGCGTATCTTTGTCTACGATCCGAAACAGCGCATTACTGCCAAGCAGGCATTGAAGCACCCCTGGTTCAAGGAAAGCCTGGTCGACGACGGCACCGAAGCGTACCGTATCGGCGCTGGACTACACCGCCAAGGACGTGGCTAGTGGCCGCAGATCAGAGCCCATCGCGGGCACTGTCTCAGTCGACAGCTTCAGGCGTCTTTGGGGGTTTATGGATAGACGGTTCATATCTTGGGTAATTATTGTCATGGACGGGAAGGATGGTGTTACAATTCGGGGAAGGGAATGATGATCACGATGCGCCTTTATTTATTATTTACTTCTTACCTCCAGATGGTTGTGAAACTTTTGTGTACACTGGACGGCTGCACTCTACCCATTTGCCCCGTTTTTAGCATATCGCGAGTGATCCGAGAGATCTTATGCCTTATTTATCTTTTCACCATTCGTTTTTTGGCGCTGGGTATATGAGGCTGTGACTGCATCTGCCTCTTGGCTTTTTTTGGGAGATTCCTAGGGTGCGATTCTTATACCATGATTTGATCCCCCGGGCGGATGTATATAGGCATTGGCCTGACTTTATTGATTCTGATTCTGCTTCTCCTCTGGAATGTAAAATAACCGAACAACTACAATTATGAATATATGCAAATGCAATGATTTTATAATAGACCTTTGACTCAGCTGGGAGAACTGTGACACATTCGGGAAAGCGGAACAACTCCGTTCCTGTCCCGTGGACCCGCTCAGCCCGAACATCCCACTTTTATCTTTGATATCGCGATTCCTCCCCGCGGTGATTCATAGCCCTTTCCCTTCGAGTCTTCCACCCTCTCTTTATACCTGCCTACTCGGTATCGGACTATCAACCGCCATGGCATTGACCAAGGAGGAGCAGCTTGCTCTCATTAACGAGAACTTGGCTGAAGTTCTCAACCCGGAGATCATTGAAGATGTTCTGAACAAGGGCGAGACTCTCAAGATCTACTGGGGTACCGCGACAACGGGAGCTCCTCACTGCGGATACTTCGTTCCGGTCGGTGTTGACTTCTACATCCTTGGCCGACGCTGGCTAACAGATCACAGATCATGAAAATTGCGCAGCTGCTCAAGGCCGGCGCAAATGTGAAGATCTTACTAGCGGACGTCCACGCTTTTCTTGACAGTAAGGGACCCTTTTGGTGCGTCGAAATGATATGGTCGGAATCTGACTCATTCTACTAGACTTGAAGGCCCCCATTGAACTTGTCGAGTACCGTGCCAAGTACTATCGTTTCGCGATCACTGCCTTGCTCAAGGCATGCAACGTCCCCGTGGAGAAACTGGAGTTCGTGTTGGGTAGCTCCTACCAGGTGAGATTGATACCTAGGAAAGGGCAAGGCTCAGATTGATTGACTCGGAATTAGCTTTCCGCGAAGTATACGATGGATACCTACAGGGCGTGCTCGATCACATCCACTCACGACTGCGCCAAGGCCGGCAGTGAGGTCGTCAAGCAATCTGATAACCCTCCTCTGAGTGTAAGAGTGGCATTACCTGTCTTTGCATTCATTTATTGACAGCTGCGTTCTAGGGTCTCATCTACCCCATCCTCCAAGCTGTACGTTCGTTCAATCGCATATTTTATTCGATACACTAACAATTTATAAGCTTGATGAGGAGTACCTCGATGTTCACTGCCAGTTCGGTGGTGTTGACCAGCGGTAAGATTGCCGTGCTGCTTGTTTCGAGATATGAACTGACCTTGACTAGGAAAATCTTCGCCCTGGCTAAGGACCTGCTTCCCAAATTGGGCTACTCTGGCCGTGCTCGTATGTTTTTCAGCCAAATTCAATGCGAGAAAAAGGCTGACCATACTAAGACATCATGAACCCTATCGTGCAAAGTCTGTCTGGAGGCAAGATGAGTTCCTCCGACGCCAACTCCAAGATTGATCTTCTCGATACACCGGAGATTGTCGGCCGTAAGGTCAAGAAGGCCAACGCGCCCCCCAAGCAGGTCGAGGACAACGGTCTTATTGCGTTCACTGAGCACGTGCTTCTCCCCGCCAGCTCTCTCCTTGACGGAGAGCGTATCTTCACGGTCGAGCAGAAGGAGGGAGAGCCTCTGGTCTACCACGACATTGAGAGCATGAAGAAGGACTACGCCGCCGATGTGGTATGTTGAATCGGACCCATAATTTTGAGGAACTTTGCTAATGAACTCGATAGCTCACCCCGCAATCGGTATGTTGATTTGCGTCTACTTGAGAATGTCACTAATACGTTATAGTTGAAACCCGCCGTCACTGCCGCTCTGTGCCGCCTTCTCGCACCCATCCAGAAAGAATACCAAGAGTCCACTGAGTGGCAGGAGGTACGATCCGATATCGCAGCATTCCGTGATATTTATATGCTAACTGATCTACAGATTCAAAAGAAGGCCTACCCCGAAGACGCCCCCAAGGAGAAGAAGAAGAAGAAGGACAAGGGCACCAGACACCCCGGCGCTCGCGCTCAGGCTGAGGAAGGCAAGGATGTCTCCAAGGAGCCGGCGACCGAGGCCGATGTTGGAAAGAGTGCCGCTGATGCCATGGATAAGCTGGCCGTTTAGATGCCTCTTAGATAGATCTAAGACTTGAATGTAAAAAGCATTTGCGAATATAGTCTTGGTCCTTGTACATCTCTTCTCGGAAATCTCTACAGATCTCTTTAGACTTCTTAATTTATTTTCTCGAATAAATATCAATCAACTTTATCATTCAATTGCCCCGAGGAAGCAAGCCATGATCGCCTAGTAGGCCCACTTTCTCATCTCCTTAGTCGCTGGTGTTAGTATCGGACCGGATCGTCATTCCGACTTCCACTTCCCCGCCGAATAACGACAGATTCAGGAGGCATTAAGCACAATTGAAAGACTGGGTCAACTTCCCAATGGATATCACTGAGCTGACCATCTCGGCCTTCCACGATGCTCTTCGCCAACAAACTACCAGCTGCGCCGCGGTAGTGCGCGCATATCTCGACCGCATCGCGCAATACGACCCGACACTCAAAACACTCATCAGCATCAACCCGAATGCATTGGCCATAGCCACTGAAAAAGACGAAGAAACAACCCAGTTTCTTCAAAATGGCGTTCCATTCCCGCCCTTACACGGAGTCCCCATAATCCTAAAAGACAACTACACAACCCACGACCTCCCCACCAGCGCAGGGGTTGCAGCACTCCGCACCCTACACTCAACAGACAGCGCTGTCGTGCACCAACTCCGCACCGCAGGCGCAATAGTCCTTGCGAAAGCAAATCTCCACGAATTCGCACTCCATGGCACCACCACCTCATCACTGGGCGGCCAATCCCGTAACCCATACGACCTGAGCCGCACGCCTGGTGGTTCTTCGGGTGGCACTGCTGCTGCACTGGCGGCCAACCTGGGATTGGTGGGGTGCGGTACGGATACGATGAATTCATTGCGATCGCCAGCTTCTGCGTGTGCCATTGTGGGGTTTCGGCCTTCGAAGGGGAATGTTTCTAAGAAGGGAATTGTGCCTGTTTCGGAGACGCAGGATATGGCTGGGCCTATGGGGAGAACTGTTGGTGATGTTCGGACTCTTTATGAAGCTATGAGGCATATGGATAGCGGTACAGTATATGAAAGGTCTACTATGGAACGCCCTGAGCGTATACGGGTTGGGGTCTTGGAGACATACTTCGGTCTTGAAGAGAAGGATCCTAATCTTCCCAAGAAACTCGTTTCTGAGAATGAAATGGTCCAGAAGATTGTTCGCAGCGCTTTGACATCTGTTCAAGATATTGATGCCAGCATCGAACTGGTGCCTATCAGTTCTTCCGGTGACGACTGGAGTCTTGCAACTCTACTCAGCACAGTTGATACACAACCGTTCGAGTTCAAAGAGTGCCTGGAGCAGTTCCTCCAGTCGCCTGAGATCTCTTCACCACATCGAACTCTTTATTCAATAATACATAGCGGAGAATACGACAAGAACGCCGTGACAGACGTGTTCTACGCATCTCTGAAGGATCCCGCGACGTACTCTCGCACCAGCGCGGAATACAAAACTCGATTGGCTAAGATCGAGAAATTGAAACAGTCCGTTCGGTCATGCTTCGACGAGAATACTCTTGATGCCTTGGTATATCCGCATCAGCGACAACTTGCTATTGAAATTGGACCAACTACCCAGCCGCGGCGAAACGGTGTGTTGGCGGCGTTGACTGGGAATCCTGCTGTTTGTCTTCCTGGTGAGTTTTGACATATCAAGTTCTTCATTAGCATCTATATGATTGTCTCAGACTGATACTTGAACAGCTGAATTTAGTCCGTCAACTCCAAGTGCGCCTCGCGGCGTGCCTATTGGTCTAGAGTTGATGGGTCGACATGGGCGTGACGAAGAGCTCTTGTCTCTCGCAGAGCGCATTGAAGGGATTCTCCATATCAGGAGACCCCCAGATCTAAGCATGATAGACAGACAAACCGGAATCGGGAGGTCACTGTAGAATTCAAGTCTATACCGCAGAAGAAACTAGAAACAACCCAGGATATCTATGCACACATATACCTGGGTATGAAATGCATACGCTGCAACGCCTAAGTTAAAGAAAGCTTTACATGCCACGGTTGAACTCGACCATGCCCTCATAACCACCACGACCATGGAACTCATCCTCAAGAGTAGCAGCGCTGATAGCCTGGCGCTGAGGGAAAGCAGCCAGAGCCAGAGGCAAAGCAAAGAGAGAAGTACCCAGGACCAGACCAAGGTTAAGAGGCATGATCATGCGAGGACGAGCACGGAGCCACTCGGTCTTCTCGAGGCGGACCAGGATCAGAGGGGGGAGGACCATGATGGGGGTAGCGTTCAGGACACGGCTGATGGCAGTCTCCCCGACAGCCAGGGTAGCGGCCTTCTTGGATTTGCCCAGGCTCTCAAGGGGCGCGGCTTCGTCCTCGGACTGCTCGCGCTTGGCGCGTTCCTCGGCCGACAGGACGGGGTAGACGTCGATACCCTGGCGGATCTCCTCACCGCGCATCAGGAAGACGTTGAGAGCGCTGGCACTGGCAACAGCGGCGAAGGGGACCAGACGGGAGAGGATGAGACGGGTGTTGGGAGAGATGCTCTTGAGGCGGGGCACAAGGGCATTCAGGCCCAAGGCAACGGAGCAGGAAGCCGAGACGGCCATGCAGTAGGACTTGGCGATCTGGGAGGTGGAAAGCGGGGTCGACTTGTTCGAGTTGGCATTGTTGATTGCGACATTGAGCGATTGGTTGCCGATTTGCCAAAGAAGGGTACCAGCAGTCTAAAAGAGGTCAGCCTTAGTTCTTATACGACAGGGCTCGGATCGGGTGTCTTACTCCAAGGCCGGGGGTGAGCATGCCCGCAGTGACCACCAAATTGGAGAGAACATAGCAGGACATGCGGAAGGGGAGCAGAACCGGTTCACCGGTATCTAGTGCCATATATCAGCCAAAATTCTTCCCAATGTGATCGTTATTCTCTCAAGCGCATACCGGGGTGCAGGGTCGAGTCCACCACCTTCTTCGCCCGCCACAGTTCCGCATTCATATCGGAGATCTTGTTCTGCTTATATGAGGAGATAAGCTGCTTGGCCTGGTCCAGACCCGTGGGCGAGACGAGTAGTGTCCTATGTTCTCCATTAGCCTTGTTGATCATAGCACGCGACAATCGAAAGACTCACCGCGGGTCAGAAATGTCCGCCGCATGGCGCACGCGGCCCCAGTAGGTTGTCAGATCATACTGAGAGTTGGGGACGTCCCGGTTACCAGGAATTGAGGCAGACATGACCGAACAGCAAAAGAATGACTGAACTGAGAAAGAATGGCCGGTGACTGTTTTTGCGGGGGGCCAATTTCATTTTTGACGATAAAAAGGCGGTGAGCCGATAAGTGGGCGATGGCCAATCGGCGCACGCGATACAAAGTTTACATGAAGAAGCGATCGGGTGGCTTGCCGATTCTATGCGAGAACGGAGGGAAATGGGCTTTCTATTGGTAAAAGTCACAGTGCAATAGTGCAATAGTACATAGGTATCATCATGACAATTAGGAAAACATCGGGGAGCGTCCCGGGCTAATGCAGAAGAGGGGGATCGAGGAGAGGACAAAGGAGAGGTCGTAAGGGGCCGGTCTATCGGAATCGATAGGACTTGTGTGCCAGAGGGGATGGAGGGCCGCCACCGGGTCCGTACCCGGACCGAACACGGTTCTGTCGCGAGGGGGTTTGGTCGCAGAACATGCATACATAGAATGAGGGCAGGTTTGCCCGTTCTAGCCCGACGCATTTGGTGTGTAACCAGTGGCTACATGATTCACTAAAGCCGGTGTTAGAAAAGATCGGAGAGGAAACAAATTGGAAATAAACTCACCATTGAATCATAAGATGGCCACCATTATCCATAGAGTTGCAGATGCAGCGTGTTCCATTACTCGGATTGCTAATGTTGCGGTCGGTGCTCGGGGTGGCCAGGTCAGGATCAGTCAAGGTAGTGGGAGAATTATTGGAGTGTCGAGGATGGAGATCAAAGTCGCTATTTAATCGGGGAGGCGAGGAACGGAGGTGAGTATATGTGTGTGATGACCGCGGCAGTCGAGCGCCATAGCCACCGGTAGAAGGTCTGGGGCCACGGCCACGCTCTTTCAGAACCTGCCGGAGAGCATGAGTGGCATCACCACTGTCATCCTCGTCACCAGGTAATGTCTCGGATGCAATACTGCCGCGCGTATAAGATGCATCAGAAAGGAGCACTGATGAGTGCCGCTTCGGTGTCCGTTTGATAGCATCGGGAGATCCCCGGTAGGTAGATCGACCACTAACACCTCGAGAAGAACCAGCCCAAGGAGACATCCGTCCGGAATGGGATGAGCCAATGGACGCATATGATCCCTTCGAAAGAGGGCGAGAACCAGAGTCACTACGAGCGAGATCGGGTCGGTTGCCATCAAAGGGAGTAAAATAAGACTGAGCGCGAGGTAGAACAGGATAATCAGAGTACTCTGCAGGGTCGGCCTCGCTCTCGGTAGCAGAACCGTCAAGATCCATACCGGTCAGAGGATCAGTCAGTCCTGTAGGCCCCTCGTCCACCGGCTGCATCTCCGTCTTTGCACGTCCATCCCGGCCAATACGTAGCACCACCGAAGAAGATCGGGTTGGAATCCCAGTTGCAACAGAATTGGACCGTCCCAAAGGGACCGGACGCATATTCTTAGCCGGGGAGGCTCGGCCTTTTGAAGGGCTCTTACGAATTCCGCTCGTCGAGGCCATCATGCCCCCAGCTTGACTGAGTGATCGATGGGAGGAACTGGTGATAGCTGTATGTGTCACACTCCGGGTCAGGCCAGGACGACCACGCGGAGTGAAGTCGTCATCTTCCGTCTCGTCTTCAGAGAAACTCGAATACGATCCAGGAGGCCGTGCATCTCCCACCTGAGCCCGACGAAACTCTTCCCGTTTCGATTCTTCCGTTTGGTGGTGGTATGGCTGCCGCATTCCGAAATGCCGTCTTTCCGGAGTCATCTGAGGGCCGCCGAAACGCCGAGCAGGAGAGCTTAAGAACATAGCGGGATCTTCTGCTTTGGCGACTGGAATCCGAGGAGAGGTTGAGAATGGAGCCGGGAACAAGGCGGCATCGGTAGGCGGTGCGGAGGAGATGCCAAACCCGCCAAAGTCGGGGAGGTCCATGGTGCCATCGATAGTGGGCAATTGAGGGATGTGCGTGTTCATAGAGGCATGTGTCGCCAATCTCTGTGCATGACCATGGGCCTGGATTCGACCGGTGCTGGGTAAAGGGAAATCAGTCTGCTGCTCGTGCTCTTGGTCCCAGAATAGCCGTTGTTGCGGAAAGAAGGGAGACGCCGAAGGATCCATTGAGGCCAGCTGGAAGAGGTCCGGCGAGGACTGCAAGTTGCCAAACATCCGCGGGGAGGTCCCTAGTAGACGACTGGGAGTCTCTAGGTGGGTTGCCATTTGTGGTGTAGTCCCTCTCGCAGTGGTGTTGGGTGGGTCAAAATCCGGGATTTTGCGTCTTGACGCACTCGTCGGAGGCGGCGTCTGCATGGAGGCTGCAGACTTGGCCGAGCCTATCTGCGGACCATCCTCGACCACGCTGGGCAGTGGTTTCACAGGCCGAATTCGTCTGGCCGTGTCGGTTTGGTCCAACACTCTCCCATCCTTGGAGTCCTGTGGTCTCAATCCGTTTGAGGGGGTGCCGATACCGAACTTCTGTGGCGAACGAAGGAACTCGGGGCTCGAGGCATAGGGGTCTGCGGTATCCCAGGTGACCCGAGGGTCAAAGAAACTGGACTCAAGTTTGGGAGTGGTGAAGGAGTCATATGCGGCGGTGGTAGGTGTCCTCGTGGGGGTCTGAGGTTCGCCGGTGGGATAGCTGAAGCTGAACATGTTCGGTCTCATTAGCATCATGATGGCCGCAGATATGAAGGGAACAAGCCACCGAGCGGAGGAGAAGCACACCCCGCACGAAAGGGGAAGAAGGGGGGGGAACACATACCTGTGGACAGGGTTATCCCAACTCATGTCAGCAACACGGACCCAGCAACCATTGAAGGTCAAGCTGCCAGGCAACCTTCAGGGGATATTCGAGGGGAAGAATGCTAGGGAGGGGGGTCGAGGGTCATTAGAAGCCAAGAGACTTATCTACTTGACTGCTCGACCTGAAGGAAGGAGTAAAGTGGAAGTGGAAGTGGAAGTGGAAGTGTAGAGAAGGGCAGTTGTTTTCCAGTTGTTCCTGATCCAAACTCAGATGATCCCGTGTTCCCTGGTTCCAATGTTCAATGTTCAATGTTCAGAATGTACAGCTGGTAAGGAAAGAAAAAGATGAGGGGTTCTCCGTGTTTTTCTTTTCCTCTGTTTGTCAAGATTGAATGCGTGGGGACTTTTTCTTTTTTTTTTTTCCTTTTTCCTTTTTTTTTTTTTACTTAAAAAGCCTCCACCGATCCACTGTCTGTCCGATTCCGATTCAAACGGAACTTACTTATGGCGGTACTTGTACTGCCATTTCTATTACCTTAGCTATCTCGAAGGTGTCGCCTTTTTTGTACTTCCCTCGTCACGCCGGTTCGCTCTATTTCCATGGTTCTATCCATACATACACCGTCGTGATTGTATACACGGCGTTATCCTCGGCTCCAAGTCAGCTGAAAAACAGGGCGCCTATCAAGGAGTTGGCGGAGGCGGGCTCTCCTTGGGTAACGTCTGCCGATCGAGACCCTATTGGGGGAAAACGAGATCGAGCCTTCACCCGGTTTTACTTTTAGTCTTTAGTCCTAGTTGGTTCGGGGAAGCCGCCCAAAGCCTAGCTGATCCGGTGGATACCAGCCAGTAACGGGCGCGGTATTCACGCTCAGTCCGTGAGTCCATTAGTGAGCTTCAAAGCGGGCCAATCTTACCGATGACGACATAGACTTGCGAGATTGGAAGTGGAGTTCTTTTAGATCTTCTTGTGCTTTTCAACTTTCTCAGTGGGTGATATACGGTACTGCCAAAATGGTCGGTGGTGGAACCTATACATACTGTACTGCGTGAGAAAAAGGGGAGTCAGCAACCACTATCCGCATCGTACCTCGAACCACATCTACCCGTCCTGCTCAGCTCATCGGAAGAGGACGCCTGCAGCTCATCCACGGCCCCTGGCATATGTGAGAGCCCAACCTGGGTCTTAAAGGTCTTGGGCCCTGTACCTGCGTTGCACTTCCTTCACTAGCGTCGCTCTCGGCCGCCCTTACTCCTTATTTGTTGCCCCGGTCCTGGATTCGATGCTCTAGAATCCGCTCACTACTTGATTTCTTTCATTAAAAGCTGCGCCCCAGTCCCTCTCGCTTTTCCCACATGCGACACTGGAAACCCACTTGAGCTCTCCACGCGAACTTGGTGAGATCGGGTTGATCGCAATTTCGCATGTCCGGTTCGTCGGAACCCATCACCTTCCGTGGGATGTCCTCCGTGGTTTAGCTCGAGGTTCCCGTCCCAGCATCGACGATCTGATTCCGACACTCTGGCTCAATACTGGTCTCCCGTCTCATTGATTAAATGCCCGATCTCGCAGGAACACAATCATCGAAGACTAGCTCCACCAAACTGGCGCTTCTCCGCCGTTTCTTGTCGGGCCCACACAAGCTGTTTCCAGGGCTACCCGACCCCATTGGTTCATCTCGGGGATAAAGATACCACCGTTCGGATTATGAGCCGGCAAATTTGTGCCGTTCCGAATTCATCTTGCGAGGAACATTCGATTTAGCAGATTGATTGATTTGAAAACCGCTTGTAGCCCTTTGTCAGTAGAGATAATTAGAGTTGAACCAAGGTTGGGATTTCCTGGAAACAGATTTGAGACCGGCAAACGCCAAGTATTCGTGATATAGAGGGGCTATATTTATATCATAGCTAGTTGCCTAGGTAGATGTAGCACCGATCACGGTATTTGCTTTGTTGAAATGGGGATCAGGGTGCTGCCTGATAGAACAGGCAGAGGGATCTCCACGCCCGCCTTCTCGACATCTGTCAATCAAACGTGGTCGTCTTGAGCAGTGAGGATGGCCCCTCGGTCCTCTGCTTTGTCCGACTACCTTCTCTCTTTCTCCTTCTCTTTCTCCTTCTCTTTCTCCTTCTGACTCTCTTCTTTCTTTTAATTCCGACTTCGTACAATATGGCTCGTACCAAATCCAAAGACGGCGGCCGCAAAAAAGGGCCCGTCCAGAATGGACGCGTCCGCAAGTCGCGCAAACCATCTTCGTCCGTGAGTAACCTTGAAGCCCGGGTTGTATCCACTGCTTACTCCTTACTAGAAGTCATCGAGGAGTCTACCCGACTCAAACGACCCGCTAGAGGATGTATGTGCCTCTAGCGCCAGCTCCTAGATTCCCGCTAATTGTATCTGCAGAATATCTACGCACATGTGCTGATGCCAGATGGCTACGTCTTTGTTCCCAAGGGGGATTCATACATCACCCTCCACTGTCGCCGTAAAACCAAGGAGTCTCACCAAGTTGTCTATGTCATCTACGTGAGTACAGCACCTATACAGGCTCATTTCAAAATCTCTAATGCCCCTCCAGGACAAATCAGGCAAGCGGATCCAAGGCATCCGAGTTCCTGCCGGTATTCATGCCAATGTCGTCGAGCTGTCTAAGCTCACGATCGACTCTCGGGCCAGGACCGTTCAGGCTCGTGATGCTAAATACCTCTCTCACGGTCGGAAGCTGCTTAGGTTACACTTCCCACTAATGCCCGAGGAGTCTCTGGAGGTTATCCTGAACCACTCATTCCTCAAGGGCTCTGGACGAGTTGGGCGTACCGCGACGACCACCGACGAACGGAAGGTCACCCTCGCCGTTGACGCGCACATTCGGCACAAGCACACGTCGTATGAGAACCTTCTTTCTAGCGGTGTTGAACGAGACAAAGCCCGAGAGACAGTATGGCCCACGGTTCAAGCTATCAGAAACACATGGCAAGAGAAATGTACCGACTTAAAGAGCCACATTCCCGTGGGTCACTGTTGCCAGCCCGAGGTAATCGTGCTGGATTGATTTGTTCGCAAAGCGGCTTGATTGATGCACTTGCATACTATTGGAGTTTACCGGGTTGGGTTGACCATTTGCATGAGACCATGAACACATATTCTGTTGACCTCGCATAAGAATAAACCTAAGCATTGCTATTTCCGAGATCAATAAGTACTGGACCATCGTTCTTCTCAAAATTCCCCTCATCCTCATTATGCATCATTCACGCACCCTGCCACATAATTCATAGAGGGTCAAAACAATGCGCTCACTAGCCTCGTGGATAGAGGACCTCAACATGAAAATGATTCGCCCTCCAAGGCAAACCCGGAAACCACCCCATTCCCGCATTGATCATTTCTTGCATGACCAACATCCGCATTCGACAGTCCCCAAGAGCGTCAAGACGACCGATACTCTTGGTATCGATCGTCACGCGAAGTCGAGTTCGGCAATCTCTTATATGGCGCATGGCACCATCGCGCAGATCTGCTCGCTCCAGAAACCCCATTTGATTGTGCGCATACTCGAGAATCTCGAGATCGGTAAGTTCTTGTGCATGGTTGGAAATATCGACTTCGAAGATGTAACTGTACATCTTCGATCCATCCGGGAGCATTGTAAAGAGCGCACCGGTCGGTCTCGAAGGACGTGAGATTGCCGCGGGTCCCGTGGAGATTGGTCGTCTGGAGAAAGTGGCACTGGGCTCGGAATCGATATCCATCGGGTCACCACCTGAGGATTGACATGGAGGCGTAGCGTCAGTGCGGGTCTGCTGGCACGAGTCTGTTGATGGATTTACGCGGCGACCAGGTGGAAGAGAAGGTCTACGGAAGGACATGGCGGCGGTGCAAAAGAAGAGTCTTCGTTGTTGTTAGATCCGAAGCAAAGTTGATAGAACCGTATGTTACCTGAGTGAGAATGGGTATAGCGGAGATGAGTAGAGAATGGAGCAAAGGCAGCAAGGCTGTGAGAAACGCAAGAGGATAGGTGAAGAGCAATTAGGTGAAGGTGTAGAATCATTTGAATCATGGTCTTGACTCTACGCAAAGATCCGTCTCTGCCCGAAGTCTACCACTCAACCATTGCCCAGAGCCGGGTCGATGATCTGGATACTTCCAACATGAGTGCTTGCGTTGACAACCTCTATAGTAACACACAGCACATAGGGAAAGTAGTCCCGAAATACCACAAGACTCGGAATCAGGCCCCACCAGATCCACTCAGGGTCCAGTGGGTTTCAAACACGAGCTAATTCCATTTTGATTGGCGATTCTCAACCAACCCCGTCAGCCCCCTTAGGCCTCTCTTTAATTCCTAGGTTTCATTTTTCTGCTTCTGACATGGCTCACGATGCTTACCCGACACCTCCCTTCGCTGGGGCCAGGGCGGTTCAAGTATGTTGCCGTCATCGCCATACTAGCCTTGTTCCTACTAGCGCAGGGTCTACCCTCCCTACATAGCGTCGAAACCCGCGTGCGCGATTCTCACGTGGGGGAAGACAGGCCGCGATACATCTATCACTCCACTTTCCGTGATGATCCCGACCTCGAGTACGAACGCAATGTTTCCCATGCTATGCGCGACCTGGAAGAAATGCAATTGGCGCTAGATAGCGCAGACACAACGAATACTCTGTGGCAGATCTTACTGGACCCCTCAGCCCAACGAGGCGAAGACTCGCTTTTGTTCGAGGGGAAGAACCCGGAGTGGAAATATGCGGTAGGAAATTCTCTCCGGCTCCACGCTTTTGGCGCACCGACTGACACGGCAACGTTCAGCTCGTCAACAACGAATGGGCCGAACAATTCATTGCTATAACCCTTAGATCCGTGCCGGGCCTCGCGACTTTATACCATGAATACCCCCACAGAGTCCTCCGAGGCGATCTGCTACGCTATCTGATCCTGTGGTATTACGGAGGCTACTACACAGACGTCGACGTATTCCCCGCAAAATCCATCAAGTCATGCCCGTCCCTCCAAAGCTCTGTGCTCACCAAGGACCCCGATATCTCCCTTGTCGTGGGGGTTGAAATAGATGAGCCCTTTGCCTCACCGCAAAAGATGCGCGACTGGCACTGGGTCCGAAGCTACGGGTTTCTTCAATATACCATCTACGCGCCACAGCGATTCAGTCCACTCCTACGGGATGTGATCGTGCGAGTCTTGTCACACACAAAGCGTCATCGCGAAAACAGCAACGTCATATTTGGTGCCAAGTATAATGAACTAACCACGCTCGAGATCACAGGCCCCGGCGTCTTCACAGATGCTATTCTGGACGTCTTGTCTGATACATTACCGCCTGACCACCCGATGGTCTCAGTATCGAAAAAAGCAGATGAAGTGTTAGGAGATCTTGTTAATGGATCGGGCATTCCCATTGACCGTGTTACATGGGCACCTTTCCATAAGCTGAAGGAGCCACTGTGTGTGAAGGGCTCAGAGGCTAAAGAAGGAAAGCAATTGGGTGGACTGTGCGCGCTTCCCATTAATGCTTGGGGTAACGGCCAAAGACACAGCGGATCGGAAGGGTTCGATAGCTCCCATGCTTGCATTAACCACCGGTTCTCTGGGCATTGGAAATCGTGGAAGCTTAGTTGGAAGAAATATCTTTTTGGATGAGCGTATCAAGGATTATGATGAAGGTTGGTGTTTGGGTAGGACTTTGGTGTTGGACATATACTTCTAATGACTAAACGTATATATACACCTGCATCTTTTGACGCATTCGATCTAGCAATATTCACGTCTTGCTTCTTGACATCGACCCGTATCGATTTCAGCCTTCAATCTGAAGTGGTTTAGCTTAATTGTAATTCTATTGAATCCAGTAGGGAGATTCACAATGACTGCGCTTATTGTAGACTAACCTTGCGCGCACTGCGAGTGTTTCAGATGACTTAGAATGGTTTCTTTTTTCAACAAGGAAAACGTGAGAGTACGCATTTCATCATAGGTAGCCCATGAACTACCAGCATGGCCATATAGTCATCCATGTATGTCTAGTATAAATCGTGATTTATTAATTACTTTCCAAGATTGTTCAATTGGCTTCCTCTGTACATACACTATGCCTTGACCCGCTCTCTCTATAGTTATACTTGACTGAGTCGCGCCGGAACCCAATAATTCGCGTGAATCCAATACATACACTTACATTCCCTATAATCATACTTTCTCACTTTTTGTCTCCAAGTGTGTCTCAATGATTCTCGACACCCTTATCTTCAGGCATAAAGCTGTTCTAATTTAGATTGGCACGTGACTGCGGAGTAAGCGGGGTCTGTCACCAGAGCAGTCACCCCCCAACCTTCTTGACACATTTCAACTGCACATCAACATGAGTGGATTCAGCTTGAAAGGGGGCTGGCACCCTAAGGGTAAAGATGGCAAGAAAGAGAGCTGGCGCGGTGACTTCAAGGGCATCGATCAAGTGGTAAGCTTCTGTCTGATGACTGCAAGGCTCGGCCGCTAACCCTGTTCAGGCAGGATGGATGGGCAAAAGCAAAGAAGCAAGTGAGGACCAGTCCGAGCATGTCTCCCAGCCGCTATCGGCATTGAAGGATCCCTCCGCTTTTGGACCGCCGCCGAAGCACATCAATTACCATGGCGCAGGCGCCTTGCCCAACGAGACTACACCAGACCGGCGAGGCATGGGAGCTCCACTATCGCAAGAGCAGATCAACTACCAAAACTATCAGCAACAGCAGGCCATTCAAGCAGAAGAGGAAGCAGCTCAGAAGCCTGCTCCGCCTCCGGTTCCTTATCGCGTGAATACCACGGGATTGTCGACGAGCAATCTTCCGCCTCCCCCGGTACGACGCCTCGACTCGCCTAGCTCCGGCTCATCCGCCAGGGGGCCCCAGGTGCCTCCACGGGTTCCTCCACGAAACGGCTCGCCTGCGACGAATACTCCCCCTCCTCCATATTCTGCTTCCACGCCACCGGCGTCCCAGGGATATGTCAACCAGGAAGCTACATCGCGCCTCTCAAATGCCGGTGTCTCCGTTCCGGCTCTTGGAATCGGGGAAACCAATAGGCCATCATCCCAGAATTCATCTTCATACACCGAAACTGCCAAGGGGAAAATGAACGATCTGCAATCTCGCTTCTCGCAGATGCGAACTAACTCAGGGTCATCCTCTCCAGCGCCTGCTCAGACGGATCGATTCCCGCGTACCAACACGAATCCCGATGCTTCCCTTCCTCCCGCCCCCGGGTTCCGCGAGCGCCACGCAGACAAGATCGATATGGGCAAGGAGAAGCTGGGTGGTGTGACGTCGCGCTTCAATACATTCGTGGAAGACCGCAAATTTTCGTCCAACGCGAACAAGCGCATCCCCCGACCGCCAAGCGACTATGTTTCACCTTCTCCTGTTGCAGTTGGGGTGGTTAGATCTGCTGCACCTGTTGCGCGTGCAGCTCCTGTCGCATCCGCCGCGCCTGTTCCGCCTGTCGCACCCGTGCCGAGCAGGACGCCGGACGTCCAGGCTCAAGCTCAACGTAAAAGACCGCCTCCGCCGCCACCCAAGAAGGCTGAATTCCGTGCGCCAGCTGCCAATACCTCGCCGGTGTCGTCAGCCTCGCCGCCTCCACCTGTGCCTATGAACACTAAACCCCGCTGAGTGGGGTCTTTTGTACAAAATCAATTGAATTGCTGCGAATAAGTGCTATCAGAATAGAAGTGCAGTGCACATGTACCGTAGCTCGACTTTTTCTATGTCATTAATACACATTCAGGTTATCAGTTCAGAGCAGAACCTCGGCTGCATGTGACGTTCCGGCCCGGGTTGCCCACTCCGATTGACTGCATTCGCCGAGATGTTGGGAACTGCGCGATGATGTCGATTGTGAGACTATTGGTCCCAACAGAAGATCGGGATCGTCGCACGGGCTCGCATGTAGTTTACCATAAGATAGTAACTTGTAAGCTTAAGCCCTGCGCGTGTAAAGCAGTCCAATGATTGGAATCTAGGACGTGGCTGAGTCATCCTTTGTGCCTGACGATTCAGGCGAAAACGTCAAAACGCCAAAAAGGCGTGGGGTTTCAACCGTCCAGTCGCGTGGCCGCGTGAATCCAATAATCACGATCTATGTACTGTATACCGGGGATATAAGCCACCAGGGATGAACCACATAGATAGCTAGTTCGGTCGGATCTAAGTAGAAGTCAGTAGCATATGCTTCTAGAAGATGGCCGAAAGTCAAGAATCCAGACTGACCTCGGTTCCCCGTTTTTAAAATGTTCCAAGTTCAAATTCCCAACAAACGGGGGATCCACTTTCGATAAGTCAGTCTTTATCAGTTGAGTGGATCTCCCTCTACTCTACTTTCGGTCACTTTTTTTTCTCTCTTCTTCTTCTTCTTCTTTGACTCGACTTCCATTCTCTGTTCTCTGTTGGTTGTCCTATCCGGCCTTGGGTTCACCATGTTCGACATCAACGTGCCCTCCGAGTTTGGTCCGGCCACCGTCCGCATCGCTCTTCCTCCCGCCTCCCTCCTCCACTTTCCTCCCAACGAGCTCCCAGTGACCATTCCGGCGCCTCACGTCTCTGAGTGGACCTGGAAACAGCCTTTCAACATCCCCAATGATCTCTATAACCAGGTGTTGGACGTGCGGGTCCCAATTACCATCGCCACCGTCTATGCGCTCACCGTGGTCTTGATCAATCGCATCAATAAAGCTCGTGGCTACAAGCCCTATGCCTTTAGCCACTCGCGCCTGTTCAAATCCTTCGTGATTCTGCACAATGTATTCTTGGCTGTCTATTCCGCCTGGACTTTCGTCGGCATGCTCCAAGCCTTCAGCAACTCCTTCCCGTCCCATGACGAGTCCAATGGCCTCGTCGGTGTCGTGGACTCGCTCTGCAAGATCAATGGACCCCGTGGCTACGGTAACGCCGCCACGTACAGCCCTCTGACCGATGAATGGTCCATTCCCAACTCCGCGCTGAAGCTTACTGGCGGTCAACCCGATTCCAGTGACGTCGGTCGTCTCTGGAACCAGGGTCTGGCTTACTTCGGCTGGATCTTCTACCTGTCCAAGTTCTACGAGGTTGTCGACACGGCTATCATTCTTGCCAAGGGCAAGAAGAGCTCCACTTTGCAGACTTACCACCACGCTGGTGCCATGATGTGCATGTGGGCCGGTATCCGCTATATGGCGCCTCCCATCTGGATCTTTTGTCTGGTCAACTCGGCTATTCACGCTATGATGGTATGTCAATTCCTCGCAGTCCCTTAATAGATGTTTCGACTAACTCGATTGCGCTTTGTAGTACACCTACTACACCTGTACTGCCCTGCGCATCCGTGTTCCCAACCTGATCAAGCGCAGCCTGACCACCATGCAAATCACCCAATTCATCTTGGGCACTAACATGGCCGCTGCCTACCTTTTCGTTCACTACACTATTCCCTACTCCGCTGGTAGTGCTGCTCTGCGCAACCTGGCCCAGGCCGCTCCCGTTGTGGCCAATGCTGCTACTGAGGCTGGTGTCATGCCCTGGCTCAAGAAGCTGGCTTTCCGCGCCGCTGGTGCGGAAGGTCTTGCTGAGAATGTGGGTGGAGCTGTCACCGCTCCCCCGGCTGGCTATACCCAGCAGGTGGTGACCTGCTTGGATACCACCGGCCAGGCCTTTGCCGTCTGGCTCAATGTGTCTTACCTGCTCCCCCTCACCTACCTCTTTGCTCGCTTCTTTGTCCGCTCCTATCTGCAACGCAAGGACCCCGGTGACAAGCAGCCTACCCACATGGAGGCTGCCGAGAAGGCCGGTGTGGAGGCCTTTGGTCGTCTGAGTCGCGAGATTCAGCGGGCTGCTATCGAGGGCGAGAACAGCGAAACCACCGACGATGAGGTCATCCGGGCTCAGGTCCAGAAGATCGTTGAACAAAAGGCCCAGGACTCTCCCGTGCGCACACGGGCTTCCGCCGCCAACAAGGCCAAGGCCGCTACGTCATCCGGTTCAGACGAGGGTTTCTCCACTGTGAAGAAGGGCGCGAAGAAGCAGGCCAAGGGCGAGCAGAAGACGAGCTCAGGCTCTCCGACCGGAAAGGGTGAGAACCCTTTCGGCGTACTCGATCGGAATGCGTGATTCCAATTGGAACATTGGGTTTCGACATAAAATTTTTGGAGTCTGGAACTTTTGACAGCAAAACATCCACTTTCTTTTGACGAATGAGATGGGGCATGATATGCTCTGCCTGGATCATCTCTCGATCATTTCTCGATCATCTCTTGACTGGAATCTATCCATCCCAGTCCCCCCACAAGACAGTCCCGACTCTAAAAGGGGTACTTCTTCCCGACAGGGTATTGGTCATTTGGCTGCAATATCGGGAATTCCTCGGAGTTAATACCGCGGAGATTTGCTTGATGGGTATAGCTTTAGCCTGGTAGTTGTGGCTTAGATCACATGATTTCTATGTACATTATAAACGTGAGCGTATCGTTAATCATAAATTGCTTTCTACCCTAGACCCGTGTCTGCTGTAAGTCCTGCGTAGAATCCTTAGATCTCCAGATCTACAGCCCCTTCAAGGCTAAATGGGTCGCCAAGACCAAGACATGCACCTGAACATGATGTGTGCCTGGACAGGTACTTATCTCATCCCCGTCTTGGGTTAATTTCAGGAAGTCACGCAACCCTGTTTCGAGTGATATTTCCCCACTACGCCTCTGCGCTCTCTGAATGGAGGAAAAATATCGTCGCGGGTAAATCTAGTAGCCCCGCGGGGGAGATTTGGTCCACCGACATTTCGTTTCGATCCCTGTAAATGGACAAACGTCAAGCTAGTGAGTATGGCTGCATGCCTGTCTCCGCAACTTCTCCGGTGGGAGAATGATGCCGAATCGGCCAATGCAGTATAAAATTATAATGTCCGCAATGCCTGCAGGGTCACCTCCCTTGTATCCCAGCTCCTCGGCAGCAGTCCGAGTTGCTTCAAGATGGCGAATCTAACACGGCTAATTTCCAGTCTTTGGATTATCTTTTCCTTTCTGAGTGTTTCTACAGTTGCCGAAACCCAGGAGGTGACTCAATGGCCTCTTCACGACGATGGCTATAACAAGGTCGTTGAATGGGACCACTATAGCTTCCAGGTCAACGGGCAGAGAATCTTCATCTTTTCCGGCGAGTTCCATTACTGGCGTATTCCCGTCCCGGGTCTATGGCGTGACATCCTCGAGAAAATCAAGGCTGCGGGCTTCACAGCGTTTGCCTTTTACTCCAGCTGGGCCTACCATGCACCGAATAATCAGACCGTTGATTTCTCCACCGGTGCCCATGACATTACCCCAATCTTTGAGCTCGCTAAAGAGTTGGGGTTATACATCATCGTGCGCCCTGGGCCATACGTCAATGCCGAAGCCAGCGCCGGTGGATTCCCACTCTGGTTGACGACCGGTGCATACGGCACTCTGCGAAACAATGATACGCGGTATACGAATGCCTGGAACCCCTACTTCACCGAGATGTCTACGATTACCAGCAAAAACCAAGTGACAAATGGCGGAAATGCTCTTGTCTACCAAATTGAGAACGAGTACGGCGATCAATGGATTGGCACCGCATCGGAGCGCGTGCCAAATGAGACGGCGATTGCGTATATGGAACTTCTCGAGGCCAATGCCCGTGCGAATGGCATCAGGATCCCACTCACAGCGAACGACCCGAACATGAACTCGCACTCCTGGGGAAGCGACTGGTCCAACGAGGGTGGCAATGTCGATGTCGCTGGTGTTGATTCATACCCATCGGCAAGTCCGCCTTTCCGTCCTGTGGATGTCTTCTAATATAGTAATACAGTGCTGGACCTGCGATCTCAGCCAATGCACTTCCACCAACGGCGCATATGTCGCATACGAGGTAGTGGACTACTACGACTATTTCCAAGAATCGCAACCAACTATGCCAGAATTCATGCCCGAGTTCCAGGGAGGCTCTTATAACCCATGGGGAGGGCCAGAAGGTGGTTGCCCCGATGACATAGGGACGGATTTTGCCAATCTGTTCTATCGCTGGAATATTGGCCAACGAGTTACAGCCATGAGTCTGTACATGCTCTTTGGTGGAACTAACTGGGGCGCCATTGCAGCGCCTGTTACCGCAAGCAGCTACGACTACTCTGCTCCTATTTCAGAAGATCGTTCAATTGGCTCAAAGTATTACGAGACTAAACTTCTCGCTCTGTTCACTCGCTGTGCGAGGGATCTCACGATGACTGAATTGGTGGGCAATGGAACGCAGTATACCGATAACTCGGCCGTGCGGGCGTACGAGTTGCGAAACCCGAACACGAATGCTGGATTTTACGCCACTTTCCATTATAATACTTCCACCTCCTCGAATGAGGCGTTCCACCTCAAGGTCAACACGTCTGCTGGTGAACTTACCGTGCCAAGACATGCTGGAAAGGTTCGTCTTAATGGGCATCAGTCTAAAATTGTCGTTACGGATTTCACTTTCGGATCGAAGACTCTCCTTTACTCAACCGCAGAGGTCTTGACTTATGAAGTCTTTGACAACACCCCCACGCTGGTTCTTTGGGTTCCCACCGGTGAGACCGGCGAGTTCTCTATTAAAGGATCAAAGGCAGGGTCAGTCAAGAAGTGTCAAGGATGCTCGAGTGTCAAGTTCATGAGTGACAAAGCGGGCGTGACAGTAGCCTTCGTCCAGTCTTATGGAATGAGTGTGCTGGAAGTCGATGATGTCCGCGTCATTCTTCTTGATAGGACTTACGCATACGAATTCTGGGCTCCTGCGATCACAAATGATCCATTTATCCCTGAAAAAGAGAGTGGTAAGCGTCTTTCAATAAGACTCCAAGGATATACATTTTAACATTCTGTGTAGTTCTCGTTCAAGGCCCTTATCTCGTCCGTGATGCCAGTCTGTCCGGTTCAAAGCTTGCTATTACAGGTGACATCGTTGGCGCGACAACTCTCGAGGTCTTTGCACCAGAGGCTGTCAAGACCGTAACATGGAATGGCAAGTCGCTGAAGACCCAGCGCACGGCGTATGGTAGTCTCAAGGGTTCAGTTGCGGCACCGAAGTCTATTACCCTGCCTACCTTTGGATCGTGGAAGTCGAACGATAGCTTGCCCGAGCGCTTCACATCATATGATGACAATGGAGCCGCATGGGTTGGTAAGTTCAGACCAACTGCGCTCAATCTTGATAAAATGAATGCTAATTTCGCAGATGCTAATCATTTGACAACTCTGAACCCGAGGACTCCGACAAGTCTCCCCGTGCTGTATGCCGACGAATACGGTGAGTCCTCGGCCCTATACATGTGTAGCATCTAACTAACATGTCTAGGCTTCCACAACGGCATCCGTCTCTGGCGTGGCTACTTCAATGGCACTGCAACCGGAGTTTTCCTCAATGTGCAAGGTGGATCTGCCTTGTAAGTGAATCCCCAACCACCACCCAAAATCCCCTCTAATCATTCTCCAGCGGCTGGTCAGCCTGGCTCAACGGCGAATTCCTCGGCTCGTACCTCGGCGACGCCTCAACAGAACAAGCCAATTTGACCCTGTCCTTTTCCAACGTCACCGTAAGCACGAGCAAACCCAATGTCCTCCTCGTCGTCCACGATGACACAGGCCATGACGAAACAACCGGAGCCTTGAACCCCCGCGGAATCCTCGACTTCAAACTCGAAGGCTCATCAACCGGGTTCTCGCACTGGCGTCTCGCCGGCACCGCAGGCGGCGAATCAAACCTCGACCCAGTGCGCGGCGCATGGAACGAAGACGGCCTATACTGCGAGCGAGTCGGGTGGCATCTCCCTGGCTTCGATGACTCGGCCTGGTCAACCGCGTCAAAGGCCCAGACAAAGGTAAACGACACCACTAGCTCTCTGCTCAGCTTCACCGGTGCAACGGTGCGATTCTTCCGAACGACCATCCCCCTTGATCTTCCCTTGGGTCGTGATATTTCGATCTCGTTCATTCTCGGCACACCCACTGGCTCGACCAGTTCGTACAGAGCTCAGCTGTTCGTGAACGGATACCAATACGGGCGGTATTATCCGTATATCGGAAACCAGGTGGTGTATCCCGTTCCGGTGGGAATTCTGGATTATAGTGGAGAGAATACCGTTGGAGTTGCCGTTTGGGCGCAGAGCGAAGAGGGTGCAGGTATATCTGTTGGATGGAAGGTGAATTATGCTGCTGATAGTTCCTTGAAGGTTGTTGGTCTTGGGGAAGGATTGAGGCCTACTTGGAGTGAAGAACGGGAAAAGTTTGCTTGAAAGGAGGCCTGCGAGAGGGTGTCGAAAATATGAATTGGAGTGTCCAAGTCAGTTTTACGCGGATAAACTGGATGTTCAACATTGATTGTAATTCTTAGGTAGATGTAGGTCTAGCTCGGAGGAACCCGGTAATGCAAGGGGTATGAAGTGTTTAAGCCAGAAAAATAATCCTTGCATCGTCATCATTTCACCGATAATAAATCTAGGTCTATAGGGTATGTAAAACAAGCAATGCTTGTTGGGAAACAAAAGCGCAACATCTCCGCGAGATCAAACCAGGAATCGGAAGCCGCGAGTGCTAGCCTGTCCAGGCACACCGCCGTTGAGAGCCTCACCACGGTCAAGTTTCTTGTTCAGACGAACCAACATGAAGCGGAGAACAGTGGCTGAGACAATAGCAAGGAAGGCGGTAGCACAGTTGACAGACATGGCAGGCACAAAGCGAGGCGCATCGCTGTTGGGGTACATGTAGCTGGCGTAGATACTACTAGCGTTACTGACACAGTTGATACCGGCCAGAGCGGCAGCACGCTTGGAGGCAGGACGGGGCAGAGTGTTCGAGATCCAGCCTAGAGCGACGACGTAACCAGAGTAGAAGGATGGCACCATGAGCATCATGGAAACATAGCGAGGTGCGGTGCCGGTAGTGGCGGCGGCGATAATGAAGGCTGCAACGGAGATGTACAGCGGTAGAGTAACGTGGAAGTAGCGCTCGCCGGAGCGATCGGCGTGCCAGGCGTTGGCAAAGGCGCAGATGACGGCCAGACAGTAGGGTGGAGCAGTGAGGAGCAGGGTAGTGATTTTGTTGTACTTGAGGGTTTCAACAACAGTCGGGAAGAAGTTGGTCACGGAGGCGGAAGAGACGATGCACAGGATCATGAGCATCTAACAAGTATGTTAGTAACAGCAACCAGTACAGTCGATAGAAACAACACATACCAAAACCCAGGTCTTCATGTCTGTGAAAGCCAGCTTGCAGCCATACAAGAATGATTGCTGCTCACTGTCGACCCAATCATCCTCGCCGATATCCTCCTCCAGGCGCCACACGGCAAGTTCCCTCTCCTCCTCTGTCAGCCAGCCAGTGGTACGGGGAAAGTTGGGCAAGATGAAGATGGCGGCAAACGCAACCACAATGGTAACAGCACCCTCGATGATGAACAGCCAGCGCCAGGCACGGAGGCCCTTAGCGTAGTCCATGTTTTCGGTGATACCAGCCGCAATCAGACCGGAGAAAGCCCCTGAGAGCAAAGAACCGGAGTATAGGGCAGCGGTACGGAACCCCAGTTCCTTTCGAGTGTACCAGGCACTGAGGAAGTACAAGCAGCCGGGCTATAGGAGACACATGATTAGATAGAATCATTAAAAAGGCATCAATGCTCCACATACGAAGTAAGCAGCCTCGACGAAACCGAGGAAGAATCGAACAACCACGAGGCCAGCGTAGTTCTGGACTGCCGCGGTCAGAGTCGAGATGACACCCCACGTCATCATGGCCAAAGGTAAGTAGAGAGCAGGCTTTCCGAACTTGTTGAGCATCAAGTTGGAGGGAATCTGCATCAACAAGTAACCAACAAACAAGATGCTAACGCAGGTCTACCACCTGTCAGTATTTTTCCACAGAAGCATATGTGCTATGGTTGAGTCCTACCAGGTACTGGTTGCCGACGAGACCAAGATCTTCTTCAAGACCTGCCAAACGGGCCGAAGCCTACGGCCAGTTAGTTAGCATGGGCGCGAGAAGGGGGCAGTGAAGAGATACTCACGATATTGTTGCGATCCAGGTAGTTGAGGATGTACATAATAATGATCATGGGCAACAAGCGGATATCGATTTTGCGGACAAGCGCCTTCTCGGCCTGCTCACGCTCCTCTGGAGTCAACCCAGCGACATAGGCTGGGGCTTCTTTCCTCGGGTTTGGCCTGTCTGCATTGGCCACGACCTCGACATTATCCACGTGGGATTTGCCCAGATCGGCCGTCTCGATGTCACCAGAGGGTCGGGGGGACATATTGTGTTGCTTGTAAATGATCAAACGGACAGAAGAGAAAATCAGCAACCCGCAGTCAATCTATGGAAGTCCAAACAACAGATAGCCAGATAGTCGAATGCCGAAGCACGCAAGGGATAGAATGGGAGGGAGGAAGGGAGTAAAGAGCAAAAGAGCAAAACAACAGGCTGAATTAAGAGAATCAAGAGAACTTTCAGCCCTCGGGGTCCTTTGACCCTTTCTGTGAGAGTAAAGACGAGGCGTCGATCGGACCAGCCCCGAGATTTAGAACCCCGGGGGTGCCATGTTGAAGGAGGGGAAAAGGGAATAGTATGGACCGATTGTGACCCCCAACTCTTTCCCCCATACCATACTGCCAGCATGGCGAATGGACCCATTTTACTCCACCGAGAATACGGGGAGTCTTTCTCGACTCGGTCCACTCGGCCAGCGGTTCTTGCGGGGGTTGGACCCTTCGGTTGTGACTAGGGGAGGGATTGGTTGGCGGGGTGGGACCGCCATATAGGTATGAACGTGGGGGTTGCACTGGAATATGTTCGATTTCCAAGCACGGCATCCTCTGAGACATGCTTTTGGGCTGGCCGCTGGCGCGGTGATTTCCCAGGCTTGATAGGAGTACTGCAGGGCCGCTTCTTGACTGAATGCTCTCACCGGTGTCCCACGGGGAGACGGGGGAAGCCCCAGATGTTCGGGGAGTCCTGGTGGGACAGGAGGAACTGAAGTGGACATTCATATTCGACCGAGTCTCAATCGGAAGGGCTCTTACAACGTTCCTAGAATGGTATGTCACAAACAACGTGGGCGTGGGAATGCGAGCACGTTCCGAACCACCTCAATGGGGTCAAATCTTGGAAGTTATGCACGGGAGATAGCCCGGGAGGGAGTAATCAACAGCCTGAGAAATCATGTAACATACCTCTGTGTACTTGCCTCATGACTTACCGCGTTCAGCACTTGAGCTAACGTATGTCTTGCATTACCTCGCGCAATAATACCTCTAGTCCCAAAGCCCTCAAAAATGCGCATTATATAGACAGATATGGTATGCCCATACTCAATTGCGTCATTTGACAGCAATCTCATCTGAAATCAGAAATTCAAGTCATCCAGGCCAAGTAACAATGCAAAACATGTCATTTCAAATGTTCCATCTCAAACCCTCTGGGCGGCTAAATCTGGCAAGCATTGGAGACTGCATTGAGCTTTTTGATGACACCCATGGCGCTGATTTATCATGTCAGCAAAGAACTACGGATCTATAGAGGGATGCCGTATGGGTATCAGACATTGGGCATCAGGGCGAACACGATTAAATCGCGAGGTTTTAACTCCATTGGGCGGGTCTTAATTAACGGGCGCAGAGCAACTTGCGGAGCGAACTCGAGCTTACACATGCAACACAACTACCGAGGAACAGGTCGCATGGGAACCGACATACAAGGAAAACAAATAGGCCAAAGTGCACACGTGTAGGCAGATGCAGAGGCGCTCGGTTGCATTTCGACGAGCTGGATGATAATGAGAAGAAAATAGGCCCAGACATGACCATGGAAAATGATGTGCTAGAAAACAAATAAGTGAAAGAACAGCCCAGTTGCCCACGCTCCCAATACTCGATGACAATGATTCAGATGCATGCGGGAAAGACAGAAGAGGGGAAACAAAGAAAAAAAAAAAAAGGGGAGGGAAAAAAAGAGGAAGTCCCGAGGAACGATGGCCGTCGTGCCCAGTAAATGGCAGACGGGAAATTCATTAGATCAGCGCCTCAAGGCAGTATTCGCAAGGGAACTCCAGCCCTTGCGTTGGAACAAGGACTTCGCCAAGCGTCAAAAAAGCCACACCATTTTGTTGGCGATATTCCCCGAATGGGAGGATCACGAAAGAAGATACCGGAAGGGGAAACGGCACAGAGATCGGATGGTTGAGCTGATGAGACACAAACGACGAAGAATTCCTGACTGACACGAAGCCTGGATTTGTCACTTTGCTGCAACACGAATAAAATCATCAAATACCCCCAATCGCCGAAGTTTATGCAGATCTATGGACAAAGACGCAAGGCTCGCACAACTCGAGCAAGCCACGGCGGGAAATCCCTACCAAACTCAAATGAAGTGCGTGTAGATCTTGGAGTTTTCATGAACCTCCATCTCCTGTGGACATGTTAGCACGGTTATTTCGGTAGGCTTCATATGTGAATACTGACCATCTTGAAATTGTTAATCTCCTCCCGAATCTGCTGAGCGAGCAGAGGAGTCAGGCGATTGCAGGTAGCGATGTCTCCACGGCGGTCGTACTCGCCAGGAGGCCAGGTGTCGTGGAATTGGATGCGAGGGCTGAAGGCAATGTTCCGTCCAACACTAGAAGGAGTGATCGGAGCACTCTTCGCATCCGTACCAGTGTAGCGTCCGCTCTCGGTAAGGAAGTAGTCCTCTCCCTCAATCTTCACGTGATCGTTCGGGCGAGGCCGTGTCGATTCATCGGGCGTGGTCGGGGCACTGGAATGCGGCGAATCGGCGGCGAGCGCATTGGCGATCGAGGGAACTGCAAGGTCGGAATGGGTTTCTAGGCAAAATGTTAGTACTTGGATGAACGCGGCTGAGAATTCGAATGTAAGGCTTACTCTTCAGAATGCCCTTGCGGACGGCTGCAAGGATCTCCGCCCGCTCACGGTCGCTTCCCACGATGCTCTTACGCGTCTGGGAGGCATCCGACATGGTCCTTTCCCGGATGGAAGCGGACCGACGAACATCTGATCCCTCCACCCTGGGGAAGACAGTGCCACCACGAGGCATTTCCTGCAGATCGGCATTCACGGCAACGCTCTCGCCATCGTCTCTTTCAACATTGACAACGGTGATTTGAGGAGCGGCTATCGGCTCAGCTGCACCTTCAATCGAGTTGATACTAGCAACTGACTTGGTACGGAACATGCCAACGAGAGATCGACCACCCTTCTTCATGCCTTTGCCCATTTTTCGGAGCATCATAGACGCCGATGATGCCGTAGATGATACTGAGAGAGCATCAGTAGATCGAGAGAAAAGTCCACCCTGATGAGAATAGATGCTTTCACCAAGACCGCTCTCTTCTTGTTGCATGGCAATGGCAGCCTGTTCCGGTCCCAATTCCTCCAGCAACGCTTCTTGACGAAGTTTCTCCGCAGCGAGGGCTTCTCGCTTGGCGGCACGACTCTCCCCGGAATTCTTCAAAAGCTCGGAAGCGCTACCAAACGAGAAAGCACGCCTCAAGCGCGACTTCCCGGGGCGGTTGGCGCCATTCTTCAGCTCAGCCAGACGCCTGGCTGCAGGGGAGTCTAACGGTGGCGAGGAGGACGTAGTGTGGGTTTCTTCGGTTTCATTTGTAGGCGAGTCGGGGGATGTGGCTGCTGGTTGGGAAAGGGGCGAAGGCTTGCTAGTTCTCTTCTCGTCGGACTTTCCGGTTTTGCTGGTCACGGAACTGGAATCCGGGGACCCGGCTCGAGCCTAAATTCAGCATATGGTTAGTTTTAATCAACCTGTGTTATATGAAGAGGGTAGCCTACCGAAGAGCCAGAAGAATGCCGCGAGTGGTTGCTCCCTGAGCTATCCCGACGGGAGTGGGATGAGTGCGGCCGGGGATTCGAGTCGAACGAAATGAAGTCGTATGAGCCCGATTGAGGCGGTGATGAAGAGGTGGTGGGTAGCTGAAGCTGCAGGGCGGGAATAGCTGCAGGGTCCATGTTGCCCAAACTCCGTCGACGGTATCGCTCCGGGGCCACCTTCTCTGCATGAGAGACACCATCTACGCTTGACACGCGATTGTGAGCTGATCGGAGAGCAGGTCGAACAGGCAGAGGTGCGGTCGTCTTCTCCTCAGCAGGCGATGCCGATGCCGGTGCCGAGATGGGTGCGGGTGACTGATCGCGTGCACCCTCCGCACGCTGGGGCCGACGATATCGATTTGGGGAAGGTTTGGCAGACCCGGTGGGCGAGGAGATATTCATGACGGGGGGAGAGGGGAGGTTGGCGGTGGAAAGAGGACGAAGAGGCTGGTCACCCCTCGGTTTCCTAGAGGGGATCGCACTGTCGTCCTTGGAAACATAGGAATGAAAAGATGGGGTAGAAGAGGAAGTATTCGATACAGAACCAGCTGCAGGGTGGGCGACTCGAGGAGTAGCCCCGTAAGGCATCATTGGCCCTTGAGCAACAGTAGGGGCGGAAAATGTGCGGTGTTCGGGCCGGAGATGAGGGGACCACGACTGTCGATGTTGTTGGGGGCTTGAAGGATGACCCAGGTTTGGAGCGAAGGCGTAGGGAGCCACGATCGGTTGACTAGTTCGATAGGAACCCGAATTGCCAGCATTGAGGGAGCTCCACGACATATTCTGATAACGGGAGGCCTGGGTCTGTGATGAAGAGGCGAAGGTGCCTGAGGAGGAGGAAGGACGCGTCTGGAGCACCGGTACCGTACTAGTGTGTTGCGGAATCGTTTGAACCAACGCAGCCATGTTGTTCTTCCTCCTGATAATGTAAAGAGAATCACGAGCCTCCGGGTCGGGGCTGGTATCTCGACAAGGCAGCTCGCGGCAAGGATGGGGTTAACTCGTCAGGACACCGGGAAGAACGAAAGTTGCTGATGGAGGAGAGATGTTAGTCGGCCATGATCCACGATGAAGACAATCGTGTGTTCGAGCACATGAAAAATGTGGAGTTGGATGGGAAAAGGGGTTGTTGATCGAAGTTCTATTTTTTTTCTCGCGTCCGGGGTGGATAGCAACGGGACCGCGTCAGCCAGGGGGGGGGCAAGGGGATCGTACCTGTTCTTAGTGACGGCGAAGATAAACTATAGTGGTACAACGATTAAAAGAAGGAGACGCTGAATGCCAATAGAATGCAGAAACTCGAAACCAGGCGAGTGGAAAGAAACGAAAGGTGGTCAGATGGAAAAGAAGCCCCGGGGATGGATGAAGGGGCAGATGTACAAGAAGGAAAAAAAAAAGCCCCCGAAGAATACAAAACCAGATCCTTGGAAAGGCACCCTGTCAAAGACAAGAAAAACGGTGCCGTTCTTCTGGACTGGGAGGGGGGAGAAAGTGGAGGAGTGAAGGAAGGAAGAGGGAAAGCAGAGACAGAGAGCAGACAGAGAGCAGAGCAGAGCAGGGGGCGGAGATGGGGAGATCGGAATGGGGGGGAAAACTAATAGGAGGGGCCTTTTTTTTTGGTCCTTAGCTCTCACCAGGGAACAAATGGCATACTTATTCAAACATTATATTAGTCTTCTAATCTCTGTCTATCTCTTCAGTCAACTTTCAATTCTCCTATTTTCTATCGCTGATTTTCTTCTTGCGGATGCTCTCGCATCTCCCCCCCCTTTAACTGACACCAATCATAGCGGAGCCCCCTAACTCCTCTTTGCTCGGATTTCGGATCTGTGAACAGAATAAGCTTGACAGAGACTCTACCAAGAGTCACTAGGTTACTATGTTACTTGGTCGCTAGGTACCTAGGTCCCCAGGCCACTAGCCATGCAAGTGGATTGCTATTCAGGTCAGAAACAATCTCGGATCGTTACTCTGCCTCTTATAAAGACAATCAAAGGGAATGTGTCCCGCGATTGGCGACTACGCACTAAAAGTACCAAGTGCGACGCTATCCCTCGACGGCGTTTTTCTCCACGGCTGCAGCGAATCCACTGGCGTTCGGCGAAACATCTGGCGGCTCCGTGCACCGCACGTGCTGTCACCTACAACCGATTTCGATGCAGTGGAGTATCGAGATTATGTGCCCTAGGTAGTGTGGAGTTTGGTTGTGCGATAAGAAATGGGGAACGAGCTTGGTTCCATGGGCGGGATCGGTTCCAACCTGGTTGCCGGTCAGCTGTGGCAGACTGCAACATCAGGTACCGCCGCCTACAGCCAGAGAGCCAATCCTGGGTTTGAGCCCGGACGGCGCGCCATTCTAGTGTACAGCTGGTGACAATGTATGGCCGGTGAGGCTGAACAGGTCATGAGCGAGGGGCGTGGGCGTGTATGTACGTGGATGTGGACGTGATGGTGGTTCGCGGGAACTTTGGAACGGAACCGGGTACTCGAGCGGAGTCTGCGGGAGCTCCGTGTTTCTCACTCACTGTGTTTCTGGCTTTCTCTTTTTCTGTTCTGGTCTGTCCTTGTTTTCTTTTCTTTTTTTTTTTTTTTGCGCGTACAGTTACCGTCGTACTCGTGAAGTTTGTACATGACGTACAATGCAGCGAGATCGCACACATCTGACGAACGCCTCTGTCAACCAACGCTATAGATGCACGGCTTATCAGGACCGGAGCTGACCCGAAGACCCAAGTACATAGATCTTTATACCTAACATGGCACTCTCTCCTAAATCGTACTTCCTACCCTACTGTTCCTGCTTTGCTTATCTTAGCCTCTTCCCCACTGACAAACCACTCCCATTACTTCCCGCGTGATCGACATGCCCTAAAACCAGACCGGCACAGATCCTCGTTTCGTGCTTCTTTCTTCGACATTTACCTACTTATGCATCCGTTCCTGCACATGTTCCTTAGAGGTATGGATGAGCACAAGGTACGGACCTCATCATGGCTCTCTAGCTCCTACTCTATACAGCTTGGTACCGATCTTTCCAAGTTTTTGCCGGGGGCTTCTTATTGCGGGTCTTGAATGAGGGTCCTTGAGGGGGGGGGGGGGGGGGGGGGGGGGCATCTGAAACCGCAAATCATGGAGCGCATCTCTCAAGTGCCCCATTCTTCCCGTGTCTCCTGGAGATGCTCCATGCTCCTTCCGTGCTTCGTGCTTCGTGCTTCGTGCCTTGTATCCTGCATGTCCCATCTCTGCGCTGTCTTTGTAAGGCATAGCTGAAATCTCCAACATGGCGGGAGATGGGAATGTCCTGCCTCGACCATTTCTCGGCTTGGCTTCTGCCGTGCCGCTTTTGATTACCCTATATGGCATCGCGCCAGCCTCTAGTGCTCGCGATACATATGCTGTATTGGGAGGAAGAAGCACAAGCGCGAATGATGGTCAACGCCTGCCTAGCCAGTGATCTGGCACCATGGCAAATTCGCTTCCACGGCCTGGATGATTGGTGCTGTGCGAAGGAACTAGCACCCGCGTCATACTGTTCCATCCAGTGACCAACCCGCTAAACCTCCTAAAAGTACATTTGCACAACGCTAATGAATGTAGCCGGCATCCGGGGAAACAGAAGTGTGGAGAGGTACGATAGCGATCATCAGAGCGCCGTTGTGCGCCTCATGTCTCCGGTCGCGAGTCGAGGACGTGCGCACATTGGAGTTGACTCGGTACTACTGTAATTAGCGTCGAATACTGTATTCTTATCGTACTTTTTCCTTTCTTTTTTGACACTTGCAGTTCATATCTCATTTCTTTTTTCCGCTTAGGCGCGTTTGAGTTTGATGCGAAGATATTAACCCGTTCGTGGCGAAATTTGTTTTAATCTCTCGTTTAATATCTCAGTTAATATATCTCTCCTACATCCACATCTGGAAATCATCTGAGTCCCCGTTGATTAAATCCTCCCACGTATCGAAGACAATCCCCGGTGTCAGCCGGCTACCGTATGACAGTCTTTAGAACAGAGATGTTGATCCACCAGCGACCAACTCAACGCAATGGGCTCCACACTTTCTTCCGAAGGTCCGGTCAAAGTACGATCCTAGCGACAAATATGTCTTTCCGCCACCTCCGCGTGCTCTTACTACCAGTGGAAGGTGATCCGACGATCGACAAGGTCATACATCATGGGAACATGGACAAGCGCCAAAGCAAAGACATCGTGGCACATCTAAACGTCATACAACTAACGAGATTAGTCCCAAGCCAAAAAAGTCTCACCATAGACACAAAAGAGACGCCAATCCTGCTGTAGAGCTAAATACGCTGCAAATCTATTTTGAGAGGTCAGGTCCGATCGGGAACGACTTTTAGTCCAAGTTGGGAGTCACATGGTGATATGCGCAATTTCGCATGCTTCGAGTCTCACGACAGTTGACGGCGAGGCACTGTACAAGCAACGTAGTATTGACTACAAATGGCATGCGCCCTTGGCCCTGTTGGTAATCCTACCGATCCCATGATCTGGGGAGTTGTGCTGCTTTCGGGTTGTTCGTGAAGTGATTTGGATCCTGACTATGCTCGGGGGCTGCAGGGCTGATCTTGGTATGGAGTAGCGTGGTGAGCTGATTTTGTGTCAAACCTTGAGAGTTGCCGATCAATTCTTTGTGTAAGGTCACCGAAGTTCATGGCAGCAGATGATTTATATTTCCAAGGCTGGTACTTATGTTTAAAACAGGTGTAAAATGGTACTAGATGGCACGGTATCTCAATTACTTACTCCAAGCTAGTATAGAAGTGGCCTACCTTCCTACCTAGGAAGACTCCCGTTTGAAATTTTTCGAATTTTTCAACTGATATTTTGAGGTCATGTATTCTATCTCGTCGTCAACATGGCGATTTATGGAAAAAAGGAAAAAGGGAGATATCTGACTCTCTAAACCGCCTTAGAGCTCCATGTCATCTTCGTTATCATCCGTCATGCCAGCCTCTTCGTCAAGTCCCTCAAAGAACATGAACTTTTCATTCTTAGAATCAGTGTCTTCGGGCACGACATAAGAGTCCTGAACTTCACATTCCTTCAGCATGGATTCGGCACCAATCTTAGCCCTCCGACCAATGATGCAGTTTGTTAAGGTCGCCTTTGGCCCAACAGTAACACCATCCATCAAGACACATCTGGTGAGCCGGGCGCCACTGGAGATATGGCAGTTACTTCCAATGACAGACTCCTTAATTACCGCGAACTGCTCCACGGTGACGTTCTCGGCGATCAGACAATCCGACTTGCTAACGGTACAGCGTTGGGCAATACCCTCGGGGTGGGCAATCTTCTGATTGTGTGCGAAAGGCGAAGCCTCAATGCGGCCAACCTCCTCAATAGATGGGAGCTTGGCTAGACGGAGAGAAGTGGACAGAAGGAGAGCGGAGCTGTCAACACGTCGAACGAAAGGAGCAGATTCTCTTTGGACGTATGCCAATATGGGCGGGACCTTGGAGGACTTCTTGTCCTTAGATGCTTCAGCTTCAGATACCTTGACCCGGGAGGCATAGGAGGGCAGGGCAGATTCGGCATTGATAGAGCCACTCTTGGTAGTGCTCATGGCCTGGAGGTCAATCTCTTCTTCGACTGATTCGTTGTCATGGCTCCCAGTCTCGCCAGGAATCTGGCTGTCCTGCTGTCGCTCAAAGATCTCCGTTATTCCCAGCTTATCTGCCAGCCCCTTCTGCCACCCTGACTTGGCCCAGTAGCCGATCAAGTCTTCGCTGACAGATTCCAATTTCTCGTTGCGGGCCAGATCCTTGATCCAGTAAGGGAAGACATAGAGGTGCGCATCTCGATAGCTACTCAGCATCTTGATCTCTGCGTGCTCCTTCACCAATGAATGGCGAATGAGGAAGCCCTTGTCATTTTCCATCTTCTCCTTGATTGTGTCCATCGGGCTCGACATGACGACCTTGGAAAGACTAAACCGTAGAGCAGCTGGCCCTTGGGCGGGGTGGGAGACTGCGGGCGCTTCATCCTTATCGAGCGGCGCGATAGCCACGAAGTCTGTAGCCTCACCCTTCACACTTTCCTCCCGAAGCTTCGTTTGATAGTACAAACCCAGACCTCCTCGGCGACCGCCCCGTTCACCCCCAGATCCTCGAGTAATGGGACCATGGGCATTGCGCCCCTCGGGAACTAGACTACCTCCAAGAGAGCTCTGAGAGACCATCCAAGCTTCAAGCAATGATTCTCCTGGGATCTCGCAAATAAGATCACAGGGGAGGAGAAGGAAGTCTGTCTTGATGCAAGCTTGTACCTCAGGCAAACGGAGGAGCTCACATGTACCCATAGTCATTTCGAGTGCCTTGGGGGCGAGGACGGACGGTGAGGGAGACGAGAAGGATGTGAGGTGTGGGTTTTGCTTCAAGGCAGCCTGGAGAGGCGCAAGAGAGGAGGGTGGAGTGATCAAAGTGATATCTATATAATAGAGTTAGCATGTCAAGCAACTTTAGCTTGCGACTGGGTTCATTTACCAGAAATTCCCGATCTCCGTAGGAAGTCAATGGCATAGTAGACCATTGGCCGATTAGCCACTGGGACAAGACATTTTGGGTGTTCTTCAGGGTTCGCAGTGAAAGTGTTGAGGGAAACTCCAGGTCCACAAAGAATTAGAGCTTGAAACCCAGTTGACGGTACGGGGATTGATTGAGGCATGGTTGCTTTTGAGTCGATTATGACAGCCCCGCGGCGCACAGGTGAAGATGGAACGGCTGTCGAGAGGGCCAAGGTACTGGTATGGCTGCAAAGAGCTTCGGGGGAGCTCCCACGGGATCAATAAAGCCCAGGTCCTTTCAGACGAGGAGAAAGCTCGAGAATTGACTGCGGTTGACAATGCCAGCTGTGACTCCATTCATCCCGCTTTGATGCTTTTTTTGATTGATATCACGTGCAGATAACTGACTCATGTCACATGATCAAGATGACCCGCCTCCGGATTTTATGTAATACGTAAACACCGCGGCAACAGCGTACACAGAGCCCAGCCACATGTATTCCCAGCTCCGAGGTCGAGATTCGTCTTCCCTTTCTCTCTTCTCCACTTAATTCTTCCCCGACAGGAGGCGTGCGATGTGACTTGCATACCCATCGCGACTTCGATTGTTCCCCTAAATGCGCTATCTCTAAATCAACACGCGATCGCAATGTCATTTTCCCAGGACCCTCGCGGCCGCCGCGGTGGAGCCGGCGCCGGCTTCAGCGCGACAGGCAGACGCACTGCCTTGGGTTACTGGATCCCATTGGCACTCACAGTGGGAGTCGCGACCATCAGTGTTGCAGCATGGATCTGGAGCGAACGGAGCGATGATGACGAAGATGACCGACCCTTCGAAGGAGAGGGCCCTTACCCGCCCCCCGGTCCGCCCGATACTGATATTCCTCCTCCTTCCTACGCCTCAGAAGGATACGCAAGAAGCACAGGACCTGAAGTTCCTGGCGATGCTCGATATGATCCCAGCTTCATGGCCCGCATGCAAGGTGCATTGCGCCGAACGCCGAGCCCGCAACAGATCTTTGACGGCGCAAGCCGACGAGTCGTGGCCGGTGTGACTGCTGCTGGCGCACTTGTTGGTGGAGCACTTACGTCTATCCGCGAAGAAGGCCGAGGCGACTTCGAAGACCACACGAGATGGTCCGAAGAGGCTGCTGCCAGAAATGTCGGGGGTCAACCAAGCACCGCACCCACCATGAGTGGAGCACTGCCGACTCGCGGATCAGCTGCTGGCCACCACTCATTCGATAAGAAGAAGAAGACCGTGGTTATTGTTCTTTCCTCTGTCTCTCCGGCTGACTCGGATGAATATGCCTCGGAACACGCTGTAAGAAACCCGCCTCCCCTTTTTGACAAGTAACGGTTTACTGATTATCAACAGTCAGTTCTGTCCCACCTTCCTGAACATGTGGACTTGGATACCTCTCGTGTCTTTGTTCTGATATATGCCCCCAATGTCAAGCACGCCATCGGCCAGGGTAGCTCATCTCGCCAGACCACATCTATTGCCTCGTCCTACTCAAACATTGCCCACGAGGAAGCTACCTCTTCCGGTGAATTGATCGATGCTGATCTGAAGACCGTTGAGCCTCGCCAGGACGATGACCTTGACGGTTCCACCCATTTCTTCAAGACTTTGTACACCCAGGCCCAGGCACTTGTCGAAAAGGATATCATGATCATGCCCTTCAGCACCCCCTCTGGGTATGTGCATCTTGTGCGCCACCTCGCACCCGACCTTGTCTATGTTCAAGAATCTCTGACTGGCAACGAGGGTGACGCCGTTCAGCACATCTCTGGCTGGGTTCGTCAGGTCATCGTCGTGGTTGGAGACGAAGCCGGCCGTGGTGGCCTCATTGACAGTGATGATGAGTCTGCGCTTGCCGATAAAGGCGAGATGTGGTGGCAAAAGAGGGCACTACGGGCATCGGCAAACGGATTGATGTGGTAGATGCCCTCCGTGTTGGCGACGACTGGCGACGTCGCGTGCGTGGCTTGGACTAATCGCCCGCCTTGTCTACTTCCCAATGATGTTGATGTCAATACCTGGTTACTTTTACATGTCTATACCTGCTCTGATTCTTACCCCCTGATGATTGTTTGCTCTCGATTCCCCTGTCTTCCATGTTGTTTATGCGTTGTTTCATATAATGCCTTTGGGTCAATACTGGTGGCCACTGCTAGTACATTCGGCGGATTGTTCCATTTTCATTTTGATAGCTTTGATAATACAATTCATCTTTCTCCGATGATAACATGCACCCGGGATAGGGATAGAGGCTATTGTTCATCCGTAAGAAGCATAGTCTCGATCGCAATGGATACAAGCTAAACCTGATATGGGAGTTTCAGATCAGGTGACAGAGTCGCGCTCGGAGTCATGTGACTGCCCTGGAGCGTCACCGCGCCTTGGCACCTCACCTCACTCTGCAAGCCCGCGGTAGTCTAGCGCTTCCCCAGACACATTTCCTTCGCGACATCGCTGGATGGACGCTTTCGCTCTCTTTAACTAAGCGTCTCTGACAGCTGCTACGCATTTTTAGCTCGACTTCACCGCGTTGGTGACCTGAGCCGACCGTCCGATCCCCACATGTCTCGCGCATCACTCATCCCATTCTTCCTCGGAGTTCGGCCTTGAACTAACATCGCCGGATCGGCTTTCCGATAAATCGCATTCCAACTTACCGAATTCATACCGATTGCGCGCATCGTGCCTTCACGATGGCTACCGCGATATCCAAACCCACGTCACATCCCCCGAAGATGAAGCGGCCGCCCCCGCCTTTCCCCCAGGTCGGGGTCAACGGAGTCAAGGCTCAACAACCTTCATCTTCCCCACCCACCACTTCCAAACGTCTCCCTGGAGGCATATCCTCCAGCTCTAGTCCCAATCTCACCAATGGTGTGCTCAATGTGGCGAGCGGCGCCAAAGGCCCCCTGAACCGGACCAGGAATATGGCGCAAAGACCTGGAGATCCAGCCGCACGAGTCACACGGGGAGTGACGAGGACGACCTCACTGGGAAATGACAATCGGGTTGGGAAAAGGTGTCCCGAACCCTATGGTATGGCGCATCCTCTTGGTGATCCCGCAATGCCTCCGCAAAGCGCATAATGGACTGACCTCATTCTTTGTTGCAATTGCAGTCAAAACAACACAATATATTCTTAAGAAATACGCGAATTGCCCTCCGTCTCTCATTGTGCATCTTCATCCTACACATTTCCGGTTCGAGCAGCAAGATGGAAGTTTCCCTTACAATTCGGAGATGAAGGTGGTCATCGAGCACATTCGCGAAGGCACTGTGCCACATGATCTGATTGAAGAGCTCCTCCGGTCTGGAGTGCGATTTTACGAAGGTACCTTTCTTCCTTCTAGTGATTGGCCTTGATTATCGCGTACTAATTGAACTCTCACAGGCTGTCTTATTGTTCGCGTAGTCGACCACAAGTCTGTATCTGCGCAGACCAGGAAGACTTCTACGACGACCACGAACGAGAATAATGTCCCGTTTTCTCTGCACAACTACAACGAACACGTCACCCCATCAGCATATGTTCCGTATCCAAAACAGAACCAGCTCACCACCGACTTGCACGGTTCTAAGCCGGCTGAATCAACACCAAGCCAAACTGATGGCCAGGGCAAAGGCGATGGCTCCGAGGCTCAAGCCGAAGGGACCGAGAGAAGCAACAAGAACGCCCCTTTGAAGCCACGGGTGTTCACTACTGTCCTTCACCCGACGTCCCGCGTGTTGCAGGCTGAACTAACTCTGCTTGTTACTACTCCTGACCCCAAAGCCGCGAATGCGGCAGCTCAGAACCAATTTTCTCGCACAAATTCCTCATTTGGGGTACCTCAATCATCAGGTGGTCAGAATGACTGGGGACACGTCGCAAAGCGACAGAAGACTCTTGTTGAGCCGCAAGACCTCCCTGGATGTGAAGCATTACTCATCCGGGCCTTGGCTCCTCCCCTTTATTTGGACACTGTGGACAGCTTCGCGGCATCGCAAGACTTGTTGAAGTCTATGGAGAGCCCTCTTCACAACGCTCCACCGCCATCGCCTAAGCGCCGCAAGAGAACCATCGCCCAACTTGCTGCAGATGAGGCCCTTGCAGCCGAGGAGGAGAGATTTATGCTTATCATGGATGAGCGCCTCGAACCTGCCAATTCCGGCGCAGGCGCAGGCTCCAAGGCTGCAGTGGTTGATGACGCGGCGGGTGTTGCGGCATTTGAGCCACGATTCTCTCGCTTCAAGACTCTCGAGACAATTCGGATGCAGCACGAGGAGAAGGCTAAGCGTGAACACGAGATCAAGATGAAGCAAGAGCTGGCCAAGAGACAGCAACAGGAACAAGAAAAGGAGCGCCGCAAGGCAATTGAGGCAAGACAGGCCGAGGAACACATCCGCGACGAAGCTCGGAAACAGCAGCTTGCTGCACAACAGGCACAGGCACAGATTGCTGCCCAGCAGAATCGCCACGTCATGGCGCATCCCAATGGTGTCAGTCAGGGACAACAATCCTCCCCTGTTATACGCCAACAAACTCCACACAACATGTCGTCGCCGCTGGTTGGTAACAATATGGTACCGCAATCCGTCCCGATGGCGATGAGTGGATCCCAGCAATCGGGAAGCCCGCCCCGACCTCCATCGTCCCTTCAACATGCGCACCCCAACATGATGGGTCATCCAATGGCACCCTCGAGAAGCCAGCAAGGCCCCAGCCGCAATGGGACACCAAAGATGACACAAGGCACACCGGCCATGTCGCATGCCACGCCGATCATGCGCAATGTCACTCCGACTCAACGGATGAACCAGGGCAGTCCGAACCACGCCAATATGGGCCAGACCCCGATGATGAGCCAAGCTGTTATGGCCAACACGCCGCAGATGAATGGCAACAATCTGGCAGCACTCAACCCGCACCAGCAGATGATGCTCGCACAGCGACAGCAGCAGCAACAGCAGCTTCTTGCTGCGCAAGGACATATGAGTGCCAACCCCAATCAATTATCGCAGCAACAGTTCGCTCAGATGCAGGCCAATATCCACGCCCAGCAGAATATCCAGTCCCATCAGCAGCAGCAGCAGCAGGCGCAAATGATGCAAGCACAACAGTCGCAGCAGCAAACTCCTCAGAATATGCCAAAGATTCCTCAGCACAACCAGCAAGCGTATCAGGCGCAGCTCATGCGCGCCCAGTTTGCTCAAATGCAAATGGTTAAGCAGCAGAATGGCCAGATAGCACAAGGCCAAGCAAATCAGCATGCTGGCAGCCCGCAAATGTCCCCGCAGCAGCAGCAGCAGCAGCAACAACAACAACAACAACAACAACAACAACAACAACAACAACAACAACAGCAGCAGCAGCAGCAGCAGCAGGCGCAACAGCAGCAACAACAGCAGCAACAGATGCTGATGGCAGCTGCTCAGGCCAACGGTGGACAGATCCCACCGAACATGCAAGGTGCTACCATGGCCCAGCGATACAATCGACTCTATCAGCAGCGGTTATTGCATCTTCGCCACGAAATGTCACAGCGGTATATGCAACAATATGGACCACCGAACCAATATCCGCCACAGATTGCGCAGCAGTACGGTGCTGGATTGGAGAAGAATGCCAAGGCATGGGTTCAAGATCTTATGCGACGTGAGCGGGAAGCTGCTCAGCAACATCGGGCAACGCAAGCTGCTATGCAAGCCCAGCAAATGCAGCAGCAAAATATGATGCACAATGGCATGGGCAACTGATCACGAAGTCTATTTACAGTCATGGTGAAAATTCGATGAGAGATTCGATCTAGGGAGGCATCTGGACGGACGTGGCTTATTGCTCCTTCCGTCTTCAATCCTTGATTTTTATTTTTATTTCTATTCTACGTTTGCTTTTCATTTTGGGAATTGTATAGGGACCGGGATCGCGGAAATCAAGTGGGCTGGCGTTTTGCACCATCTTTTGCGATGGCTTGGTTTTTCCCATCTTTGCTTTCTTGTTCATTTGTACTATCTGGAACTGGGGTCTTTATTTTTTATTTTTTATTCTTTTTCTGTTTGTCTTTTGGACGGGGCTTACTGATTGCGATTCGATACCATTTTGTACAGGAGTTTTACCTTTCATCATTGGATCTGGCTGGTTATTGGGTGGGGATTGGAAATAGTGAACACGAGCCAAAATGCAATACGCTATTCAAAAGAGATATAGTTCGGTTTTAGTGAGTATAGAGCAGAGAGCATAAGCTAGACAGCCCGAGATGTAAGCCATGTCCACATTGGCAAAGAGTGTGGAGAAGATGGGGAAGAGTCGGGGTAACACGCGCCGAGCGGGATATCCGAGCCATGCGGCCACAACTTCTTTATCTTTCAACGCCGTGATCTTCAATCGATCAAGTAGCAACATGGCGTGGACAAAAGCAGCTCAGTGGATCTGGACCCCAAAGTATCTCGAAGAGGAAAACCGGCCTGGGCGGTACTTCCTCTTCCGCAAGACCTTCCAACGGACTGGTCAGGCTGGGGGTGAATTGCCTGTCCATGTTTCCGCCGACAGTCGATATCGCCTGTTTGTCAATGGCCAGCGTGTGAGCTTTGGGCCTTGCAAGGGCTACGTAGAGCGATGGCATTATGAGACGATAGACATTCTCCCGTATCTTGTGGAGGGGGAGAACGTCATCAGTGCCCGCGTGCTGCGCTATTCTCCTGCCACGACTGGCTCGTCATCAATCATCAGTACGGAATTGCCGGGCTTCATGCTGCATGCAGACTCTAAGGCAAGCACAAAATTTCACGACAATGGACGCTGATATTGAGAAGTGACACTAATTGTGCGCTAGGACTTGTCACTCTCGACGGATGAATCGTGGAAATGTCTCGAAGAGACCACCCGCCAGATTATTCCTCACCAAGAGTGGAATTACATTCTGGGTCCCCCATTTCTCTCCAACAATGAGCGAGTCTCTGAAAACCGGCAACTCGCGGGCTGGAAATTCCCCGGCTTTGATGACTCGGCTTGGGAGAGTGCCACCTTACAATTCCGGCCAGTGAAAATGCTTCCGGTAACAAGCCCATGGAAACTTGCTCCACGTCCAATTCCCGAGCTTCCCGAGCTGCCAGGTCAATTTGATGGAGTGGCTAAATGCCAGGGCTCAATTACTCATGAGCAGTGGAGCGGGCTTATCAAGGACAGTCGTTCCATCACCATTCCTGCTGGAGAGTCCGTCACTGTCGATATGGAGACCAAATCCCTAACAACCGCATTTGTGAACCTTCAATGCGGTGGAGGAAAGGGATCTGTGATCACCCTACTCTACGCAGAATGTTACGAGTTAGACCTCGGGGTGGAAACTGCTCCCTTCCCCAAGCCGCGATCAAAGTCAAACCGCGCTGACTCCCGCGGCCGGCTCTACGGTATGAAGGATATCTATACCGTAGCCGATGGTCAGCCCAAACAAACATTTGAACCATTCTGGTTCCGAGCCTTTCGCTACATCCAGCTCCAAATCACAGCCTCAGACCAACCATTGATTCTCGAAAGCTTCACTTTCCGTGAAACCTTTTACCCACTAGAAATTTCCACCCGAGTTCAAGCTGGGCCAGAACTCGACAACATCTGGAAGATCAGCCTCCGTACACTACAGAACTGCCGCCACGAGACATTCGAAGACTGTCCATTCTACGAACAAAATCAATTTGCCTCGGATTCACGGCTCCAGATGCTTTTCAACTATCAGATTTCTTCTGATGACCGACTTGCGAGGAAGACAATCCAAGAATTCCACGCGAGTCAAGGACCGGATGGACTCATCAAGGCTCAATTTCCTGCAGGCTTCCGGAGTACACAAATTCCTCAGTTTTCGCTATATTTTGTCGCCATGATTAATGACCATATGCATTATTTCGCCGACTCGGCCCTTGTCTGCCGATATCTTAGCACTATTGATGGAATCCTAAGCCATTTCGATGAGAGACTCAATGAGCTTGGGCTCGTTGGCCGCTTTGAGGATGATGCCTGGCCATTCATCGACTGGGTCCCTGAATGGTTTGTGCCGGGCAAGATCTTTGAGTCGTGCATGCCAAAAGCATATACATCCACCGGCGCCGCGACTTTCAACAGTCTACTCTACGTCGTTGCTCTCATGCAGGCAGCAGAGCTATGTAATTTCTCCGGGAGGCGGGATACCGCGACCGAGTACAATCAACGGGCAGATGCCATCCGAAAGGCTGTGAACACTCACTGCTACGAAGATGGTCTATACCTGGACGGACCTGCAGCCAAGGAGTACAGCCAGCACAGTCAAGTATTCGCCATTCTCTCCGAGAGTATCACCGGGGCCGCAGCCCGTGAGCTGATGTCACGAGCACTGGAGGATAGCTCATTAGCGCAGTGCTCGTACTCGATGAAATTCTATCTCTTCCGAGCAGTCGAGAAAGTCGGTCTATACACAGAACTATTCCACTCACTCATGGATCCCTGGCGAAAGATGATTGCCGACAATCTGACCACCTGGGCGGAGTTTGAGAATAACGCCCGAAGCGATTGCCACGGATGGAGTGCATCCCCGGTGCACGAGATAGTCACACAGCTGTTTGGAGTGTCGCCGGCTCGGCCGGGGTTCAAGCGTGTTCGCATCGCGCCGAAAATTCGACTGCTAGAAAGCGCACGGGGCACCTTTTTCACGCCGGTGGCCGATATTACGGTGGGGTGGACAGCTGATGGCAATTTGGAGGTGGAGGCGACTGCTGACGTTGAGGCCGAGATTGTTATCGATGGGTCTCCTTCAGTGCGTCAATTGGAGGGTGGCAAATCTTTTGTATTCATCAAGTGAGGGGTTTAGTATTTTGAAAGAGTCTAGACTTGGAGAATCCTTAGATCATGAGGTGACATAAAATTAGACGCAAATATGAATATAACTACGACTGTGACTAGGACGAGGACTAGGACTAGGACTAGGACTAGGACTATGCCGATGACTATAAAGTATGAAGTTATTTGATTCCATATTCAAAAGACATCTAGAGAAGGAAAGTTGCGCAATAATCTGAACATAGAACAATACAGAACACCTCGGCATAACCTCACGTTGAGTTAGTTCTAAGGGTGAATCTAGCTAGACTTGTGTCCACTTCCAGTGTCACGGGACAGGAACTGTCCACTTTTTAGCGCACGCGTAACCTGAACAAGCCGAGAAATCCTGTGAAGCGATTGGCCGCGGAAAAGCCGAATAACGGAACCGGGCGATCGACCGCCGAAATTATCTAGTAACTCTATTCACAAACTTGGGAAAATCCCGGGGTGCGCGGGGTGGCTGGCACCGTAACGCCTGGGGTCCCTAAATACCGTAAAATCTCCCAGATCTGATCTATCATCAGCAACATGGAAGATCCAAAGACCAATAGCGCCCACTTGGAGGATGTCGACGGCTTACAGGAGCCAGTCGACGCTCCTCAAGGCAAAACGCCGTGGCAATGCTTAGCACAGAATCCCTGGATTGTTTTATTCTGTCTTTACGGCAATCTGGGTGCGTTGATGTATGGCTTCGATAATCTGGTAATGTCTTTGGCGCTATCGATGCCTGCCTTTGAGTAAAATTCCCCACAGGGCATTCATTCTTGGGAGGCACGATCTGACATATCTTCAGGATCCAATTCGGAGAAACGGTTAATGGATCCTCTGTGATTCCAGCATTTTGGCAGTCCCTTTGGAGTGCGATGTCACAGGTGGCTACGATGCTTGGAGCAACTATCGCTGGTCCGGTGCAGGATCGCTTCGGTCGACGTGCTGCTTTCTTGCTCGGGGCGATTCTTTCAACGGCCGGAGTTGCGGTCGTGTATACTGCGTCGACACCTGGAGTATTCCTTGCGGGCAAGATCGTCAATGGTCTGTCTCTAGGCATCTGCTTGACGACTGGGCAGACGTACATTTCGGAAGTAACGCCATTGCCACTGCGTGGTATTGCCTTGTCGGTCTTTACTTTCTGCATGGTGGGAACCCTTTGGCACGATACTCAAACATCTGACTAATTGAAATTATCAGAATCTGGGATACATGATTGCCGCGTCTGTGGCACTGCCTCGCATGTCGATGCTATCTGCCTCGGCATACAAGGTACTGAACCTGTTCGTGGCCGACATTGAGCATCAGGTTAATCCATCACTTTAGGTCCTTTTCGCCGCCGCATGGGTCTGGCCTGGTGTCATCGTCCTCTTCCTCCCCCTTCTCCCCGAATCGCCCTATTTCCTCGTCATGCAAGATCGCCTCGAGAAAGCTCAGCGATCCCTGAGCAGATTGGGCAACAAGCCCACCGAAGTCACAGAACTTCTAGAGCAAATTGTCCGAGTCAACGAAGAAGAAAAGGCACGAAGTGAAGTATCCAAGGGTGCAAGCTTCTTTGAATGCTTCCGTGGAACCAACTGGCGCCGAACTCGGATTATCTTAATCTGCAATGCCCTGTCCCAGGTTATCGGATCTAGCTTCATGACGAATGGCCCGTATTTCCTCGTCCAGGCGGGCATGTCTTCATCGAAAGTTGGCATGATGACCGAAATTGGCATTGCGTTTGGTCTTGCCAGTTCCATTCTCACGGCCTATCTGATGAGCAAGTGTGGACGGAGAAGATTGATCATTTTTGGCATTTCGCTTTCCACGATTCTGTTCACAGTCATGGGCATAGCGGGCTGTTTCCCTCACTCTAGTGCTGCTTTGTGGTAAGTCTAACTGCCCTATTATCTTCAGTCTCATGGATAGCTCAGCATCTCACACTGATATCTATTCAGGGTCGTCGGCATCTTCCTCCAACTATCATGGTGGGTCTACGGTCCAGCCATCGGTCCAGCCATGGCCATTGCCGGTGAAGTATCTGCCGTGCGTCTGCGCGCCAAATCAATGGCCATTGGATTCACGTTCAACTACTTTTTCTCAACGATCTGGAACGTAGTGATCCCGTACCTGTACAACACGACGGAGGCAAACCTAGGCGGCAAGATCGGTTGGATCTTCGCAGGAATGGGCATTATCGCCCTGGGCATCATTTTCTTCGAGATCCCCGAGACCAAGGGCCGGTCCTTCGAGGAGCTGGACGAGATGTTCAGGTCGGGTGTCGGTACGCGGGCGTTCCGGAACCATCAGTGCTCTATGGACGAGCCGTTGCGCAAGCTTGGAGAGGAATAAATCGACAATGCATAGACATTGGTAACATTGGATAAAGGTACTTTGATTTATGAACATAAATAGTCAATTGAGCCCTCACTCAGACTGTTGAGCTTGATATTTGGGTTGATTGGTCACTCATAGAGATCATGCCAAAAGAAGTTGTATCATCACCGCGAGGGGGACCGAGGTCCTTGACTACATAAGAGTGCTGCATCCGAGAAACATCAATCTCGTAGCAGATCTTTGATCTTTACGATAGGGGGTAAGTAGAAGTGAAGTTGGCCAGCCGCTCGGAAGAGTTTTTATATGTGTAATGACTAAGCCGGTCGTTCAGCGCTGGAGGTACGCTAGTCCCAATTTGGATACTCCATGACTAAACATATTGCCATTTAGGGATAGTCAACAGCGGGGAGTCATCCGTATAGGTTTGGAAGTATAAGTCAGATCGAGTGATGGAGAGGATATCGGACGACCAGGTATCCTGGCGACGAACGGTTGAATGTGGAGGTGAGATTCCGACACGAGGCATCCTGGTGTAAGATGGAAGATCGACCGATGCAAGAACAAGTCGAATGCCTCACCGCTGCCACGACCAGACACGAAGCACACACCGACTTCAGCATTGGTACCCAAAGCCTCCAATTCCAAGAAAAATCGCTCAATTCATGTCTGAGAAGACATTGTGTTGAAAGTAAGACAATCTACGGTAAAGTTTGAGACGGCATTGAGACGGCATCTGAGCACATACAATCTTAACCATGGCCAAAGCGAGGGATGACGGGACTCTGGACCTGACAGGAACAGCTGGAACAACGTCCCCAAGCCTACCCACTGCACTGCATCTATAGCCATGCATTTTCTGGACCTCACAAGTCCAGACCTCGCGATAAACAGCCGACCTGCTCAATACCCCAATATCACATTCCAATGCATGTCGCCCGACGCACAGCGATCAAAGCAAGCGGGAAGTATTCACCACTCGAACGTTGCATCCAACCACCACATACTCCCACCCATTCGGGAAATCCTGCAGCCTTCGAACACCCAGCTCAATTGGGAAATAGCGCAGCACGGTGACGATGTACGCCTCCACGCCTCCACGCCTCAACAGACGCACAGACATACCGAGACAACACGCGGCAGCGATCCAACTGGCCGGGCTTTGCTCAGGAATGCTGGACCTCTGATCTTCCGCCATGGTAGCAGTGCATAGCGCATATTGCATATCGGGTGGGTTTTGAAACCCGTGGGCCCGTGGATCATGTACCATGCTCCCGAACCAAAGTTCTCAAGGTCCAAAATCCCATGATAGCAGAGGGACCAGTGAAGATCATGTCAAATCCGCCTTTTTTCTTTTCTTTTCTTTTCCCCCACGAATCTGGCCAGTAGATGAATAGGGAAGCTATAATTAAAAAGTCAAAAATACATAGGTGCATACGTGCAAAAGGAACCATGCCAATAACTCCACAGGCTTATCCGAGGAGGGTTCCAGAACGAGTAGCAAAAGAAAAGATGAGCTTATAACTCCAACCTACCTGATGCAGTGTAATAGGCTCTAAACTTCGGATCAAAGTTTCTATTGCTAGTTATTATTTTGTGGCTACTGGATAGGAGAGTGGATCCCGTGATTTGGAATTGGAATTGGAATTGGAATCGGAATCGGAATCGGAAGTCGGGAATGGGAAATGGGAAATGGGAAATGGGAAATTGGATACGTGATAATTAGAGCAATTAGAAAGCGTAAATCTAATCATAGATGGTAGCACTACAGTCTGTCTACTACGCTCCATAGAAGCGGTAAAGTACTCACATTCTACTGCGCAAGCCAAGACTGCATCTCAACTGCAGGTCCACCAAAAGGTCGGTCCCGTCGAGATCGTGGGCACGTACTTCTCGGAAGACTGACTCAAACAGTGGAGCCCAAAGTGTTGGGAATTCGACATGCAGCAGAGCCGATCGAGAGGGGCCACAAAAGCAAAAAGAACCTGGTAGATCATGAATACGCGGCTCTGAGCTGGACCGTCCGAGCGGTGTCTCCAGGGCCTTGGCAACTGGGTAATCAGGAATCAGGTGTTGGAGTCGGCTCCACACGTTCGCCGGGAATGGGTATGGTAGGCGATGGAAGACAATTGGTGAAGGCATTATTGGCATTAGTGAGCTGTACGAGTCAAAGAGAGAACAAGGGGGGCAAAGGCGAGAGTTTCAAGAACCATGGCGTTTGAAACAGGGATTGCGAATAGGATGTGAGCCCGTTGGCAATGGAATGTGGAGAGAACGAGTGGCGAGGCACAGGAGCATGAGCGCGAGCAGGAGCGCAAGCATGAGCATGAGCATGAGCATGAGCATGAGCATGAGCATGAGCGCGAGCATGAGCCTTGTCGGGAGTCACATTGGGGTCTTTCCGATTGATGACGGTGAGGAACCTTGGAATCTCCCATACTCCACCGGGGAGATAGATCGCATGGAGAGATCCAGGGACCGAGTCCAGCGAGATCGGGGGCACTCGCGGGGCCCATTGTGATGTGTAACATGTGGCTGTTGGGGCGAGCGCCAGGAACCGTGGAACACGCACCGAAGAGTCGGCTGTTTCACGGCGACGTGGCCATCCATGTTGCGCATGGATGAAAGGGTTCCCAAGTCTGAGCCCAAGACGGCGTCAACGGGGAAAACGGGGATGGGCCAGGGAGAGGGATCGAAGTGGGAGGTGGAGAAGGACGAAGTGGGGCGATAAAAAGTGGAACAGAATGACATCTCATCTTTTTGAATTTCGTATTATGCCACAAGGTGATAGTTATAATTGATGGTGGTACACAAACAGAAGAAAAAGAAAAGCACGTTGTAGCGGATTGTACAGGATCGCCCTTTTCAAACCCATTATCCCACGGCGACCGAGGCAAAGTAATATGCAAACGCCTTCCAAACAGAGATCCACTCCAAGCCCTCGAGCACCGGACAAATTATGCAAGAATAAAAGAAAATAATCACAGCTGTCTCTTTTCCCAGGAGACATGTACAACGCCGCAGCGGCCAGTTCAGCTGGCCGAGAAATGCCTATGCCAATAGTGGCAGCCGATCCTCCAACGAAAGGGTATCAAATATCCAGGGCCCGGGCCGAAATGGCGCCATGTTTCTATTGCTCATTCGGTTTGTTTGTGATCGGGAGGTCGCGTGTTAAATAAGTGTACTTGTTTTTGTCGATTTTTGGGGAGGGGTTTGAGTTTTGATTTTCGAATAAGTTTGCTTTTGGTCATGCTTTAGTCGTCCCAGTGGTCGCTCAGGTCACCACAGTCGGGGATAGCATCCTCCAACTTGGTACCGTAGAGAGGACGACCATCAGGAGTCAGCTGGCCACGGAAGTCAGGGTTGTAATCCGGACTGGTCTCGTCGAGGGTAGCGACATAGCGGTTGCGACCGCCCCGCTTGCTGTGGGTCTTGGTGTAGTGGGCGTTCAAGTTGTCGCTTCGGGAGAACGCGCGGTGGCAGCCAGGAACCCAGCAAACGTGAGGCTTCTCCTTGGAGTGGCTCTTCATGTGACGCTTAAGATGCTCTTGACGCTTGAAGCGGCCTTTGCAACCAGGCTCCTTGCACTTGAACTGAACCTGCTTAATAATGGGAGGCAGGTTCTCCAGGCTCAGGCTGGAGCGGATCAGTTGCTTCTTTGACGGCTTGCGGGAAGGCTGACGGTGGCGCATGGAACCAGTCATATAGACAGGAGAAACAGGGTGCTCCTCATAATACTCATGGCCATGGCCGCTCGAAACTCGGCTCATGGGCGTATCGGTACCGGAGAAGGATCCCGAACGGACGGGAGTAGAAGGTGTGTGGGCTTTAAATGTTTGGAGCTGGGTAGGGAACTCGGAGTAGGATGAAGAAGGTGGGGTGACAGGCCCCGCAGGCAGGACCTGTTGGGGGCTAATAGTTTGAGTCGTCATGGACTCCTGGGCCGGCATCCAAGGAAGCATGTTGGACATGGACATGGAGTTGGGAATACGATCAGACTGGGTGAACATGGGACGAGACAGACACGGGTTGGAGGCTGATTCGGGAAGGTAAGCGGGCTGCTGAGGCCGGTAGTGGTAGTTGCGGCCCATAGTGTGGTAATGAGGCATTGGTGCCTGGTAAGGGAAGTTGGTCTCATCGAAGGTCTTGGGCACATCCTGGGGGATCCAGAACTGTTCGACGTTCTCATCGTAGCCCGGCAAGTACTGAGGCATGGACATTTGGTCCTGGCGTTCCATATTGCCATAGGGCATGTTCATCCCATCGCCCGATGTGAGATCCGCCATCTTGAATGCGCTGCGCAGAGGAGTGGCCGAGGTACGACGCTCCATTGGAAGACTGTGATATTGGCCGGCTTCGTGCCAGCTAGGAGATGCCAGGGAGCCCTGGCTATAGATACTAGTAGGGGTGGGAGTAGGAGATTCCAAAGGAGAGAAGCTGGAGGTCATGGAGGGGCAGTCGTTGGGGCCCAAAGAGTGGCAATCAACTTCGACGGTGAGGCGATCAGAAATCTGTTGTCCCTGAGGTCTCATATCGTCGAGGTCTTCGGTCTTGAAATCTCGAGTAACGGGGTCGATGTTTTCACCTGACGGAGGAGAAAGGGAATGTTTAGTCCGGTGAAGGGATGGAAAGAGCGAAGGTGGATGGATAGCGAAAGACGAGAGCAGGAAGCAACAGGCAAAAGGAAAGAGAACGAGGGAGGGGTACACGAGGGAAGAGAAAGAATGTCGAGGATGAGAAAGGGAAAGAAAGAAAAAAGGAAAGGGACAAACGAGCAGAAATAAACAAATCGGCCCAGCATAGAATCTCGGCTGGTGGGGAATCGGACTTACAGCTATACGCCATGATTCGGATTGATATCGCGTCGCGTGCCTGGACCCTAAGCAAGGCCAGGAATGCAGACTATGTTCTCTGCTACGGGGACCCAGATCTGGGGTAGGATCGTCTGAGTCGCGCTGGGTAACGAGCTTCGAGCGCGTTTCCTCGTAGCCGGATTCCCAAACAGGGACAAGATGAGACGATAGGACCGTGGCTGGGAGACAGAGACTGGCAACGGAGACCCTCGAACGCGGGTCCTTGGTATCCAGAGGGTTGAATTGGGTTAATTGGGGAAGACTTGGGCGTGAACAAGGAGGCTGGTCTCAGAAGTAGTGGATTGGCAGGGGCTTGTTATAAGATAGGGAGAGCAAGGGTTCCCAGGTGTCTTGGGGAGGCCGGTTTATACATGGGCGGACTGGGAGAGGGAAGCTTGTTCCTGGGCCTCAGATCGGGGGCACTTGGATCGACGGATTACTCCATCCCTAACTTTGTTCGTGAATTTAATTTTAATTTTTCCTATTTCTCTCTACTATTTCCCGTTTCTCTTTTTTTTTTTTTTTTTTTCTCTTTTCCTGCAGGTGCATCGATCGCCCATCGGATATCATCTTAGTACTCGGGTACAGAATCACACTGGAATGCTCGGCTGCGCCTCCTACGTTCCGCGCAATGTGAGTAGAGTCTAATTCAGTGACATGCATTTGCTTATTCACCATCCCCCCAGACTTTTTCTTTTTTCTTTTCTTCTCTATTTGCTTTTCTATTTCTATTTCTATTTTCATGTCGATCATCCCCATTAGGGTTGAGATCGCCCTAGCGTAGGGCTCCACCTGATTGTCTTGGAGATGTCTCTCCCTCTTGTCTCTGCTATAGTTCAACTGTAAGACAAGAGATAACCTCCAGGGATCTCTCTTAGAACCCAAGACACTTCGGTGGCGGAATCCAGTGGGGGGTATTTTGATCGATCGTGTTCAAATGGTCTGGGCTTGACAGGTCAGACGTTACGCCTGGTCTGTGCGGGTCTCTCTCTCTCAACGGGGAACTGGCCGGGACGTAGCATTCGCACATTCCAAGGCTCTTCACTATTCTGCGCGTTTTGCACCTCCTGGGTCTCTGTACTTTTACTTTTACTTTCATTTATTTTCTCCTTGGGTCCTTCGTCATCGGCTATGGAATGTGCAGATAGCTAAAACGAGCAATGCTCCACGCACAGTACTATTGCATTGTATTGCCTCTTTCCGAGAAAAAGTAGCCCAGCATCCATTCCACCGGGTTCCTAAGGCTGTATGTTTCTACGTCTGCTGAGTGATACCTCTTGCCACTACCGCAGGCTATTTCGGACCTGCATCTGGACTCAGGGGTGATTTCTGATACATCACGCGTCACTCAGGAGCCCAATTCGAGGCACCCGCTTTGGTTGGTCTACTCGACCGATCTATTTGTTGGCGGTGGCAGAGGCGTTCTGGTCTCAGGCCTTTTACTAGCATGGTAGCGTGGCCTGAAGACTGCTACATTCTCGCCAGTAGCGAGATGGTTGATCTCCATGCGGGTGATTCAATTCCTCCCCGTGGTTGTTATCGCTCAGGAATCCTCATTCCCCGGAACATACGACTCGCGTACGTCTACAGTAGGAGATTTTCAATTCGCAATTTGCCTCCCGAGCGGGAACTCTCTCCCGCTGGGTATCTCATAGCTACTCAGAAGTCACGTAAACTCCACTCCAGTGGGTCAATGCTGAAACCAAGGCCTTCTCTGCTATGTTTCGTCGGCCTTTTTCGGTCCACTGGCGATCGCATAGCTTCAAAAGAGGAGCGTTTAAACAGTCACAGCCATAAGCGTTTGACAGCTCTCACCTGCTTGGTTGAAAAGTTCTAATTCGCGGTAACAGGTGGTGAGTCAATAAACTCTATGATGCGAACAGACCTCATCCTGAGCCACACACAGATTAGGCCAGAGATGGACCCGAGTCACTGGTAAAATATTTCAGATGGGATCGTTTCGTTGGAGTGGCTGACGGGCCCAGTTCGGGGGTGCCTGTTATATCCGTGTAGATCCCATATCTATGTGTCGATCTTGTTGAGTGTCAGATCCGAGGACCCATCTCCCCGTTTCTCCACTGTGTCTCCAGGTACGCCTCGCGATCTTAATAGTTGGGGCACGACTTTAGCGGTATGTTTCGTGCGTTGAGTTTCAAGAACACTAAACCACTAGTGATCTACAGTAAGATGTGTCAGGCAGAATGCAACAGAATGCAACTATTGCACTTAATGAAATCCCGAACCCAAGGAACTCCCAAGCCATGTCTGATTTTTTTTTGAGTGACAATTGACAAGATGGGTGTGGTGACTGTTTCCATATACAGGCTGGGCTCATATGCTCTAGACAGCCACTTATTTCCACATTCTGGACGTTTGAGCGTTATTCGCCTCCGGTAGCCTTATCATCGTAGCTCCCGGTTTGTCTCGGGTTATCTTCAAACCTAAGCACGGACGTAGTTCGCCGCAAGGGCCGGTAGAAAGCCCAATGTCTCCAGATATTGCGGGAAGCCCCTGCGTTTGTAGGAGCTATGACTTGCTTCAATCGTCTCTCATTTGGTCTACCCAGGGTCCACGGATGAGCATATTCAGCGCCTTGGCCTATGCTCGTTGTCTTGGAGCCCATGCGAGATAGACTGACTCCTTCCTGTGTCGCTACTAGCTCATCACTAGGTGAATTTAGAAAGTTTTAATAGTATTTCTGTTCATGCAGTTTGAGCTCTACGGTCGTATTGAGTCATGCCACACGAAGCAGCCTTATCGAAATGGACAATCTGACTTAAAGACACGCCACCAAGCCTCGGTGGCGACTGGTGGCTGATCTCAAGGTCGAAGCATTCGTTGCATACATGCCACTTTGCAGTCTGTGCTGGGCTTGAAAGCTATGGGGCAATCTTCACGCTTGCCACCGTCACTCTTCGCGCTATACTTAGCCGAGTTTTACGTGAGACTTTGCGAACCTCGTGTGATATTCAGGGAGAAAAGAGGCGTACCTGAGGCTCTGTACCCCTGACTTGAGTTGAGGCTTTAGTAGGGTACCTGTCGTACACGCGTATGATATCCGATCGAGAGGCTGATGTAATTCGACCCTCACAACGACCGAGACACGGTCCCAAGATCCTCGGAATTTCCCCATGATTAGCGCCAATCGAACACCACTTTCTCGCATTAGCACGAATCCCCCACCTTGGACCCAGGCACCCGGTCCTCAAACCTGGCACTATCGAAATTAGATTCTTCTCAGATCCATGTCTTTGTGAGTAACGAAGGAATCAGAGTCAGATCAAATACCAGGGTCTACCGCGCATGACATGCAAGCCTCTCAACGCCATGGCGCCAATATACGGCAAGATTGGTGGCTGATCATTTTGCGGGGGAAATCCAGAGTGGTCCATTCATGCACTCAGCCAATGGAGTGAGCTCAGACATACCTATGTGCAACAGTACTATTGCGCTTGGTTGCTGGCTCAACATTCCACGGGATGGTAGCAGCAGAATCCGCCTGCGCAAGATCACGGATGATTTGCTGCAGGTACGTTGAGCGTTTGTCCTTCCACTGATGTCAGTGTTGAATAACATTACTCGGGGAACTCATGCGCGGCATGACTGAGTTACAGAAGGTTTCAATAATATAACAGCATATCACTATACGTTGCCGGAGTCGGTTTTCACTGCATAGAGAGACATCCTCCCCCAACCTCCCCAGGAGACCGACCACCTTTGGTTATTGAATGGATATGATATGAGATTGGATATTTAGTGATCAGCCAAAGCTGATAAATCCCAAAAATTTCAGACAATAGGGGATCTAGAAGAGAGGCTGAGGACTCAGAGGGCGCCATGATATGTCTCATTTGCATGGCGCACCGGCATTTGCCCCGGTTTGGCATGGTGAAAGAAGCCAGCCTATGGCGAACGAGCACGACGCGCCAAGTGAAAAACGACCAATATTGTAGGCTCGGGGACTTCGGCCAGATCGGTACTTGTTCCTCTTCGTATTCCTAATCCTATTCCCGTTCCTGTTCCTATTCCTGTTCCTGTTCCTGTTCCTGTTCCTGTTCCTGTTTCTGAACTTAGCTTAGCTTCTTCGCACACCCCCTTGAAGCCCCACCCCCTTGCATGATTCATCTTAGAATCGTTCGATCTCTAAAATATTCAACGTAGAAAAGGAAGAAGAAAAAAAGTTGCTTAGCTGTGCTTGGCTCGATGATCCTCTACCACCATTCATGTTGACTTGCATTGCAGTACATCGCATCGCCTTGCGTCCTGGTCCCGACAGCCAGGATACAACACCCAGTGGCGAAAGGTTATGTTCCCGCCCTAGAATCAGCCCTCCTCGAGCGCGCCTCTTACAGGGATATTTTGCGGGGTCAAGATTCTTATCCAACTTGCCGTTTCAAGGAGCTCATCCAGATCGCCCTCGTGTCGTTCACGTTCCTAGATTTCGAAAGGAGCGCGATTAAAGAGAGACCTGGAATTAGGGTAAGTAGATCACCCGACACCCGTAGACCCTTCACCCTTGAGTCTGAGATCAAGTCCGAGCACAATCAGAAGCAGTCATAGCGCTGAGGACCTGCACATGCCAGACAACCCAATAGTGTGGACAAAAAACTTGGAAGTTGGAAGTGGCTACTATGCACAATCCTCAATAAAACAGCCTCCAGGGTAATTTTCCCGGGCTCACCGGTAGCCGTCTATCGCCTATGATCGACCGAGCGTATCACATACCCTAGGGTATGTCCGACACTGCCAAGCAATCAGATGAACAGGGGGAGGAGCGCACGGAGCTCACTCAGCGCCAACGGCCCAACCCCAACGCCAAAGCCAACGCACGACACATGTCTTGGGTAAGCGCGGGCGAGGGTTCGAGTGAGGGGACTTGGCTAGAGCTTTGGTTGCTCGGGGGAATGCAGTGACATCATACATCTCGCCCTTGCTCCAGTAGATGATCGCGCGTGCCTTTTTTGGGCCGCCGGCAGGCACTACTCGGCGCGGTTTCATATCATGATAGGATGAGGCCCTGGGATAGGATTGTGGAGCTTGGGTCGTGTTCAATATATTGTTCGTAAGTGCTCGAGGTCGCAAATCGGCAAATAGAGTTGGAGTTGGAGCTGAAAGGAGGGGGGGCTTGTAGGAGCCGCAGGAGGCATCCTGCAACGCTAATCAGTGCGTCTGGATCATGTATGTTGAGCGCTGGTGCGATTCTCGATGATCGGGCGTTGAGTTCGGGATCGATCACTTGACCGTGTGAAAATGGCTCATGGAAAATATTGGGAGAATCAACGCGAGTGTTGAGAGATGAGTCCCGAAGTGAAACTAAGAGAGCCTCCCGAGGTCTGACGCGGATGAATGGTTTTGTTCAGAGGGAATAGATAGATGCGCCAATTAGCCAAGTAAAGAAAGTAATGGGTCCACTTGGACGGTTCAATCCCGGTTCAAATGTTTTTAGATTCATCAAAGTGCCTGTAGGCGTAAAAATTACCGGATACTAGAATATATAAAGCTTTCCTAGAGTTCTGAGCTTGACCTTGAGGAATATTGGCCATATCGAGGAGACGTCTATCGAGGGGGTAACCCGGTGGGTAGCATCGGGGAAGATGCTCACAAGACTGCAATATGGGGGAAATATTTGGAAATGAGATAGAAATACCCCGACAGGCTGATTTCCCTGGTAACTCAAACATGATCGCTTTTCAATGCATCGCAGAGTGAAGTGTCAGTCTCCTCTAGGATGGAGTTTTGGGCCTACCTGCTTACAATTACCAGACTAGACACGAATGAAGTCAGTCGTACACCTCAACAAAGAAAAGTGAGCTGTTGAAATGGGTTTCAGGTCTATACAGAGTTCACTCAACAATCGAACCAGTTGGAAGGAAATTGTCCACAGTGATCTGGAGGATATTCACATGCGGCTGGCGGTTTTGAAGACTGCAATGGCCATAAAAGGGGGAGAACACTACGGCAGAAAGTAGAACGACCAGGCGAGCGCGTCGTCGCCGGTAACTATTCGAGTTACAATGTAGTTGGCTTTTAGTTCCTGAATAATATATTACATATGAATTGAACCTAGCATGCCCATGAAATTGATGACCGCGGATGTCAAGTTGAAATGGAGATCAAATCCAAAGTGTTAGCATATGTCAATATACCTCTACATCGGACGACGTCCACCAGCCGTGATATTCGCCATCGTTTTCTGGGCTTTCTGTCGAATCGAATCTTGTCGGGCTCGGTGAGACAGCTCATTCCATACTCCCCACTTTTCCCAGCAGCTTCAAGGGCCAGATATCCAGGCGCATAGCATTCAATATCCCATTCAAGTTGCGCACGGTCGCAGTATATCGTTTGCGCATTCGGCGTGCCGTTTGGCTCGGCCAAGTATGGTTCGGCCACGGATGTTAAGATATCCACGATAGGGAGATCCATATCCATTATGTTCCCCCCGTTCCGTAAGTATATAGACAGAAACGTATGGTGAGGTAAAGGGTAAAGGGTAAAGCAATACTTATCACTGGTTCTCATGTCTTTTGCCACATGAGCTCCCTCGTATTCCCTCTAAATCTCCTCTCCCATAGATAGGGCCTTTCGCTTTTACTGTTTTCTTTATTTCCTTTTTCACATCCCCCTGTTCTTTCTGGATAGCTCAGAGTGTGGGTTTTACGTGGACAATGATGATCAAAACTTATACCAATGTATCACCAGCCTGAAAAGGTCACGGTCGAAACATGACTACAAGGAACTTCGGAGTCCACAGGATCAAGCGTGAGAGAGGTCAGCATCGTCAGCTTTTCATTACCCCTTCGCTTCAAGAAAAATCTTTGTGTTTTCCACATCTCTTTCCTGAAATGCCTACCAACCTGTCTAATTTGCAGTCCATTACCGGCACTTAGTAACCGTCTGATTCCCAGGGGAGCACAGCTCTCAAGAAACTTCCCATGTGTAATATGTAAAGAAAACTATAGTCTTCATGAGTCATCGCCTGGGCGACCTGAAAGCAGCTGAGGATTTCTAGTAGCCATAATAGGAACAAATGTCACTCCTTTTGAAGATTCAGTCAAATCAACTTCAATGTGTGGCAAGAAGGATCATATTATAACTGATGAATTCAAAAAGCAATAGCAGACATTACATGATAAAACATTTCGCTGGCATAAGCACGCATAAGTACACATAATCATGCATAAGCATAAAACATTAATAACTGACGCACTCTGCAAGATATCGAATCACTAATCCATTAGCAGACAGTGATGAAAAGACCAAGCCTGACATTCTGTTAGCATGTGCTCAAGGGTAGATATAGAGATAGAGAACTTACGGAGCAGGGTTGAAGTCCTCAAAGAATTCAAAGTCGGTGCTACCAGCATTCTTCATCTCAAAGGCCACCGCCTGACCAGCGGGGCACGAGAAGGTCGAAACAACGTACGAGTTACCGGGCGAAACAGTAATCTCACCCAAGTCCATAGATACAGACGGGGCATTGTCAAAGGTAGTCGAGGTAGTAGCAGCCTTAGACAGTTCAGAGAAATCGATCTTGCCATCGCCGCTGAATGTAAAGGACGATGTCTCCAGGTTAGCCTTCTCGGGGAACAGGAAGACCAGGCTGCAGGTCTTGCCCGAGTCAGACGAGGGAATATCGAAGTTGAAAATGCTAGAGACTGTAGAAGTCACTTTGCCGTTGAATGAAGTACCAGCGGCGGTGTTGGGGGACGAGGAGTCGACGGGAATAATCAGGTGTGGGAACTCGTAATTGCCCGTGGAAAGAGCAGTTCCACAGTTGGTCGCAGGTGGCGAAGTGGTACCGCTGGAGCAGGAGCTGGCTTCCAACTCGATCATTTTGCAGTTACTCAGGTCGCTGCTTTGGGTAGTATAGATGTTCAGGCCACCGTTATCACCCGTCTCGCAGGCAATAAAGTCGGGACTGCCGTTGAATTCAAGCAGACCGTTGGAGCTGATAGAGAAGCCTGAGGTGGGAGTTGCTCCCACGTCGCACTGCAATTGAGTAGTGGGGGCTGGAATTCAATAGTCAGTTTCGAGAACTGTCTTTCATCTTCGTTCATTCAATGCATCACTCACGGGTTAAAATGCAGCCACGACCATTGCCATCAGTGATAGAGCCACCATCAATACAGAACTCTCCCTCGGGAAGACTGCTATCCCCAATACGGTTCTGTCCATCACTGAGCTGACCGACAGGAGACCCGTTGGCGGTAAGATGGAAGCAGCAGCTACCAGTGCGGCTGACAAGACCCTGGGCTCCAGCAGCAAAGGCTGCGAGAGTAATATAGCTCTTCATGTTTATAATGGGGAGCAGAGAAGGCACAAGGAGGATAAGGAATTATTACTCTGGATAGCCACGATCCTGAGGTTGAAGATGAACTGAAATGAGGATACTTCACTGATAAAATTCCGGCATACTTATACCAAAGAGGGGTTGAAAATAATAGTTTGCCTCAAAGAGCAGGATCTCGTAAACCAAGCAATTCAACGGTACAGGAGACAAAGTAGACGTCATCCTAGACCGAAGTTCGAACCCTCGTTGACCCCCAGGGGCCTATGAGCATGTTCTTGTTACCCTACAACATACTCAATCGGGACAATGACCGGCGTAGCTGGAGTGGCGACGTCATTGACCCATGGCTCCAGTGTGTCCGGCAGAAAGGAAACCATTATAAACAAATAACGGATCGAGCCGATAAATAAAGGGCGACCGTGGTTGAGGGCACAATGCAATGGTTCTGATGAGTACCAATCGGAGTTTGATGTTTTCGAGATGCCGAGAAAGGCTAACCGTAAGCGTTGAAGGTCAAGGTTTAACCTCCCCCGCAATTCTTCCAATCCGTACTTTGGAATTGCACAGTGATGATTTTGTGGCGGATACACAGGGGTAAAGATTGTGCAGCTTTTCAGGGTCAAGAGAACTGCAAGTAACAAAGCCTGGAGCATTTGGCTCATGATCAAGTGAGCCTCTTGTTTGATGATATATCACAACCTGGGCACAGTCCTAAAAAAATGGCCCCCATGCTACGCTCGATGCATCTGCTCGCACGTCCATGATTTCATGCCAAGGAATATCGATGAAAGAATCCCCGCCTTTTAGTCAAAGGGCTGTGAACAGGATTACATTCGGATCGCATGTAGCCGGGACTGAATGATGATGTTACAATTCGTCGGCTCCACCGGTTAAGAGATCCAGCGAACGACAGGCATTCTATTCTTGTGCACTTGGAACGAACCACAAGTGCACCAAACTTGGGTACGAACAATGCCATTGCCTGTGACCTCGGTATAGTTTGCCCAAAGTTGAAAAGAGTTTGTTGAAGCAAATGTACACACCAAAGGTGATCGACGAGTAATTTACGTCATGACCGCGGATGTTGTATACATACTGGACAGAATCTCTCGGCCGATGTAGAGACAGGACACGATCGAAGAACAAGCTTCCTTTCTACAGTAGGGTCTACCTGGTTGAATTTGGCGATCGGCAATCGGCGCCAGCGCAATGGAATGAGCGGGGCTCAACATGTACAGTCGCGAATTGCACTCGAAAAACTCCGATATTTGACATGCCAGCCGCATGCAATAAGCCGACGCCCACGCCGTTCAGCCCGTTAGACGTGAGATGGGGGGCTAGGCGACGAAAGCAAAGAACATAGCAAAAACCCTCCGATGTACGTCACGCTCGGAGACACGCGGACCGGTGGATTGGCAAGCCGGCCGGTCGGCTTTGAAAGGTCTTGCGAGAGCGGAAACATTTATGCGACACAGGTGGCCGCCGGGAGTTTGGCAGGAATATTTGGTCGGGCTTGTCTTCGGACGGGTCTAGAAGCTCATGGAGCTGGAGCAAGAGATGTGACAGGTGTGAGATGGTGCGCTGGTCTAAGATGAGAGATAACCGAACGTGGTCGTTGTCTCTGTAGGGTTGGGGTGACATTGAAAAGACCATGCTGCCAATGAAGTTTGTCGCTGTTGGACGACGAAACTGGGGATATCCAGATGATGTGCTCTATAGATGTGATGCTCTCGTGGGGGTGGGATAAGGATAACCGTTAGCGTAGTATTCCAACACCTGTGCGTATTTAGGACTCCATGAGTTGTTGTAGTTGAGGAGTTCTTCATTATTCATACTTCATCTTTCACTATTCAAGATTGTCGCGATTGTAGATTGTTGATCGTTGAATGGTGGTTGCCTGGCACGACAGCGCAATTAGGCAATCCGCGGTCGCCGGGAACGAACAGGGAAGAAATCAGGGAAGAAGCACCAAGTTGCGAGCTCCGAACTCCGAGGGCGCTGTTGGCCCGATAAGCCACTCCCTTTAATACTTCACGGGTTCTCAAAACATTCCAGGTTCCTTTGGAAAGGGTGATGTGCGAAACCCCCCTGAACTCCTGTGAGCCGTCGAGTCTCCGTGTCCGGTTCCGGTTCCTTCCTTGACCCAACCATCATGGCTGTTGCACACGGGGAAACGGAGCCACTGCTGGCCAACTCAATCAGAGAGGTGCCCGCGCCTCGGGATTCGAGCTCGAAGAAGCTGTTGGTTATCGTGGTATGCTCCGTCCTGATTGTGGCCGTGGATTTTGGGTTTTTCATGGGAACGGCGCCTCAGACGGCCATTTTCGAGGAGATTATCTGTCGCAATTATGGTCTGCAGCCTCGCACTTCCAGCGCGACGAGGGGGGGGGTAGATCCGTGTAAATCGGAGTTGGTACAAGGGGAATTGGCCCTCGTTTTGGGTTATAAAGACACGTTCGATGTGCTGCCAGGTGTGTTTGGGGTTCCAGAGAGTGTTGATCCTCGTCTTAGCAGCTGATGGTGTAGGGATCTTGCTGTCACTCCCGTTCGGCGTTCTGTCAGATCACTGGGGCCGCAAACCCGTGCTATGTCTGAGTTGCCTGGGACTGCTCCTGAGTGAAACGTGGGTGAGGGCCGTCTGTAAGTAATCCAAGTCCGTCTCACTCCAGCAGACACTGAGATTTTCAGGTTACTTCGCCGACTATTTGCCTCTTCGTACGGTCTGGCTTTCCGGACTATGGCGCATGATTGGCGGCGGCGAACAAGTAGCTGTCAGTATGTGCTTCGTCATGATCGCCGACGTCTTTTCCGAGGAAGAAAGGTATAGCACATCGGATTTGGCCATGGCTTCATTTTGACTGACTCTCATGCAGATCAGTTGCGCTCTTCCGTCTGCAGTCCAGCGCTCTCGTCGCAGAAGTATTGGCCACCCCACTCAGCGCCTCTTTAATGACATTGGGGCCCGCCTTTCCATTTGTCTTAGGTTGGGTTATTGAACTGGCCGGCTTCCTTCCCGTCTTCCTCCTGCCGGAGACGCTCGAAGACGCCAAGGCGACAAGACTGAGCCAGCAGAAGGCGAACTCCAACACCACTGATTCGGAGACTGACATTGAGCCGACCGACCCATTAGACAAGGCCGTGCTGCCGGAGCTCCTCCGCCAGATACGCGAATTCATCGAGTCCACGCAGTTCATCTGGCGCGACTGGAATATTTGCCTGCTGATTCTCACCATGTTCGTCGGGGTCATGTCCCGCCAGTCTACCAACATGCTCCTCCAATATTCGTCCAAGAAGTTCAACTGGAGCATTGCACGGGTACGGGTTGCAGCAACGCTTGGAAACAATATCGACTGACTACAGTACAGGCTAGCCTTCTGATCTCATTGCGGGGGATCTTCCAAATCGTCAACTTCCTCATCCTGATGCCGGTTCTGACCTTCCTCGCCGCCAGATACTATAACCTGCACGGGAAAGACCGAGATTACCGATTAAGTCAGGGCAGCGGCATCCTTTCAATCATTGGCTTCGCCGTCGTGGGCCTTGCCCCAGTCCCGGTCCTCCTGATCTGTGGCCTCGTCTTTCTGTCGCTAGGCTCGGCATTCATGATCAGTACCCGCAGTCTAGCCACGTCCCTCGTAGTACCCGATCATGTTGGCACACTGTACTCGGCCATTGGCATCTCACAGTCCATCGGCACGTTCATTGCCGGCCCTTTATTCGCCTATCTGTTCAAGCTAGGGATGCATCTTGGCAATGCATGGATGGGAATGCCGTTTCTGCAGGGATCCCTTTTCTACGTGGTCGCTACGGTCGCCGTGTGGCGAGTTCGGATGGGCCGATCGACCAGAGAGGAAGAAGAGGAGGAGCAATTGGTATCGGAATAGACGTATACATCCATGGATTTACGACCAGAGTTACTCTAAATAGCAAATTCACGAATCTAATTGACAGCAAATCCCAAGGGAACAATGATAGCCGATCGCAAAGGGTCCAGTGCCCCAAAAGGCTAGACGTGGAAGCCTCAAACAACGCTAATCAATTCACGATGAATGATGCACGTTGGTTCGCCGGGCGCGGGCGATCACCTCAATTAATCTCGCGCGCTTCAAATCATCTCTGACCGGAGATCCGCAGGAATCTCCTGGATGCAACCTCAGGGCAACTATCCCCTGACCGTCTTGCCTGGGCTTCCGACGGGTGTTTGAGGATCTCCGCATCCCCGTTGGAAGCAGACCGGCGATTGGATCACTTCATGAAGGCCAACCCCCGACTTCCATCCATTTGCCTCCACTTTCCCTGCAGTTTCTTCTCACTGGTTGATTCCTTTAGTGCACGGCGACATCCGATCTGTCCACCACGAATCAGAAGCCTCTTATCAGCGCATGTGTTGCTATCAGTCGCGATCGGCGACCCTGACGATATTCAAGTCGTAGTACCTGCTTCAGGGTACATAATGTACGGGACGATGCCCCGGTCTGCTCTACAGTTCGAGTAATTATTCTCTTTCAGCATGTTCTACGCAACTTTGGCGGGCGTACTGGCCCTAGCAACTGCACAATTCTTCACCGGTGTCTCGGCCAACCTGAAGACCTGCACCAACAACAACACTCTGAGCTGTCACAGCTCCTCCAAGGCCCCAACCTGCTGCTACAACTATCCGGGTGGCGCCCTCCTCCAAACCCAATTCTGGGACACCGACCCGTCAACTGGCCCGTCCGACTCTTGGACCATCCACGGCCTATGGTAAGTCCAGCGCCTCGATCACGCTACTTGCCAATATCTAAAACATTCACAGGCCGGACAACTGCGATGGCACATACGAATCCAGCTGTGACTCGTCGCGAGCCTACACCAACATCACCGAGATTCTAAAGGAGCAGGGTCGTACTTCTCTGCTGTCCTATATGGACCAGTACTGGGTTGACATCGACGGCGACAACGAGTCCTTCTGGGCGCACGAGTGGGGCAAGCACGGCACCTGTATCAACACGATCGATCCTAGCTGCTACACTAACTACTCGGCACAGGAGGAAGTCGGTGATTTCTTCCAGAAGGTCGTGGACTTGTTCAAGTCTCTGGACACGTACAAGGTATGTCACCCTTCTGTAGTCTTCACAATAGAAGAGGTTAACGAAAGCTTGATAGGCCCTCTCCGCGGCAGGAATCACTCCCTCCAGCTCCAAGACCTACACCCTGAGCGCCATCGAGGCCGCCCTGAGCAAGGTGCACGATGGCTCACAGGCCTACCTCGGCTGTGATAACGGTTCCTTGAATCAGGTCTGGTACTTCTTCAATGTCCGTGGCAATGCCATTGATGGCCAGTATGACGCGTCTGCACCGCGTAAGTATTCTCTCTATCATTACTGAGGGTGTAGCTGACTGTTCCCTAGTTACCAAGTCGAGCTGTCCCAGCAGTGGCATCAAGTATGCGCCTAAGAGCAACTAAATTGGATGTCAGGCTTCTAAGAGCCTCGGTTCTCAGGGTGAGGATGTGTGGTCTCTCTGGAAATCAGGGACCTCTTCGCTGTACATAGCCTTAAGAGGTCGACCCTAGCTTGCTCTAGAATGGGAGATGGGTCTTTAGCTCTTCTCAATGGGGTATCTGATTGTTCGAAAAGTACAAAGTGAATAGTAGTACAAGGCCGGGCGACGCCCAGCAAGTATGAGATGGAGGAGAACCAACGTCCTCATCTCACTAGTAATACAATTCAGCCGACATAGGGCAAATATTCCAAACATTCATGCATGGCCAGAACCTCCCCGATACCACCACCAGTTAGAGATCTGAGATCTGACTTGCACCGCAAAGCGACAGGAACAGTGTCTAGTGGGCTTTGTTGTCTGGAGATTGATACTCGGGGATTTCCCGTCGGGCGTGCGATCACCTGGAGGCCTGCTCAAAGCAGCGCAGGGTGTAAGGCCCGGAAACAAGGCTCTCGCAATACGACCCTGTCTGCAGAGAACATGCCGATCAAACAGACGGCCTGTAAAATGAACTATTTGAAGATAAGGTTCGAAAACGTCGAGGATGAAGAGATAAGGGACTGAAAAGGAATTCATATGCCCTTGAGCCGTGCCTGGCGTGCCTCTTCGTCTCTCTTTGCGTCCACGCGACCCAGGAAATCCATACGGCCAATATATCCCTCCTTTGCCTTGGAAGCGGTGCGAAGTTCGTCTTTGATACCGGCCTCGTCCACATATTGTGCCCAGTCGAGACGGGATTTCTCCACCGTATTGATCTTGGGCCCGCTTGCTTCCTTATCGCCCTCCACAACCTGCTTCTCCCAGCTCTTTTTGATTGTGCCGGTCGGGTTGGGATCGAATCGGGAGATCTTGCGCAGCGGTCGACGCAGGTAGCGGCTTGGGACACCGTCCACTTCGGTGAGCTCGACGTTCTCCCCCGATGATAAAAACGCCTTAGCTTCAGCGGAGTCTTTGGGAACGGTCTTCTCTTCGGTGATCATCTCGCCGGCGAATTTGTAGGTGCGCTTAATCTTGACCATCTGCTGCTCGTACTGGCCATGGCGCGCATTATCGTCCGGTTTGGGGGGACTTGGGTCCTTGGTGTTCGTTTTCGCGGGTTCTGGAGCCGGGGCATTTTCTTGCTGCGCCTGCGCCTGCGCCTGCGTCTGCGTCTGCAATGGCGTGAGACCCATTTGAGCTTCGGGGGCGTTCATCTGCTCCCAGAGGGAGTCCACGTCGATAGTCGCGCCATCGATTTTCGCCAGCGGTTTGCGCTGCTCTTCATGTCTGCGAGTGAATGAATGTCAGATCTAGAAAGGGCACATAGAATCATGATATCATGGGGAATTCACATTTGCGCCTTCATCGCGCGCGTTCGCACGAAACCGCCGGCTCCCCCTTCGTCATCGTCCAGATCGAAGTCATCTTCATCGTCTTTGCCCTTCTTCCCCTTCCTCTTCCTTCGTTTCTCGCGCGCCTTGTTAATTGTGACTTCATCGCCTGAATCTAGCTCGTCTTCCGGAATCTCGGCTTTCTTATCGGTCTTGCGCTTCTTCTTAGCGGGTTCGGCGGTCTCGGCGGTCTCGTTGTCGGAGTCGGACAGATCGGAGTCATCCTGGGCTCCATCTAGCTGGAAGTCTTCATCTTCGGCCGATTCATAAAGTTCATCATCCAGATCAACTGAATTGACTGGGTCGGCAGGCATCTTGTTAGTTGTGATTGTACAGAGAAAAGAAGTCAAGACGGAGAAGCAGGAAGCGCGCTAGGATATAATTCTGCCGAAGGCGGTGCTGATAAGGATTATGTAACTATTTTTGGACTCGAGAAATGACGCGATGGTTTTCAATTCAACGAGCTTTGACTATTTGAGGAAATGGCATTGTTCAAGATAAATACCCAACATCACACAGGACTCATACCTGTCATTGAGAATGCTTGCAATAACCACCGGCGCGCTCAACGCGGTGGCAAAACTTGTCCGTTTACCTTTACTCCCATACTCTCCAAACAAGACACAGTCCGTGTTGGGTTGATTATTTGACCAGTTGACCCATCCTGCTCCATTGATGGCATCACTCGGGTATGTGCTCTGGATGATGACGCGTGCGTATGAGGTTTCTGGGCGGCCTGAACGGTATTAGTATGAGATCCACACGAACCATCTGCACTTACCTAGACCCTCTCCAGTGCGTCCAAGAGACGAGGATTGAAGGCGTATAGCTCAGGTACATGATTTTTGCCGTCGCACAGGTAGAACAACACTTGAAAAGAAGTCACTGTGCCGGTGCGCACAGCCACACACCCATCTGGTTTCTCTCTTTCATTTGGTGTGGTCCTTTAGATAAGAGATCATCGGAGAATTACCCTGTTTCATTGTCGAATACAGCGAGAATTGGAAAGCGAGTTTCAGAGCTGAGCAGTCTCATACAGGTTTAAATGACAGACATCGGCTTTGGGACTCATCCCATGAGATCACGCTACCTCTTTGCTTTGAGAAATAGTGTCCAAAGCCACCAGACCCACGTTTCAACATCCAACTATCGCCAAGACTTCTTTCATCTATGCCCAGCATGGATCCTAATACAACTTGACATGTCAATCAACATACCCCTCCAGGCCTCATCCGCATATTTTCATATTCTCATATTTAATCCAGCCCTTCTAGGGTTTAATTCTGATAGACCTGCTTGGTAGCAATTTCCAACTTCTCAAGTTGGAACTCCTGCTCGCGACGGCGAGAGACATCTCTCTGGAAATAGGATCCCAGGGCAGCACCGACTCCCATGACAATCTCCAGTCCCAACAGGAAACAGAGAAGGGCAAATCCAGCACGTGTATTGTGGCAGTCTCTTGAAAAGTGGAGCGGGGTCGTGGTGCTGCTGGTGTTCTTCCATTTGCAGGTCCAGCTGTACAGTGTTTCGTTCTCGGTGAAGCCGCTTGGGTAGGCTGAGGATGGGAGGTAGATAATGAAGAGGAGGCCGATCAGGGCTGTGATAAAGCCCGCGATAGCTGAAGTGGACGCACAGGTATTTAGGACCCGAATCCGCGAATGGGGCTACATAGATGTGTTAATAGATCCGACTTGCCATCAAAGTATAGGTGAAGAGAACGAACGGATGGAAGCAGAGCAATGACGACGTATATCAAGTTAAGCACCGCAATAACACAGCCACACGACATTGCCGCGATAGTAGGGCGAAGATCAAAATTGAGGGGCCAAAGGGCGAGACCGGCGCTCGCCCATTTGGCGGTAGACGTATAATGCCGGAAAGGCACTGCCTCGCATGCGATAGTAGCGATAGCACCAGTCAAAATCAAAAAGGATAAACTGAGCCGGCCTAGGTGAATGGCGCGGCTGCGCTTGAGGAAAGCTGACTCCTGCATATCGGAGGACTCGGCAGTGGATGAACCCGAGCTCATGGTGGAGGGGAGAGAGTATCAAGATAATAAAAGACAATAGATTATGTGACAGGAGATGGAGCGCGGAGACCTTGCCGGCAAGGCTGTTTTTGAAAGTATAAAGAAAGTAGGACCCTCACCAGGGGTGGGAAAGAAAGGCTATCCTTGAAAAGAACGGCGTTGAGGCAAAGATATAGGTCCTCTGGTCTCAAGGACCCTGGGCGGGGAAAGAAGCTAATTATGTACCCTGCGTCGTACAAACACAGACGTTCCATTGCAGATGGATATGTTAGCGAGCGGCTTGTCGTCACAAGTGCTGATACTGCGTGGGCGCGTAGCCAGTATGGTGGAGGAGGGGGTCCTCCGCAACACACTCATCCATTTCTGTCTATTGATTCGCCGGAGAGAGAAAAGTTAAATTTCGAGGAGTTCGAGGGCTGCCTCGAACACATTGGTCGTGCAGATGTGTGTTTGGACTATGGTTGGGACTCTGGTCTGGGCGGGCGCCTGCAGACTTGGCAGGAGAAGCACCACCGGAGAGCGCTAAGTCGAGCTAATTTTAGAGGGAGCAAATAATGATCGTCACCGACTAGGGTGGATCCTACAGTCTGATTTGTGGTCCTCGAACGCCATTGTGTCGGTGCTGGAGCGATGGCGGGTGCTGATAGGCCGAGGCGAAGCGCCGGGGATTGCGACCTGGGGGCCATGGCGATTATACTGTAGCTGATGAGTCTCGCCCACGCTAGGGATGTCATAGTTCCTGGATCAATTTAGATCGACACCCTGACCATTTCAAGAAGCTAGGTCTGCTAGGGGTACTGTATCCGGGCTACTCCTCCTCTAAGCACCGGCTGGGTTATCTACGGCCTCGAGGCGTCTGTACGCCATATTTGAGGAAGGTTCGTGGCTTCACACTCTACGCCCATCTCCAATTAGAGATGTGCACAGAAAGTCGGATGGCTGGAGAAAGTTTCAAATTGAGTAGAAAGCATAGTGGAAAATGAGAGCCGATTTCCCAGGGGGGGCAATGTTGAATGCTCCGAGGTCTAGTTGAAATCGTAGTTGGATAGGAACCATGTTGGATGTAATCAACAACAGAACGCAAAAACACGAAAAGACAAGCCAGAGGTATTTCAACTCTCGGCTTGCAGTTTTTCAACTAGGCCTCAGTAGTCATCGCCGCGGCTGATAACTTCTTTGCTAGACTCTCCCAGCAAGACGGTCTGACAAAACAGTAAGCAAATGAGGGCTCCACGAGAGTATACAGGTAGGGGAGGAACATACATGTTCAAATTGTGCGGAGTATGACCCCTCACTGTCCATCAGAGGGGAGTAGATTTCGACAATACCTTGAGAAGCAAGGTTGTTCATCTGCACAATCAGCACTAGTCCGAGCCGGATCAGAAGAAGACTTACACCCGCCAAATATCGCCCAAGTGGGATACCAAGGCGATCAAGGTACCGACGACAAAATACAAGAGAGCCAAAATTGTCGTTGATGGTCTTGTTGACAGACCGGGCCATAGCAAGAGGCGAGACGATGCTCTTCGGCGCAAGTGGGTCTTTGCCGTACCCATACACTCCGGGCTGAAACAAGTCAGTTCTTTTCCTAAATTCAGTATGACGGGGGGGGGGGTTGACTGACTCCATCTATCAAATGGCCTTGCCCGGTAGTACCAAACGTTTCGATAGCAAAGACTTCCCCCTCTTCCATCTTTGTCTGATCCTTGTTTTTCACGAAGGGGATAGACTTTCCACCGTGGATCTGATATTGCTTGATATCGTGCCCGCTGAGTTGTCGAACTGCTTTCACGGGGAAAGTTTTGCCTCCAATTTCCACTTCGTAACTTTCCATTGCCTCCTGGATAGCAGCGCTGATATCGCAGATACGGACGTCGACACCAGCATTCTAACCGATGTTAGCTTTGCTCCGTAGAATGAGAAATGGGCTTCTTATTACCTTGATTCCGGTGTTCGTTGCATCATTTACTGCAGCAAGCAGGTTGTCATAAGTCGGATCCCATGACATGGTGAAAGCGCTATCGACAATCCAACCATTGATATGGACGCCGAAGTCAACCTTCATCACATCGGTCGACTTCAAGACTATCTCCTTCTGGCCAGGATTAGGCGTGTAGTGCGCCACACAATTGTTCAGGGAGAGTCCCGTAGGGAATCCCATCCCTGAGACTAGCCCACTTCCAGGCTCAAGTCCCTGGTTATCGAGCAGCGCTCTCACGCCATCTTCGATGTTCACAGCAATGTCTGTGAGGGTTGAACCGGGCCGAGCAGTCTCCTGTGTGTATTTCCGGACCTGGCGATGAATCTCCGCTGCTTTGCGATAGTCGCTCAAGAATTTGTCGTCGTGAATTTGACGACGCGACTCGTATCGGTCTTCCTCGGCGGTCGTGCGGGCGGTATTTTCAACCACTGGTTCATACTTCTGAATCTCTCCGCTTGGGTATTGGCCAGACGGGAATATCTGGTCGAGAGGGACTCGTGGTGGCGACGACTGTTTACCAGCTGAAGCCTTCTTCTTGGACTTCTTTCGCTTCTTCTTGGTAGAAGCGGACGTAGACTGCGGGTTTAGCGATACTTTAACTTCGCCAGCCGTATCGTCGCCGTCGGCGTCATCTCCTCCGTCATCGTCTCCCAGACTGACATCTCCATCCCGGGAGAGATGAGTTCCTCGTGGTTCGCCGCCGACGCCGTTGGCATTGATTGAGCCGGACGGGTCATCTGCTCAGGGTAAGCGAAAGTTACGGCGGAAGAGCACTAGCACATACTGCCATTGGTATGGCTCTCGTGTTCAGGAGTCTTTGATCCCATTTCGACATCAAAAAGTAGCTTTTGTAAAGAATATGAATGGTTGAAGATGAGGCGAGGAAACCCGGTGATTTCTCACGCGACCAAGGCGGTGTGCTATTTATCTAGTGCTTATTTGGAACTTTTCGGTTTCGGTTTCGGTTTGGTCTAGTTTTCTGGGCATTAAGAAATGTTTTTGGCTTACTTTAGATTAAACTCAATTCAATGTAATACGCCCTTGCAAGAATCTCAATTCAGAGCTTCGTCTATAGATCATCTGCAGATCAACAAGACGCACGCGGGGAAATCCGGCCGGGGATACCCCACACCGCCTGGCAGAAAGAAAAACCGCGGCGGGGCACTCGTTGACTTCTTCAATTGCTTCATTAAGTTCCATATACCCCAGACACTATGCCTTTGTCACAGTTGCAGGGAGTCAAGCTCCCAGCCTCGGCCGACTTCCATGGTACGCCTGCGGAAACAGCACGCAGACAGCAGACAATGGCTCACTAACCGGTATAGTCCACCTTCGCGATGGCCCGATGATGGACCTGGTGACGCCTACTATTCGCCAGGGCGGCGTGAACACGGTTTTTGTCATGGTAAGAAGATTTGAAAAAAAAGGTCAATTCTCAGCTTTGTAACATGGTATCGCACAGCCCAACCTGGTCCCGCCAGTCACGACCGTCGACAGGGCCCTGGACTACCAGAAGCGCCTGCAGGCCATTGAGCCTAACGTGAACTACCTCATGTCGCTATACCTGCACGAGTCGATCACCCCGGAGACAATCATTGACGCGAAGAAGCGCGGAATCACTGGAGTCAAGAGCTATCCCGCTGGTGTGACCACCAACTCGAGCTCAGGTGTCATCGATTACTCCTTGTTCTACCCGGTCTTCGCTGAGATGGAGCGCCAGAACATGATTCTGAACTTACACGGCGAGATCCCCTCCAAGGGCGATGTCACGGTCCTGTCGGCTGAGGAGCGATTCCTCCCCACCCTGCTTGAGCTTCACGCTCAGTTCCCCAAGCTCCGTATCATCCTGGAGCACTGCACCACCGCTGCCGCTATTGAGGCTGTGAAGAAGTGTGGCCCTACTGTTGCGGGTACCATCACCGCCCACCACTTGTCCATCATTATCGACTCGTGGGCTGGTGACCCCTTCTGCTTCTGCAAGCCCGTGGCTAAGACCCCTGCTGACCGCGATGCTTTGCTCCGGGCTGCAGCCTCCGGCAATCCCAAGTTCTTTTTTGGTTCTGACAGCGCCCCTCACCCGGCCGCCTCCAAGCGCGGTGGCGAGAAGATCGCCGCTGGTGTTTTCACCCAACCGTACACCACTCAGGTTGTGCTCGACTCATTTGAGCAGGCCATCGAGAATGGTGTCCTTAAGGACGAGGATATCACACCGGAGATCGTCGCGGGCTTCATGAGCAAGTTCGGACGGGCCTTCTATGAGATTGGCGAGGAGCAAAAGGAGTTCATCACACTCGAGAAGAAGGGCGAGAAGATCGTCGAGATCCTCAAGTCGGATCAGATCGATGTTGTTCCCTTCCGTAAGACCCAGGACACATGGAGTGTGACCTGGTCTTCATAGATTCCCAGTTTCAATGCAAATAAAAAGTTCAAGTCCTGTAAGACTGTTCCCTTCCAAGGCGGCGCGTGGTTTTAGGAGAGCTTGGGCTCCTGCGTAAGCATATTTGCCACATTCTCCAGCGCCTGTGCCTCGGAGATGTCGATACGGCGACCTGCCACAACTGAGATTCCATCGTCACCCATCGCCAGCTGTCCAGCCCGTTCAAGATGAAGTTTGATACGACTCTCGATATAGGCTTTCCGTTCATCGCGCTTGGATTTGGCCTCCATTGCCTTTCCAGAGCCCGGCAGACTAGCCAGCTTGGGTCGCAGGTTCTGAAGCGTCGCCTGTAGCGCAGGAAGTTGCGAGAGAATGAAAGCCGTGTTCGTCGTCAGAGGGGTGTGTCGGACGTTGGCACCAGCATCCACGCCAACGCGAAGCTGACGCGCAGCCGGGCTAGATGTCAAGAAGGAGAGATCTAGCGATTTTGCGGCCTTGCTCTCTGCACCCTCGGGTTTGGCGGTCTCCACGGTTGACAGTATGGACTTGAGTTGAGAAATCACTGCGTTGTTTCTGGTGCATTCATCTTTAAGCGATCGGTTGAGTTTGCGTGTTTCGAACAGCTTCTCGCGCTGCGCGATGATAGTATTGGGAGTGGGCGAATTCGGCGAGGGGGTGAATGAGAGACCCTATGCCACGACAAGTTAACCAATGAACTGAGATTTGTCACGCGACTGCATTTACGCACCTGGTAATGCTTGAGTCTAACCCACGGGAGGAGGTCTTCGGGTACAGTGAGAATGTTCCTCAGGACGTATATCTCAAACTTGTCAAATGCCTTGTCGACATTGGCTTCCAGGAGTGTCTCCAACTGGTGCAAACCATTCTCCAACTCGAGCTTTGCTTCTGGGTAAAGAACATTGCCATCTTCGTCAGTTTCGGGGATAGTAGAGCCGTTGTTGGCGTGCGCAAAGCCCAACCGTTCGGGTGGGGTAGCAATTAAACTAGTCTCCAGGCCGGAGATAGCCTGATATATCAGATTGTTGATCGAATTGATAATATCATCTATGAGAGACTGGGACGGGTCAGTCAATTTGTCAACTCTGGCACGCATTCGCAACGCGCAACGAGGGGCACAACGGGCTTGTTGGGCCTGGACTCAGACACGTACCAGAGGGGTGTAGCTGAAGTGCTCAGTGAGCAAAGAGGTCGTCGCATCGTTCATGGCGAAAACGAAGCGCAGAGAGACCTGGCGGAGTGAAGATAGAGGGACGCGTTGGAGAAGGAAAAGACGCGCGGGATGAAAACAGACCGCCTTTGCCTTTGCCCTCAGTTGCCGACAGACATGTAACATTCCTGCAGCCAGAAATCCAATTGATTTGAAACTTCAAGTTGGCGATCTAGTTTGCGTTTTACTTTCTGCACAGGTACCTGACGGTCGCACAGAGGTTTCAAGACTCTTCGAAACATCCACATCGTCGGTCCCAGATGCAGCCCGTCCCGGATAGAACTGGACGGCATCAAATAGGATTCGACGCCATCATGCATCTCAGACAATCCGTCATTTTCTACAGGGATCTGACGCCGATTCTACAGCCTGGTCCTGATGGTGGCGCGAAGCTGACTTGAAAAGCCTGAATATCCGCTTTTTAGACCCTTTTTACTTCTATAGTTCTACTGAGCCCGGCTGATCTCGTCCCTGTTAGTATATCGACCATTCTGAGCACTCCCATTTACTCAGTCCACGGATGCTTCCCAGATCAAGATGGCACATCCAAGTCCACTCCGAGTACTAGTGATAGTCTCGCAGCGAAGTTCCCTGTTCGCTACAGCCCGCGACTCCTCCGAGGGACTGATTCCGTTAGCCACTCGTCTGCTCAGAAGGAACACCTTACTGAGAATGTCCGACCCGAAAGATACAAGACTGCTCGCCGTGCAAAAATGGAGAACTCGCATCTTCCTCGTCTTCGACATCGCCAACACCGACTACGACGCAATGCTGGGACATCTCCCTGAGCACAATCAACTCCCCGTGGTAGTCGCACACTTCAGCAAGAAAAAGAGCGCATATTCGGCTAACCCGTGGATAGCACGGAGAGTCAACCATGACATCGCGATGCTTCACAATGCCAACGGCTTCAACTCTGTGCCGCCGTTCATGGAGGACCACAGCCTGGGCAAAACACCTGCATATCACAGTCCTCGAGATATCTCCGTGTTACGGGTCACATATATCTAGAGAGCAAGTCAAATGAACTATTGTGTTCGGGTATTTAATATCTCGGAAATATAAATCAAAAGTGATCCCAACGCCGTGTCGCTCTCGTGCAGTCTGTATGAGATATTCATAATGCCGTAGATCAGAAATCCATCGTAAGCTGCGGCGCCATTTTCTCCAGGTCTTCAACCTGCCGCAAAGATTAGCATGTCAACCTAAATAGCTAAAGAATAGACATACCTCCAGAAACCCATCGCCGATACTCCTCACACCTCCAGCAACGTCCGTTTCTGCGCGTTCATACGCAGCACGGGCAATAGCCTCCCTCACAAAGACATCGACGTACTTGGCCACGACCTCATTGGCATCCTTCGCGACCTTAGTTTTCTCCTTCTGGAAATGGTGATGCAGCAGCCGAGTGAGCAGTTTCGGCGGGATCTTAGGGTCGCTCGAAGCCACGTCTTCAGTCGGGTTATTCGTGATGATCTCTGCAAGGATATAATCCGGTTCTTGGGAGAGCGATCGTTCGCGACTACGGCTTGATGCTTCGGAGTCTGGCTCGGATGCCCCGTCGGAGGCTGAAGCTTCAGCGGCAGGTGATTCGGCGCGTGGACGCTTGGATGAGGATGTGGATTTGGGATTTGTTGATTTGGATGCTGATGCTGAAGAGGAGGCTTTGGCAGTGTTCTGTTTGGCCTTGCCTTTGGCTTTGGGAGCTGGTTTTGACGCGGAAGATGATGGCCCCGCACTTGTTGATGGGGTGCGACTTGGTGGCTTGAAGGGCAGGCGGCGCTTCTTCGCTGGTTGAGGTTCACCAGCCATTGTGTCGTTGGCGGAGGTTCGGCAGTTGATGCGGTGGGCTATCAACGCCTATCGCTACTAACGCGGGTCGCGACGCGTTATCAGGTGATCCAGGTTGTTCACTCCATTTCCGTCGCAACTAGTTACAACTTGAGAATGGGGGTATATTTACTCTTTAAATGTATTGATTAATTTCTTTTCTCCGTGCTGTGGGATTTTGGATGCTAAGGTCGATTTATTTGGTCAATAATTAATGTTTCGTTGTTACATGGAGTCTTGAGCATGGAAAATATATCTTGACCTGAAAAAGCACTGCACCATATCATTTCTGGTACGGTTTCATAATCGCGCCCGAACACCCCAGAAGTCCTCAAAACCCTTGGCCACAACCTGAAAAAAATGAAGCAGCTAAGAGACTTTCCTCTCGTCAATCTCTTTGGTATCATCAGCAGGGTATACGACCCTCAGGTCCAGGCCGACATTGTCCAACAAACTACGCGTCTTCCCCCAAGGAACCCCAAACAAACCAGAGTTGAACCGACAAGACCAGAGCTCCCCTGGCGGAGGCTTTTGGCTGCCTTGAATATCATTTTGAAGAGAATTAACCTGACTCTTCAAGTCCTGGAGCGCTGCATGTGTACTGTTGATAATCATATCGGGTGAGTCGACTCGCTTGCCATAATCACGCGAAGTGAAGAGGCAGATAATCCAGTGCGCTTTGCGACCGCCCTTGCAATCGCTCTGTTGCGGTGGGATAACAAGAGCTGTGCCGAGTGGGAGCCGCACCTTGATTGTGCTCTCGTCTTCAGCCTGAAGGTTGAGGATGGTGTGGTTTGTGACCCCATAACGATATGTTTGACAGTGACTGCGGTAGTAGCGATATGCAGCAGGATACTGGTCGAGCTGTGTTAGCTGTGAGGCTTGGTCTCAGGGGAAAGGAGGGAGTTGAGCCGGTATATTTCGACAAACGCACCTTTAGCTTGAACACCTTGGCAATACCCGCCCCCCAAGAACCTTGAGAATTGCATGCATCTAGCAGAGGTTTGATTAATTGGGAAGTTTCAATACCGGAAAGGTCACTCACGAATCAGGGCCGAACCTTCCGGAGCATCGAAGAGATCACCTGGACTCTCAGATACTCCACTATTGGTGATAGAAACAGACATCGGGGGATCAAGAGAACGTAGTGAGGTAGTCAGAAAAGAAAGGTTCACCAATTGTCGCGATTTGTTGCTGAGAACAGCGAGGACGAGGAGGATGAAGTGAGGATGAAGTTCGTATACTAGGCTCCAGGAGTGGGTCTTGTATGCAAAGTTTGGGAAAGTTTCCCTAAAGAAAAGATTAGAGTATCTTGAATAATTTGATGGCGAAGGGATACAAACATAAAGCGCATTAGGATTCATTGATTCAAGTTTGTCACAAGATAAGAATAATGGAATAGAGTTATTGCTCTGCTAAAACGCCCTACTGATCAATTTTCTCAGTTTTGGTGATAGTGGCTATGGCACCATTCTTGGTCGGCTTCGTTTCCTCAACGACTTCTTCTCTGACCTCCTTCCCCTGGGCCTCCATCGTCTCCTTCTCCTCGACTTCCATCGTCATCTTGTCCTTCAGCAGTTGGAAGATGCGTTTTCGGAAACCACTATCCTTGCCCATCGCCCCCAACTCTTTCTCTCGGGGAGATGCTGGACTTTCCGATGGTGTGTGTGGTGATGGCGAAGCGGTGGCTGCAGCAGATGGCTGGGAAACTGGCACGCTCTGCCCACTGCGGTTCTTCAAACGCCGGCTCATACCCCGAGAGATAGACTTGAAAATGCTGGGGCTATCCTCATTGCGTTCAATTATCGAGATCTCGCTTCGAATCGTCATACCGTTTGTTGCCAGGTTTTCTTCCGGGATGGGGATGTAGATGATGACGCCAAGGCTGGGTGGAATGCCCAGCAGCTCTTCGAAGGTGTTCTGGATGAGTGCTGTGCTGCGAACATTTGTGACCGGCGCGATTAATGAAGGAAGCGCGTATATCGTCAGCAAGTAGGCCGAGAGAGCGTTGTTGCTGCCAAAAAGCACGCAGATGTCTTGCTGAACAGTGACCATGATGGATTTTGACGAGCGCTGGTAGACTTGAGAAAGACGACAGAGAATATCCTCAGCAAGCTTGGATCGCTCATACTTGATCTGAAAGGCAATCAGCAACTCCAACGCGAAGTCAGGGATGGGGTGAATACCGTGTGACTTGTCTTGAGTTCAGCGACCAGGACAGAATCCCGATGAATACGCACCCGAGGGGGATCACAATAGTCACCAACCCCAAAAGCCTCTTCATAATACTGTTGAGGTCTTTTTTTGACCATCGTTTCATCTTCAATACTCTTCTCGGTCACATAAAAGGCCTTGTCGGGAGCATAGCGACCGGTAGGTAGCAGATTCTCTTCATTGGTAACTTCCTTGAAAATCAGACTCGGCACAGTCTCACTCTTTCGCAAATTTGTCTCTGGAATCTCTGGAAGGGCCACTGGCGCCAGAGGGAGCGTGATTGTGGCTGGACGCGGTAGAAGACGCTGTGGAGGCAAGATGTCCGTCTCCAGACGAGGAAGTGGGGGTCGCCTGGATTTGGATGGATCCATGACGAAGTACTTGAAATGTGGTATATGAAGGTGATAAGAGAATCTGAGATGATGAGGAAAACAAGGAAAACAGAAGGGAAAACAGAATTGGGGAATCGGAAAGCCTGGAAGGCGCGACCAACTACACATAAATCACACCACCAGCACCACCCACACCACCATCATCGCTCTCAATAGATTACATCAAAAATGCTAGCTCGCTGAACGCTGAGTTCCCACTCATGAAGATATTATCAATGCGTCGTCTTCGGTCCCAGACGATCTCCCCACCAACCTGTTTGATGTATAGGATGCGATGCTGTGGAATGAACTCTTCGTCCGTCGAATCCTTCTTCCAATTATTCATGTTGATCTCTAATTGTCCTTCAAACCGATCCACGAAGCCAATAATGTAGTCGCTGCGCTTGAACTCCGAGTCCCAGGTGATGCGATTAATGATATCTGATCCGTTACTTCTGTAATGGTTTATTCACAATCAAAGATAATCTACTTACCTCCCGCCGGGCGCAATTTGTTCTCGCCAGCCCTGGGATCTGGTGGAGAAGGACTTCTGCGCATACGTTGTGGCTCGAGTTTGTATGACGGATTAGGCGATCTTGATAGATCTACCTTTTGTTCGGCATGAATCTCCGCAGCTACGGATTCAGCTAGAGGAGCGTCAGTCGCCATGAATGCTTCTGGTACAAGGACTTGATGAAAAAAGAAAAAAGGATGATAGCCATATTGCGAGTGTGAAAGATGAGGTTTTATAACTCGCCAGGAATATAGTTCACTTCAAGCATCCCCTATAGTTATGAGCAGGATAGCCGATCGGCCTTGGCGCTGCCACAAGATCCGAGACACGAGCCTCATTCTTCGAATGACTCAATCAGAGTCACGTCTTGTCGATCGTGGCTGGTGCTTGTGCAATGAGTCATTTCTCAGAGTCAGAGTCAGCTCCAGCCTAAGGACAAAAATTCAAACAGCTTGACTGGGTGCTGTGTCCTTACATTCTAAATTGCGAATTTCTCGGGTTCTTCCCTGGTCATGATTTTAACCTTTAGCTCTGCTTCTTACGTTAAACCAAAATAGGAAATTTTCATGCCTTGGTGCCTACAACTGTGCATTGGGGCCAAAAACAAAGCCGGACTAAAATTCAACTTCACCAACGGAGAATTTCGAAGTAGTAGTCAAAGAAACCCCCAAATGCAGGACTGATTCTAAAAAGAAAAAAAAGATACTCCGATAGGGGGAATCGAACCCCCGGCTGCCGTGTGAGAGACGGCGATGTTAGCCACTACACCATATCGGATATTGTGTGGAAGTTGTGTCCATCTAATGAGTCATGAGGTCGAAAAGGCGGTATGGGCTTTCAGACCCAGTCCACCTCTATTTCGTGAGATGTAACCCTTCTTCCCATTCTCGTATCGCTTTTCCCACGCTTTTACTTCATATGCCCAGGGAGACAATTTTGCTATTGATAATTTAGATATAATTAACATAAAATTAGGTATAAGCGTTAAGCGGGACTCAGGATTAGTCACGAATTTCTAGGTCCCCGTCAACTTTTTCTGGGTCCCGGCCAGCTGGAATCCCGCGATGAAGAATCCTCATAGAAATTTTGGTAAGACAATTGACTATCACTATTTCGCATGACTTCCAATCGCCCCCTGCCTATCTCCGGGGCGTGGGAGCACCCTGAGGCCTATATTGAGGCCCTCCTCTGCTTCTCTACTACGTCAGTGCTTTTTATGAATTTGTGCGGTGGTGTGCATATGGTCGACTTTCTGACCCGGGAGCCCGACCTCTATACAACAATCCTGCCAAAAGATTGGATATCTTTCTTCGAGGAGCATGATATTCAAGATATCATCCGTCTACTCCTACGAGAGGACATTGCTCACTTACGAGGCGCCGGCGAGCCTTCCGTAGATCAAAGCAGCCGTACTTGGAATGGAGGAGCATTCCCTCCCCAAAGCCTCTTGGACTATATTTTCAACATCCGTCTATTGACACTCCAACGAGAAATGTGCCCCTCACCTTCGAAGAGAATCGAATTACCAAAGCAAGTTGCTATGCATATGAACCGAAAAAAAGTACATGAGGTTGAATGCCTTTCTCAACATGTCGCATCTCTATCAGACACTGTCAATAAGCGCCGAGGTGAGCCAGTCACTCATATTGTGGATTTTGGGTCTGGACAGAACTATCTGGGACGGACACTGGCCAGCTCGCCTTACTACAAGCATATTATCGCAATTGAGCGCAAGCATCAGTACATAAGCGGTGCCAAGAGCATGGATATTCGAGCCAAATTGGCAAAGAACCCGAACGCACAATATTTTCACAAGGACAAAAGTTCATGCGATGGCCACAACGGAACTCCGGAAATGACTGTTTCTGAAACGACGGATACCTCCCAACCAACGATAGAGGGCTCGCAGGTCTCAGATGTCCTTTTTTCCAACATGCTGGGCAAGATTAACCTTCAACCTGACGAGCTACTCGCATCCCCCAACAAAAGTCCATTACGAGAGAAGCAGCCGAAGCCGGAGATCCATACCCGCGGTACTCTCTGCTACATTGAACATGACATCCAAGATGGCTACTTGGAGCCCATTATCGACCACATCATCCATCCACCCCCTGCTGGAGCTTCTGATGGGAAAGGAAATGAAGAGAGCGATGCTAGATTGATGGTCGTTTCCCTTCACTCTTGCGGAAACCTTGTTCACCATGGTCTACGATCCCTAATTCTAAATCCTTCGGTGGTGGCTGTCGCTATGATCGGCTGTTGCTACAATCTGTTAACGGAACGCCTCGGTCCAACCACACATGACCTCCCTATTCTTCAATCCCTCCACCCTCGACTTAAAGAGACTGGAACATCATACGACCCGCATGGGTTCCCTATGTCTAAATATTACGAGAATTTCCGAAGTCCCGGAGCAACGACGGGCGTGAAGCTTAACATCACAGCTCGTGCACTGGCCGTGCAAGCTCCATACAACTGGGGCTTCAAAGACAGTGAAGTTTCCTTTACCCGTCACTTCTTCCGTGCTCTTCTCCAGCGAATTCTCGTTGATCGAAATATTCTTCCAAAGTCCTCTGTGCCGGAAGGCGCCTTCTCTGGCGGGACTTATCCAGAAGCTAGAACCAACTCTGTTATCATCGGAGCATTGCCTAAATCCGCCTTTAAATCCTTTACTGCATACGTTCGTGCTGCGACGATCAAGATGAGTCGAGACCCGATATATGCTTCCCAGGTGCAGGAGCATATTGCTACCCTGACTGATGAGGAGATTCACTGCTACGAGACTCAGTACTTCAACACGAGGAAACATATGAGTGTTGTGTGGAGCTTGATGGCGTTCAGTGCTCAGCTCGTCGAGGCTATCATTGTTGTGGATCGGTGGCAATTCCTTCGTGAACAGGACTCGGTCAAAGACTGCTGGGTTCAGCCAGTGTTTGACTACAGTGAGAGTCCGCGTAATTTGGCGGTCATTGGACTTAGAAAGTGATGAGGTGTGGGAAGAAGAGTTTTTGACGTGCATTAAATTTGAAATGATTGTAGGTACACATACAGGAGTTCACAGCAGATATATACAAACCCAACTGAGAAGTAAATCAATCATCGTCGACGAGGAACCTCAGCTCAAGTTCACACACTAACTACTAAATTGCTATGGTGTCAATACTAGCACCATACTATGTTGGATATAATGCCTATGTACAAACACCCCGTTTTTAGATTTAGACCACGCCATATCCTGGCTATTCCACCGTCATCTTCATTTACACCATATCGGAATTGATGTAAGTACGGTCCAGCTTTGCCATAGGAAGCCGACCGGCCCACATCCTCCCGAATTGCCTGGGACATAGTCCACTGAGCCATAGATTTGAAGTAGAGCTCATTGTTTACTTCAATCCAAATGTTTAAGGTACGTCGACAAAGTTATCAAGCCTTAGTTGTAGTAAAAGGTTTCCACTGATGTATTTGGATATTCTCTATCGCACAGCTAAGGTGGAATCTTATTTCAATTTAGCGCGTCTGGTCCTTACACCTCCCCGTGCATGGTTGTATACAGCAGTCAGTTTTGACGTCGGAGTGCAGGCCAGCCGATAAGATGGCCAACATTTTCGTTGGTAAGCGGCTACTTTCTGAATTTCTGGGTGAGTATATAAAGGTGTTTGAAGAACATTTTTGAAAGGAGCAAGGCGTCTAAGAAGTCCCTGAGGGAAATATTCAAAAAGAGGTTGAAAAGGACGCGTGGACTGAAAGAACAATGTCTTAAGATCCCTTCAAGATTATCTCCCTACACAATCTATACGCAGTCATAGGTATTAGTGAAGCGAATGAACTACGTCTTTACACTTAAAAGCGCCGATATCCAATATCTTTGACAAAAGTCTAGGGCCAGTGTCCCTACGAGATGACCTCGGTAAGCTCATCATAGAATTTTGCATACGCCTCTCCATCAATGCCGACGTAAAGAGGGGATCCATCGAGCTTTCGCTGATCAGCATAATAGAACCCACATTCGCCAGTAAGTATCAATTTGATATATGTATCTCAGTTCAGAGAATACATACTTGAAACCGCGGAACGGGTATGCCATAGCAAAATATTCAATAACATGCGCTGTAGCTGCCTTCCCAACACCAAAGACCTAGCAGTGGTGGAAAGACTTTCGTGTTTATAATATTTCCGGTGTAGATGAAAGTCTTCGAAGCCTCGATTGGGAGCTCGGCAAAGCCTTTTGCGGCCTCCTGCGCAGCAGCATAAACGCTAGTCGTGTTGCTTTTCAAAGCCAAATTGAACTCAGCCAAGGGCATGGAAAGAGGATCCTGAAAGTCGGCTTGGGGTGCAGCAACAGCTTCAAATTCGTTAAGTCAAGTTCATCCAGATCAAGAGGGAGCTTCGTACCATTATACACTACGACACTCGGGACACCTAATGTTTTTCTAATCTTTGCAAAAATATAGGGCACAGAGGTCGGGTCAGATAAGTCACAAGCAATGTGCAGTTGATTCAGACTGCTGTCTTCTTCCTTAGCTTTCCGCGAGGCTAGGGCGACCTTGTAGCCCTTAGCTGTAAAATACTTTAGCCACGCTCGCGCCCACGTTAGATCCTGCACCGAGGATTAGAAGGACTGGGGATACTGTAGACATCCCGTTAAATGTATCAGATGAATATTAGAAGATTTTTCTAATTCTACAATTTGTACTGATCATCGAATCCTTCTTATAATGCTTTATTCTATCAATCTCGGTGCCTCCAGGCGCTGGGCTTGGCAGTCAGCACTAGTACTATGCATTTATAATCATTTAGCTAGCCCCCGGGCTCGTGCCAACCCGATGCTTTGTAATTACAAGTACAACAAAAGTTGTCAATCCTCATTTGCATCAGGCTACCGACAATATCGCCAGAGCAATATCGGTTATTGTCATTGCTGACATCGAATAGTACCAAACATCACTCACCTTGCTTACATTTCCACCCCTCTCGCCTCCAGTCATTCAGAAGAACCAATCCTTCGACACAATTTTGCCCTGCAGCAAGGGAAGATTGAATTTCAGCGTCATGGGTAGCTATCACCCAGCAGTTTACATGCTGGGCAAACTCTCGTGTACGATATATTGTATCAATTGCCAAGTTGTCGTCAATGTGGACGCTGCTCGAACTATATGGTACACGGGCCATTTTAAGCGGATTTCGTAGAAGCTCAGGGTGGTGAAATGTATCACCGGCCAAAAGAACAAAGTCATCCAGCTGTAAGTCGGATTTTGAGCTACTCGGGGAGCTTGACGGATCCCCAGTTGATTCTCTCCGTAGTCGAATAAGAAGTGACTGGTGCCCAGCACCATGTCCAGGGCTGTCTATCAGATACACAGACTGATCATCGAACAGATCGCAAGCCAAAGGGAAACTACCCAACGGATGCCAACCACTTGATGGTACCCGCCGCTCAATTGCTGTATAGTATCCTTTGGATCTCCACTCTTTGATCATGTCAATTCTTGTATCTCCCTTTTCCTGGAGAATATCATCCGGGATAGTAAACTCAACAATCTTCCGGGTAGCATCCCGGGGAAGTCACTCGATAGACCTGCCGAATCAGGGTCTTCGGGGTATCCAGGCCGAGCCTTCAAGCAAGCCGAAGGACCCATCCAGATTTCAGCATTTGGAAATGCGTCCTTCCCACAGTCACCAATATGATCAAAATCGAGATGCGAGAGTATGATAGAGTGCACCTTGGAGGGATGAAAGCCAGGCGGGCCATGTTTGGATAGTATCTCTGATGGGAGAACAGGCGAGTAGTCATAGAAAGGAAGGTCGAATTTGCGCGTGAAAGGGGACAAATTATGTAAATCCTTCCGCATACCTAGGTCGTAGAGGTAGAAGGTTCCAGTTTGTATGTGTTCAATCAGAAACACAAAGTCAGGTGCAGCGTATTTCCGGGGTAGTTTTCGCTCCAAAGGATCTGATGCTGGTCCATTCTTTGAATCTGGATCTGGTAAGAGAATTAACTCTTCAAGCATCAGTATGCTACCTGCCTGCATCAACCAGACATTGCAATAGGAATTAGATGGAGAAGATGGAAATTCGATCCACTGGGTAGAATCCATTGTCACTCGTGAATTGGTCGCTTCCTTGGCTGAAGATCTATCTTCGAATTTCATGGATGTGTATCCAGACTTTGGTATTCAATCGGCAATCTCGGTGATCTGGGGTTCGAGAGCATTAATAACATTCGCTCAAGCGGGGTAAGCTCTCACTTACCAAATCACTTATTGGATCTGTCGAAACATAGTAAAATGACTAATCTCGACAATGACTAACCCTAATAGTGACTGATCTGGCTAAATGCCTTAGCTGAAACTCATTAGTACACACCTCATTTATCAGTAAAGCCAACAATTTCGGAGCGATAATTAGTGTGGAGAGTTAGCGTGAACAAACCGTTGGCCAAACATTCTGAGTGATTTGTTGCTTGCTCGTGTGCCAATGTGATGTTGCATAGATGGTGGTTGTTGATCTCTGTTTTTATCGGAAATTCTTGGCCCTGGCCCTGAGGGGGTCATATCAGACACCAGGTCAATATTTTAGAGGGTTCAGATTCAAGGGCTATGAGAGCCTATGCCCCATTGTTTAGACTCATTGTTTTTTTTCAAAGGCCACGAAGGCAGTACCAAGGTGAGCTTGTGACGTCCTGACGCATTTGAGCAGACGACTATACCAGAGTTTCAAAAGTTTTACCCGTTGTATTCTATTGATAGGGGTAAATGTCAACTTTGCTGGCGGTGAGACTACAAATACCCTTGTGAAAAGGTTTTTTTTCTGACCGTTGGTATCGTTGATACACATGTTTCTCTACAATCCCCGGATTCAAACCCCATAGTGTAGATGTCTTTGATTTGGCTCCACGATACATTGATTTGTAAGATTTCTCACTCACATCCTCTAAAAAGAGGGAACTGTGCTGGAAAATGCCCCAGGCATCGCACCTGAGCCGAGGTGCATGATCTCAGCGATCTCTTCATCAATTAGTGGGCCATTATATTCCTTCCTTGCCCGAAGCCAATACCATAGACAACTCAAGATCACTACACCCCCAGTGACAACTATGCTATAATTCATAGTCGTATAATCCACGGGAGTTTCCGAGGGCCACACACTCCAGAAGAGGACAAACAGCATATACACACAAGCGTACATGTTGTTCATAACACCAAGAATTCCAGGGACTTTCCATGGACCCCAGATTAAAGGAGCCTGAGAAGTTTCTATCTGGGGGTTGTTCTCCTGGGAGCTATCGCATTCTGGGCTGTGCGGGCGCTTGACAGTGGTATGGCCCTTCTCAGTAGTAGAAGCGGTGCTGGTGGCTATATCGGGGAGACCATTGAGAGTTGTTGCTCCGTGGGGCAGAATGTGTCCCTTGATTCGATGGTAAAGTAGAAACGCACTTGGGAGGAAGTAGGTGCAATAGAATCCGGTCACGACCAGGGAGATTACATCGTTGAAGGCAGTGTCGGACCCGATATAGATAAGACTGAGGATGCAGGAAAATCCACAGACAACCGAGACAGAGATAATAGGGACTTTAGTGCTATTATTCACTTTTTTCAGGAAACGGGAGAATGGTAGGCCTTGGTCGCGTGCAAAGGACCATGTCATTCGAGACGCCGTAGTGGCAATACCGACGGAACAAGCCCCAGTTAGGACCGTAATGATAGCCGTCATGAAGGAGGCACCTATATATGATCCCGTGCTATTATAAAAGATCTGGATAAAAGGGAATCCCGTGGCACCTAGAACATCGACGTCTCCGAGGCAGAACAAAATAGTGAGCATCATCGATAGCCCGAGAGCGCTATTAAGGGACATGCCGGAGATTATTGCACGAGGAATCACGACAGCAGCATTCGAGACCTCTTCGGCCATATGAACACTTGCATCCGCTCCGGCAAAGGTTGCAATGTTTCCGATAAAGCCGACGCAGTATGATATACCTTGCGTAGGCCAGCCTCCCCCGTTTAGCGATGTTTGGAAAACGAAGGCTGCCGATTTCTTAGGATATGACATAGCGAGAAGTGTCGCTGTAACAGCGATAAAGCCAGTCAAATGTAGCACCAAGATGAAAATTTCGAATCGGGGAAGGATATTTGGCCCCAGGACGTTGATAAAGAAGGTGCCTGCCACGCTAGCCCATGCCAACAAAGTATTCTGCCACCGTTGCTGTGCGAAATAAGGATTGTTCAGCGCAATTAGGCCTTCGATCATGGTTCCAAGAAATATTGTCTCGGTTGCGATCGTCGCGATCCATGCCATGCATGTGAGCCAACCGATTAAATAGCTAGACACCTTCTTCCACCGCGACGGGGCTAGCATGTAAACCCAATAATATTGGCCACCTGCGATGGGAGCCATAGAAGTCAGTTCTGCAATAACGGTATATACCGACAGCGTTGAAAGACAGGCGATGATGTAGCCATAAATAGCACCTGCTGGGCCACCGTTATCATATGATTGGTAAAACATGGTGAGAACAGTTTCCCATGTAATCAGCTCAGCCATGGCGAAGCCGACAATCGAAAAGAAGCCGAATCGTCGTTTGAGTACTTGCTTCTTTCCAAGCCTGGCCAAGGCCTGTTCATCCATAGGCGGGGGACCTTTTTCGGGCTCCACGACAAATGATCCGCCCTGTCCGACGCATTGGATAGCGTCTGAGGATACAGATAAAGGACGGCCGGGTTCCATTAAAAGAAGCTGCAGATGTGAATTACAGAGCTGCAAAATGATAAATTATGATAGAGATCTGATTATGCTTATGAAGTATAGCCAAAAATTGCAGAAACGTAGGTTTGTAGGACGGACATCAGGAACATGGAACCAAAGGCTTATATAGGTGGCCGGGCTTGGCCATGAATCTGCACGGAAGAGGGGAGAATCGGTGAAAGCCACGTGTTGAAAGCCTCCGATATTGCGACAATATCAACTCCTACTATGGCAGGACTAACTTCGGAAAACCAGTCTCAGTCGTAGTTAGTAAGTATTCTTCTTTATCTTGCCTAACCAGTCGGGCTTTCGACAATAGTCATCTTATCTTCCCCGCACAGTAATCGATGGGTTAGTCATTATCAAAGCTATCCTAAAGAAAATGGTTGCCGATCACGCGATCGGCAATTTTTGCAGCTATTGTAGTGGTGAAACGCATGACATAATAGATGGAGTTGCGGCCTGAGATGTCACGAACAACTTGGGCGTATGCAATATTTTCTACATGAAGATAGAGATAGCACAGGCATCTACCCAAATCCTGAGAGCTTTTCACTACATTTCTTTATTCGTGGTGTGGTATTAAGGGTAATACGCAGACCAAGCTCCACCCGCCTCATACAGAGCTTGGCAGTGGTGGTGTGTGTTCTCCTAGTTGGCGTTGTCCAGTCTGCGTTGCCAGACAGCCATCGAGCCATCCCCATTTCACTATCTAATTTTTAATCAGGTTTTCTAACCTCCTAGATAGATTCCCCTTGCTATCAGAGCGGTGAATTGGCATATAACATCAGGAAATATGGATGATAGCAAGGGACTTTAGGATCCAGGTATCAATCTTGACAGATTATTGGTCTCACTTTCATTATTGTCAAGGCGACGATGGTGAATCAAGGGATACTCCGATATGCCGGACCATAAATTTATTGACAAGCTTCCCCAGACTTTCTCGAGGATCAAATGGTCTGAGCACCATCATATGCTAATATCAACTTCAGAATATCAATTCTATCAATCAAGATGTCCCAACGTCGCTATCATGTATCAAGCGACATCTCTACCCTTTTGACGCAGTATGTCAATTCCAGGAATTTGATCCTGCGCCCCGCGAACAACAGCTTAATGCCTGGGTGGTGTCAATTGGTCGGCGGATCATGCCCATAGCTGGACCAAGGAAAAGCTGCAAATAGGTGCAAATATTCGAACAACTCATTCTCTTAGTATCTCTCAAGATTCTTTTTGGACTTTCCTCGGAGCATTTTGGCAATTCGTTTTATTTATTATCCCAGGCTTTTTTTTCTTATAACGGACTCCTTAGATATATCCCGACTGAATAAATTGTAGCCGCGTATTCAAGCATTCTCTCATTGCTCTTTAGGATAGCTACAATTATGGAATCTTAATACATTAATAGCAGTATATAGTTTTGTTTGACACAAGATATAGCACATACGACCATAGGGTGTGGAGAACAGGGCTTCCCGTCCGCTCAGCCGTACTTAAGCCACACGCCGGCAGGTTAGTAGTTGGGTGGGTGACCACCAGCGAATCCCTGCTGTTGTATGTTTTTTGTTTTTCATTCGGAAAATGTTCCTCCTACAGTTGCTTTTTGCCAAAGGCCCTTCGGATCGTAGCTTGTGGTTGACGGCCATGATTTCCCTCCCCCCTCAGGTGGTTTTTTTTAAAATGGTTATAAATCTGATTCGCCCAATAAACTTATGGTCCGGCATATCGGAGTATATATTAGTAGGTACGTATTCTCTGAACAAGCTTCCGAATTACCAAGCCTTTCCCCTCTTATCTGAGCAATATGCACCTATAGTCGTATTGAGAGAATCCTGGTCAGAGTTACATCTGCCAAAATCTCCTATGAAATGATTGATCCTAGAACGGAGCTCGCCTCTAACCCTTTACGGCCCAGGGCATCTAGTCCTCATAATCCAATAAAGTGAGGCTTAGAGATAGGTCATTATTATCGGCGGCTGATCGGCGTCTACGATCGATCGTTTTTATGTTCTTTCTACGATCTATCTGATCTAGGCGCCTTTGGTGTGGCTAGCATGCCAATGTCTACTTTCTCGGAGCTTCGTACGCAAATGGTGGTAAAGAGGCACAAAAAAAAACAAAACATACAACAGCAGGGATTCGCTGGTGGTCACCCACCCAACTACTAACCTGCCGGCGTGTGGCTTAAGTACGGCTGAGCGGACGGGAAGCCCTGTTCTCCACACCCTATGGTCGTATGTGCTATATTTTGTGTGATACGAAAATATATAACACTTTGTATGTGCAAAAAATTGAGAAGAGTCAAGGTCAAAAAGTATCCTTTGATCGATTATAGGCTTTGCGTGGTGAATCATTCCGGGACAACGGATCTATATAGGGATCGTTTCATATATTTTGCTTTGAGGTGTTTTCTTACAAACAGTGAACCTTTCAAAGTGGTGCTTGATGGTAATAGAATATACCATACGGATGACTGAACGTATTGGTCTTTATTTTCCACGCCCTAGAGGACTACAATCCCGAAGAAAGACTAAATTATTGTGCAGCGTATGGCATGGTTGAGCTTTAATGGATCGGTGGCTTCATAGATAAAAAATTACGCTGATATTGGTACGTGCTAATACAAAAATTCTCTAGTGTCTTGACAATGACATTTGGACGACCGGGAGTGATCTGTGGTGCGCTATCTACCGCGATGCTTCTGATGTCGATTGACGATGATTTTTTAGGCACCCAACAAGAGGATTCTGTCGTGAGACCTGAGGGTAACCCCAGTCAAATAGCATTTTATGTTGCCCAGCTGGACTTCTACTGCATCGTCAACGACATTCTTTTCAAGTTATACATAAGTTCACAGTAAAAAAAAGTCCCGAGTGGCATCTAAAACGTTCTGGAGCTTGATAATTCCCTAGACATCTGGATTGAGAGCTTGCCGGATCATCCTCAAGAGCATTTCTCTGGCCATACAAGCGGGTAATATTTCCGCCCACTCGTGGGGGTGTTCTCATAATAGGTTGGGGCATTCTTGTAGCGAACGCCACCATTAATAAGTTCTACGAAGGGACTTGGGGTTTAATTATAATGGGCCCTTCATCCAGGTTCCTCTTTTCCGTCCTGTTCTGGCCCAATTATGTCTCCAGCTTCACCGGTGTTGAAAGCCTTGGCCAACAAACTGTCATGTGCTGAAGTGAATGAACTTCGGATTAAAACCAATCATGGCGCAATTCGCGAGCGCCTCGGTACAAAATGGCGGATATAACCTTGGAAGTGTGTAGAAGCATGGAAAGCTTGAGATATTGAATATGAAATTCATTAGTGCGCTATGCAAATCAAATAATCTATGGTCATAAAGTGAGGTTTCTATACATCCCTCTAGGTCTAACTCCGTGTTATCAACACCAACAAGTAGTCTAGGAAAACAAACGAATCCACTTATCCACTCACAAGACGATCAGGCGTGAGAGTGGCAGACGTATCCGTACCATCGGCAAGCGTCGGCGTCCCCGAAGTAGGTGTGTTGATATCAACGAGCGGTTCCTTCTCTTCCTTGGCATCCTTTGCGACAGTGGTCTTGCCCTTGGCAGTGAGCGCACCTGATTCCAAAGCCTCCTCGGGCAATGGCCGAACATGAGGCTGGCAGATCCAAAAAGGTCGGCCATACTCGGCAATAGTGGCCTTGGATCCTGTCAGGGTCTCTTCAGCCTTCTTCTCAAACTTCTCCGGAGAAACTTCATATTCCTTCAGTCCTCCTTTGACCGCTCGCTCGACAAGAGCCAATACGTTTTCAAAAGCGGCCATATCGCCAGGTCGCGACTGGGCTAGAGCATCTCGAACATTCGTATGGCTCGCGACCATCGGCCGAAGCACCTGGAACAAGTGCCCCTGCATAACACCTAGGCTTGGAGATTGGGGCTTTTTGATCTTTTCCCTCTTCTGTTTCTTCTTGGGTGGGCCATCTTCGGGCTCTTCAGGCTCTGCGGTTTCTTCCGGCTCGTCCGCAGGGTCGGATGGGAGGAAGAGAGGCTTTCGTTCCGGCACTGGCTGCTCGAGGACGTATTCGTAGATAATGTCGAGGTACCGTCGGAGGATCGCATCAATTCGATAACCACCCTTCCCATCGCGTCCTCGCCAGTACTCACGTCCTCCACTTCCGATCGGAGGTGGCTTGCTGAAGATAGTTGGGTCGGATAAGTTACCCTCGGCGCTCATCACACCGTCTGCACCAGTTGCCTCGAGACAGTTCTCAAGATCTTCATAGTTCAGAATATTGCCATTGGCAAAAATTACGGTCTCCGGGGGCAGGTTATCGCGCAAGTAACGAATATAGCTCCAATCCGCCAACCCGGTTTCATGGCCCTTCTGCTCTCGTCTGCGCCCATGCACTGTGATGATGTTTGCTCCGGCAGAAAGAATCATTTTCGCATATTCCAAGGTCTTCTCCTTAGTCTCTTGAATGCGGAATTTAGCAGTAATCGGGACGGAAAGTTCATTGTGAAGTCGGTTGATCAGCTTATAAATCAAGTCCCAGTCTTCCTGGAGGAAAGCTCCGTAATGGCCCTTTCTCGCAATGCCTTGCGGACAACCGAGGTTCAAATCAACGGCATCACAATAAGGCGCGACATGACGCGCCGCCTCCAGGAACTCCGTCGGATCATTTGCGCAGAATTGAACGAAGAGTGGGCGGTCGAATTTTGGGTTTCCGTCGAGGAAGAGTTCGTTCTTTTTGGCCATATCACCAATGGCTTCGCGAGTCGGTTGGAAGTGTTGCACACGCATGCGCGGCATTTCACCGAACAATCGTGCGTGGTACATTGGCGAGTATGCAAGAAGGGATTTTTGTTCCTCCGGAGTCATGAAGGATCGAGTGAGCATGCGCCACGCCTGGGAAAGAAGTACGTTAGTATACGGAAGTTGAGTGAATCCGTTCAACTCACAAACTCTGAGCGATCAACCATAGGAGCTACAATATACTTGGGGCTTCCTATGCTCTCATAGAATTGTCGGCCCTTCAATTTCGCAGATGCCGCGGAGGTGTTTTCGCCGCCATTTTGGGGCGCGGCGTCGGAAGTCATTCTGAGGGAGAAACGGGGGATGGCCGGGAGAAATCGCCGCAAAGGCGGGACTAATCGCTGAGCGAGACCTATTTTGGCTGCTGGAGCGGAAATGCAGAAATGCAGATTTGTCCGGGGAAAGACCGCGGGGAGACTTCAAGACTCTCGAGACTTTTTTGACTCGCGCCTTATCACGGAGTGGAATAACAATTATCCCCATATCTTATCAACAGTAGGAGGCGCGATGGGCAATTGTATAAACGCGACCAGACAAATTAGATGTAAAATGTGTTTTGAGGTGCGGCATGCTAGCCACGATCTTGTGCTCATAGATTGAAAGAAACAGGCTCAATAGCCTAATCTCAAGGCGCAACATCGAGAACGCCAACGACAATTACGTAATCAGATATGGACCACGGACGTGGGAGAAACAAAGTAGAGATCGTGTGGAAACAACATTCGGAAATGACCGACATCTGGTAGTGTCAAGACTTTAAGCATGAGACTATGACCTCAATCTGAATGCGAAATCGTCTCTACGTGATACTCGTACCAGAACTTCATCTCCCATCTGGGCGCCCCGACACGCGCCTCATTGTTGACAACCCTAAGGGAAAGGATCAACAATGGATTCCTCGACTGGATCTCTCCGTCAGTGCCTCCATTACCCCTATTGAGCAGGAATTGACAGTATAATAGGTCCAATGGAGCTGCGAGTGTCTGACGATGGCCTGTATGCTGCGCACATGCGTGGGAAAGACCTGGCGGTTTTCTGGAAGCTTGCAGCAGAGCGAAAAGAGATAGACCTCGAAAGACTCAAATCAAACGGGCTCAAGACCATCAAATTTACACCCACTCAAACATATGACCCGGATGGGCCCTTCTCCGAAAAGAACAGGCGTCTTCTTACGCATCAAGTCGTGTCTGTCACCATTTGGAAGTTCCACCCTTTAGAGCAGCTCGCGGAGATTCAAAACATCGAGCCAGAGTCATTATACGTGGATTTTGGTGGCAACGAAAATGAAGTTCTTGTGTTCCACAACTGGAATACGAAGTTGACAATTTATTCACTGAGCGCGGAGCGAAGCATTGTGATCAAATCGCCGAAATTAGCCCATTCCCTTGGATACGGCTATCGCCCGAAGACCAAACAACTCGCCATTCTCTTGAAGCCCGAGACCACCGATATACTCACAGTTCATGAGTCTCAATCATACGACCTCGTTAATCGGACAGTTCTTCCAACCGTTGATGCACAAGGCTTGAAATGGAGCCCTGACGGAAAGTGGATTGCTGTCTGGGATATTGCCAGTGCCGGCACCAAGGTGCTGATCTTTACGGCTGATGGTCAGCTCTTCAGAACATACCCCAATGCATCAGGATCGGAAGATGAAAATGATACTGGTGTAAGACAGATTGAATGGAGCCCGGTCATAGGCCACAACGGGACTTCGGAAATTCTTGCTGTTTGCAAGGTCAATGGCAACATTGAATTGCTGCGTACTCACACAGTGAGTATACGAAAAAGAAAACGCAATGTACTCGACTAATGAAAATAGTTCTCATCCTCTACAGTTCTATCGCACGTCTTTCAAGTCGACTCCACTACCCCCAGAATTTGGCGGGAACGATCGACCAATGCCTTGGGTGATGCAGAATACACCGAGACCTCAAGCTCGTCTGCATTCAACATGAGTGCCGATTCGTCAGCGGGTACACACCGTAGCGCGTCCATTGTGACGTTCAATGCCGATGGAACCTTGTTAGCGACAGTTGACTCCACCAAGTCAAATGTTGTTTGGATATGGTCCCTGGAAGGCACGCCGACACTGACATCTGCCCTGGTCCACGAACAACCGGTGCGACAGCTCACATGGAACCCCTCGACATCACAACTACTGATCAACACCGTCACGAATAATCTGCCTTCTGTGCGATACTGGTCGCCACAAAGTCAACCGATGATCGCCAGAGTTCCTACAAAAAAGTCTGACAGTGGACGATATGAGGTCAAATGGTTGACAGTGCCCGACCAGCGGTTTCTGGTTGAACCTTCTTTTGACTATATCCACGACTCGCCATTCTGGTTTGGGTCTAGTGAAGAATGGGTGGTGGGGTATCTGTCCGAGGAGGGTGGTACTGCGTACTTTAAAGTGATCAACTCAATTGTCAACAGTCCATAGTCGAACGTGATGATTAAATGATGGCATAGCTACATGAGATGTATTCGCGGCACATGATATCCAATCCCACTCGGGCGCAGATCTACTTAAATGATTATAGGTAAATGACTTGCGACAATAGACATAGCTTGCTATATTCCAATGAACACTTGAGAAACTTTGCAGAGATTAATCTTCCGTTCATTCTTATCGTTTCGATGGCTGTCTTTGATGCCATATTATCAAGGCATGAAGTGACGTACATCACATGATGGACTAGCCGAGGGGCTACACGTGACCCTCACTGAGGGCTTAGGGCTCGACCCGATTAGTCAGGCCCCACGGCTCAATTTCGCACTTGAGAGCGGCTCGTCGCTCTCTTCCTTCGAACATCCACCCCATCAGTCAAAATGGTGAGTTACCACACCATGCCTTTGAGCCCTTTCCGACGCAAACGACTAATATGAATATGTGACAGGCCCCCTCAGCAACCGGTGGCAAGAAGCAGAAGAAGAAGTGGTCCAAGGGCAAGGGTACGCTATCACCATCACCAATACCATCATCGACCGTGCGACCGTGAACCAACGACTTCCACCTTTCAAACTTTCACCGGAATTACCCCCAAAGAAAGACATACGAAACGGAATCATTGGAGCGATCGCGCGAGCAATATTCAATAAAATGGAGTACTAACTTGTCTTTTCTTTATAGTCAAGGACAAGGCCCAGCACGCCGTCATCCTCGACAAGACCACTGCCGAGAAGCTCAACAAGGATGTTCAGTCCTACCGTCTGATCACCGTTGCCACCCTGGTCGATCGCCTCAAGATCAACGGCTCCCTCGCCCGCCAGGCCCTTGCCGATCTCGAGGCCAACGGTCAGATCAAGAAGGTTGTTGGTCACAGCAGCCTGAGCATCTACAGTGCGTACACCACCACCGCAAAGCGAGCGCAATGAATGCTAACCAAGTATGCAGCCCGTGCCGTCACCGCCGAGTAAACGTTCCGATACTCTGATTTCTCGCGGTTCTCTTTTTCCTTGTTACGATGATATCATTTCACATGGGAAGCTCGGCTGGGCGTGATGAAGTTGACGCCTGATTCTCGGATGTGTGGAACATTCGTGCCCCTGGGCTTGTTCCAGGTAGAACGAATCAAATAAAAAAGTTACAAAACTTCATATTCTTCCTTGTAGAACGTACCAAAGTGGCGAATCGCTATGCTATGTCCTAGACTGCGCTCAACACCTCCAACCTACCACCTACTCTTCCTCGGTCATCTCACTCCGCTTTGGCCTTTGCTTCTTTGCCCCCTCACAAAGAACTCTCTTCCCCTTCTCTGGGTCAACAGTCCCATCGTCTTCCACCAGTCCAACCTCGAAATACTTCTTATGATTCCGGAAGAAATTCTGCCATCGGAGAACAGTCTTCTCAATCTGTTCCCTAGCGAGCATCAGCTCCCGCTCATGGCGAAGCGTCCTCTCTGCCATGGTAATCTGCTCATCCTCCACGTCCTCCACGGGGAGGAACATCTCCTCGACACCGCCCACATCCGTAGTCAGATCTTCCTTGAAACAGCCCGTCACAAAGGCACGTGTGGCATCTCTTCCCGCAAAGAAATTGTAGCTTCCGCCCGGCCCATAGATCATCGGGTTGGCGGAGACGTCGAAGATGGAGCCGTTGACGGCGAGGTAGATTGGAAGGGAGGGGTCGGTGCCGTTGTACAGGCTGAGTTCAACTGGTGTGAGGTGAACCGAGCCACTCTGCATCAAAGTAGTGTTAGTAAGTATTATCGAGGATTTGTTGTGGTGCGGTGATGGTGTGTTCAAAATCTTAGGGTGGAATTACCAGATACTGCTTCACGACAGGCCACCGTGTAAACCACGGCCGATAGCCCCATAGTACAGACTCGGTGTTGGTCATGTAGTATGAGAGACCGCAGGAGGCGATCACTAGGACGACGAACACCCGGATGATGTCAAGAACGCTGATGAAAGGGTCATCATCGTCGGTGCGGCGTGGTTCGCGCCGCGGCGCTGTGTCTGCGTCTGCGTCTGTGTTTTGTTGGCGCCCCGAGCCCGCGGCAGGCTGTCGCTGACGGAGTTCTGACATGATCAAAAGGAATCATCCGGTGGTGGAAAGGGGAAAAAAGAATCAAAGATTGGCCATTGGAGAGGTTGTTGGAGTGGGCAGGTCAGGATTGAGGTTGGAAGTCCGGGGTACCCTCGGCGGGATCTACAGCATCCATGTACGATGAACAAAAATTGGCCAGTATGACATGCGCACTATGCTAATCACATGGGTACTATGGCTTTCTCACTATTGAATACAATGGTTTGCGCTACTTCAAAATTCGTGAGTTTTCGTCATGGCCGACGACAGGGCCGAAGGGCTAAGTGTTCAAGCGCTGGCTTGGTCCTCCTGTTCCCAACTGCGCGAGAAAACATCATTCAGTGCATCCTGGAAGGTGCGGCAGTTCATGTCGATCAGACCGCGCTTTTCCTTCGCCTCGGGATTGCGAATGACGGATACTAGACAGAGGTATCTATGGGGTGTCAGCGGGTGGTCAAGGATGGGTCAGAGAAGGGTCGCGTACTTGTTCATCTCCATCAGATGAATCATGGTCTCGTCATGCAAGACGACGTGACTCTCGGCCTCTTGAATTTGTTCTCCCTTTGATTTGCGAGAAGGGTGATCCCATGAGTACAGCTCGGAAATATCGACGATCACGTCAATGTAGTCGGAACACATCTCGTAGCAGGCCATGTCCACAGGACGGGTGTCAGAGGCAATGTAAATCTTGCTTAGCACATCGAACAAGTAGGTCTTCTCAAAGCCGCAGTTGTTGCCAAGGGTGTTGATTAGGTTTTCGAGGGTGGAGAGATTGGGGATAAGCTTCTGAATGACCTTGCTGAAGGCCTCGAAGACGGAGTAGTCGTAGATGGAGGTAAGGTAGTAATGGACGGGCGCGTTCTCGTATCCGGCATCGCTGAGCTCGTCTGAGATACGCTGGACGATGTCCTGGAAAGTGTCGGTGCGGTACTCCTCGGAGAGCCCGTCCACCTTGTGAATGAAGACTTCAATGTTTATTCCAGGGTAGTATTGCTGAACAGTCAGAATTGTGCGGTTAAGACGAGCGACCGAGTCCAGATAGTCATCTTGTGCATCGATCACCCATACCAGGGCACCCAAGCTGCCGAAGATGTCTTCAAGATCAAAGGAAGGCTCGAGATATTCAAGCTGACCGGGAAAATCCCAGACTTGAAAGTCCATGAAGGAGCTGAAAATCAATCAGTAATCAGTAGGAGATCTGGCGCGAGGAAGGGAATGATCTCACTGGATAGAGTCTTTTTGAATGCGAGTAGTAGATTCCAAGAACAAGGTTTCATTCGGCGGCATCTTATGGAAAACAACGCTGGCAATAGACGACTTGCCACTCCTAAAGACGAGTTAGTAATTTAATCTCACGTATGCTCATATGGGTTGAACCTACCGACGAAGTCCCATCAAAAGGAGACGAGGTTTAGCATCGCGGCTTTTGGGGTCCAGGCTTCTGGACTGAGCCGAGGCAGCGGTGCTAGTTGTAGGCTGGAATAAATCGGAGAGGCTTAGCTGTGCTTCGCTTTTCCAGGTCCAGAGTTCGGGTGTGTCAGGGAGCAGACGCCAGTCAGCCAGGCTGCGCCTCAAGGGCCGCCTCGGTTCCGGGATCGGAGTAGAGGACCGGCACCTGCGGAGCGAAGAGAAAGACATGGCGTGCAGGGACAAGGCATAGGATTAGGGGCAATAGGAAGGTCATGGATACCACTGGGAGGTGGTTGACAGCGTCACATGTGGACGAAAGCGCCGGCGAGGTCTCTCTTCACTCAGGGCGCAAAGCTCTGATGCTCACAGGTAATACCCCCCGAGAAGACTCACGTCGCAGAGACCCCATGTCATTATGCCCAAGCGCAGAGATGACGGACAAGCTTCATTCGGGAATTCAGCCACTATCGCCCGTTTCTCCCTGGACAAGCCTTGGCCTGCATGGAAGGATACTCTGGGTTTCTATTTCACCGAACACCCACGGAACCGGAATCAAGCGTCTGTCTCACCATCGGCATAGCTGGAAGCGGTACCCAACCGCGAATCACAGGAATAGCCCGACCGCAGGAAGCATGTTGTGAAGGGAATTGAACGCGGGGGAGGGCACGAGACTGAGATCTTCTTACCTCCATTTTAATTCATGCGCTTTGCAAAAAGTCAGATATTCCTGAGAATCGGTTAGCATTGCACACAAGCTTCAATGGGTCCAGACATACAGGCGATACCAAATGAAGCTCAGCAACGGAACTGGACGAGATAATGTGAACATCCGCGGCCCCGGGCCAATTGGACAGCGATCGGATAGCGACAGTCAGACCTAAGACATACTAGAGGATTCGAAGAAGCTTGAAGAGTTGCTCAGGGTCACACAAAGCCCCAAAGTGAAGGAGGAAGAGGAGAGGAGAGAAGGGAAGATGCGAAGTGACGGAAAGGCGGAGTCGCTATCGCCCGTTATCGCTTATCGGGCTACTGTGTACGATGAACTTGCGAAACTTGAAACACGTTGAACACGTTGAACACTTTTAAAATATGAATAGCATCTACCGGCCGTGCTTATGGCCTTTGTGATCATGGCTAGTACTATAGTCGCTGATCCTGTGCTTGCCAACTTGTTCCTCCTCGATCTCAAAAGCAGGCCAATCCTCCCAACCATCTTCCCACAGACTGGCCAGCTTCTTAGTCTTGGCCTGCTGACTGAGTTTCTTGTTTTTCATAACCTTCTCCCACAGTTTCATGTCCTTGTCATCCAGCAAACACTCGTCTAGAATGGTGGTGATCTGTTCCTGGTCGATCCCCTCGCCGATGAACACCAGTTCCTGGCGCCGATCTCCCCAGGGGCCTTGGAAGTCGTTCAGAATTGATTCGATGACATCCTTGTCCTCGGGCCACGCATCCTCGGGCATTTCCGCAAACCAGGGCCCCCCGCAACCCACGGTTAACATGCCGCCCGCTTGACTCCACTCACCAAATTGGAAAGGCCGAGTGGACAGCCAGAAGAAGCCTTTCGAGCGGAGAACGGGGCCGAATGCAGGGTGCACTCGCTTGTTGTTGAGGATGTCCTTTGGGTCTGGTTGATCAAAGTCTTCCACAGACTCGGTATCGGTGTCCATTTCATCTACGGACTCTCCGTCGTCTTCTTCATCGGAATCGTCATCAAGTTCATTGTTTTGGAGGAGAATAAACTTGTCATGGAGCAGTGAGAAGAGACGACGGGGGTGGAACGGCCGGCGGGCGGAATAAACAAAATTGTTGATCCCGTACCTGCATGTCGTTAGCCATGCCTTGTGAATTATCACCAAGGAACTCACTCTAGAGTCTCTGGCTTGGGGGCCAGGCGCTCTCCATTGCCTGTTGTCTGTATAGTCATCTCATGCAAGCTACGCAGCCAGCCAGCACCAGAGGTAGCGCGCAAAAAGTCAAACTTGCCGGTCGCAATGATCTCCCGCACATCTACCTGGGAGTAACTAGACGTGAGGACCTTTGCATCGGGGTTCAATAGCTTCAGTAGCTGCATGATCTTATCCCGTGTTGTTTGGTTGATAGTCTCAATCTTGTTGACAATCAGAACATCGGCGAACTCGATCTGGTCCACCATCAGATCGGAAATGGTTCGCTCGTCTTCGGGTACAATTTCGTCCTTTCCATATCGATCCGATAGGAACTCCACCGTGTCAAAGCTCGAGAGAAGGTTGAAGGCATCGATGACAGTCACCGTAGTGTCTAGACGGGCCATAGTGTGTAGTCCACCCAATTCGACACTGATGCACTGTTAGACCGATCACAAAATGACGGGGCAGAACAGATATCAACTTACATCTCGCTCAGAATCTTCTTCGCATCTTCGTCATTATTACCGGTGATCTGATCTTCAGCTTCCAGCATGGCTGAGCTAAACTCCGCTGTGAATGTTTCGGCCACTTGCATGGGCTCACTGATGCCCGTGCTCTCGATAATCACGTATTCAATTTCGTTTTGCTTGGTCAATTGTGCTAACTCAGACAACAGATCACCACGTAGGGTGCAGCAGATACAACCGTTCTGCAACTGAATGAGCTTCTCGTGCGTCTGAGAGACCTTGTGGTTCTTGATGAGGGCCGCATCAATGTTCAACCTAGATGATAACAGAGTCAGGATGACCCAGAAACAAGATACCGGGGTGTTGTCGACTTACACGCTCATGTCATTAACAATGACTGCAATGCGCATTCCATGATTGGCTGACTTGAGGATATGCTTCAAGAGCGTGGTCTTACCACTCCCCTATAACAAACAGTCAGCACTACACCAGGAATCGAATGGACATCCAATTTTACCAGAAAGCCAGAGAGCAGAGTGACTGGCAATTGGCGGGCCTTGGGCTTTTCCTGCTGCGGCACCTGGACTTGGCACAACACATTCTCACGACCGGAGTCAATAACCATTCTGCTAGGCCTTCTAGATTATGTATATGAATCGAACCAAAGAAGGAGAACAGGATTTATGCCCCAAGCACCTTGCGGACAATTTCTTATATCTTTTCCATGACATCGTCTCCAAGTTCCTCACTGCTTCCGGCTTCTATAGACCTTTACTATGCAATACACATGCTCAGACATGACCTCCAAGGTTAGTAGAGATACAGTGGAGCCAAAATCAAGCCAATGATAGATGATCTGCCCCATAGTGCATTATAATTGAGGTATTCTGTTTGGTTGATGGTGCCAGTCCTCAAGGTACCTGGCTGACCGTGCTGACCTTCACGGTCCCCATTGAATCAACCCCGGTCTGTAATTTGGTATTAGAGAGCTACTATTGGCCAATGTAATACGGTCTTGTTTCTGATCATCGATTCGTCGTTATAGGTTGATGTCGCCGAAGGTGGCCTGCCGAAGGCCTTGAGGGATGGTAGTTAAGAGGCAAAACCCACAATAGTTTTCAACCCCTGATAACCCAGTAAAACTATTCACATGAAGATGGGATCTATTTTCTCATATAAGTGTTTTTCATTCCTTTCTATCTCGCTGAACTTCTTTCTTATAGCTTCTGAGCAATACCGATACACTGGGAACTACCGACTCAAAGAAACATCCAATGAGATTTCAACTCGAAGGAAAACAAACCTGATACTGCGCAAAAACGTCTTCAAGATGTATCTCTTAGACAAAAAAGAGCGGGATTGAGTTAGCCAAAAAAGGAGGGAGAAAACAGATGTTGTTTCGAATTCAACAAGTCACGATGTTTAACCTAAATCGATTCATTATGGAAAAGGGTCTAACCTTCTCTATATCGAAATCGCCCAATGAATTCAAAGAGAAATAAGAATGAAATAGGAAGATGTGCGCTTCTCTGTAAGCACATCATAACATCGGTATGAAGCTGACTGTAAGCCCTGCTTACTTTCAAATGTTGGTTGTTCAGCTCCGATAAAGTCGGGACTCGGCCTAATCACCGGGCCGAAGGCCAGTCAACTCGCCGGTGAATCGTTAAATATAAAAGAAAGTCCCTGGTCACTTCAAAAAAATGAAATTTGATGAAATTTAGAAGAAATTAATGGATAGGACTCACTATTCATTCTAAATTCTCAAGAGACCCCTCATTTGAAGGGATTAACCTCAAGTCGGCCTCAGTCTCGTGATTTGCAGGGACACCGCCCCTCATCGGTCCGCAATATCGATAGCCTGGAGATTCCCCTCTTTCTATAAGCCTCAAATCCAACATCATCATATTTAATCAACATACACCGCCATGGCCCTCCCCGACTGGATTCAACAGGCCCCCAAAATGACAATGCCTAGTCCACTCGCCTTCATCGGCCTTCTCACATTAACTTGGGGAACCTTCGCGTTCTTCCGCCAAGCGACCGTTTACCTTCTCCCATGCAAAATACAACGGTACAACTCTACTGATAAGGGCCATACAGGAGGCAACTGGGCCCTCGTAACTGGGGCCACAGATGGAATCGGCTTCGGCTTCAGTCAAGAGCTTTGCGCGCGCGGCTTCAATGTCATCCTAATGGGACGCAACGAAGGCAAGCTTCAGAAACGCGCCGCCGAGCTGCGACAGCAATTCCCATCGAGCAAGGTCGATACCATAATAATGGAGGCAGTGCCCGTGAGTTCAACCGTGGATGAAATCGCGAATGGACTACCGGGTAAGCTCACCGTTTTGATAAATAACGTTGGCGGCGCTGGCGGCGACTGGAAGCCGTATTTACCATTCGGTGAATATAAATTTGAGGAAGCGCAGGCGACTATCGATAAGAATGCGGTTTTTATGGCGCAGCTTACGCGCGCTTTACTTCCTGCTCTGTCAAGGGCGGAACACAGTCTTGTGTTGAATGTTTCGTCGATGGCGTCGTGGGGAGTGCCGTATATTTGTATGTATGCGGCCTCGAAAGGGTTTGTGGATTCGTTTACGCGGGCGCTGCAAGGGGAATGTGCGGCCGAGAAGAATGGTGTGGATGTTTTGGGGTTGAGAGTGGGGCAGACTTCGACACCGGGGTATAATCAGCCTGTGAGCTGGTTCATTCCGACGGCGCGAGTGATGGCTAAGGCCGGATTGGATCGAGTGGGATGTGGGAAGACGATTGTTTGGGGGTATTTCTGGCACTGGTTGCAGGGGTTATCGTTTTATGTGTTGCCCCGTTTCGTGCTGGTGAAGGCTATGGCGAAGAAGATGATGGCGTTGAAGAAAGAAGAGGAGGCAAAGTCGAAACGGTCTTGATATTCTACTGGGAACCTCTCATTTACATCCTTATTATACGCACATCCACATCTACATCCACATGCTTGGCAAGGAAGAAATACAATAGGTATCATACTAAAACCCGGCCGGGGAAAAATCCCGGTTGTTGGGGCCATGCAGGCCCTCGCCGAGGTTCTCCGTACACTCGACACTCCAGCTCTTCGGGGTGAACTTGTCAACGATCGACTTAAACGCATCAAGCGTGCAGAAAGTCTGGTCGCCAGGAAGGTGATTATCGGGCTTGGCCGCGCAACCAGGGATGGTCACCGGGCGGTCGTTGTAGCGGATGCGGACGTAATGCTTGCGCAAAGACTCGCGTGACTCCTCGGGGAAGGACTGAATTTCAGCCCGTGCAGTTGCGGAGGGCGCCGGTTGCTCGAGCGCAGACTTGCCGCCAAATATAGATCCGAGAAGACCTCCCGCCTTCTTAGTCGCGGATGGGTTTGAGAATTCCTCAAGAATGGTGCCAGCATCAGCAGCATTGCTCTGGGTCTGTGAGAAGAGCTCAATGGCAACGGAGGAGGTGAATGGGGGCCATTTCTCGTCCTGGAAACCACCAACACTAGAAAGGATAGCCGCGAGAGTGGTGTCGTGGCATCCACTCATGGCGAACTTGATTGCCTTGCCTTCTTCGGGTTTGCCAGAACCAGATGCAGAGCTCTCACTGCGCCAGCCGCCCTCTACTGCGGTGCTGACCATGCGGTCGGTCACGTCGCCCATTAGGGCACCAATACCTAGCTTGCGGTACTCGGCGCTCTCGTTGTATCCGGCAAACCACTCCTCCACCGCGATACGATCCATAATGGCGCGACCCTTCTTGTCATAGAAGTCAGAAGGGAGCTTGGTGGAAGGGCCATGGGCATCGGTTGCGTTGACGGTGTCCATGATACCCGAGAGACGGGGGTGAGCATCAACGGCAACCTTGGGCGAAGTCTCAGGCATGTACTTGGACCAGATCTTGTTCAAGTATGCCATCTGTTCCGAATCATTCCCTACAAGATGTGAGCTATGACCAGCAGGAGGACGAGCTTCAATACTTACAACGCTCAGCGGCCCGATCGGCAAACAGACGGGCCAGCTGTCTGAAGCGCCGACAGTTACCCTCATTGGGGAATAATGTCTCCTCGGACACAGCGCGGGCCACGATTATAGGCGGTGGGAAGTCCAAAGTACGCGCACTCGGCGGGTACATGCCCCAGAAAGCTTGCTGCAGAGACTCAAGCGCACGGGGAATAGGTGTCGCACGAAGATACATATCCTCACTGTCAGTCTTGATCTTGGGCATAAAGCCAAGCTGGTCTATGTAAAGGTGGCGCAGACGGGTACCCAGCGCGTACGTAGTTTCGCGGCCCTTGTCTGTAAGTTCACCATGATTACTTCAAGCTTGTTAGCCTGAGCTCTGACCATCAGAGTACTCCAATATCACTAACCAAATAGCTTCGATCTCGCCTCCCGGCCCTGCCGCAATGATGGCCTCGTCATTGTGTCCAAATGCCTCCATTTTCCGGCGCCATTGGAAACCGTCCCATGTAGACATATCCTGCTTGGAGGCAGCAGCTTGCACCATCTTCCTCGCAACGCCACAATACGGCCAGTCTTATCAGGAGGTCAGTTCACGGTCGATTAAGTACTCGGAGGGAACGGGAAGAAGTACAAGGACTCAAGCCAGTCTGTACAATCCATTAGCATTCGAACATAATAACGAATTGAAGAAGAAAGCACACATTTTGAAAACGAGACGAAACAGGCGTCCGTTCACCTATAGCCAATTAGTGCTCTTTTTGGAGAATTGGCAAGTACATGCTTCCGAGCTCACCATGACGAAGGAACTGGCCGGGTTAGCGCTGGACAAACATATAGGGTCTCGGCAAACTGACCACTTGGACCAATTGAAGCTTCAGGCTCTTGGGATAGAGGTGAGCCAGCTCCTCGGGGGAGTAGGCCTCACGGGGGATGAGAGTCGTCATGCTCGGCGATGAGTCGAAGGTGAAGTTGGGGGAGCTTCGGCCAGGATGACACCTCCGTGGGGCGGTGAGGGGGTCGCGCGTCACGCTGTGGGGGCTACCTGGTATATGGGGATAATTGGATTCATTGATTGGATCTATTGATCTAAGCTAGCTTCATTTGGGATTTATGTTATATATATAGAGTCTTATGCCCGGGAGATACTAAGATTCCGACCTTGGCCAAAGGTTGATACGTTTAATGATTTGCCCTGGAATTGTGGCGCATTGGCAATGCCGAGGCATCGGCATCGGCATCCTCCCATGAGAGCTTAGAACACGTTAAACGCAACGGAATTAGGTGAGATCTTTGGGATCGAGTAGACTTGGTGAAGTATATGAATAATCTATAAATTTCCATAATACCTATGTATGCAGTTTTATATACATTTAAAACCCAACCTTGAATCCTTGGGGAACCTTACTCCTCATAGTCACTAGTCTCCCAGCCGCTTTCACTCTCACTGGCACTGAAGACAGATCTCTGAGGCTCTTCAGGCTCGCCCAAGACCGGAGCAGCGATAGCCACAGCAGCAGCGGCAGCAGCTTTCCCCTTACCAGACTTCTTGTTTTTCTTCGCCTGGCGAGCCTCTTCCTCCGCCTGCAGCTTCTTCTTTGCTTCTTCCGCCAACTGCTCGGAGTTGCGCTCCATGAGATCAACCAGCTTTTCAATGGCAGGCGCATAGGCTTGCGCGTATGCTAGATCGCCAACCTTGATACGCATGTAGTCCATCGCAGTAGCGATAGGGGCGTTCTTGCCGGGAATCCACCTGTTGCTAGGCGGTAGGCTCGGTCGGCCAGCAGAAGGGAAGCGAATGTCATCCAGGAGTTGAGCACCGGACGGTAATTTCGAGAAGTTTTCTTCCGGCTCGTCCAGAGGAATGTCGGCCTCGCCAGCCTCCCTCGCTGCGGTTGCCCGAGCTTGCCGCGTCGTGGTGACCTCGTCATGGTGCTGGGTGCCGGCGCATTCGTCGACATGGGCGATCTTTTGGTACCGTTGACTGAAGTGGGTAAGGAGAACGGCACGGGCTCCCATCCGGCGGCCTACCTCCAATGCTTCTCCGGTAGTAGAATGCCGCTTAGCGAGGGCTGAGCCTACCATGTTGTCTTGGAAAGTGGCTTCGTGAATGAGCACCGTTGAGTCGCGGCCGATGGAGGCAAACTTATCCGAGGGTCGGCAGTCGCCTGAATAGGACACCTTAAACCCATCTGGGAAAACGAGAGAAATGGCGAGAGCACCCTTGCAATGCTTCACACGAGCGGTGAGAATATCGTCTAGGCGGGTGCTTTCCTTGAGAAGGTGTGTGAGATAAGAGGAGTTGTCGTTGAAGTCAAGGACAGTTCTGTTCGCTGAATCCCGGCCGTAAGGGGCAGCACCGTTGCGTGGGTGTCGGTAAGTAAACGTAGTCTTGATAGAGTTGCCACGAGGCTCAGGGTGTGCGATGAGAGGAACAATTTTATCGAAGCCGTAATCCTCAACAGAGGCATACTCTTCTAACCAGGCGATCATCATTTCCTCGGACACAACGAAGAGGCGATTCTTCTCCTGCAGGATTTTGTTCAAATCGGTCTCGGGTTGAGATGACGGGTTGTAGTCTGCTCCGTAATTTTCACGGTACCAAGCTTTGATGAGCGAGGCAGTGCCAAGATGGTGATCAGCGTGCAAATGGCTGATCCAAATCATACGTAAGTTCCGTAGCACCTCGCGTAGCTCTTCAGGCTCGAAGACTCGCTGAAGCTGACCAAGGGTGTTCTCACCACAGTCCAGCAGATAGTAACCATACCCAGGGGCATGGACTAAAGTAGCAGAGACATTGCGGTACTTGGATGGGGCAGATGAGCCTGTGCCGAGAGCGATGATCTCAGCCTCAGCACCGGGGAGATTCTCGCGCATTTCAGCTAATTGTTTTTGGAATTCAGGCTTGCGGGTACGAGTGCGAATGACCTCCATCCGCTGCTCAACAGCGCGCGGAATCGTTTCTAATGTCTTTGCAGTGTTCAAAAACTGGAAGACCTCATCCTTGTTGATCTTGAAGTTCGGTTCCATGTCGACAATCAATCCGGGTGTGAGAGGCTCAAAGGGAAGGTCGTCCAGTGAGGTGGTATTCTTGCTCGAGCCATTAGTTGAGAGCCCGACCTGGGGCAAAGTAACATTATCATGAACAGGAATCGAATAGTTATCGCCCTTCAGACGAGCCAAGCGGATGGAAGCTTCGGCAGAGCTCTGGAGTGCCAGATAGTTTGGACAGTAGTCAGTACTGGACACAGTGTGTTTGCAGTGGGACATGCTCGCCACAAACTCTCGGAGCTTAGGATGATCGCCCACACCAGGGCCTAGAATCCAGACAAAGACCTTGAGTTCAGTGGTAACAGCAGGCGAGTTCCATTCAGGCCGGCTTAGTAGGTCTTCAACATAATCAGGCGAAGGCAAATCGATAATGGCAATGCCCTTGCCAAGCTTTGGAGCGCCCAATACCATGTCAGGAGTGATGGTCTGGCCGTCTTCTGACAGAACATTCTCTCCGCGTGTTAATTTGGCGTAGTCTGGACCGTAGCGAACCTTCAGTGCCTTAGCCTTAGCCGCGTCAAATTTGCCACGGATGTCATGATTGCGGATGATGTAGGAGACAGCTTCCTTCGAAGGGGTGGTGGGCGGCAGCTTGTCAACCATCGCACCAGGCCATGGCTGCCGAACCATCACCTTAATATCAGGCAATGGTCCTTTATCGCCAGGCACAGGGCCTTTGTAGGGCTCGATGTCCTTGGTGTCCGGGTTGCGCACAAACATGGCTGCGGGCATCCTGACTTGGGCCAATGGAGTCTCGACTAGAGCGTCCATCTTCCAAGAAGAGTTGAACATATCCGACACAACAGATTGTCTCATCAACTGGTCCTTGGCACGCTGGTCGATCTTGAGTTGATCTTGACCAATAGTCTCTTGGAACTCGCCCAAGCTCCGCTTCCGCGGGCTCTGTGCCCGAGGCTGGCAGGGCTGCTTAGGGCTGCTTGAAGAGGCTGGTTTGACCGGGAGAGCCCACACTTTAATGTTCCCATCAGACCATGAAGGATCTTCGAAAGGATCTTCTTTATCTGCCGGTACCTGTTTCGCCATAAGTTCGGAATCGTACTCGCGCATGTACACAGGCATACCCTTTCGGAAAACGAAGCGTCGGGCAGTAGCCATAGTATGCGCGAGGTTTGTAGCTCCATGAATCGTCACATCAGCCCTATCCTGACCCGTTCCGGCATGATAATGCGCGACTGGTTCCAGCTGCGTCTTGCCTTCGGAACGGGAGATCCGTTTCCGCTCTGCTTTCTTGCGGGTATCATCCTCAAGAGCTGCCGCAGAGTTTGATGTTGAGTCTGCCAGTGTCAAGATTACACCGATCAGTCCACCCAAGTTTGCCCATTCGGTGCGGCCCGTGATGAAAATGTCGGACAGGTAGGTCAGCTTGACACCGCGTTCGATACATGCTCGTTGAACTCCTTCTGAGATCTGACCGAAGAAGTATCGCTTGTCGGGGAAGTGGAGGTTGACAACCGTGCCGGGTGTGTCGGCGGTCGGAGTCGAGATGATCTCGTAGAAGAACTTCATAGGTGCGATGCCACGCTTATAGTCTGGACGGGAGGTATCGACGGGTCTCTTAAGAGCTATAGGATCGCAGATGACGTATTTCTCGTTTCGGTTGGTGGCAGACGATGGAAGAAGATTCGCAGCAGGAATAGTGTCTTGGTTGTGCTCGCGTTGCGGCTTCCGAGCTCGGGGGCGTGCAGGTTTCGAGACTAGCAGTGTCTTGGATACAAGGACCGGGGATCTTTTGGCAGCGAGGCGCTTGAGGCCTGAATGATGTGGCCTCGGGGCAGGTTTATTCGAAGAGCTGTGATAGCCTGCGCGCAGGGCGATTGACGTTAAGCTTGAGGCCGAAGGATGAACGCGCCAGGCGACAGCGCCGAAGACCGCGGTAAACAAAGTACCGCTGGATCTCAAAGAAGCCAATTTTGCGGGGGTACGAGGAATGAATGGACAATCTATACTAGATCGTGTGAAAAGAGGTCGAAGAGGGAAATGTGAGTCGTAAATTGGAGCCGCAAATCTGCGGAAACTTTTTTTTGGAAGGTTTTGCGTCACGTCCCGCTTTTTAAGTCCAAGTTCAGGTCTACCAGCCAAACACAATGCTGTAAGATCTAGTTAGCTATTAGAGACCAATAAACTTTACGGGAAATCTTCGAGCACGGGTGGTAATAGATTCAATTTTGGGATCCTAAATTCGCTGATCCGTCGTATGCGCCGAGTAAACCGTTGACAAATTTCCACCCAGAAAGCACAACCCGGGAGATACAGTAAAGTAATAGAATAAGCGCCGTTAAAACTCCCTGGAGACAACTGCGCCGATATCCAGGAAATGTAGCTAGAATGTCGGTAGAGATGTATGATCACCGGGCTATGATGACAATAAAAACAGAACTATACATAGAAAATAGGGCCAAAGACAGGACGCTAAATGGGGAATCACTGAAGGTGAGAGGTCAATAAGGACACGCGATCAAAGGCAGCTTCCATACTGGAGCAAAGGCAGTTGAACCGATTTTGGTTGGCGGCGGTCTGATCGACAACCAGCTCGAAATGGGGAGCAGCCTTGTCGGTTTGAACACCCTCAAAGGAAACAACGTCATCGGAAGCAGTAGAATGAACGGGAGAATCGATAAAGAGAGCGAAGGCAGGGTCGGACTCGTCAATCTCAACATCGGGGTTAGCGATACCGACGTCGGACTGCTGGGTCGAGATCTGACGCTCAGGAAGGTCAAGAATGGGGGCCTCGTCCTTGCTATCAGACACATTCGACGACTTCCCAGAGAGAGCCGCAAAATCAAGAGCAGGGCCCTCTGGAACGTCGAGCACAGCGAAGACGGGATTGTTGCCGTAGTTCATGTCGATACCTGAGTTCCAGCCGGCGTTGTTCATCATGGAGGCGTCCATTCCCTGGTTGGGAACCATGACCATACCGGGTTGAGGGTTCTGCTGCATTTGGTATTCCTGGTGGCGGGGGGCTTCTTTGGGAACGGCCTGCATGTTGGGTTGAGGGGCAGCGTGCTGAGGCTGGTGCTGCTGTTGTTGCTGCTGCTGAGCTTGAATTTGGGGCGGCACGGTGTTGTCGGGCATCTCATTCAGGAAGTTTGCAAAGTGAGGGGAGCCGAGGAGCATGCGGGCGAGGTCGTTCAGGCGAGCGTTCTCCTCGAACAACTGGCGGTTCTGCAGACGCAGCTCGTGAGACTCGTTGGTACGGGAAGCAATTTCACTCTCGAGTTGACCAATGTACTCTGCAAGGAATCAATTAGCGAAGAAAAAGACGAGAGACATCAGGTTACCGTACCCTTGCGACGAGAGCGGAAAGCACGAGCGGAGACCTTGTTGCGGAGCTGGCGACGCTCCTTACTGCTGAGCTTCTTGCCCTCCTCACTAGCGAGGAGACGCTCATCCTCATCCATGGCGGCCTCGTCCTTCTTGGACTTGGCCATGTGAGGGAGGATGGAAGAGGGAGAAGGAGAAGTCTCGCCCGCTGCGATGGCCTGCTGACGCATCTGCTGGAGTAGACGAGAGATGCGCTCCTCAACGATGGGATCGCTACCACGGACGGTGCGGACGGGGGCATTTTGGCTCTCCTCCACACGACGCTGCTGCATCTGCTGCTGGCGGAGCACGTCGTTTTGCTTCTGTTGCTGGGCGGCCTTGGCAGCTATCGCAGCCTGCTGCTGATGCATACCGGGATACATGCGACCGACCTGAGTGGAGGGACCAGCCTGAGCCAGCTCATGGCCGCCGAGAGCGTTAGGGTCGACATATTCGCTCTTTCCGGAGTTGGCAGAGAAGAAGTAGGGGGCGTTATTCATGCCGTCGGCCTCGACGTCCATCTCAGATGGCTGGCGGGTCGAGGCGGCGTTGAAGTCGAAGGGAACATCCTCGCGCTTCATGTGACCTTGGAACATCTCTCCGTTGACGGGGTACCCTTGAGGGGCATTGTTGAATCCCATTGGGTTGACCTGGTTGTAGGTCATCGACAAGGCACCGGGAGGTAGACCAGTCTGCTGGCGGTGTTCCTCGTAGTGGTGGCTCGGGGCCTGGAAAGCGAGGGGAGATTGACCACTTGACGCGAAGCTGGCACTCCGGGCATCACTTGCACTGAAGTCGGTGCTGGCGACGGAGGGTTGACTAGCGAGGGCGACCTTGGGACGGGAGTCGGCGGATGTGTAGGTGAGTTGATCGAAGTTGATGAAGGAGTCGAGATCTTGGTCGTAAGTAGCGGGCATATTCGGCATGGGTGAAGCCGTCGAGTGCATAGGGTGTTCTGCGAGTGTAGCCATGTTGCCTAAACCCCCGGATAACAAGGGGGGTGGGCTGTAGTATTTAAAGTTGTGTAAAATAGGGAAAGATAGATGGAAAATGGAAACGAGGGTAAAGGGCTAGACGGGGCAGAAGATCGGATTAAGAAGATGGGTCGATGGAGAAAGGGTGGATGGGTGGATTAGGAGACGGAGAGAGGAAGGACAGGTTCGGGAATAGAAATCAAGGCTTGCGCGTCCTCAGAGGCTGACTCAGCGGGGCCGAGTCGTTAGCAGCCGTGATTGGCTGTCTGCCACTTCTTTGAAACGGTTGTTGATTTCTCCCTTTTTGGGCAACTTCCTCACTATGCTTAGCACGGCCTTCTAGAGGCATTCTAGCTTTGGCACTATTTTACCTACTACACAATAGTTTGTTGAAAATCCCCATCCCAGACCCAAGCTGCTCAAGTTATTCAAAGAACAACAGACTAGCTTCTAACGGATGAATCTACTATTCCTGGTAAGTGGGGGGCCCTTTCAGGAACCGTTCGTTTCTATTGGAACGACGGAGTAGGATTGGCCATTCAAGACCAGTGTCTTCTGGCATGACGCCGGTGGCTGTGTGTTTATCGCCCAGGGTGATTTTCCACATACGACTAGTCAACATTCCTGAGAAGACGATCCTAGAAACACATGTCCCATACTCCCTTTGTACTCCGTACGTGCATGTGTATTATCGACACGGCATTGACAACCTTCCTAGCATGATCTAGGCGGAACCAAACTATGGGCGCACTAAGGAGTCTCCGGAGCTCTGCCGAGCCCGTTGAATGGTGGACAACGCGGGAATCCGCCCGCCCTACAGATGCTAAGCGTCATGTATCAATACACGCCCTCAGGGGAGAGGGTTTCTCCCCAGTACCTGCATACCAGGTACGGATATACGTTCTATGTGAACGCCTTCCATGGGACCGTGTTTCATCGCGGTTTTCTCTAAAAATCTCCGTTCGCCGAGAGTTCCAGACCTTCGGCAAAACCGCGGACCCTGACCCTTTTGGGAGTGGCAGTGGCTTGGCCTCAGGGCAAGGAACGGGGGCTCTAGCAAAAAGCTTTATTTTCGGGCGAGGCGATCTAGATTCGGCCTCAAACGAGAACGACCTTCACCACTTGAGCCAATTTCACAAAATCGTCTGGCAGGGCGGCAGACTTCCGAGCGCACGTGACTGGAGACTACCGGATAGGGATCACTCAGCCGACTGAGAGTCCGCCTCGGGGCTTGAGACTCGCTTGAAAATGCCCCAAGCCTGAGTTCTGGTCTCAGAAATCAGCTCGGTGGCAATCAATATATCTATCGCTCTATGGTTCCAATTTTGTTTGAGCACCCGTTCCCAAAAACCATTTTCCTCAACCATAGAAATAGTGTACCGGCTGAATCCATTGCCGCGTGGCCATCATCCCAGTGGATCGCGGACCGAGAACTTTGTTTTGCAAACCGCCAGGATTGACCCATTCTCTAACGACCGTCTAGGGCTGAGCGACGTGCAAATTCGAGGCTGAGCCGAGCCCTGCGCCTCGGGTCTTTCTGCGCTGTAAAAATAGCCCCGCCACTGTGCCGATAAGGCGTCAATAACCAGGTCGATCATTCAACTAAACTCCCATGATCATCCATGTGCCGTGACCGTGTGCTCGGTTATCTCTTTTAAAGTTGCTGTGCTCGGTCGATGTCCAGGGGGACTCCAGGCTTTCGGTTCGCCTCCATCCACTATTCGGCTGCCGTGCGATAACCACTAGACCATGCCCAGATAATGCATCCCCGGGACAAAGTGGGAATCGAACGGAAACCCGGCAAACAATGGACCCGTGGTTTCTAGCACTGAGCCTTACGAGAGTCGTCAGGTCGAGGCTCAAGGAATTTTCGTCCCGCACTACAGTCGGAGTCCAGATCTCTTTGACCCTGCGTCTTTGTCTGGTTATCTGACGACGACTCTTCACGCCCCGCTGCTGCCCTGATTAAGCGACCCTTTAGACCCCTCGAGACACTTCAACGCCCCTCAGGACCCTTGACCGAGCCCTGATCGGGCCTTCTACGGAGATGGAAGGTGGGCGTATGACGAACACCTGAAGACGTGCGCGCACAAAAGTCCGGGGAGCATGGCCGAGAACTGAGTCCTTTGAATGGATATCTCATCAATCGATCTGGTAATCGAAATCTAGATCTTTGAGCTAATCTGCCCGACCGTTGAACCCAGGGAAACCCTTTCTCTATACGATTAGGAGCCCCATACTGGCTGGTCTCGACCCATTTCAGACAATTTAGCTCGCTTCTAGAACTTAATGAGATCATTTGAAAATTTTAACCGATGCCACATTCATTGAGGGTCTACGTGGCGGCGCCATAGAGGCGATGAGGGCGGTCCCATGTTCGGGTGCGGTAACAAAGCAGCTATCAATGTTGATGGCAGGTCTCTGGTGCTATATTTCACATGTAGCAACAATTTTCGATGGTTGTATCATCTTCAAACACTGTGCCTGCCTCCTAGGCAAAGCTTGATAGGTGCTTCGAGCATTCCAAGGTTCGCCAGATCACGTTTCAACCCCTAAACATGTTTATGGGCATATAAACCAAGCTGATTGATCCCAATGCCCTGGTAGTACCTCTACCTATGTAGCAACGCCATGTGCAATGCGTATTCGGAAACGTAGGAAAGAGACCGAGTGAAAAGGCCGATGTAAGCTTACGGCTCCGGGCGGTTCGAGGAATTTTCGATCACGAGGGATCACTTGACCTAGGCCCTTAAAACTCCCGGGAATAATAAAGTTGATGAGACCTTAATATCCACAGAAATTATCCTGATTTCAATGCTCACTACTGTCGTTCCAAGAGCAGAGGAGTTGTCGACGTGCCCGATACAATATTTCCAGCCAACCAGACCTCCGAGTAGCACATCTTCTATGCTATGTCTTGCACGGGGTTTCATCGTCCTAGCCAACCCAATATTTCATAATTCGTGTTTAGGTTCGGTAATTAGAGATGGATTTTAAACAGCTACGGCTTTAATTTTGGATTATGAAAATATTATCTAGCAATGACAGGGGCGAAAGCTGGATCGATCGGCCACAAGACTTCAATCGCCGAATTTGGGGCCAAAAGCATGCGGGCCAGAAGTAGGAGCTTTTCGATCATATAATTCTTCCCTCAGCTTCGCAGAGTCTCCACATAATGCACAGGAGCAGAAAACATCACCTTTCAAGAACGAACAAGGTCTTGAAATCCCCCCCCCCCCCCCCCCCCTTCCGGTGATCTTCTAAGCACTAATTCCAGGTGATACAGTGAACCTGGGGCCAAAAATTTCTAGTGGATATATTCATGCAAGTACTTCCTTGACAGGGCCGCTCATAGTAAGCATAATGTGGGGCTGCAGGAGAAAAATAATCTATTCAAGGTAAATTGGATTTAATCATTGAATGCTGATGCTCTAGCTGAGCCCTACAAGGGCAATAAAGGAGGCGATCAGGGGATTAAGCCTGAACCCTCGCCTCATATGGTACCTTAGACCATCCTGTTAGTCTGTTGGCCGCTGTGGAGATCTTACTTGTGTTTCAAGGCGTTGAGGTAAATTAGATACTGAGTTCAAAATAAAAGAGAACATGCCCCTGAGGGGTTTTTGCGATCTTCAAAGTGACACCTACCATTTGAAGTCATTCGAGCTTGCCAAAATTGGTCGAGATGCAGCTCATCAGACAACTAGGTCTTGCTCTCCTGGGTGCTCAGCTTTTCTTCGAAAGTAGTATTGCTGTCGCTCACAATTCCTACCAACCTGAGATCAAGAAGCGTGCACCACCAGAGGTCGAAAACTGGGCGTTATACAAATACTGGAACTCCCAAATTGAGACCAGCCCTTACTTCTGCGAGGCTGGATTCTCTGCCGACACGGGCTCTCTTTCGAGGAGTGGAAACGTAAGGTCACTTTCCTGGGGCATTGGAAACTGCGAAGAGAAGATTGTGTCGTGGGACTTCAAACAGACCCCTATTGCCAAGGGCGAAGTCTCAATCTGGAAAGCCACTCTCAAGGTCAAAAATTCAGATGGTACTGAGAAATCCTCGAAAGAAGTCGCCCTGAAGAGAGGAAGCGACGCCAGAGGAATTCTTTTCGGTGCCAATGTCCAACAGAAGCTCAGCGACAACGACAATATCCTGGGTGCTCTCGAAGCTGTCGTTCAGAATGATGAAGACGGGGACCCGGAATGGGGCAACTCTATTATGCCTTTTGTTCAGGCCAGCTCCCTTGAGAAGAACCTTGATTCGTACTCGACTCAGAGCTTGGTCAACGATGCGTTCAAGCAGATCCTCACTGCTGTTTCGGTAGTCCATGGCGAAGGCATCATGCACCGTGATCTTAAGCCAGAGAACTTCCTTGTGGATGGCAGCATACTGAAGCTCATCGATTTCGATACCGCCTTCGAAGGCGATTCAACCAATGCATTCAACGTTGGAACACGTACATATGCTGCCCCAGGTAAACAATTCACCCTTACCTTGATATAACCGACATGAAACTAACACGACTTTATAGAAATCGTTGCAATGAAAACACCAAGCGGTGGCGGCTATACCAAGAAGATCGATGTCTTCTCTCTAGGAATGACCTTCCTTGTAATGTCGGTCACGGACTTACAGGACGACGACACTCGCTTCCTCCTGTGGAAGGAGCTCATCGAGCCGAACGGAGAATTGTGGCCAACAGTCGCCAAGGTGTCGACACTTCTGAAAGAGAAGAGCTACGACGTATTTAGTGACAACGAAAATCTCCTCACCGTGATTTCAACAGCGCTCTGTACACCAGATGATCGCTACGATGATGCGAGCGCTTTCCAGACAGCATTCAACGCTGCAATCTAAGGTGAAGGTGGTGTTGGGCTGAGTCGAATTCGTGAGTTCTGAAGTCTTTGTTTTGTTTTCATATACTCGTCATCGGGAGACGTCCTCTTATTTCTATTTAAATGTACTTAGTTCAACAATATTATGTAAATTTGAGTCGACAATGTGGCGTAGACAACGTGAAACCACTGATTTGGGGGCCATGTTGCCGAGTAATCAAATTTCACTCCGAAGTTTTCCGGAGGTAAGATCTGTCGTCATTGATAGTGAAAACATTCTCAAATAGGAAAAAGATAATTCTGCCTCGAGTTAGGCTTACTCGGTTTCTTGACCGCGCGTCAGGAGCTTCCTCGGGCGTATATCAGGAAGAAGTGACCCCTCGTCAGGGGCGCCGGATCCTACCGCCCCTGGCCAACACCGAAAACACGGCTGGGATGTCATTTGCAACGGATACCAAGGAAAAACCGACCGACGATCGATTTGAGAGGAAAATGGTCACTATTGCTCCGTCAGCTCCGACCCAAAAAAGGCCTATCCGGAAACCCACTGAATCAGTCAAGACCGCCCTCCGGGAGTTGCAACAGGGTGATTTGGTGCAACTAGTAAGCGCGCATCAAGCATCTTCTAGGAAGGACAGTTAACCTGGCGTTTTGATTTGAACGTAGCTCAACGATGTCCAAGAAGAAATAATAACGCTGGTCAACTCCAAGAACGGGGTGGACCCGAGCTCTGTCGCGACCTATTTCCATTCTCCATCACCGTTCACTTTCTCCTTCTACCACTATCCAGAGCCAGGTGCAATTCTTTTGATTTGGACGCAATGGGAAGGGGCGGTGTCGGTCAGAAACATCTCACTGCAAAGGAATGTGCTGCTTGACATGATCGCCATCGCGGAGGGAGAGGGCATCAAGATCACGCAGATGGTAGGAATGCTCTGCCCATGATTTAGCCAAATAAACTCACACCTTGCAGATGAAAGTTCAAGGAGCCGATCAGATTAAGGCAGATCGCTTGAAGGAGGAGGCTTTCTCCGCCAAATGAGAAACTCGTCTAGTTCCGAAGTTGTTATTTGAGGCAGCTGGGCTAAATTCTTCCATGAAATATTTCCAAGTAGTAATGTGAAGTAATTATTCTCGAAAAGCCTTGAATGCTGCTTTTCATCTCTTGTCGAACCGCTCAATCTTGTCGAATGTGGCGCATGGGCGTTGTCCGGTTCGGTCTTAGCGTGAAAGTTGCGCAGGCAGATTTCCCGAATGTGATCCTGATCATTCACCATGGCGTCCTCTCCTTAGCCTTCACAAAAAATACCAGATGAGTCAAGAGGAAACATTTACTTTCGTCAATGTATCACATCCCGATGAAGCACGAGAGAAGGGCAACCAGCGCCTCATACGACGCAGGGTGATGCGTGACATCGGCAAATCCCGACGAAAGAGAAAAGAAACCCCAACCATAAGCTTCACTTTGCAAGAGGTCAATGAAATAACCAGATCAAATATTATCAGACCGGCATTCAGCTCTAATCCATTTCCCGTGGATTTCAACTCTCGAGCTCAGGAGCTCATGCACTTCAGTACCGTCCATCTATTCAAGCCACTGTTTGGATGCTGCGCTAATACCTTATGACAGTGAATGCTGAATCCGAGTATAATTATCGACCTTTTCGAAAAGTGTGGTTCTCTATGGCTCTATGCGACCATAGTGCCTTTATGCTTTCTATGGCCAATGCCGCTATGTTTCTGGATGAAGCACGCAACCCAGACACCTTTCAGTATGAAGATAGTGCAGAAGCTCTCAGGTACTATGGCCAGTGCGTGAAGCAAATCACAACACGACTATCGGATCCTGAAGATTGCACCAGCGAAGGGGTTATTACAGCCATCCTTGGTCTTATATGTCATGATGTACGTCGTAAACCGAGGAAAAATTATTAGGCTAACATTTGCTCCTGCCAGTTGTATGTAGGAACGCTAGATCGGTGGGCGTATCACATACGTGGTCTAGCACGATTATTATGGCTTCGAGGTGGCTTTCATGACTTGAGCAGTGATGTCCAACTGTTCGCTTGCTGGTTTGATGCGATGGGGTCCGCGGCACAGGATCAGCGACCGCAGTTGATCGAATATTCGCAATCTCCTGTGGCTGAAGTCGCTCTATCAGATTCAAAACATGAATACCTAGGCGATATTTTTGTGGAATTCACAGACGCGCCTCCAGAGTTGGTGGATATTTTGGATATACTGAAGCAAAGTGCAGAGATATCCGAATTTGTGAACACTCATTTCGAACAACCGGATTTCTGGAGAACAGAGGTCGATCTGACTCCTCTTCAAATGCTCGGACCTATAATGAACAAATTGCTTTCTCTGGCACGGTGTGAATATTTGACAGCAAGCCCTCTTGAAATGGTCCGAGAAGTGACGCGGCTTAGCTTGCTCATTCTAATCGCCGAACTCAAAAATATTTACGGGATGAGTGCGCCTGAGACTTTGTTGTTGAATACTAAGATTTACCAACTGCTAAAGTACATCGAAGCTAGGCATGAGTTGGTCATTCTACCAAAGCTGCAGCTATGGGCGATTATTACTGCGGCTCTATTTCAGACATCAGAAGTGAAGCTGAAAATTTACGTCAAATTGATACTTTTGAGAATGGCGGCGATGGATCTTCGGGATGGGAGTGCCGCAGTAGAAATTGCTCGCGGAATTGTTTGGATTGATGTGGCGGTAAGACAAGCTACTGTTGATAACTTGATATCTAAGATAAATATTTACCATTCAAAAGACATTTGATCAAAATTTATGCGATGAAACACACATTTATCAATCTTGGAACTAGCCTCCAGTAATACCACCACTCACAGAAATGACCTGCCCGGTGATCCACCGGCTTTTCTCCGAGACCAAAAGAAGCACTGCATCCGCAATATCATGTGTAGTGCCAACCCTCTCTTCCGCTCGCGTCATAGGCACGAGCGTTCGATTGATAATTTCAGCCTGCTCCTTTGGCAGCGCGTCTGTATCAACAGGACCTGGTGAAACGGTGTTGATGGTAATTCCACGACTACGACCCAGCTCCATGGCCATGGAGTAAGTCAGGGCATCTGCTGCTGCCTTTGCGGCGCCATAAATGGCGATGGGAGCCATGCCAAGCTTCGAAGCAATAGATCCAATGTTAATCACACGGCTTCCGCGGGGCATATATGGAACCGCAGCTTGAACCAGGAAGATTGGCGCGTACACTATGGAGGAGAACAATGTGTCCACGCTCTCCCTGGTGGCATTAGGAACACCATGGGGCATTCCAGCAGCAGCATTGTTGACTGGAAGAACGATCTTGTTAGAATTTTCACCTCCATTCGCAAGACAAAGTGCTCTACCCACCGAGAATATCAATGTGGTCAACACCGAACACCAAAAGAGTCTCATTAATTAAAGCTTTGGCTCCCTCGGGCGTGGTAACATCTGCCTTGACTACAGCGGCTCGCCCGCCTTGGCGGCAGATATCCTCCATGACGTTCGTTGCCCGTGGAGAACTTGCATCAGAGACGTGGTTGATGATCACCAGGGCTCCATTGCGGGCTAATGTTGATGCAATGCAAGCACCAATTCCAGTCTCTCTGCCGGAACCAGTGACAATAGCCACTTTGCCAGCGAGGTCCAAAGTATCCGGCGACATTGAAGGAGAGGAGAGAAATTCCAATGAGGAGAAGGGCGGAAATACAGTTGGAAAGATAAAGTTGCGATCAAGGACCGAAATAGAACCAACATTGTGACTGTATTTATATCCTAATTTTCATTCCTCTTTCCAAATATTCGACGATGCTTCTTGTTGACTCGAAGCTATGTGGAGACGCTATACCAGATTGGGAAAACGGTGTTCATTAGTTGCAGGTGCCCCACACTGACACGGTTCCTGTTTCGAGAGTGTAGAAGAGTTGACATCTGTCTGTTTCAAACCTTGACAACATCTTGGCGTGCTTAGCCGATACACCGATCGATTCAGGCTGATTCAAAGCTTGGGGTTTTCTTACGGCTAAAATTGGCTTTTTGCCAATCATCATCTAAATGAAACTTACAGTGTCGCTGACTATTAGGCAAAATCCCGGGTTCGGTCCAAAGGATATTTTTCTGGTCTTCAAGGACCCGTTACGCGGGAAAATGGAGCTAGATTGTTGGGGTGTATAAGAATGACCGGTGCTCTCAATGTTTCGAAGAGGGCAGGCTTATCAAGAGCATCCTCAAGACTTCATATTGTCCATTACATACTTTACTTCTTATATTTTCAACAGATATCCCAAAGCATCATTCTATAATCACCATGAAATCCACAGCGCTAGCTATCTCTCTGTTTCTCGGCTCAGTTCTCGCCGTCCCGCTCGAAATCGACGCTGAGAAACGTCAGAACTGTCCGAGCATCCACATCTTTGGAGCCCGTGAGACTACGGCTTCTGCCGGCTACGGATCTTCTAGCACTGTTGTCAATGAAGTTCTGAGTGCTTATTCGGGCTCTACGGCTGAAGCCATTGTCTACCCTGCATGTGGCGGACAGTCCTCTTGTGGGAGCATTAGCTACTCCAGCTCAGTGACTGAGGGCATCCAAGCTGTCGCATCAGCCGTCAATTCTTTCAATTCGCAATGTCCGCAGGCAAAGATTGTCTTGGTGGGATACTCCCAGGTCTGTAGAATTCCTCTATGATTTACAAGATAAGAGAAAGGATTGAGATTGATCAAACAAATTCTAATAGGGTGGTGAGATAATGGATGCTGCTTTATGCGGCGGCGGTGTACCCAATCAAGGCTACACCAACACAGCGGTACCATTGACATCGTCAGCTGTTAATCAAATCAAGGCCGCTATCTTTATGGGCGATCCTCTATTTAGAGCCGGGCTGTCATATGATGTCGGAACCTGTGCTGCCGGAGGCGTAAGAACGTCTTTAACTCCCTTTTGAAGTTTGGCACTGACAATAGACATTCAGTTCGATGAGCGCCCAGTCGGTTTTAACTGCCCGTCGGCCAACAAGATTCAGTCTTATTGTGACGCCTCCGATCCATACTGTTGCAACGGCAGTAACGCCGCGACTCATCAGGGCTACGGTGCCGAGTACGGAGCACAGGCTTTGACTTTCATCAAGAATAAGCTTTCTGCCTCTTAGGTATTAACCTATGGGTATCACATGGGTATGAGGCATTACATGAGGCGTGGGAGATAGGTTGGATTGGCTATGAAATCAACCCTAAGCCGCTCGTGAAGCCCGGTCAATTCCCTATAATGCCAATACACCATTTCAGATCAACATTGGAGTGAATTTCCCTGTCATGGTTTTTTCCTCAGTGAAGGGGAAGGAAATTGGGAGAATAGGTCGGCTGACCGGTCGGACGAGAAACGCCCTATTCTTGGAGTAGCAGGGTCAACAAGACCTAGTAGCTTACATTGAAGAAGGCTTATTTCTTAGCATTGACCTCTCGTATGATCAGTAAAGCTGTATGTTGACCATTTGATATGAGTTTCACCCTTCTACATTCACATTCCAATTAAGAGTGTGGGGGATTACTCTAACGAAGTCAGTATACGCCAGTCTGTGCTCTGAGCAAGACGTGAAATATAAGTAATGCGCATAGAACACTATTAGGCAGTGCTAGTGCCTAATGGGAGAAGGCAATATAATTCGAATAAAGTTATGTGACAAGAAACGTGGCAAGCAACAAGGTATACAGAGCCTCTTCCTGAATTTTCTAGGCATATTTTATTTTCTTGTTTGGGAGTGAAAACAGCGATTCACGATCAGCTCAGATGGTGAGCAAAGGGCCCTTTCTTGGCCCTTTGGAATATTAAGAGGTAACGTGAAACCGAAGACAGAGAGGAAAGGCCCGAGCTTTGATGTGCTACCATGGCACTGCGAAGCATCCGGTGTTACCATACGAGTCACCGGTCTTCTACTATGATTAGGTCGATATCCCCATTAGAAAAGTGAGAAACCTTCCAATTTTCTCGCATAGCTCATGACATTGTTTCATGTTCTCAAGAATCGACTAAAAGACTGACCTGCCACTGACCTGCCACAGAAACGAATAACAAGGGCACAGCGTGGAGAAGTGAAAATTGGTGACCAGCTCCCAAATCATCTCTCACAACCAACCGCTTCCGCTTCACCACCTTCCACCTTTGCTGAACCAAAAAGACAATCAACATGTCTTTCATTAATCATAATCCACCGGATCAAGGTATCGCACTGTTGAGCCCCAAGCACGAGGGTATCAACGAGAAAGCCACCCCAACCGTGCTGGCAGCTCTAGGCGAGCCCAAAGTCAGTGAAGAAAGCCTCGGTGAAAGTGACAGAGCCATTATGACCATCGTGACCGGTGCTGTTTTCTTGACTCAGATATATGACACCGTATTGGGTGGCTTTATCAGCTATACCATCATGATATCCATCGTGACTAGGAACAAAGCGCTTCTTGTTAATGGCAATGGAGACGCCTCCTGGGGCGGAGCAAATATACAGGCGTACGATACCAATGCAACCTCCTGGGCCTTGGCTTCTTATCTTTACAAGATTGGGGCCCAATACCAGATGGTGCCTATTGGCATGGCCATCGGGGCTGCTGCCGTCGTCGTTCAGGTGAGTCAGCCCAAATCCCACTCAACCCCATTTTTTCTCTTTGAAGCTAATGATTATGAATATTTTAGTTTGTTTCCGAAGTCAGAGGCTTCAAAACCGCTGAAATCAACATTCCTCAGATCGTCCAATACGCTGGGTTCATTTCTTACAACCAGAGTCAGACTTGTCTCATCTTCAGCTTGATGGTCTCGGGGCTCTTCGTGCAGTACTATCTCTGAACGTACAAGACTCGCATCTTTAAAGAATATTCGTTCCTGATCGCTGCTGCATTTGATGGGGGTAGTCTCATGATCCTGGTTATCCTTTCGTTCGTTGTTTTCGGGGCTGGTGGAATATCCCATCCATTCCCATCGTGGTGGGAGAACAACGTGAAGGGAAACTACGACTGGTGCCCTGCGACGTGAGACCGGCACAATCTCCGAGAGCGATTTTTTTATTTCGAGGTAGTGGCGGAGGATATGCCCTGAGCAATACACGTTGGTTCATAATTTACTTCATATGATAGCTAGGCTCGAGTTTACCTCGGTACCAGATCCGAGAAATGGGCCAGCTTCTTGTTTTCTGTTTCTTTCAAATTTGTCTCTTCGGATAAAGGCCGCGAGAAACCTCATTTATACGAATGATGTTACCTTATCCAGCCAAGCAAAGATGATAAATGGCCACTTGGAAAGACCCCGAATCAATGAGAAATGTCCCATTGGGAACCAGGACCTCCTCTTCGCCATCTTCCAGCAGATTGGCCATGTAGACTTTGCTGACCTCCCATACAGTCTCGACTATCCCCTGGGCCGGCCTCTAAGAGAGTCGTAGATGCGAGATGTGGCACTTCGCCCTTTCCGACCTGGAAACACTCCGGTACTGATATCTTCGTCGCCTTCGCCGCGCTTGACGGTAATCAGAACGAGGGGTTCATCACCCTTTAGCCTAGCAGGAAACTTTGCAATAAAAGGTCTCGCGGCTTTGGCCATCATGAGCTTCGTAAAATGGTTGAGATTGTACGTTGCGCGAACCGTTCCATGGTCCATTTCGCCGGGATGAGGCAGGATGGCCCATCGGATTTTGTGTCTGTCCATATCGTTGGTATAATCTGGTGCCTTTGGAGGTCGTAGAAGAGGCAATCGCCTCCCTCACCATAGCAAACTCATTTTTGTTGTCGTTGAGAATGGAGACACCATAAATGTGACTTCAATAATTTCTGCAAGATGATCCTTCATCTATTGGATCCCACTTAGTATGTCTAGGGTATTTGATCCGTCGACTCTAAGTAGTGAAATGGGGATGGCTCGATGGCAGTCTGTCTCTGCAGCCTGGGCAACACTAACGAGGAGGACATACACAGCCACTCCCAGGCTCTGCATGAGGCGGGCGGAGGTTGCTCTGAATGAGGTACTGCGTACTACCCTTAATGCTGTAACATGAATCAAGGAATGTGGTGAAAACTGTAGTGAATTGGGTAGATGCCTGTTCTATCTCTCTATCCATTAAGAAAATATTGCATACGCTGGAGGTATTCATGACACCTCAAGCCGCAACTGCATCTATTCTGTCACGCGTTCCACCACTACACTAGTTAGACAGTGACACCCATCCTTTTGAATTCTACAGATAGACCCATAAACTACTTCATCCCCACACTGGAGGCGCAGCTGTCATTTAAAGAACATGTTCTGAAAAGGACGTGGCTGAAAATCTGATCCGGTGTTTGCTAGATCGATAGATTGGATCGATTTGTAAACATGATGGATTGCAGACTTCTGGAAAGAAATATAATGAATATTGCTTAGATCGGCTCTGCCAAGGTCGCCGACTCCCCAATATCAATATGTAGAGAAACCGTGAAAGCTGGATACCTGAAGTCTAGAGGAAGTGTATATATGGAAAAAATGACCCTGGACACCCAAAATAAATAAAGAACAGACTATATGATGGGAATTGTCAGGATAAGGAAAACTACCAAATATCCGGATCACCTCAAGTGCTTCTTACCTCTCATAACCGGCTCAGTATAATGGGACGAGTCCGCTAGTTACAATTTCTAGATATCTATGATATTTTGATCAAGTGAATTTTAGCATCAAAGTAAGCCCGGCCTATTCCAGGTTCATGAGAATTTCATATATTTTTCTGTGAATATTATACATGATAACGAAAATCTGCAGTTTGGACGCAAATGAGCAGTGATTTTCGTCAGACCATGCCGCTAGACCAAGAATACCAGTAAATTTTCATTGCTGTCTAAGCGGACAGCCATAATCTCGCATTGCAGAACTTGAAAAGATCTGCATGTGAAATGACTGGCACTAACCGCATTTGGCACTCCAAGTGCGTGCACTATATGGTTCCGAGGTCGGTTAATGCCCTTAGAACCGTAATGAGATGACGGCGATCTCGCCCCACAAACGATTCCACAATGACTTTTCTCCCTTTCTGAAGTGGAACACAGAAAGCCTCGTAGGGCTCGTCGGCACTTCGGGTGGTTAGCCGGAACCTTTAGAGATCCACTTGATTCTTTGCTTTTGATGAATTGCTAGTGCATGGGGACATAGGTCTATTGACCGAGGAATATAGAGACTTGGCGGCAAGAGTTTCCCAAGGTGGTGTCGAGGGGTTTGAGCTGCGATCAGGGGCTTTTGCAACGGAACTGAACAGGGAACTTATGCCCAGGAAGTGATAAGATCTTCAGTGGCGTAGGTCGGCCATGCTCTGGACCCAGTGATCAACCATGATCCACTTGACATTCCGCCCCTTGGAAAAAAAACATCTTCAGTGGACCCATGTCCAAGGGAAGAATTTTGGCGGTGTGTGCTCAGGGGTTGATAGACCACCAAACACGCCAAGCCGCCTCGCGTCCACACGTGCGGACAGCTTCCAGCCTGCAAAGCTCGAGAAAATGGGCATTTTTGCTACTCCTGAATTTGGTTCTGCCCAGATTGACTCCATTAGAGTGGATATTCTCCCCACTGAACTAAAAATACACAAATTGATTTTTGATCTGTTATTGCAGGTATTTCTTATACCAAATAATCGGGACTAGCTAGACCCCCGGATCTCCAAAATATATTAACACCTTGTAATATACAATCTAATGTGCCCTAAATGCATTCTGTGTCCCACTCTCTGGGGTAGTCGCAAATTTATCTGATCCACAACGACCGCTTAACTCAATCCCCAACGAAGGGTTGTTTGAACGCAGGAGCATGCTCAAGATCAAAGCGAATCTGCAGATGACTAGTATCTTACCAAGTAACAATTTAGGAAATATAAAGAGTCCCTCGCTTGAACGCCCCTGAATCCAACCGCCCCACCACTCGGCCTAGCTTGCTGCCAAGCAATCCTCTATATTCGTGCGAGCCATCTTTCCATATATGTGGACTTGAGTCTGGCCAACTGGGTCTGTTCTTTGGAGAGTATAGCTCGGTCACAACAAACCTTCTAGTGTCCTCATTGAGGATGTACGCTATCTATGATAGTTCGGGCACAAAAGGGGTCGCTTTTTGAATACATGTTCAATAAAAACAGCACCTTATGTTACTATGCCTTCCTAGTATTTTTTCCCTGTCTCAGTCGGATCTGTACCCGGAGTTCATTCTGCTGCAATGACCGTAAATATACTGTTTGGGAGTTGCTTTATTCCAACATTTCTAGCTTCAGACTGAATCATTTTCGGGACTACTACCAATTTAGTACGAAGTCGGCCTCGCCTCCCCCGAGATTCTAGGTTTCAAGTGTGCGTCGTTGCGCCACTGGTTGCCATGCCCCAAGACCTCTAAATCTCAGCCTGCAAAGTTGAAGTAGACATTTCCATCCACTTCTTCTTGACGGCTGTTCTTCAACAAATTCCTCTAATGGCTGGTTTGTATAATCATAAATCCCGTACTTTGCGGCCAGATGAGATGTCATTGTCCCTGGGTAGAGCCGTTTACCTTGCAAGTCTTCTTCTAACGTCCAGATTTAAGGTATGGTTAGGCTGGCAACGGCAAGTAAAAGGGCTGAGAGAGAAAATGAAATTGTAAAGATAAAACGCAGAACGTTAACGACATGTATACTTGAATTTCCTTCCAATTTACTCGAAACAATCAATAAAACTGGCGAGACAGCAGACAGGGAATTGGACAGAAGTAGAGAAAGAAACCTCAAGTACTTGGAAGAGAAGTAATTTCCTTTCATGAATGGCCGTCAGTTTAGAGGAAAGTGATCCCATCTTTGGTAAATGGAAGTGAGGTTTCAGATGGTTGGCTAGGAGTAGGCAATGCCCTTTGCCGCTTACTCTATGCGGCAAGACTAGAGCTTTCTTTGTTATTTTGTCTACATGAATCTTTGAGTTCCCAATTTGAAATTAGCCATTCGGAATACGCAGGTTGTCAAGATTATAGGGCCTCGAAAGCCGGACCTAATCCTCGAATGGCATTTTCTTCCAGTAACCGTGAGTACCCATCCTGCGCAGTCTGAGAAAATTTGTGATATTTGGTCTTGGAAGTCTTTGCATTAACAGAACTGGGCACTAAAACGGCACAGCTCCATTAACGGTAAGCCACAAGCCCTTGGCATCCTGTTAACGCGAAGTGAACGCCAGCATGAGTAATCTTTCACCAGTGGAGTCTTTGGCTTGGCGAATCTTAAATTCAAAGATTCTTATGCTTTCTTCCAGCATAGTGTGCTCTGATGAAACGTCCGTGCTTTCATTCTCGGCTTCTCAAAAATTGGCATTTGGTTTCCAAAGCCCTTTTTTTCGAGGTTTCATGCCAAGCAATGACAAGGCTTATTAACGTATACGCTGGTTTCGGCATTCGACCGCCGTAAAGTATAATGATGGAATGAGGCCCACTTCGAACGGGACTATGACACCGTTCTTGCCGTCTCTCGAGGAGGTGGAAATTGCAGTTGGAGCATGTCGAACAATTCTCTCAAAGGCGTGGATGTGAATGTCCAAAGAGCTTTGGAATAGAGCGAAGTCTGTTGAAACAAGGATGGAAAATGTCGCACGGAACATAAGAAGGATTGCACGCGAGGCCAATTAATCACTCAAAAGATCACGCTCATTTACTCCAATCTAGCTTCGCCCACCATATATACCATGTCAATCAGACAGCTCATGACCCATCCGCCTTTGAGTTTTGCACGGCTCTTCCCTTCTCATATCTAAAGGTTGCCCTCGTCGATAGATGAACGATTTGAAATTAAATCTTTAAACTTTCATCATAAGTGCTCAATGAAGACGAACAAAACGCAGCTTAGGAGTATAATAGACTGTTGGCTCGACCGTTTTGTACTTGAATTCTAACGCCCGAGACTGTATTATTTAAAAGGTTCACTGCTTGTCGACGACAGTGTTCTTTTTATAAAGGCCTTGACCCAAGATCAACAGATAGGCTTCGGATGTATTGGAGTTTGCATGTAGAGAGAGTATGGATATGGCAGCATTCCGGACAAGAGAATCTGACCAGCTTAGCTGGGGGACAATTCACGACCAGAGATGTCTGTCAATAGCACCGGCAAGTTCTCTTGCTCCTAAATTTGGAAAAAAGTGGAGGGAACTGAGCTTATCATTGTCTGCGCCGTTATTCGGTAAAGCTCTGGCGATAATTGCCGCCGATGACGCTAAAGAGAAGCCTGGGCGGCTGGCTGGTCCGTATGTCCTTATAACCATTGCAATACCGCCCCGTACGAACACCTGTTGCAGTGGGGCTCCGCTTCGTTACAAGCAACCCGACGAATTCTGGGCCATTTTAGCGAGGTGGGTGGAAATAGGATGTGCGCTTTCGGTATCTTCTCCTTTCTTGCACGTTCCACATTCGAACTTCGAGTTTGCGCCGCAACGCGCCCTCAGGTGGACCTGTCGGATGAGAGATGTCACCCCTGGCGTAGAAAAGTTGGTTCATCGAAGTTGGGGTCCTGAATGGGTAGACTTGACGATAAAATCGCAATTCTCGTAGCGGTCAAAGCGCACGGGCACGTGCGAATTGACTGAAATAGAAGAGTCCCACAATACCCACAATGTCAAATCACAGATTTTTACTCTGACAGTTGACAGTTCGTCTAAATTTCTGCATTTCTGCAGCCCTGTTTGTTGCCGTTATAATCTCACGAAATTCTAGGTCAAATTAGTGGTTGAAAAGAAAATGGAGGACGGTCCTAGTATAAAGCAATGCACAGCTCTACCGACACATTGCCAGACACCCCAAACATTAGTGCCCAATGGTCGACGAATGGAATCAAGTTTATCAATACATCCAGACCCCTGGAAGGACTTGCAGCAATCCTGGTCAAGAAAATCCCGGAGTCTCGGCAAGCGGGCCAGCTTACCCACTAAGGATCCCTGTCCCGTGTCTGATAGACTTTGCAGAACCGGTCGAAACGCGCTAGGCTGAACGGCTGGCGTTAGGTTGATGCTAAAAAATTTGCCCCGCGACCAGCCTAGTCCACGTAGGCGAAAACGCCGACGCTACTGTGTTGCAGAGCGGGCTGCAAGTTCCCGGTACTCCGAGTTCACCACAATGTGGCTTCTCGCTAATATGATCACAACGGTGATCTCTTGTGCGGCTCGCCCCGTTTACTTTCAGGTCCTAGCTCTGCCCATCTTTGCCATTTGCTAGTGACGAGCGTTACTGTGTCGCCTCTAGCGCACTGCAATTACCCCTGACGCGCCGGCTGTTCTCCATCTCCACTTTGGCCACGTTCCAGATTTTCCCGGATTTAAAGCGGTGCCAAATCCTTCTGCTACATGCCACTCTAACCCTCAGGATGAGTAGCGATGAGGATCACCAGAACGCAGCGATTAAGGTGGTGGCGGGCCTTTTCATGTCGATAGCATGTGTGGCCGTCATACTCCGATGTTATGTCCGCGGCTGGGTGGTGAAGGCGTTTGGCTGGGATGACGGCGCCATGGTGGTGGCTATGGTAGGGTCCCCCTTCTGGCCGCTTGTACTTGTGTTGTGCTAACTTTGAGATAGGCCTTTTATGTGATGTTCTCCGCGTCTATGATAGGAGCTGGGGTACATGGCAATGGGCGACACTGGTATAGTCTTGAGCCAGAGGAGCGTGTCATCGCCATGAAAGTACGCAGAACTCTCTGAATCTTCCTACGATCACTACTAATTCATCTTAAATTAGTACTGGTGGCTCTGTGAAATCGGGTTCTGCTTCGCATCTATTTTCTGCAAGATTTCAATTTGCATTTTCCTGATGCGAATCTGTATCAAAAAGATCCACCTATGGACTCTCTATACCGTCATGGCTGCGACAGTCTTTGCTGGTCTGGTGTTTATGTTCCTCATGCTATTTCAATGCAAGCCATTGGCCTTCTTCTGGTTACGCATGGCCCATCACCCTGTTGTGAACATCGAAGGCGAAGGGTCCTGTATCAACATGGAAATCATTGTCATCATGACATACATTTACAGTGCTTTTGCCGCAGCATGCGACTTCACTGTGGGTATTCTACCAATATTTGTTGTGCGCAAACTGCACATGAAGCGACAGACAAAGATGGCAGTGGTCGGAATCTTGAGCATGGCTTGCATGTACGTGATTGTCCAGGTGTAGTTCATCTAAGATTGGGGATATACAGCTAACATCGATTGCAGTGCATCTTCCGCTGTTATCGTACGTATTCCTTTTGTTGAAACTTTCAATAATTTGGACGACTTTTTATGTATGTTCCCTCCCTACTCCTTCCAACTGAAATCATCTACCTCGAAAATGCTGACCTCCCGAAGATGCGACTGTTCAAATTGCCTATTGGTCGAACCTCGAGTGCGGTCTCGGTATTACTGCTGGCTGTCTCGCTACTCTTCGTCCCCTTCTTCGCCAATTGTTCGGATCACACGTAGATCCATCATATTCTGCTGGATTCCCCAAAGAATCTTACGGGCGATATAATCCTGCTAGTGGGCAACGACCGGTGCCTTTGGGATCGATGAACGGAACTAATCGGAGCGAGTTGAGACCCGATAAACTGGCTGTTATGGTGACAAACATCGAAAGCCAGAGAGACTTGGAAAGATCGTGGCCCGGGTCATCCAGCCCCAGCAGTAGTGAGGAACGCTTGACCATACAGCATCCTCCACTTCCAGGGAAAATAGAAGTCGGTGTCCATCAGACGTTCGAGGTTACGCGAACGGCGGCGGATGGCGATGATTTAAATCTCTCTCAGTGGATCGCGACAGAGCATGTATAAAATAGTCATTAAATACTATAGAATTTTAATTAATGATCTTACACAAGTGATTTCCCTGCTCTGCATAGGTAGATTACGAAGTTTTTGCGCGTGGTTTGTCTGATTCATAGCTTAAGCCCGAACTCTCAGGAATGTTAATCGCCGAAGAATCATATGAAGCTTCAGTGGGGATACCGCCATACTGTTGAACTATCAGCCGACGGCACCGGGCGTTTGGTCTCAATGCCTCTGCAGTTTGTTTCAAAGACCACTTACCCAGAGGCAGTAAAGCCAATCAGACTTCTTGCTCAATGCCGGTCTGCTGGTTGGAACAAAGCTCTATTTCAGGGAGAGCTGAATACATCTTCTCTTTATTTCAACACGGAGTTAATCAATAGCTGTCCAGCTGAATGGCCCGGGAGTGGCCTATCAAGACTGTGATGTGGGAAAGGGCAATGTCATTTTTTTCGGGAGTTGAAAGACTCAAGCAAGGCCCTGAATGGAAGATCCAAGAGCATATCGCCTGAGCCTTCAGATCTATGTCTAAATTCTTTAAAAATCCAAATTGCAATGGCTCTAGTTCCGACGCATCTCAAGCCTAGAAAGCCTGAGACTTATCGAAGCATAAAAGTGGGTGTTGCAGACTGCGATAGCGGAGCGGATGGGAATAACGTCAAAAATGGTCTAAAGTGTGGGAAAAGGACTTCAAGGGCTTTTCTGGAACTAGCAAAACTTGGATCACAATTTTAGGGTCGCTACCAAATACATTACCAAAAATTACAACGGGGGCTCCTCCGGATACACCCTAGCAATATTATTGGAGTGAATATTTTTCCACCTACCTGGGCAGCGATTATATGTACTCTGTTTCAATGTTTCCCTCGACTTTATTGATGTGTGCCTCATCTACCATTAACAAACATAGTACATATTGAAGCTTTCAATAGCCCTTTTGTTCACTTGCCACTGTGGTTTCTATCCCTGTAAATCGACCTAAATTCCTGTTGCTAAGATTTTGAATCCTCCCTCTGTCTTTTCAGGTAATTGCATATCGATCGGCTGTCACCTATTTTGAAATATACTCAAAATAGTCTCAACTACCATGGTGAAAGTGTCGGGGTGGTGTAGGTTCCAGAAGCAGAGCCTCCCTGGCACTGGGATGGCACTTTGTTAGCTTTGGAGGCTCCCCAGCTGGGAGGAACAATTTCACTTCTGCGCGCTGCTGCAGTGAGAAAAGCAGCGTAGGACCAAGTGAGATCGCCGGCCGAGAGTGCCGTCCCAGTGTCCCGACTGAATTGCTCTGCCAGAGATCCATTGTTGGGCGTGTATTGTTGAACGATAGAGTAGAATCCATCCGCGTAGGTCTTGACAGCGCTTGTAATAGATGAGTATGTCGACGAAGAGCTAGAGTAGTTTCCGAGTGTAGCGGAGGGGACAAGGTCCTGGAAGAATGGAAGACTGGTCTGGGTGATGGCTAGCGACCCCTGTTTCTTCCACTGATAGAGAGCATCGTACAATTGTTCAGCTGCAGCAAGCGTTGTAAGGTACCTAGAGCAAGAGTTAGTCACATATCAAGTATACAGTAAGGGAATTAGGCATACCAGGGGTTACCACCTTGGTAAGTATCCTCAGGGTAGCGTCCAACAGCAACGGCCTGGCCGGTGGGTTTACCGCTGTTAACACCGTAGATGGCCCGGAAGGAATCGACGTATAGCTTGTGATTAGAAAGTGCACGAGCAGAGCAAGGCTGGAATGTCGTGTCATCACAAGAAGAATTCGGGTCGAATGTCTGAATGGAGCTAAGCACTGAATTGGCATCTAACCCGGAGCGGTTATCACTAGGCAAATTGGAGATCGCGGATGTACCGTTCCAGAAGCCCTGAAGGAAACACAGGATTTGTGGGGCCTGTGAGTCACAAATATCGCATGACTGTCCGAGAGTTGTGGCAAAGGCACTTCCCTCAACTAAGGCACGGTGCTGAGCGGCGACCGTGAAGAATGAGGACCCATCGACCTCCTCCCATAGATCAAAGCCAGTCTGGTTCCAATATTGCGCGACATAATTCAAGTCATTTTGAACAATCGGCCAGATGTTTGTTTTTGCTACTGACTGTTTCCCAGCGCCGACCAAATAGTTGCCATACGCAATGAGAGCCGAGGCACGTAGAGCAGGGCCGTCGCGTTGAGGACGTCCCCAGTCTCCAGTAAATGCTGTCAGATCAACATTGAACTTAGGCTCCCCAAGGCCTGCTCCATCAGATAGACCACCCGACGGGCTCGAGATGGTCTGCACCGTGGCCTGGGCTGTGATGTACTGTTGAATGACGTTTTCTAAAGAGGTGTCTCCAGCCATAAAGCCTTCAACTACCATAGCCAGCGTCAGAGCCGCATCGCGTGTCCATGTATAGAAATCTATTCCCAGTTAGCTTGAAGGTGATAGGGAATGGGATTTTGGAAAAGAAAAACACACAGTCGGGATTCGACTTGGATGGGGATGCCACAACAACGCCAGAGGAGGCACCCGCCACACTACTCCCATTCGCACCGATGTTGTTCAACACCCCCTGAAGGGCAACTGTGGATTCTGACTGGATGAAGCTTTCAAGACTGGATTGACGACGAGAAGGGTGAACGACGGATGATGTCACTGCTGGCAGTAGCGACGCTAGCAATGCAAGGGTCCAAGTGTTGTGGCCTAACATGATGAAGTGGAAGTTCTATGACAAGACTCTTAAACCCCTGAGATCATTTTATCTTATATATTCTCCAGAACTGAGTAACCTCACAATCGCAGACTGGATCATGCCCCAAGGGGAATGAAGAAGTGAAACAGGTGCTTTCTGTGCATCTTATTGGACAGAGGCATGTCGATCATCAAGGATGTGGCTCATCGGTCGGAAATTAATCGATGAATAGTCGCTCCGAGTGGACTGGAGCAGACTAGAATCGAATTGGGAGACCATCATCCATTGGATCATAAGTAAATGAGCTTTGAGTGTAACCTCGGGGCAGCCGATGGTGAAGTGAACGAACGACCTACGCCGATCGAGGACCCGCCCCGATAAAACCCCGTGTCCGAGGTCGATCATTTGGGTCCCTTCTTCATGCAATCTGACACAAGTAAATTATTGAATCTAACATCGTGACCGAAGGAGGCTAATTCACTCCTACAGCGCTTGGCATCAGCCGGGGAAAACACGGAGGTCCGTGGCATTGCAATGTTTTGAAACAACATATAGTTTATTAGTCCGTGTTCGATCATCAAATAAGAGTTTAATGGTAGCCAACAGGGTAGTGAATCAGGTCTCTCAAAGTGCCATTCGGAATTATTCACCCTGTCCAGTTACTCCTGCATGCTGGACATGTGGCAGCATGAGCTGCTTCCAGCCACTGGTCGATGCAATGTTTGTGGAAGTTGACTCCACATCGTGCCTTGCACCAATCCAGCTCTGTCTCTTCACCTGCCGTTTCAACCATTTCATCGCATTCATCCTCTGTGTCCTCATCTTCATCCTCATTGTTTTCCCCTTGTAAAGTCTTCAAATCACACAGGCAAATTCCACACTCTCCCGCAACTTCCCGACGAATGACAGCAACAGAACGAGAGGCTCGAACAGGGGCCTGTCGAGCTGCAGCAGGATCGTATCGACTCGTGTCTTCATCGGAGATCCAAGCCACATTTGATACGGTCGCTGGCCTTGCACTTGACGGAGGAAGCAAACTCCCCTGGCGGTCAACGTGGAGTTGTACTGGCCGAGGTGTCGTGTTCGCTGGCCGATTGACTGATTCTGTCGTCTGTCTTGTCACTGAGCTATTACTGATGATGGCAGAATGAACATTTCTGGTATGTGAGCCGCGAACACTAATTGAAGCAACATCCGCGCTTGTGTGCCTAGCATCACGATCGCCGGCAGGGCTTGCATTAAATGTTGGCTCATCCAGAGCCGCCTCGAGGTGTCTGAGCTCTTCCATGGTGTCACGAAGCCTTCTGTAGAGAAGCGCAGTACGCTCCTCCATATTGCCGTGAGTAGTTCCCGGATAGGGACTTCTGGATGATCGACTGGTCTGCCGTTCAGCTCTTATCGAAGAGGCTGGCGTATCGAGGAACGAGCGAACTTTTCTTTGCCAGCGTCTTGCCAAGCCAGAAGCTTGACTTTGATGGAATCGTGTGCATAGAACATGAGGGGCCAAATCTTCCAGCAGTTCGTCGATGCAGCGACCGGCCCGAAGGTCTTTGGTGCCCTGGTGAAGAAGCGCCATTGCTGAACTGCGACCGCATGCGTTTGTGCGGGCGTGGCAGCGACGGCCCTGTGAGGGAGCGTAGCCGGCACACCATGGCTCTTTCTCTGGCTCGAGTTTGATGATCTCGAACAGAGACGGCAAGGCTGGACCTGCTACGAAGGAATGTCTCGATGGCATTTCAAGTCTATTGCAACCTTGAATGAAGGCTTGGTCGGGATTTGCTGCACTGTACAAACAATGTCTCCAATGAAAATGGGTTTATAGGCGTGAAAGAGGAGATCGACTGCTTCATATTTAAGTTAGGCCGTGCAAGGCACAGAGTTTTGGGAAACATCCCTGTAGGTTGCGGGAACTGCTTAGCCACAATATTGTGGCACGGCTCTTAAAAATAGAAATAATATCGCGCCAGGGCTGGTGAAATGAGAGGATATATGAGGACAGATACTAATCAAGATTGGTGGTCCCTGGGTAGCAGGCATGAGAAACAGACGGATTGGGGCTGTGCTTGCATTTGGGCTTGCGATAATGAGGGGTTGTTGGTTTTCCGTTGGTTCTCAGGGCCACTAACAGGCTCCTACTCTAGAAAAGCACAAGCTCGCTGCATGGGACTTTTGTTCTGCGAGAGATGCGTTACTAGCGCTAAATATTAGAGTGCTTTGTTTCTTTCTCATTGGCTGCTGATACCAAATTAGGTGGACACCTGCGTATGAAAACCATAGGAATGCGGACCGCCTTGGGGCCAAAACAGGGGACCACCCGGGTTCAATCAGAGACTGGCAACTCCATTACGTCAAAAATTATACGATTGGATGCCATTCCTTCTTTAAACCAGTCACTAACAGGCCCAATAGGTTGACCTGGGATGAAACCTCAACTGCATTATGACTCGCTCGTGCTAACGATCTCGAAAATAGCATATCTTCGTCGAGGATGAGTATTACGTGAACTTTACCTTGTTTCAATTACTGAAAGAGATGTGATTCCATTTAGATTCCCCTATCCCTACAGTTTATATGCAAAGACTCAAGCCGATATCATAGGACTTCCACAGATGCAGTGAATGATATGAAAATGAAAGAATCAAATCGCACCAGGGACCTAACCAGGTTAGTTCGAAGACTCAGCAGGGCAAACAAGAAATGAAGATGTGCTTAGCCTCCTAGGCATAAGTGCATGTATTGTTGAAGTTCAAATCTGAGAAAGCAGCAGACCACATCACGATTCTACGGAAGACACGAGTGCTGTTGCCGCCGTACTGGTGGACAATTTCTGCGAGAGCATTTAAGTTAAGAAGGTACTGAGAGCCGAGGTGGTGCCGTTATTGGCGTTGGGGGAAACAGGAAAGCCAGGGAAGATCTTCGCGTTGGAAAATGGCGTGTTAACCATTTTTAGGCCCACTGGTTGAAATTTGGGTTGGGCATAGCTTATACACCTTGACATTGATTGAAATTTCTGAAGCCATAGCTTGACATAAAAATAAGGTTACACTGGGATACTATAGGGCCGGTCAATAGCTTTACTGTATATTCATTTGCGTCATACGACGAAGTGAATGCATTGGCTAATCGCCGTGAGAAAAGGCTCTGGCCTTTGGCCAATCAGAAGGAGATTAATCTATCGTCCATGTGCGTGTTAAGCAATTCAAACCCCTCTTGATCCGGAATTCCAAGTTGGTTTGGAACGGATTGAAGCCAGATATGCATTTCTTGTACACGCTTTACGACAATTTTCGAGCTACTTTTAGAAATTTCGAGACGAAGAATATGCAAGGTTGTTTTCGGGTCAGCTTGGCAAGCTAGGTAGTGTATTTTAAGAGATTCCAGAATCAGTCAGTCCAGTTATTTGCTCGTTTACTCAGAGCTGACTATATTCAAGATCACCTAAATTTTCTCCCTGAATCTGTGAACCTTGGCATTATTCGTAGTGGTTTGTCAATAAGCCACACCAGTGATGCTAGAAATACCACGTAGAGTAGGCTCAATTGATATCAAAGGCATCTCGCTTTTTCGAATGCCTGGACCCGCTTTATCTCAATCAAGATGAGTGGCAGCATCGTGAGAGAAATGAAACCAAGATGAAAATACGCCCAGCCATATCCTAGGGTATGGGTCGCTTTCTCAATGACCGAGACCAGAATGGCTGCCAACGAGAAATGAACAATATTTGTCTATGGCGGACGTCAGTTGAACAGTTGAATAAATTTGAAGGATAAGGAATGAAGCTTACGCATGCGATAACGCCGGAGCTTTGCTTCTTCACAATGTCAATCATTAAAATCAATATCGCATTTAGGATAGAGATGGAGGTCCATCCCACTGAGAGGGTAAGCAAGGGGTCTTGCATATTATTTAGATCTAAGTATTTGAGACATTCAGCACTTACCTGCTATTTGAAGAACCAAAGGGCGAGCAATGGACAACTTCTTGTCCAGGCACCACCCCCAAGCGATAGAACACCCGACGAAAACAAGGAGTTGCAACGGCATCGACCGGAGACGGGCATTCTCAAGAGGAAAATCTTCCATACCTGTCGAATCATCTACCATCCACTGGTTTCTGTTGTTGAGGTATACCCTTTTGATTCTTGTGTAGTCATAGTCGAAGAATTTCCCAGTGAGAGTCGAGCCAAGAATCGTTCCAGCCCCAGTCGTCAATTAGCAGAACCCAATGGATGCCTCTGATAAAGATGGGTAAATTTCGGCGAATGAGGAAGAGATCGTGGCTGTGATGGTATAATTCACAACATAGATGATTACAGTGTAGATCAATTTCAAAGCAATGTCAGGATAGATTAAGAGACGAAATGGATTCAATGGCGCTTTTTCTTCTTTGATCCCTTCGAGTTGACAGTGCTGGGAAGTATATATCTGCTGGAAATGGACTTAAAAGACCCGCGAGGGCAACTATGTCGAGTGAGAGCCATTTTCTCCGTTTGATATATATATTGTATGGGGATTGGGAGAATAATGGAAGGGGTTTAATTGTCACGCTAGTCGTGGTCTCAGCGGTGATAGAATCATGCCGCTTCCCATTGCTACCAGGTGGCATGTCGGAGTGGTCGAATAGATGGCCGATTGGGTGGGTAGGACATCCAATGTTGAGCGCCGAGGCACTTCGTTCTTACTTTGTGAAACGACATCTTGTCCGAAAGAGGTCAACATGAAGACCGACCGCAATATTGCCGATAATACAGATGATTTCTGGGATGCGCCCTTATCAAGGAAAGATGGAGATAGTTTAGCCCCTAGGGAGATAAGAGATTACAAGGCCATATATGGTGACCCCGGGCAATCCTTGTCGATAGCGGCAACTTTTGACCCGCAATTTTGTGTAGTGCTTGATCATATGGAATCCGATCGCTCAAGCAGCAATGGAGCAGACCACGGAGGGCCCAGTGAAAAAATTTACAAGACACTCGAAAGCCTGCCGGCAATGTCGCCGACTCCGGACCAAGTGCGTGAATGATGGTCGTGCACCCTGCCAGTCGTGTCAGCAAAGCGGGCAGGAGTATGTATTCCTTCAACGAGGCCAGCCGGACAAAGATCGTGACTTCCGTCGCCCGAGGGTTTACACCTATATTGCCCGACGACAGAGTGGCCCTGTCACGGCTCTCGCTGCGTCGTCAACTGAGCTAGACTCCAGTTTCCAGACCAATGAATCCTTGGCACCGGCACCGGTACCGAGAGTGACAGAAACTCTTTCAAATTCTACCGTTTCTGAACCTCGGGACATTTTACCACCGTTCGAAGAGATGATTGAAGGCGTATACATCTTTACAACGTCCTTCTTTCAGCTCGGCTTTTTACCAAAAATGCTCTTATTTGAACGACTGCGAAAAGATCCCGATTCAGTCAGTAGATTTCTACTGTTCAGCATCCTGGGCATTTCAGCTCGATTCACCCCCTGTCTAGTCAACCGATATGGGGACGGCTCGAGCGCGACCGAGTTATTTCTCAGCCGTGCGGCTGCGCTAGTTCCCGGGCAGATGTATGTTCCGACCCTAGAAGCAACGCAAGGATTCTTCCTGTTGAGTATTGCAGAATGGGGTAAAGGCGACAAGCATCGGAGCTCGACGCACATGGGCATTGCGGTGACCATGGCTGGAAGTCTACGATTACACCGAGAAGAGACCTACCTTTTGCCCGATGATGCGACAGCAGAGCAATTTGTTCATGCGGAGGCAGCGAGGCGAACTTTCTGGATGCTTGAGAGCTACAACAATTTACTTTCTGGTCTCCGCTCTCCCGTTTCAATATCATATGGTGACATATCTGCCTTTTTACCTTGTACGGAGCACGAATTTGCATTTGGGAACTTGACCCAACCCCGTGTACCCCTGGCAGGAACATTGCCTGCTCTTAAAGATCCGTCACTTGCGCATTCTGTAACTCGATCCTTGTTCGCGACTTTGTTACAGACGCATAATCTATGGGGCCAAGTAGCGAGAGTTGTGGGTACTGATACAGGGCAAGATCTTCTCCACGAGGAAGTACGATTGAGCCGAGAGGAATATGCAAGGCTATTGACGGCACTGGATGACTTCGAACGAAATACCCCAGCTCATCATTCTTGGTCGATTTGGAACCTTCGGGGATTCAAAGCGAAAGGACTAGACCTGGCCTATCTATCCGCCGTGATGATGCTGAGGTTGAGTCATATTGTTTTACGCCGAAAATTTCTCCACGACAGGTCAAAATCCGAGACAGGCGATCGAAATTTGCAAACAAGACATTATGTAACCAGCCTAGGATCTGTTACAACAGATTTGTTTGAGAATATGATTCTTCTTCATGAACAAATTGACGCATTCTTCAACTTTCGCTCACCTGACCAGGGCTTCCCAGCCCTAATTGTGTTTTGCGTGTATGTATGCGGCTCTTTGGCAAACCATCTAAATCAGAACCCACACATCTGTCCAAGGAATTCGCCTAGGGCCGAGGAGATTCTCCGAAAATCTTTGGTGGGGCTGGGGGAGCTGCAGCATGCCTGGCCCCTTGCTCGGCGTTGGAACAAGGCACTATGTAGAGCTAGTGCAAAGGCGCCCGACCGGGTGACTGAGAAAACATTGATCGAGCTAGCTGGAAGCCCCCCACTGCATGGAGTATACACACCCGGCAATGAGTTACAACAGCCTTCACCTGGGGGTTTGCCTTGGCTTAATGATCCATTCCCGGCGGACGTGATGCTGATGGAGTTCGAGGCTTATCCTTGGAGCGATATATTTACGGGCACTATGAATCTCGATTTTACAACCTTGGGATAAGAACGGACATTATGACTTCTTCCCATATATCCCTTGCCATGTACCTGAGCTTTTCGACTCTGCTTGTAGACACCGAAGGGCTTCGTATTATTCAACAAAGTTGCAGTGCCGGTACTAATTCGCATTCATTCAATTCAGTACCTAACTACCTATAACTCCTTACCCCCATTTGAGATTCACCATTTTTTTCTAAGATTTTCCATGGCCTCTTCTTCCGAGACAACGTCTGCGTATTTTGCATCGAGGTCGAACAGGTTGGCATTCTGAATTTCAGCTGTGCGATCCCCACAAGCAGAACCGACGACCTTTTAAAATGTTAATTTCCATAGTTTTTCATTGGAAATTGAGCCGATGGAGGATCTGCGTACCATAGGTCTAAATCCGTGCTGCATTGCATCGAGCGTGGTCGCCCTCACGCAACCCGATGTACTCACTCCGCAGATAACAAGTGTATCAACATTGAGGGTCTGAGAAATCGTTAATTGGAAAGTTGAGACCAACTGGTTCCGTAGATAGTACGACATACCTGCAGTTCACTAGCCAATGTTGTACCAAAGAATGCACTCGCGTATTTTTTCACGACAACAGTGTCCTCGACAGCCGGTTCAAGGCCATCCATATAATTAGCCAGGCCCCTGGTATCACCCTTCAGCCAAACATCTAGGGGCTTTGCCTTGAGCCAGAACAACCCTGCGTCCGCCATGTCTGGTCTCAAATATTTCACCTCGCTCCAAGCTACGGGAACTTCCCCTTCTCTCGCAGCGGATAACAAATGTCTCATGGAGTCTGGAGCAGCTTCTGCAGCTTTGTTCCCTAAAAGAGAAAGAGGAGATCCCTCAGTCCAGTACGCCTTGCAGACGTCGATGATGAGCAATGCTGGTCTTTTACCCCATCCCATGCGATTTGAGAAGCCGGAACGGGCATAAGAAGTTGACGAAGCGTGTAGAAGATCAGAAGACATGGCTTCAAAGTTCACTTTGTAAAGTAAAATATCAAGAACTGGGCATACAAACACAGCCCGGATGCATGTTGGCAGACATCAAACTTGAAGCGGGGAAACAGCACACTATCTTGGCCGATAAGGCTGTTTGCCTGCCCCAGTCGCCTATCACATAGTTACCAGGACATTTCATTCCCCATCTTCATGTCAACTGTTCAAACCCAGTTTATAGTGGTCCGATTCATGACACTAAAAATTGACTGGGTGATATTGTATAACCAAGGGTAGATGTATCGAGTAGAAGACTCTGGTCTCTTTAGCTCATAAACAGCAGCTCCTTAATTCTATCTGATCGCGGAGTGATAACGCAGGGAAAGCTATCAGGAACACCACTAAGTCCATTTGAGAAAGTTACTCGCGGCTTGATCCTTCTGCCATTTTCATCAACAGGGCATCGTAGATCCATAGTTGCCAGCAAAGTCGCGACAACTATATAGACTCCAGCGAGAGCTAGATGTTGCCCGGGACAGACCCTCCGTCCAAATCCAAATGGCCCTTCAGGGACAGGCTCACCCTTTCCACCTTCGGTACGGGAAAGGTATCGGTCCGGATCAAAATCATCCGGCGATGAGTAAACGCCTTCATCCCGCGACATGGCCCAGGCATTAGCAAATACCACTGATCCGGCTGGGATATGGTAGCCACGATAGGTATCGTCGGCAAGGGAAGCATGAGGCACACCAAGGGGAGACAGCGGGGCCCAACGTGTCGTCTCCTGAATGATATTTTCCAGATACTTTAGCTGTGCACGATCCTCGAAATCAGGTAATCGAGTGATATCTCCATTTTCGTGTACTCCCACCACGCTGTCTATCTCCTTCTGCGCCTTGGCTTGAATTTTCGGGTGTGTCATGAGATTAAGAACGCACACAATCACGGTCGACCAAGTGGTGTTGCCACCCGCGATTGAAATGGCCCCAGCGGCACCTTTCAGGTCGGCAATGGTCACTTCATTCGGCTTACCAAGGTTCTCATTTGAAAGAAATCGGCCGAAGTGGTTCAGCATGAAAGAAGGTTGAGTAGCCTTGCCGGACCGAATAGACGCCTCGGTTGCATCCCAAGGTGCATCGTGCAGCTGTTGAATGCTGGGTTTTGTGCGGCGAGCATGAGCAAGCGGCTGAAACGCAGTTGATATTTTCTCGACGATGCTTGGAAGATGGCGCAACACAGGGAAAAAGTCGACGATCGACGCTCCCGGGACACCACCTTTCCCAGTGGCTTCTTCGACGTCAATGGCCATTTGGACATAGGGATCATTCTCTTGCTGAATATCGATCCCGAACCCAATGCGCAACACAACGGCAGTGGAAAATTGTCGTAAGAGCACTTCCCAATCTTGCGGCTTGTAAAAAATGGCTTTGACAGCCCGTCGGGCTTCCTCTTGTTGGATGGGTCGATACGGCTTACAGGCCGATTGGGTGAATGATTGCTGAAGGAGCTTCCGATGGAGCTTGAATCGAGGAGACCACCGAAGAAAAGTAAGGGTGACGCCCCATCCCATCACTTCGAAAAGAACGAAGCGCGGGCGATCGGCATAATTCGCGCCTTTCTTGTCTATCAGGTCGCGGGCTGCTTCAACGCTGTTGATGACAATCATGGGGCGACCGAGAACATTGAAATAGAGGAGATCGGAACTGTACTGTTTGCCCCATTTGACGAACTGCTGTTCTGGGTGATCTTTGGGAATGACTTGTAAATGACCCCAGATTGGATTTCCCGGGGGTCCGGGGGGCAAAGGCAGACGTTTCCTTAGATTATTGGCGTGCTTACTGTATAGCACCCCGATCATGACAACCAGGAGGGCAAGGCCAACAAGGGTCGGCGATGGGAATGTCGGGAGGTCCATGGCCATTGTCTGATGGAAAGAGACCGTACAATAGGTGCATGCGAATTTCAAATGCCTTTTGAAGGCTGGAGATGCCCGGGGCAAGGGAGCTCTGATGATTGGTGCGTATCCAGCTCAGCTGCGGCTGCACTTCACTGCATTCGAAACCAGAGACCCCTCACCTACCTTGAAGGCGGCAGGATAGAGAGATCGACCCTATCGACAAACACCGTAATACAAGCAGTCTGCCTGCCGGTAGCCTGCCGGAGCCAGTTTGGTTAGTCGCGAGATAAGGAGCAAAGACGCGGCCAAAGGTAGAGAGCGGGCCTTCCCTAAAAGGTTGAACACCTTGACGGGATCCCCATAGACAGTTTATTCGCAGCTTACTCTCCACGTTATTCACTACCTAGGTATAGATATGCCTCCTCTACCTGGTACATCCGCAACAGCCCCGTTCGCGTCCACGCCGACAGAAGCAGATCCCTATTTGTATCAAGTGGGCTTTGGAAACCAGTTTGCATCGGAAGCAATCCCGGGCACATTGCCAAGAGCTTGCAACACCCCCCAAAGATGCAAATACGACCTTGTATCAGAACAGCTTAACGGCACGCCCTTTGTGTCTCCGCGAGCTTCTTTGCTCCATGCGTGGTTCTATCGCATCCGACCGTCTGTGGTTCACAAAAAGCTAAAATCATTACCGAAGAACCCGGACATCGAAGCCAACTTCTCTCCCAGCAACGAGAAGGTCACTTTTACCCCGCATGATTTGGGATGGGATGCATTTAGCATTCCTAAACCATCGGACTCGATTGACTTCATCCAGGGGTGGAAGACTATCAGCGGCCACGGCGATCCTGCTTCAAAAGAAGGCCTGGCAGTCCATATCTATACGGCCAATTCATCTATGACCAACAAATCTTTTTGTAACAATGATGGGGATCTTCTAATCATCCCACAAGAGGGGAGATTGGACATTCAGACAGAATTCGGACGCATAATGGTGCGTTCCGGCGAGCTTCTTGTGATCCAGGCCGGCATGCGATTCACAGTTGGCCTGCCGGATGGCACTGCGCGGGGGTATATCCAGGAGATCTTCGGCAGCCACTACGAGCTTCCAGAATTGGGCCCGGTCGGGTCGAACGGCATGGCCATGCCTCGCGATTTTGAGACCCCAGTAGCCGATTTTGACATCGACCAGTCCAAGTGGCAGGTTGTCGTGAAGCTGATGGGAAACCTATTTGTGTATGAACAAGATCATACCCCCTTCGATGTTGTCGCATGGCATGGGAACTACGCTCCATATAAATACGCCATGGAAAAGTTTATCAACACCGCCACCGTCGATCGGGACCAGAGTGACCCTTCAATCTACTGTGTACTCACAGCGAAGTCGAAACGATCGGGAGTAGCCTTATCTGAATTCTTAGTATTCACTCCAAAATGGGGTGTTACGCGCAATACCTTCCGACCGCCATATTATCATCGGAATGTGGCGACAGAAATCATGGGCATGACTTACGGAACATGGTCGGGGTCTGCCACCTCGTTACACCCTGGCAGTCTCACCTACGAGCCAAGCTACATGCCACATGGTGAGTCGTTTGAGCGATGGAAAGAAGCTACCAGCATGGACTTGAAACCTCAACGGATCGGCGAAGGAGCAATGGCATTCATGATGCATATATCATCTCATGTTTCCTTGACAGAATACGCACTCGAACGCAGTGAGAAGCTGCAACACCAGCCGGATGAATTTTGGAATGATTTCAAGGGCGGATTCATGGACCATTTGGACGAAGTGAATGCAGATTTAGAAAATGCTGGTCGTTCTGGGCTGCAAGTGGAGCATCGCCAGTGATTTTGGGAATTTGGAACAACTTTGGCAACTTCGAATTCAATAACGATCTATTGTAAGATTCAAGTGTTTGCATATGTCAAGTTTCTCAAGTACACTTTGACAACTTTGCATGATCGTTCAAACATCCTTTTCAAATGCGAGGTCCAATCCACCAGAGGTTCTTCCAAATACTATAGTTTTCAAATAGATACTCTCCAGCAGGGCACTCCAGGGCTGGGGGTTAATTCATTACCGGATGCCCTGAAAACAATTTGGCCAGAGGGCCGGAGGACCTTGGCAACCCTGGGTAGGAACGATACCGTTCCGAGACCTCGGGGCGTCCTATCTCCTCGGCAGGCAATCGGCTCTTATCGCATCTCTCCATCAACGTCTGTCTCAAGTTAGCCAGCTACTAGGGGCAAATGGAATGCAGTCTATTTCAAAACGGAGCTCCCCACATAAGCTGCATTCCCTCTTTCTATCTTTCCTTGGAAACAGTATTGGGGATCCACATCTGCCATGAAGAAATCCACGGAGAAACCGCCAGCGACGGCATGCTACACCGATGTTGCTACAGCCGAGCTGCAACATGATCGCTCCCCGAGAGCATGGCTATTCAAGATCGCATCTTTGGGTGTCGAGATGCGAGGTATCGCCCCAGTGCCTCTGCAAGAGCGATCGGACAAGCGCTATATCAATGTTTTCTTCGTTTGGCTCACCATGAGTACAAATTTGCTTCCGTGAGTCCATCTATTATTCTACTATAGATTGAATTCCATTTGTTCACATCGTTTAGAATCGTGACTGGAATGGTGGGAACGCTCTCATATGGTCTCAGTCTTAGAGATTCTTCCCTTGTCATCTTGTTCTTCGGCTTATTCTGTACAATCCCACCTGCCTACCTAAGCACATTCGGTGCCAAAACCGGACTTCGGCAAATGCTACAGGCACGCTTCACTTTCGGGTACTTCCCCCTCATCAAATTCTTCTTCACAGGGTCTGATTAGCTGAAAAAAATCTAATTATTTTGCAGCTACTACCTTGTATCTATAATCGTCATGCTGAACCTCTGCACAATAGCCGGCTTTGGGATTATCGATTGTGTACTCGGGGGCCTGACTTTGGCCGCTGTCTCAGATGGTAATATCAATGCGACCACAGGAATTGTGATCATAGCTCTGTGTGGTATGATAATCTCTTTCGGCGGATACCAGTTTTTGCACCAGTTCGAGCGGTATTCGTGGATCTTTGCCCTTGTCGCTATCGTGATTGCTACTGGTATCGGCGGTCATCATCTTTCCACGAATGCCGTAACGGAGCCACCAGCGGCTGCAACCATTGTCTCATTTGGAGGTGTTATTGCTGGTTTTTTGATTCCATGGGCGGTTTGTGACCCTTGTGTATTCTATTGCCCCATTGGAAACTAACATAGCACAGGCAATGGCCTCTGATTTCGCAGTGTATTGTGACCCGAGCGTTTCTGGAATCCGCATTTTCTCATACATTTACGCTGGGCTATTGGTTCCATCCGTCCCCTTGATGGTCCTCGGTGCAGCAATTGGTGCAGCTGTGCCAAATATTCCGTCTTGGTCGGCCGGTAACACTGACTATAGTGCGGGTGGAGTTTTGGAAGCAATGCTTCATCCTGTCGGGGGATTTGGCAAGTTTGTTTCTGTTCTCCTCGCATTTTCCCTCTTAGGAAATCTTGCAGCCGCCATGTACTCCATCTCGCTGAACTTTCAGCTCGTCATTCCCATCATGGCACGTGTCCCGCGTCTGTTATTCACCATCATCTACACAGCGGTCGCCATTCCAGTTTCCATTTACGCCGCAAACTCTTTCTTTGACAGTCTGGAGAACTTTCTCTATGTCATTGCATATTGGTCTGCGGCCTTTGTTGGCGTTGTCATGACGGAACATTTTGTCTTCCGCAACGCTGACTGCAACCAATACAACCCGGGAGACTGCGATAACTCGAGCAAATTTCCGACTGGAATAGTCGCAATAGCGGCCATCAGGCTTTCATCTGGGTCAATTGTTCCATGTATGAGTCAGATATGGTATACAGGACCGCCCGCCGAGAAGACGGGATATTGGAATTGAAATTGCTCTCGTGCTTTCGCCTCTGCTATATCTGCCACTTCGCTCTATCGAAGTGAGATTCCGAAATTCTTGATTCTTTTTTTTAACTTATATATTCTTAACAACTTGGCCTTCTCAATTTTAAGTATTCTACGGTAGCTGATGGAATTGAACCAACTCCGAGTTGAAAACAACTAATCAGGGCAATTCGCACGACAGTATTTTTGACTAAGGTACCTCGTTCCTCTCGATGAGCTTGGTCATATTCAAGTGGCATTCGAACCCTCCGCGGAGTCCCGATTATCAGCCAAAACATATCCCTAGGGTGGGTGCCCATTACTAACGGAATACCAGTCATGTACGAGCCAAAGCAAGCTTCCTGAAACTTTGCCTGCTTGACAAGCTGAGGAATCTAGCCAAGGAATTCTTTCATCGGGCAGAATCCATTGACCGACCCATGCAAGCTGACAGGCCGGTTCATGGTAGGGGAGCTTTTTCAACACCAAACAAACCTATCGTTCGGTGTCGGAAAGGAGTAGAGCCCGGTATATATGCATCTCTTTCTCTGTTCTCATAGACTGCCCGATATTGAATAAGATTTCGGAGAAAGCAAAGTCTCCAAGGATCTTGCCGTAAAACTAGACTAAGTCGGAGGGATTAAATATGCCACGGTTCCTATGCTATGATTCTTATGCCATATCCACTGAGAATGAGGTAGATTTAGGAAGGAAATAAAACTGCCAGGGCGTAAGAGATCAGAATTTCCATGGTCTAATCCTATAGAAGAGTCAATGTCAGCACAGGCATGCCGCCCGAGGCTAACCTCTTTTAAGACAAACTTTCAAAAGCTTGACCCCTTTTCAGATAAGGCTGAGCCGCCCCCACCAAAGTTTCCACGGTCCGTCCTTCTGCTATTTGTGCTTTCTTAGAACCTCCAACTTTCATTCTTCGAGTGTCGGTGCCATGCTTGGCTTTATTGTTTTGATTAGCTTAGCCAAGCAGTCGCTTGCCCAGTCTGACTCGACCGCTCTCGAAGGATGGCAGTTCAACGACAACTCACGCTCAAGTTGGGATATTCTCTGGACCTGTCTTTCAACAATATTTGCATGTACATGGACAGCGCTACATCTGTCCGTTCCGAAACGAGATCAATCTGACACTGTGTACACCATTGGGAAGCTTATAGCCTGGATCGGCGCTGTGCTCGCTCCAGAATTAATGGCTGGGATTGCGGCTGAGGAGCGATGGCGGGCGAGAGCCATAGCAGCGCGCTGCAATGCTGCATTTTACAGGCTATCTGATAAGTCAAGCAAATCGAATTCTTCGCCCCTGAAGACTCTCAATATAGAGGAACATAATATTGAACAGAGAGTTGACGGAGAAGGCACGTCACATGTGGACGAAGATACTTCAAATCAGCAGAAAGAGGCCTCAACAAAAGAGGAGGTGCCTTCAAATGAAGATGAACCCACTTTACCCACTGTTCGTTGGTCTACTGTTCAGGGCTTTTGTCTGGCCATGAATGGTGTTCTTCTTCAGACTAAAGATGGTTGGACCTATCCAGTGCAACCAAACAATGTTATTCCATTGATTGAAGCCGGTGTTGTGAGCCCTCTCCACCTGAGATCCCGCGATATCAAAGACCGCGCCAAAGCCGATTCCTTTGCAAAAGGATTTACCTTGCTGCAAAGCTTTTGGGTGACGTGTAACATAATTGCAAGACGGGCATATGAATTGCCGATCTCGCCACTTGAATATTCGACCGTGGCTTATGTTGCCTGTGCTATTGTTACTTATGTAACATGGTGGCATAAGCCGAGAGACATGACGACGCCAATCCTCATATTCTTGCCATATGACAAAGATGGTACGGACATGCCACTCAAAATCAGGAACACCTTGAATGAAGGCCACGGATCCTGGGCTCGTTTAACGCAGGGCGATGTCGAGGACGAAAATTCAGAATTGAGACACCTGATCAAATCGACAAGAGCAGTGGGAACTCTTCTTAGTCTACCATTTACCTCAGAAGGGCGGAAACTTCTGACTGAGACATGTAAGCAGGGGTATAGAGATGGAAAAGAAGAAGAAGGACTGAGTGATGACACATCTCTCAATAATGGCAACCGCCAAGATGAAGAAAATCCTAGGCCATCGCCTCCCAATAGTAAGCCACAGGAACGCACCAGCAAGGCCAAAAACCCACAAGAGCCAGTGGCTTTGGCGGCTTACCTCAATCTCACGCATCTCTATATGTTTGTCGGACTACTTTTCTGTGGAGTACATATTGCTGCGTAAGTCTCACAATCCCTAAATTACCCAAGACCTAACTTAATTCCCTGAATTAGTTGGAACTCGGAATACCCAACAAGAGCCGAACAAATTGTTTGGCGAGTTTTTTCGCTCTCTGCATTTTGTGTGATCTGGCCGATTTATCTGGTACACATTTGGATATTTTATCGTGTCTACCGTAAAACAGGTGACATGAATACGCTTGTAGAAGCTGTCGATGTTATCTCAGGTCGAGTCCTGATTTTATGGGTTGTTTGGTTTTGGATTTACTCGATTGCACGTTGGGGAAACCTCATTCTTATGTTCATTTGCCTTAGGGCTTTGCCGGCTGGCTCTTACGTCACTATAGATTGGCTGTCAACAATTCCTCACATCTAATTCGAAATCTCATCGTCTTTTACTGGAATTTCATCAGGGGTTGTGCCAATTATCATGTAGGCGTACTCTTGAGTGGGCAAGCCAAGCTGTGACTTGGCGGTGTCAGCCTCATAGACGCGTAGCTTCTTCTGCGCGTTGAGTGGCAGAGTAACGCCCTTTGATGAAAAGGCCTCGGCTTGGTGCTGAAGAACCGGGACGCTGGAGTGACGGTTTATGCAGACCCCAGCTAGCTACGGCGTCGACTTGCTCATTGCCGTCGAGCTACGCAACCTACTGGTCCTGCAGGCCGCCGCCGACGTCTCCATCTTCAGTGTCCTGCAGAGTGCCTCCATCGTTTTCTCTGAAATTTTTTGTTTACTTAAATTATGTTAGGTTACAACGTGACGTTCAGAATCATAGATAGTGAATTTGACGTGGGTATTGAAGGATCATTTAAATGGAGAATCTGACAAGGGTAAAGGGCGTCCTTTCCTTGCACCTCATTCCTGATTACGTATTGTCCTCGACCACTGCTCAGGATCGCTTTCTTTCCTGCTTGGGTTTGCCTCGCCTGGTGGTTCGTCGCGATCGGGCATACACATACCGTAGGTATTGTGTCGAAATACGGAATATTGTCACCCAATAAGTGATATCAAGGACACTAATATTCTACGATCCCTAATATACCCACTTTTGCAAGGGAAACATGATAAATGAGTAAATACGAATATCAAAAGGACAGCTTTTCCCATCTACAGAGGTAACCAATGTCCCTTCAGACCAGTAACTACCTGAATTCCTTCATTTCCGGTGTATTTTCGAAAACAGAGAATAGCTTCCTGAGAACTATTCTATTGAATAGCTAATATCCTCGATCTATATTAGACGTACACACTTTTCATATTTCTACCTAGGCGGTAGCTTAGCAAGGCTATCTTCTGTGACCGCCCCCGTTATCACTATGCCAAGATTCGCCCCAAGTCTTTTTGAAACTGGTGGAAACCTGTGGTATTAGCCACTAACATACATGTGGTATCTTAAACTTACGCTCCTATTCCACTTGCAACTCCAAATCATTGACATAGCCTCCACGAAAATGTCTCCCGCCAAAGCTGTCGTCACCGATAAGGCACCAAAACCGCTGCCACAATTCTCTTCTGCGGTCAAATACAATGGCATGGTCTACTGTTCCGGCAGCCTTGGACTTGACCCGAAGACATTTGCTTTTGCGGAGGGTGGAGTGAAAGAACAGACAGTGAGTTTATCGCGGGAATCAAAGCGCACGAGACGGATCTACTGACTTTGACAAAGCGCCAAGCCCTTAAGAACCTCGCTGCTGTTCTAGAAAAAGCAGGGAGTGGTCTGCAGAATGTGGTCAAGGCGAACATCTTTCTCACCAGCATGGACAACTTCAAAATCATGAACGAAGCGTGGGATGAGTTTTTCCCTGCAGACCTTGATCCCAAACCGGTAGGTCTAACCTCTTACCTCCCTTTGAATTATTTCGTAAAGGTGCTGATTCTCATTACCAGGCTCGCACTTGCGTTGCTGTTTACCAATTGCCGCTCGGTGGGGATGTCGAGATTGAATGTACCGCGTTTTTAGACAGCGCTGCGAAACTCTAGACACACCACAATTTGATAGACTAGCTATGTCGATGGCCTTAGTTTCAGTCAATTCAAACGATAGAATTATAGCGATTATACGAATCGTAAAATGTGTGTTTCCCCACACGGAGTGGGGTAATTGTGAGGGGTTCACTGATAAGTGACAGATTACACACAGATTACACACAGATTACAGACACCAACCTGGCAAGTTTGCGATACCGACTCCACCCGCAACTCCGGCACTATTCTCGTGAGGTCAACAGACTCAACCTCACTAGTCAATCACCATACCCCATATATCGCAGTCTGGCAATCTTTCAAGACGCATCCAAGCAGCCCGAACCCCATGCCAAAGATGCAATCGACATCCGAGCCAAGGGCGATAACTGTCATCGGGTAACTATCATCTTGCACCTCAACATTCCAAATTCCCTGAGCACAAAGTTAATTCGCCGCAACAGAGCGGGTGTAATCGGCTTGACGATTGCACTGCTTCTCAGCAAAGATGCGAAGAACAAATTATTCGTCATTGCTGAGTTTATGCCTGGCGACTACGACATTGGATACGCATCGCCCTGGGCTGGGGCCAATTTTTTCCCGTAGGTCTGTCATGGTCTCCGCCAGATCACCTACTAATGGCTCTTCCAGCACGGCTGAACAAGGAACACTGCAAGCACAACTTGAACAAAGCACCTGGAAAGTCTTGAGACATCTGGCCACATCTGTGCCTGAGGCCTGTGTCCACTTCCAAGGTATGTGAGGCACCGATCTTTTTTTCCCTTCTTATCTTGCGAAACAAGAGCAAAATTCCGAAGAAACGTATTAATTTGCCATCAGAAGCTGTTGTGTACACTCGAGAGGAAGATGTGGGCTTGGCTGGACCCTTGTTTGTCGGCCCAGGAAAAGAACCGTGGTGGAAGGACGTAGTTGACGATGTGAGCAGTCCTTTGGTATTGGTGACTTGCAATCTAACACATAATGCTAGTGCCGTGGAGTTCCCTCCGAAGACCTTCCCCGGGGGATTGCCGCGGGGACAAAATTCAAGACGGTTTGCATCAACCCACCTCTTTATCTCTCGTGGCTAGTCTCGGAGTGTCGTCGCCGTGGCGTCATATTCAAGCGCCAAAAGATAATTAGTATTACAGAGGCCCAGGATGCTCAACATCCATGTGGAAGAGCTACAGACATCGTGGTCAATGCAACGGGTTTGGGCTCAAAGTCTCTAAAGGGCGTGGAAGATTCCACCCTATTTCCCGCCAGAGGCCAGACTGTACTTGTTGAGAATGACCCCGGCTACATGATGGCTGTTACTGCTGGAAGAGATGATCGAAAACTGGGATATTGCATGACAAGGGCTGCCGGTAAGTGCCAGATCTGTCGGTGATCCAAGACTCATAAGCTAACACTGAAGTCAGGGGGTGGAACTATCCTAGGAGGATGCTTTCAAAAGGACAATTTTGAATCGTCTGCAGACTTCAATCTTGCGAGTCAGTTCATGAAGAATGTTGTTGATCTCTGTCCTTCAATCGTGAAGCCAGGTCAAGGTGTTGAAGGTCTAAAGATTATTCGCCATGCCGTGGGTCTAAGGCCAATGCGTCAGGATGGTCCTAGAATTGAAGTTGATGATGAAAGTATGGGCGTCATTCACTGTTATGGCCATGGTAGCTATGGTTATCAGACCAGCTGGGCAAGTGCAGAGATGGTGGTTAAGTTGGTTGGCGAGAGTAAACGGGCCCGACAGCCAGGTTTGAAAAGTCTACTGTAACAGCCAACCCATGGTATAGTTCTTTTTTTATAGCTACTTCCATATTTTTCGTCAATTTTCTGCGTACTAAACGCCCCACGGAATGCAAGGGGTCTTTCGTGGATTCAGACAATGGAAGATTAACGAGTAAATTGTATCATCTTGCAATCATCAAAAAACCAAGAACCGGTTTTTTTGGTCCAGGGGGTTCCTCTTGTGATGAACCAAACAGGCCATGTCGGTTGTGTGGTAAAATAGCTAGGAGCCTTCCTTTCGCCCTAGTGGACAGCTAAAGTGCAGCATTGCCCACTCAGTAGCACAAATAAATATCATATTGATAAAGAGATGCAATCCGAAACACAACAGATCGTCCTTAGAGCGATACAAGTAAAGAAGATAATGATTGGTCTTACTTAATGAAAACCAGCAGGCGAAGGCAATTACGAAAGCACCTGGGCATGAGGTCAAGGTCACCAGCCACCTAGACTTCGTTCAGCAGCGGATGTTGAAGGTGACCAGACGCCTTGACCACAATTTTCCCACTTTCAAGAATCAATGCCTTGCTATTGCCTCTAATTTCCTGTCCCAAGAAGGCTCCATGGGTATCTTCAAAATGGATGTCTTTAATGGCTTTCCAAATACCATGTATCTCATCTGGAGGAAGAGGAATCTATAACCGCAATTAGTTACCCGAAGACCATGGCAAGAGTCTGAAAGCTCACAAGGTTTGGATATGACCACATGAATGAAAAAGACGAGGTGCCCGGGAGGCGGTCCACTTTGTAAAGTCCACTCGGAACAATCATAATAGTGTCGGCAATGAACAGCTTTTTAGTCGATTTCCACCATAGAACAGAACTCCCAGGGAAATGCCCTCCCGTCTTAATTGCCATGAGGTCTGATTCACCTTGAGCTCCATTGGGGTCGGGAGAAAGAAGGGGGAGTGTTTGTCCATTCCAAAGCTTTAGCCTTTTGCCATCACCTCTATTTCCAACCCACTGTTCATCTTCCGCGGAAATAAATAGATCACAATTGAACGCCTCGGCCCATTGAACACTGGTGGAAAAGTAATGAGGATGCGAAATCACGATGGCGCGGATTCCACCCAGAGATTTCACATGCCGAATTGTTTCCTCGTCGAGATAGGTGATACAGTCCCATAGAACATTACCAGAAGCCGGACCGCTAAGACAGAGAAATGCTCTCTGCCCAATACCCAGTTTCGGAACAGTATGTATGGTAATTAAGTTGGGATTGAATGGGTCAGTCGTGAAGACATTGCGATAGTTTTCCTTTGCTGACTGTAAGCTTCTGAGAGATGTCCAGGATTGACTGATATCCAAGTTAGATTCACGCAGTTTACCCGAAGAGATGGAATACTCACCCGGTTGGAGGTACATATTGACGTGGATCGTCACAGATCTTGCACGAATTCAACCCCGCACTAACGTCGTACTGAACACCACAAGTAAAGCACACCAACAGATCTATGGTTGAGAACGACATGACTTCCGTGTGAGAATATAAGATGGAGCCTAGAGAATTGACGACTTATGAAGAGAGCATTAGGCTACTATCGAGCGTTCTTGGGGCTGGGATCTTTCTCCACCTCCCAGGGGCCATGTAGAGGCCACGATGACGTTATCGGCACTACCCGAATGTGATGAATAGCGGGGGAGATAAGCTAAACACAAACACGAAGCCTGCCATCATGGATAGCGCACTCTTCTCGGGACCATCCGTGATGTTGGTTTATGGTGTTCAAGAAGGCGAGGGAATCCATTTTGAGCTCCGATCTAATCCCACACTTCCATCTTGGACGTCTATATATGTTGATATGGGAATGACTCGATGGCAGTCTGGCCCTGCACATTGGACGATACCAATAAAAGGAACACACACAACCACTGCCACCCCTAGTGAAGGGGTGGATATCGGAACACCCTTAATGCTATATCATAAATCAAAAGAAATTGCTGAAAATGTAGTCATATTCGGGTAGTTGCCTCTCTACATCTCTCCCTTCTTGAAAGAATGCCGCCCCCCGACGAGGCATATAAGACACCTCAGGCCGCGATCATGCTACTGTCACACGTTCCACCACTACAATATGTAGTCGAGTGGGAATTTCGTTCATTTCAGGGCATCCCTGGTATCTGCTTTGAAGCGGCAATGGGAGTAACATAGTCCTGACGTCTAGTCACAAATAACTCCACCGCAATTGGAATCTTGGTGTCACGAAGACTACCAGACTTAATCTGGGTGACGCCTGGCATTCCATCGGGCTGGGAATAGAGACTGGTTCCGCAGTCTATACTCATCAGTAGATATACTTAATGAATATTGATAATATATTGAACTTACCACCACAGAAGAACAGATGATGCCCTTTGCCTGATGTGGCATTTTCGAGTCCACTTCTTCGGGGACCCCTTCGTCACCGAAAACTTGGTAGTTGGAACAGCGAAATTAGAAGAGAAAGCACTACCGCCCCATTTCTGGCATTCAGTGCAGTGACAAATGGCTGTCAGAGCGGGTTCCCCTGCATTACAAGGGTTAGCTTTCGTGGGCCTTCGTGCGGGATGAAAGGATAGAGACTTGCCATTGTATTCGAACGCCACTTTGCCGCAAACACAGTCTCCGAAGCCAGGCATTTCGGAATCTTTTTAATAATAATAATTTGAATACTTTTTGATTATTGTTGTTTGAGAATGTGAGGCGGTGGAATGATGGGTGTTCTCGACGGTCGGCCGCAAGGTATTTGTAGTTCTAGCTGGACCTTGATTCCATATCATTGAGCCTTTCTACATTCTGTATCCTGATTTCTCTTGATTCCAATGTATACATATTACAATGCATGTGGAATCATTCTATTTTTTCCCCTCTTAGGATGATACACCCATTGCGCTGCATCTTTGGAATCATTTTGGACCCACTTAGTCATCGGTGTTGTCCGATGGTGCGATCGTATTATAGAGGAGAAAACAGTACATATGGAAACACCACGTCTAGACGCCCTTGTTTGCATTGACTTTGCGTGAGGATAGTAGATCGTTCCTTTGGCAAGTTACAAGAATTTGATTGGTGGCCATATCGGGTTGACTATTGTAAAGTCTCATCCAGAAGCCTCTCAAACTCATCATCTTCCATGAATGCCCCGAACCTGTTCATGTGAGCAAGAAGAACTAGATGGGAGCAGTAAGTAAATGCAAATTTGACTTACCCAACGCATTTCATATGTGGAATCATGGCAGATTTCAACATACTCAATTTACCGTTCGGCAACTGAGCAACATTGTATCGAGAAATAATTTTATTCCACGCTTGCACAGGTGTAATAAAACCTTCCAACCCAAGAGATCCAGATAGCTCGAAGAGTTTATCTAGTTGTTGAGCGGGAATCTCCCACGAAGTTCGATCCGGCAGATTCTGAGGAGCCTCTGCAAGTAACAGGCCCTGCATAGACATAGCATGGCCAGATGGTTCATCATCACTGAGAGAGCGCGTGTGGAAAAGACAAGGCCGTTCCAGACTGCAAGGTTAGATAATTGGATGAATATATGGATGGCCAACTCACGATAAGACGAAGTCAACGCCCATCTGCGCGAATTCCCTGCTGTCGGAGTAGTATGATGATCTAAATGACCTGGTCAGATTTCTCTAAGCTAAACACTGATTGGACGCTCATATTTTTGGCATACCTTAGTTCTAGAGACTCGGCTGACTCTTCAAGTGACAATTGAGGGCCTTGGTCTATGCCTTTGTCTGGATTAGGCGGAGAGCACAGAGCGTTGAGATCAGATGATGGACATTCAATACTTGGCAATCTGACTTGTAGATGTTGATCAAAGCTACTGTCGCTTATTATAGTGACTTCGGCCAATGCCGATTGCCGCGACTGAATATGGGGTGGCAGGGGAATCGAATGGCGAGTCATGATGTCCTTGAGAATTTCATTTTCATGTTGAAGGCCCTTTAATTCGTCCGCCTGTGTGAGTAGATTATATAGTCTGTGAAGTTCGTTTTCAAGCAAGCGACAGCGCTTTTCTTTCTGGTCGCGATGTTTTCTGGTAAGACGTCAGTGAGAATTGCTACCTATGTCAGGTTAATTGACTTTTGTGCGCGCTTCACTTGCTCACGACGTCGATCGTATTTAGCTTTCGAGTAATCGGCTGTCCTTGAGCTTGGCGAGGATCCTGGCAGGCAAAGCACGCATTAGATCAATGATTCCAAAGCTTCCGCTCTTGTAAGGCAGTCTCCACCGAAATATTCGTACCTATGAGAACTGGGTCTTCTTTGCCCATCTCTTTGAGCTGCTGCAGAGAGACGCTAGTCCTCTTTTCAACAAGATACGATCAAGGATCGGCTGATTTATCGGTAGAAATACGAGGGATATCTCCTCGCACGCGTGTGTAGACTTTGGAGATACCGGAGGGGCAAGAGTGAGCGAGAATGCTATATCCTTGGCTAGTGCCCACTTTTCATCTTTACCTGAGTCCACAGTGATCGAGCATCTTCGACTCCGAACGTGGCCTATTCCAAATGTCGTAAAAGCTGACCGCTTGACAAGAAGCAAGCCGAGCTCGGCCGCCACTCACTCTAGCCATGTGGATACCGTGCTTCTAACCAATAGGATATCAAGTTCTGGCACAAGGTGGGGGCACCAAGCGAAATGATTCCAAAGACGTTTCTCTACATCTCTTTTTCGAGTGCTTCAATGTTCGGATTCCACAATGTTCCTACATGATTCCAACTAAAGACGCGAGAGAGATGGCATTCAGTCTGGCTAGAGAAGAGGGTCTGTTTTTGGGACTTCGACGGGAGCCAATGGTGCGAATGAAAAATTACGTTAGGAATATTGATTCATTGATTATTATCAAGTTCAATAGTGAGTCGCTGAACCAATCTTAAATAGTGGTACAGTTGTTTTGGGCCGCCCTGTCAAGAACTGTTGACCGGAAATGACTGCTTCCCCCGGGCGCTTCAGTTACCACTGGAAACCTTCTCATAGCCCTTCTGGATCTCAATGGCGGTTGCGACATATCCGCGGTTGTTCAGAACCTTCTCGAGCATGATTCTGTGCAACTCATCATCGGGATCGGCACAGGCATCAGAAATGGTAGTCACCACGTATTCCTCGTCACAGGCGGGAATTGCTGTTCGCGTAACACACCCAGACGTGCTGAAGCCAGCAAGCAGCAGCGACCTGATACCATTCTCCTTCAGGTAGTCTTCGAGACCAGGCGACTTGAGGGCAGAGACGTAACCGGGTCGGCGGAGGAAAGTAACCTCGTCATCGGCGTCTTCAAGCAGCTCGGGGCATTCAGCGCCACCGGTTTTCCCCATAGCATCGACAATAGTGGCGAACCTTCCAGAGTCCTTGCAGGTTTCGAAGGGCGAGGCATTGATGTCGATCAGGGCGTGGATGACCTTGATGCCCGTGGACTTGGCCCACGCCTTCATTTCAGCTGCAGTTTTGACGGCTGCGGGACCGCCGCCAGGCACGCGCGAGACGAACATGGAGTGAAAGTCGAGCAGAAGCAGAGCAGTCTGGGATGGTCCCCAATGGCTGGGGCAAGATTTGTCCGCAACGTTCCACATGGTCGCAGTGTTCGTTATAACTTGCGATTTGCGAAGCCAGGTCAGAGAATTGATGATCCTTGTGATGGAAATGAAGATCGACGTATTTGGGTCTGGCGCGTGAAAAAAGGAAGCTTTGGTATGGCCTATTGCGAATACTTATATGTGAGCGAGACATCAACCTACTAAGTTTCGGGCTTATGGGTTAAGACCGTTCCCCACCTGCGGGCGGAATAACACGCCGGTACCGGGATGGAAGCCTTTACCACGAATTCTTTGGGCTTATAGACTTCCGAGAAAGACGAATCTCAGATGTTATGAATTTTATGTGGAGACCTCGAAGATCTCGTCGCGGGAACAAACTGAAAGAGCCAAGGTGAAGTAGCCCGTTTGCATAGAGGGTCTTAGGCAGGGGGCAGCAATCGACCGGATCCCGGTGCCGGCATTCGAGAAAAAGATCTCAAGAATGTTAATTTTTTTGATATGATATCTGCAGAAGATACTAGTAGTCTGCTAGATGACTTAAGGTCCATGAAATTCTACTACGCCCAATCTTAACACCGCTCTGTGCTTCAATCGAAAACTGCAACTAGTGTGAATGCCGGTACCGGAATTTCAACAACGGTACCGGCCAAAGGCCGATTACTTTAAAGATCGGAACATAACCATGCAGCTTCTCTCACTCACATTTCGAAAGGGCCATCCTTGATCTGCGAGCTGCAATATTCTAACCGCCATTATGAGCAGCAAGGAATCCAAAGCTGTTCATAGTGGCGATGCTAACCCTCAACTCGAGGCGGTTGATCTCAACGCGAATACCGAACAGCGCGATTTCTCTGTCTTCACCGTCAACCAGAAGCGCTGCATCGTTGCAGCTGGCTCTCTAGCTGCTTTCTTCTCACCGTTATCCTCGAGTATCTATTTTCCCGCCCTGGACACCGTCGCCAAGGCCCTGGGTGTGACGGTTACGAAAGTCAACCTCACAGTGACAACGTATTTGGTGAGTGGACATGCACCTCTTGTTGAGAACGGTGGCTAACCGGTGAATTCGTCGTATCAGATTCTACAGGGAGTTGCACCGATGTTGATTGCAGGGTTTTCCGACACTGCAGGTAGACGACCAGCATACATCATCTGTTTCACCATTTATATCGCTGCCAACCTTGGTCTCGGTCTTCAAAATAGTTATGCCGCCCTCCTCGTGTTGAGATGTATTCAGAGTGCTGGAAGCAGTGGAACTGTGGCTCTGGCAAATGGGCTGGTGGGAGACATGATCACATCCGCCGAGCGAGGTTCCTACATTGCCTTTGCTTCCCTCGGAGGTATGCTGGGCCCTTCGCTCTCACCCATCATTGGTGGTCTGATCAGTCAGTACCTTGACTGGCACTGGCTTTTCTGGTTCCTGTTGATTCTGTCCGGTATTTTTGCGACTTTCCTCTTTCTTTTTCTGCCCGAAACCTGTCGGAAAGTTGTCGGAGACGGGTCGATCCCACCGCCACCGATGAATGCATCGGTAACCGACTGCATCCGCCATCGACGACGCAAGAGAAGAGGAGAAGCTGTGACCCAAGAAGAAATTGCTGAAGCGCGAAGGACTTACGCCTTCCGTTTTCCCTCGCCCCTCCCAACGCTGAAAGTTGTAACCGACTTGGAGACCGGGGCAATCTTGCTTGTTACGGGATTGATGTATGCTGGCTTTTATGCCATCATGACCGGAGCCACCGCCTCATTCCACGACGTGTATCATTTCAACAACATCCAGACTGCACTGATGTATCTACCTCTCGGTATCGGGGGAATCGCTTCCGCTCTCACGACAGGGCGCCTGGTGGACTGGAATTATCGCCGCCACGCTAAGCGGGCCGGAATCTCAGTGGAGAGACGCAAAGCGCAGGACCTGAGCAACTTCAATATCGAGAGAGCTAGACTTGAGATCGGCATACCATCCTACTATCTCAGCACGATTTGCATTATTGCTTATGGCTGGGTCATGGGTCGCAAAGTCAATTTGGCTGCCCCCGTGATCCTTCTGTTTATCAGTGGATGGTCTCTCAACGCAACTTCGCAGGTTCTGAATGCTCTGATGGTGGATATCTGGCCTGGACAGTCAGCTGCAGCGACTGCAGCGAACAACTTGATGCGCTGCGAGCTGGGTGCTGCAGCATCCGCCGCGATCAACCCGATGCAAGAAGCCATGGGCTGGGGCTTGGCATACACCACTCTTGCGTTAATTTCAATTGCTGCGTCGCCAATCCTGTGGCTGATGGCACACCAAGGAATTAAGTGGCGACAAAGACGGGCAAAGAAAGAAAAGGAGCGGAAGCGGGCCAAGGATGAAAGCAACTGTGAAGCCAAGTGAGTTTCGCTTGCAGGAGTCAGAAGTTAGACTGTGTCTGTTGATTGATCTCCATCAATTACCCGCAACGCTTCAAATGAAGAAACTTACAGTCGCTTTCAGAGAAAGCCAATGTCTTTGTATCGCTCATTATAAGTTGCGGTGAAGATATGCATACCTATACCCACACTAGCTAATATATACCCATGTCTCACATTCAATGTGGGAAAATCTCCTCAATTTTTCTCAATTTCTCGTCACGCTACGCATATTTTTGAGTTCTATTGAAGGCACGGATCCCCACGACGCTCTTTCAGGAATAGTACTTCACATTGAAGCGGAGGCGGGACAAATTATGCTAACCCCACCAAGAGCACGGATTCAACCTATGTAGGATCAAGCTTAAAGAAAACATGCGATGGCGATGCATAGATGTGGATTAGCGCATACATTTCCCCTGACCCGGAGAGTCGCAATGAAGCGGTGTATAGGGCAGGTGGGAGAGAAATTGAGCCTACCCCTCACTTGTGTCATCGGCCCCCACTTGGTCTGTTTGACCACGGTTAATAGTATTCGGGATTTCCTGCATCCTGGTGGGTTGGATGTACATCGCCAAACTCTCCCTAATAAGCTTGGTATGCTTGGCGAAGCTCAACGTCCATGAATAGCATGCGATGATGCCCATGCCTCTGTGCACCCTCCTTACCACAACTGAAACACAGACTTAAATTAATTGGGTTTCCAATCTGTGGCAAAAGTCAAACTAAATCTCCTGTAAGCCAATCGTCCCACTGCCCCGCCACCACTTGTATCACAGCTACAAGGTGGAGTGTCCACATGTCGACAGCTCCATGCCTAGCTAGGTAATGAGTGGGCGACTGACCGACACAAGCCACGTACTAGGGGTCTCTGGTTGTTCCACCTGGGGGTATTAATATCGACCCCTCTTCCTGCCCCTTTCCTTTTCCTTTCCATTCACAACTTCCTCAATTCATCAAACTATCACAGAATCTATCACAATGGGTTGGTTCAGCGGTAAGTGGCTCCCTTTTGTATCACCTCGGTGATTCGTTCTTGTTGTCTTTTTACTGACGCTCTATTGAACAGACGATTCGGACCAGAGCCGCTCCTACGAGCAGTACAACCAGGGCGGTGTCACTCAGGAGCACGATGCCTCCTTCTCCCACGAGCTGATCGCCGGTGCTGCTTCCTACGAGGCCGCCAAGGCCTACGAGGAGCACTGCGAAAGGAACGGTAAGATGCTAGACACTCTACCCAGGTACAGGAGGAACATGAAGCTAACGCGTTTTAATGAACGATCAGGCCAGCCTGAGAGCCACGACAAGGCCAAGGAGATCATGGCTGGCTTTGCCGGTGCTTTCATCGACCGCGAGGTCGAGACCAAGGGCCTGGACTTCATCGACCGCGAAAAAGCCAAGCGTGCCTCCCGTCAGCACATCGATGACATCTCTGCCGATCAGGTTGGCTACTAAGCCGTTGAAGATAGGTGTGTGGGTGGACATTGATTGTTAGCATCCTATTAGCAACGAAGCATGACCTACATGAAATGAACATATTTGAGCCTCTCTCCTAGAATATAGTATTCCTACGTAAGGCAGAACAAGCCACTAATTTAGGTTCAGAAAGCTCAAGAAATGCCGGACCATGGATTTGTTTACAATTTACGTCACCCGTTCAGCAATAAATAAGCTAGCATGCTGCGATGGCGGTGCTCCACTTCAATCTGCCGAATGCTGCAAGCTGCAGCTTAGCCGGTGACGATCTTGTCAATAATACTTGAAGCTTGGGCACTACATGAAAGTAATGCGTTGCGAACGAGAAGACTTATTCCACCTGAATACGTCATTTGCTCTTAATCCTTCCAATATTTTCAAAGAACCTTCAAAGAACCTTCAAAGCTGTCCGAAATTGTGGCTGCAAAAGGCCCGTGCGCGGTGGACAACTTGGTTTCGCCCCGCCATACGTCCGTGGATTGACCATCGATATTCTAATTAAAACTCGTTGTTTGTTTATCTCTATCCCAAGAGCTTTTTATATCCGCTTATTCACACTAATCCTACTTTAGGACTGAACATAATCGCCAATGGAGTGCACAGACAAGACTCCATTTAGTCACGTGAGCCTCGGCGTCGGTGATTTCTCAAGCAACCAGATGAGACGCGCGCAACTCAATGCCAACATCGTCAGCATCAACTTCATCTCTCCTAATAAGATAAACCCCCTCCCCCGGCCATATCGGACGTGCGTAACGTCTCGTGAGAGAATATTGCAAACCACATAGTCTCGTTACGGAGAGAACATAAGAGGCGATCTGCGTCAAATGTCTGCGTCTAGAGTGGCAGAGCCCACGCGACGCCCATGCGATCGTTGCCGTCATCGCAAGTCCCGATGTATACGAGAATTTGGCAAAGACAACTGCACATTCTGTAATTTGAATGGTCTGGAATGCACGTTTCTTCATGGTCCGCGCCCACGGAAAAGGGCCAGAAAGTCGCCCGACACCACAGAAACCAAGTACGATTCGATATTTCTTGGAGGAATCCTCAGCTAACAATGTCAAAGAACAAAGAGATACCACAGTTCTCCAACCCCATCCACTGGTGGCTCTATTGACGAACGGTCCACAGCTGATCCGGTCAACTCTCGACTGGATGGCACATTGGGCCTAGAACTTCATCTGCATTCTGAGTTTATTGGCCCCGCCAGCTACCATGAACCTGAACTTCTTGATCTGCGGCCATCCGCCATTTCGCTTGCTGACCACGAGAGATGTTATCCTCGGCGTGTGAATCAATCTGCCGCATTCATCACTTACCCGGACAAGGATTCGGCGTCCGAGATGCAACGAATTGCTGACCTAGATCGCATCGAAGAGTCAATTCGCCCGCTCGGACCGACTTTGGTAAATTTATATTTCCGCATTATGCACCGCACATTCCCGATCTTGGACAAGGGTGTATTTCTCGAGAAATATGCCAGGTCATATCGCGAGTTCTCCCCACCACTCCTCGCTGCAGTCTACTTGGTTGCGCTAGACTGGAAGCTCTTTGATCGAACTCTTGCCACTGCACCTCGGACGCCAGATGCCGAAGCCCTGGAGAACCTGGCGATGCGAGCCATGGACGATGATCTGAAGCGACCCAAACTCTCCACATTACAAGCTGGACTTTTGTTATTACAACGAATGAGGTCCTCTCAAAGCACTCTTCCGGCCCAACTACTATCCCTGGGGCAGACTTTGGGTATTCATATCGACTGTACTGAATGGAAAATACCAGAATGGGAGAAGGGTCTGAGACGACGTTTAGCTTGGGCGCTATACATGCAAGACAAGTGGGGCGTTCTTGTGCACGGGCGACCATCTCTCATTCCCGTTCAGATTGAAGCGGGCGACGGTACAAGTGACTGGGATGTTAGCCCGTGTACACTCGTCGACTTTCCAGAAGATGCGACCAGCGAAGAGGGAACTGGAGATGGAGGTGTGGACGGCGCCGCGGGACGGGCAGCATTCTTGCAGTCTATTGAATTAACGAGAATCTTCAGTCGGATCATTTCAACTTTTTGCTCGATCGGTGCAACGAAAAAGGGCGGACTGCTTGAACGGATTGGACCCTCGGGGGCCATGGGTCTGGCGAAACCCCTGGCGTTGGAGTTGCGCGAATGGCATGCTACATTGCCCGCCAGCCTGCAGCTGGAATCCACACCCTCACTACGACTTTCGACGAACGGAGCCTTGCATTTGTCGCATATGGCAGCAGAGCTGACCATCCATCGCGCATTACTTCGTGTTCTGACCCCGGATACTGCGTCCACTCTTCGCTCAGCTATTCGAACGGCCGCTCGCGCCCGACTGACGTCGGCGATGAACTTGATTGAATCTTTCCAACCCGAACATATTCAATCATTTTGGGGCTTTGCTGCTGCTGCGCAAGTGGCTTTGGTCGGAGCGTTTGCCGGTCTATTATGGGCGACCAGTGTTGAAATGGATGAAGCGGCAGGATATGTTGAACAACTCGAGAAACTTCGCTGGATTCTGCAAATTCGCGCCTCTGCTGCTCCGTTCGCTCGTGAGGCGCTTCGTATGCTTCATGAAGAGGTCGGTGACCTGGCTGCTGTAAAAGCAGCTACCTTCCGAGACTCTTAGCGCTCATTTGCTCTGGCTTTTCGCCTATCGAATCTACACAGCTCTATCGATATCCCTTATGAAAGAAATAATGAAATAACGAATGACGATTTAATTGAATGAAGGGCTTTCATAATTTTTCTGGTTCTATACATGCGTTATCACTTATTGAACAATCGCAACATCATCATTGGGTCCAAGAATATCCCCCTCGGCAACCAGCAGTTTCACACATATCCCGCTAACAGGTGCACAAATCTTGACTTCCATTTTGTTGGACTCAATCCAAATCTAAAGATCGTTAGCCCCGTGCTTGTGAATTGACAATTTCATGCATTGTGCTTACCAGTGGGTCTCCTGCCTGAACCTCGTCTGTCTCCTTCACCGCGCAACGGAAACACCTCCCAGGCAAAAGTGCCTTTACCCGCTCTCCCGCCATATTTCCATGACTCTCATGCCCCCGGTCGGGCCTCATTGTGACTGGGTCATACGGCTTGAGCAGGTCATCAAAGAATTCCGCTTCACGAACAGCTTGCGATCGCTTTTCTCGAACAGCGGCAATATCTTCCGTATTCTCACCCAACCACTTTTCATACTCGTTGAGATCCAGCTCAATATCAGAAATCTTGATGAGATCACTAGGGGTCCCCTTGGCTTCCGCTTCGGAAAGCTCTTCTTCAGTGACAGGATAGAATCGAATCTGGTCCAAGAGGGAGAACATCCATGGTGCCTTCTCGCCAAGTCTGGGCTTGTGAAACTCGTCCCATATATGGACTGTGCGACCGACAAGTTGGTACCCGCCAGGAGAGTCGGTCGCATAGATGCATAGGTATTGACCTGCAATACCAACGGCACCTCGAGGGGTAAACGAGCGAGACGGATTGTACTTCGTTCCAAAGAGTCGATGGCGTGGATCTAAAGGCACAGCACATGGAGACCCTTGATACACATCACCGAGACCCAATACGAGGAATGCGCCTTCATAGAGATTGCTTTCAACTTGATCGAAACTATCTAGCCCGTTCAACTTCTGCAGGAATTCAATGTTGCTGGGTAAATATGGTGCCGAAGAACGGATGGTCGAAGCGTAGCGCGCAATGGCTTTGCGGCTGCTCTCATCATTGAACACAAGAGGCATTTGCACGACTCTAGAGCGCAGCCGAGAGGGAATCTCTGTTCCAAGAGAGATCTCGTGCGCGACCAGCGCATCGAGAACTCTAGACAGCGAGAAGTTCGCAGCAAATCGAACCTGGAGACTTCGAACCCCCGATGTGAGCTCCTCAATACCTGGGATTGGGACAGTGCGATGCTTTTCAATGAAATTCATGATATGAAATGTCTGCCGCAACGTGAAATTATCTTCAACGCCAAATTCGAGCAGCAAAGCTCGATCACCTGCCTGGCTGCATCGAATGAAACGGCCAGCCTCGGAGATAACCTTCACGATCGGACTGGAAATTGCAAAAGAGTGTGTTACACCCAAATCGAGTTTGCTCAGTGGGGTGAGAGTAGCGATCGAAAGCTCGAGATCTCTCGTGAGCGCCTGTGCATCATCAAGAGAGATAGGTTTCAAGCGAATGCGATCGCCTGGTCGCATCTGGCCAAATTTCCACATTTCCGCCCCGGCGACTGTGGCGAAGGAAACGAAACCTCCCAGACTTGGGCCATCTGCTGTCAAAACAACCGCCTCGTCGCCCGTGAAGCTCACATTGCCGATGGAATAGGGACTGTCATGGATGTTTGAGGGGTGCAGACCTGCGTCACCACCTGTCCGCCTTGCCCACTCTGGACGGGGCCCACTGAGACGGACACCGAGACGGTTACTGTTGTAGTGGACAGTCCATTTGCCATTGAACAGCTCGCGAAGCCCGTCTTGTGTGAAATGAGCCGGACTGCCATGCGGCCCAGGGATCGCACCAACGACCCATTCTCGGGTTTCGAATGGTGGCAGTGGAAGAAGTGGGGCTTTTAACATTGGAAGTTCCTTCCCGGTAACATCTACTAATGGAAGAAGATCACCGACACGCAGAGTACGCCCATTGTGGCCTCCGAGGTGACCGATTGCGAATGTCGAACGGCTATTAAGAACTTCAGGGACCTGAATCCCGCCTCGAATGGCGAGATAAATTCGAGAACCATTTGTTGCAGTGCCAATGGAAAGCTTCTGTCCGGCTTGAACGCTGATAGCCCTGCCGGGCTCCTTTTCTTCCCCGTCGACAGATATCGGAGCATTGGCACCAACAAGTGCGACGGTGGTTGAGGAGTGGAACAATAATGTAGGCCCCTGAATCGAGCACTCCAGTCCCGCATCATCCTCATCATTGCCAATTATTTTATTTGCGAGACGAAACGAATAGGAATCCATCGGGCCAGATAGTGGCACGCCGATATGCCAAAGACCCTGGCGTCCAGGGAAATCCTGCACAGCGGTGTCAGACCCAGCATCGATGACTTCGACGACTTGGGCTTCGTATGGGAAGGTATTCAGCGATCCGGTCGTGAATTCTCCAGAGCTGAACGACTCCCAAGTAACAATTTGTTGCAAATACTTCAAGTTCGTTTCCACTCCAGTGATAACGGTCTTTGCTAAAGCCTCAGAAATCTTTCGAAGAGCTGCAGGCCGGTCATCGCCATAAGCGATAATTTTTGCAACCATTGGATCAAAAGACGACGACAGCTCCTGGCCTGAACTGACCCAAGTATCAATGCGGACATCTGATGGAAACTCGACGTTCAAAAGTTTTCCAGGAGAAGGTCGAAAACTTTGAAGGGGGCTTTCAGCATAGACACGAGCTTCAATCGCTGCACCGGAGACCGGAATCTCGTTTATCTGCTGAGGAAAGAGGGCTGTGCAATCATCCATGGCAATGCGCATCATACATTCGACCAGGTCAAGGCCCGTGACAGCCTCGGTTACTGGATGCTCGACCTGGAGACGTGTGTTCATTTCCAGAAAATAGAACTTCTCGGTGTCAATGTCGAAGATGAATTCAACGGTGCCAACACTGCGATATTGCAGGGATGCAACCAAAGCTGCTGCTGCGCGACGCATATCTGCTCGAATTCCGATTGGGACAAACCCAGCAGGAGATTCTTCAACAACTTTCTGGTTCCGGCGCTGTAGCGAGCAGTCACGCTCACCAGCACAAATGACCCGGCCAGCGCCATCACCGAGAATCTGTACCTCGATGTGTCGGGCACGATCGATGAAGAGCTCAATAAATACACCATCATCGCCAAAGTTCGCCAGTCCTAGTCGACGCACGCCGTCGAAGGCTTCTCGAAGTGCATCAATATCAGCGCACCGTTGAAGTCCAATCCCACCCCCGCCAGCGGTGCTTTTCACCATAACGGGATAGCCAATTTCCTCTGCGTCAATCAGTGCATCTTCAAGGCTGGTGACTAGGCCCTTGCTTCCGGGAACAACAGGAATGCCTGCGGCGATAGCAATATCACGAGCGCGGTGCTTCAGACCCAAATCGCTCATTTGCTCTGGCGTTGGACCAATCCAGATCAGACCTGCTGCCTCAACGGCGGTGGCAAACTCGGCGTTCTCCGAAAGGAACCCATAACCAGGAATGATGGCATCGGCATTAGCCTTGGCGGCCAAATTAAGGATCTGCTTGCCATTCAGATAGGTCTCAGATACCTTGTTTCCAATAAGGGGAAGTGCAACGTCCGCAGTCGTAACATGCGGCGCTCGAGCATCTGTACTTGAATAGATAGCCACTGACGAGATCTTCATCTCACGAAGGGTTCGGATGATTCGCAACGCAATCTCCCCACGATTGGCAACCAAGACCGTCTTGATGCGCTTTTCACCGACGCTAGTCGCAGGCGTGGTAGATGTAGCACGCGATGACTCGGCAGTGGACGCATTGAGTGACTGAGTGTATTCCCGCCAACCGCCAAAGCTGGTGACATCCTTTGCCTTTTCGAGACCAACAGGCTCGCAGATAAATCCATGGACCCATTTACCATCGTGCAGCTCAACCGATCCGATGCCTAAGGGCGCTGCGACGGTCCCAAGGAAGCTTCCCATCTCATCGAGTGGCATGTTCCACACTTCGACTTCGATGGACTTTCCACCATCAACGACCCTTTTCAGACCGGGTTTTGATACTGAACCTGTTGCATGAAGTGCATATAGCTGATAGCAAGGAGCTGTGGCTGTGGCTTTGACTAGGGTTGCGCCCCGCGAGACCAGATCCTTGTTCAAAGGGAAGCCAGAGAGGTGGGCTCCGACAACCGCTAATTGCATTGAATCAACAGTGACCGGGGGCTTGGAACAAACCTCTTGGTATTCCACACCCGTTGCTCCCAGCAAGCGCGGGGACTCCCACATCCAGCGCCGGGCGAGCTCCATCAGTCGCGGTTCTTCCCACGCCCCTCCAATCAAAGTGATGCCGAATGGAAGGCCGTCTTCTCGCCAGCCAGCGGGGATAGCTAAAGCAGACCAATCCATGAAGTTGACGAAATTGGTATATGTACCCAGCTGGCTGTTTGCCGCGACTGGCTCATCCTTCAGATCCTGCATTGTGGGAAATGTGGGACTCGTGGGCACCAGCAGGGCGTCGTACTGACCGAAAATTTGTTCGATCTCGCGAGACAGATTCTGGCGGCGGTACTCGCAAGCGAAGAGATCTGCGGCGGAAAATTGCTCGGCTTTCATGATAATACCACGAACAACCGGGTCCATAGACTCGGCTGGTACTGAGCGGATGAATTTCTCGATAGCAGCATATCGTTCCGCAACCCACGGTCCTTCATATAAGAGGCTGGCAAGAGAAAACAAGGGTGTAAAGTCAACAGGGTCTAGATTCCAGCCAAGCTGTTGAGCTTTGGCTAATGCTGTCTGGTATGCTTCAGCTTGTTTGGTCCGACCGAACCACTGTGGGTTGGAGCATATAGCTAGTGTCGGTTGATTGGGAATGCCCCCTCGATGGGCCTTCTCAGTAACGCAGCTGGCACGGTTTCTTGAGAATGCGTCTTGAACATCATATCCTTCAGCCAGTTGCAAGACCAGATTGGCATCTTCTATAGTCAAGGCGAAGATAGAAACACAATCAAGCGAACGACATGCTGGCACCACGCCGTGCGCACTAAGAGCTCCCCGTGTGGGTTTAAGTCCGACGAGGTTATTCAGCCCAGCAGGTACACGGCCTGAACCTGCTGTATCCGTGCCTAGAGAGAATGGGACCAGTCCCTGAGCGACGACCACACTGCTTCCCGAGCTACTACCACCACTGACTCGACTTGGGTCAAAAGAGTTGGCAACGGCTCCATACGGTGAACGTGTACCAACGAGGCCTGTGGCGAATTGATCGAGGTTGGTCTTGCCTATGAGGATGGCTCCCTGTGCTTTGAGCCTTTGTATAACGGTTGAATCCATGGCGACCGGCCCGGTGCTAAATGATGGGCATGCGGCCGTTGTGCAGAATCCCTCGGCGTCGATGTTATCCTTGGCAGCAAATGGCACGCCGAAGAGCGGAAGATTTCTCCCTTGAGATCGGAGTAATGTAATCTTCTCCCATTGTGTAGTTATTTGTTCGGATGTTGCCAGTGAGATCCACGCATTTGATGTATTGGGTTGTGCTCGCTCCAGAAGCGATAGGATATGAGTTGGCTCAGAAACAGTCTGTTGTAACTCACGCCATTGCGAAATTGTCAGAGTCTTTTCGTCTATCTTGGCAAAGGTTCTTAAAGTCATTGGGACGGTCTATGAGCTTGGGCACGATGTCAGTTAACATGCTGATAATCAATATATGGGAGTCACTTACTGGCGATAAGAGGGGGAAAAGATTGAAATTTAGTTCTGGAGTCTGATTGTAGTATTCTGGAGAACGCGGGGAATATATGGTTTTCAATGTCCCTCTACAAGCCTATTCGCCAACCGAGCGTGTCCGATATCGATATCTGTGCCCGTCATTACAATTGCAAATGAGGGTGGGCCCCCTTATCTGCCCCCGATCCCGAGCCAAGACACGCCTATAAGGTTCGGCGTCGCGCGCCGTCGCGCGCCGTCGCCGCAAACTTGTACATTATGTCAATCCGCCCTCGGGGCGACGGCCAAAGAGCTTTAGATTACTTGATCAAGGGCTCCGATCGCCGGCGATTGTTCGGCAGGTTCCTATGGCCATTGGAATATCCCGTAGCTCGCTGTGGCAAAGTCAACGCCATGACTGTTGTGCGAACTGCGGAGCCACTAAGGATAACGCCGATAGGATCAGAAAGGAGACCAAGTCGAGCTATACATGTCCGAAATCCTATCTGCCTGGTATTAGCCCATCTACCCTCTAGAAGATGGAACTGGATGGCAGGATGTGACCTTTCGTCACCGGGATATGAAAGGGCCGGAAGATTGAGCCCTATTGGGCACTCAAATTGGCTCTATTCTGACGAGTCTGGTCATGGGCGTATTTAAGCCAGGCACCCGTCGAATCTCTTCAATCTCTACCATTTGCTTTGCCAATACATTGCAAATGCGGTTTCATATAGAACGGATGGGCAAAGCAAGCCCTGGGGCTTTGCAAGAAGTTCCAGTACAAGGATCATCACAGCCATCACAACTTAAGAGGAGGTCAGCAGAATCTGGGACTGTCAGGACGATAACAATCAAAAAGTGCAATGTTTGAATGAACGGAATGAAGAGATGTTCCTCGACAACTATCGGTACAATGCAGAAGAAACCAAGCAGCATGTTGTTGCCATTGCCTCCTACCATGTAAAAAATCTAGAGAGGCCCGGACCTCCGAAGAATATCGCCAATTAGATTAAGGCTTTTGAACAAGGTAATTAGCCATATAAGGAGACGGTAAATCATCCGCCCGATGATGACGAAGAAAAGCCTGCGCTGATTGCGGTCTGTGAAGCTGCGGAAAAAAATCATCGAAAACCCCCTGAAGGATTTGAAAGCTCCTCAAAACGTCGGAAGAGCAAGGCTTAGAATTATCTCACCAAAACAGGCCAGTTCTCCAATCCCGACACCTCGCTGAAGCGCTACACGGACACGGGCGCTTTGGTTCAAGAGATGGCTGTGAACAGTCCCACCTTTCAGCGGGCATTTAGCCCTCTCAAAATCTCCCTTGCCCGTACGCGCTTCCTGCACAGCGGATACCGCGCCTCTGGCAAGATCCTCGACTCAGACATGTTATACGCTCTGGCGCTGTTTGCCCTGCAGCCGATACAGTTCATCAACCGGTACGAGTGGCACACGCTAAGCGACCTGGAACGCTGCGCAATAGGCACCTTCTGGAAGAGTATTGGTGACACACTAGGCATCAGCTATGAGGTATTGCCATCTGGTGTTGCTGGGGCCCGAGACGGTCTTCATTGGCTTGAGGAGCTAGAGGTGTGAAGTGAAGCATATGAGACGAAGTATATGGTACCTGATGCGAAGAACCGCGAGTCGGCAGACCAGACAATTGCTATACTGGTCTATATGTTGCCTCGAGCGCTGCATCCGGCTGCCTTGCAGCTGATTTCATGCATGATGGATAATCGGTTACGCAAGGCGATGCTGTATGTAGTATTTCGCAAGATTCCAGGCCTTGTATATCTACGCTAACCACAATCTCTAGATACCATGCTCCCACCCCTTTCTTCGAAGCTGTCTTCTCTGGTCTCATTACTGTATGTAAGATAGTCTTGCGCTACCTCACACCTCCGAGACCGTACTTCCTTCGCTACAACTCCCTCACTGAGAAGCCTGATAAGAACGGTCGCTTCTTCCTGACCGAGTGGGAGGCAGCTCCCTTCTATGTCAAGCCAACCTTTTGGAACCGCTGGGGCCCCATGGCTTTGGTGACCCGGATTCTTGGTCGTCCAGTTCCTGGAGACGAGGGAGATAAATATTATCCCTCAATCCCCCTATTAATGGGCTTGTTCCGGTGGCTTATGGCTAGCCGGTTTCCCACTAGCAGAGTACAGCAAAACGACTACTGATAACTCGGTAAATAGGCTGTCGTCCGTGCACATGGCTGAGCGAATCGGGTGATTGTATTTGTTTGGATGACATCGCGTCAGTTAGCCGAAACCTACTTACTGTGGATCGGGCCCGCTCTGTCGTCGGCCAGAATGGATTTCGTGGGGATCTGAAACTTCACTTACAAGCAGTGTCAATGCAAAAATGGCCCCCTTCCTAGCGCCCCTCGGCAGCCGTTAGCGCTTTTTCCTCCACCCATCACCTTCGCATTCTCATAATGGAACTCGTTGGCTCGGAAATCATCGACAGTTCAACCTGACAATGGCGGGTCGATGACGCGTTGAATTATTTCACAACAATACAACCTCTCCAAATCGAAGGTTTATAGGGAGGTCAGAATGGGGACCCCCATGTCCCTCGAGGGTCGAGGCCTGGCAATCTTTGTCTTGGCTGCCGTATTCATGATTCTCTCCCTAACTACGGTTTCACTGAGATGCTTCGTTCGTTCATACATCGTCCGAGCCTTTGGCTGGGATGACTTTCTGATGCTCATAGCACTGGTACATTGTCTTTCATAAAATATTTGTTGGAGCCGTTCTGATACCTTCATAGGCACTTTTTGTCATACTGGCGATATGCTGTATGATTGGGACGTCCAATGGTGTCGGTCACCAATTTGACGATTTCACAAGTTTAGTTATCTATGAGAGAGCGCTTCTGGTAAGTCAATTTGATTCATACCTGACCATTTGATCGGAGCTCTTTTATGTCTAATTCTTGATAGTGGTGGTGGCTCAGTCAAATGTTCTACGTCTGGTCATCCGCTGTAGCCAAAGTTTCTATTGCCGTTGCACTACTTCGATTGACAGTGAACCGAGTCCACCGCATTATTCTTTGGAGTACGATCACCCTGACTATCATTATTGGACTCATCTTCTGGCTAGTCCTTCTTCTGGACTGCCACCCGATCTCCTATTTCTGGAAGCAAGCGAACGACCGTTCAACTGGCAGCTGTCTATCAGTAGATATTCTGCTGGACATTGCATATCTCTATAGTGCCCTCACAGTTGTATGTGATTTCACTCTTGGTATCCTGCCAATTTTCCTGGTTTGGCATCTACAGATGAATCGCAGAACAAAGGTGGCAGTTGGGGGGATTTTAAGCTTGGGAGCTATGTATGTTCTTTGGTTAAAATCCGAATCTGAGAAAGAAGCTAACTATCATCAGCGCGAGTGTGGCTGTGATCATCCGACTTCCATTCCTCAAATATTATGCCGATACTGATTTTCTATGTACGTCACAGATTGGCCGTCCTTTCCAACTATTGGCCCTGTTCACTTCATGGGGAATGAGAATTAATGTTTGAATTTTCACAGATTCAACTTATCAAATCGCCGTCTGGACAATCATTGAAACCGGCCTCGGAATCACTGCGGGTAGTCTCATCACCCTTCGCCCGCTTTTCCGCTGGCTCCTGGATGGAAGCTTGTCCAACGGTCAAAATGGACGTACCCCTGAGAGAAGCTCTGGGCAGTATCGTCTGTCCAGTTTTAGAAGTGGCGGAGCGAAACAGTCTCAAGATCCCAGCCTATGGCGCCCTGACACCAGTGCCAACGACAGAACAGTGGACATCATGTCATTGCCTCGATCAAAAATTTCCAACGATGCCAGCAGCAGCCAGGAAGCTTTGAACCCTCCGAGTTCAGCAAATCCGCGAAACGGGGTGACTGTCCAACGTAGTTTTGTACAAACTGTGTCAGACGGGGGAATGTAGACATAAATCTTTTGTACATATTAATTGGCTTTGTATATCTTTTTACGAGTAAAGTAACGATCCACAACTTCGATCAACCAACTCATTTACAACATTGAGATCATTTTTGACATACATCGGAATTCATAGAGCATGTGTTCTCGATTGAAGGGGGATGTCTTGATAAAAATGATGCTGGTTAGTTGAGTGCCCATTCACCAGCTCGACGTCCTGCATGGACAGCCATACAGGATAGGCCTTAGAGATTAGGTATCTTGCTATTCCTCTTAGGCTTTAAATCAACCGCTGTAGCTACCAGAATTCTTTCAAATGGACACAGGTCTTTTAAATTTTCTCTATGAGTCAGTGAAGTAACGTCACAGAAATCTTGCAGGATGGTCGGCTTTATCCGCCTTACCGCATTGGGAGCCCGACGCTGGGAGGCCGGCGCCGTCAAATACGCCACCGATGGCCTCTGTACTTCAATATTCCTCAACTCTGTCAACATCGTTAAATACTTAATTATGGCGAATATTCTGGCTTCCTGTAAGCAGACGCGGTTTCATCTGCTAGATGAAAATCCTTCAGCCGAGGTGTGTGGACTTCAGAGCGCCGAGACTATAAAAGAGACCATAAACTAATCACTAATCTTTCGAAGATTGACGTGGAGGGACTCGGGATTGTAGTCACCTCGGCTGCGTCCGAAGATGACGCCAAATCCAAAGCCAAAGGGAAATCTAAGGCTAAGACTGCCGGACGAGAGCTCATCTCAGATGGCCACCTTCGATTGAAGGGAGGAATTCATTATGGCTTACTAGGACGCAACGGGACTGGAAAGTCTAGTAAGATGACCCTTGCGAGTATAATGGCCCTTGTTGACGTGCTCTATTACAGCTTTACTCAGGGCGATGGCAGAAAAGCTCATCCCTGGTATATCCCATGCTACTCGTGTTGCCATCCTGCAGCAGACAGACGAGGACGGACCTGGTGGTAATGCCTCACTGAGACTTGAAAAGTCTGTCCTCGAATCAGTTCTTAGCAGCGATGAAGCCAGGAATGAAGTTCGTCGTACGGCAGACTGTGAGTGCATGATGCCAACCCAACTTGTTAACTCCAATTAATTTGTGGTCAGTCCTTTCGAAAAGCTTCGAGACGGAGAACCCACTGGAACCTGTCATGGCTATTCGCAAGATCAGATGCCAACATGCCGAGAAGATGCTCTTCCTAGCTCACAAAAATGCCAACTTGAAAAGCGGCGCCAGGGGTCTTCAGGCCAGAAAAGATCTCAAAGTGGCCGAAGCAAAGCTGGAATCCACACGGGAAATGTAAGAAGCGGGCAAACTATGTTGAATACGTCTCTAATTTTCAAACAGGGTTGCCCAAGAGCCAGACTCAATTGATGCAGGCGCGATCCAGACGGATACTCAAGAGGCTGTCGAAACCCTACAGACCCTACAATCCCAGCTCGAGGAGGTGAGTCCCATCATCTATGCGTCTACCCTTTACTTGACTGACTCATTCAGATGAATCACGCCGATATGAAAAAAGAGGCCCGTCGCATTCTCCTCGGACTCGGCTTCAAAGAAGATGCATTCAATAAAAAGGTATCGACACTCTCAGGCGGCTGGCGAATGCGGTGTATGCTCGCCAGCACTCTGGTTCAGAAGCCCGACATCATGATCCTCGACGAACCTACCAACTTCCTCGATCTATTAGGAGTAGTGTGGCTTGAGAACTACCTCAAACAGCAACGCGAAGATTCCGAAACTACCATCGTGCTTGTCTCCCACGACCGAGACTTCATCAACGCCGTCTGTGAAGAGATCGTCATCCTCCGAGACCAGAAACTGAACTATTTCCGCGGGAATCTCGCTGCCTACGAACAAGACTTCGAAGAGCAGAAGCTGTACCTGGGACGCATGAAAGAAGCACAGGAGCGGCAGACTGCGCATATGGAAGCTAGTATCCAGCAAAACCTGAAGATTGGCAAGAAGACCAATGACGACAATAAGCTGCGACAAGCGAAATCTCGGCAGAAAAGAGTCGATGATCGGATGGGTCTGCAGGTTAGTGCGAACGGAGGTAGATTCAAACTAAACCGGGATCTTGTCGGTTACCATTTTACCTGTCGGGCGGAGATTGAAGTCCCGACGGATGAAAGGGGTGCGACGATGAGTTTGCCCGATGCCACAGAGCTGCGCTTTCCGGGGCCACTTGTTTCTTTGGAGGCTGTTACATTCCAATACAAGAAGAATGACCGGGCGGTTCTGGACGACATCAATCTGGTGGTTCATATTGGTGATCGAGTCGGTATCATGGGCTTGAATGGATCTGGCAAGACTACGCTCATTCGTGTCTTGAATGGACAAATCCCGCCATCGAAGGGCAAGGTGTCGACTCACTCGCGACTAAAAGTTGGCTACTATGGTCAACATTCGGTTGAAGAGCTCCAAGAGCGTGGCCGAATGGAGCCTGGTCTGACTGCCCTAGGACTATTGCTGGCTGAATCTGACGGGACGCTAAATGAAGGCGAAGTGCGAGGCCTATTATCATCCATGGGTCTGCAAGGGCGCATCGCATCGGACGTTCCAGTAGGCAAGTTATCAGGAGGACAACTAGTTCGCTTGGCACTGGCACGAATCGTGTGGAGCGCCCCTCAACTGTTGATTCTGGATGAGATCACCACTCATCTGGATTTCCACACGGTGACTGCGCTCGCGACGGCCCTCTCTTCATTCAACGGCGCCATTATCCTCGTCTCACACGACCGATTCCTCGTTCGATCAGTAATCGAAGGCAAGCGAGATACAGATCATAAATTGGATGAGGACTTTGAGGGGTTAGAACAGGAACAGGAGGAAACAAATAGTCGTCGCCGGTCTGTATATGTGCTCAAGGCGGGCCAGTTGAATGAGCAGACGAAAGGGGTGCAGCAGTTTGAGCAGAGTTTGGTGAAACGGGTGCAGAAGATGCTAGCCATATAGGTTAGGGGAAGTACAGTATCGAGCATATCATGAGAAAAGTGGCTGAATTGTAAATCCATCAATCCACGGAAGTTGATTTGCCCCCGCGTGGTTCATTTTGAGTCAGCGGCGAATACCGTCAAAGCGGGCGAGTTCATGCGATAAGAGCCCCTCATCCTTCCCCTCATGGCTTGCACCTCGTGTTGTAACCTTCTTATAACACCTGCCATGTCGCTTCTTCTTCCCTAAAATCTTTTCAACTTGCTGGTATGCTGTGCAAGCGTGTCCTGTCGTGCTCCCGGCTCCCCGCCCGGGGATACCAGGGTTTCATCACGACTCGATTGCAGAGCACATCCAGAACGAACCTCGCCCCGACCCCGACCAACCCGACCACCCCGCCCACCCCCGAACCCTTCCGTCGAGGTTCCGCCCTCAAGACTGCGAAACCCTTCTCCGAATTCCTCACCGACTCCTTCAATCGCCAGCATGACTACCTGCGCATTAGCGTTACCGAGCGGTGTAACCTGCGGTGCCTCTACTGCATGCCCGAGGAAGGGATAGAACTCTCGCCACAGCCCCGCCTCTTGACCTCCCCGGAGATCGTCTACCTATCATCCCTTTTTGTGTCTCAGGGCGTGAACAAGATCCGTCTGACGGGCGGGGAGCCGACCGTGCGCAAGGACATCGTGCCCTTGATGCAGGATATCGGCAAGCTGCGACGTGACGGACTGCGCGAGCTCTGTCTGACCACCAATGGAATCTCGCTACACCGGAAACTGGACGCGATGGTCGAGGCGGGGCTTACCGGGGTGAACCTCAGTCTAGACACGTTGGACCCCTTCCAGTTCCAGATCATGACCCGGCGCAAAGGCTTCGACGCCGTGATGAAGAGCATCGATCGCATTCTGGAAATGAACAAGGTCGGTGCTGGCATCAAGCTGAAAATCAACTGCGTCGTAATGCGGGGCATGAACGATCGTGAAATCCTGCCTTTTGTTGAGATGGGTCGCGAGAAACCGATCGAGGTACGATTTATCGAGTACATGCCCTTTGATGGGAATAAGTGGAATAAGGGCAAAATGTTCCCTTATCAGGAGATGCTGGCGGTCATTCAGGAGAAATATCCTACCTTGGAAAAGGTGACCGATCACAAGAACGATACCAGCAAGACGTATCGCGTGCCTGGCTTTGAGGGCCAGGTCGGATTCATCACCAGCATGACACACAACTTCTGTGGCACATGCAATCGGCTGCGTATCACCAGCGATGGAAACTTGAAAGTGTGTCTTTTTGGAAACGCCGAGGTATCACTACGGGATATCATCCGCAAAGGGAACGACGGACAACCCATCGACCTGGAAGCTCTGCAAAGGCTGGGGCTGCTCGAGACTGTACAGAGTGCAGCTCAACTCAGCGATGAGGGAGGATTGGTCAATGAACGGGAACGTGAGATTCTCGACATCATCGGCATGGCCGTCAAGCGCAAGAAGGAGAAACACGCGGGCATGGGACAGTTGGAGAATATGAAGAATCGACCTATGATTTTGATCGGTGGGTAGCCTAATCTCCCTTTATGACTGGCATGATTCACGAGTTGTACATGTCCATGGTCGGCATTATGTATTTATGAAATTCATGCTTTGGATCACCGTTCTTGATTATTGCTTTTCCGTGCTGATGGCCAAATAGATAGAGAGCCATCTACGTCGCGGTTCCATAGTCGTGCCGTATCTAGGGTATCCTCTTCTCCCTGGTCGAGAGTTCCTCTGCATGCCCTTCCAACTGCAGGACTAGGCCAGGTGCGTCTGTACCGCAGTGGTCGCTCGATCTCGAAACCGGAAGATGCAGAGAAGCAAGATGGACGAAAGTCGCATTCCCTTCCAACAGCATCCGACCCCGACCTCCCACATCTTACGCCATCCCAAACCGTCCACATGACCCAAATCACCTTGAAACCCGAAACAGCACGACTCGCAACAGCCGCCTGCCACGTCTCCTTCTCCAATGCCCGGCCATGGGAACTCCTTCGACAAGGACAAGGTACGCACAAAGGTGACGTCTATAGTGTCGCTCGCATCGCCGGCATCATGGCTGCCAAACGAACCCCCGATCTCGTCCCACTGTGCCATCCGGGAATCGGCATCACGGGCGTGGAGGTCAACGTCGAGCTGGTCGGACCCGATGAGGAGAACCCGGAAGATTACGGTGCTATAGAGATTGCCGCCACGGTTAGCTGTTTCGGACGGACTGGTGTTGAAATGGAAGCTATGGCGGCGACTACAGGGGCGGCGTTGACGGTGTATGATATGCTTAAGGCAGTGGATAAGGGGATGGTGATTGAGGGTGTTCGGCTCTTGGAGAAGCAGGGTGGGAAGAGTGGACACTGGACGAGAGAAGCCATGTAGACTCCAATTGAAAAGATCAAGGGCTGATTGAAATGTGAAGTCGGACCGCGCCAGTCCATGCCCTACGCCAAGCAGCTTGTAAACTCACCGATTCAGCGTATATTCGATTTCGATAATATGATCTGATCTGATCTGATCCGATATGACATGCTTGATTTTTGTTGGTTTTTATTGTTGGTTTTTTTTCCTTGCCTAGCACCTCTTTTGTCCGGTTATTACTCAGTTCTAACCCACCCCTCTACTCCTAATCTCCGATCCTGGAGGGGTGTCTTTGCTCATCCTGATCCTGACGCGGCGCGGCGCAAGTGGGGCGCCGTTGGCCTGATCTCAAAAAAGAAGAGAAAAAAAGTAGAAACTTCACAAGTCACTCCGTGGCAGGCCGCATCTCGCGGTCTTAAAACCCTTCCGACCTTCTCCGACCTGCAGAAAGACATAGGCGACGTCCGTCATTGATTCTCGGGCTCGGTGGTGGCTGCGTCCTCAGCTTTCATCGCGTCTTTGAGGTGTATCGGTATCGGGTACACACCGACAAGTCACTGCACGAAGGTTAAAATTCGTTGCTCATTGGTTTGGCTTGGTTTGGCCTGGCTTTGTTTCAGGAATCAAATTTGTCGCTATGCCTATTCGTAAGTCTTCGGGTTTCGCTATTTTCTAGCTCCCACTGACTTTTCAACAGCTCGTGGATGGCGAGGACCCATGGGTCGGGCCATTGTGGCGGTGCTCCCGCCTTGTAACTTTCTGACATTGCACTATGTTTATTTCATTGTGGCTTGTGTGGTTGCTAGCATTATACTGTTCTTGACCTCGACGCCTTTTAAGCATGTGGCCTATGTCGATGCGATCTTCTTGTGCGTCAGTGCCATGACTGGCGCTGGGTTGAATACGGTATGTACTCTCTGCCTCGATAGGATTTAGTCTTGGCTAAAGGGCTCTAGGTGGACTTGTCAACTTTGAACACATTCCAACAAGTCATTTTATTCATACTCTTGCTTCTGGGCTCCAATATCCTCATCTCTAGCACCGTGCTCATGGTGCGAAAGCGGGCTTTCGAAGCTAAGCTGAAAGACATCTCGGATTCCCGCGAGGCTTCCCGTCGAGCTTCAGTTCTAGAGCTGCAGACTATGAATCCAACCTTACCGGAGGAGTCTACTAGCAGCAATGTGGATTGTCGGATGCGACTGAAGAGCGCCGTCGTCGTTCAAGAAACTCCCGCTCAGTCATCTTCTATCGTTGACCAGGTTCAATGGACGGACGATGATCAGATAACAGTGGGCGATGAACAACGGCATCATCATTATAACCACCGAGTCTTTCCCATGGTCGGCGTCGGAGCCCGACCAGATCTCAACAACCATCCTCGAGATGTGACTCCGCTGCCATTGTTCAACGATAAACCTTCGGGATTCGGCTTGAAGGGTATCATGCGCGGCACACAGAAGTATTTCTTCTCCAAGGGTCTAGTAGCGCGCAACTCCCAGTTCTACGGCCTTTCATCAATCGAACGTCAAGAACTCGGCGGAGTGGAGTACAAAGCCGTTTCATTCCTGTCATGGACTGTCTCGCTGTACTATATCCTGTTCAACCTTCTCGGAATTATCGGTGTAGGTGCATGGCTGCAGGCGAATCACCCGGAGGTGACGCGTGAAAACGGGCTGGATCCATTTTGGACCGGTGCATTCTTTGCCGTCTCGGCATTCGTGAATAGCGGCATGTCGCTACTGGATAAAAATATGACTGCTTTGCAGTTGAAGTGAGTCTACACGTCCACTGATCTCCAAAAGAGCTTTTGCTGACTCTATAGTGCTTACCCGCTTCTTACTCTGGGCATGCTCATTCTCGCTGGCAACACGCTTTACCCTTGCTTCTTACGCTTCATCATCTGGACTATGAGGATCTTGATGCCGAACAATCCGAGGTGGCAATCGTGGAGAGTCACTCTTGACTTTATCCTAGACCATCCGCGCAGGGTTTACACCAATCTTTTTCCTGCGCGCCATACATGGTACCTGCTCGGTACAATCATTATCCTCAACGGAATCGATTGGGCTGCCTTCGAATTACTCGCTATTGGGAACAAGGAGATCGAGGCTCTTCCGTCGGAATATCGAGTTCTCGATGGCTTGTTCCAAGCATTGGGTTGGTCTTACTCACAACTCTGTTTGGGCTCCGCTAATCTTTTCTGTAGCTGTTCGTGCAGGTGGATTCTACGTTGTGACGATCGCCGATTTACGACAGGGCCTCTTGGTTCTGTATGGTGAGTCCCCATCTCCTCCATCGCCTAAACCTTGCGCTAACAAGTCTCTGCAGTCCTCATGATGGTATGCTTCATCACCGTTCCTAGGTTTTATTTCAAGAGACTAACAAACCAACCAGTATGTATCGGCATATCCAGTCCTAGTGACCATGCGGTACGTACACTCTACCACTGATGTCTGATCGATATCTAACACTAGTCCAGGAACACAAATGTCTACGAAGAAAGATCCCTCGGCATCTACGCCCACGACGAGAGCCCCGACTCACCAGACCGACCAGCCCGGGGCAACGTCCTGATGGACATACTCCGCCACCACATGGGCCGGCCCACCCTTTCAGAACGTTCACGCAGCTACTTCGTCCACCAACAGCTACGTTCCCAACTGAGCCACGACATCTGGTGGATCGCACTAGCCGTCCTCTTCATTGCAATTGCCGAATCCGACCACTACAGCGAACAACCCGTCGCATTCTCTACCTTCAACATTCTTTTCGAAGTTGTTTCGGCCTACGGCTGTGTCGGAGTTAGTGTCGGGTATCCGGGCAAGAATTACTCATTTTGTGGCGCATGGCACACAATCAGTAAGTTGATTCTTGCGGCTGTTGCGCTGCGAGGGAGACATCGGGGATTACCTGTTGCTATTGATAAGGCGATTATGTTGCCTCGTGAGTCTTTGGGGTGGGCTGAGGAGGAGGATGCTGCGTTAAGGAGAGAGCGGGCAGGGGCCTGGCATCAGGATCATATACCTGCAGGGTCCGTTTAATTTGAGAGGTTTGTTTTAATCATACCTCTTCGGGTTGGCTTTGTTTCTGTTCGCAGTGAATGGGATTCTGCCCCTCTTCACCGCATACCTTGCCTCAGCCTCCATGATAGATCTAGTTCCATAGCATCCATCTCTAGAATCTACATCTCTCTCTTTTCCTCCTTCCTTCTTCATAGTTTCATATTGCATAGCGAGGGATCCATGCATTGCCAGAGGTTTACCAGTTACTATTGCAGTAGATTATGATTGGCTTTGAACATTGTATAAATCTTTCATTGAGGTAACATTGTAGCGCGAATATTTGTTTCGCGCCTTCGAATAACATCCGCTTCGTCTCCATTATCATCCAATCTGTGTTGTGAGAGATGGTGGCGATAGAGGTTATGCCCCCGAGGTCAGAGAAAGAACGTCTCGCAAGACTTAGTACTTGCCATTGGCTCCGGCACCCAGTTCGGGATCATTCCTAGAAAGCCATCAGATGATGAACATACTTCATAATGAAAGTCAAACTCACTGTCTCTGAAGACGACGCCAAATACCACTCAAATCACCAACAGGTAACGAAAGAGGGAATCCAACACAGTCAAGCAGCTGGGCAGTTAACAACCACCATCCCATCGCAGTAGCCACAAATAGAGAAGCACCCGCACCCTGAAACCTCCAATGTTAGATGTTGACATGAAGTTTTGAGAAACTCAAACTTACCACAGTCAGGTGGTTACCCATCACTTCATCTCCGGTCCCAAGTTTCCAGTATGCGGCGGCCAGAAGCGAGAATGTCACCACCAGACTCAGGAAGATGACGAAGAAAAGCAGGTTTATGCGACTTGCGCAGATTGTGTAGATCACCATCAGTAGGGCCATGAATAGGAAGAAGAATGCTACATGATGTTAGAGAGTGTACCACATTGTAACAAAGAGGTACACACCAAAGGTATTCACAAAGCCGGCACTGTGGAGACCAGCCAATGTGTTCGTTCCATCTGGAGAATAGGGGGCGGCAGAGTTGAATGCTGGCGTCATGCTAGCACCAAAAGCCAAGCAGAAAGCACCTGAGCCGAGTCAGTATTTCAATTCGACGTTTACGTGCGCATAAGGGATGACTTACCCAGATGACCAAACACAACCGAACTGAACGTGTTTCCAAGGATAAATTCCAAAATACTAGAAACGACCAGAATAAGGCCACCGAACAAAATCAAAACTCCACTAGTCCTACGTCAGTTGATGATTCTCACCGTCAAAGGACAGTGTTCAATTCCTACCTGAAGGCAGCTCCACCTCCACCAGCACCTCTCCAGGCCATCAGGCAACATGCCAGCGGCGTGGCGGTGAGCACGAAAGCTCCAAGTCCCCTAGTCATGTTAATACCTGGACGTCTTGCTTGGGGATAGAGAGAGATCAAAGCTTACAGAGGCGTAGGATTACCAAGATTCTTCGCAAGAGCCGGCTGACGATGCATCATAGGACTGAGATAGAGCTTCTCAAACTGCTCAGCCGACAGGGTCACCGATGTAGGGACCTGTGTCAAGGCCGGCATAGCTCCAGCATCACTCTGTGAAGCATTGAAATCATCGCGTTGAATGAAATCCGCCTTTCCCGTCATAGTGAAGGATCATGCAGTTGAATTTGAATTTGGAATAGGAATAGGAATAGGAATAGGAATAGGAATAGGAATAGGAATAGGAATAGGAATAGGAATAGGAATAGGAATAGGAATAGGAATAGGAATAGGAATAGGAATAGGAAGAGAAACCAATTGACCACAAGAGAATCAGTCCTCCAGTCCAAGGGACTCGGGAGACTCCTTTATAGCTCCGTCCTGAGCCCCAGACATGAGACTCCCGCAAGCCCGGGGAAAATGGAGACTGAAAACTGGGGAAGCCCAAACTCAAAGTCCCATCGGAAGCGTTGTCGGCAGCCTCAGCTCGAGAAACAGCTCTCGGAAGCTGCGTCGGCATAACCAGACGATTTCCGCATTCTGGGGAAACAGAGAAGGACAAGGTTTCGCTCCACATCTCAGGGGGGGGGGGGGGGGTTTCACGATCGCAGACCCTGGACCTGGCTTCCGATAGGAGAGGACTGAAGATCCAATCCTATCACCAGGCGGACTCATTGGCCCCTTTTTTTTAAGTCTGCCGATCGTCCATTTCCATGGGTTCCGTGAAGTTAATAGCTGGCCGAGAAATCTGCCGAAGATGCGGAACCACCGAGTTTGGGATCCGTCGAGCGAGGATCGTCGGGTAGTGCCAATGAACGGGTCTGTAGTTCCAGGATCTGGAGGTTGATTCCCCGCATTTGATCATTATTGGGTGGGGATCCAGACGTACGTACAGACACAGGCCCGCTTTTATACCTTCTTATACTTTATTAGATAGGTGATGATGGTGAGGGCGAGTATTAGCGGAATGCCCATTCCGCGCTCTGGGTTGGCTTGTTGGGTTGTATAGAACACATGGGAAGGGATGGTGGCAATCCCCGTGCGAGTGAGCCCCAGATCACAGAATGAGCAGAGTCCTAGCATACGGGGAGCTCCCCGGTCTGTCCCCCAGGTCTTACTCCCTATGTCTACTCTCCAGCTTAAGCCAGGATACGCTCTACAGACTCGGTTATAACACGCCAGGTGTGCCTTCAAAAACGCCAAATTCTTTTGATGCGGATTCCAATGTACCCAAAATAGTTTAAACAGAGCAAAAATTTACAAAAGGGGACTACTCGTCCTCCATCTCCACCTCATCCTCGTCTTCCTCTTCCTCCTCAACCTCGCTCTCCATCTCCTCTTCGCCTTCCCCGTCGTCACTGCCATCATCGCTGCCGAATTCATTCATCAATTCGTCGCCATTGCTCTTGGCCTCGGCTCTCCGCTTCTCCTCCTCAAGACGACCCTCCTCGAGAATGGCAGCACGCTCCTCTCGCAACTTACGCTGAGACTTGACAAAAGCGCCAAGAGGGGTAGACTCCCAGTCGACATCCTTCAGGAAGGTATCGACCTCAGTGCGGTTGCGCGGTGTGTAGGTGACATTCAAGCGACGCTCTTCGATCCAACGGGAATTAGCCTCGACCTTCTGCACCATCAACATGATCATCTGGTTGATCTTGCCGTTCTTGTTGCCGCCGGAGCGGGCAGACACCTGCTTCAACCAGCGCTTCAGAGCCACAACGACAGGGACCGAGAGTTCGGGGAAGGCAATGTGCTTGGACCACAGGACGAAGAACTCGGACAGGAGCTCGGCGACCTGCTCTCCGACACCGTCTTGGTAGGTACGCGAGCGCAGGTAAGACTTGGGTGCACGGATGGCGGTGTTGAACTCGAGAGGCTTGAGAGTGCTGGACCTGGGGGACTTGCGCATCTCGGCAGAGGTGAGGACCTCCAAGAGCGAGGCTCCAAGAGGAATGTAGGTACCGGTGGCACGAGAAATACGCAGCAGGGCACGGGTCATCTGGAAGCGCAGGGGAAAGTACTGTGCTGTGGGGATCAGGCGCATGGCACCCAGTGTGATCTGAACAACGGGGTAGATGAGTGGGCGCAGAGCGGACTGCTTGCCAATCTTGGCCTCAACGAGACCGTCGCAGTGCTGGGAGAGCACGCGGGACCAGAAGTCGAGAGAGTGCACGTATTGCCAGTTGTAGATGGCCTTGTAGGACTCCTTGGTTGTGTTGGTGATGCTCTTGCGCAAGTGCATGGCCAATTGGCGGATGAACCCGAAGCCAGTAGTGTAAGACACGTTCTGGTCAATGCCCCAGATCTCGGCGGCGGAGTTCTTCATCAAGTTCACACCAGCCAGGGTGTGCACAGTGGTGTTGCGGCTTCCCTTGACCACACCCTCGTAGGTCAACTTGAGGACGGTCTCCTTGATACCCGCGTCACCCATAACCATGAGGCGACGCAGCAAAAGGAAAGCAGTAATACGGGTGGTATCAGCGTTGGCGACATCAGACCAAATTCCGACAATGGTCTTGATGAGGGTCTTCAACACCTTGCGGAATTGAAGGAGATAAGGAAGCATGGGCTCCATGGCGGCCAGCGTCAGCTTTAGAGTCGATGCATCGGACAGGTTCATCAGAAGCTGGTGGGTTGAAGAGGTATAGGACTTGATCAAAGGCGTGAGGGTCTTGAACTTCTTAGAGTCCATGGACACCTTGATCTTGCCGGCGGCGGTCTCCTTAACCGGGAGATGGTGTCCCAAGACTCTAGGAACAACATTCAGGGCAGTGACGAGCACCTGGTGGTAGACCTCGGGGTCAGAGATAACGTATTTCTGCTCCGGGGGGTTGGCCTCGTGAACGTAGGACGCCGCACGGAAAGCAAGAACAGTCTGGCGCATAGCACGGACTGAGTGTTGCTCTTCCATCAATTTCTGCCACTTTTGGACCATTGGGATCGTTAAAGTGACGGAAGTGTCTTCGGGCTCCTCTTGCTGGACCTTCTTCTTTTTCTTCTTCGCAGGGCCCTCTTCCTCGGCCTCGCCCTCACTAAGATCGTCAACCTCGGACAGATCGCCCTGGTCACCGAAATCGAGCAGCTCCGCATCGTTCTCCTTCAGATATTTGTAGAACTCGGGATCCTTCTCCTTCAATGCCTCGAGCTCGTTCTTGTGGTCGTCGAAGGCGTTCGCGTCGTCATCACTGGCAGCATCCTCGCCGGCCTCGGAGCCAGAGGCAACAGCCTCGTCACCCTGGGCCTGATCTGTGGTGCGCTTGCGCTTGCCGATCTTGGGGGTAACGTCCTTTTTGCTCGCCTTCTTCTTGCCGTTGACTTCTTCTGGGATGTCAAAACCGCCAGCGAAGAAGTCATCGACATTCATCTCCTTGAATGCATTCTTCTGCTTTTCCTCCTCAGGGTCCGCCCCGTTCGCATCTTCGGCTTCGCGACGGCTGGCACTCTTGGCCTTGCGCTTTTCGTTCAGTTGGTGGCGCTGCTTGATCTTCGCGCCCTCCTTGCGGCGTTCGAGAATATCCTTGAGATGGTTCTTCTCGAATTTCTTCGTTGATTTTTTCGCTCCACCCATTGTGACGGTTGTTCTGCAAAAATTGAGCTTGCAGATTGCGGTCAACTACGAGAAAAAAAAATTGGCTCGGGGAAAATCAGCGGGTCCGCCTCCGCGACCGCCTTTGTAGCTGCCGATAAGACAAGGCCGCCTCTGACTTCCTAGTAGGCCATTGTCACAACTTACTCTGGCTCTGGCTCTGGCTCTTTTAATTCCATTTTCAATCGTTTTCAAGATGTACACTCAGCGCCCACTGTCCTATGCTCCCACTCCATACAGCTACATGCCCAATCCCGCTCGGTCGGCCTCAATCAATCTCGATGAAGTACGTTCGGTGGCACCAATTGCGGGGGCCTGATGCTAACATGCTCAAGGAAGTGAAACTGGTCTCCAGCTCTGGAGAACGAGATCTTTACGAGTCGCTCGCCGAAATATACAGCATTATCGTCACTCTCGATGGCCTTGAGAAAGCATACATCAAGGACGTGGTCACAGAGGCGGAGTACACCGAGACATGCACGCGGCTCCTGAAGCAGTACAAATCGAGTTTGGGAGATGAATCCGTGTCGCGAGAATTTGTGGATCTGGAGACTTTCAAACGCACATGGGGAGTATGTTTATTGCAATGCCCACTGTCTATCATGTCTAACCCGATCCCAGTTGGAGTGTCCTCGCGCATCCGAACGACTACGCATCGGTCTTCCTGCAACTGTCGAGCAGGCCTCACACGGCGCAATTGCAGCCAGCAATACAGCATCCGGCGGCGGGGGTGGCGCATCGGGCAGTCTGATCTTGGCGGCGACTGAGAACTTCATCACCTTCCTCGACGCATTGAAGCTGAACATGTTATCGAAAGACGCCTTGCACCCTCTGCTCTCCGAAGTGATCCAGTCGGTCAATAAAGTTACAGACGGAGACTTTGAAAGCCGCGGCAAGATCATTCAATGGTTAATCGCGTTGAATCAGATGCGAGCGACGGAGGAATTGAATGAGGACCAGGCGCGGGAATTGTCATTCGATATTGACCAGGCCTACCAAGGGTTCAAGGCGACTCTCAACTAATCTGCATCGGCACGGCGTTTTTTATGGGCTATTTGGATTATGTGATTCACGATACCACTCTAGTTATGCTTCGGAGCATCTATCTCAATTGCTGTTTTCTGTACAGATGTTGCATACACGATTTACGAAGTACTGTGAATTCACGCGATACTTTATTTCCTCTATTCCGCCCTGGAAGAACAGAATCAACAGTGCTGCTGCAGCCATCTTTAAACTGTTAGTCGATCTAAATATTCCAATCTTCACTTGATTGGGTTCCTGATTTCTGCCTGAATCTCCGGGCAAACCCACGATCCGCGGAACCGACACCAGCCTTTCCTCTTTGGGTTTTTTCTTTTTCTGCGTGGCGCGTGGCGGTTGATGGGGCTCCGATAAAACCCTCGATCTTACCCCGACGGCGATGCTGGTTTCTCGTGTACCTGGTCTTCAGGAACCGGTTGCCCACAATGATCAGTACCAATGACGAGCCGCTGCATGGTGAGTACATGATTTAAACATCTTCTCCACTAGCTAGTGAAACTTGAACTGATAAGGGGTCTACAGTGCTCGACCTGCCCCAGATCTACGCGAAACCCTCCGGCACAGATCTCATCAAGGCCCTGACTTTATTGGCTCTGCAACCTCGCACATTTGGCACCACTGCGGATGTAGTCAAGGGTCCGGCAGTGCAGCCGGCTGGTGTGACTCGCTATCTCACCTCGATCATCGCAAGCCCGCTGTCATGGCTTGACACGGAGGAGTTGCGGGAGGCTGTCTGGGATGCGGCTTCTGCCCGTCTCAGTGAGAGGTCTGGACGTGCCGGTAAGGCTACTCTTATCGCCATGTTATATGCTTTGCTGACATCTGCCCCTAGCCATGCCGGCCATGTCGCGCGTCTTCAGTGTGCCCACCTTGTCCGGCGAAGACTACACCCTCACCTTGCACGAACCATCCATCACCGCAGATAATTTGGGTATGAAGACCTGGGTCTCGTCTTATCTTCTTTCCCGCCGACTGCACAACCTCCTCGACTCGCCGCCGGAACTCGTGCCGTCAGGACCCACCGAGCCTTCAGCCAAGTCCGACACCAACAAACCACTACGTGCGCTTGAGCTCGGCTCTGGCACGGGGCTCGTCGGTCTGGCCTTTGCCGCTCTCCAGGGCAAATCAGCCACCGTCCACCTGACCGACCTCCCGGACATCGTGCCCAACCTCGCCCACAACGTTGCGCTGAACGTCGAGCTCCTCAAAAGCACAGACGCAGCCGTGACAACAGACGTGCTGGACTGGTCCGTGAAACCGACCCCACTGCCTTCGGCGCAAGAGCGCTTCGATGTGATCCTGGCTGCGGACCCGCTATACTCGCCCAAGCACCCTAAGTGGCTCGTGGACACAATCGGAGTATGGCTGAGTCGTGGACTTGACGCACGAGTCGTGATGGAAATGCCGCTTCGCGAGGCGTATATTCCACAAAGACAAGAGTTGCGCCAACGAATGGCCGACTTGGGTCTGGCACCAGTTCAAGAAGGCGAAGAGATCGGATACGACGACTGGGAGAGCGCGAATGGCGAGGCACTCGCCGTGAAGTGCTGGTGGTCCATATGGGGATGGAGCGAGAAAGTCTAGTCGACCACCTGGATCGCGCTTTCTTGTTTCCCCCCCCCTTCCTCCTTCAACTTACGATCCAAGCGAGGACACCTCCACGTCACAATTCCTGCTGGCGACATGAGACACGAATAGACGATACACGATAGAATCGCATTCTACAAATAGACAATTTATATACACTCACTTAGAACGCGAGTAAAGCATGATGAATATTCAGGTGGGTTGAATGTAGAACTGTGACGATGTCAAGACACGCGCCCCCCCCCCCCGTCACGTGGGGCAATGACGTCGGTGTCAAACATCCAAAAAATACCTGGGCAGCGACTCGACTCATCCACGGCTCATCTTGTTCCACTTTACATTAGAAGAGTCCGAGTACCGTGCGCCTCATGAACTCACTCCATCTCCAGTCCACATCGCCAGGGTGAAAGGCATAGCCCACGAGTACCAATGAAACGCAAGTCACCATAACCTCCAGACACCGGAGACACTTTACAAACGTTCAACCCAAAGCCAAGCCGGCCACACTATATACTCGTCGCAGTAAAGACAATCGCGTCAATATGGTCATCGGCCTCTTGATGCTGTCGTCTATCCCGGCAGTCACTGGCGTGGCGTTCGGCGTTAGCGAGCAGCGCAAGTCGAACCAGCGCCGAGAAGATGCGCGGCGAATGGTCAAGTTCAATATCGACGCCCAGTGCAGCGGAGATACGGATGATGATCGCGATGTACATGGGCGGAGGGTCGTTGTGCGAGACGAAAAGGTGAGAGTTGGGATCTAGTTGCAACAAGTACTCGAACTAACACCGTCCAGGTCTACCTTGACGATCCGAATCCTGCGAAACGATCCCATCCTGCCTTTACATCTCTGGCCTTTTATATTGAGTACCCAGAGCTTGACGAGACGAAACATCTCAATCGAGGTCTAGGGCTACCGACATACGTGCAGGCCAATCCGCCGCTATTGAACTGGATCTACGCGGACAATGATACGTATGAGTTGAAGTACGGAAACCGCACACAGAGCGTGGAACATCTTGTCGGGCCGTGGGACTGGACAGAAGATGAAAAAAGTATTATTTTAGAAGAGAAGAGCGCGTTCGTGGCGGTTGAGGAGGAGGAAGGCGAATGGGCTCTATACTTCGATCGGGACGGGGATGAGTTAGCGCGAGTACTGGAAGAGCAGGACATGTTGGATTGCGCTTTTGTCCCCGTAACTCTTATCAGACAGATCGTTGAAGAGCCACCTGCTCCAAAGGCACAGAGTCAGGGCTAAATACAGAAGAATGGGGAATAATGAATGAATGCGTTGATGATTACATCTGGTATATGTACCAGGATATGAAAAATACGCCTATACTGAATTTATTTAATCGTCCAATCCATCCCAGCTTCCGTCACTCTCATTTCCTACAGCTCCGCCCTCCGCCTTGCGATTGCGACTAGCAGCAATAGCACCCCTCTTGCGGTTCTCCATGCGGCGCTCGTAACCACTCTTCGTACTGATTCTTGCAGCGCGGGAGCCCTTCTCATTTTCGTCCTTGCCGAGGTTCTTCGAGACCTGGCGAGCCTTGACACCGTGTTTCTTGAGTTCTTGCTTATCCTTCTTGCTCAAGTCGGGAAGTGACTCAAGCAGCCATTTCTGAATAGACTTCTTGCCATCGGTTCCACGCAGCTTCTCGCTGGCATCGATGACATTCGCAATGCTCTTGACGTAGGGAATATCTTCCTTGGTGTAATATGTAACAGCGATACCGCCCTCGCGACCAGCGCGTCCGGTACGTCCGACGCGGTGGACGTAGACAGCGGCAGAGTTGGGGATGTCGTAGTTGACGACGCCGTTCAGGCCGCGGAGATCGAGACCACGGGCGAGGACGTCTGTTGTGACGAGGATCCAGATCTCGCCTTTGCGGAAGTCACGCATGATTTCTGAGCGCTGGATGTCTGAGAGGTCGGAGTGGAGTACGGCAATGCGCGATGATCCTCCTGCTTCGGCGGGGATATCGTATTTCAATTCCGAATGCAGGGCAATTGCACGGGGGATAGTTTGTGTGAAGATGAGGAATGGGGGTCGGAGACGGATATCGTTTGCTGCAGCTGCGGTTGGGCGAAGCAGCTGTCGAAGACCGAGCAGCTTACCTTGTTCGGTTGCTGCGTAGACGAGACGGTGGTCGATATTAGGAACGGCCGAATCCTTGAGACCGACAACAAGGCGAACCAGGGGGTAAAGCTTGTCGCTATTTTGGCCAAGGTTTTCCAGGCGCTCTTTGATCGTGGAGCGAGTGAGATCTTCGATGTTGGAGCCCATGGTGGCGGACCACAAGCTGACGCGCAGGTCTGGATGCACGCATGAGCGCCAGATATCGAGTGTCTGGTCCCGGAACAATGGGTCCATGAGAACATCTGCCTCGTCCAGCACCAGGCTTCGTACCAAGGGCAGTTTGCCCAGAGGCTTAGTCTGATTTGCGGACAAGGAATTGACCAGCTGGAGGGGGTAGTAACCAGGATGTCACTCTTGGTGAGAGGCGATTTGTTCTCGGCCTTCTTGGGTTTGCTCTCTTCTTCTTGGTCAGATTCATCAGATCCCTCACTCTCTTCATCGAGGACATTCGCATCGCCTTCCTCGTCCTGCTCCACCACCCGCATGCCCTTCTTCATGAGTGTAATCTTCACACCAGTGCCAGCCACCAATTTCCGGCCCTCGTTAACAATCTGGCTGGCAAGCTCCTTGGTAGGCGCCACAACCACAGCTGAAATTCCATGCTCATCAGGTTTGGTGTGATGATGGCGAACAATCTTGTTGATGGCGGGAATCAAAAATGATAGCGTCTTTCCGCTCCCGGTGGGAGCAACGACCAAAAGATCTGGCTCCGCCTGGTTTTCAGTGGCGATCGAAGAACCACCAAGCATGATGGGAAGAGTTCCCAACTGCACCTCCGTGGGCACAGTAAATCCCTGCTCGGCGACATTCGCGGCGAGGCGGCTCGAAATCTTGTATTTCGAGCGCAGCTCCTTGAAAGAAAGCAATGGCTGAGGATAAATGCGACGAGCACGCTTCATCTCCTTCTTGCTGAGAGTGGGAGCTTCTTCCTGCTTGGACTTCTTCTTTTTCTTCTTGGAGTCCTTTGCAGGTGCAGGCTGAGACTGAATCTCGTCCAGATCGCGGAGATCGGTGACTTTGATCTTATGCGAGTTCAGGATAGTGCGACGCTGGACTTCGTCCATAGCCTCCTCGTCATCTGATCCATCGTCTTGAGCTGATGCTTGCTGCTGGTCGGGCTTGGCGGTAGATTTTTCCGTCGCAGCCGGCGCAGAGCGTTTGTTCGAGTTGAAAAAGTCTAGTTCAGGCGCATCATCTCCATCTTCATTGTTTGCGACAGGTGCTCTCTTTCTTTTCTTGTTACTCTGCGCAAGTTCAAGCTTCTCGCCTTCCTCCGTCCGGAACAGTTGCGGGTTGGCGGCTTTGCCCGCTGAAGGCAGACGCGCAGCAGACTCTGTAGCCGGCGTGGCCGACTTGAACTTCGTTGACCGAGTCAACAATCTGAAAGCGTCCATTTTGTATGGCGGATGAAGTGAAGGAAAGCCGACTTTGATATTTCGCAAGGAAAAAAAAGTGACCCACTGAGTTTGCTTCCGGACCAATCATACTGCGCACCCACCAATCATCGGCACCCATGCCAATATAGGTGCGGAATCAAGGTGGTAATCATTTCACGGCAAGGAATTCGCTATTAAAAGGGACTCAGGCGCGGAGCGAAGAGCAATGGAATCAGCAATACGATCTCGTCGTCTATCATGCCCGTTGTGCAGAGGAAAGACATAAGACATCTCGGCCTTGGATTTCGATTTGGGAAACTACAGAGCTTCAGACCCAACACATACAATGGAGTCCACGTTTTTTAAGGTTCAAATGAATTGCGATCAATGATCTCTATCTCAGACAACAGTTTATATTCCATCGTCTATCATACAGTGCACAACTTTAGGGGAAACAGGGAACAAAGGAAAGGAACAAGAGAAAGGCGATTGGGTTCCAAGTTTAGTGTCCGTGTGCAGGCTCGCCCCGGTAGCCGACAATGTTCATGCGACCGATCATCTCGCCGACGGTGAAGAAGCCGATGACTTCGGCGGCGGTGACACCGGCGAGGGCGAGCTCCTTGGGGCTGGCGTTGCGGACGCGAGCCAACCAGTTCTGGGGCGAGGGGAGGTTGATGCTCTTGAGGGCGGCGGGGTTCTTGGAGGCGTTGATCAGGGGCTGGAAGTAGGACTGGAAAGTGGCCATGGAACTAGAGATGTGTTAGATCGCGTGTGCAATGCGGTTGTTTCGGCTGGACGGCTTACGGAGGAGTCATGTTCTGGCCACGGAACACCAGCTTGCCGAGTTCAAGGCCGACCTTGGAGTAGTAGAGAGTCGGGGGGATCATGGCTGAATTGGATGATAACAATGTTAGCGGTGCACCGATGGGGATGGACTCGGATGGCCGGATGTCAACAAGGAGGGTTTGTGAGAGAGGCACGATTCCCATCATAACAATTGTATTCCCACGCCTCTGGCATCAATCCCCCCGTGTGTATTCATCAAGATCAGGTGTCCGGAGTAGGAGGATATCGCTTACAGTCGACGAAAGAGACGACCTTGCCGACAGGGCCGCCGACCTTGCGGAGGGCAGTGGCAGCGTTGGAGATGGCCGGGCCAGCGGCAGCGGAGGCCTTGGACAGACCCTCGGAAGCCTTGGAGGCAGCCGAAGAGGCAGTCTGGCTGGCCTTGTTGGCGGCCTCGGAGGTGGACGAGGAGTGTCTGACGACGGTTCTCCGGGTCAGGAACTGCGATTGCCGCAGAACGGCACGGGTGGCAGCGGGCATTTTGGGGACTGCGGGAGAGGTAGAAGGAGCGAAGATGAAGATCCGAGCACAGGTCACCCGTTGCAGTCGCTGGTGTGAGGACGAGGGGGTCCAATGGCGGTTTTCTTATGGCGCAACGAAGGACCAGAATCTGCGGATTCGAGGTCGGGAACTTCAGGGAATGGGTCACGTGAGCGGCCGCCGTCTGTGCCTGCATCGGAGGTAAAAAATATACCGTTGATAAGCAGTCAAAAGTAATTCGGAGACGATTAATCTCATTTTGAAGATCACTTTAGTATTCTTACGGAATTATTGAACAGTGCAAGATGTGTATGGATGGTGTGCGCTATTCCGAGTACGCAGTTACGGCAACACTAACAACACATGCGCCCGGACTACGCCCTGTGAATATGATGATCTTTGGATCCTACCTAACTTTGATTTGTAAATTACAATGAATGTTAAACTCCTTACTCTTTTACTCATAGGGGGCGTCAAAGTGACCTTCACAAGGCTGCCATCTTGTCGGACTCTTCCTAGTTATATATCCTAAGTACCAACGGGCTCTGGCACCGGGGCCTTGCATTGACGTAACATGATACGATTTTCAATAACCACCTGAGCATCATCTATCACCTAACACTGCCCTTCTATTTATCCAATTATTCTCATTTAGGTCTACAATTTGGTATAAACAATTGATCCACCAGAAATGTGCACCAAAGAATGCTATCTAAGGCTGTGAGCGGTCTTCAGCCCTTCCGACGACGTTCTTCAATTGTGATTACCAAAATCTCCCGATGATGTATCTTTATCTCGGTGATATCCGAATTCCCAGAAGACAGTTCGTCGCCTTTTCTAGGTAAATGTTCACAGTCACAAAATTATACTCTAGCCTAACAGTTGTTTGGCCCTCCTTCAACAAGTCGGTGCAACAGAGGACGTGAAGATAGGCGATGACCTGAGTTTCTGTTCCTCACACCACCCTCTCGTAGCTCCGTGGCCGAGCACTTCTTCCCAGTTCATGCAAATAGGAGGAAGGCTTCAGAGTGTCCTTTATAAAATGCGAGATAAGATACAACGCGAACCAAGCAAACAATGAGAGAAGAGAGCATGGAAGCCGAGTGCCTGAGAGGCATTTCATATATTGACTCTTCTCATATGCCTCACTTTTCCATCGCAACTACCACAATTGGCTTAGTGATCAATGAACTTCAGTAATGATCTATCTCGCGACTCCGGCATCATGACAGGTCGCATTCGTCGGGCGCTTCCAGTACTTCATGGTCCTCATTCTCGTGATCGGGTTCACGGTTGACTGCGTCATCAACAGGGCTGTCTGCGCACAGTGAACGCAGACATCAGTCTCCTAATTCTCTCACTCAGTTACAGCCAACCTCCCGCAGATGAAGATGGAACCGACAAACAAGAAAGACTAGGATAGGCGGCCTAGTCAAGTCCTGCACAAGTCAATGTTCCATGGTTGGCCCTGGATTGACTATGGGATTAATGTCTGGTCAAGAGACCCCTCCGAGCCCTGGGCGATGACCCTTGCTCTTGAATGTCATGCCCTTTCCCAGATCACCCCACCAGTTCCGTCTCAAGATCTCGGGCCAACCACTGAACCTACCACCGCGACTCTCCATACACCAGTATGTGAGCGCCCTGAGGTAATAAGTCCTTCTACTGACTAATGCATAGTCAGTCTTGGATCTTTGACATTGCTCGTGACTATCATGTTTCACAATCTCCAATTAAGCACGTTAACGTTACACCGACTCCTGGTTGATATCACCCTGGGCTGTGACAATGGAAACCACTCGGAGGGATACTCTTTGCAAGTCACCAGAGGAATACCGGGATCTATGTGAGAGGAGGAAGTATTCCTGAACTAATCGAGTCTATACACATCCAATGCAATCGCGTGTTTCTATGGCTCAATTGACAGCTGTTTGCACTGTTTGCTGCGGATAAAGGCCGCCATTTCCCCCGCCATAAAAAATCCATCAACCAGCGTGCAGCCGCCGGAAAATTGCCATTTGTGGGCTCATGCGCCGTTTGGTAGCATCAAGCTTCAAAAAGTGGCTTTTTGATGTGGACTCGCTTCGAAGTGAAGAATCACCTGACATTCGATGCATTTCTGTTTGTTCCACTGCCAGAATGTAGACACCGATATAGACAAACAGAAAGGACCAAGTCCTTGATATTAACCGATAGCCGACCGGCTTCGGCCCGATTAGAAAGGGGTGACAGGAGACCGGGCGAGTCCCACGTTTCATAGCGGAGGAGGACTACCTGGTTGAGCAGTCACCAGGTAAGTCACCCCCGCGCGGTTAAATGGGCTGCCCCTCCACTCCACTTTTTTACTCCACGTCCTGTACTGGATGACGAGGGGGAGTAAAAACGCCTGATCACCTGCTCCTAGGTTTAAATAAAGAGCCGGTCTTGCACATTCTACTTCGGTCAATTCTCATTCCATCGTTCACCATGTCTTCCGCTACCACCGTCACCAAGACCAACATCGGCGTGTATACCAACCCCAACCACGACTTGTGGATTGCGGAGGCCGCCCCGAAAGTCGAGGATGTTCAGGGTGGCAAGGGCCTGAAGTCCGGCGAGGTCACCATCGAAGTTCGCAGCACTGGTATTTGCGGGTAAGAATCCAATTGCGCCCGTGAAAGACCAATCTAACCCAATGATGATAGATCTGATGTTCACTTCTGGCACGCCGGCTGCATTGGTCCCATGATCGTCACCGGGGATCACATCTTGGGCCATGAATCTGCCGGCCAGATCGTTGCGGTCGCTCCCGATGTCACCCACCTTAAGCCAGGCGACCGTGTCGCTATCGAACCCAATGTTATCTGTAACGCTTGCGAGCCCTGCCTGACTGGCCGTTACAACGGCTGCGAGAAGGTCGACTTCCTGTCCACTCCTCCCGTCGACGGTCTGCTCCGTCGCTATGTCAACCACCCTTCCATTTGGTGCCACAAGATCGGCGACATGAGCTACGAGGACGGTGCCCTCCTGGAGCCCCTCAGCGTGACTCTGGCTGCCGTCGAGCGCAGCGGGCTGCGCCTGGGTGACCCTTTGCTTATCACGGGCGCCGGTCCCATTGGTCTGATCAGTCTGCTTAGTGCTCGCGCTGCTGGTGCCTGCCCCATTGTCATCACCGATATCGATGAGGGTCGTCTGGCCTTCGCCAAGAAGCTCGCTCCGGAAGTGCGCACCTACAAGGTGGAGATTGGCAAATCGGCCGAGGAGTCCGCAGACGGTATCATCAACGCTTTGAACGATGGAAAGGGTTCCGGCCCGGATGCTCTCCGCCCCAAGCTGGCTCTAGAGTGCACGGGTGTCGAGAGCAGTGTCAACTCCGCCATCTGGAGTGTTAAATTCGGCGGTAAGGTGTTCATCATTGGCGTCGGCAAGAACGAGATGACCATTCCCTTCATGCGCCTGAGTACCCAGGAGATCGACCTGCAGTATCAGTACCGCTACTGCAACACCTGGCCCCGCGCGATCCGTCTTGTGCAGAATGGTGTTATTGACCTGCGCAGCTTGGTCACTCACCGCTTCGCCCTTGAGGACGCCCTCAAGGCCTTTGCGACCGCTGCAAACCCCAAGACTGGCGCTATCAAGGTGCAGATTATGAGCTCCGAGGAGGATGTCAAGGCCGCCAATGCTGGCCATTCGGTCTAAGTGTGTTATTAGGGCTGGTGTTGGGGCTGGTGTTGGGGCTGGGTGGAGCTGATGAACTTTCCTAATGAATGATGCTTAGAGATGCCCGCTGGGCATAATAGAGAGCCATGAAATGAATTTCCTTTTGTTCGAATGTCTCAACGTTTCAAAGTGGCCATGAGTAAAGTTTGTATGGGGCTCGGGTACCTTGAGATCGAGGACGAGGACCCGTGTCTCAGCAACCCTAATCTAACTCCAGGTACGATTGTCGCTCCACCCTTGTTCTGTCTAGTTTAGACATCATTTTCGATCTTCACGCGGTCCTTAACCGAAGGTTTTTCTCAATTTTCATGTACGCCGGACGGACCCTGCGGATCTGCCAAGATGCTTGTCCCGACAAAAGTCCGCATCTGTATGTTCGCTAGTCTCTGTAATGCAGGGAACATGGCATAGACGCCACGTCAAGCAGGAACATCGACGTCTGCACTGCCCTCACTTGGGCTTCTCGTATTACTGCTCCATGCCACCTCGTCCTCTTCGCATAATCATCGGATATTATCCTCTCCACCTTCCCCTCCACGTTTGCCTGTCGCTTTGTCCCACATTCGCATCCCACCCAGCCCTGATCATTACTTAAATCGGCCCTGGCCTGTTTTTTAATCCTTCCAAGTTCCCGCTGCTGTGTATTCAACGGTTTTCAGTTGGGTCTTGAATATGCGGGCCTCTCTCTTTCTCTTCGCTCCCCTCGTGGGTGCCGCTGTTCTCAACCATCGAGACAACATTGATCAGTGCCCTGGCTACAAGGCCGTCAATGTCAATGAGCAGGGCCTGAAATTCACGGCCGACCTCACTCTGAACGGTGATCCTTGCAATGCATACGGCGATGACCTGCAGGATCTGAAGCTTCTCGTGGAGTACCAGGATGGTTCGTGACATTGAAACTTCTCGAGTATGATTAATTGCTGACCGATTCAGATGACCGTCTTCATGTGATGATCTACGATGCGGATGAGGATGTTTACCAGGTCCCCGGCTCTGTCGTTCCTCGTCCCAGCCCTAACGGTAGCCACAAGAAAGGCCAGCCTTCTCTGCGATTTGACTACCAGCCAGACCCCTTCAGTTTCCGCGTTCTGCGCGATACTGAAGACGGCGATGAGCAGGTTCTATTCGACACCACTGATACCAACATCATCTTTGAATCCCAGTATCTAAACCTGCGTACCTGGCTGCCAACTGATCCCAACCTGTATGGACTGGGTGAGCACACCGACTCACTGCGTCTGCCCACTACTAACTACACACGGACTCTCTGGAGTCGTGATGCTTATGGCGTGCCCTCTAACACGAATTTGTATGGTAATCACCCTGTCTATTTCGACCACCGCGGTGATGCTGGCACCCACGGAGTCTTCTTCTTGAACTCGAATGGCATGGACATCAAGATCGACAAGACCGATGATGGTCGTCAGTTCCTGGAGTACAATACTCTGGGCGGAGTATTTGACTTTTACTTCATGGCGGGGCCGACTCCTAAGGATGTCGCCAAGCAATACTCAGAAGTCGTGGGTCTGCCTGCCATGCAGGCCTACTGGACCTTCGGTGTACGTACTCGATGTTGTGGTATCGTCGTCTTCATAACTGACTATTCAAATAGTTCCATAATTGTCGATATGGATATCAGGATGTCTACGATGTTGCTGAAGCGGTGTACAACTACACTCACGCTCATATTCCCCTAGAGACCATGTGGACAGACATTGACTACATGGATGCCCGACGTGTTTTCACACTGGATCCGGAGCGCTTCCCCCTTGAGAAGATGCGTGAGTTGGTGAATTATCTTCACCGACACCATCAGCATTACATCGTCATGGTGGACCCAGCTGTTAGTGCCAGCGGTATGTCGACAGAGATCCTCGTTTTACACGGAAGAAGATCTGACGCAGATAAAACTTGATAGACAATGGCGCTTTTAACCGAGGCAAAGAGGCAGATGTCTTTTTGCACCGCCCTGACTCGCCCGACTCGATCTTTGAAGGTAAGGTACCCAACGTGTATTTCATACAAGTTACTCACATGCATATAGGTGCCGTCTGGCCTGGCGTTACCGTCTACCCAGACTGGTTCAACCCCGACACAACGCAGTCGTGGTGGAACGACGAGTTCAAGAGATTCTTCAACGAGCATGACGGAGTCAACATCGACGGCCTCTGGATTGATATGAACGAAGCGGCGAACTTCTGTCCCTACCCATGCAGTAACCCTGAGCAGTACGTCAAGGACAACGATCTTCCTCCTGCACCTCCGTCCGTACGCCAGCCGCCGCGCACTATTCCAGGTTTCCCCGATGACTTCCAGCCCAAGAAGAATGGCAAGCAGCGTCGTTCTACTGGACGCAAGGTTGGTCTGTCGAATCGTAATCTCATTTCGCCGCCTTATGAAATTGCGAATGCTGCTGGGTCGCTCAGCAACAAGACCATCAATACTGATATCATCCATGCTGGTGATGGGTACGCCGAGTATGATACTCACAACCTCTACGGTACTAGTAAGTGTGACTTTACCTTGTGGCACTTCACTTTATACATGTTCTAACTACTTCAGTGATGAGCTCTGCCTCGCGCGAGGCCATGCTGCTTCGCCAGCCCGCGGTTCGCCCTCTCGTCATTACTCGTAGCACCTTTGCCGGCGCAGGCTCTCACGTCGGTCACTGGTGAGGAATCCCAAAACAATCCACGCAGGGTACATCCATACTAACACCTCCAGGCTCGGAGACAACCTCAGCCAGTGGGACAAGTACCGCGTCTCTATCGCTGAGATGCTAGCCTTCGCCTCAATCTTCCAAATCCCCATGGTGGGCTCCGACGTCTGCGGTTTCGGCGGCAACACAACCGAAGAGCTCTGCGCTCGCTGGGCCACCCTCGGCGCCTTCTATCCATTTTACCGCAACCACAACGAGCTAGGCAGCATAGATCAAGAATTCTACCGCTGGCCCGTCGTCGCCGACGCCGCGCGCAAGATAATCGACATCCGCTACCGCCTCCTTGACTACCTCTACACAGCCTTCCACCGCCAAACCCAAACAGGCGAACCCTTCCTCCAACCTCTCTTCTACCTCTACCCCAACGACGCAAACACATTCTCCAATGAAGGCCAATTCTTCTACGGAGACTCCCTTCTCATCTCCCCGGTCCTCGATCAAGGCTCAACCTCCGTAGATGCCTATTTCCCCTCGGACACATTCTACGACTGGACAACCGGCGCCCGCATCACAGGCAAAGGCAAAAGTATCAAACTATCCAACATCGCCCTCACTGACATCCCAATGCATATCCGCGCAGGTAGTGTTCTCCCACTCCGCTCCAAAAGCGCAATGACAACTACGGAACTACGCACACGGGGCTTCGAACTCGTCATCGCGCCAAACGAGGACAACTTCGCCTCGGGCGAACTGTACCTGGATGATGGCGAATCTCTGAACCCGACGGGGACATCCCTCATCCATTTCACATTCAGTGAGAACAAGTTGCATCTCCGTGGTGACTTCGGATACCAGGGTAATGTGGTTGTTGAGACTATCACGTTGTTGGGTCAGAAGAATGCTGGATCTCGTCGGGACGTTGGCGTAGACTTTGACGAGAAACGCCAGGCGCTTTCAAAGGCTGTTAATGTTCAGTTGAGTGGGCCGGCCGTTATTGAGCTTTGAGGTGTGAGGTGTGATTTTGTGGGGTGACAAATTTTCCATACGAGGTGGCGTGGTGGCGTGGTGCCTCTGTGTAGTGGGATCTAGTTTTTCGATAGTTTGCTCATCATTCCGAAAAGGTTCCGCGCTATGGAGGTGTCTTTGGAGCTAACATGGGACGGGCAATGATCTGAATGAGATGATCTAAATTTTGAATTTCTGAATTTCTGTAAAGAATTAACTGTGTAGTGAAAGCCAAGGCTATGGCTATTATTACCGGAGATGAGGTCGCAATATTCGCCATATTGAAAATGAGGCTCAGGTCGGTGCCAGATACGTCAGGCGACAAGACCCGTATCGGGCTCAGACATGGTTTCAATGTGATATTAATAGAACAGCAGGTCATTCAGTCGTTCATGAAAAATCGAACCGCAGAGAAGGAAGAAAAAAGGCAAACTTTGGAAATCGGCAACCCGGCAAGCTTAGCCTCATCCACTAACGAGAAGAAGAATGAAGCAAAATGGAAGACACACGGCGTACTCCGAGAGCCTCAGTTGAAGCCAAGCATTTGCCCCTGCGCCAATCCCCAGGCGGCCCGGTTCTCTATTTCTAGTTCCTGACCTAGGACGGCTGAGGCTAAAATGGAAACTTCCTCCGGGGCGAAGCGAGGCCTTGAAGGTTTGACTTTGAAGTTTTCCTTGGCCGTCGGATGTTCTCGGTTCCGCTCCGTCTGGGGGAGTACAGTGGACGGTCGCATCGGTGCTAGGAGCTATGGGCACGGCCCGTGGGGTGATGTGGTTTATTCCTCACACGCGAGGGTAGAAGCCACCGAGGTGAACCTGGAGTAACCCCTGAGTCAGGTTCTACACTATTGATCAACGATGAAGGGTGACCGGTCAAGGAAAGGGAAAGATAACCGAGAGAGAAAGCGATGCCTGATGCAAATGCGACAGGACACGGGTCGGAGTTCACTTGTACAGCCCCCAGGTTTTCAGTTATGCATTTCCCTTTTTTTCTTATTATTCACTTTCCCTTGTTTCAGTCTTAGATCGGATAGGTGGAGTGGACCCAATCCGGGACTCGGGTTGGGTCTCGCTTATAGTAATCACTTTTGAGGTCCAAGTGTAGTAAAGAAACTAGCGCCCTAGGGTGGCCGTAGTGCCCGAAATCCACTCATGCATTGGCGAACTATGGGCCGCATGTTCACCGCGTGATGGGTCTCCTTTGTATTGTATGCCGTAAATAGATCTTGTCGGTCAGCCAGGTAATGCCGCTGACTGGAACCCTGGATCAGCCAGAGGTTCCAGGGATCCCATCACAGAGGTTCGGAGCAGGGTCTACACGATCGAGATCGAGATCGATCCTGACGTGTCGCCTGTTGCGTGCCGAGGGGGTTTGACGTGATGAGTGACAAAGTCTGGGGAAATGAAGGATGAAGGGGGGGCAGGGAATAGACTAAGGGGATTAACCCGTGTGTGCATGGTTGCATAGTGTACGAGGTGTCTCACTCCCAGCAGAGTGAGACCAGTCAGAGCGGACGAGGAGGCTGCTCATGCGGAGGCTCCACCGATCCCTGCGCCTGTTGCCACGCCGATGGCCAATGATACCACGGGAAACCAACGAGAACGGGGGCCAGGGGTACTCATGGCCAATCCTCAGCCTCCTCCATTTTTACTATTGCCTGCCTGAATATGGTCGAACAGAACACTATAGAAAAGAGAGAAAAAGTACAAGAAGGCACGACCCAAACCCACCTGCGCCTTCTGCATTCAGATCGATCCACTCGCTTGGTTTAAAGAGTTTCCTGCCCCCCCGTGTTTATTGATCTTTTCCCACACTCTCGTTACTTTTGATACTTTGCACTTTGCACTTTGCACTTTGCTTGTTTCCTTATTGCACATTGCACATTGCATACTAGAACATGCCGTCGTTCATCAAGTTCGCTGCCGCGGCTCTTGCCGTCGCCGCTCCCCTGGCTTCTGCCCAGACATATACTAGCTGCAACCCCCTCGACAAGACTTGCCCCGCTGATGCCGGTACCACCGAGTCTCATCTGAGCTTTGACTTCACTCAGTCCGGTTCCCTCGACAAGTGGACCACCACTGCTGGTACTGTCAACACCGGTGCCAATGGCGCCGAGTTCACCCTCGCTAAGCGTGGTGATGCTCCCACCATTGAGACCGACTTCTACATGCTCTTTGGTGAAATTTCCATCACCATGAAGGCCGCCCCCGGCCAGGGTGTGGTCAGCTCCCTCGTTTTCGAGTCCGATGACCTCGACGAGATTGATTGGGTAAGTTCAAACATGTGGCAACCACGTTTTCAGGCGCATTCCTAATCTCTTGGCTTTACAGGAAGCTCTCGGCGGTGACACCACCCAGATCGAGACCAACTACTTCGGCAAGGGTGACACCACCACTTATGACCGCGCTACTTGGCCCGCTGTGTCCGACCCCCAGAACACCTGGCACACCTACACGGTCTCGTGGCAGCAGGATGCCACCACCTGGTCCGTTGATGGCAATGTTGTCCGCACCCTGAACTACGCCGATGCCCAGGGCGGAGCCCGCTACCCCCAAACCCCCATGCGCATCCGCATGGGTATCTGGGCCGGTGGTGATCCCAGCAACGGCGAGGGCACTATCGAGTGGGCTGGCGGCGAGACCAACTACGCCGGTGCTCCCTACACCATGTACGTCAAGAGCGTCGACATTGTCAACGCCAACCCGGCCGAGAGCTACACCTGGACCGATAAGTCTGGCTCTTACCAGAGCATCAAGAAGTCTGGCGCTGCTTCCCTGAACCAGTCTTCTTCCAGCGAGAGCTCCACCACCGCCAGCTCCACCGAGTCCAAGACCGCGACCGAGACCTCGACCTCGACTACTGCCACGACCCTGGCGACCACCACCCAGACCTCCACCGCTGCTCGCACCACCTCTGGCTCGACCACCGCCGGTTCTTCGTCTAATGCCTCCACCACTGGATCCTCCACCGCCGGTTCCAGCTCCAGCTCCAGCCCTGGCTCCAGCTCGAACGCCGGCTCCGGCTCCACCAGCGGCTCGGCCTCCAGCACTGCTGGCTCTGGCTCGGGCTCTGGCTCCAGCACTACCCCTGGTTCCGGCTCCAGCTCCAGCTCTAGCAGCAGCAGCAGCGCCGCCACTACCTCCCCGGCCTTCAACGCCGCCGCCAGCGTGACCGTTGGCCCTCTCGGCCTCCTGGCCCTGCTCGCAGTTTTCATCCAGCTTTGAAAATAAAAAAAACTAATTACGCTTGATGAAGCAAACGGGCTGGAACCGGATTGGAATGAGGGATGCCTTCGAGATTTTGAGCCTTTTGATGTACCTTTTTTTTGGTTGATTTTGCAACTTATGCCTACACCCCATGTATCTACTACGAGTTATTTAGAGCTTAATGTCCTACGGGATTTACATTTTCTGAACCTGAACCTGAACCTGACCTGAAACTGAGCTTCGTATTCCAGTATTGCATATAGTGCTTGAGTTTTATACTTCGGACGGATCACACCGTATCTGCACGGTCGATCTGACGCAAGGTACGCCGTACATGGCCAGCCCTGTGACATATTCAACTCCAGGCTCACCGTGTACACCTGCAGTATGCAGTACAGTACGCCGAAGGCAGTCCCCAACCAAGCCATGCCTCACCAAGCTGACCGATTTTTCATTAGATCATCAAATCATCCATTGTGTTTCCTCAACCATGGAACCAGGAATAGTACCCCTACCACTACAGCGTATATCCCTCAGAAGACCATCGGCCGAACGTGGAAATATTGAATCGACCTTGGGAGAAGAACATTCCTTGGCGAGCTCATGAATTGTAGTGCGATTGGTCCGAGCGCAACGCTAGAACCGCGTTCCGTGGTTGATATGGGGCAGAGCTTGAAACTGGTTTGTTGTGTGGGCATGTGTAGCCGAGGTGGGGAGATTGAAGTAATGTATCGTTTTGGGAAGAATGGGGAAGTGAAAGAAATGGAAAGAACGTCCCGTGATGTGTTTGTATTCGTATCTCGTGAATCGTAAAACAAATATCTCGCGTTAACATCGCATACGCTATGTCGATCAACTCATCCTCTCTGAGTGCATTACCATGTAGAACCCGACCTCGCGCGTTGCTCCCCCAACTGCTGCGCCAACCTCGACACCTCATCCGCAACAGGCCGATGATGCGTCGCCGCAAGTCTAAGTAACGCAAGAGTCGGCCGGGGTGCATCATCACCAGACTTCTCACCCTGACCCGAGGATGAACGCGCGCCAAAAGCATAGCCCGATAACGAGTTTAGCATATACTGAATCCCTCCATTTCCATTTCCATTTTCGTTCCCATGTCCATTCCCACCAGCCAGCGCGGCTTTCCTCTCGCGCGCAACAATCCCATCCACAGCCTCGAGGTGATCGTCCAATGTACTAAAGCGTGTAACCAGCGAATCCGCTTTCGTCTTGAGTTGGCTGCGTAGTCGATCAAGATACTGTGCTCTCCGATGGAACTGGGCCGCGAGACGAGTATCTCTTGCGATAGACGGCGGTCCGGCTTCCGGTGGCGGGGAAGATAGGAGACTTTCGATGGCGGAGCGGAGGTCAGCGCGGAGGGAGTCGAATTCCCATGTTGCAGCGCGGAGGGCAGCGTCGCTGCCTGTGAATTCGAGGTCCAGGGCGTTGCGGACGTCTGCGTGGGTTGATTGGAGGGTTTGGTGGAGGTCGGAGAGCATGTTGGTGCTTTCTTGGAGGATGTGGGTTAATGGGGTGAGGGTTGAGAGGGTGGTTGTGAAGATTGATTCGAGGTTGGTTTGTGCGGTTGTTAGAGTGTTTTCTGGGGTCGTTATTGGCGTTGATGGGGATAGTGGACGTGGAACTAGGTGTATGCAGCTGTCGGGGTAGGTGGATTTGATGATGGGATAGTTGCAGAAGAAGGGCTGGGATTGTTGGATGAGTTCTGGGAGGACGAGGAAGTGGAGGATGCCTGCGATGAGGAGGCTGTTGATAGTCATTCGGAGTACAGTGGTACAAATCTTTGCCAGCCTTGATTTGAAGCTGGGTGATTTGCGCTTAGAAGCCTTGGACGTGGACTTTGCGGTTGAGGAGCGAGTGCTTGGATTCTGCTTTTCTTTTTGTGGTGTTGACTCTGGAGACACTTTGCGACGCTTACGCATACCAGAATGGTCGTTCGAATGCACTGGCGCGACCCATGATGCCTCCGAGATGGGCATTTCGCATATAGAAGGCATGATAAGCTCCGGGCCAGCCAGAGTCCATGATGAGGAAGATAGAGACTCTGTTGAGCCTGCCGTGTTGTCTTTACGACCTTTGTGTTTTGCTAGTGGGGTAGGGTTTGCTGGATCGTGAATTTTGGGATCTTTCTCCTTGGATGTAGTGGATGTAGTAGGCGATGCTATCACCCATGACTCTCCCAGCACCGAGCGATCTGGGGTCTGCGGTTCCGCCATGGCGCAGTGAACATATCCCAGAAGGGCACACACTTCAGATCGGTGGTTTGAAGTAATATAACCTCGAATGCGACTCTGGAACCTGTTATGTGAAACACGGAATGAAGGCGCGTAGTCGATGTTTATGCGCAAAGCGGTGGGGAAGCAAAGCGGGATCGGCAGGAAGTCCTGAAGATTCTCTGCAACAACCATGCGCCCACTCATTCGGTTGCGACCGAGCCTCTACCCTCGGCCTAGCATCACAAGGGCCGTGAGATTGCCATCAACACAACCACGATGGCTTTCAGCTACAGTAAAGCGCAATTGCTCGTGTGCTGATGCCGCCAACGGTCGACCCGCAGCTCCGACATTATCTCCCAACGACCATCGAGCTATGGGAACGACCCAGGAGCTTTTCACCTCGTCCATCTACACCCCCGGCTCCCCCCTCTTCCTTCCGAATGGCACGCATGTTATCAACAAGCTCATATCCTTCCTCCGCGCCCAATACTTGCAATACGGCTTCCGCGAAGTCTTGACCCCGACCATCTACAAACGATCCCTCTGGGAGGTATCAGGTCATTGGCAGAATTACAAGGATGATATGTACGAAGTGACAGGTCGTGGAGCAACCGGAGAGACAGAAGGCGAAGTCGGCGAAGACGAATCGTACGGCCTTAAGCCGATGAACTGCCCGGGTCATTGTCTGCTATTCAAATCGCAGAACCACTCATACCGTGAGCTGCCAGTGCGCTACGCCGATTTTAGCCCGCTGCACCGGAACGAAGTCTCTGGCTCATTGACTGGTCTCACCCGCGTCCGTCGCTTCCACCAGGATGACGGCCACATTTTCTGCCGACCGCAGCAGATCAAGTCGGAGATTGCGTCGGCATTAGGATTCGTGGATATGGCGATGAAGACATTCGGACTCGGGCCTTATCGATTGGTGCTTTCCACTCGACCGGAGACGGATTATATTGGAAGCATTGAGATGTGGGATAATGCCGAGGGACAGCTGCGCGAGGCGCTGGACAGTACAGGGCGCGAGTGGGCATTGAATGAGGGAGATGGTGCCTTCTACGGACCGAAGATCGATATCCAACTTCAGGATCAGGCGGGTAAATACCATCAACTCTCGACCATTCAGCTTGATATGAACTTGCCTCGACGTTTCGAGCTTGAGTATCAGGTTGCTGAAGGTGAAGAGGACTATAACCCAGCCACTCCCGGCGTGGCTACGCCTGTCTTGGTGCATCGCGCTATCTTTGGCTCACTCGAACGCTTCCTGGCCCTCTTGATCGAGCACCATGGTGGCCATTGGCCCTTCTGGCTATCCCCTCGCCAAGCCATTATCTTAACTGTCAACCAGGATGACGCAGTCGTGCGACAGGCGCAGGAGGCAGCTGCCAAGTTTTCTGGATTCCGCGCCTTGGTGAGCGATGGTAATGCGACCCCACCGCGTCCATTGTCATTGTCCGACTCTACTTTTCTGGTCGACGTCGACAGTAGCGCACAAAGTCTAGGCAAGAAGATCCAGCGAGCCAAACAGATGAAGTATAACCTGATCTTTGTCCTTGGGCCTCGGGACGCTGCCGGTGGCGGCATCACACTCGATCTCAGTGGACAGATGCAAGGCAAGACCGATGGCGAAGGTCAGGACTTCCATACACTAATCTGTGAACAGCTTGGGGAAGATGCATTGCAGAACCCTCGGGCAGTGAAATTGCAGGTGGACAAGGTGCACCAGTTGCTGGTGCAGCTTGAAAAGAGCTTCTTATGAGCATTGAACAGAACTGTACTATATTTCAATTGTAAACTAATGAAAGATCCACAATGCATTCCACTATGACTTTATACATTGCGGTTATCCGCGGAGGAAACGGCCACCTCAGGCACCACCCTGAGCTCCGAGTTCGGATGCAATTGTTGGCTAATGCAGTGACACGCAAAAAGTGCACGCCGTGTGTAACGCCACAAATCTTGAATTGGAGCCAAAATCAATTCAATCAGACCAGAGGAAATGATTCTATCTGATAAACCTCTATTTTGACTAGGCGCAGATCGCGTCGCAACGGTGTTATACATCACGTGACTCCGTCATCGGCGCCGAAAACTCGGCGTCATCGACGATCGCGCGCCCTTGAGTCACAAATTCCCTTCGCTTCATTGGCCTTATATTTCTTCAGAATTCAAAAGGGACTGTCATTCCTTCTCTTGAAAACATACTTGTGTCTCCCTCTTGGTCAGACCTGACTGCGTCTGCCCTGTCAACTTGACTTTTATCGTTCTCTTATCAATTCCTCCCCACTATACCCCGCCACGATGCCGATGCTCAAAGATCCGTCGTCAAAATACAAGCCCTACAAGCCTCTGAATTTGACAAACCGCACATGGCCCGACAAGACCATCACCAAGGCCCCCCGCTGGTTGGCCACCGACCTGCGCGATGGCAACCAGTCTCTCCCCGACCCTATGGACGGCGAGCAAAAATACAAGTTCTTCAAGATGCTCGTCGAAATTGGCTACAAAGAAATTGAAGTCTCATTTCCCTCCGCCTCGCAAACCGATTTCGACTTCACACGTCGCCTCGTTGAAGAGCCCGGCCTCACCCCGGACGATGTCTGTCTGCAAGTTCTCGCCCCGTGCCGTGAGGATCTCATCCGCCGCACCGTCGACTCCCTGAAGGGTGCCAAGAAGGCCATTCTGCACATCTACCTTGCCACCAGCCCGTGCTTCCGTCGCATTGTCTTCAACATGACCAGGGAACAGAGTCTGAAGAGGGCTGTCGAGTGTGCCAAGTATGCTCGCTCAATCACCAAGGATGACCCCTCCCAGGCTGGCACAGATTGGCAGCTGGAGTTTTCACCCGAGACTTTCTCAGATACTGAGCCTGACTTCGCTGTCGAGGTTTGCGAGGCTGTTAAGGCTGCTTGGGAACCTTCTGTGGAGAGGCCTATCATCTTTAACTTGCCCGCTACCGTCGAGATGTCCACTCCCAATGTTTACGCCGATCAGATTGAATACTTCTGCAACAATATGACGGAACGTGAGAAGTTTGTTGTTTCCCTGCACCCTCATAATGACCGTGGTTGTGCTGTTGCTGCGGCTGAATTGGCTCAGATGGCTGGTGCTCAGCGTGTTGAGGGCACCGTTCTCGGTAGGTCGAAATATGCGTATTAAACATGCAACTATGCTGACTGGCATTTCACTTTAGGAAATGGAGAGCGAACTGGAAATGTGTAAGTCATATAAATGGTCAAGTGTTCACCTGGACAATCTTGCTAACTTTGCATAGCGATTTGGTCACTCTTGCCCTGAACCTGTATACCCAGGGTGTCTCACCAAACGTCGACTACTCCGATATCAACTCTGTTATCAAGATCGTGGAGGAGAGTACCAAGATCCCCGTTAACGAGCGTTGGCCGTATGCTGGTGCTCTGGTTACCAGTGCTTTCAGTGGAAGGTTTGTTTTTCCCCTTCGTGTGCACGACATTACTCTAACCATTCTGCAGTCACCAAGATGCTATTAAGAAGGGCTTCGCTCTGCGCGAGGGCGCCACCGACAACGACGAGTGGGTCATCCCGTACCTGCCCCTGGATCCCCAGGATATCGGCCGCACCTATGAGGCCGTCATCCGCGTCAACTCCCAGAGCGGCAAGGGTGGTGCCGCCTGGATTATCCTGCGCAGCCTGGAGCTGGATCTCCCTCGTGCTCTGCAGGTCGAATTCAGCAAGATCGTGCAGACCGAGACGGAGAAGTGCAGCCGCGAGCTCCGTCCCAGCGAGATTGTCAACCTCTTCGAGGAGTCATATCACCTCAAGTCAAACCCCCGCTTCAACCTTATCGACTACAACATCACCACAGATCGCTCCCAATCCCCTGCTCCCCCGGAGCCTGGTAAGGCTCTTAACACTAAGAACCTGAAGCGTCGCTTCACCGGTGTCATCGAGATCGACAACGTTCAGCATGCTATCACCGGTATCGGTCCTGGTGCTCTGTCCTCTCTCGCCGCGGCTCTGTCCACCCTCGGCATTGATCTCGATGTCATCGACTACAAGGAGCACTCTATTGGTCTCGGTCGTGACGTGAAGGCCGCCACATACATCCAGTGCTCAGCAGCCGGCAGCAAGGAACGCGTATGGGGTGTCGGCATTAGTGCCGATGTGGTCCAGGCCTCTCTTGTGGCCCTGCTCAGCGCTGCCAGCTCGGTAAGTATCTGATCGTCAGGGGTGTACCCAGTCTTTAAACACCAACTTACGTGTGTCCTAGTTCCTCACCTCAACCGCTGGCTCCCCGGCTCCTTTCCGTCCCATTCGCTCAAACACTCTTACCAACGACGACCTCCAGGCTCTCGAGCAGTTGACCGGCATCGACGCGGCGACTGCTAACGGCGGTCTCTCGGCCAAGGTCAATATCGAGCAGTTGACCAAGGCGGCTGAGAGCCAGTAAGCCTTAAAAAGTTTGTTCTTATCATGTCAGCAGTAGCTAATGCATATATCTCTTGATGATCTTGAATATCAGCAATCAACGAGTTTTACTACATTATATTCCGGGAATTAAAGCAATGGCATAGACATTAGCTCATCATCGTAAATAACTCTAGCACGCTAACCAGTTGACTTCTGAATGCAATTCCACCGTATTAATGCTCGTGCATCATTCTCCTGTGGACCAAATCACCACTGGAACAGACTATCCCATCCCCATCCCCGTCTCGTCTTCTCTCCGCTGCCATATACATCGAACTTCTGAGGTCCCTCAGATGCAACTATATAGCCGAGCTCACAAGCCGAGAAGGATACCTTTGGCTGATTGACGTAGAACTCGTCAAATTCAGTCTCTAACGCCTCGGCAAGAGTATTGACCTTGCCTCCTGGGTGCAGCTGGCGCCAGGGGTATCGGCAAGCGTCGCCCTCGCAGGACTTGAGGACCATCATCATAGCGTCGAGACGATGGATGATTTGAGGTAGCTCACGGTTGGCAATCTTGTAGTTTGTGTGTTTTGCTGGATGAGCAGCCAGGTTGAGAGTTTGGTGAGGGTCATCCTGGTGACATGTTAGTTTGCTTCGTAGTGAAGATGAGGAAGACTTACCTTGAGATTGTAGTATTCCAGCTCATTGGTGCACCACACGGAATAGTACAAACTATAGTCATCGGAGATCAACCGGACTCCCTTATAGGTATTGTTCTTGTAGCTGTTGCCGACTTGGTTGTCCTTGTCGCTGGCATAGCCGTAGATACCCTCAGGCACAGCCAGACCCCAGTACTCGATGGCGACGTGTTCCTTTTTCTCGTCCGTCTTGCTATCTTGCAATGTCCTCGGGATGGCTTTCCCGTCTAGTCCTTCCCTTGTAGTGTTGGCGATGGATAAGAAGGTAGGCGCAAGGTCTGTGTGGCTAGTGACGACGTCGAATGTCTGGTTCTCGGGGATACCAGGGCCACGAACAATTAATGGGACATTGATATCGGTTTCTGATAATGTTAGTACTGGCTACGGTACCGTATTCGACAAACTCACCAAATCCACAGTTCTTTCCGGGCTGCATACGGTGCTGACCCAGATGATAACCATTATCGGTCGAGAAGAAGATATAAGTATTGTCCAGCTCGCCCACCTTCTCAAGCTTATCAACCAGCCTCTCAATAAGATCATCCACGGCTTGCAACGCACGCAACCGACACCTGTGGAAGAGATCAATATAATCAATCTCCTTCTGGCTCAACTCGGGAATGTTCTCAACCCAGCTAACAGCCCCATCAATCAGCTTATTAAAGCTCGCGTCTCTTGGCGCCTTTTGATCCTTAAACAGATCCGCATGGCGAGGCGCATACTCCGGCTGCCCGAACCAAGTAGCATCGCGCTCAGGACTATGTGATCCATTCGCATGCGGCGCATTAGGAGCAACAGTCAACATCCACGGACGATCCAGCTTCAGCGCTTCATCCAGGAAGCCCGCAGCCTTGTCAGCGATGACGTCGGTCGAGTAGTTGCCACTGTAACTGACAGGCGGTTGCCCGTTACGGGTCATCCGCGCAGAGTAGTAGCGGTATGTCCAGGGGTCGAGGAGGAAATCGGAACCGTTGAAGCCTCGCGCGTAGGGCTTGTTGTAGTTGTCTTCGGTGTGGCTGTTCCACAGCTTGCCCACGTAGTACGTGTTGTACCCTGCCTCTTGCATCCAGAGTGGGAGGTAGTTATCATTCCAGCCGGCTGATACGACCTTCGGGTAGCCACCGTAGGGGGCTGAGACATCGGTCACGTTGGTGTTGTGTGGCATGCGGCCGGTCCAGAGGTTGGCGCGTGAAGGACAGCATAGGGCTACGGAGCAGTAGTGCTTGGGGTATGTGGCTCCTTTTTGGACGAGAAGGGACTTTTACCATATTAGTTGAATATTTAACAGGGTGCAAGTGGATTGAAATACCTGTAGCTTAGGCATGTGTTCTAATCCTCCCACATACTTGCCCTGGTCGTCGGTCAGGACGAAAAGGATGTTGGGCCTTTTAGCCACAGCCAACGTGGTCAATAGTAGAAATGTGAGTAGGAGATTCATTCTGCGGCACATTAGACAAAGCTGGAGAAGATAACTTCATTTCGAGGACCGGAGCAGAGCTCTATATAGCTGACCAGCTCCACGAGCTGGAGATCATCACACCCCTCATCCAGGAGCTTGCAAATTAAGAGCTCTTGTCTCATTTCTCCACAATTGCACAGAGTGATAATCCTCCGTGATCGTACATTATTTATTGCTGTACGAAGTAAAGTGAGCGTGGGCATCCCGCTGATCGGCGGCCGTGGAAAAGAAGGTGTACTGTACGACGGGTATGGCGGTCGATCATGCGGCAGAGAGGAAAGAGGATACACGATGACCCTATCTTTTCGTATTCTCTTTCCCCCAGCGCACATTATGCCAAGAGCCAAAGTGTCGATTGCGAGATATGCAGGTGGATGATGCCAGTGGATGGTATAAGGGTGGGCCGCCATCACGTCTTCAGTGGGGTCAACCTTGACACCCCACAATGAAACCATTTGGGACGATCGTATGGCGTGCTGCCATATTGGAAATCACTGTGATGTCACAGGAACTACGCACCGAGGTAAGAAGCTATTGATAGACTGATCGGATGTGAGTAGTGGGTATGGTATGTACAGCAGGAACGCACATGCAGAAAAAATAAGTCGATGCAGGATGAGGTATTGGGATAAAATGGGGAGGTGAACAATCAAATGAAAAGATCAAAGGCCAAATGACAAGGGGAAATAGACATACGAAAGACCTCGGAAGACGAAATGATGCACTTCGAGATTTTTCATACTTTTTAGTCTAGTTTCAAACCACAGACAAAATTGCTGCGGAGCAAATGCCATGTACAAGACCACGCCCGTAGATCGGAGCCACAAAAATGGACTCGTTTAAAGACCGTAGCCATCAGCGTCATAACGTTTCTGTGCCGGGTTCCGGTGAGCGTCTTGGCCGCCCTCGTCTCCCAGTGCGGACTGGTACATCAGGGCTTCCTGGGCCCAATCATCGCTTAATGCGCTGTCTTGAGTGCCCGGTCGATATTCATCATGCGCCGGGCCTGAACCATAGCCGTACGTTCCGGGTTGCTGACTAGGACGCGGTTCCCGTCCTGTCGAGAGTTGCTCGGTAGGGAATGAGGACTCGACGGGAGTGGTGATAATATCAAAGCTGAATCGGAAATCACGAGGCGGTCCTGGCTCGCCAGTGGCTGGTGGGGGAGGAGCATGGTGATCTACTGGGTCGAAGTGGTGATCATCATCTGCCGAGTGGATAGTGGCTGACAGCGGTTCCTGAATGAAGGGCACTGTAGAAGTCGCCGAAGAAACTTGAGCTGCAGACACATGGCTGTCTGTCCGAGTGTCAAGCTCCGGCAGTCTAGGTCGAGCGGATATATGATCCTGATGATCCTGGTAATCCTGATACCCCTCCGTATTTGCCTCGAGTTCATGGTCCGGAACCACGAGGGCAGGTGATTGTGGCAGCGCAGGAACCTCAGTATCGGGGTTCATGGTCGACCGCCTCATGCTGTTGCCCATCGTACTTCCGGGCTTAGAGCTTCGGCTGGCACGATTCTGCATCATGTCGGCGAACGGATTGTCTTCCATATCTCGGATGCTGAACTGCGCGATCGTACGCAACTTACGGGTCACCCAGGATGCCAGGACCTTTCCACGCTGCTTCTCACCGAGACGCGAGCGAGGGAAGTCACCCGTGGAGACAAAAGCAACGATGTCCGCAACCACTTGGTGCTCGTTCAGGATTGCATCAACAATGACCGGGACAAGAGATGCGAGGAACGACTTGCGAGTAACTTCAACCACGACCACTATCAGACCACCAGCTTGGAATATAGCACTTTAGAGAGACGTTAGCGGATAGTCGATTCGTAAGGGCCTTTGATACTTACCATCCTCCATTCATGATATTACGGTGGCATCTCTCGACAGAGTTTTCGATATCCATGGGGAAGTGGTTCAAGCCGTTGACCTCAAAGGTCTCACCAATGTTTCCAAGGACGAACAGTACCTGCATTTCCACTGGCTGGCCTCCAGGTCCGATGGGACGGGTGACTGTGTGGAGGAAGCCGAGATCTCCAGTGCGGACGTAAGGCACACCGGGGTCTCCGTCAAGAACTCGGCCGTTCATTCTCTCAGAATCGAACTCCTGCTTAGATCTGTAGAAGCCCTGGGCACAGGCATCGGATTGGACCCAGATCTCACCGTACTCTCCGACGTGGGCAAGAGTGCAGGTCTCCGGGTTGACAATGGCAATCTGGGTGTTGACTGGCACCATTCCAGAGTCCTGGAGCAAGAGAGCAGTTGGGTCGGCATCAGGATCCACGGGGTAGATCAGACCACGACGAAGACTGCGGAGGTCGAGATACAGCTCAATCGGCTCAATGCACATGTAAGATCTTGTCACAATCATTGGGTTGAGAACGTGCGAGTACACGACATTGATCGCAGTACGGTCCAGGCTAGTGGAAGCAAAGTGCACGCGCACCTTCTGGTAAATGTCGGTCCTGGGTCGGCCCTCCGCGGAAATCATCAGATTCTTCATTTCTTGCAACTGGAAGCCCTTGCCTGCCATGGAGCTGATGGCATAATCCAACATCTGACTCGTGGCGTAAGTGTCCTTGATCTTGTAGCGAGAGAGCGTCACGAAGAGTGTCATCGGGTTTTGAGCGAAGTCGACAGGCGAAACGAGGTAGGTAGGAGCGCCGACATAGATACCCATCAAGCAGGTGTGAAGGAATCCAAGACCCAGAGTACTGCGTACACTACCCAAAACAGGTCTCATGCTTGTCATTTGACATGTCTCTTTTTGCACCTTGCACATACCCATGATGGTGTCATGGCCGATCTGAACAGAAATACGGCGCTGGTCCGGCGTCCAGTAGGTCCAAATCAAAGCTGGCTGGTTGGCCTGAAGCCAGGTGTCCTTCATAGTGTATCCGAGCTCGCGGCAGCCGTGAGACTGCTTCGACGGCTTCGTCGTGTTGTAAATGGCCGGCACACCGATGCGAAGGACCTGCGCTGATTGCTTGATGTGTTGGGAGACAAGCTTTTGCCGCATGACATGGTCAACCTCGGTGTTCACAATGATAGCCTTGACATTAAAATCGCTGATAATATGCAGAAAAGCAGGCGCATCTTCCGACAGACGATTTTGATCAATCGGAGCCATTGGAATGACAACAACACCCAGACAGAGGCAAGCATGAATGGCGTACACGTACTCTTCTGAATGGGTGTACATCAAGACAAGATGATCCCCAGGTCGGACCTTGACCTTGTTTTTCAGATAGGTTGCAACCGCGGAAACCTTCTGATCAAACTTCTTCCAGGTAATGCCCTTGCCTTCTTTACCGCGGCCGTCGATAGAGCAATAGGCCAGCTCATCCGCTTGGCGAGAGATACGCCACTGGAGAAGATCGACAATAGACTTGAAACTGTTGAGGGGTGTAGAGGTGCGGTCGTCCATGACAACATCGCGATAGTCAACACCTGAGTATTGCTTTTCTTGGTAGGAGAGAGTTTCCTGTCTTGAGGCCAATGCAATTGGTGACCAGATACCTCCTTCGGGGTCCACGCCGACAGGCAGATTCATCACCGAACGCTCGACTCCGAACTTGACATGCACAGCCTGCAGCATGCCGGCCTCGAAGTCCTTGCGGCAGAGCATATTGCCGATTTCCCGTCTTCCATTCTTGGTCACGCGGGGAAGAGAATTCGGGGCTGTGAGGAGCACACAGTAGACGCGCAGGTGGTGCTCTTGGTACAGAACCTCCATACAGCGCTCGGCAAGCGAATCAAGGAGAACGGAGTCTAGTTGTCTCGGAGGCCCGCCAGATGTTGTCGGTGCGGTTGAGGCAGCAAATGACTCCAACACAATGACTGGCAGATGCTCATCGTTCACAAACACATCGAATGCTGTGCAATCGTGGATCTTGGGCACCTTCTTCAACAGGCTGACAACTAAGTGCTGGACAAAAAAGTATCGATGTTCGACAATTTCTTGGCCGTGCTCAACCCACTCAACCTTCTGGCGCAGTCGGTCTTCGTAGAGACCCAGAATGAACACCCGTCCCTCGATCACGCAGCCTAGAAGACCAGTGCGTAGGAATTCGGGCTCGACAAGAATTGGCGTGGGGTTCGCGTCTTCGAATTTGTAAGGCCGAGCATGGAAGATCGCTTCAGTGTGTTTTGGCAACGCCCAGAAGCCTCCAGACAATGATGGCGAATCCACCCAAATTTCACCGACGACATTTGGTGTGCACAAGAGGTTAGTCTCTGGGTCAACGACGGCCAATGTCGCATCGGGGATTGGGTAACCGAAAGCACCGATACGGACAGCATGAGGCATGCTACTAGCGTACTTGCGGGCATCTTCACCCATGGCCAAGACGACAACCTCATTGCTCTTGAGAGCCTCTTTGTCGAGAAGCACCTCGCTCAGCTCATTTCTGGCAGTTTCCTTGGGTGTGGAGATACGAGAACCACCACCGAGAAGACTGCTACCAAAGCCAGTGTTGGTCTCGGACTTTTCGAATTTCGCGTCGTCTTTCTTGACCCCATCGCGGATGGCTGGGTCCATTTCATGCATCAAGGAGCATCCCATCCGCTCTTCACCACCAATCCAGTCACGTACACTGATAACCATACCACCGTGCTCGGGCAAGCAAAGCATTGGAGACACAATTTCTCTAGCCCGAGGATTTCTCATTGGGCGCAGCCATCTGTCGGAAAGAATTTCATGGAATTCAGGATCGAGGGTGAGTGTGTCGATAAGGCAGAGTTTGACGCTGCTGAAATTAGGCTCTGAATTCTTTTTATAGTGCCGAGTCGACATCGGATCTTGCTGGTAGTTATACGCAGCGATCTTCAAGCCAGAGTAATCGGCAGCCATAATTGTCGCCCGGTATTTGGTGATTATGTGGGCATATAAACCGGGGGTCTCAACAGCTCGGTCCTCGTGGTAAACGGTTGTGTGACCGCCGTATACCGTCAAGAGAACGCCTAATATCATACCAATTCCTTGCCTCGGGTCAAGATAACTGATTATTGTTTCTCCCTTGGACGCGTATTGTCTGGCACTCGCATCAGTGGGGACTGTGGAGACCATCGCGCTCAGACAAGCCATTTGGTGCATGATGGTTCGGTGGCTCATGACCACACCACGCATGTCCCCAGTGGGAGCGCGAGCAAACTCGATATAGGCCAGATCTGGGACAACAAGCGGAGGTGTGTCGTCCTTCTTTTTAGGGTGGAAGCTGCCAAACTCGTTGGTCTTCCACCACTCAACTCCTCGCGGCCAGTTCAGCTTCTGTGCAGTAATGTCACGTTGAAAGCCCTTCAGGTTGTTCTCCGTGGTCAAAGCCAAATGCGCCTGGGTGGAGGTGAGCACCAAATTAAGAGACTGGTAATCATCCAGACTGTTGATAGGAACCGCAACAACTCCGGCAATAAAACAACCCATGAGAGCGACGGCAAACTCGATAACCTCGGTGTCGCGATAGATCAGGGCGACTCGGTCACCGCGGTACAAGTTACTCTTGTCACGGATGACCTGAGCAACCTTCTCTGCGCGGCTAGCCAGCTTATCCCATGTTATGGATGCAATTTCCTTTCCTTTCTGGTCCAACACCCAGTATGCCGGCTGCTTCGGATGGACTCGCGCGCGGTGTCGCAGCACTGCTGGGATATTTTCGAAATTGGACATTGGTATATTTTTGTCGTGGGGGTCAGTAACCGCAAAGGGAATGTCACGCGGTTCGAGAGGCACCAAATGCTCAATAGCCGGCCCATGCTGGAGATCCGAAGCGGGGATAAACGGCGGGGCCATGTTGGCTGTTGGCGAGAAAGCTTCTCCGGATTGAGAATAACGGTGGAATCCACCACCATAGCTCTCTCTATAGTCGCCATGCTGCTGACCGGCAAAATCTGAGAAGTATCCCTGCTGGGAATCAAGCATAGTCGAGTGTCGCGTGACCCCGCCCGAAGCTGGATCGTAGCCAGCATCGTAACCCCCCATTCCATCGTCCACGTATTCAGGCTGCTGAGAGTATTCTGGCTGCGCATAACCTTGCTGGGCTTCGGGGTTGAAAGCGTAATTCTGGCTCATCAAAGTCGCGGTTCTAGAACCATCTGGGCCTGGGCCTCCTGGAGCCCCCGGCCTGGGAAGAAAGAGGGAATCATATGATCCCGATGATGGCATTCGATCGTGAGCTTGTAACATGCCGCTACTATCTCTATCGGATCCTCCGGGCGCTCCAAGCTGCGCACTTTGCCTGTCCCGATTGTATCCGATTCCTCCGCTGCCCGTAGAGGGCTCATAGCCGCCTGCATAGGTTGGTGAAGCGATAGTGGGCTGGGACGATTCAGCGGTCGGCGGGCGAACACTCAATATGGTAGGAGGAGCTATCTGTGAGCCATCTGATTGCTCTTCCTGGCCCGTATGCGCATGGATGTTGATATCGAGGGGCTTGTTTGGGCCGAGGTATTGCGACAGGAGGATGGTACGTCGCTTCTGATACCTACTCCATTGTTAGCTGGCAGTTCGTGTGAAACATGACACAGGAGATCCAATGCCATCCGGGTCCCATTGTCTGGTCCCTGGGACTAGCTGAGGAGCGAGGGGCGAGGATCAAGACAGCTTACCCTTTTTGAGTGATTTCGCCATCCTGTCAAGCAAGAGTGTGTCAGCGCAACAGTCCTTTGACAGGAGTCGAGACAACCGCAGATACATACCTCCAATTCTTGGTCCAGGTCCTTCAACCTGGACTGGAGCTCCGGGCTTTCTTCCGCCATTTGACCGGAGAGAGTATGTCAATTCGAGAAAAGTGGATCAAACACGCGGGGGAGGGATGATGTTCAAGAACACCTCATCGCAGCTTCGCGGTGCGGTGGGGAAAGAGAGGAGGGTAATCCGTGACCCCTGCTGATTGTCGAATTACCCGGGAATTTGTACGTTGACAGGCAACGAATCGTCGTGTGTCTCGTCGGAGTCCACGAGCCGCAACGTCACCCGCACTTTGAGGGCGGTCAGGGCGAGCCGATCATGACTGAGACAACAATTGAGGCTGTGATGTTCGCTTAACGAATGATGAAGGGCTATTTCCAAATCTATTCTTATTATTTCGATGACTACGGTTGAGTTGGTAATGTGGCTTCTCAGGTACCGGTGAGAGGTGGGAACGAGGGGAGGGGATTTGAGCTTAGGCAAAGCACTCGGAACTACAGGAACGCACAAACTTGCGTTGCCTAGCTGAGGAGGAATGAGATATTGTCGTATTAACGAGGAAATTTCCAATACTATAACAGAGACAACGGCCAGGGCATTCTACATCCAAGGCTGTGTACGTATACTTCGATGCCTCGATACTTCGATACTTCGTTTAGGTAAATGACAAGTGGACCGACACGGCAAACAAAGGACTATTTTTCTGCCTGAGGCAACAGGGTCAGATATAATATCACATGACCTTGAAAGACTGATTGGCTGAGTCATCCTGCCCTAACTCACATGACCCCCACAACAGGGCTAAGCGAGCGCACCTCCAATTTCACTTGTGCTATCTCGACTGCCCGATCGTTCAACCTCACATCGCCAAACCCGGTTCCCTTCCATTCCCCTACGACACAGTCAACATGTCCGACAACGGGGACGTCGAGGTTGCGACCTTCACCTCCCTTCCCAAGGATGTCCTCGCCAACGAGGGCCAGGTCAAGCTCTTCAACAAGTGGAGCTACGAGGATGTCGAGATCCGCGACATCTCTCTGACGTGAGTGTCTCTTCTCTGTGAGGCCTATCTTTTTGCGCGAGGATCGTTTTGTGTGCGACGAGTCTTGCTGGCATGTCTGTGGTTGTGGGATACAATTTTGCGCGGGTCGAAAAAAAATCAACAATTGTCGATATTTGTTGCACACGCAGCCACGGCTGTTGATGCTACTTAATATCCAATCGACTCGGGCGCGTGAAGACGGGGCGTCGCCGCAAACACAATTCACGCACAAACTGACGGGCCAATTCCCGATGACCAGACATGCTAATTCGATTTTCACAGCGATTACATCCAGATCCGCTCCCCGGTCTACATCTCCCACACCGCTGGCCGCTATGCCGCTAAGCGTTTCCGCAAGGCTCAGTGCCCCATCATTGAGCGTCTGACCAACTCCATCATGATGAACGGCCGCAACAACGGAAAGAAGCTCCTGGCTACCCGCATTGTCGCTCACGCCTTCGAGATCGTCCACATCATGACCGACCAGAACCCCATCCAGGTCGCCGTTGACGCCATTGTCAACTGCGGTCCCCGTGAGGACTCCACCCGTATTGGTTCCGCCGGTACCGTCCGTCGCCAGGCTGTCGATGTCTCCCCTCTCCGTCGTGTCAACCAGTCCATCGCTCTCCTGACCATCGGTGCTCGCGAGGCCAGCTTCCGTAACATCAAGAGCGTCTCTGAGTGCCTTGCTGAGGAGCTGATCAACGCTGCCAAGGGTTCCTCTGTGAGTTTTCTCTCATTCCCATTAGATTATTCCAAGTTGAGTCTCGAGTACGAATCTTGTGCTCGAATCTCGGGACCAACTTGCTCAAGCTTCTGTGTGCCGTTTTACCTCTACAATCATGATTCTAACCGTGGGTTCCTCATTCCAGAACAGCTACGCCATCAAGAAGAAGGACGAGCTCGAGCGTGTCGCCAAGAGCAACCGGTAAAGTGGGAGTTGGGATATCCGTTTCGACCTATGTTTACGCATTATGGAGTGGACGGGGGGTTTGTACCGGGATTCAGTCGATTTGTGTACGTCTACGTGTCTGTTGATTCAGTCACGGAGGAAGCACAATCCAAAAAGGAACGGAATTGGATGGCTTTCTCTGGGGTGGACGGAATGCATTGGCATGAAGACCTATGGCCAATTTTCTATATGAAAAAAAATTTCTGCCTCTTCAAATTATCCTGCACTTCTCTTGTAGTCATAAGATCTTGAAATGGGTTATCGATCATGCGAAGTTGGTGGTACAAAAGTCATGTAAAATTTTCAAGCGATAGAAGACTTCTCATTTATGGCATCTATGAAATGAAGCGATTAATAGGAACACAAGCGAAACTCACCAAAAGTAAACCGTCAATACAAATCTAACAAAATAAACATGAATTTTGCAAATTGCAGTCTCAATCTTCGTTGCGGCAGGGTGCGCTCCAGGCTTGTCCCCAGGTCGCTTATCGATACGGCCGGGAAAAAAAAGTTTCGGAGAGGCTTCAAGTTGAGTCCAGCCCCAACCTCCTTCCTCCCACCGCCACTTTATTTCCCTCCAGACACCTTCAAAATGGTGAAAAGAAAGCTCGGAGCCTTGGAAAAGGTCGAAGCTGACCTGTAAGTGTCTTTGATCTGCGAACGCCCGGTGCGCCCGCACTATGCTCTGGTTCAGTCCGATCAGAGCCTTCGAGCCGGTATATTGACACTTCGTTTTCCTGCTTCATAGGCCCAACCTGCAGCACAAGATCCGCAGAGACCCTAAGTAAGTGATTGAAAATCTCCGTCTGCATTTACTGTGGTGTATCATTACTAACTGGTGCTTTGAATTGCTCAGGTCTTACATCGAGGATTTCCGCGCCCAGCACTACCAGTATGAGTCGCATCGCGAAATTTTCATGGCCGCGCCAACTTCGGCCACGGATACCGGTATCATTTCCCTCCGAGACTTGATCGACTTCATCTCTCATGTCGCCGATTGCTACCCGGATATCCTGAAGGAGTTCCCCCAGCAACTCACCGATCTCTTGATGCAGCACCACTTGGTGCTGGAGCCGGAGTTGAGAGAGAAGATTGTTGGGAGTCTGGTTCTTCTGAAAAAGAAGGATTGCATTGATTCGGCAACGTACGCATAGCCTGGAAGATTTAATATCTGATTTGTTGTGAATTACTAACTGATCTTCTACAGATTACTTCACACTCTGTTCCCCATTCTTATTTCCACCCCGAGCAAGACCCTTCGTGCTCTTCTCTTTCAGAAGATCTTGTCTGAGCTTCGCACGGCAAACTCAAAGACTACCAACCATAAGCTCAACCGGACTATACAGACCGTTCTCTTCAACTTGGTCACATCGGATCGCACATCTTCAAAAGCACTTTGGGCCATTAAGATTACCCGCGAGTTGTGGAAGCGTCAGATCTGGACCGACGCCAAGACTGTCGAGATCATGAAGGAGGCCAGTCTGTCCGAGAACGAGAAGGTTACTTCTGGTGGTGTGCGCTTCTTCCTTGGTGGTGACCGAGAACGTGAAGAGATGGAAGACGAGGATAGTGACGCTGACGTCGATGTCGGCCGCATTAGGCATCAGCTTGGTATCAACAAGAAGACCAAGAAGAAGGCGCGCGTTGCCGAGAAGGCCATGGCTCTGCACAAGAAGAAGGAAAAGAAGAAGGGCCAGCCTCACCCATTGAATTTCTCGGCTCTTCACCTGCTGCACGACCCTCAAGGCTTTGCGGACAACCTCTTCAACAAGCACTTGAAGACCGCCAAAATCAACCAGCACAACCGGGAGCACAAGCTTCTTGTTATGCAGCTGGTCTCCCGTTTGGTGGGTTTGCACCAGTTGCACATTATGCCGCTGTATTCGTGGTTCCAGAAGTATCTCGTCCCGAAGGAAGCGAACGTGACTTCCTATCTCGCTTCGCTTGCCCAGGCAACCCACGAGTTGGTGCCTCCGGATGTCCTCGAACCTCTGATTCAGAAGATTGCCAACGAGTTCGTGTCTGAGGCTTCAGCTGGAGAGATTGCTTCCGCTGGTCTCAATGCCATTCGTGAAATTTGTGTGCGTCAGCCTCTCGCCATGAACGAGACCTTGTTGCAGGATCTCGTCATGTACAAGAAGAGTAAGGATAAGGGTGTCATGATGGCCTCTAAGGGTCTACTCAGTCTTTACCGTAATGTCGGTGCCGACATGCTGAAGAAGCGCGACCGTGGTAAGGAGGCCGCTATGGGTCTTCGTTCCGGTGACCGTGAGCAGAAGCGCTTCGGTCAGCAGGAGAACGGAGGAATTGAGGGTCTCGAGCTTCTGGAGCAGTGGAAGGCCGATGAGCGCCGCAAGAGGCGCGAGGAGAATGGCCTTGACCCCGATGCCGAGGGTGGCTCCGATGAGGAGGAGGCCGATTGGGATGCCTGGAATGTCGAGGATGACGAGGACAGTGATGATTCTGGCGGCTGGATCAACGTTGAAAGCGATGCAGAGATCGACTTCAGCGACTCGGAAGATGAGGGCAAGGATCGTCCGTCCAAGAAGGCTAAGCAGGAAGCCGAGGCCAAGAATTCCGAGGCCAAGGATGCTGAGACCCAGAAGGAAAGCAATGAGGAAGCCAAGAAGATTTCCAACCTGGCCACCACCCGCATTCTCACCCCGGCCGATTTGGCCAAGCTCGCCGAACTCCGAGCTCAGGCAGCCGTTGACTCCTCGATGCCCAAGGGCCGCCGTGCCCAACTTGGTGACCGACACGTCGACGACGGTTTGACTGCCGAGGAGATTGAGGGTCTCGCCTCTCTGTCCAAGGGCAAACAGACGCGTGAGGAGCGTATCGCCCACGCGCGTGAAGGCAAGACCGACCGTTCAGAGCACAAGAGTAAAGAGGCCAGGCGCAAGGAGCGCAAGGAGGAGCAGGGCAAGAGTACCACCAACAAGGAGAAGGCTCGCCGAAAGAATTTCCTCATGACTCTGGGCAAGGCGCGAAGCAAGAACAAGCGCAGTTTGGTCGAGACTCGGGCTGTGCTGAAGGCGCATCACGACCGTGCCAAGAGAGGTGGAAAGAGAGGAAACGTGGGCAACTAAGTTTGCTGTTTCAGTACATACCTTGCACGAGTAGACAAAATAATGGCGATCTATCATGGGATCCGGCGTTGATGATTTTGAATGCAATATACTTCGATTTCGATCTGCACCATTTTTCCGTCTAAATTTGCAGGATGATACCTTTTTAGTAAAGTCGCATTATAGCCATTTGAATGAGAACGCATAGGATGTAAAAGCCGGAAGACATTTTGCAGCCTCTAATATGATGGGGGTCCTATTCACAAGGCTTGTGGACCTTCATTGTCAATATATACTTCTAGATCTAGAAGACCCCCGGGGGCTTCATTACATCAACTTTGAAACGAGAGGAAGGAATAATCTAGTTACACTTTTATAGACCTGGATAATGCTTAAAGATTGAATTTCCAAATATGCATTATGATCCATTTGACCAATATCCTGGCGTAGAATGTTGATCCAGCTCGTCGGATGGCTGCATACGGTTTCCAATCACCCTCTTTCCATTGAACATGATATACACGTGACCAAAATTAGCCCTAAGCCCTGTCCAGAATAGGATTAATTGAAAAACGTGTCGCGTCTCCCCCGCGTACAATGACCGCGTCGCGTTTCCCAGCCGCATCATTTTGCAATTCTTATCTCTTCTCTTCCCCCCAGCAACCGATCCTCCCACTCCCACTCGCACTCGCACTCCCGCTTCTAACGCCTCCAACCTATCCAAACCTCCACTCTCCTTGCGTCCCTTCCATCATGCCTGCAGCCCTTTCGCATTCAATGATGCCGATATCCAACAGTACTTTGTCCAAACGTCGACGCTTCCAGCCTGCCATCACCAGCTACTTCAACTCGGTGCCCGGTGAACCTCATCCCCAAAATGGCAACATTGTATCACACAACCACTATGCGGCTGCAACCTACTCGCCGACGCCCGTGGTGCCTGCCAAGGTGCAATCGTCCCTTATGTCCGTCGGCATGCGAGTTCGCAAGTCTGTTGCGGATGGATACAAAACCCAGTTGGCGTTGAAGACCGATAAGATGATGCCACCCACCAACGCTACTGAGCCCACTTCCGTTCAACCTCATCTCGGCAACAATTCTTACGCTGAATTGGCGCCCTTTTCCGGCCTGGCCAAATCCTCTCAAGAATACTCAGCCGACCATGTGATCACCGACGACGGAGATGCCTTCTCTCTCCCGCCCAGCAGCCAAGAGTCTGTCGGCTCCTCTGTGTCTTTTGGCCAAAAGCGATCGTTTGAAAGTGATATCTTCGTCGACGAAGACGCCTCTGAAAACGATACCAACGGACCCTCGCAGGACGCCCCCGTCGCGCGCCGCATTCTCTCTCCTAGTCTGGGGCAGCGGCGTCGTATCCTTACTCTGCGCGGCTCAATGAGGCAATCTACAATGGACCTTGACGATTTCGAAGAAGCATCTTTCCTCCGTCGCCGGGAGGAAGTCGATGCCGACTACAGTCGGATGGACTGTGCCTGAATGGCTTGAACTCTTTGATCCTGTTTGCTGTATTTGTTGCCACTGAATGGCACGTGCCCCTTGGTTGATCCAAGGCCTGCGATTGCCCCGACACCTAGCTCTCAAATCAGGGGATGCTTGGCTTCTTTTCCCCTGTACTCGCTTTTCCCCTTTGACCTTGTATGACCACCTGATCTGTACTTATACCCATCTTTGCTTCTGTCTTGTACACATATTGCATGTACCATCATTCCCATCATATTTCCTGCAGAGCACGGAGTATTCCAATAGAAAATGTATGTACTCATAATTGGATCCTCGAATGTGAAAACCTTTCAACCGTGTACTCTGGGAGCTCTAGAGTGCCACTCACTGAGTGGATCGGTTACATCCCGATGTGCGGGACCCACCGCCAAGCTCCTCGTGCAAATGGTGTAACGGCAGGATGTCCGTATGCCCTCTTTCGGATTGTCCAGACAAATCAAAATCAGATCTCAGTCAGAAATCAGGAGGTGGTTCGCAGCCACAGCAACAACGCAAGGGCCATTATCCGCTAAGGATCCTAAGATCCAGGCATTAAAGTTTCTCCCAGGAATGTCACCTCTGCAAGGATCTGCACCAGCTATACAATTCTGACATTACATGCATAGAGGTCTCGACCATCGAGTCTCACCCAGTTTTATAAGGTATATGAGTCAACCACGCAGTTTTTCATGGTCACAAGATAACCGCACCGAGCTTGTCCGAGCCGAAATGTGGTAGAGGCTCAGCTCGCTCGGTTCCCGAAACCCGAAACGGCCATGTAACGTGGAGTTAAGGCTTATATTATAGTCAACTGATGGTGAAATTTTTTTGGAAAGACATGCGACGCGATCCGAAGATCCACAGTGTGCGGTGTTCATCGTGGCACCTACATGTGAGGATTATAGTGCCGATCTAGCCCAATTCGGGGACGACATAGCAACAGGGGTCTTGGAAACTATCTTTCTGGATTGGTATTGGTTACCATCAATGTCTTACAACTATCAATACTACTTCAGATCTATGCAGACTTGAGTGTTTGGCCTAGTTGCCGGGACATTCGGTCTCTCTCATGTGTCCTATAATAAAGCCTTGGTCAATAGTCCCGTATGTTCAGTTCGTGCTGATTCTGTTCATCAATCCTTCACTTCTATAACATTTGAATCTTGAAGAAAAATCACCTACAATGCTCTTCAAACAGGCCATCCTCCTCTCAGCCCTGTCCACCGTGACCTACGCTACACCTACACATCTCACCTCCTTTGCAATCCGCGACAACTACCCTACAAACATTGGCAACCCGTCATACTGTGAAAAAGTCGGAATATGCAACACCACAAGACTCCCCAACAGCCGAACGCAGTGCACCGATGACGAGAAATTGACATGCCAATACTACAGCTGCAACGTCGCTTGGTCCGAATGCCAAGATTATAACAGCTTCGCATCCTGCTCCAACGCCCTGAACCAATGCGAACCGGTAGGAGGGCGCCCGATTTCTGACAAAGATTGTGCCAAGCTCTTCACAGGCTACGACGGTAGTGTCTGTATGGATTGCACGTCGGGTATTAATGGGCGGTGCCATATCAATCCGGAGGCATATAAGCAATTCTCTGAAGGAGATGCGTGCAAGAAGTCGACTGAACAGTGTGTCGATGAAGACTCTTGTATTGATGCTCTTTTCGACTGCGAATATGTTGGGGGTCCGAAGATTAGCGAGGATAAGTGCAAGTATGTGATTATTGGGTCGAAGAATGACACGGGGGTGCCGATGGAGGTTGCTTGTGAGGATTGTACTTCCTATCAGAATGGGATGTGTTTGCTGGATGAGATGAACCTTGAGGCGTTTGAACAAGATTACGAGCTTGTCTAGGGGAAGTTTGGCTGGCGTGTCTATAAATTGAGATGATGCTATTACATAATGGAATGGAAGTCGAAATAAATGGCTTCTATTGAATAGTTGTAAAATTCCCTAAGGATCACGAAGATGCGGCGATGTTACCCTCTGCATTGACAATTTCTCGAACCTTGAAAGACGTAGTAAAGTTCTTCTGCTTCACGAACCAAGCATTAACCAATTCCCACTCTTGGTTGGGGTCGGTAAATTGAATCTAGACAAGTCGATTAGCTGAGGTACCATCAACAAGAGACGAAAAAGCATACCTCAAATCTCCGCAACATGCTGGGAACCAGCTTGTAGATCTCTAGCAGACTGATATTCTTCCCTAAACAAGTTCTTGAGCCCATACCAAAGTGGAACATAGTTCCATTCATTTCCTTGATACGGCGATCTTCAGCAGCCTCTCCAATTTCTGTCTTGACAGCTTCCTCATTTGGCAGCCATCGCTCAGGTCGATAAAACTCCGCATCTTCACCAAAGACACCCTTATTCATATGGATAAGCCAAGCCGAGCAGCCAACGATAGTACCACCAGGGACGAAATGTCCAGAAATTTCAGCACCAGCTTCTGGCACAATTCTTTCCAATGGAAGACCGGCAGCTGGGTGTAGACGAAAAGCCTCTTTGATGCAAGCGTCGAGATAGGGAAGACCCTGGCTCTCATGCCATGTTACAAGGCCAGACTCGGAGTCTCCAAAAGCTCCAGCAAGTGCAGCATCATCGATCTCTGTTCGGAGACGTGCGAGGGCTTGAGGGTGCTTAAGTAGGAAGTAGAACACAGCAGAAAGACTAATAGCAGTTGTTTCAGAACCGGCAAATGCCATACTGACAGCCATCGTCTGTACCAGAGTTTGAGACATAAATTCGGGATGGGATTCATGGGCTGCCAAGAATTTGGAGAGCAAGTCCGGGGATTTCACGTTTACTGCCTGAGATTCTGGCTTTTCGCTGGTCAAGCTTGGCACACGTTCGGCCATGCGATTGTTTGCGAAGCGTGCAACGGGGAATGTGGCGTCGATGAAGCCCCATTGGGAAAGCTTGAGGTAGATAGGGTTCTTAAGAAAGAGTAGGTCCAAGAAAGGAATTTGTCCAATCTAGAGGATTGAGGTGTTAATAAGATGCTGAACGGGGATTGATCTGAGGAAACCTACGGGTGCAACATAGAGGAATAGCCAGGTCAAGTACCCGACGATACCATCAACATCCTCGTTCTTCTCAATGAAGCCGTGCCTCTTGCTATATGTTATCTCCCCAATAACATCAAAGGCATAGAATTGTAACCACTGGGTAAAATCACATCCTTCAGGATTATCAACGAAGAGCTTCTTCGTCTGCTCCAAGAATAATTTGGTGGTGTTATCGACGAAAGGCTCATACTGGACCAAAGCCGACATAGCAAAGGCCGAGTTGACACATCTGCGGAATCTTGAGTGGAAGTCATTATCCGTTGAGCTGAAGAGAGATTGTAGACGGTGGCCCTTTGCAATGGACTGTTGAACAATGTAGAAGTCCGACTAATCGTGACTTAGCAAGGCTTGACCACAGATGGCTTATGCAGAGGAATGACCTACTTTGACGAACCCCTTGTTCAAACCGTAGATGGACTTCAAAGCACTTGGATCGGAGAATGAGAGGGTATTCGGCCCAAGCCGAACGACATCGCCGTACTTCTTGTGCAGTGCTCGGTGAGTGACTTCAGGCCGGCGACCATAGACATCGAAGAAACGCCACCAATTTGTGATGGATGCCAGAAATGGACCTGAGTACTTGTTCAGCCCATTTTGGTATCTGTTCTTGACCAGCCACAGGAGCAAAGTGACCCCTGATACAAGCAGCCAATGCTGGGACAGGATTCTTAGGATATGATCTGTAACTCCGTGCATTTTGAAAAGAATATTGAAAGATGGAACGCTTGGGAATAACTAGGGATAAGAAGCTTGTGTATATGAATTAAGAGAGAAGGGAATGAAGGAACGGAGAGGTGACAGGTGGGTGGGCACAATCATAATTTATATCCAAGCTATAGCAAGCAACAGAAGGTGAGAGCAAGGCGAGAGTCATATAACGGCAGTTGATGCTATCCGAAGGACCAATGAATGGGGGTATCAAGCGAAAGAAGGACCAAATTGTTCATTTGTCTTCACTGGACGGCACGCTAATCCAGGACGAATCGGGCATCGCCACAACGCATTCATATCCACACGGCTCGAGTATCCCGGGGAAAGCCCCCATCGCAGAGCCCCGAGCCCCGAAACAACAAAGGACCAATAATGTACACGGCATTTGCAGGATGTGGGAAGTATAATGCACTCGACACGAGTTGCAGCCTTGGTCCTCGGACAGGGGCCCTAGCTCTACCTTCTGCATCACGAAACCTCAATGCAAACCTCGAGCGAAACCAGAAAGACAGTTGAGCATATTCAGTAGTCTCAATTTCAGGCTAGTCGCGTACCAGACCGTTTGACCTGTTATGCGGGGGAAAATGCAATTAGACGTGGGGCGACGTGGGGCTATGATGGAAGTCCGGGGGTCACCCGTACCTCCGCTACCTCTAGACTTGCGCCAGACGGGATTTCGTCACCAAGTCAACTGCCGATATCTCTATCATCTCGACTCTTTCAAGCTGTCGTCAAGTTCCGCTCCTAGTGATCTCAATTCAGGGGCTTCGGCTTGTAATGTTCTCCCAATCACGAGATTCCCTCTAGAACTCTTTTCCATGCGCGTGCGCATCGCCAAGGCTGTGACCGTCGCGCGAAACACAATAGATGCCCCGCCCGCGCGCTCGACGCGCGAATCAACCTACTACACCAACTACCTCGATACTTTAGACGAGTTGTCTGCGGACGGTGAGGCATTGATGGATAAGGCCATGCTAGATCATGGGGGACCCCCTGGCTCGCATAGGCCGCGTCAAGCTTGTGAGACTTGAAGTCAAGGCAAAGCAGGAGATTGTGCGGATATGGAGCAAGACTCGATCTACCTGGTGGTGGTAAGATTTCTTTCTTCCTTGGAGCTCATAGAATACTAAATTCAATTATATATGGCTATTTTAAATCTTTCATTGATAGTGTGTCTCGGGAAACGAGCTCCGCTTCTAGATATGGGGTATAGTGGACAACCAGTCGATCTTATCTATGTCCTTCTTGTAGTCAAAGGCAACATAAGAGTGAATTGAATATTGCTATTTGTTAAAGAACATCAGAAAGCTTAGACTTTATTATACTGTCTAGTCCAAGCTTCCAGGTCATGGAAATATCGTGTTTCATTGAAAGAGACTTCGCAGAGAGCTACCCAGCAGTTCGCGGTGTTCGTCTGAGTCAATATTCCGGCGATTTGATTCTAGCAAAGGCACTTGATATTCCGACCCTTTCGTGCCATTTGAATTGGCATCATAGTCGCCACACAGAGTGCTGTTGAAGATATTATCGTACTGTAACATGTCTATCCGTAACATGATTGCGAACAAATTTGAAATATAAGAATCCAGGCGCCTAGAGAACAAGGGGTCCATGTGTATGCAACAACGCGCAGAGCCAAAAAGCGCGAGGAAATAAGACCCTGTCCAGGATGGAGACATAGCAAAACCGTTAGAAAGAAAGGAAAGAGAAGATAAGGGTAAGAAGACAGCCTGTAGGAGAGACTCTTCAGCGGGAAGGCAAGGAGGTTCGACGAAGAAGGAATTAGGGGGTATTGTGTATCCCTGCTGTTTGCTTCGTTCTGGGAAACCCAATGCTACGCTGAGCGCAGCCGACCACCCACGACGAGGACATCTCCATGGCTAATGATCATGTCATGAACAAGCTCACGCTTTGAGCAACGGTGGCGCTACCCTAGGTTGACCAACTAGATTTATTCTCAAAAACTTTTGTACCAAGGCACAATGATTGAATGCGGCATCGCAATGTTAGGTGCATTAACAATACAGATGAAAAGAACAGGCTATACGACTTATTACTAAAGCTTGGCTTCGAGGCAGTACAACAGCGGAGCCATACGCTGTGTGTATTTTTTTGTGACTATTCGAGGAACCTGTAAGTCAGAACTCATTTCTTTATCAATGAAGAGAGTCTTCTTGGAAGGTCGCTCTTATCATGTCATCCCAGCTAGGAAAACAAATCCACTCGTGGCTTATCATTCCCGAGATCGGCAATACACGGATCTCGGGAATGACCCCGCATGCTATTCCCGGCAAGATAGGCATTTTTGGAGATATTATGATCGATTTGGAGATGTGACCTTCAAGTCTACTCCTCAAAGAACCGTTGTGATCACCACGTGTCACTTCTAGCCAACGATGACTGCGAAAGGCCGATCCCGTACACTAGCCACGCATGAACGTGGAAACGAAGATCTTGACAAGAAGTATGTTTGACTTCTCGAGTATCAAGAATGCGATCTAATGAGCACGATTTCAGGAGACTGCGAAATCGTCTTTCGCAACGTGCATTCCGTCGCCGGCAAGCAGACCGTCTAAGAGAACTATTAGATCATGCCGATGCAAGCGACAGACCTTACGACGAAACAGTCAAAGTCCTGCAGGAAGAAAATAGTAATCTTCGAAGGAACCTCATTGAAGTACAATCCAAGCTAGCCAGGTTGATTGCCAATATGCAATCGTTGTCTGGAAACCTATCGACAGCTCTCGGCGAATCTCCTCAAAACGAACATGCTAGTGCCCACGAGCAACAATCGCAGCCACCTACTAGCACAAGTGAAATTCGCCAGGAATCTCGTTCAAAAGGAGAAGAAAAAGAATCATCCATCTTGGAAGTTTCGCGTTCAAGAGCTTTACAAGCGTCGCCATGCGGCTATTCTCAATCTGATGACCTTCTGACTAGCGCTGAACCCTGCTTTGAAAGTGTCTTTGAGAGTATTTATCCTTCAACTCAGTCCCCAGAGATAAACTTGGCTGCAAATTTCAACAGTCTCGCTCAGCAACTACCGAGTATTTGGTCCTTTGAATACCAAATGGGTACCGAGCCATACGCAAATGCCCTTGTTGGGACAGAAGATTCCTGCGGTACACGCGGTCGCAATTGGATCGAGACAAACTCGCCATTCTCAGACCATATCGAAACCCTTCAGCGACTACTGAAAGGAAAAGTGCAGAAAATTAATCCTTCTACTGGGATTAATATTACTTTGTGCGTGGGTCACTACAAAAATCTTCAAAATCGCTAATTGATCCATAGCTTCTACCACGAAGTCCTTATGGTCTTGTCCTTGTTCAACAGCATGACTCGACCAGATGTGATGCGCTGGTACGCGAAAACAAGATTCTATCACATCGTCAACTTGACGGCCTGGCAAATCTACCCCTGTACACGAACCTACAACGAGATCCACCCACAGTATCGACCAACAACTCTGCAACTGCAGTGCCAGTATCCAACAGTCATCGACTGGATACCGTTTCCCAGTATAAGAGACCGTCTCATTCAGCTTCATTCGGCAAATCCCCGGATCGACCAGATCTTCTGCGACGCTGTAAGCAGCTATGTCGTCGAGGCGTGGATGTCCGATTTGATCCAAGGTGCTCCTGCAATCAAGTCTTACATCCGAGTGACCGATCTGGTTCCAAATATCGATTTCACGAATACAGTTAGTGAAGATGACTTGGCTGCTGCTCTTCCTGCACGGGATGCCGCAACTCTCTTCTCCTCGCCGATCTGTTCTAGGGCCGTTTTCAACCGGCTTAGTATGAATCAAGGAATCTCAAATTACAAGATCGATCCAGCTTTCTTCGGCAGCTACCCAGAACTGTATGATCATAATGCCGAGGTCGCGGCGAAAGGTATTCCTTTGCGACCGGATGTACAGCTTCGATTGACGTACCCAAAGCCTCTTGATACTCCAACGTACCATACTTATCGCAACTTCATTGACTTCTCTTATGATGCACCTATGTGTACCGAATTGCTTGTTTGTTGATTTCGACGATTCATTTGTTTGAACATGTAAGTTAATGATGACAATGACATTGAGCTTTCTCTGTCCGGAAATCTCGCTTTTCGATATTGGTATCAAAATGACTTCCCACTACCTCAACTGAGCGAGAACCTTAAGCAGGTCGCCCGTCACACCCATTGCAGTGACATCGCCACCAGCACCAGCACCACGAATTGTGAGCGGCATATCACCGTACCTCTTGGTGTAGAAGCTGATTATGTTGTCACTGCCCTTCAACGTGGCAATGGGATGCATCGGATCAAACCGCTCAAGTCCCACCTTTACCTCCTTTGTAGCCATTTCAATGCTACCGACAAATCGGATAACCTTTCCTTCCTTCTGCGCTGCGATTTTCTGTGCCTCCATTTGATTGTCATAGTCATGAAGCTTGCTGAGGAATTCATCGCCGTTGGCAACATCCTTAAGCTCATCCGGAATCAAACTCTGCACTGGGAATGAAGATGGAGATTCAATGGGAAGACCAGCCAGTCGACCAAGGATTGTCAACTTCCGCGCGACGTCGAGCCCATTCAGATCATCGCGGGGATCAGGTTCAGTGAAGCCCAATTCCTTCGCCTTCTTCACATTGTCCGACCATTTCCCACCAGAGCCGGAAGTCGGAGCGAATGAGTTGAAGAGAAAAGACATGGTTCCGCTGAAGACGCCCTCGATGCGTGTAACGTCATCACCAGTTTGCACGAGCTCCTTGATTGTCGAGATGATGGGCATGCCCGCTCCGACAGACGACTCGTGGAATACCATTGATCCACCAGACTTAGCCGAGCTGAAGATATCCTGCCACAGCTCATAGCTTCCCGAGAAAGCTTTCTTGTTCGGGGTGATGACACTAATCCCCCTCTTCAAGAACTCGGGGTATGCCTCTGCCAGACTGCTGGCACTGGTGTTGTCAACAAGGACCACCTTGTGTGGTGCACAGGCCAAGTATTCGACAATTTCGGACAATTTCGGTGGCGGAGATCCAGTCGACTCCAGTGTAGAGACGGCGGTGTCGATATTGATCTCAGAGTAGTCTTGATGATATAGGGCTTTATCAATCATAGCGATATAGCACAGACTTAAGCGGGTTGAAGGCGAGTTCTTGGACAACCAGGCCAGCTGGGAAACGAAAACCGATCCCACACCCCCGGTGCCTGTGAACAAATCAGTAAACAGATCACGATGAAGAGATTATACACGATAGACTGACCAATAATGGCAATATTGACCTGTTTGGGTGCCATTTCAAAGACTAATCAGATGTATAACGCTCGCCTGATTTCGAACGAGGGACTCAGGTCTTTAAAACATCAATGAATGCAAACAACACCATGTAACCCGGTGTGTTTCCCGAAAATCTAGCCTCACATTGGTCTTCTTAGATACTAAGCACATAATGAGGTTGTATTGATGACTCCGATGGATCCTCATAGTTAGGTAACCGACCGCTTACGCCTATCCACTTCCTGACCCACTTCCTGACCCACTTCCTCTCAGGTACCGTTTATTGTAATCGACCACTGACATAAGTACTAAAATATGCCCGGCCATGCAACTCTGAAAGATCCCTATTGCAGATCAACAAGCGTATCGTTATGCTTAAAGCGCAAAGAAATGATGTAAGCCCCACCTACAAGTCACATATCGGAAGATGACCGACGGAGGCTGACCGTGGCCGACGGCAACCGAGTAATGACTCCAAGCTAATCAGATGGGGTCAATGGAGACGAGTGATCGTATAAAGCTCTGAGGGTGTAGCTTAGCTCACTTATCAGTCAAAGGCTCAGAGTGACCATAGAAAGCATCCATTATGGGTTTGACAGCCACCATGACCAAGTGCGATTTGTTGCAGGCAAGTATCTAGGGAAGGTTGTCTTGATGAAACCATGTACTAATATCTAACAGTTGAACGATAAATCAATTCTCCACGAGGCCTCATTGCTGAATGGGAAATGGGTGCAAGCCCAGTCAGGCAAGACATTCGATGTTGAAGGTGAGCCCGATTAAACCACAAAAGTCGGCTAGTATCTAATACTAACAATGAACTTAGATCCCGGCTCAGGACAGATCTTCGCAACCTGCCCTACGAACGAAGTTGCCGACGTAGACCAATACGTCGCATCCTCTCAAAAAGCATTCGAAGCCTACCGAAAGGAGAACCCACGCACGCGAGCCAAGATCCTCCTCAAATGGCACGAGCTCATCACCAATGCACGCGAAGACATCGCCAAAATCATGGTCTATGAGACGGGCAAGCCCATGACTGAAGCCCTCGGCGAAGTGGACTACGCGCTGGGTTTTGCATGGTGGTTCGCAGGCGAAGCCGAACGCATTCGAGGTTCAGTTGCTCAGCCTTCGATCTCGGATCGGCGCACATTCGTCATTAAGCAGCCCATTGGAGTGAGCGTCGCTCTTGTGCCGTGGAATTTCCCAGTGGCCATGATTATCCGGAAGGTCGCTGCTGCTCTAGCTGCGGGGTGCTCGATGATTGTGAAGCCTTCGCCTGAGACTCCACTCAGTGTTAATGCCCTTGCGGATCTTGCTATGCGCGCTGGGCTCCCCGCTGGCGTTTTAAATGTTATTTCCACCGATAATGAGAATACACCCGCTGTCAGTGAGAGGCTTTGCAAGCACCCTTTGGTCCGGAAGGTGACTTTCACTGGAAGTACAAGGGTGGGCAGTATTGTTGCGAAGCACTGCAGTGAAGGACTGAAGAAAGTCACGATGGAACTAGGCGGCAACTGCCCTTTCATCGTTTTCGATGACGGAGACCTCGAGCAGGCTGTGAATGCATTGATGATTCTCAAATGGCGCACTGCAGGCCAGGCGTGCACACATGCCAACCGCGTTTACGTGCAAAGTGGCGTATACGACAAATTCACACGAATGATTACCGAAGCTACGACTCAGAAGATCCGTGTCGGCCACGGATCTGATCCCTCGACCACAATGGGTCCTCTGACGACTAGCCGTGGTATTGAGAAGCTGGAGCGCCACGTGGAAGATGCCGTGACGTATGGCGGCAAGGTTCTCTGCGGAGGAAAGAAACCTGTGGGTTTGAAGGGATACTTCTTCGAGCCGACTATTATCTCTGGTATGACCTCAGAGATGTTGACCACTCGGGAGGAGATCTTCGGCCCCTTGTTAGGACTTTATAAGTTTGAGACCGAGGAAGAGGCTGTTAAGATGGCCAATGACACTTCCATGGGCTTGGCCTCCTACTTCTTCACTAAGAACGTCGATCGAACTTGGAGATTGCTCGAGGATCTCGAGGCTGGCATGATTGGCATGAACACTGGCAACTCGTCTTGTGCCGAGTCTCCGTTCGGTGGTATTAAGGAGTCTGGCTATGGCAAGGAAGCTGGCAAGGATGTCGCGATCGAGGAGTACTTGATTTCCAAGACCGGAACTTTGACTATTGGGGCTTAAAAGACAATGTGTGATGATACTTAGAAATCAGTATGCTTTTAATGACAAGCGGTTCCTATCAAAAATCAACCGAACCAGAAATGAAGAAGAAAAAAAGCCCTAGGACCAAAAACCTCAGTCCCGAACTCCATTGCAATTCTTTCTCTAATATTTAAAACAGACGTGAGTGCATAGCATACGGTATATGAAAATCATGCTTTATACTTCCAACAGCTTACAACATTCATGCATGAAACGGGAGACTTAAAGCTCATCCTTGCGAGTATCGTCTTGGGTTTTCTCCTCCTCCTTGCCCTTGCTCTTGTCAGCCTCGGGCTTATCCTTCTTGCTCTTCTTACTACTGTTTTTCTTGGCCTGCTTGCCAGCGGCGGCAGTCATACGCTCATACATGCGGTTGAGGATGCGCTCGAACTCACGCAGACGAGAGTCGATGTCCACGACAGTTAGAGCGGGGTCATCCGAGTCGGTAAGCTTTTCTTGGAGGGCGAGCTGAGCCTCGAGCCAGGGCTTGGTAGACTCGTAGGCCTGGGTCAGGGAGGCAAGGTCGCTGGGGGTGAAGAGGGTGTACTTAGGCCCAGTGGGCTTGGCACTAGCGACCGGCTTGGTGGTGGTGGTGGTAGTCTTTGAAGACGAGGACGAGTAAGAGTCGTCGTCGAGATCATCCATATTGTCATCAGAAGCGACCGGGGTTTCGGTGGTGGAAGAGCTGGTCTCGGACTCAGCGCTTGAGGTGCTTGACGCGGAGAGGGAGGATGAGTAGCTCTTCTCGTCAGTGGCAATTTGACCCTCGATCAGCTGCTTCATGGACTCGGCGTTCTTGAGCATGTCCTGGAGAAGCCCAATACGAGCCGGGCGATCGGTAGATTCCTTCATGCGTTTAAGTGCAGGGTTAACGATGGCCTTTAGGTCCTTCAGCTTGGACTGGAACTCTGCCGTCTTAGCATTGTCGCTGTCCTCGTACAGCCAATCGCTAGCCTTAGCAACCTTGTCCTGAAGGATGGCCAGGTCATCGCCCTTAACAGCTTGGGTAAACTCTTCGTTGTCTGCGAGATCCCGACTGCGATAGATAAAAGCCTCCAGCTCATTGAGAGCCTCCTCGCGGAGGATACGATCGCGGTCAGAGGCGTCGAAAGCCGCCAGACGACTGCGGATGCGACCCAGCTCGGGTACAGACGGAGCCTTAGTTCCAAGTGGTGTCGACTTCAAGCTGATGGGAATGATCTCAAGTTTAGTCTGTCCGGACGTCTTCGCGCTATCCTTAGCGGTAGCAGTGGTAGAAGCGCTGGCGGAAGAGGCAGTCGAGGACTCTGCCTCGGCCTCGAGGTTGATCGACTCGCTTGGCTCGCCGTCCTCGCCAAGAGGCTGCTGGTCTCCCTTCTTGGAACCGAGACCAAAGAAGCCCTTGACATCATCGACAATGCCCTTCTTCTCGGCCTCGACTTCGCAGCTCACGTTGCCACTGGTGACCTCGGGGAGGCCATTGACAGGGCTGAGACGAATAGCGAACTTAGTAGTGATGTTGGCAGCCGCGCAGCCGAATGACTCCTTAAGCTTGTTTACAGATGCGGTCAGGTTCTGGGTTTCGACGCTAAGGACCGGGCGGTTGTCTCCACTCTGGTCAACCTGCTGGTAGAAGCTGAACTCGAAGTCATCTAGGTTCTTCACGGTCACCTGCTTCTCGGGCCCAACCTGAGAAGTGGCAGTGAACAGTTTCTGGTTGCGTTCCTTGCCATCCGAGTTCCACTTAAGCATGACAGGGTACGAAGCCGCATCGTGAGCGCGGATGTCCTTGACACGGAAGTTGGGGCTGAGGGCAGCGCCCTTGAAGGCAGCACCAAAGACAGCCGCCTCATCGGCGTTGACATTGGTACGGAGCTTCTTGGATGAGCCCACGATCTTCTCAAGCTCTTTTTGAACGAAAGGAGTCCGAATAGCTCCTCCGTGCAGAACAACAGAGTCGATATCATCCATCTTGAGACCGGCGGCCGCTAGAGACTCCTCCAAAGGAGCATCGATGCGAGCAATGTGCTGCGCAGCAAGCTTCTCAAAAGTGGCGCGGCTAATCTTGTACTTGAAGTTCATTTCCTCGTCATACAGGCCTTCGAAGCTGGTGGAGGTCTCGGTGTTGGCACTCAGAACCTGTCGGACCTTTTCGGCATCCTTCCAAAGTCTGGCCATGGTCTTACCATGAGCTTTGACTTCTCCGGCGGTAACCTTGCCCTTGAGCTTCTTGTCGTCGACTAGCTTCTCCACCATGTCGTTGACAATAAGGTCGTTCAGAGAGTCGCCTCCAAGGGTCTTGTCCCAGCCAGCTCCCAAAACATGAATCTCCTGAACAGTCTTGTTGAACTTGCCGATGTCCTTAACTTGGCGACTTTGGAAGCGCAACACGCTGGCAGTAGTAGATCCAGCACCCATATCGAAGATAACATGGTACTCGGGCTTCTCTCCATCCGAAACACTAGGGAACTTCCGGGTGGTGGCGTAGTTCAATCCAACAGCCAACCCATCGCTGACAAAGGCCTCGATGTTCAGACCGGCCAGTTCGGCTGCCAGTGCGAGACTCCTCTTCTCGTCCGCGGTGTAGAAAGCAGGATAGGTGATGACGACATCACGGATATCCGATCCCTTGCCAGCGAGTTCGTCGGCGTTGGACTTGACCTCCTGCAATTGCATGGCCAGGATTTCCTCGACCAAGAACGCGTCCTTCTTCTCTGCCTCTCCGAGTCGGTTGCTGCGCATGACGACAGAGCCGCGGCCATCGGGGGCACTCTCGAGCTTCAGGGCTGGATACCTGCTCCAGTAGCCCTTGATCGTCTCATCATTTGCGTCGTTGAAAGGGACACCCAGAAGGGTCTTCAGATTGCTGTAGACATCGTCCGGGTACCGAGCTGCCAGGGCGAGAGCGTTACCACCGTAGAACCGCTCAGGGAAGGGCGCGCTGGTGTCTCGTGTTGGCTTAAAGGCGATGGCAGCGGACTCCTTGCGCTTTGAATCCTTGGACAAGACGATCTCGAGGGGAATGCCGGGTTTCACGAGGGCGGCTTTCAAGTATTCGGTGCCGACATCGAGGCCAATGACCGCAGATCCGGCAGCTGAAGCTTGTCCAGCAAAGCTGATCAGGAAGATCAAGAAGGGGAGGATCACGAGGGAGAGGAATGGAGAGGTCGGTAACCGTCCGCGGCCCGGGAGAGCCATGGTCTATGTTTAAGCTGCGCACTGGACAAAATAAGCCAATTATTCATTCAAAGGGTGAGTTTTCGAGAAACACGATCGGCGTACATTAAGTCAGCTGTTAATAAGCATAAAATCCAAGCAGAAATCACGCCGCTCCACCGGTCTCTAAGATGTGTGTAGGTGGAACGCTGGCCTTGCGCCAGACGAGGAGCCGGTATTTAGCTATGGGATTGGTTTGAAAGGGGCGGGGGAGGACAGGGTAAAGAATCGAATGAAAATTGATGAGATGAAGGTGTAAATTCGCATAAATCAAGCCATCCGGGCGCGAGGGGATGCAGTGGCCACCTGTCAAGAGAAACAGAAGGCGCATCTAAGGCCACGGGTCAGATCAGGCTCACCGCTGTTTGCCATGTTTGCACTATGCTGTGGTGCTGACGTAAGAGCCCTAATTAAGGATCCAAATGGGGCTCCGGTATACATCCAGTAAACAAATACAGCCCCTGCTAGGAGGTAGTTGATTACTTTCACAAGATGGATGATTCAAGCTTGAAGTTATCCATGGCTTAACAAAGGGAATTTGAAAGGTGATTCAAGACCAAAGACTAAAGGAAGTCTTTGTCTTAATCCAAACAATGTATTCCAAATTCCAGTCCATAATGCTATGCGAAGAGATGTAGAAGCCACTAATTCACCAGCTCGGAGTTCATGATAAAATTCGGTAAAAATCTTAAGCTACCTGTGCTCAGTCGGTGTATTGATTTATGAAAACCGCGTATTCTTCCCTCATCTTCCAAGCATGAGCTGGACCAGATGTCTTTTTCTTCATTCAATTTCTAGAAGACCCGGACCACCGCGCTCACAAATATCCCAGGCCTTTTGTGAGACTTATTTTGCATACAAATTATACGACGCGGGATAATAAGTGAGGTAGTCAACACCAACACTATCAAATTAGTAAGAGACACGTTGCATGGCGAACATATTCCTCTTGAGTGGCCGCGAAGGGAGTCAGTGTTAGTGACATAGGTGATAGATATAATTGGCTTTAAATATCTTCATAGGACCCGGATAGGCAATGTGGGTGCATCCAAGCGAGGGAATCGAGAGTTTAATTTAATTGTAACCCGCCTGGAATTATAGGTGTCCATGTGCGATTAAGTACATGAAAGTAGGTATTCAATTCCCGTATCCAGTGCAGTAATATCGGAATATTGACAGATACCGCACCTATTAATTCACTAACTAGGTATTACATTCATCATAAGGAGCGTCCGTGAAGTCACAAACCAAATCAGAGAACCACCACTCTCTTCCACGTCGCGGAGAGCGGATATTAGGGCATTAACACTGGGCCATTCACATATCTCCCAGTCCCAAGAATACAATTTTTTTGGTCTTTTATTTTTCTTCGTATACTCTCGAGTCATGCCATGGACTCTATTGCAATGTCACCGGGTTACTAAAACAGAGCAAAGATAATGGCGAGACCGGGGACGAGACCGGCCAGAGATGTCTTGTATTGAGAGGAGGCGGCATTGAATTGAGGACTTTCAGAAGGAGCAGGCGGGACGCTGGAAGAGGCGGCGCCAGATGAGGCCGGTGCGGGGACGGCCGAAGTTCCTTCAGGCGCTGGTGCGCTAGATTCGGGGGAAATCGCAGTGGTAGTTCCAGGAACGATGATCGGGCTAGAGCCACTGGGAACAGCAACGACAGTGCTCGTGCTGCTGACAATGACAGTCGTACCAGGAGGAGGCTGCAAAGGCACGGTTGTGGACAGAGCACACTCGTGGCAAGTCACCACGGAGGTAACGGTAAGAGTGCTGGTTTGGGTCACGGGAGTGGTGATGATAGTTGAGCCACTAGTAATCGTGCTCCAAGTGACTGTTCAAATTAGTACCTGTAATTATATCATGCTCAGTGGCTGTACATACCAGGGCAAGTGGTCGTAGTGAAAATAGTTGTGATAGTAGTGGGGGGTGGGGTGGTAGCAGTCTCGGTCTCGAATGGCGTGGTAGTAGGAGTCACAACTGGGGTTGTAGTTGTTTCACACGGAGTAGTTGTGAAGGAAACTATCGGGGTAGTTGTAGTCTCGCACGGAGTAGTGGTGGGGGAGACTACTGGAGTGGTCGTCGTTTCACACGGAGTAGTCGTGGGGGAAACCACCGGGGTAGTTGTAGTCTCGCACGGAGTAGTCGTGGGGGAAACTACTGGAGTGGTAGTCGTTTCACACGGAGTAGTCGTGGGGGAAACCACTGGAGTAGTAGTTGTTTCACATGGAGTAGTTGTGGGGGAAACTACCGGGGTAGTTGTAGTCTCGCACGGAGTAGTCGTGGGTGAAACCACTGGAGTAGTAGTTGTTTCACATGGAGTAGTTGTGGGGGAAACTACCGGGGTAGTTGTAGTCTCGCATGGAGTAGTAGTGGGAGTTACCACAGGAGTAGTGGTGGTCTCGCATGGAGTAGTCGTGGGAGTCACCTCGGGAGTGGTGGTGGTCTCGCATGGAGTAGTAGTGGGAGTCACCACGGGAGTAGTCGTAGTCTCGCACGGAGTAGTAGTGGGAGTCACCACAGGAGTAGTGGTGGTCTCGCATGGAGTAGTTGTGGGAGTCACCACGGGAGTAGTCGTAGTCTCGCACGGAGTAGTAGTGGGAGTCACCACAGGAGTAGTGGTGGTCTCGCATGGAGTAGTCGTGGGGGAAACCACTGGAGTAGTAGTTGTTTCACATGGAGTAGTTGTGGGGGAAACTACCGGGGTAGTTGTAGTCTCGCATGGAGTAGTAGTGGGAGTTACCACGGGAGTAGTGGTGGTCTCGCATGGAGTAGTCGTGGGAGTCATGACTGGAGTAGTAGTCTCAGTGTCACAAGGTGTAGTAGGTTGACCACCACCACCTCCACCTTCTCCTCCTCCTCCATGATGGTGAGGGCCTTCGCCGCCGTCATTACCACCATCACCATTACCTCGGGCAATAACATTGAAGTCGGCAGCAGGCTCTCTCGGCAGGACACCAGCCGAGGTCAAGCTGGCGACAGCCAAGAGAAGAATAGGCACAGCACGCATCTTGTATAAGTAACGAGAGGAATGCGTATCAATATATCTTTGAAACGACTGACAGCACCTAGATAGAACTAGGTAGGAACCGTAGCGAAAGAGTTCCTGACACGGATTACTTTCCGAACCAGAAAGTAGAGAGGAAGACGAGGAGATTTATAGACCGAACCCAACTGCAGTATCAGCCCGGGCGGGGCTGGGGTCAGACGTTGACATCAGAGACCTTCTTTTTGCCCTATGAGAGAGCCTTCTAAAAGAGTCGAACCGTGCCGTTGTGGAACCAAAACATGGCTCGACGAGTGGCAAGCAGCTTGGAAATTTAACCAGAATTGGCATACGGGTAAAACAACCAGCGTTTTTTTCCGTCATCGTCCACGGCCATGATGCATAGCGAACAGGGTCTCAATACAGGGCAGACGCTAGCGAGAACTACCCACCCGGTTGGCTCAGTGGCAGTTTCTGGGGGATTCCATCCAATGGCGAAAGTGTTGGTCTCAGACTTGGCCTCTGGTTCACCTAATGGGGACAGCAAGTACCCTGGCTGTCAAACTCAAAGCGTTGAGAGACCGACGCTTAAGCGAAAGCGCAATAGAGCCGATGATGCATGTCTGTTCTTGGCATAATGCGACACGGAACAGGCCCGAAAGATAGCTCATCTTGAGACGGGGTCTATAGACACCAGGGGGACCCCATGTTTCGATACAGCAGAATTGGGCTGTCTCTTTCTTAGTCCGAAGCTGGGGTATGGTAAGATCGTGGTCGGATCCCCGTTCAATTAGAAAATGTCTGAACGTCATGAGACTTCACATACCATAGAAAGATGGACGCCACATCTGGAGAAGACGGGAGAAGATAAGATAGGTTTCATTTGTTGTTAGTGGGGCAGTCATGTTATGTGGGGAAACCTTGCGAATAAGAATCGCCACAGCGAGCTAGCGCTTCTATTTCAAGTTCCGTAGGTCAAAGGGCTAAGAACCAGAAGCCTCAAGGCGGCCAATCCGGGAAATAACCCGGGAATCATGGCATCCGTGCATTAGACTAGGCTTAGATGACATTAAATTAATTATTTTTCTATTCTCTCCCTTCTTTTCCAGGTCTTAGGGTCCGAGGAGTGGGCCAATGCAAGCCACGAATTCCTGCAGTCCACTTTCCCCTCATTTTGCCCTGAGCAATAATCAGGGCACGTAAACGGTGCATAATCGTGGGCCCGGCAAATCTGCAGGGCTACCCGCTAGTTAAAACAAAGCCAAAGTGGGCTTGCCAGCCATGCTGTTGGGCGTCGGTCCCTGAGGTCCTGCAGGTAACGTTACATGACCACACGCGTGCCGGGCTCACAAAGAAGTGATGTGAAGCTAACGCCAGGAGACCTGGATGCGGTGTGATACAGAACGAGTGGTAAAGAGGCACTAAAGCACGTCGTTGCTGGGAAGTTCCCGAACAGCCTATGCGATTGGTGCAATACCAATTCAGCAATTTCAAAGCTCGTGATGTCACATGGCTTAAGCTATACTATTGTGGTTGATATTTTCCTTTTCCCCTGCTTCTTGGCCGTGGCTCGATGCCTCGGAGCTTCCCATGGCAATTGCCCCGCGTTCCTGGGATTGTGTCATTCCCGACCTGGTGCACCGAAGCACCTCATGCTCTTCCAGCCCATTGGGAATTGTCAATCTGACCTGTGACACCCCGGGTGGCCGGTTGACAAAAGTTGACAGGTACATGGTGGGGGGAATGTCACTAATCTCCCCAATGGTTTGGGTGCAAGGACTGATTCCCGCACGTCCTCTATTCATGCTTCCTGACCAAGATTGGGAAAGGAGGGAATCGGAGAGAAGCCGCGAGAGCCAGGGTTCGTGTGAGGGGTCACGCTCTCTTCCACGGAAACGACCTGTCTTACTTTGAGCGACATGCCCAATCCGTGTCTTAAACTCTGCAAGAGCCACAATGTGCATTTGTAAAAGATCGAGTTCACCGCGTTGAACCTTGAGTTACGCGATTAGCTACACTACGAGGTGGCTGGAGTATACATTGGATCTCGTATTGGGGTCATCATGAGTCGCGCATTGAACTACCCCGGCCTTAGAGGCCATGGTCATTGGGCACTAGATTTAGCATGCAACCAGTAACAGGAAATCGCCGCAAGGCCTAACTCAATTCAGATCCGCGCGAGAATTCTCGCGAAATCATCGGTCCGGCAATCGCCTAGAATATTACCCCTTCGAGGACAAGATGAGGTCAATGCTGCGCTGGGACCTGTCCTTCGTCTAATCGTCATCGTCCTCTGACCCACTGCTCCACCCAGTCTCGTAGGATTCTCTAATCTCGCCCAGTCCATTGAGCATCGCCTCGCGCTCATCCACTGAGAGCATACGTGCGGTACTTGTCTCAATGGCCTTGATTCTCTCGGCTGTTCGGCTCGACGCGGTCAATGCGGCGAGAATGCTTACTCCGGAACCGGACTTGGACTTAGGATACATTCCATAGGGGAAACTGTCAAGAATAGGTAGGCGAAGTGGTGTGCGGTAGCTAAAGTGGTACCCATTGTTAGCTGGGAAACTCGAGACATTGTTGGTATGTGGAGAAACCTACCTTTGGAGCATCGGCTCCGAGTTGAATAATCTGAGTCTGCGAATGTGACCAAGGTCTTGTTCTGTTGACTCACTGGCGTCTTCGGGGTCGTCTCCACGCATCACCTGGACCTGGTTGAAAAGATGCGCAGACTTGCTGCCCTCGCCGCCATAAGTAAAGTCAATATCAAAATCGGTTTCCGCCTTGGAAGATCCATCTTCTTGGGTTTGTAATTTTCGTCCGTGCTCTCCGGGGTTGAGAGTGGTTTGCAGCTCATAGATATTGTGAGTCCCATCATCTCCAGTTAGAGATGACTCGAAATCATGATACGGCCGGAGCCGGGACGGCAATGTTACCGTCTCAACCGCGGAGCTGATCAGCGCCGTAGTTTGCCAGCGCGAGCGACGGTCAACCTGCAGATAGCTAGGGAGCCTGGGTGGCAAGTCCATGAGGGGCACATAGAGGTTTGTCTGGGGCGATATCGAGTATATCGACTTCGCCTTGTTGATGTCTTTCTTCATTTGTTGGTGCTGCATAGACATATGTGAGTTTTATTTCTTCCATTAGGGCTGAAGAGTCAACATACCCGCTGGACCTTGGTCCCATCCTCAATGGCCCAGACCCAGATACTCTTCTTTCCATACTCATCTCGAAGGCGGTCGATATACCGTGCGGCAAATCCACCCCAGGCATCGTCTGCCCCGGAGAACAGTTGCAGCGCTCGCAGTTGGTCGCATTCCTCCGCAAAAGGCCTCACGTCCCGATCCAAGAGATCATGTTCTTTGTCGAGATCATTGAAAAGCTCTTCACCCGTGTTCCAGTCCTCGAACGGCATGATTTGAGAATTCAGCTCATATTCATTCATTTGCACGATAGACCGGGGATGGTAGAAGACTCTGTTGTAGTCGGACCAGTAACGCACAGTTTCCGATGTTAGTCGAGGAGCAGGAGTGCCCAGATCTAAGCTTTTTTGATAATCGCTTTGTAGAATGGGCGCTTGCTTCTGGACAACCTCTTGGCCATCCCTGGAAATGAAATTAGCCGAGAACTACATGCTAAATAACTTGTTCGACACCTACCAGAGGCCAGCCACGACATCCTCGCTTAGCTCATACAGCGCATTGTATTTTCGCAGTGTGCCGAATCCACCCTTCAGATCGTAGATCACTGTCCGTGGGGTGTAAGTCTCAGAGCCATCTGCACCGACTCCAGGTCGAAAATGAACATCGTGATCAACCGGTGTCTCTTCGCGGTCGTTGTATGTGAAATAAGATTCCTATTTATGTATTAGACACGAAGATCTCGGCGCAGAGGTCTAACTACCTGGAGATTCCAGAAATGGGTCGCGAGGTAGTTGGCCCGCTGACCCAGTTGTAGCGTCACGATCTCATGCATATTTGATGTGATCACCGACTGTGTGGCTTCGAATACTAAATGATCGTCGCATGTGAGCAAGTGGTGCGGACAAACCGCCTCCCCAACCCAGTAGGCGGTAGGGTTTGTCTGGCATTAAAAATTGCGAGTGCGGCATATCAGCACGTGATACTTAGTTTCCTCTCTGTCAGGCTAACCACTCTAGGAATAATAGTGTGGTGACCAGGGCAACAGTCACCTGATCTGTCCCAAGAGGGCAATAAACAACTCGTGTGTGGGTGCGTCACTCCCCCAATCGAGAACGGTGGTTTTCCTTTGTGATTTTCCCCTCGAACCGACCACCGACCACCTGTGACGCCCTCATGACCTCTTGACATCGACCCATCGCCTACTTCTCCTCGACAACGCCCCCGATGGAGTCTCCAACGCGTCCCATACTTAGCCCCTCAAAGGTCCTTCACCCGGTCTCGTCGGAACGCATGAATCAACAAACAATTCCCGCTTCCCCCTCCTTGCCCTCAGACCTCTTGTCCGTTCACCATAAAAACACCAGAGGAGTCTCTGAAGTACAAGCCAAAGTGGCATTCTTGAACAGTCTTTCGCGCCAGGGTAGCCCCAGCGCCGGTCAAGCTGCCGCAAATCATGCCGCCCTTCAAAGAGCAATCATCGGCCGCGAGGAGGCTGAGTCTGCCCTGAACTCAGTACAAGAAGAGCTTTCCGAAGCACAATCAAGAGAACGCCGAATCAGTGAACGACTCGAATCATTATTGGAAGAATTACACGGCACAAAAGAACGCCAAGCCCACGAACGGTCGATCTTCGAAAAAGAGATTCGCAAAGCCCGCAAGGAGGCATTTCGCGCGGGATCAACACTGGTCAAACTTCAAGAAGAACTGAAGCACACCAAGTCTGAATCGAAGGCCATCAAAGAGGATCTCGCAGCAGAGCGAGATGCCAAGGACAAGGCGAAGCAAGAGGCATTTGAACGTGCATATGCTCTCGCTGGTCTCACTGAAGAACTAGAAGTTCTCAAGGGCCAGCTCCGGTCTATGGAGGCATCCAACCACTCAAGCACATTAGAAGTCCGAGCCCACGAGATTCGGGGGGAAGATTTCGGCAGATTGTCCCTCGTAGAGGGCGACCTCGCCTTTTTGACCACCCCACGACGACCGAAACGCGTGGCACCGGACTCCGCTCGGTCTCAGATGTCCGAAATGGAACCCGGCGATGCTGCCGAAGCCACCCCTCCCAAACGACTGCGACTTTCCGAGTGCACAACTCCCATTGAGGTTGAGCAGACAACCACTACCACCACATCTCTATCACATCTGGATACCGAAGCGTTGGAAAATCTGAAGGAAGAGCTTGACCGTGAGCGTCGCCGGAGAGCCGAGGCCGAGGAAATGGTCCACTTCATGAATATCGAATGCCAGTTTGAGCGATGCTCTTGCCGGATTGCTGAGAGTCAGGGCCGCCGCTACATTTACGACGAAGAATACTTCGAAAAGTTCCAGAAGCCACAGCTGGAGGCCGAGGCCAAAGCGGCCCAAGAAGCCCGTAACGAACAGCAACGTCTAGCGGAAGAGCAGGCACGCGCTGAAGAGCGGGTGCGGGCTGAGCAACAAGCTCATGCGGAGGAGCAAGCTCACCTTGAGCAGCAAGCCCGTGCTGAGGAGCGGGCTCGCTTCGAGCAAAAGGTCCGCGCCGAGGAGCAGGCCCGCGCCGCACATCAGGCTCGTGTGGAAGAACAGGCCCGTGAAGAACAACGAGCCCGTGAGCAACAAACTCGTGCTGACCAGCGTGCTCTTGAAGAGCAGGCCCGTGCTGAGCAACAAGCACACATTGAACAGCAGCTTCTCGAGGACCAAGCTCGCGCTGAACGAGCTCGTGAGCGCGAGCAGCAAGCCCTTGAAGAACAGGCTCGTGCTGAGCAGCAAGCTCATTTGGAAGAGCAAGCCGGCCTTGAACACCAACAGCAACTCTGCATTCACGCAAGCCACACACCCTCTGTCGACCCTCCCAGCCCCGTCTATCGGCAACCCGAGGCTTCCGTCAAGCTAGAGCCCACCGAGCCCCCAGAGAAGATGCGAATGCCCAAGGAACCTGTCGTGACCTTCTCACCGGAGACCGGAACCTTCAAGACATTCCCATCACCCATTCGCGACAATGTTCAACCCCGACGAACTGATTCTTTCACACTTTCTGAGCTGAAAAGCTCGCAAGTCGACGCCTTGAATGGGATGCGTACCTCAACTGCCTCTTCTAATCGCCATGTGGACTCCACCACGCCGACCGCTCCTCCAGTGTCATCCAGGGCCGCCCGTGGCTCAACAGCAGAGCCTGTTGCTCGCGAAAATAACGAGAGCAGAACCGGTAGACGCACTGAACGCAGTGCCTACGGGCCTACTCTCGCAAGCACAAAACGGGTCCCTCTCCGTGAAGCCACTGGGTCTCAGAACTCTGCCTTCGTTTCTGACACGCCTATCAACCGAGAGGAAGCTCTCGCCAAAATCCGAGAGCGCCGCGGTCGGGCACGCAGCAAGGTCCGCTCAGTGAGCGCTGCCGAGCCTTCTGGACGTTCAGTAGGATCCACTAGCAACACCGGCGCAGCCGCAACTCGTGGTCCCCGTCGCATTCCGAACCTTCGGCCGGATAGCAAGAGCGAAGGCGAGCTAGGTGAGCGGAGAGATTTGAGCGCCCCGGTGCGCATGTTCCGACGATGATGGCGCGATTGATTTGCATATATGATGTCCTGGGTCCTTTTCTTGTTCTTGAGCCGGTTCTTGTCTTTTCCATAATACCCCGGCGCAGGTGCATAATCTTGTTTTTGATTGCTTCTATTTAGCTGCGTTGCATCGCGAGGACGCAATACCTTAGCTAAGGCTTTTTTTTTTTGTCTCATTTTACTTGTTGTGGACTTTGTTCCTGTGATGAACTTTCGCCTGAGATCCACTCTCTTTCACTTTTCCTATGTTGGTACTTCATCTGTACATATTTCAGACTTTTCCCAGCACTTTGCATCTCGGTTTGCATTCCATGACAGAATGACTACCTAAGAACTAGATCGAGGTTCTCCAGATATTTGGTTCAAAGTGCATGATGTAAGAAGACATCTAGATTCTGCTCGCAGAGATCCTGAAAGAAGGTGTATGTACAGTATAGATAGGTTAAATGCCTTCGAATCCCAGTCCTTAAAACCCAGTCTTTGAAAAGCGGATAGACATGACAAGCACAGCATATCTACAGGATGGAAATACCACAACAGCGAATACGTGCGCTGTCAACATGTGCAGAACGGCCCCACCAAAGTAAGACTAGCTCTTCAACGAAGATGCGGTCTGTCGCGCTCCACACGTCCAGGCCCATCTCCGCCATATCAGCGATGGTGATAGTAATCGGTTCTTCTGCCTCACAATCCTGAGCCGAGGTATCACGACGAGAGTGGTTTCCCTGCTGTCTCTGGCGTAGCAGGGGGCATTGTCGTCGTCCTCGACGTGGAGAGAACGAGACATGGAAAGCGACAGATCTCCCTCGTCATTGACCGGGGCATCTGAATAAGGCTCATAGACATCACTATGGCCATCCGAGTCATGTCGCGCAACGGCGCCAGCTAGGGTATAGAAGATCTGGGTCGTGAGACGACGGAAGTAAGCTACCAGCGCGACTTCCGGGGGCTCTTGACTCTGGTCTTCGAGATGGAGGGATCGACGCCCGTTCGAGTTCGAGGCGGGGTATGCAAGACTTTCCAAGCTTGCCAGAAGTCGGGCGTCTTGTTCAATCTGATGTTCTTCCTCTTCTTTGGATAGACCGTCGCGGTTTTCGCCGGCGGAGGCCCACCACATGAAAGAGGTGTAAGCTAGTCGAGTCCATGAAAGAGGCTCGACGATTGAGCTGGATGAGTAGGTTGAGTCGGCGTCGGAGTCCTCCGTGTTTGGAGACGCTGCTCCGTCGCTGGAGAACTGCCGAAGGCCTTTGCGCAACATGGCATATCGGCGGGCATCTCTTTGTGTTGCTTTCAGTTGGACTGTTTTGTTTGCGTTGTGCTTTGTACTGGAGTGATCCATCAAGGCAATTTTTGGGAAAGCCCGCTCGGAGCCTTGCTGGGAGTATGGCGGGGGAAGGGTAACAAGTGCATCATAGAGCTCGGGCTTCATGCTCAAGACGGTATCTGTCGAGCACGCGATCCAGCTGGGATCCTTTTCAAGGTTTTGTGTTGATCTGTCCGAGTCGTATGAGGCGAGATCGGGGATATCGTGAATGCCGACATTGAACAGAGGACGCGGTCGCAATGGCGGGGTGTGGTCTTCGGGAAGCGCCTGTAAAAGGGAATTCGGTAGAGAGGCTAGCAATGAGAGGTCGTATACTAAAATGCCAATCAGTGGAAAGTTTCGATCGTCATTAAGGATGGGACCATACCATAGTTGCATGGCTGGTGCACCGGTGCTTCAACCATGAAAAGGATGCGCTTCCGTAGCAACGCTGCTCTGTACAACGGGAATATCAAGGGACCGAAGCATTCGAGGAAGTCTGGGAGGGATGAGGCGGGGTGGAACGGTGTCAAGGTCGGCCTGGGGGTCTGCAATACTATCGCATCGCTAAAGGCGCGGTTTCGGTGTCCGTCTGGTCTGTCGCCGGGTCGGAATCGCAGGCTGATGGGGGATTCCAAGGGAGATTCTGGATCAGCAGCTGCGGGGCTTCCGGTTTTGAAGGTGTTCCAGTATTCAGACAACGCCTGTGTATCAGACATATCCGCGGCATGTTTCCTGTCGCGTAGCTTTAGTGTCAGTCGCAAGATGAGACGAGTAGAGGCCGGGTACCACGAACAGCGTCAGTTCACGTAGCCTCGGAGCATGTCTCCAGCTCTTCCCTAGTCTTCCAGTACTCAAGGGGACCAGAACCCCAACCGCGAACATCTTCGCATTGCGCTCCGCCTCTGCAGCGGGCTGGTTGACAAACGCACTGACACCAGCATATTGCTCATGGACGAAATACCTGAGTAAAGAGCATGTACGTTAGGTTCCGCCTTTGTCGGGCTTTGCAAATATATGACCACTCACACCAGGTCTTCATTCACATTGTGTAGTCCGGAAGGGAGCGACTTGTATTCCACCACCCCTTCGACCTCGACTATCACAGCTCTATATCAGCGTCGCGTCTCGAGAAAAAGCGGATTGCGATCGCACGTACCTCCTGGGACAGCTTGTTTCCACGAAACCACATATCTGGCATCATACACGTATCAGCGATCCACCCCTCCTGAACTCGGAGCTCTAGGAGTACGACTTACCCGGTCCTGATGTCAAAGCGTATGACAAACAGGGCCGCAATTCCCGGCGGCGACTCCATCGCGGGACAAGTATCAAGAATGACTTGGCTTCTGCGAGTGACAACAATGGATAGAAGCGGGCGCCATCGGGATTTATGATCGGGGGAGCTCGGCCACCTTGGGGGAGTTGACACCTAGTCACCTGACCTGGAGCGGGGGTTTGCAGCCAATCTGGAGGATCAAAGATAATTATTTCAGAAGTATTATAATTCAGAAGTATTATATTTATAGATAGTACCGGTTGTGTTGTTGTTCGATTGATTGAAATTGCTGAAGTCTTAGGTATTGGATGATGGTGCTACCAGCCTCTTGATCTATCCCGAGGTTAGCATTCATCGCACCCGTAAGAACTTGACAAATGATTCGAGGCATAGTCTTCGCGTGCTTCGTGGCAGCGACCTGGAAATTCCTCTCATAGGCAACACCCAACTCGCTATTAAGCTAAATGCACAGGTCAATACCTACATGTATCAGTGCAAAGCCAGGGCATACCGACTTTAGAGGTAGGTGAAATGGTACATTGGCAGCAGTTGGGGCCTCGTCCCCAAATTTTGGAAAACTCATTGGCAATATTTCAAGCTTTTTTCTTTACAGCATTGCTGGTTGATAGTAAAAAATCTCTTTTCTAACGCTATTGGCCATTTCTCAGTGAGATGATAAAAACTGATGCAGATGTTGTCATGGTGGTTATGGAGATATACCGATGAGGCATCGGAACATTTGCACAAGCTGTTTCCTCGCGGCTGCAGATATATCATTTACCAAAACGGTACCTATCCAACCATCCACTATGATGGTCTTTGTAAAGTATCGATTCTCCCGAGGCATCTGCTAGAGGCCCACCAAAATCGAAAGAGGTCAAGGTCATCCTCCATTGGAAGTTGTGCGGGACACCAGATGGCCAGACGTCATTTCGGGGGAGAGCTGGGAAAAGGGATCAACCCCCGCCTATTGGCTATCCCAGTATTGAGAACAAATTGAGAACAGGGGATATGGATCCGGAATATTCATTGAATGTAAGAATAGGATCCAGGGAAGCTGCAGGTTCAACTACTATAAGGCATGCCGTTTTGAGGTTCCAATTGGCCCAACCTCCCCCGATCCACTATGTGCTCAGACGTGTACAAAAAGCCGAGCAGGCATTCCCCCAAGGCCTCATCACGGATCTAACTCCAGATCGATCTGTTATCACAGCCCTAGACCCGGAGGGGGCTGTGAATTGCGGCACAAACAAGCTTTTTAACCCCCACTCGCAACAATGGCATCACATCCCTACTACCCCCTGGAGGCCGATATCATCGGCTATTCGCCCAACCAAACCTCCGTGCTCGAGCTACTGGTTTCGGCCGGAGGTGGTTGCGCGGCCCTGCTCGGATTGACTTTTGCCGTGGCCAGTTACGTGCGTCCGGCTCTGCGTCTGGCCGATCGGATCGCGATCCTGTGGTTTGTGCTATGTAGGAACGACCTCCGAGCATCATGAGACCGCGCATTAACAAATGGAACAGCGGGAACCCTGCACTGCTTTTTCGAAGGCTACTTTATGATCCATCATGAGCATATGGCATCGGCCCAAGATCTTTTCGGGCAGTTGTGGAAAGAATATGCACTATCCGACTCTCGGTATATGACCTCCGATACCCTGGTACTGTGCATGGAGACGATGACCGTGGTAAGGCTACTCCGGGATCCCGCGAAGACCCAAAACCTTGATCCGCTGACCCGTCACCAGCTGCTGTGGGGTCCTTTATGCTTTGGCGTTGCATATCTGACCGCGACGAGACACTCCTTACGACACCCGATACAGGTGATGGTGTGCATGAGCCACCTGTATGGCGACACGCTATACTATGCCACCAGTTTATTCGACCACTATGCGAACGGGGTGGCGTACTGCCGACCGGAAGAATATTATTTCTGGGTGTATTATTTCTTCATGAACTTCATCTGGATCGTGGTCCCGGCATGTTAGTTGGCCCTTTCTCCACATGTGAAACCAAAGTGGCTGACCTAGTACTTTAGACTATCTTTTCGTCAGCATCAGAACCATTTCGAGCGCCATGAGGGCCCAGCAGGGGTCAGGCGAGAAGCGCAAGTACCAGTAACACCTCTTCCGTCATAGCCGCATGGGTGGGTGGATGTAGTGGGGAACTGTTAAGACTCGGCCGCGTTGGAGACGCGAGATGGGAGATCTGATTTACCTGGGAAAAAGAAGGGCATCGTGATAGCTACCCAAGTAGAAAAGAAGAGCGTATTCTTGAGCACAAGAAAACGAGGTAAAATTAACGTGTGCAGCTAGAAAGCGAGCAAGCAGGGAAGTATACAGATTAACGGTCAGCGTGGACAGCCTGTTTCGCACAACGCAGCAGATGACGCTGCATGAGGGACCACTCTAGGCTCCTAGGCACCTAGGCCATTATCCATTGTCCACCGATCTGACTCGTGATTAAAAGCCGCCCGTTCCCTTCGAGCCCTCAACATTGTGAAGAATGCCAAGAGCATCGAGCCCCTCTCGATGGAAAATAGCCCATCAGCAGGGTAGAAGCAGCCGACCAAATCACGCGTGGCAACTCGATCAGGCGGTTCGTCTGCAAGGGCCCAGAGTCCCAGGTCCTAAATAGCGGTCGCAGACGCGCTGATCGCCTGTGACGATCAGCGGTTTCCCGGGCAGCCAAACGTTTGGGCGCCAGAGCGCATCGGTCTTATCGGGCGGTGTCAGCCGCACTATCGTCTTGTTTACATCCCCTCGGTCAACTCTGGCACAGTCCGACTGGACAGTAAATGCTGCACGGCTATGATATTTGATGATCTGTGATCGAATTTAGATCAGCGGGCGCTGGTGAGTTCCCTTGGTGGCTCGAGTATGCCGTGTCAACAAGCTTCGAGGAATCCTCGAGCATGTGTACTGATTCCGGCTCGATCTGCGCAGTTACCCATGCCGTCTCCTGCAACGCCGAATCGCCCCTCCAAAGCTGGAGGGACTACCAAACCTACGAAGCCGCTCGACATCGGCCAGCCGCTGGGAGTCCACGATACGAACACGGTGCGCGCGCGAGTGCGACAATGGCAGCAAGAAGGCGGCGGAGTTATTACGATCAATGACGGTGTCTACGATGACGATGACGAAGAAAATAAACCGAAAACGACTCCGAAACCCAAACCCAAGGCCGAAAAAGTGAAGGCTGATAAGGTGGAGAAGCCAAAAGAGAAAGAGAAAGAGAAAGAAAAAGAAAAAGAGAAAGAAAAACAAAAACCTCAACAAACCAGGAAGCGCAGCCATAGCACTCCGCGCAAACGTGTCATTAGTGATGAGCACTGGCGGAGGAATCGATCCAATACCCAAACCTCTACCCGGAATCTGCCCGTTCCCAAACGAATCAACGAATACACGACAAATGAAGGGACAGGGTCTCCGCGCGCAAAACGAGACAATGATAAGGACGAGCTGGAAAGGCCCAGGCGGGGTCCACGTCGAGATACAGTCGCATCGAAATCCCCCAGTCGCGAAGCAAAGCACTCGACCCCGCGCAAGGCAGATACCGAGTCCGTGGCGGACAGCGACTTGGAGACCGACCTGCCAAGGTCCACAGCATTGTCAGATATCCCAGAAGCGTCAAAGAGGGAATCACCACCTCCAGATGATGTGGAATGGGCAAAGAGCGAGGCCGACTTTACCGAGTTGTCGCGACGGCGAGCTCGTGGCCAACCCTCCCGTGGGCATGCGAAGGTACCAAAGGGGGGGATCTTTGCGCAGATTGTGGACGAGTCCAGGAAAATGTTCAAACTACCAGAACCAGAGCCACCGAGGCCTACTCCTGTCCCGCCTGGACAACGTGGAGCCAAGATCGAGGCATGGCTGTCAGACACGCCCGATCCTTTCCTCGATAATGAGTCGAAAAATGACATGCCGGGTCCTCTAGATATCAAATCAGCACGTGCACGACGATCAAGGAGACTGGCAGATGATGAAAGCACGATTCTATCTTCATCCGAGCTGTCCTTAGAGAGTGAGTCTCGCCCGAAGAGCTCACACAGCCGTCATTCAAGAGACAAGGATAGTATCTCTGAGAAGCGGAAGTCGCTAGATCGCGACTCCACATCAGAAGGCAGACTGTCAAGCATCGGCAAAGCTCCGAGACCGATGCCACTCAGACTTCGAGAAGAAAAATTGCGCGACAAGCCATACGAAGAAAGCACTCTGAGCTTGGATTCGGACTTACAGACAGTCTCAGAGGGATCTGAAGTCTCTGCCAATAATGCGCCTGTCCCGCTAGGCCGCAAGAAAGCATTCCCAAGCACCGGAGGTCATCGCTTGTCGACAATCGCCTCTGCTGAAACCCTCAGTACTCTTCTTGAAGAGTCATCCGTCTCTCAGAAAGCCCCTAAAGAAAAGACACTGGAAGAGACCGAAGAGGCAGCCGAGGAGAAGGACAAATTTGATCCCGAGTCTCTCCCTGCAGTCTCTTCACAACTGAAACGACGCCTGACTACCCATAACGATCTCATGTCAGTTCTGTCAGTTCCCACCGGCCGAAGCAGAAGCATCCGATCTGCTCGAAGTATCCGCACAAATAAGAGCCGTCTGGCCAGTGCGACGGTCCCAGACATCATGGCCGAACTCTGTGCAGATGAGACGAAGTATATGCGCGAGCTCAAGACACTCGTGGGTGGTGTGATTCCGGTGCTGTTGACCTGTGTGTTGTCACGCTCCGACGCCGCGATTGCTGCTGGTCTATTCCGGCCCTCTATGGACCCCAAAGACGACATGAACTTCTCTAAACCCATTGTCAACATGGGAGTCGCAATTGAACGTTTGAAGACTCTGCACAAGCGTATCCCGCAAGACAACCCGGATGCACTGCTTACGTGGGCCCAAGGCGCGCAAAGAGTGTACCGTGAATACCTCAAAGCGTGGAGACTTGGGTTCAAGGATGTTATCGTCAACCTTGCACCGCTGGAAGAAGGCGAGGAAGACAATGGCGACACAAAGAGTCTTGATGAGGGTATGGAGCGTGATGAGAATGGCGACGTGGTCGATGCCGACGGCGAGAAGGTGGATGTCGCTTATCTGCTGAAGCGACCTTTGGTACGACTCAAATATCTCGCCAAAAGCTTCAAGGGAATCAACATCCTGCAGCCGTCAACCAAAGCAGAAGAAACCGCAAATGCCTACCAAGCGCTTGTGGTAGATGCACGAAAACGTACACGGGAGGAACGAGCGAGGCTCGAGGACGAGTCCGCCGCAAACATTGACCCGACTCGCGCCAGGGACCCAATGACATTGGGAATACTTCAAAATATCTCAGTTGATCAGACCCGCCATGTCCGGGCCCGCGACTTTTTCAATCTGTCTCTGTACCACTCTAGTGGCCAATTAGTTGACTGTCGGGCGGAATTGTTATACCGAGACAACGCATCAAACGATGGCCCCGGAGGCGACTTGTTGATATGTGAAATCGACCATTCGGATCGCTGGCTCCTTTTCCCGCCTATGGATGTGCGCTGCGTCTCAGCCCGCATTGGCGAGACAAAAGGCGAGATTGTGATGATGCTGCGCAGCACAGCGAATGAAGAGAAATATTGGCAAGAGTTGATTTCCCTTCGTATCGATGAAGTGGAAATCGGCGCGGAATGGGTGCAGCTCTTAGGATCTGATCCTGTTCCTCCTGCAATCTTCCGAACTCAAAGCTTCATCAGTCGAGCTAAACAGCATAAAGCTCGCAAGTCTTCAGTCAGCGACTCTCCCCCGCGAAACAACTCTAGCGACGTTGATATCCCAATTGGTGAGAAGGCGACAAGCCAGCGGCGCTCTTTGACCCCCAAGGAGCACTACTCTGAGCCCAGTACAGTGAGCTCCGCCACAGATAACAGGAGTTCCTTAATATCTACAGCTACTCGGGAAACCGACTATACTACGGGAGGTTCTGAACTGTCGAACAAGCAAGCTCGTTCAGGTCTAGAACTTCTTCCATCAAGGGCAAGCCCTGAAAAGGCATCTAATGGCCTGAAGAGGTCCAAAGCGCAGAGGCACTCCCGCTATGGTGACTATGGAGATAGTCCAGCTTCTGACGATGCATCTCCACAGACTGTTGTTTCAGACAGGGCGGTTGAGTCCACACCCGCTGCAGATTCCCCCGCCGCGAACAGGTTCTACGGCAGCGATGTGAAGAATGCCATCAGACCGGCCGACTCAGTCAGAGAAAGATCTCCTCCTAAGTCTCCCCCAAAGACGCCTCGCACACCCCGCAGAGAATCTCCAGAGCCTGAGTCCCCCAGAGTATCATCTGTGCCATCCGCATATCTCCCTCAGATACCCAAGATCCGAAGCACCAGCAGCCAAACCCATTTATCGGCTCCATCCAGTATTGGAACCGAGGGAGAGGAAGAAGACTACCCTCCTCTGGAGTCTCTGCCTGAGCAAGAACAGCCAGAGACACCCACTCGTTCACGACATAGGAAATCCCGGCGGAAGTCAAAGCACGATGATGCCCCTCCGCCTCCACCACCTCATCGCTCGCCAAGCTCGAAACTTTCTCCGGCACCTGTTCTCAGCCCTGCTGGTGTCAAGCTCAAGCGACGTGGTTCTTCTCCTTTGAAGCACGAATATGAACCCTCTACGGCTTCAGACTCTTACTCGGACACAGATTCGGACGCATCGACCGTGCGCCATTACAGTTACTCGTCCTCGGAATACTCGAGGGACGATGAGTCTGAGTCTGAGTATTCGTCGGAGTCAGAACAGGAAGAAGACCTTCCTAGGCCGAAGATTCGTGGGCCTGCCTCCACAGGGACAAGCTCTTTGTCTCCTTCCAACTCTGCCTCTCAGAGTGGCTACAGAACGGTGCCACTGCAACCTGGCAAGTCAACCAAGGTGATTGCCTTTATTTTTGCTTGGTCTAGCAAGGGAAATTGGGAGACCCTGCTTCCTGACGAATGCAAAATCACCGTCAGTCCCGGACTGATTGAAGCGTTCAAGATGAATGCCGATTCCCACTCGACATCCCCGTCAAGGTCATCGCGGCCTCTTATTTCAATGGAACTCACACCACTTGTCCCTATCCGCCGGGGAACTGCCATTGACATCAGCATTCGCTCCCCTCCCACCGAGCGATCCCAGATCACCTCTAGTAACAACATTATGTTCCGATCCCGCAACCCTGACGACTGCGACGCTCTTTACGCTCTTATCAACCACGCCCGAATCAACAACCCCACTTACATCGCTCTCCAGAACGCCCGCGGTCCCTTCAACGACCACGAACTACCCAACTACGACCCGGAACCCAAGTCCGGCGGAAGCTGGTTCGGCTTCCCCCGCCGCAGAAAGAGCTACCGCGCTTCCAGCTCTCCACGCTCCCTCGCCGAAGGCTCCGAAAGCAGCGTCGGAACCATGAGCAGCGCCTTCTCCGCACTCAAGCGCTTTGGTGGCGGCAGCAAGATGTTCAACATCTCCCGCTCTACCGTTGAATCTCGCAGCGGCCGCGAAGGCAGCATGTATTCCGGCGACGGCGACGCAGACTTGGCCTCACCATCTGGCGGTATTGGCCGCATTGCCGCAGCCATCAAGGGCGCCGACGGCATCGGTCTGTCAAACGCTAAGATCCGCCTCTACCTACGCGAAACTGCTTCTAAATGGCGCGACATGGGCGCTGCTCGTCTGACCATCATGCCCGCCCCTCCCAAAACCCCATCATCTCGCCCTGGGACCGCCGTCAGTGGCCGCAGCGATGGAAGCGGAACGCACGACGGAGCCAGCTCATCACCCAGCTCCGGCGCAGCCACACCGCGCACCACGGAGCCCGAGAAACGGATCACAATCCGCGGCAAGACCCGCAGCGAAGTCCTTCTAGATGTTTGTCTTCCCGAGAGCTCGTTCGAGCGCGTCGCGCGCACCGGAATTGCCGTATCCGTGTACGAAGAGATTGAAGGCGGCACAGTCGCCAAACAAGGCGGAGTCTCGCTCAACTCACAGCGAATCTACATGCTCCAGATGAAAAGCGAAGCTGAAACGGCGTATACATTCGGCCTTGTTGGGAAACTGCGGTATTAGCACTACCCATATCTAAGGTTTGGAATGGGAGCATTGGTTTTGGTACATTGGTTTTTCGGCGGACTTTTGTGTGCATTAGCATGAGCATTTTTCTTTCTTTCTTTTTTCATTTTTCATTGTCCATCATACCATACCTACTTTTAGATATTGTCAGTCGTTTCGCGGCTTTTTCTTTTGTACATTTAGATTTGCGGTCAATTGGATCGCTAGTTCTTGCTGCATACCATACCCTTACCTTACTGTAGTAGATAGTCCAATTAAGAGCAATATGCTCGTACATTATATCAATAATTTGGAGTAAATCTCTCGTCAAGTCCTATTTCTATTTTTCCGGCTCCTTAGTCTCGACCTCCGCACCACTCGTTTTCTTGAAGATGTATCCGATCCGATTACATTCATCTTTGAGCAACGAGACGAGAACATCGTCATCCACGGCTGCTGAGAGATCCTCGTCGGTTTCCCCAGACAGAAGAGCCGGGTCGATATGAGCGTACTGCGCCAGAGATTGATGCATCTTGTCCTTCTGGCCAGCCTTCCCCTTTCCATTCTTAGCATAGCGCTGGCCACGATGCGTTCCTTGACGAATAGAACGTTCCTGTTCGTCCATATCCACTTTCGACGCCTTCAGAAGACAGGGATCATCAGGTAGGGAATCACAGGATCCATCATCGCTAAGCTCCTCCACCTCTGATTCCTCTTTGGGAGTAACCGTGCCCGAGGACGGCAAGGACATAATACCCCTTCCCCCACAGTCACATCCTACAAGATCATGCGTCTGGCAAATGCTTTCCTGGTCAAGTCGGAATAAATCGCGTAGTTCGGCGGTCGAGAACTGCGAAACGCTATCCTTATGCTCCATGACACTATCCGCCAATCCTAGCTTTGTTACCTGGCGCTGCCAGATCTTTTCTTCCAGACTACCCTTTAGAATGACGCGGTAGATACGACAGTGATGTTTTTGTCCGTCGCGATGGATACGCGCCATAGCTTGGATATCCGTCGCAGGGTTCCAGTCTACGTCGAAAAGAACGAGACGGCTTGCTCCGATCAGGTTGAGGCCTGTGCCTCCCGCTTTGGCGGATAGGAGGAAGGCAAAGCACTTTTCGGCGGGTTGACGGTTGAAGTCGTCGACGAGTGGTTGGCGTTTTTGAGCCGGAGTGCTTCCGTCAAGGCGGAGGAATGAGAGACCGAGAGATGAGAGGAGGGTGGCGAGGAGGTTTAGGGTTGAGGTGTAGTTTGATACAAGGACGATTTTCTCCGATGTGTTGGAGCGGATGCTGTCGAGGAGTTGGTCGAGGACACGGACTTTGGCGCTCGCTGAAGGAGAGAAATGGCGCATGAGAGCTGGTGGTAGGGAAGATAGAAGAGCAGCGACAGTTTCGCTAGGTGAATTGTCGTTATTCTTGGCCGTTAGTAGAGACGGGCTGTTGCATAGCTTCTTCAGGATGGTGATCAGTTGGAGAGCACTCTCGGCATTTCCCATCGCTGTCTGGAATATCGGAGATGCTAAAACAGCTTGGTAGATATTTGCCTGGGCTGGCGTCGGTCTGCAGAAGAGCACGTATTCTGACTTTGGAGGGAGGTATTTAGCCAGAACGTCGGCTGTTCTGCGGAGGATGAACTTGGATGTGAGTTCTCTAAGCTCTTCATTTCTGGATTCGCCCTTTTCGATGTCTTTGCTGGTAGCTTCTGGTTGTCTGCTTCGAACAATTGGGGTTTCGAACTCTTTGATGAAAGCCTTGAAGTTGCCGAGAATCCCAGGGTTGATGAGGTCGACAGCAGCGAAAAACTCTCTCAAATCGTTCTGGATAGGCGTACCGGAGAGAATGACTCTCTTAGTAGCATTGAGGTTCTGAATGGCTTGACCACTCTTATTCTGGAGCGTCTTGAGTCGGTGACCTTCATCGGCAATAATGATATCGACCCCTGCACCTCTTGCCAAAGCCTCATGGACCGTCCTTAGCTTCTCGTATCCCACAATCATAACACTGTAAGCCTTTCCTTTTGTGAAATCAGTCAGACGCCTGCGATTATCATCAAGGACAAAGACACCAATTCGCTCGTTTCCGAGCCACTTGCGAAACTCCTTTCGCCAATTATTGATCAGCGTCACTGGACAGACAATCAGTGCCTTTTTGATGACCGGGGCATTGCCGGCAATGGGGTTCTGTTTCAACAACGTCCATAGCAATGCGATGGTCTGGAGTGTCTTGCCAAGACCCATATCGTCTGCCAAAATCGCTCCCTCGCCGTTGAAGTCTCGCATGCCCATAACACACTCGTAAAGAAACTGTACACCTTCGCGCTGATGTTGTCGGAGACTCTTTACCAATAACGGGTCGACCACCACATCCACGATTTGCTTTCCCTCGGGGACTGATTTCGGTCTCGGCATCACCAATGCCCCTGGCGCATTGGGATCATGTCGTGGAACGGCCTTTGTGGCGTTCGATGAAACGACCGTATTCTCGAGTAAAGGTGCCTTGTAAGCAGCAAAGGTCGGGGTTATAGATGCATTGGAAGGATGTCCATCCTCCAACGCAGATGAAGTTCGTTTTAAAGACGTGGTCGCATTAGGGGCAGCTGGCTTGGCAGGATTCTTCCCCATGGCCATCCTCAGCGCAGCTAGGGACATGTTGACCGGCGCTTTTGGCGGCGTCGGCGCTGGTTTCGCCTCTTCCCCCGCTGGTTTTGTGGCTAGATATTCCGCTCGCGGTATTTCGGAGTCGATCTCAACCTCTCTCCCGGAAATATATAGCATTTTTCCCGGCTCGAGCTCTTGTTGGTAAATCACCCGTCCCATGTCTTTGCCTCCGACATCTCGTAGAGATAAAAGGGTGCCGCGGGCCACGATTATAGCGTCTCCATCCCAAGTCTTGTTTTTCTTTGTCGTTGGTTTTCTCCTACGACAGACATAGCCTGAATGTTAGAAACGATACCATCTATGAGATCGGAATGATGGAGGTCTCGATCGAACGTACCAAAGGGCATTGAAATATCGTTCGCCTGCGCCTGGCTTAGGGGCAGCTTTCTTCGAGGGTTTCCCTGAAGAGTCTTTCCCGTTCCTGACTGGTACCAATGGCTTTCGGGCACCTAATGATGGCGGAGGTCGCGTGTCTGCGGGCGTTGGCTCATCCTTCTCCAGGCGAGGTTTCTTGGCTGGAGGGTGAGAGTCCTCGGTTTCCTCCATGGATGTCTCGGGCTTCCTAATGGAAGGAGGCTTGAAAGGCTTGAAGACCATGGCGACATGCAGTTAAGGTCTGTTGAAGGTCGATGCGCGAAACGCGTGAGACCAGGCGCGTGGTCACGTGACTAATCGCCCAATTAACCATTTGGGCCAAAATTAACGCTCAATCAAGACAATGGGACAATAGACAGTGTATTAAGGTTATTTCGGAGAGAATGTACAATGTATTTCTATCTACTTTCAAGACTCAAAGAGCGAAGTTGAAAGGTAATTATATATGCATGCAAGAGGTATACCCAGCATGATTTAAGGTGATGTACACAAGGGGAATATCACGTCAAGGTCACGTCAAAGAATAATGCATAGGAATGCATCTGATAGTCGTCGAAGATCATCAGCGAATGGAAAAAGGTAAAATGGTGAAACAAATGGTATATGCGAATCAACAGCCATCCCAGTAATTATTTTTCAGTACTTCAAACAATTATGCCCTTACCGGGCGTCATCCATCAGAGCCTTGTCGGTCAGAGGGATGTTCTTGGGCCCCTCGTACGAGCCCTGGCGGACGAACCACCAGATGGTGACGAAGACGGTGAGACCGCCGGTCAATAAGCTGGCGTAGTTCATGGATTGAGCATCGGTGGGCAGGGCGTAAGGGAAGCAGAAGATAACGACGAAGGCGACGATATAGATGCAGGCCAGGATGTTGACGACGTAGCCGATCTTATTGTTCATGAAGAAGGAGCCGGGAACGAAGGAAGAGCGGCGGGTGAGAACGTGGGGGAGGATGGCCATGAAGTAGGACAGACTGGACAGCTGAACGAAGCATCCGACAAAAGCGCTAAAGGCGGTGGTCGAGCCGAGGTAGATGCAGGCCAAGATGGTGACAATACCACCGCACACCAGGGTAGCGTTGAAGGGGTTCTGGTATCTGGTGTTGATGTGGCCGAGCCAGTTGGGGAAGGGGGTGGCACGGTCGCGCGAAATGGTCCACAGAGTACGGCCGGCAGTGATATAGCAGCCAGCAGCGGTGACCAGAGTGGGCAGGAAAGCGACGATCAGGAGACCCAGGGCACCACCACGGGTTCCAGTGGCCTGGTAGTAGATCTCGGCAAGAGGGAAGTTGTAGGGACTGTTGCTGACCGCATCCATATCATGGATGGAGTAGAAGATGGCAATCATGTAGAAGATACCAGTCAGGAAGCCAACACCCATCTGGGCCAGCACGGCCTTGGGGATATTACGGCTAGGCATGGGGATCTCCTCCGCCAAGTGAGAGGAGCAGTCAGGGGTACCAACAGAGTAGGCACCGTTCAACATACCCATGACGAAGACGAAGCCTTCCTGCTTGTAGCCGGTAAGATTGGTCCACTCCTCCCAGACGAGGTGGTTAGAGGCATATCCGGCGCCGGTTACGTGAGGCATCACGGCGCAGACGATGATGGTGACGAAGACACCGGCTAGAATCAAGAACATGCCGAGGTTACCGATCCAAGGCAGCCAGCGGTTCATGAAAAGCACGATGGCGCAGCAAGTCCAGGTGCAGAGAAGGAAAGTAATGAAGGTGTTCCAGGTCTGCGCCGTGAAGTCGGGGTGCATCAAGGCATACATGGAGACGAGCTGCTGGGCCATGATCAGAGACATGGAGGCAGCACCTAAGATCCAGGCAAGGCAGTTCCACCAGCCAGCGAAGAAACCGCAAACGCGACCATACTTGCCGGCAGTGATGGAAGCCCAATGGTAAACACCACTGGAGGAGGGCATGCCAGATGCCAGCTCGGCGATAGAGGCGGCGACCAGCCAGTAGCAGATGGAGACGGCGATGCTGAAGGGGAAAGTTAGAGGTCATTTCGGTCTATACGGGGGCAGGTTCAACATACAACTCATAGAGAGTACCCGCGAGACCACCGTTACTCAAAGCAGTCACCACACTACCACCCTGTGCGATCCACGTGTTTCCGGTCGTGACAGCGACGGCACAGATACTGATCAGACTGAAGTTGCGCTCGACCTCCTGTTTGTGACCAGAGGCGTTGACCAGTTCACCATGATACTCCTCGGAAGCCACCTCCTCAGTGGCCTGAGTCTTCTCGACAATGTCGGCCATAATGACGATCTACCCCTGTGGGATTGACGGGTCGCAGAAAAAGGCCGTAGAGAAGGGGTCGTCTAACCTTCAGTGAGAGAAAAGAACGGCTGGAGAGCGAGAGAATACAGAAAGGAGAGGCAGGTTATATTATTGTTCGGTGGAGTACGGGAAGTGGTGTACAACCCGGTGCGGCCCCCCGAAGTCCCGGGGCGGAGTGCGACCACCTCACATTGAACCCATCAGAGGCCATCGACAGCAACTCAACCGTGAATTGATTATCTTGACTCCACATTTCCTGGCCACTCTAATCGAGTCCAGGGCCAATCTGCAACCAGTTAGCTTCTTCAAACCCCAAGTTGGAGTGGCCACTCCAACTCTAGCCAACTCTAGTGGGGCTGACGATGCTTGTCATTGGTGTTCTCAGGAGGCGAATGCGCCAAACTCCAACGAAAGCCTGACTAGACGCGGAGGGTTGCGCTATTGCGCTTTACCTAGAAGGGGAGCTTGAGCAGAAAGAATTTTCCCCTACTTAGGCTATCTCTTGGCGCCCCCAGGTCCTTTGCTTGCCCCTAGGAAAATGATCTGAGGCAAGAACGTGTGGAGCAACCGTTGATAATCTGGCTCACTGGCCTGGGGTGTCGATCTCATCTTTTTTACTATGTATGTATGTTATGCATAGCCATGTGAGCCATGTTCAAGGGAGTTCGGTTCGTGACGCATCACATCGTCAGAGAGGTCTTCTAGAAGGTCTAAGGAGCGCTGCAACAGTTTTTCCCACATGGCGTTACTTCGGCACTTCCGAAGCTCCTATGTGAAACCGCGCAAAAATCAAAATCAAACAAAAAAAAAAAAAAAAAACACGAGAACCGATGGCACCACGCTGTGAAGCACTCGGTGAAGCCCCCTGCTGCACTAATTTTCATTAATTTATTCGAAGGGTGCTGTATCCGTCTGGAAACAGCCCCCCCAAAGGTACGGAGCACATACTAATGGACCTACCACCGTGGATTAGATCCATTTAGAAGGCGAGCCCAGATCCACGCCACGTATTTACTATATGAGACAATGTGCCGCAGCCACAACGTCTATGGTACTTTTGCGCTACACTCCTGTAAGCCTTGGAGATTCGGACGTGGCCGTGCATCTAGGCAGCGCACTTTGAGATCTATTAACTTCAAATCGACCTCCACAGCACCGTACTTCGGCCGTGGCCCACGGATCTACGCCCCAAATGGCTCTCATTTTGGGGCTCTCCCAAAAATGTGGTCTGTTCTCAAGTGGATGTACTGTATGTATCCGTAGCATCCACCCCGAGAGACTGCAACGTAGACATGTGTGTTTTGATCCATCTGTGGACAAAATCGGATTTAGCCTCAGATCTAGTGCGATCGAGGGTGGTGTGTGCGCACTGGGTCTAGACAGGCCTCCGAAGCCGGGTCGGCCAATGTAGACTTACTTTAGTTTCAGGTACACAGCGCCGTCTCAGCCGTGAAGGAAACTAACAAAGCTAGTCGCCTGCAGGGATCATGATTCGCTTGGCTACTTTAGTGCCAAGGTCGGTAAAATCTAGTTGGAATGTGCATCAAGCCGATCGATTCGATTGGTCTCACGATCGGCATCAATAAGTCAATTGTAACTGCTGTACAGTACACAGCATTCATCGCTGCAATTTTTGGTACCATACCAACGCGCGTTACAATGGCCACACCACGCTGATACATATATGGGGCCCAACCTGGGGAGCCGTAGAAAGTAGGGATCTCCCCCAGTCTCCACCGGCAAAATCCCTCAATCCGGAAGGGCTCCAACCAAAGGAATGCGGATCGATCCACTTGATCCCACTTGTCAAAGTCTATTAAATATTTCAAATCTGGATCAAGTGGACTGGTCCGCCCGCTTCGAGCTAAACCAGCGGACGATGCCCGCGAACGCTTTTTCCCGCACTCTCCGATTCAACAATAGCGTGTTGATCCTAGGCCACTTTGACCATTCGCCCCCATTTCAGTGGAACCCTTGGCATCCGCAATGCAATCAAGGTGCGAAACAGGCACAGCTTCGGAGGTCACTAGCCCACTCGGGAAGGCCTGAAGGAGCTCACGTGCTCCCTGACGCCTTTTCTGGCCTCAACCAGACTATGGAGCCGGGCGTACTGGTCTGACCACAGTTAGCGCAAGCCTTATACATTATCCTCCTTCCATTTGAGAACACTTACGTCGTCGCCAAGTTGCTGGCCTAAATTCTATTATAGTGATGGTGATGACGGGTCTCGCGTAGATGTTGTATGCGAGAGGCACTGGGCCAAAGGAAAAAATCTACTCCGTACGCTGTACTCGTATGTAACCTCGAAGCAGCGAAGCCAGCCCGAAGTGGCAAGTCCTTAAGCCAATGTCGAGAGACGGACGAGCTAACGCCCGGTGGAGCTCATCGGCAAAGCGCTGCCAGGTACAATTTCATGATTTCCTCTCAACAGGCAATCAGATCAATTTCCACCGAGCAATCTATTTCCAAGGTTCACGACTCCATTCAGTGCCATGGAACAGTCCACCTTCCTCCAAATCCCCGCCACGGGCTATGGTTGGCTGTGGCTGTCACCGGATGATCCTGTACCTGTACGCCTATGATAAGCCTTCGCCCTCCGAAGCCCTGCATCTCCTTCCAGTGTACCTATCACACCTATCACACGAACGCAGCGAACCCCCCCGCTCGTCCACCCCCTGGAGTCGTGATCATCTTCGGCAGATGTGTGCCCGGGAAACTTTATACTAGTTCTCGGACTGCAGTCGTCTTATAATGTGCGTGGCTGCACCTCCCGACGCCTCTTCCCTGTTCCTCTTGATCGTCCAGCTAACCCCTCCGTCCATAGGTTGCACTCTTCGCATCCTGAAACAATGTCTGGACTAGGTGGTGACTTTGGTGTTCGGTTCGCCCGCGAGACCTGGGCTCTCTACGCCGTTGGTCTCCTCGGCGGTGTTCTTCGATTGTATGTGTTTCTTGCTTCCGGTGCATGGGCCCCTTCCACTGACTCGAGGCGCATTATAGTACTGCCCGTATCCGACGTCTGGGTATCCGCGGTCTCCAGCAGGATGACTATATTATGATGTTCGGCCTCGTCTGGTACACCATTCTATGTGTCGCCCTCAACGAAGTAGCCTCGGGAGGAGGCTCAAATTTGATGACTGATGAAGAGAAACTACATGTCACACCGGCCATCCACGCCGAGCGGGAACGAGGAAGTAAATGGGTTTTCGTTTCGGAACATGCCTTTATTCTTTGCGTCTGGAGCTGCAAGGCTTGCATGCTGGTGATCTACGCTCGTATCACCGAGGGTCTGAAGCAGCGCAAATGGATCAACTGGATCGCCATCTACGTTGCGGTCGGCTTTGTCGTTACGGAGTTGTCTCTCTTCCTTATATGCCGCCCACTGAACCAATACTGGGCCGTGCCTACAGACAACTGTAAGGATGACACTTGCAAGTTGAAAATACCCGATGCTGACTTTCCCTCAAGACCAATGTTCGTCCTACCAATACTATGAGATCGTCCAAGGATGTCTCTCCATCTCCGCCGACTTCTTCATGCTGCTCGTCGCCATTCCCATGCTGATACAAGTCCGAGTCCCGCTGAAGCAAAAGTTGATCTTGGTCCTTCTCTTCGGCATGGGAATCTTCGTCATCGTGGCCGCCGTTCTCAACAAGGTGTACTGCCTTGTCCCCTCGCTTATTTCGTATGTCTACATGAATTGGTACTTCCGTGAAGCCACCGTCGCCATCCTCGTCACCAACCTACCCTTGGTCTGGTCCCTCCTGCGCGACGTCTTCCCCGCGCTCAAGAGTTGGACTGGAGGATCGAAGCGTGGTACCGACCGATACAAATCCGGGCCTTGGACCAGCAAAGGCACCGGCTCCCGACCCTATGGACCTTCCAGTCAATTGCGCTCGGGCGACTTCGACATGCAAAACTTTCCGGGCAACGCAACGGTCACCGAGTCAAAGGGCGGCCCCGCTGTCTCCGATATCAGCCTCAACGCTAGTGAGGAGAGGGATATGAGTAGTGACGATGGGTCAGCCCGTGCGCTACGGATCCGACAGGATATTACGGTGACCGTGCAGCATGACAATCGACCACCGGAGTACCAAGCCAGCACGGCGCATGCTGTTTCGCGACACGAAGATGTATAATTTCGGCCTCTCTTCCGCTCCTTGCAACCAAAAAAATAAAAGCCGAAACTTCATTTATTTCCTCACGAATCTACGGAGTCCGAGTGGACCAGATACCCAGCCTAATTGTGCTTCTCTCTTTTTTTCTTTTTTTTCTTCCATTCTTACGCTGTACATATTCAGTTCGTTATAGACACGCTTTTCCTTTCTGGTTGGATGTACGGGCGATAGATGGGTCAATTTTCGGGATACATACACTCATACACTGTATAGTACAGAGACCCATACAGAATTCTCATTAGAGCACAGAGCACAAATCACAAAATGATAAAGCGCTAAGCGTGGCAAACCATGGTTCAGCATGGAATCCACTTGCCCCGCCGATCTCCCGTTTCCTTGCGTCAACTGTTGATCTTACCGAAATCGGGACCAACCGAAGTGAGAGCTGAGGTGAGTTAAGCGGAGAGCCTGTAAGTCTGCAGAGTACTGGACATTCCGGCCTCGAATCCCTGCAATTTTGTTGCACTGAAATCTAGCCCCTGAACTACCGCCACCGTGGCGCTAGAAGTGGAAGCCCTGCAAGGTCTAGCTTCCGTTTTCCGAGTTTGGAACGAACAGTTCGAACACCAAGTATCCGCGTCATTACCAAGCCTCAAATCGGAAGGCCAACCTCCGGAAAAGGCTATCTGGCCTCAGGCGATCTAACCCAGAGTGTTGAATGCTCCATGTTGCCATCCATTGCGTGGCTCGTGCTGGCTCAGCCTGTCGTAGTTTCACAGGGACCCACCATAGCCCGCCATGTTCCACTCTCCGATCCACGGCTCTCGCATGGACATTCTGTGGTAACGGGCTTCCCGGGTTGGGGAATATTCCACTTCAGAAAAGAATTGACGGGAGATCCTTTGTGGAGAGAGAGAGAGAGAGAGAGAGAGAGAGAGAAGCGGTCTGGAGTAAATTTTACTCTCATTTTCCGTTTTGCATGTTCATCGCTAATCTCCTTTATTTTTCCTTCTCTTTTTCCCCCCACGCCTTGGCAAGGTTGGCAACCTTGGAAGGTCGACTGTACATGTAGCGAGGGTATGTCACCCTCTCATTCGCTAGTGTTCAATGCAACATCTGAAGGTTCGAAAGTTTCTTCCACCGGGTCTTCCAGAAAAATGACAAATGTCTCGCCCGAAGAGAGTTTGAACTAAGTTTCGGGGTCCCACGTATTTCCATCGGAACAGAGAAACACCTGTCGGCCATGACGACAACCCTGCAAGCCCAATTTTTGAAGTTTGGACCTTAACAGCCCAAGCCGAGGTAGTACCGCAAATTGAATCCGATATCACCGGACAGTCAGTAATCAATAATATTCTTTGGCAATTTCTCCCGGTTCTCCATAGGATCAACGCGGAACCAGACATAAGGCGGTGGACCTCAGGAGCGGGCAATAATTCGGGAATAACAGGTTCAATTTAATTTAATTAGTAGATGAAGGATCCAAACTAGTCAATATAATTCCCGGCCATCTTCGTGTTTTGAATTCCTCTGTTTCTATTCTCGTGTGCGTGGACCTGGATAAAACCTGTCAATAGAGTTTTCACACCACAAATCCCGATCCAGACAGGGTCAGGCCTGCGATCGGCCGGTCACTATAACCGGGAATAGTATATACTAGCTTCGATCGCACGGCTGTTTGAGCGAGATATCCGGTTCGAGGTCCACTGCACCGTAGGGCCGTGCCTGGTGCGCCGTGCTCGGTGCGCCGTGCTCGTTTGTGCGGAATGTGCTTCCGAGTACGGGCTGGTGCGTTCTGGCAATAACCCTTTTACTATTATTCTTAGATGAGACATGTAGAAAATAGGCTCGGAGGAAAGTCGGGTGCGAAGATGGAGACCTCGGGGGATGATACTGAAACCGGGTTGCGTGGCTGGTTTTATCGGGATTGCCGAGGTATACGGGACACCGACCCGGGTTTTCATGGTTCAGGAGTGCTCGGATCTGGATCTCAGTCTGAAGAGTCACTTTTGACTTAGTAGAGTTGAGAAGGTGTCAACAAGGTCAACAACGACAAGGTTGACATCGCCAAGAGGAACGGGTTGGTTTGCACGTGATTCTACGCAACTGCACACGCTGAAACTATTGAATCTTATATCTGGTTCGGATCTTGGCCAGCCCCAACTCTCCGAAGTCAGTGCCATCAACAAAGCTTGTTCAATTCCACTCTCCGCTCGAGTAGACTGGGCCAGAGGTCACTGCACAGACACCTCGCCCCTCGGAAGGTCAATCCCGACATCCACATCATTTGAAACACCTTTCGTCGCCGAGCCCTTGTGCCAGAGTTTGTGAAATCTGATGACCGGGTGAACGGATGAGAAAATAGCCTGCAAGAACAGATAACTGGGCTGCGAAATTCCACGTGGAAAACCAATATACTGGAGCCAGCGCTAATCATCTTCGCGAGGATCTCCAGCCATTCAGAGCGCCTTCGTGCATCCTTTATCGTCCCAAACAGGCAGGAGAGCTGATCAAGCTGATCGGCGTATCCGCGACCCCTTTAGTCCACTAGGGCTAACCGTTGCTCCGTGCTCTTTCGTTAGAGTCGGTCATTGTACCGCTTTTGGGAGCTGCCACAGATCACGATGACGACTGGCTCGTTGCCCCGACGCTCTTTTCTGGGGCTGGAGGGTCAGCATGTCTTCATCACTGGCGCTGCTGGCGCCATTGGGGGCGAAGCAGTGCGCGAATTTCTTGGTAGGTGTCTTGATTTGTAGTTTTCCCCCATGTGATTATTGCTCGTTTCGTGTAACGTTGGCTGTTGAACTGAAGGGGTGATGCTATCCAGCCAACCCAGTTATTTCTGTCATCGGTCTGGGACTTGTAGGAGTGCTCATCGGGCGTTGAACGTAGAGGAAGCTTCTGGGGTTCCAAAGAATATGGTCTGACCCTCACTAGATCACGGATGCCGTGTCACAGCCTATGACAGTCACCCACTCCAGCTCTCTGGAATTGATGCCGAGCGTTTTTCAAGACTGCACCTCTTGGACGGGGATGTCGGTGACGAAGAGTCAATCCAGACCGGGTTTAAGAAAGCACAGGACCGATTTGGACCTGCGAATATCCTAGTTGTCAACTCCAGCTTCGAGGATAAGACAAACGAGTATCCCATCTGGGACCTGCCACTGGACGAATGGGAAAAGAACTATAGAGTGAATGTCCGTGGCTCTTTCCTTGCCATCAAGCATTTCCTACGATGTGTGCGCGAGTGCCAGACATCCAGCACCGAGCTGGCTAGTCCGGCCATTGTTGTGACGGAGACGGAGACTGGCGCTGGTCTTGCTGCAGGAAAGGCTGGCTTGCACTATGGTCTTCTCAACACCGTCCGGGATGAGATCAAGCAGCTCAATCCGGATGGCCGAATCAATGCTGTCACTCGCGGTCTCATCAGTGAGACAGGAGAGAATGCTACCGCTCCGGCAGATGTAGCTCGCACTATGGCTTTCCTGGCCTCGAAGCGTGCAGCTGGACACATCTCTGGACAATGCATCCGTGTCGAAGGCAACGATGAATCCATTGCAACCAAGGTGCAAGAATCCAAGCCACTGGCTCTCCAGACCCCCGTGCAGTCCATCCCCCCGAGCCTATCCAAACCGAAGCGCAACAAGATCCGCGTTGCAGTTTCAATTGACCTTGATGCTGTCTCAGGATGGCTGGGAACAAGTAAGCCTGCCCCGTCCACTTAGATACCATGGCAACTAATAATAGCTATAGACACGCACCCTGACAATAACCTCGCAGACTACTCGGCTGGATTCTTCGCAGCCCGAGTGGGCGTCCCTCGCCTCCTGCGCATGTTGAAGAAGCTTGATCTCGCCAACAAATGCACCTGGTTCATCCCAGGTCACTCAGCCGAGAGCTTCCCCGAGGAAGTCAAGCAAGTTGTTGCATCTGGCTGCGAAGTGGGACTGCACGGATATGCCCACGAAGGCGCCTACCAACTCACACCAGAGCAGGAGCGCGACGTGCTGGTGAAATGCATGGAGATCGCGCAGAACCTGACCGGTAAGAAGCCGGTCGGGTACCGGGCGCCTTTATACCAGCTCCGAGAATCAACCCTTGATCTGCTGGAAGAGTTTGGCTTCGAATATGGTATGTCCAGTATGCTCTCCCCAAACAGTACGCATCTAACATGGACCAGACGCCTCTCTAACCGACCACGACTGTCATCCCTTCTTCGCCCCGAAGCGCCCACCTCTGACACCCATCGACTTCTCCAAACCCGCCGCCTCCTGGATGCATCCTGTGAAAGAAACATCCTCCCCACCCGACCGCCGCCCCTTAGTTTGCGTCCCATGCAACTATTACATGGAAGATATGACACCAATGCAGTTCCTTCCTCACTGTGAGAACTCACAAGGGTACGTCGACACTCGGATGATCGAGAATATGTGGCGGGATCGGTTCTTGTGGATCCGAGATAACGAGGAGGAGCCTATTTTCCCCGTGTTGATGCATCCGGATACGAGTGGCATGGCGCATGTTATCGGGATGTTGGAGCGCATGTTAAGGTGGTTGAAGGATTGGGAACGGGAAGGGGAGGTGGAGTTTTTGCAGACTGGCGAGATTGCGAGGTGGTGGAAGGGGAAGATGTTGAAGGAAGGGAAGGTGCCCCGGAGTTGAATCTGGGATGAGTGAGATAATGACTATTTGAGCCTCACAATTTGGTATGATCATAGTTTTGATGGTCTCCTTCCAGAAATAGTTCAAATAGAGTAGTACCTGTTGGTCTCTAGAAGTGCAAATGTCTCCATGAGGTATAAGTAAGGCATGGGTACGATCCGGAGATACCAGTCAGTCATCGAAGGGATGAAACAAGCCAAAAGAAAAAAAAGCATTAAACTTAGCGGCACCCTAGTACATATGAGAGATGTATACCTCTAAAAGGCCTGACGATCCCCGGGGCTGGTTCCAATATTCTTGATGTGCTATATACATTGCCCACCCCCACGTGTTCATCTCTCACTCTTCGCCCGACCCAATATCCCAATCTGGGCCACATCTATTGTCTCACGATGTTGTACAGATATGCATGGGGAAATGCGAGTCTATGCTCATTGGAGCAAGGTGTGTATAGAACCTGTTCGGATCACCACATTGAACCGGATGTGGAGAGGTCTACGACTAGTTCGTACAGAGGTGCATGGTGGCTGTCGGCCCACCAACTGCGGCTGAGCAGCTGCTGTAAGGGCGTGTGAGTCACCTCACATCCTGTCTGGGCTGGACACGACACTTGCAGTGGCTTGCAGTCGTGGGGAAGCAGAAATCGAAAAGACATTCCCGCTTGTGTTGTTTCTTACATTCTCGTTCTTCAGCTCTCTGTCGCAGCAGACCGAACGAAATGTCGGCTCAGCCATGGGGCTACAGGTGGCGCTCATCACAGGCATTCATTGTATTCACTGCGGTGCTTGGGCTCTTCTCTGAGACTTTCCTATACGGGTTCATCGTACCGATCCTGAGTTATATGCTCGAGGACCGTCTGCAATTGCCTCCGTCCCAGACACAATGGCTCACCACCGCACTTCTCACATCCCACGGATTTTTCGCCATGGCATCTGCTCCGATCATTGCTCACTTTGCGGACAAGACATCCGATCGCAAAGTGCCTTTACTTCTTGCTCTGGCTGGCTGTGCGACCGGAACGCTGTTGGTCGCCATTTGCTCTTCTCGTATGTACGGCCCAATCCCCGTCAAACGCACATCATTAAACCATTCCCAGTCTGGCTGCTCTTCCTTGGTCGCATGATACAAGCCGTAGCTGGGTCAGCGGGCTGGATTGTAGGCTTCGCAACCTTGACAGACAATATCCGATCGGAACACGTCGGTAAAGCCCTCGGCACAGCGATGTCATTCGTGACGGCCGGAGTGATCATGGGTCCAATGGTTGCTGGCGTACTGGTCCAGCTACTGGGATACTGGGCGGCATGGTGCGCACCGTTCATCCTTCTCGGCATGGACTTTGTAGCGAGACTGCTCATGATCGGGAAGAATGATACACAGAGCGAATCCTCAGAAGACGCGGCGAGTGATGAAAACGAAGCCCTACTTCCCCGAAAGGTCTCCAGTCCATCTGATCCAGAGCAAGGATGTACAGAGTTGACGGGCCCGGGGTTTTATCGCATTGTGCTATGCGATATCCGTATCATTGCGGCGCTGCTCAATCTGTTCATGTTCTCATTAATCATATCTGGATTCGACGCCACATTGCCACTTCATCTACGGAAAATATTCAACTGGGGCCCATTGCCGATCGGTATGATATTCCTTGGGATCCAAGTTCCCGGCATGATCTTGGGACCGGTAGTCGGATGGCTTCGTGACCGAGTAGGACTGCGCTACCCGACCACCGTCGGATGGGTGCTTATGGCACCCCTACTATGCGTTTTGGGAATGCCAGGAACAGGAATTGACTGGATAAGCTATGGAGATAATGGAAAGGTCGTCTTCATTGGTGGGATGATTGCGATCGGTGCTGTCGCTCCGCTAGTTCGCGGAGCAGGAACGTTTCAATTAATAGGTAAAGACAAAATCCACCTGCCTTGTGATACGATTCTAACCACGGAGAAGCTGTGACGAATGACCTACAAGCAGAGAAGCCTACTCTCTTCGGACCTCACGGAGGCAGCTCAAGAATCTTCTCAATCACCGAAGTCACATTCAATATGGGAGCAATGCTTGGGCCTCTCTTCTCGGGAGCTATCGTGGAAGAATTTAGTTTCTCTACGATGGTTCGCACCTTGGGTAGGTTTCAGCATCTCGTATATGTGAATTCATGCTGATTTCCTCCAGGTATCCTCTCTCTCGCTGTCGCTCTGGCCTGTTTCAGATACCTTTCTAAGGAATGCCCCAAGCGACGCTAGGCGTAACCTCTATCAAGAGAAGCCATCAGGGGGCGAAAACGTGAGTAATCGATACTCAATATATGATGAACGGACAGATTCTAAACGCAGAAGAGCTCTGCGAAGCCTACGTATCCAAAAGTGGGTTGACTTTGAGCATCAAAAGCCATTACATATGGAAGAATATTTGATTGAAGCGTTCACAGATCTAATTACATAGTTGTCTCGGTCCTATTTTGATCAATTTTCTCAAAGACCAGCTTACAATTTGATTGCCCCAATAATGCACGCTGACCATTCTTGTTAAATTGTTCGTAAACGTCTTGCATAAAAACACAGACTTACCACGTTGATTTCCTCAATATTGGATCCCCATCGGGACAGGCCAAACTCTTTTGCCCGTGGTCTCCAAATGTTGGGATCTGTTTTGCACACCACAGTATTTCATCCGACCCATTTATCTTTCGGGTTACATGCACGTCATTCAAAGGCATATTGTCTAGCGCAAGGCAATAGTTGATAGACTGGTTCAGCGGCGGGTAGAGGCGAAGAGTCTCATAGGCTACAGCCGTCAGAATGGATAGAGCGTCTATGTTGTTGGCACGCCAGTCTGATGTCAAAGAGAGAGCTTTTCATGCAATCGAATCTAAAGGTTCCAGAGCGCTCCCTACCAGATGGAGGCTTCCAGTAATCAACACGACTGCATTGAGGGGTAGTTACTACAGAGCCTCTGAACTGCGCCGATTGGACAGCATTAGGGGGCGTGATAATCAACATGACTGGAGAGACAAGTCATCTACTAGATCAGCGGGTCTAGAAAATGGTATAGGTAAACTCCGCTCATCGCGTTGACTCCATATATATTCCCTTGCCCCTAGAGTCTTGACTTGAACCCTATATTAATCGAAATCAATCTTCACAATGCAACCTCCAAAGAAATCATCGCTAGTAACATCGAGATGGACTGCAACCCTCCCTCGCTGCTTCCTATCGTACCTTGTCTTCGGTGTACCCTTGAGAATCTCAGCGCAAAGAAGATACTCATCGATTCGCTTCATCCCGAAGACCGACACTTGTCCCTAATCAAGCACCGCAGTCTTTCCGCTCGCATTGCGGTGACACTGCAGCGACTGGGGATCGAACCCAAGGGTCGAAGTTCATACAGATCGGGGAGTTCGGCAACTTACTCAGCTGTGCTAATGGGCACGATCATGTCAGGGTGTACTTTCGTGATGGGTCAGCCCGGCTACGGTCCGAGACGAATCGTTGACCGCAACCTCAATGGCGATAAATGGGTCTACGTACCCAGCCGCAGTATTGGATACTACCAGAATCCTGATACTACAAGCGAGTATACGAATCATGGGGTTGGGTTTTGACTAAAGACCTTGGATACGTTGACGAAGAGGGGAAACGGTACATTGTAGATCGCAAAAAGGTACTGCTCATCGAGCAGAATCACCACAACCTGTGCTGACTAGAGCTTATAGGACCTCATCAAAGTTAGTTCAGCATTTTTGTTTCATTCGCCCGCTGGCAGTCCGTTTCCTCCCATACTTCCTGGGCTCACTATATTCGCATTGCTATCCATCCAACCAACCACAAATATCAATTCCAAATCCACTAGAAATCGCCAACAAAACATCCATGAGCAAAAAAAAGAATTATCCGACTCCGATAGGGGGAATCGAACCCCCCGGCTGCCGTGTGAGAGACGGCGATGTTAGCCACTACACCATATCGGATGGGTGAATGATGCTCCTAAACGGAAACCACGTGGCACTGATTGAGCTTTGAGATGATTTCTGTTTCAACATCCAAATATCATGGATGTGGAGTCATCGGGTCCGCCGTGTAAGACGATTTTCATAGATCTTCTAATATGAAAATTCAGGGGTCAAGATGAGGCCCCACAGGCTCATATCGAAACAAGGTCTGATTCGCCTCCATTTGCTGTGGACATTCACCGGTTCATGGTCGATAAAGTGTCCGAGTGGATGTATCTCACAGGGGAAGTAATCGTTCATATCGGCTATTCTACGAAACTTGATAAGTAGTACGCTACTAATATTTGTTTCCCCATGTCAAGCACTCACATTATGCGGAATGAAAAGATTCTACGTGCAAGGCTGCGGGAATTAGCCAGAAAGGAAGTCGGCGATTCTAGGGGTCACTATCATAGGACCTGTATGGGTCTATCTGGACTATCGCTACGGGACAAGTTGGTGAGCTACGAAAGGAGAATCTCGGTTCAATCATGATATTTTCAATGACAAGATACTGTGCTATCCATATGAACAGGACGATTAACCTCTCAAAAGAGGGTGGCAACAAATGTAAAGACCTTGAAGGGTCAGATAATTTTTGCAAAGAAAAGTCATCACCAACGCCATGCCAAATGTGCAAGAAAAGAAAAGAAAATCAAAGTAACTTCGTAAGACTCGTGTAAAAAATGTTCAATGTGTTAAAAGTTAAATTTCAACTTTTGCTGGCTTAGGATCTTACTCTTCGTAGAGATCCATGTCGCCACTGCCATCTTCCATCTCGGCGAGGGCATCGTCAGAGTCAACCATGTCCTCGTCTCCATCTTCGTCACTGCTGTCGCTGTTCTCGTGGTTGGGGAGAACGTCGATGCGGCCATCGATCATGACCACACGAGCAGTCTCACCGTCCTTGATACTGCCACGAAGAATGAGAACAGCAAGGCGGTTGAGAACCTCGCGCTCAATGATGCGACCCAGGGGACGGGCACCATAGGCAGGCGAGTATCCAGCAGCACCGAGGTAGTCCTTGACTTCTTCAGAGCATTGGATCAGGACGTTGCGTTCGTTTGCGTCAAGACGTTTCTGAACTTCGACAAGACGGAGGTCGACGATCTTGCGGATCTCCTTCTTGGTGAGACGGTTGAAGATGACGGTGCTAGAGATACGATTGAGGAACTCGGGCAGGAAGTAGTCGCGGAGTGCCCCCATGACCAGCTCGCGAGTCTGGGGCTCGATGCGTCCGTCCTTGCTTGTAGGGCGGGCGAGGAACTCGGCGCCCAGATTGGAAGTCATGACGACGATGCAGTTCTTCGCGTCGATGATACGTCCTTGGCCGTCAGTGATGCGACCGTCGTCCATTAGCTGCAGGAGGACAGTGAGGACTTCTTTAGCGGCCTTCTCGACTTCATCGAAGAGCAAGATCGAGAAGGGGCGGCGGCGAAGGCTCTCGGTCAGCTGGCCACCGGCATCGTGGCCGACGTAGCCAGGGGGGGCACCGATCATGCGGCTGAGGGAGTGTCGTTCTTGGTACTCGGACATATCAAAGCGGATCATGGCCTTGGGGTCGTCGAACAGGAATTCGGCTAGGGCCTTTGTGAGAAGGGTTTTACCCGTACCGGAGGGACCGCAGAAGAGGAAGCTGGGAGGCGAATTGGGGTTGCTGAGACCAGAGCGTTGCAGTCGGATGGCGTTGGAGACGGAAGTGACAGCCTCCTTCTGACCAATCACGACCTTACCCAAGTGCCTCTCCATGTTGAGCAACTTGTCCTTCTCGGTGGTCTTGAGGCGAGTGACAGGGATACCAGTCCAACGGGCAACAATCTCGTTGATCTGTTCAGGGCCGACAGCATCTGCCAGCAGGGCCTCGCCGCCATCGGAATGATTGGCGCGACGCTCGGCATCAGCCTTGGCTCGGTCAGCTTCGAGGCGTTCGATGAGAGCCTTGGTCTCGGGGATGGCGTAATATTCGATATCAGCAGCAGTCTGGGTATCACCCATACGCTCGGCCTCGTCGCGCTTAACCTTAAGAGAGTCAAGCTTGATCTTGGCGTCTTGGACTTCCTTGCTGCGCTGCTTCTCGCTCTCATACTTCTCACGCATCGGCCGAAGCTCCTCTGTGACATTGGCAGCTTCTTGCTTGGCGACCTCAAGACGGGCCTTGGAGGCATCATCTTGCTCACGCTCTAGGGCGTGAATTTCGATCTGGAGCTGTCGCAGCCTTCGCTCCAGGGTGTCGAGCGCTTCAGGCTCAGACTCACGAGTCACTCGAACAGCGGCTGCAGCTTCATCAATCAGATCAACAGCCGAGTCGGGCAGGCGGCGAGCCGTCAAGAAACGAGATGCGAGATTGGCCGCAGAGACGATGGCACCATCGAGGATGTTGACACCGTGGTGCACTTCGTACTTTTCCTTTAGACCACGGAGAATGGAGATAGTTTCGGGGACGGAGGGCTCCTTGACCAGGACCTGCTGGAATCGTCGCTCGAAGGCCTGATCCTTCTCGATGTACTTGCGGTACTCGCTGAGGGTGGTGGCGCCAATGCAGTGCAGCTGGCCTCGTGCTAGCATAGGCTTGAGGAGGTTGGCAGCGTCCATGCCTCCTTCGCCGCTGGATCCGGCTCCCATGAGAAGGTGAATCTCATCGACGAATAGAACAATAGTGTCCTTGGAGTCCTCAATCTCCTTCAGAACACCCTTCATGCGCTCCTCGAACTCTCCACGATACTTGCTACCAGCAACAAGAGAACCGACATCAAGTGAAAGGAGACGACACTGAGCCAGGTTGGCCGGGATATCGGCATTAACGATACGGCGGGCCAAACCTTCGACAATAGTGGTCTTACCGACACCGGGCTCACCGATGAGGACTGGATTGTTCTTAGTGCGTCGACTGAGAATGCGGATCACACGACGGATCTCCTCCTCTCGTCCGATGACCGGGTCGATCTTGCCCTCACGTGCCAAAGAAGTCATGTCGATTGTGAACTTCTTCAGATTCTCATTCTCGCTTTCGGAGTCAGCAGTCTTGGAGTCTACTCGGCGTGTACCGCGAATCTGCTGAACGGCGGTGTCGATAAGGTTGACCTTGGGGATGTTGGAGTCGCCCAGGGCGCGCTGGACTTGAGAGTCCTGGCACACGGCCTGGATCAGATGGTCGATAGCTACATAGCTGTCCTTCTGTGTTTTTGACAAGTCTGTAGCTTGTCGGATGACCTTGGCAAGCGCTGGAGAGACACTGACGGTCTCTGGCGGTGGGTCCTGACTGGGCAGCCGAACCAAGAGTTTCATCAGTGACCGATCCAGCAGTTGTGGGTCACCATGGGCCCTCTCGATCACCTGACGGAAGAGGGGTGTAGAGCCGGAATCGTGTGAGGAGTGGCCAACGGGCTGGCGGTCCTCATTGTCGTCCTCTGAAGGATTGAGGAGGGCAACAGCGAGGTGGAGGGGAAGAATTTGAGAGTGGGCGTATTGCTCCGCCAGACTGTTAGAGTCCAGCAAGGCCTTGTTGGCCCGATCAGTGAATTGAGCGCCGTTCATTTTGAACGGAAATGTGTATTGTAACTTGCAGTGGTGTAAGGTTGTAGTTCGAAGGCGAGGATTACTTCGTATAAGATATAGACGTCTGGGCAGGTGAATATGGAAAAGTAAGGATGATGTAAGTTCATATACTTGGGCCGCTCACCAGGCCGAAACAGCTGCCACGTTCGAGACGTCACACCCGGCTTCCACCGCCTTCCAGAAGCTGCGCGAAGGGTCAGGTGACGTCAAGTGTTTGGCGGGGCTTCGATCATATGACAGTCACGTGACTAATGATCACATGATGTGCATGGGACTACTGGAATGCCTCAGGCAATAAGAGAAGATACCTCTACTCAGGACATACATACAGTAAACGAAAACTCGGCCCGGTGTGAAACATACTGTAGGATTGGCGGAAATCAGGGCTTGCGCGTGTGCCTAGCAGTGGAGACAAGAGGAGCAGGGAGGAGTAGGGAGGAGCCCGACTCCGCCCGGGACAGGCAATCAAGATTGAGTGCCTTGATTTTTGGCCATCCCGCACAGTGCCACCTACGCCAGGGAACCGCTACAGTACGTTTATCCCAACTGTCGGTTCCCAAACTTGCCCCCGTGGCCCGTCCCTGACCTTGTTTATACCGGATCCCCATTATGTACGACATTCCACGATAAGCGAGCGAAAAAGCGCCTGCCGCTTCGTGACGTCAACCACGCAACCATTGCCCTACTGTACGAATCTGACTTCTAAAGACCGCGGGATCAGACCCTCGTCATGGCCGGCCGAGGAATCGAAAACGTGCCTCTTCCCGTGCGGATCCTCCAGGGATTCTCATTACACCGGAAATCACCATTTCACCAGCAGATCTTGGAACGGCGGAGGAAGCTAGACGGTGGGCTAAGAAATGATGGTGGACACTTGTTCCGAAGAGGCGCATCCAGACACGAAGATCGATCCATCCGGCTGCCCACTAGCGGGCTCGCGATTGGATTATGGCTCCCCACGGCGTAGCACAGTGTAGGTACATCTGTGAACCTGCAAAAAATAGAAGCGGAACCTAGGAAGGTTCGGCGGGGCGAGCGGAGATGAGGGGCAAGCGTTGCGTCTTCTCTGATTGCTGCATGGAACCCCCCTTCAACGCCTTAGTCTGCTTAGTATTGGCTTGGTGAAACTCCCTGAGGCATTATTTTGCAGGCTGCTGCGCTTCATGCGTGCAATGGCCGTCCATGATAGGACGTAGATCGCAATCTAGAACCCCCCTCGGGGACTGAGCGACGGGGACGAATGGAGTCGAGATGGAAACTCTCCAACGGAGCCATGGCATGATAGGGCGGCAGTCTGATCGGGTAATCCACGGTCGTCGCAGCTCCAACTCTGGTTGAGTAGAAATCGCCCGAGGCTCTCTGCTCTTACAGGAAAAACCCGGTTAGTGGTCGATGTCATTCTTATAAAAAGGCCTCCGCTCCTGCATCCACTTGATCAATTCTCACGCCATCGCGCCTCCCATTGAACTCATCTACTCGCCCTCGTATTTGCTGAAGACGGCACTGGGTTTGTCTGACCCCTCAGACCCCAGCAGTCGATCAACTTGCCTATTGTCTGCCGAGTCCTTCGGCCCGGATTGGCATCATCTCCTACTTCATTGCTCGGGATCTCCACGAGTCTATTCCACATTGCCTTTCTGCTCGCGCGTGGCGTGCAAGGAACCAAATTCTAAATCCGTCATGTCGAACAAACCTATCTTTGTGGCGACGCACCCGCGGGCCTGCTCTACGGCCTTTGAGCGAGTATGTGGAGCAACATCAACATTCATTTTTCCCTCTAGAGCTACGCTGACGAAGATTTAGGTCTTTATGACCCAGCGGGCTACGATTCAATGTATCCACGAGCCGTTCGGTGATGCTTTCTACTACGGTCCGGAGCGTCTGTCTGAGCGCTTCGAAGACGACGAGCAGGCTCGTGTCGAGAGTGGATTCAGCCAGTCAACGTATCTCACGGTGTTGGAGAGAATTCAACGTGAAGCTTCAGAGGTCCGACCCTTCTTCCTGCGACGCCCATTGACATTTCCCTTTTTTTTTTTTTTTTTTTTTGCCGTTTAAACACTCCCCATGTCTCCGAAAGGATTGACGTGGGGACTTCCCTTGCTTGAGACTGGCATAGTCAGCATGTTCAGCAAGCCCAGCATACCCACCCACCTTCTCCTCTATTCTGATGTAAAGCACAAAATAGGAAGGACGGTCTAGAGCCTTGACTTCACCAAACATATAGTGTTGTTTACTGGGGAAATACTTACCGTGTTGCAGGGAAAGAGAGTCTTCATCAAAGACATCGACCATTACCTGCTCCCGCCGAATTACAAGCCCGCCAGCGTTGCTCCCTCGCTGCGACGTATCAAGCGCGGCGTCGGCACCAACGGGGATGAGCACCCGGCCAATGGCGTGAACGGTGCCAGCAATGGTACTGCTCACACCAACGGCCACGCTGCGACCAATGGTGTCAACGGCACCAACGGCGCGGCGAACGGCTCTGCCAACGGTGTCAACGGCGTCAACGGCGTCAACGGCCACACCAACGGCACTGCCAACGGGCACGCTGTGAACGGCACCAACGGTGTCCACAAGCCATACCCGTACAACACGCCCGCTGAGCCGGGCAACCCGACGGTGATGCCTCGTGAGATCCAGGAACAATTCCACTTCGCGTTCCTGATCCGCGATCCTCACTTCAGCGTGCCATCGTATTACCGATGCACAATCCCACCCCTGGACAAAGTCACAGGGTTCTATAGCTATGATCCCTCCGAGGCTGGGTACGATGAGCTGCGTCGGCACTTCGACTACCTCCGACGTGAGGGACTTGTCGGACCCCGTGTGGCGAACCGACCAGACCTCAACCAGGGGGATGAGTGCAAGACCAAGGATACCGTGCATGAGATCTGTGTAATTGACGCGGATGACATGCTGGATAACCCAGCCCCGACGATCGAGGCGTTCTGCCATAGCGTCGGTCTGCCATATAGTCCTGACCTACTCAAGTGGGACACTCCAGAGGATTATGACTTTGCCTGCTTCTGTTTCGAGAAGTGGCGTGGATTCCACAACGATGCGATCGAGTCCTCGGGCCTGGTAGCAAGAACGCACGTAAGCATATGCCCTGGTATGGGATAAACATGGAGCCCATGGCTAATAAACCCCACAGAAGAAGCCCGTCAAGACCGAGGAGGAGTACGACGCCGAGTGGACGAAGAAGTATGGCCCCAAGGGCGCCGCTCTCATCCGTCAGGCCGTCGACGCCAACATGGCCGACTACCTATACCTGAAGCAGTTCGCCGTGAAGGTCTAACTGCCAGGAAGGCAGTGAAGCTCTTGTCAAGCACATGGACCAGAAGAAATAGCTGGCCCGGACAAGAGCATGGAGCCGTGGGTTATACGGAGGACCCTAGGAAAGAGGAGGAAAACAGAAACGAAAATCTGGGGAGGGGAATAAGCAACATATCTATCCCCAGACCCCAGCAGCATTCCCACGTCCCGAGCCCCTTGTTTTTACTTGTGACGACGCCCTATTATGAGTATTATTTAGTCCCGATGACGCGATCTCCACAGCGTTCCCACCCTGTCGTTGCGAAGGAGACTTTGTGCGACGCGGGGATCTCTGCGGAGATTGGTCGATGTCTTGACGATCTTGCACTGTGTTTCATTCCTTATTCGCTTTTGCTACACCGACTCGTTGCTATTTGTGACTTTTGCATGGTCTGATCTGCATTTGCGTGTTGGGAGATTGAATTGCTTTGTGTTTGCGTACCGTAACGCGGTTTTTCTACGGGTCGTAGTCTGTAGGTCTTAGTATTGAAGGAGCGGTGTAACCTCGTAGCTGTAGCCTTGTAGCTGTGCTGATATCCTGGTGTACATTCGACGGGACCACCCGAGGATGGCCCCGAGTAGACGCACACTAGCTGGTCGCCTGTAATTGACATTTAGGTTGCCATAGTTAGCTAGCGAATCTACAAGCATTCCCTTAACGGGTTTGTGATCCATCTTGACATCCTTGCTTCACCTTGTGTGCCCGAATAGAACGCCCGGTGCCGTTCCTCATCGGGGGCCATCCCAAGGATTCCTCTCGAGTAGACATTTCAGCCCATTGGCTACTGATCCTACTACAAATTGACTCTCATGCTGAGTGCTACATCTTGATTCAGCTTGCCAGCTGATATAAAACACATACTTCACATTCACATCCATACATGAGCCAGCCCGAAAGCCAGGTTCGTTATCTAGCGTCAAATCTCAAAAGGAGTGAACTCCCAACCCGCAAATAAGCTTCAATCCCAAAATTGCTCCCAAAAAACGGGGCGAAAGAAAACCGCAAACGAATTTCCAAAATACGAGGGCCAGAATGCATTGAGTCCCTAAACGGCACTGTATCCACCCCTCGAGCCAGACCCTTGCAGGGTGTTGAGCACCCGCTTAACCCAGTCCTGGAAAATATATGGAACGTCGCGGAGAGTATCACCGTGTGGGAGAAGGTCCCAGCCGCGGGCGCCGTAGCGGTTGTAGTTGAGCCACGAGCCGAAGATGAGGTATGTGGCGATGGCAAGGAAGAGACTAGCAGAAAATGTGTTAGTAACAGCGTAGGCACGCTGGAGAAAGAAACTTACATGAGAATCATCCAAGTGAAGAATCCCCAGTGACTGGAGCCGTTCTTGCCACGCTGGTATTCGTCGCAGGCAAACCGCGTCTTCCATTCCAGCTTGAGCACATACTTATCATCCTCCGTGAGATCGAAGCTCTTGAATTCAAGACTGCGACCACGAGTAGAGTCGCTCTCGTCTCGGCGTTCCATCGGATCGTCTCTTGTGCTGAGACCCTCCAGTCCGGACCGGTCAGGGTCGCACTGGAAATCGATCTGGGCGCTCGTATCCTTGACCTTGGCGTCGTTGTGGTCGCCCTTGTATTCACCACCGCCCAGCTCGACACGGACGCCCTGCATGTTCTCGTCGATGGTGTTCAATCGGGTGAACTTGGGATCCTTGGACCCTGCACCGGCAGGGTCGAGGCCAGCGATCGGAAAGCCGAATTGGGTGCCACCGTTGCCGTCCTTAGGTTTTTCATCCACAAAGCCGCAGACTAACAGTTTCACGTTAGTAACCAGAATCCAACCAGAATCCAATGCTTGCTATGTCCGAATGGGATCTGCCACGGAGTCTGACATACTGTTCTTAGAAGTGCCGCACTTCCCCTCGGGACGGTTCGCAGCCTTTTTCAAGATGTTGCAGATGTTCATTACATAGGTCGTGTTCGTCTTCCATGTTTCCGTCTCATTGACGTGATACAGCTCGTGGACTCCGCCTAGGGAGCTGAAATCGTACTTGTATCCGTCGACGTTTAGGTGCGCGCAGTCAAATCCGGTCGCGGCCGCAAGGCCCGAGAGGAATGTAGAGATGAGCAGTGAAACTCCTGTTGTTTGTAACCGCATGGCGGGAGAGTGGTAGGTGTGTCGGAAGGGGTGAAGGCTCGGTGTCGATGGACGTGGTCGAGTCGGACTGCGGCGCGGAGCTCGCGAGCTCGGAGAAGGAGGTCACGAGAGCAGATGATTTGATGGAGAAAACAATGTGATCGTCGAGGAAATGGCTGGAGCCGGTGCAGCTGGTGACTGGGTGGAAGTGGCTTGTCGTGGATGACGATGGCTAGGGTGACTTTGGTGACTTGCGGAGTCTTTCGTTTCTCCGACGCGGCTGGCGACTGGGTTCCTGCAGGCAGCGCCAAATGAAGCCGCGGACAACGAGAGCTATTCAGATGTTGCCTAGGAATTAGATACCGGCCGATACGTAATCCGGAGCTTCAAGAGCTTTAGGCTTCTGTGTTAGATCTCTTTTCAGATGTGTACCGCCAGCACGAGGATGATGTCACCCGACCCTGATATTGGCGTTGTGCCCCAACCGGCTCCAGCTGCTTTTGGGCAGACTCAATACTATCTCTCATAGCATTGAAGTATTGAGCATCTATTCAAACTGCGAAATTCAGTCTCAAAGGCCTGTTGCATGGCCTGTTCAAATTGGTCTTCAATCAGGGCTTGAAAATCATCGTCAGTGAGCAGACTAGGCACTATTGCATCGAAAGTCCGTGTAGAACATTCCTTTGAATTCTATAAAGCCCTTAAATTTTTTCGTATGGACAAAAATCAAAACCAAACCTTTAAAGAACAATAGAACAGTGTTAAGAAGGCCGTAGATCGCAGCCCACCAAAACCGCCCGCGCACGGACCACCTACTTCAAATCATCAAATCCGCAGAGCAACATCCGTCGATAGGTTCCCCTCCATTCATCAATTCATTCCTTACACATCCGCCAAGATGATGAACGCACGAATGGTAAGTATAGCTCCAGACGGACTGGGGAGATGGGACAAGCCCACGTCCATCCCGCCAGGCAAGCTATCAAAAGGAGGGGAATAATACTGACACATGTCCAGCTCTCCAAGGATGACGAAGGGATGGGAGGCAGTGACGAGAACGAGGTCCGTCGTGAGGACCAGGAGAAGATCAACCGCTTCAGTCGGTTGCATCAGCGCGAGAACGTGCTGGAGGACCAGTTGAAGGCCAAGCAGGTAAGTTCCCCCACGGCGGGGCGTTGAGGGATATCATCCCATGTCGATGTTCGGAACTGACAATGTCTACAGAAGGATAAAGAGGACCTGGAAGAAGTCTCTATGGAGCTTGAACTTGCCGATGAAGATGAGCTCGTCCCGTAAGCCCCTCTTCCAACCCAACCTGGTGTATAATAATCAAACAAATGCTCATCTATCAACAGCTACAAGATCGGTGACTCTTTCTTTCAGCTCCCGCTCGCGGATGCTCAGGCCATGCTCTCTACGTCCACGGAGCAGATTGACCAGGATGTGTCGAAGCTTGAGGAGTCGATTGGCGACCTGCGCGAGGAGCTGCAGCAGCTCAAGGTTTCGCTGTATGCGCGGTTCGGACGCAGCATTAACCTGGAGACCTAATCTTTGTCCGTGGCCTTTTCTTACGTTCACAACGATTATGAACCCGATGAAGGACGTGATATGATTGGGTACATTTGTAGATAAAATGCCTGGATAAATATGAGCCCGGAAAAAAATCAGAAAAAACTTCATAAAGGATTGAATTTATTGCAGTTATCGAATATCAGGCGGCGAAACAGCAATAAGATACTGTGACTCATGCTGGCAAAGGCGACGAATTCGGAAGAGATCACTCGATGTCGTGAACTCCCCGGTGCCTTTTCTGGATCTGGCGCTATTTCTGGACCGGGTAAGGTTCGCGGCCATGTACTCCATCTGTCGAGCCATCTGTCGAGCACTGCAACCAGGATAGGTATCATTGTTCAGTCTAACGAGATTTCCGAGAAATGAATGATAGAAGGGAAACGAAGGTGCTCACCGGTCCAAAGCCAGCTGCTCCTTGATCTTGGTGGCACTATATCCAGAATCAGTATTCGCGCGGCCATGATAACAATAAATAAGGTCCAACATCATGATCGAGTCAGACAAAGTCTGTGCATCAATCAAGGAAAGGGAAAGAAGCGAGGGGCTCTTACTATGTTTGCATCACCCATTTGATCATCTCTCGTGGGCGCTGGTTGCGATTGAGGCATACTCTCTTGTGATCGTGGAGGCATCTGAAGCTCACGTAACTATGTATTACTATCATGCACGTGAAGAGAAGGGTGCCAGGCCTGTCCATGATGTAGGTCACCCAGTACTGATATCTAGAACCGGGGCGGCCACTCTGGATATCTGTGGCAGAGAGAAATTTGACGTGGATAGGCATCATTCTGTCGAGGATGGGGCCGAAGACGTGAGGGCGAAACAAACCTAGAGCAGAACGAGAAGAGACAACCGGGTGAGGCAACGAAAGGACGAGCATTAAAGTGAGGAAGAGTGAGATTGAAGAATGGATGGAGGAGAGTTAAAGAAAGTGAGAAGTTGCTGGTTGTGCTTCCGCAGGGTCATCTCAGTCACTTCCACGATTCGTTCCAGGCACCACATCGACAATTACCTGTATAAAGAGGCCCCGCGGGACATCCAAGGATTTCCAAGGCTCAAATGTATCCCTATGCACAATGTCACGGAATCGGCGATTCCTCATTGTACGAGACTCAAGACCAATTGAATAAGGAAAGTATAGACTAAGAAATCATACATGCCGGTTCTACCGTAGACATGTATCAGATCAGATTATAATTCAATTTTGGAAACCCACAGCTCGTAATATCATTCAAGTCAGTAAATAAAGAAAGTGGTATCTAAGAGGACCAGAGAAAAGAAAACGAAGAGATGTAAGCCATCAAAAGATGTCACCATCAAAAACACGCCGCGGTAGGTATGTAGGGAAATGAAAGGAAAGAATTCAACACGAGTCATCAAAAACAACGCCGATTCTCCAGTGCAGTGCGGTCCAGTCATATCTACCAGAAAGGCGGGGGTTCAAATTCGGGTCCGACCCGAATTCAAGTACAAAAGTGCAAAGTGCAACGCGCAGACCACGACTCTCTCGTTTTTATCGTCATGGGGAAGAAGAACGTATGTACGGTCAGGCCTGCATATCTCGTTTCCTCGTATCTGGTTGTTTTGAATTTCATTGTTTTAGGGGATGTTCACATTCAGAAATATTGTTTACCGGAACTTCGCCCGGCAGCGACCCATGATCTCATTTTGGCAGACTAGCTCGGCGCTGAACTCACTACCGTCAAGGGTGAGGTAGATGTCAAAGTACACGCGGTAGAAGACACCCTGCGGTGTGTCCATACGCTCGAAGTCGGTCTCAAGGTTTTTGCGAGAAAGGTCTGAGGTGAGGGTGACGACTTCCTTGATGCGTGGGTCCTTGGTGTATTCTGGGCATACATCTTCATCGCAGGCATACAACACATCCTCGTACATGAGGGTAGCGCCGGGGGCCACTTGGCGGAAGAAGCTGACTTTGACAGGCTCACCAATCTTGACACGCTCGCCCTTCTGGACGAAAATCTGACGGGTGTATTTGCAGCGGTCACGACCGTCAAGACTGGGTACTCGATATTGTTCGGGGTGGTATCCCTCCTTGAATGGCTGGAGAGTGGCCATCAAGTAGTGTCGACGGGCGACACGGTGGGTGATTACCCGCTCGGTGATACCTGCTGTAACTGCACCCTTGACGATGGCGGCAACAGAGTCCATGGGACGAACGACCTTGGTCTGATACTGGGGAGGGACGTGGAGCTTGATCTGTTGGAAGAGGTACTCTGACGCACCGAAACCACCGACAACTAGGACGTTCTAGAAGGGTGTTAGCGTCACCTCAAAATAAGCCAAAAGGGTGATCTTACCTGGAGCAAGCGGTTCTGTGCTTGGATGGCGATGATCTGGTTGCGCACCAGCTCGAGAATGCGGTTCACGACGGGCTCGAAGCACTGAAGAATCTCCTCGTTCGTGAAAGTCATGTAACCCTCCTCAATGCCCGCATCGGGGAAGTCAGCCTCAATGCCGACATCGACTGCCCATTTTTGCCCGTTGTTACGGAAGTCTGCCTTGATACGGTTCTCGAAATCCATGATACATTTGGCGTACACCTTGCCTGCCGTTCGGGAGCCGTCAGGAAGCTTCATCTTGCGAATCTTAGCGCGCAGGATGTTGCTGAAATTTCGGTTGAGCGCGGTTGAACCACAAGAGTCACCGGATCCAGCAGTACACTCCATCACACTGAATGGCTGCTCCTCTTCGACCTCGTAAGCGATCAGATCCACCGTACCGCCACCGCAATCCACGATCAGAATGGCGTCTCCGATCTTCAGGTTCAAAAGTCCGGTCTTGGCACAGAAGAGAGCAGCAGCCTCAGGTTCCGAGACAAGGGTCAGACGATTGTCATTCTCATCGCGCAGGAAGCCAGCCTGAATGGCAGCAGCACGGGTGGCAGCCTTTCCGGCATCGTTCCAAATGGCCGGCACGGTGAGATAGTAGCGGATGTTGCGCTCCTCGCGAGTAAACACCTCACCTAGTGTTTTCTGCAGTTGCGCGCGCATTGCCTGACGCAATTTGAAGAGATAGTCGGCAGCCACATCTATCTCTGACTTGCCCGGAGGAAGCGGGGGAAGGTTGATGGGGTCGATGTAGGTATTCCCGGAGAGCATCAATTGTAGCTTGAACCACTCTACCTTCTGCACGCCGGGTTTCGGGTATCCTGTAGGCGCGAGCGCATCGGCGATATCTGGGCCCCAGCCCACCACTTTTTGGTACTGGTCGTAGTAGAGGACGGTAGGGATCTAAAATAAGGTGGTGATTAGAGACCCCGGATTCCTTATCTGAGAGATAGCGCTCACCTTCTGTTTCGTATGGGTTCCAGCTCCGGGCCATTCCGTGATGATGTCTTCTCGGGCCTCGTTGTTGGTCGCAAAGGCAAAGGCGACACCGGAGAAGGTTGTTCCGAAGTCAATACCGACGATGAGCTGGGCTTTGTTGCGATTCGCGCCCTCGACCTCGACGGCGGGGTTTCGGTACTGGGACTGCGGCTGCATGCCGGGCGGGACGGGCATATGTTGTTGGGGTTGCATGCCGTAACCCGGAGGAGGGTTCATGGGCTGCTGCATGCCATGGGCGTATTGCATGTTGGGGTTGGTATTGATGGGGGCGGGGTGCTGGGTGAGGGAGTTATGCGGGTTATGGGCCATAGGACTCGTCGGACGGTTAGCTCCAGCAGGTGAATAACTCGGTGGTCGGCCTAACTGTTGTGTTTGCGGTGCTTGCGGCTGATGATTGTTCACAGACAAACTTGTCGTGGACGAGCTGCGGTTCGAGGGCGGCGAAGTGTGGGAGGTGGTGGGCGAGGCGCTGGGAGGGGGGAATGACGGTATTGGGAGCGGGGGACGGTACTTTCGGCTTTTCGCGTCTGAAAGGGATCTTGAATCGCGAGGAGCTCATGAGGTCCATTTGCGGCGAGCGCCGGGGGTTTTGAGAGAAAAAGGCAAGAAGGGAGAGAGGAGGGGGAAGGGAGACAAGGCTGAATACGAAACAAGACGGTGTGGAGCAAGGGAAAATCGGTGCCTGTCAGCCCGGTTAAGCCTTGAGATGAATGAAAGATTGGAAATGGTTCGGATGGAAGAGGAAAAGGGGGGAAAAGAGGGGATCGAAGATCCAGATGAGGCTGAGGATGTAAAGGGTTTAGTTTATAGTCAAGAAATTGAAGGGAGGGGGGAGTCAGGGCGGAGAGATCATGATGATCCTGGGATGGACATTCCCTACAACTACGGTTTCTATACTGATTCCGGAGTATAGGCAACCTGACCTAGGTATTGGGAAGTAGAACCTCGAATGTTTGAATGTTTGAATGGTTGAATGTTTTCTTTGTTAGTCCCATGGAACACGACGTTGCTGAACCGCCGATTCGCTTTGTTTCCCCGTTTTTGGCCCCCAACCGCTACCGAAGGTAGATGCAAGAGATCTAGACTTGGTATTCCGGAGATTACTTGGGGGCCATGAGCCTTCAGTCGTCAGTCTTCAGTCTTCAGCCTTCAGCCTTCAGGCGCCAGCCACTCTCGTTTTCCGCGCCACCCAATGCGATGGCTGGTAAATGTTCTGAAGCATGCTATCGCCGTCCTGGATGTAGCCGCACGGCCGCCGATCGTCAGGCCGCGCCTCAATTCTGAAGCCCATGCGTTCGACCAAGGTCAACACTTCCTCCTCGGTTAACTCCACATTGCCCGGTTCCCCAATCCCTGTAGTATCCCCCTCTGCGTCCCTGCGGGGATGACTATCCTCAAAATGCCACAATAAAGGTCCTACATTGATCCACAGCCCATCCTCCTTGAGACAATGGTGAATCGCCTCAATGTAACGGATCAGGTTAGGTGCAGTATCAATGAAAAACACGGTCGCCACGGCATCAAATGTCTGTCGGTTGCTGGGCTCATTGTAGACTACCACAAAGTCACCTGTCGACATCGACATTGACCCGACAGACCGGTTGGCTTGCATCGCCTCTCCAATAGCGGTGCCCGGATGCACGTCCGGGATCTGAACGCTCCGCAATTGCTGTGCCCGGGTTTTCAGATTCGAGAAGTGTAACGCGAAGGGGTGGAGCGTGTGGCTCTGTGGGCCCTCGGTGTGGTTTAGAACCCAGCTGCTGGCCAACAACTGGTGGTACGAGATCTCGTTGCCCTCGGCGGAAAATCCCGCGAGGCAGACATCAAACACTAAACGGCCTAGCCCTGCGCCTGGGATGAGCACTTTAATCTCTTCGCTGGCATCCCGTCGAGCCTGAAACTCGGTGCGAAGGTCTTGGAGCACTGGGTCGTAGCATACTTCCCGCTCGACGCGCCCCTCAGCACTCCAGTCTCGGTAAAACTGGCGGATAGTCGAGTGCGCCTTATTGACGTCGGATGCAGTGGCTGTTCCGTGCCAGTTCTGTGTCGGGTCCTCTTTGTCGGGAGTTGCGGCGAGTCCGAAGGACTCCAAGCCTCCGTCCAGAATCTTGTCTGCGAGCTCAGCATTGGTATCGATGGCATCATCTACCTCATTGAGGTTATCCAAGATAGAAAATGGCGGCTCCGATAGCATCTGCCAGTGCTCCGACGGGAGAGAGTAGAATGCCTGTCGACGGCGATGAGTAGTGTTCTGGTGCGCCGTGCGACGATATTGCCTGGAGAAGCTTAGCCAATGATCAAAGTCAAATGAAAACACAACCGATCTATTGGATTTTTATGTCGGGTGTAAACAATCTACTTGTCACTCACCTGAAAGAGTCGAAAGCAGCAAACAGTACCCTCCGCTCTTCCGGGTCATCGAATGGGTCGAAGTCGCCCTGCCAACTGCGCTGGTCCTCGCTGTGGAAAGATTGTGAGTCCATTATGACTAGAGTACGAGGAGCTATGTATCTTTCCGGGTTGGATACATAAGCTCTGCTGAGTCAGTGGAGAGCGCAGATCCAAGATGAGTTGTGCGGTGCGGGCAAAGTTGAGGTGGGATTGGTGGAGCCGGTGTTTGCCTCACCGCGGGGACTTGAATCTTCAACATCATCTCGCCCTGAGCTTTACTGCGCCTGATTCCCACATCAGAACCCATTAATATTTATCTACTGGTTCAGAGCCCCCGAGGCAATCAATCATGGCAACAGATGCGGCGCCGGCACTGCCTCAGACGGAGCGAGTGACTCCCGAGCTCAAACCCCAGCAACTCTCTTTTCCCCTGCCCAGAGCTTTGCATACAACGGGACACGTGCACTTGACCTTCTTGGATCATTGCATTATGGCATTCTTGACCACATCCACTCCTGGTGACTCGGCAGGAACTGTCAAGCCGCTGGGGAGCTTTGTTTATGCCATGCCTGATGTAAGTCTCGGTTTTGTTGATCGCATCGCTCTTTATTCACTGGCCATTGCGTCCAAATATTCGGTTTATTTGTGATGCTTGATTCGTATACTCCAATCATGTGTTCGTGGTCACTTCGATACATATCTACAGACCAGTGTCTCTGGCACTCCAATTTGCTTGGCCTATTTGTATTTGGATACCCCTATCATCGTCTTTTTCTGCATATTCCCTTGCATCTTTTCTCCGCAACTCATGTGACTTCAAGCGATGCACTCCATGTATCAATTCTGACACTAGCCCTTTATCTTCGCTTAGACCTACACCCTTTGACCTCCCAACCCGTCATTGAATACTAGCTAACTCTTTCTTTAGCGGGCATCATCAAACTCGACGATAGCCACCACCATCTACACATCTGCATCAAGCATCGAGTACACAACTCGGGTGGCCAAGATTGTCGCTCGGCGGACCAAGAAGCCCGTCTACGTCGGGTGCAGCATTGACCCCAATGCACACGGCATGTCAGTCGAGGAAGAAATGGAGGGATTGAGAAAAATTGTGGAGGTCATCGTGGAGAAGTATGAGGCGCAGCAGAAACAGTAATCTGTTGTAGTACTACTGGGAGAAAAGATTCAGAAGACAGATGCATCTGGCTGGATGACGGCCTCGGTAGGGAGTTGTGGCGGGTTATTCAATTTTGCTATTTCCATTCCCAATTTGATACATTGATTCATTGGAGATTTCCTTTCAAGATTCTGAAAATTCTCTGCGTAAGTGAAGACCCTTGAAGACGAAAGTCCTCGATATACAACGATCCGGAGCCAAGCTGTCTCCAACTTAACGGGCCTCCCACAGACAAGGTCAAAGCTGCACTCAGTATATTAGCAACACATATTGCCCATTTTCTCGATAATGGGCTCCGTTCGGCTCGGGGTTCGGGATCTATTGTACGCCCGACGTGCAACGTTGCCGTGATGAAGCAGGATCCGATCTACAGTGTACATCCACGAATGACCCCCAAACAGGCAACCGCGATGTCACTGTACGTGTCTTTGTTGCATATCGGTCGAGCGGAACTTGCCTGTTTCTCTCGCTGGTCTTGTTGATGGCTTGGGTGCAGAAGCATGTCGATATAGGATTGGCTCTTTGGGACGGGCTGGGGGTTTTGGCCCACAAGGGTGGACAGATCTGGGACTGCGCTGGAAACAGGGAGATCCACACATGTGTCGGAAGATTAGGTATGAAAAAGGGTCTCGTGCCAGGATGGTTCTCAATGGAAATTATCCAGCTCAGCACCCACAAACCTGAAACCGACAGCAGATATGGCTCCTCAAAACGTTGGCATCAAAGCCATTGAAATCTACTTTCCCAGCCGAGTATGATTTCATAATTTACAGTTCTGCTTCCACAATCAATCTAACACCGCAGCTAGTATGTAACCCAATCCGACCTGGAGAAGTTCCTTGGTGCCAGTACTGGAAAATATACCATCGGACTAGGACAGACGAACATGAGCTTCTGTGACGACCGTGAGGGTACGCATCACCTCTGAACCGTTACCATCAAGAATAAGACATACATTCTACTTCCCAGAACACCATATTAACTACTAAACTAGACCTCTACTCCCTCGCCTTAACAGCCGTCTCCTCCCTCCTCCAAAAGTACACCATCGAGCCAAACACCGTTGGCCGCCTAGAAGTAGGCACAGAATCAATGCTCGACAAAGCCAAATCCTGCAAATCAGTGCTAATGCAATTATTCCCCACAAACCCCGACATCGAAGGCGCGGACACCTACAACGCCTGCTACGGCGGCACAAACGCCTTCCTCAACGCCGTGCACTGGATCGAGTCATCTTCCTGGGACGGCCGCGATGCTATAGTTGTCATGTCCGATATAGCTCTCTACAAAACGCCGGCGGCGCGGCCTACAGGTGGCGCCGGGTGTATCGCCATGCTGATTGGGGCTGATGCGCCGATTGTGTTGGAGCCGGTACGGGCATCCTATATGCGGCATACATATGATTTCTATAAGCCTGATTTCAAGACGGAGTATCCGCTTGTTGATGGGCATTACTCGTCTAGGTGTTATTTGCAGGCGCTTGATGGGTGTTACCAGCGGTATTGGGAGAAGAAGAAGAAGAAGGGTGCGAGTGAGAATGGAGTTGATGGGGATGTGTTGGATATGCCGTTGGATGAGTTTGACTACTTTGTGTTTCATGCACCGAATTGCAAGCTTGTTTCCAAGTCTTATGCGCGGTTGATGTACAATGACTCGGTGGCGGATAAGAAGAATCCTCTTTTCGGGGAGGACGTTGTACCCATTGCTATTCGGGAACAAACTTATGAAGGGTCCCTTGATGACAAGAGTCTTGAAAAATTCTTCATTGGATTGTCTCGTGAGAGATTCAACCACCGCGTGCAGCCTAGCCTGACCGTCCCGACTATGTGCGGGAACATGTACACCGCTGGTGTATATTCGGGGCTGGTCAGCTTGCTCAGCAACACGCCCAGCGAGAGCCTCATCAACAGCCGTGTGGGGGTGTTCAGCTTTGGAAGTGGATTGGCGAGCACCCTGTTCAGCTTGCGAGTTGTTGGTGATGTGAGTGGCATTGCGGCTAAGATCGACTTGCATGCGCGGCTGGCTAGCCGGGATAGGGTTTCCTCCGAATTTTACGATGAGGTGAGCGAGAAGCTGATGTGAGAGGTGAAATTTCCAGCTAATCAAGCGTAGATGTGCCGTGCCCGCGAACAAGCCTATCAGCAGAAGAATTACACTCCCACTGGGAGCATTGAGGCTCTTGCGTCCGGAACCTACTATCTCTCGCATGTGGACGAGAAATTCCGACGAAGCTACGCGGTTAGAGAGTAATTAGCTGCAGATGGATAATGTCAATAAGAATGCGATGGACCGGAAGTATTTTTCCACATTCATCCCACTGAGGGGCCATTGCTACGATTTGGATTGGATGGTTTGGTGATCCGATCCCGGACAATGCATAACGCCCCCAAAAACCTCCGTTTAGTTTTTTTTTAGTTTTAACCCCCCAGTGACAATGGAATCATCAAGGTCAATTGACGCGCAGTGCAATTAATATAGAGCTTAGTTTCGTTCGCTTGTTCGGCGCAACCCGATAAGCCCGATCTAGACGTCATAGATCAAGCCAAGCAACTGTTAAATCTGAGACTCCCGCGATTTAGCACGCGGAGTGCTCCGGTCTCAGATAGATGGGGTGGCAGGTCTCAGAACTGGCAACGCAGAACAAATCGGAAAGCCTCGGTTACTGACCGGAATTGTTTCATCTGCTCGGATCGCTGTCCCGCTGTGGGGCGCAAAATAGACTTGACCGCAACACAAACTGCACAATAGAATTTCGCTGCTCGCCAACTTGCTGGATTGTTGGGCTCGCCTACGGTTACATTACACAGGTCCTTCTTTGCCTCGTTAATCTCTCTAGACCGGTGGTTCTCGTAAGACTCTTCTTAGAAAGTGGTGGCTGACGTTAAATGGTCTACTAGTCGGGAGCTGTCAGGGGGGACAAGACTACGTATTATAGGTAGACATGCTAGTGATTGGCGTCGCTGAGCGAAATCAACGCCAAGATTGGTTGAGCTGATCAAATGTGCGTTTCCTGCCGACCTGGCCAACACGGCGATCCCAACGACCATTGTTTACCAGTAATATTTGTAGGTCCATGTGCCCGCACGATGATAATGCATAAACCTGGCATTACATCCTGCATGGCAGGCAACGGTACGAACCGAGGCGTCGGCTGAACCGTCCAGTTCCTAGAGGAAGCTCCGCATCGTGTGTAGTGCATACACAAAGGCGACCCAGCGTACCCCCTAAGAATTGCGGGTCAAGGCTTTGCCCGCGATCCAGATACGACGCTTGAGCGTGGCTCGATTTGGCATGGATAGGACGCCGGAGCTGAAAATGGCGCAATCGGCAACGACGCGTTGAATGCACCCGCCAACCGCCGTTTCATTTATATCGCCGAACATGGGACCTGAAGGGTCGTGTCTGGAGAGGTCCGATACATCTTATCACGTACCCGAAGCGAGCAAGCTGCAAGCGTGCGGGGAAACGGTATGGCGAGGATTGGGAATTGACCCGCGCGCCAAGGGCCACGGTCCAGGCGTGATAGACATCCTAGGACGTTCAGGACGTTACGAGTGAAAGACGAAAGAGGGGGCGTTGGCCGAAGATCACGGAGAAGTAGCCTAACGAGGCGGGCGGCTGAGGAGGACAACTGCAGTGATGTCCGTGCTTATTTCTCTGCCGCTACTGTCGACAGTTGAGCTCCTGTGACCTGTGACCTGTCCGTGGCTTGTGATTCAGGGAGGTATGGCAGTACAGGTGCCAACCCTAGGAGATTTAATGACGGCTGTGCACTAGCTCAGGAGAACTTATCCGACCCCTAGTACGTGGGCACGCAAACCCTTGCTCCTTTACTCCCTTAACATACGTAGTGGAGCCTTCAGCTTCAACTCGTGCTGTGAGTCTCGTGGGACGCACGGACTCCAGCCTTTTCCTGATCAAACTCTACAGTGAAGGTATAATTGAGCCGGAGCCGAGCCGAGCACGGACAAAACTCGGACGGGGAGGAAAATAGGAACTAGGGACAGGTACAACTTCGAATTGCGGACACAGACCACCATGAGACTTGACCTCAAGCAAGTTCAAGATGATTGGGGGCTATCGGGCGCGGCAGACAGAAAGAGCAAAGATTGGCCGTGAGAAGAAGACGGTTTGCCACCAGGTTCCACTGTCCGGGTCAGCATCCGGCCTGGGTTTCCATGTGGTCCGGTGCATGACTTCCGAGTCGATCATCGGGGCTTGGGAAAAAATAAGGACCAAGAGAGGGTTTCGTTAAGCACACGGCACGGCGGGCGCCGAGATCTTCATCCCACATACCGCGTAGTACGTACGTCCCTGTGCAAGGGGGTGGGCACTCTCTGGCCAATGCCATCCACTCGTGTCGGGGTTTCCCTCTGGATCTGATGGAGACTTGTTCTTGACAGAGTATAATCTCCCCGGGGGCCCGGTGAACCGAAGATATAGGAGGTTGAAGTTTAGCGCCGTCATCCCTACCATTGAAACAGTAAAGTAGTGAAGCATTGAAACCAGGAGAATACAGGAAATTAGTTCAGTGCAGGGCCCTTGGCAGTTCCCTTCCCCGATCGTCTCGCCCCCTGTGGACGATCTAACACCTCCTGTCACGGTCTCTAAAGGGGACTGCGCTCCCGAACCAAGTGGAGCACCGCTAACTCTGCCGACTCCATCTAGGGTGGCCTTTTGGTATCGCTTCTCCGGATCGAGCAAGACTCAACGGACAAGGTTCACCGAATACCAGGCTTCCCGACGGTGGGCCCGTGTGGACATCGGGCGCTCAACTCCAGCTGCCGCGACTGGCTCATCCAAATAAGCCGAGCGCTTCTCGACTGCTTCAGGTATCCATCGACACTGCCTCTTGCCGATCTCGGGATACTTGGCCAAGAGGTCTGAACCTCACGGAGGTGACTGACTTCAGTTGAGGGAGACGAAGAGCTGATACCATCACCCTCTTCACCTAGGGCTGGAGTCAACGAGTAGTAGATAAAATTAAGCAGATGTTCGGGCGAGACCCGGCTGAAGCGCGGGTGTCATTTCGGCTGAAGATTCCTAAATTCAGCCCGGTCGTCCTTTTCTCCGCGATCTCTGGGTCGTTAATACGGGACCCTGATGGAGCCCTTGGGAACGGTGATCCCAATACCATCTCTTTTTGCCGTCGATCTGGTTCAGTGCACCTTTTCCCCTTCTTCTCCCTCTCCTCTTCACGGCACCTGAGGGTTCGATTCTTCTGAGCGCATTTGCATCTGCATTCCCGTCGATCATCTGTACAAGATTCCTGGATTCTTGAACTCGATCACCTTCCTGGCTAATTCGCCGCCTTCCTTGTCCAAACCTCGGCATTTGCATCTCCACGATCCGATTTGACTTGCGTCTGTAGACGTGGCTTGATCCGTGGTCTTCCTAACCTTTTTTTCTCTTATTTAATTTTTTTTTCTTTTTTCGTTCTTTAATTTGTTTATTCTCGTTTATTCTCCGTCTGTCTTCCCCACCGCCAATCCCGGTTCGAATAGCCCTTTTTATTGCATTGACGATGGCTTCATTGGATCAGGCTCGCGAATGACCAACTCAATCTGGTTTTGGTACCTGAAAGTTCAAGTGATCGAATGAGCGAGAGTGCGCTGTGGTTATAGCGCGTATTCTTGCCTGTTCGTCGATTACATGATTAGCCTGATCGTTTCGTGGCCTTCGTGACCTTGAAACCATATTCATTCCCCCTCTTTCTGGACTTTTCTTTTCCTTTTTTTCTATTTTTGGGGAGTTTCTGCTTCAAGGGGTGGAGCCCGTGGATGGAGTACTTTGTTCCAAGATGCAGCCATCTCACTTTCGTCAGGGAATTCCCCCGAATAACTCTGTCGAGCTTCCTCCGGTGCATTCGGTGACGTCGGGCGCGTTCCCTCCCGCTGGGGCTTTGCATTCCGCCCCGCCGAGTAGACCTGACAGCGGAATGCGCATGTCTCATCTACTACAGCCTATGCCCCAAGGGCCGCATCAGATACCCCCGGGTCCTTCTACGTCGCCCTATGGGCGTTTCTACGATTCGGCGTCCGGGTCGCCCGCTGAAAGCGGCCTTCCCGATGCCCCGATGGGATCAGTCTCGGGACCCTCGCTCTACCAGACCAGCCCGGTCGGACATGGTCAAGGGCCAACTTCTTTGCAGCAGCAAAAAAGAGCCTACCGTCAGCGTAGGAAGGATCCGAGTTGCGACGCCTGTCGCGAGCGCAAAGTGAAATGCGACGCTTCCGACGAGACCAGCTGCACGGAATGCAGCAACCGGAAGGTTCGGTGTCAATTCACTAAGGAGACAAATCGGCGCATGTCTTCTATTAAACAAGTTCAGGATTTGGAGAAGCAGCTCGCACACGTCAAGTCGCAGCTGCACCATGCGCGCTCCGGCATGATGCGCCCAGACCACACGATGGATCTGGATGAGACAGCCTCCCAGTCAGGCGTCATGCTTCCCGAAATTGACTATAAGCCTTCGCGACGACCTAAGGCACCCGTTTTCCAAGACTTATCGGAGGTGCGGACTAATCTCCGCCAGCACGGCCGCGGCATCTTGAAAGTACCCACGCCATACCAACAACATGGATCGCGATCGATCGTCACCGGTGATGCGCCGGCGCTGCCACCAAAAGACGTTGCCGATCACTTACTTGGCCAGTATTATAATTGTATTCACTCAATACTGCCAGTCCTGCATTGGCCTTCTTTCACGACAGAGTACGAGGAGATTTATCGAAAAGGCTCGATATTGGGTGTCTCCAGTGAATGGGCTGCCGTGCTGTTTGGAGTCTTTGCATGTGGCACTGCCCACACCGCGGAGCCCGATTGGGAGGAAAAGGGGAAAGAGTTCGTGCGTCTGTCTTCTGGGATTATAGACGTCTGGCAAGACAACTTCAACCTCGACCGAGCCCGCGCGGCTTTGCTAGTGAGCATCTTCCTCTATGAGGTTAACTCAAAATCGGCGAGTTGGGTCTGGATTGGATCTGCGGTGCGTGTGGCCCAAGAGATTGGACTTCACATTGACCTTGGGCCTTGGCCACCGGTCGAAGGCGAGATGCGAAAGCGTCTATGGTGGGGCTTATACACTTGGGATAGGTTAGTACAGCCCCCCGTATACTAACAATGCTCTTGCTTACACATTTAGGTTACTTGCACTGGAGATGGGCAAGCCGGTTTTGATAAATGACCAGGACTGCGACATTGACCTTCCCTGCCTGGTGGACGACCAATACCTTATCGAAGACGGCAAACTTCCCGATGGTCAAGACCACCAAATCACCCCGATGCTCGCCACGATCCACGTCGTCCGTTCAATCGGTCAACTTACTCGTACCCTCCGATCTACCTCTATCAGCCCCGCAACCCTCGAAACCTTTGAACGTCACTTCAACACATGTCTCGGCACCTTCCCCGTCGATCTTCTTCCGAAAGGCGACCAAAGCCTCGATCCTCACTCCTTGGCGCCCATCATTTACCTCCAAAACGCCCGTCTCCTCCTCCACCGCCACAATATCTCCCCCTATTGCTCCAGCGCCGATCGATCCTCCGCACGCGAACTCTGTGTTTTAACAGCAATCGACACTGCAAACATCCTCTCCCGCTGCATGCGAGACCGCAACAGTGCAGGAGACTGGCGGCCACTATTCGCATCCTGCGCAGGCATACTCCTCTGCACACACATCTGGCGCTGCGCACTATTCCTTCTATACCGACAAGAATTTGCCGCCGCTCTAATCTGCATCCAAGCAAGCGCAGCCGTGGGCGACATCCGCTCTGTCAACACAGCCTGTGGAAGGTATCTAGCATTCTTCCTCCGAACCTTGATCGCCCGGGCACGTCAAGGCGACCCCATGAACATAGAAAATGACGAAGAGATGATCGCCTACATCTCCGGAGATATGCAGGGGACTACCGATGGCAGCTGGGTCTGGCAAGGTAGCGAGACCGGCTCGGACCTGGAAGCCATGTCTTCTATGAGTGCGACTCCTGTTCCACAAGAACCGGAGGCGGAGTGGGAAGGCTGGGAATGGATTGAGAAGACGACACATTACCTTCTCAGTGAGAAGCAGCAGAGAGGATGTGAACGCCAGGATGCGCCCATGGAGTCTAAACAGGAATCCAGCATGCTCCACCCTGATGCTGTGGGGTCGGACTCGACGGAGCGTCGATCGAGCTCGGCGCATTCTCGCATGACTATCGCCAGTATTATCTGATTACAGTTACCTCGGATTTTTAACATGTTGTCGCGACTATGTTCCGTTGTGGCATGACCCAATGCGCCACTTCAGCACATCCATCCTGGTTTAGGCAAACTACGTTAAAGTCAGGTTGGCTTCGACCCCTTCGAGGAGACTGCTATATTCTGTACGGTCCTCTGCGAGGACGCCCATGCCACTGTGGGATATGAGAATACCACCTAACTATTACCTTCACGGCGATACTTTTCTTCTTTGCACATATTGCAAATTCAATTTTTTATCCAAGCTCTCAGCGATATCAGACCATCCGTCCTTAAGGCGCCTTACAAAAATAAAGTAATAATACCTTCAAGGCCATGTACTATATTTGAATTTGTACGCATGAATGATTCAATTTAATCTCCACCGTTCTGGTCCTTGCCAAAGTGAATTCTTTTTGAGACTTTGGGACAATCTCGCGATGCCTTCACGGCACCCTTAAAAGTGCTAGAACATGACTGGAACTTCTTTTCGAGCTTATTCTGTTTATTTTTCGAAGACGTAGACTGTTTCGTTGACAAGGCTAAGGCTATATCTTCAAAGTACTGGTACCATCATACCCACACTCCATGCCCCTAATCTCCCTGGGCCTCCATACTACATCTCCCCGCCCCCCTACTTCACCCACCGAGCTGGACTCTGAGTCAAGCGATTCTTGCAGCAGCTTAGATCAAGAGTTGTTCAACGGGGAACAAAGTACCATTCTCAATAGCACCAGCATGGTGGCGAGCAACCAATCCATAAGCGAATTGGTACCTAAAAGCATTAGCAAGCATCACTCCGAATCAGCAATAGAACTTACTTATCAAGGAAGGGCAGCAGTTGATCCAGACCAGGAGTACTTCTCCAATCGCGCATCAGATCACAGACAATTCCGAACAAACCCATGAGAGTGACGCCCGCCCTCTCCATTCTCCGATTCGCCTCATCAGCAAGTCTCTTATTGAATGTTCCGCTAGCATCGGTATTCGCGAAGACCTCGTACCCCTCATCAATCAGCGAAAGAGCCAGGAACGCGGTACCTGTTTCGTCAGCACAGCTCTCCACCCAGTTGCCACAGAAGATAGTATAACGTACAAACTTCAGTCACGATGCCGCCAATGATAAGTTGCTTCTTTCCCGTTGCGCGGACAGCGGCACGGAAATCGGCATTGTCCCATGCATTGACCTCGCCCTGACGGTGGACGAAGGTGGCGTTGGGGTGCATTTCCACGATTTCCTTGAGCAAGAGGCCGTTTGGTCCGACGTCGGAGGAGCTGGTAAGGACCGTTGGCAGGTTAAAAACGTTACCGATGGCGGCGTGGCCGAGCATGTTGTTGCGGAAGTCGTTGGTGTCGATATCACGGACTAGAGAGGCTAGACCGACTTGGTGGTCAATTACGAGGAGGGCCTGGTTGTGTCAGTCTCGTTTCTTAGGAAGACAGTGTCATGGATTAACTTACCGCATTGTCTTTGTCCAGTCTGTTCCATGCTTGCACAGGCAGAGAGATTGCCAGCAGGGCTGCGGCTTGGATTGCTCTGGAGATGAACATCTTGAAAGAATTGAACAGTTGTAATTGTCTGTGAAGCTTTGGAACTGTTTCTTGGTGATGCTCAAAAGCTCTGGGAATGCTATCCTCTTTATACCTAGCCAGACTATAGCACGATGCCATCTTGGCTCCATAGTTGGGTCAGTAATACTTACAAAGAGTTTGCTAAGTTCTTGCTAAGACTAGAGTGATTTACTCCGGGCTGCTTACCCTCGGCGTTGCCGTGATGCTATGATTTGATCGCTAGATTTCTTCGCCTGCAGGAGCGAGTGCATGGTGATGCAAGCTATCACACGTCTGGGATGGTGACGGCAATTTTGAGATTCTCACCATCTTCTTGGAAGACTCCACATGATAGGTACAATTTTCCGAAAATTAATATGTACTTGCTTTAAGTCTCGTAAGTGAGTTTAAAGATATTGAATGACTCTCACTAGAGGTTGGATTGGAGGTTGATCGGTAGCAGGTTTGTGTTTATGGGTATTCTCAATGCTGCTCAATCTAATTGCTCAAAAGCAAACCCATTCACAGAAGTCAATATGAGACAGAGCAATTTAGAAAGACTTTGCACAATATCACCTTGATGGCACGTCACGGTTCTCCAAGGCTTGAAGATCAACGCCCGTCCTGATGTCGTAGCTCTGACGGACAAATTTTGCCCCCACCGAATACGATATGTATGCGTTAGATGAAAGTTGATAAGCGTTACTTCATCATTTATTTAGCATGCCCCACGGTCGCTTGCACCTTCAGGGCTTGCAGCTAGATTAATTAGTGTCTGACAAAGTACAGACTAAGTGATCCGTCAGCCTGCATGACAGCCCAAACCCGGAACACTCTGAGCTAAAAATGGCACTCATCGGCACCCTGATCCTGTGGGTATCGGCTAAATTTTCTAGCAATCAAACCAGTGTCCCGAAAACCTGGGACCCTGATTGGGTCTCTTGTTGGAGTAATCTCCAATGCCAAGTGTAGATGAGATCTTTCTGACCAGTTCACCGCAGCGCGCCAAGAATTCATAGAAAGTACTAGAACTCCGTTTTGGTTAGCTATTCTGAATAGCTGACATAGCTGGAATGGATTGGTGTAAATCCTTGTTGTGGATGCTGTTCTGCTTACTGAATAATCTCCTAGGGTCGCAAAGGGTGGCGGGAATGCTTGGCGTGGCTTGGGAGTACCGGTGTCGGAACGTCACCGGCTGTCAATATGGATATATTTTGAGTCATTCCAATTGTGAGGTGCTTCTATTTTCGTGGTCACTAGGGGAAACTATGAGCTTTTTTTAGTTGCCGAAGTTCAAGTGGCGTTTGCTATTTTTCCACCGTTCAACAGATCAACATATGTCCGGGGGAAAACGGGAAGACAGTAGACTCACAACCTTGAGCAATGCACAGACTATGGCAGAAGGTTGAACAACTAGATTTTTATAAAATACATGTAAATACAATTTATCGACAAAGAAAAAGGTTGAGAAGTCTAGAATGTCTTACCAACGAGGCAACCCTTGAGTTTGCCACATTGTGACATGATGACATATAGCAGAGCTCCTCGAGCCCCGGAGGGAACGTCTTTGAGACTATGCAATTTGAAACTGAGCTCCTAGCTCATCGATATTGTCCAAAAGGAAATTGACAATACCACAATATGATGTGTGTCCTCGAATTAAAGATGGACGGGATCTAAAACTTTGACAGCAGTATTTAGGTCATATCTACACCATTTGCTGTCGCTGAAGAATGAAAAGTGTGTACGCATTCCATTCTGTAAATACTTGAATGTCTATCAACAAGTCCGATTTTTGGAACCTTCACCCAAATGGCGGGCAATCGGTAAGGGAGCGTCGAATTAGGAATGGGTCAACGTCCGTTGCCATCATACCTTATTTTTTTTTCCCCTTAAGATAGTCATTCTAGATACAAGATGGAGCATGATATTCTCGATGTGAGTGCATTGGCAATACAAATGTTTGTTGACAAGTCATATAAACAGTCAAAATCAATCACCCAAATCGTAGATTTGATTCTAAGTTGAGTTCGATGTATAGAGGCAATAAAATGATATCATCGTGACCGACCACCTTACCACCCCAAAATGCCGTGGCTAACGCTTGAGTCATTTTAGTCTCTTTACCTATAAATAGAGCGCCTTGTCCAGTCTGTTGGTTTTTACCGAGAAACTTTACGATGCCATTGCACACGGTGAGTCTTCTTACTCTCAGTAAACAAGACACATGTAGCTCAACTGATCAATACATAAGTTCACCCTAGCAGACGGTGCCAGCGAATCGGACGTCGATCGGTCGGTCAATGGCCTCACTTGAGAATACAGATAATTGACGTTAAATACAGACTAAAGGCCCTGATCAAATCCGTCGGCGGTCATGTCACTCGTGAGCAGGGGAATGAGCTACAGTCAGTAAAGTCCGCCTTGAAAAGACCAAGACTTACAACCAAATAAGATGCAGCGTAAGCGATTGCTTCCACCTCAACCTGATTAGGAAGCACACAGGGGCGGAAACACTCTCAGATCATCCCTAGAACATTGAGTATTGACGCAGAGAAATTGGGAATATGAAAGTGAGGACATTATGATGTACAAGACTATGAACATGGGAATAATGAGGCTCTTGAAGCAAAATTTGATACCTAGTGGTCAGCCGCTTAGGGCCACCTTGGGCAACCAGTAAAGTGAGTGACCGACAAGGTTGTGCTTGTAGATTCAATATGGAGGGATAGAGGTAAGTAGGTCTTCAGGAACCGTGGTCTGGCTCTTATGGGTCTGTCATTTACTTTGTACACCTGGTCAACTTCCTGCTGCGTACTTAGTTTATCGCGAGAATGGACCAAACCAGGGTAATCTGGCGGAAAGCGGCACGCCTCTTTTGTGCGAAGAGGAATCGCAGCGGCGACAATTGCTCTGATTGTTACCGGAAGGAAAGCTCGGCAATGTATCGTGGGGCAGTAAGGCCGATACCTATCAATTGGGTGGATTGTTGTCTGGACTGGAACCGATGCAAAAGATTTGCGACCGGCCGAACCAGCCGACTAGATGGGAAAGCATAGCCAGAGGATGAGATGAACATGTGAGATCGAGTTGTGTTTCAACATTGGACACTATAATAGCATAGCGAACGTGAGGTACATGTGAAACGAGAAGCGAAGATTAAGTCGCGCGGCGCACGCGTTGAAGTTTGGACCTCGGCTCCTTCCGCATTTAATCCGGGAGACCGCCGTCATCCGGAGCTTCGTGGGCCCAACGCCCTTCCAACGATCAGACACCTTCTTTGTCTTTGCAATAACCTCACGAAAGTGAATTTAGACAGCATGTCCAAGCGTGTGACTTTGTTGGATCCCCCTCCGCGGGATCATTCTAAAGCGCTGATCGAGAATGTCCTTGACCTGACTCCAGTGGTGGACCTCGGCCCAGTACGACTGCCCTTTCGCTGCGCAACATTTGCACATCAATAACTGACTGGCATTTCGATTCGATAGGATGTCTTCACCAACACCCGACCACTATGGCACCCGCCCGGTGCTCGTGGAATCTACGGCGGTGCTGCGATCGCGCAGTCCTTATCAGCCGCCATGCGAACAGTCCCCGCCGATTTCGCCGTTCATAGCATGCACTGCTACTTCGTCCTTGCCGGTGACTCCGAAATTCCCATTTTATACCATGTCGAACGGGTACGTGACGGCCGAAGCTTCGTGACCCGTACCGTGCAGGCGCGACAGCGGGGCCGCCCGATTTTCACCACCACCCTGAGCTTCAGCCGGGTCGGGAGCGGCGGCGAGAAGACCGCCGATCACGCATCGACCAAGCCTGAGGTAAAACTCCCGGATGAGTTGGAGCCAGGTACTATTCGAGCTTTGAGCAACGCGGGCGGTGGCCCGTTCGAGTCGAGAAAGGCGGGCATTGTGAACAGTACGTGTGAATCACCATGGGAACTCCTGAAACTAGCCGTGTACGTAGAACGCTAATTAGTTCTAGGAAGCTCGTCAAATCCCGAAGACAAAAAAGTCCGACGATATGTTCGTGCGCGCGGCCCTATCTCCGAAGGCGGCGGCTACCAAGCACATCTGTCTGCACTCGCCTACGTTACAGACAGCTATTTCATTGGTACAGTCGCCCGTGTTCACGACATTCCCCGATTCTCCTCCCCGGCAGAACTGCAAAAACTCTTGAAGGCACTCAAGAACCCCTCCGATTTGGACGATGAGGACATCGCCAAGGCATTGCAGGAGTTGAAGGAGGAGGAAGCTGCCGATCTGCGCCGCCAGCTGGAAGGTGCTTTGAATGATGCCAACAATTTCAAACCCAAAGAAGACCACAAGGAGGTCGGCATGATGGTTAGTCTCGACCACTCGATCTATTTCCACAACCCGCGAGCCTTCCGGGCCGATGAGTGGATGTTGATGGAGTCGGAGAGTCCATGGGCCGGAGAAGGACGGGGGCTGGCTATTCAGAAGATTTGGTCCAAGGACGGCCTGTTGATCGCCACCTGCACTCAAGAGGTATGTTACTTTTGGCTCCTATAAACCGAATGCGCTAACAAAGTCAAACAGGGTGTTGTGCGATTAAAGCAGGACAAGCCTCCCTTGTCAAAGATTTAGTGACCTTTATACCCTGTCAGGACCTTTCTTTTGTCTTTCAGATTTTTCAGATTCTGATATGCCTCTTAATTTCTATCATTTTTTGTTTACTATAGACTTTGACCTTTCTTACTTGAACATGTCCTGAGACCGCAAATAGCATTATCTCGTTTAACTACAACATTTACAGCACTTGAATTCCTTCACAATATGGCTCATCAATGGACAACATTTTGGAAACATTTTGACATCCGGAAAAAACAACCCTGAGATGCATAGCGTAAGAAAGAAGGACGAAGAAAAAGATATTCAAACAGCCACCCATTTTCAACAAAAGAAAGAATGCAAATCCTGGCAATTTCATAACCATTGAAGTCATCACGGAGGTTATACCTCCACTTTCTCAACTTGCGTCCTTGATCTATAAAACTCCTTCACCTTCGCACCCCACACATTCTTCCCCTTGTACTCACCCACGTTTTCAGGCCAAGTCTCCATCTCCTTGGCCAGATTTTCCAACTCCTGCATAGGGAGCTCGTCGAGAGGAGTCAAAAACGTCTTGACACCGAAGAGGATAGCGCCTGTGCGCGGTAGTCGGCGGAACGTCTGTCGTTCGCGGCGGATGATAATTTGATCAGGGGATGGGTTGAAAAGTTTTTTCTCGCAGAGGGATCCTGGGCGATAGAGGATGTCGAAGAGGTTCTCGTTTGGACTTTTAACTTCAACGAAGTAGTTGGATCGTTCCATTGGAGAGTTTGGGGTTAGCCGGACAAGGAATCTGGTTCAATTGTTAAAATTGTCGCGATCGATAGAAAGGTTAAGCTTGACTTACTTGCTGACTGATGTTGCTACTTGTTGGTGCCATAATGGTACTGGCTCGTGCATGCGGGAGATTGTCCACCCAATTCGCTGGTCCACTGTCCATCCTGTAGGGAAGAGACTCGCACTAGCAGCTCTGAAGACTTTATTAGCAGAATACAGCGAAACTATACAATGAAGAACATACAGATAATATTCATCATCTTCATTCCTCATTAAGATGCTCAAATCCTCCATCGTAAGCCGCACCGCCGCCTCCAGGGCGTCAGTGAGGTTCTCATTTGGGACCGAGCCACCGAGCTCAAACATTTCACCAGTCATGCGATTCTGAATGTGCGGCTTGCTGTTATACATGGTAGTTTCGAACATGTTAGGAAAGCGCTGCGACAAAAAGTTGGACACCTCTTCAAGTGCCTCGTGGCAAGCGTCGACCGATTCGGGTAGACATTGGATAACCTGGTCCCTCTTCTCGCGAAGCAGGGCATCTCGCACGCGATGCTCGTCCATGTAGTTTTTGTCGAGGGTAAGCCAATTTTGGGCGTCTAGCTTGCGAATGTCCATCATGACGCGGTACCGCTCTCTGCCCTTAATGGGCTGTGGTTTGAGGTCGGACGGAGGTTTTGCGCACTCATTTTGGTGGTTCTTTTTTTGACGATTCCACAACCAATGTCGAATTTCTTTTTGATATCTCACGACCAGAGAGAGGAAGATGATAGGAAGTGCCACCAGTGAGAAGACGGTCATATTTCCTCCATTCGGCCACTCTGAGAGTCTACCTAGATAACTTTTCAAATGTTTTGAACGGTGATCAAAGAAGGAACTTTTGGATTAAAATTAGCAGAAAAAGCAACGCAGTGGTAGGCGAAAGAGATGAAGGAAGATAACGACGACCAACGGCTGGGACTGCGGCTATATAAATATATCACGCCCCAGGCGGGCGAAGAATTGACCCCATCGGAGACCAGGCATCAGAAAACAAAGCTGATCACCAGACGGTAAGGTCAGCGGTACTAGCTCCAAGTCAAAAAATGGATACCGACCAAGGACCAAACAGCTGCAGTTCGCATTCCTGATACAGCGAGTGTACGGACCAGCCGTGATACGCTCAAGGATTCCCCGCAAAAAAAAAAGCCAGAGTTCGCCTCCCAGAAAGACGTGACAGCCACATGATCATTGGGCTATGCATTTTTGATGATTTTATTTTTCAGCTTCGGTCATCAAGGCGGGTCGAGGCTAGGCTGTGCCGGTGTGTCTCGGGGTATGAAGTGGAGTATGAGAATGACCGGGTCCGGGACCAGGCTTCCTGTTGCAGGCAAATCGGCGCTTGAAGATGAGCTGATGGGCTGATGGGCTGACCCAGTCGCTAGGCACGATCTAGGCACAACGTTTAGCTTCGAATAATCGTCAAGTTCGCGTATACTGTCCGTGCGCGACCCCTCGTGAACCAAGGTTTGCCGAAGGAATGATCGGTAAACAGGGGGTGACAGGGGAAAGGCAACTCGGGAAACAAAGACCATGTAGCTACGGATAGCGTCGGGGTGATGCCCGAGCTAGGGTAGGCGAGTCGGGAGTACCTAGTGATTGTTCGATTGAGTCCAGCTGCTGACCTCGAGTTTTCCAAGAGGATCGCCCAAACAGGGCGGCGCAGTTTCAACAAGGCCGACCCGACTGGCTAGTAACCCGATCTAGTTGGTGCACATCACGCCCTCACCAAGCTAAGAAGTCCATGTGCACTCTGACGTATCAGACTACGTCTTGTGTGGGGATCTCTTCCTAGCGGGACCCAGTACCCTCTCTTCCCCGGCCCCGATGGCCCCCAAGACATTTGTACCAGGATGTTTATGTTGCTTGCTTGAATGGGCGATCGCACACGAATTCAACGACCCCGGACTGACGGACATTAGGCATAGGTGCAGGTACAATTAGGATCACCAGGTCCATGTAAAATCGATGGCCTCCGCTGTGTTCCACGGTCCTCCCCCGACTCCACGGGCCCCATCTGCGGCCATCTGGGGTTTCCGCTGCAACCGCTGCCCCTTTCGCGCATGGCGCGCTTGCCGCTCATATCTCGATTTTCTTAAACATTCCCCTGAAAAGAAAACAACCACTTATAAATTTACTTAGTATTATCATAGATCAATTATGCAGAGATCCGGATTCTCAATGGTCGATCCTTTCATTTCTTTTTCCCCCTGTGGCGCTGGATCCGTCCAAAGCAAAAATCCTGTTCTATATTTGCTTTTGCCCGCCCGTTGTACCTTCCTCCAGTGAGCTTAGTCTATGGCTGCGCAATCGACCTGGCTATGAAGTCATGCGATCGTCCAAATGCAAAGCTGTACCAGGTTCTTTTCAGTGATATGGGGCTGATTCATTGCGTAGTAAATCTACGGATGGACATCCTTAATCCTCGTCATCCAGGGTGTTTATCTACCCACTTTAATTTAGTCCTCGACTCAGTCTGAATAATCCTGATCTCGAGGGCTTTTGCGCCGAGGAAACAAACTTTGATCAAGGTTGTACTGACAGAAGGTCAGTGGAGACCGATGCAAGTCACCTTCATGGCCGGGACTTAAATTATCACCGCCACCACGGCACAGGAACGAAGCAATTTACGCGATTACTGTGCTCAGACAGTGGATCACTGATGTCAGATTATGGTGAGAGTGAGGTGCTTTCTGGAGGCTCTGTTTGGTCGGTCACTTATCTATTGATATGGCTATCTGGCCAGCCATTCTCGGTTCTGTCGCCTAGCCTTGTCGCCTAGCCTTGCTTCAAAATGATTCAAGTCTCCACCAGTCAGCAGGAGGACCGTGCTTTATTCTTTGCATTAGTCCCTCCATCGGACAATAACTGGAGGAGACTATGAAGTATATTTGTAATAAAATGCCGTATAGTGGTGGGAGCGTTGCACTGCACTCGCCGGGACAGAATGTTAGACCCGACTTTTGTATAAAAATTGAAGATTCGTCTAGACCGGGAGCATGAAAGGACATGGAGTTGATTGAAATAACTTTGAAGAGTGTATTTCTTTATCCAATAGACAAACCCTTGGGCAGCGTGCGCTCGGCGCCGATCTTTACCGGACTTTCCAGACATACCTTCTCAGAACAATTTGTTTCAAATTTCAAACTCAGCCAAAATCAATATCTTTTACTTGATGTTCTGCTGAAAAAAAATCAAGGCCATTTTATTTTTCATTTCCATACGTCAAAATCTAGGAGTCGGCTGACCCACGTCGTCCGGGCCAAAGCCTTTCGTGTACTCATCCTGCCACGAGACCTATTGTATAACCGCCAGTGTTGTATCTCATTTAAAATTTAAGAGCTGGAGATGCACATATTTAACGATCTGAACACGCCCGTCGTAGACAGATGTAGCATCAAGCTCACATGACTCCAAATGCAGCCTCCGGCAGCATGACATATCTTGATGATACGTCAATTATTTAAAAAACGACTGGCTATTAGTCAAATTTTTGCCGCCGTATCCGACGGAAATCATGCAAAAAGCTTACGATTTGGTTGCGTAGTTGGCCTGTAGGATTGATATGACTGCTCACAAGTTTCATGCTGCGACGGTTTTCCATCGGTTGGAGCGTAGACGCCAATTGGTCATTTAATTTAACCTTCTGGTTCGATATTAGTTATAGGCATGAATTTCGACTTTATTGACGCAATTTTTCAATTATGGTGCTTGATCACATTGGACTACTTTGAAGGCGAGGCTGCGTGAGTGATTTCCTATTGCGGAAGCATCAGCTTCGTCTGGCGCTCAGACATCTCCAAAGCCTGCCACGTATTTTTCCTGCAAAAGCGCATTCTACAATCATAGTAATTGATTCAAAAAACTCAAAAACTTACGATTTTCTCATTCCCCAGCAGCTTCAACCTTATAAAGCAGTTATGTAAGAACTATGGGACCCTGTCCCCACAACCGGAAATGACTAATGACAGGCTTTGACCTCCACGCCTTTTGACATGCCTCCACTCTCCGCTGACATGGTTCAAATTTCTGCAGATGATTGCCAGAAAAACACACTGTCATTGCTTAGTTTCTTTATGCTCTAGCGATCTATCCGCACTGTCTAGTAATGGCGACTACCACTACCAGCATCTATGCTGGTTCGCACCCAGTGACTTTTGAGGTGGATGACTCGCGCCAGGCTTCCCTGACCCACTCCTCTTCAAACAATTCTTGGGGAGGCACTCGACTTGGGAGTCGACTATCACAGGATCACTCCTCTTCTGAATTTACTCATGATAGAGAAGATGTACTATCGCAGACTCGAGCTGTCATTCTCATTACTGCCCTCACGGGTATTACCTTTGTGGGAAGTATGAGTGGTGGCTTGTTGACCATTGGTTTACCGGAAATCGCGGCAGATTTGAAGCTACCAGAGAATTTGCTGCTTTGGTAAGTGTCACCCAGTTTATTCTGGAGTCAAAGTACTAACTAACATGGGCATATTAGGCCGGCTTCCGTTTATTCGTGAGTTTTGACCTTTCTTGTCGAGACACCGAACTAACCATTAACAGCCTTGCAAATGGGTGCTGTCTTCTCCTTGCTGGCTCTTTGGCCGATTTTCTTGGTAACAGACGCATTAATCTCATCGGTTGTGTGGGTCTGTGCGCATTCATCTTGGCCTGTAGTGTCGCTCAAACTGGCATCCAGATGATTTTGTTCCGCACATTTCAAGGCATTGCGACCTCCATGTGCCTTCCAACCGCTTTCAGTATTATGACTGATAGCATGCCCGTTGGCAAACGGAGAAACATTGGTTTCGCTTGCCTGGGGCTTGGGCAGCCACTTGGATTTTCCATAGGTCTAGTCTTCGGTGGCCTGTTCCAAGATAGCAGCCTCGGTTGGCGTTTCGGATACTATCTCTGTGCTGGTGTCACGGCCGTTCTCACGCTCATGCTTTACTTCAAGCTGCCGATCGATAAGCCGCGCGAGGCCTTCACGCTCCGCAGACTTCGGGATGAGATTGACTGGGTTGGTATTGTTCTCTCCAGTTCATGCTTGGGTTTGGTATCATATGTCTTTGCGTAAGTTCAATGACCTTCGATGTGTGGGAAGTTGCTGAGTTTAGTACAGCATCATCACTGATAATCCTGGCAACATTGATCATGCCGAGAACATAGCCATGTTGTGTATTGCGGCAGCCTGTATCCCTGTGTTCATGTGGTGGATGAGCTGGCGAGAGAAGAACGGCAAATCCGCACTGATTCCTAACTCCTTGTGGAAGAACACTGCGTTCGCTTCGATTTGCTTGATGGTCCTTCTCACCTGGGCGGTTCTGAACGGAACAGAAACCATTCTCAGTCTCTTGTGAGTTACTTGCATTCTCTTCAAGTGGCTTAGCTAACCGAGAAAAGCTTCCAAGAAGTTCAAGACCTTCCGCCTATCCAGGCTGCTATTCGATTCTTGCCCAACGTGATTATTGGAATTATTCTAAACGTTGCAACTGGTCTCCTAGTGCACCGCCTTCACGCCAATTATCTCGTCCTTGTAACTACGCTCCTCAGTGCTGGGTCACCACTGCTATTAGCCATAATTGACCCGCATTGGTCATGGTGGTATTGCGCGTTCTGGGCCGTGCTACTGGGCCCTCTTTCGGCGGATGGTATGTCTCAACCCTGATACCCAAGCGAAGAAAGAACCTTACATGATCCAGTCATCTTCACTGTCGCAAATCTAATTATCGCCGATTCGTTTACCCCCAAGACGCAAGGTCTTGCTGGAGCTGTATTCAACACTATCGCGCAGTTTGGTACATCGATTGGCCTCACTGTCTTTGCCATTGTTTCATCGAGCGTCACTCAAGAGTCATCATACACTAACAAAGGATCGCCCGACGCCCTGATGGCAGGCTATCGTGCTGTGTTCTGGACTTGTTTCGCACTGATGATGGCCGCCTCTGTCATTGGTGCTTGGGGGTTACGCAAGGTTGGAAAGGTTGGACTGAAGACGGAGTAGATTTTTTTTACAGACTTATCAAAGGCTATTATGACATCAAGCCTTTAGCTACAAGAACATAGAACGATACTTGCTCGTGAAACAATACTATTAGAACTATCGACCTAGGTACGCTATGGATATGGGTAGTAGTCAAATCAATCTCGAGGAATGCAAATACTCGCCAATAAAGAACGCCGAGCCTGATAACCCTTGTAAGATACGCTCTCTCAAAGGAAAGAGGAAAGGGATCAATGAAAAAGGGGCACCTAATATCTTTGATATCTTAAGCGAAGATCGGTCGTCGGTACGGCATGGCACTGCGCGCACATAGATTAAAGAATAAGTGTATGGTCATGTCATGATCGCTGGGAAAATGCTGCAAGACTTGGAATTGCCAAACCAGAAAGCACAAGGTCGTTATGTTTTTGAAAATTCGAGTGGCGATTATCGCAACAATCTAACAAATTATGGCCGATTTCTCAGTCTGTGCGGTATCTACCCTTGTTATAGTGGCTTGGCCGGTGTTGGCAGAGGGAATAGGTTGCAGTTTGTTGGAATCGTTGCCGAGGCGCTCTTCTCGCTCGAAATGTTCCCGCTCCTCCTCCTTGATACGCTTCAGTTCCTGACAAAACTTGCTGTTGGCACGGATGCGATCGCCGTAGCGAATAAATGCGAATGGGATAATCGAAACACCTAGACTGAGGAATGCGATTAGGCTGCATGCCCAATCCACGCCGAGTCGGTTGAACATCGGCTTCGCAGCGAGAGGAATGACGGCACCGAAGATGCTTCGAGTGCAGCTAGCAGCTGATTGGGCGCTAGCAGACAACGTCTCATAGGCGTCGGTGAGATAGTTGAGCATGGCCATAAAGATCAACAGATAGCCCATTCCGAATGGAATACCGGAGAGGAATGGAACGACCCAGTGGATATTCGGTGAAGATGTCCATCCTACCCAAAACAGGGAGATGACATATAAAGGACCCCCGATGCAGGCAAGAGGAAGTCTTCGGTATTCTTCGATGTTCGCCCATTTCGCGTTGCGAGCCTTTGCGCGGGCAAGGAAGCCATCGTACCAGATGAAGACAAAACAAGCGAGGACTGCTCCAACGCCAATAGGCAAGAACATCAAACCGGCAATGCCGGCGCTCATGCCGTAAATCCCTTGGAAAATGATCGGGTAAGCCTCGAAATAGAGGTAGAAAATAGCGTATGCGAGTGCGAGGTATAGCGAGGTCAATGAGACGATCGATTCGTGAATAAGCATTCGGAACGGTCGAGTCATCGTGAGGAAGAGCATTTGTCGGAGATTGCGGCTTTGCAACTCCAAGGGCGAGACGATGTTTGAATTACCAGTATCCTTGCGCAGCTTTTTCGCACGCTTTGTCAGAACAACAGGTCCATATGTCTCGGGCATGAAAAGAACGAGCGGGAAGGAAACACCGCAGCAGATCAGCCCAATCCAGAAACACCATCGCCAGTCGACAACGGCGACGAATCCAGATACCCAGGGACCGATGATAGGGCCGAATGTGGTACACTGTTAGGCATTAGTGAGAAATGATTAGCTTCACAGTAGGAAGACGTACGGCCATGTAATAAGCCATCAGGCGACCTCGTAGGGTTGGATTATCGTGGACATCGGCAAACAATCCGCCAGTTGTAGCTATTGGTGCAGATGCCATCATTCCGTTGAAAAGTCGGAAAATTAACAATGAGGCATACGAATTGGCCACGGCACATGCCATTGTGAAGATCATAAACCCGCAGTACGACACAAGCATGGGCTTTTTGCGGCCAAAGTACTCAGAGCTAGGACCCCAGATTAACGGGCCGACGACATAGCCGATCAGAAAAATGGAAATGGGGAGGACTAAGGCCTCTTGATTGGTGATGTTAAACTCCTCAGCGATTTGAGGAATGGCATTACTGCAAATGGACGAGCCGATAGTGCTATTCATGACCTGCATGACACCAGCAGCAAGAACCAGGAACTTTCTTGACTGTTAAATAGATATTAGTATTGATGACTTTGCGAACGGCATTGATAGTGATACCTTTTTCCAGTTGACTGGATTCTCGGGATCATTGACACCGAAAGAGACGACGGTCTTCGAAGCCACCTTGCGGAAACGAGAATACGATGGGTTCTCATATCGCTCCTGGATAGGTTCATGTGCAACTTCCGATTCCTGGTCAGAGGAATCTCGCGATGAGTCTTGTGAGTCATGATGGGACTCGGCTTCGTCTTCTTGAAAAGGATATGAGTATTGAGGTGTTAACTAGAGTGAAGAGTAAACTAACCTATAGCAGACATGACCTTTTGCAGGTTCTCCTCCATGGGAAAGTGGTCGGACATGTTGGTGACCTATGACCCATTGAATTATTGAAGACGCTCGACAGAGATCCATGTGGGATGGGGCATTATTATAACGACATTTGCAAGGAAAATTCAAGAAGGCCAAAGCCAGGTCCACTCTCAGGGTCCCAGTTTAACGCGGCCGAACAAATAAAATCCAATACTTGGGTGGGTTCAGGCTCCACATCCGGCTGCCACTCTTTTTTTTTCACGCCCTGCGCCCTACTAACGAAACGATTCTGGACAATACGGGGGGAAACTCTAGCCTAAGTCAGTCGCATCTGGTAGTTGCGGTTGTTGATCGCTCAATCTACACTTGTCTCGGTTAAGACGGCCTGGCCACAAATTCCTGGCTCGCGGAACCCAGCAGCTAAGATTTGTGGAGCTCAGGTGGCAACCTCCTATGCTACATCTACAAACCTTCACAAAGTTCCTTGCAATGTGGGCCGAACACTCATAGCTTCAATTATATGATCAAGAATATCGGATTCGAACCGGTTGCGAACCGGCTGCGAAAGAGAATCAATATTCCGATTGGCAAGAATTCAATGTCTACCCGCATGCATCTGGGTCCTTGGGCCGTCATTCTCCAGCATGAAAGAGGGGTCAATTGTAACACGCAGATCAACCTATGACGCCAAGGTCGTGCAGAGCTTTGCTTCTGGGCATCACTGACTCACGATCTAGATCGGTCGAAAAGAGGAGCATCAGTTTCCTTGTTAAATGATCCCCGCATTGCTCAGCAGACCAAACCCTAGTCAAGTATTAGCGACAGGCATTGTTTAGTGTCTTGTGCTTAGATCGTCTCCAACGAGAACTTACGGGGTAAATTCCATGTGTGGGTTTTTGAGTCATGGTGTCGGAGTGTGATGCCGAATGCGACTCCACATGCTGTCAATAACATACACCAAATACAAGTATATGTCCCAAGCAGCACGTCCGTTGACACGCCCGTTCTCAGAATATTGAATAGTCTTGGTCTCTGCCTTAAGGCCTGTCTGTATGCCCAAGGAATGCTGCCATCGCTCTATTTGTCCTGTGAAGAGCGAACGCGCTCGCGCCAAGCCTCACATAGCCGGATGCGTTCCCGACAGGATCGGACTTCTGGCCGATCTGCCTTGACCCCATGAGAGAATTGGATTCCACATGTGGGCCGCGAAGACCAAATTCGGCCAGGCAAATTCAAAGTCGACGCAGGAATCTGAGATCTGAATGGCGCGATTAATCGCGTGGCAAACAATGCAGATTCTGACATTTGACGCTTTGCGTCTTAAATGCCTCAGGCATACAAACATCCCAGGTGATTTCACGTGACGTCTATACAAAAGGGGTTGATCAAGAAAATAAACATCCTTAATGGCATGTAGAGCTCGGAATACCAAATTAATAGTCGTCATAAAATTCAACACTTCATAGCGGATACGACAATCTTGGCAAAGTCATATCCGTAGATTGAAGAATATCAACTGCCGAGTCACCAAGATAGAGAATGTAATCACCAGGATCAATAACCCATGCTCGCAAAGTCTCATCAAAATAAGCAGCATCGCGAATTAAAATCTCAAGTTCGAGTTTCTGCAATTGGCCGTCTGCCAGTTGGATCTTCTGGAATGCTATCAACGACTTTACTGTGTGTTCAGCTGCAGGGGTCCTCCGACCGAAATATAGTTGAACAACGGTGCCACCAGGCCTCGAGCCCGTATTGAAAATTTCTACTGCGGCGATAAACGCATCTCGGCTTTCAGAAGATGGTGTCACTATCAAGTCTCCATAGGAAAAGGTCGTATATGAAAGACCATGGCCAAAAGTAAAGTTCAGCCCGCCATCTGGTACAGAAGCATAATGCATGTTTCTCCAACGAACACGCCTTCGGCGTACGTTACCTTGAGCTGCCCCTCAATTTCTTCTCCGGAGAAGTTTTCATATGCCGGAGAATTCTCAATGCGACGAGGGAAGTTCACAGGAAGGCGTCCTTCTGGGTTTGCAACACCGGTCAGAATGTAAGCAATGGAGCTTCCACATTCTTACCCGGGAAACCAGGCTTGGACGACGGCCGAGACATCTTGAACCCATGGCATAGCCATTGATGTTCCAGTGGAATTGACAACGATTATGTTTAGGTTAGCTGCTGCAGCTGCCGTCACCACTGCATCTTGTATACCCCGAGGCGGAAGGTTAAATGATTCCTGGTCTCGGCCTTCGGACTCCCACTGCGGATCATTTTGTCGCAGCGCTTTCCTAACATGTTCGAAACTACCATGTATAACAGCAAGCCGCACATTCAGAATCGCATGACTGGTGAAATGTTTGAGCTCGGTGGCTCGGTCTCAAATGAGAACCTCACTGACGCCCTGGAGGCGGCGGTGCGGCTTACGACGGAGGATTTGAGCATCTTAATGAGGAATGAAGATGATGAATATTATCTGTATGTTCTTCATTGCATAATTCCGCTGTATTCTGCTAACAAAGTCTTCAGAGCTGCCAGTGCGAGTCTCTTCCCTACAGGATGGACAGTGGACCAGCGAATTGGGTGGACAATCTCCCGCATGCACGAGCCAGTACCATTATGTTTGATGGTAGCCGACACTCCATGGTCTTGCAGACCATAAATGAACTATGCTGCGAGCCTGCAAGCCAAGAACGAGTCTCCGCTGAAACTTTCAGGGTTTCTACCGCCAAGAGAGTGTCGATGGATGCATACCGTGGGGTCCAGGAGACAATGAACACCCTTGTGGCGCGCTTCTGCTTGCGCACACTTTAAGGCTGCTTAAGAGGCTCAAAATACCAAGTCAATCTAACTGAAAAAGATGCACAGATACGTGTCTAGAGAGCGAGTGAAAATTATGGATCTTGCCAGATATGTAACATGTGTAAAGTAGTGATCCCGGAACTTAAGTTGTCATTAACAGGAAACTGTATGTCCGGGTGGGCCAGTGATTGAACTCCGTAATCGCGACACTTCAGAGCGCGGCCAATCAATCACACTTTAAAGCCCAAGAGCAAGGCCCAGAATTCCAACTGCTCCAGCAACGCTCATGGCAACACCACCAGTAGCAATAGGGGCGCCACCAGTGGAGCTCGCAGACGAATGGACAGTTGACTTGGAACTAGAAGCAGCACCCGATGTAGCGGAAGAAATGGTTGAAGCCTGAGTCTCGGTGGCAGCTGAACCAGAGGAGCCAGCAGCAGTAGTAGCCACGGCGGCCTCAGAAGCAGGGCTGGAGGAACTAGATCCCATAGCCATGGTCACAGAAGGATCCACGCCAAGCAAGTTCTCGTCAAACCCACCAAGCTCGGTAACAACAGCCTTAATGCTGGCTGGCAGATTGTTGTACCACGCAGGGTACGTGCCCGCCGCAGCGGCACTGGCGACTGAAGCAATTTCCGCGGAGTTCATATACTCCCAAGAAGACGGAACGGCGGTTTCCAGAACGCTCACATAGTTGCTGGGGACTCCAGGAATCGCAGAGAGAGAGTCGGAGGAGTCCGAAGAATCGGTCGAGTCAGAAGAGCTGGAACTATCTGAGGAGCCTTCTGAGGTAGCTGTGGCTGTCGCTTGTGGCATGGCCAAAGCTGGAGCGAGGAGAAGAAAAGCCGCAAGTACCTTGGAATGCATGTTGAATAGCGCAAAGGAGCAGGTGGCGTTGGCCTTCTGTTTAAACGAGTGTGGTAAGGAAGGTAAAGAGCGAAGTATAACCGAATCAAGTGGAACGATATCGACAGCAAAAACCCGTAACCCCAGGGAATCCGCAACCCTAAATACTAGCCCAACCATCTGGGCCGTTCCTGGGGTCGGCAAAATTTTTGTCTATCGACGACTGAGAGAGTTTATGCGGAGGCTCTGCTAAACGTTCAGGGTCCAATGGGCTTCTAGGCTAAGCTGCGATACCCCGACGCCCGTGCCCATTTATTGCCTGATTAGGAGCATTTTGCTCGGCTGCCGCCTCGCTTACACCCTTCAGAGGACATTTTGTCCTAATGAAGGCTGTCTTCATCCGCCACATTGAGCGCCATGACTCAGATTCATTTTGTTTTAGCTCGGTATGGGCTGAAGACAAGGTCCTAACAATTTGACTTTAGCAATTTGAGTGGAGTAGACCCCCTGATTCAGGGCCAAGACGACAACAACACCACTCCGCAAGGCTTAACTTTTCTGCGGGTAGACAAGCATTTTTGCCAATTTTTGCCAAGTCTCGTGTTTAACCCCACGAAGCTATTCATTTAGAGACTTCTTACATATATGCGTGATCAGTGTTTTGGGCGCTAAAAGCATAGACCAGCCCGTATTCGCCCCGAATTCACAGAGTCTGAACCTCACCGGCAACTGGCATACTTTGGCTATTTCATTGGCATAGCCACGAAGACTAGAGAACCAGGCGGGGCGGCTCAAGGCTATCGTGGTTTTTAACTCGCTTTCCAGGGTCTAAGAAAACTCGAGTTTCTTATACCTCGTCATCAGCGCTCGCGTAGAGATTCTCAAATTATCCGGTTCTCCCGAGTTGTCAAAGCTGACTTTGAACGGTCGCATTGGTTACCTCTTGGTGCTACATGGTCGAATATTTCCATGCCTCCTGATTCCGCAGGCTTGGGATTACTACTAAAATCTCACGCGTATTCTAGTTAATTATCCCCCTGAATTAACCTCCCCATTTCCCTTCTTTTGGCGTACATATTTGAGCGTACGACGGAATGTTCTTTTCCTCCAGCCCCGTCAGAAACCTGCCTGCGATTGCGACCTGTATCAAAAAAGTGTGACTTTTACACGAACATTCTTCACGGCGACTCATTTACTGATGGCCAGTGTGGTGGTCATCCATCATTGTCTCGTTGCTGGCCACGCATTCGAGCTAGGGAGGCCGAATAGCTTAATATCTCCTTTACTTTAATAGAAACACCGAGACAGAGGATTCGTGATGAATCCTACAGGTCCACTAACGGAGCGTCTGAATGGGCCAATCAATTCCCAAAAACCGAGAGAACCTTTAGCTACCCACTCTCGGAAATAACCAGGGGTTATCCGCATGTTCCGAACATCACTGGTGGAATATCACGACCGTTCAAGGCCCACCGATGCACCAATAGAGCTTTGCTACGGAACCAGGTCATGCTGGACGAGTGCGCTCAAAAATGCTTATTGTGAATTCAAGCTAGTGTGTGGCTTATTTCCCCCGGCGCTTTACCCAAGATATTAGATGTGAAGAGAATCAATTGGTCTCAGTTGCACTGGACGCGTGGACGGATAAACCGGTCGGGGGAATCCACCACACAAGCTTGAAACAGCATGTGAGTCCTATGTTCACTGGTTATTATTCTGCACGCTAGTATAGATGAATTAAGGCCTGTCTGCTCCGGAATCCATCCGAATAGGGCTGGCTAGTGCCCCATCCAAGCAATTGGTTTAGACGTACTTCCTATTATCATTGTTAGGGGCAAGCAGCGGGAAAATATAAAAGAGACACCATAAGCCCAGGACAGAAGCCCTGTAGATAATCCACTCATTCTGTTCCTTCGTCTTCATTCATTTCCCCAGTCACTCCCTCCCTGAATCCGTTGATCGGCAACCATGAGATTTCTTACTTTTGTTTCACTTGCGGCCACGGCTCTGGCAGCCAGCCGCACTACTGCTCCTTCCGGTTCCATCGTTGTCGCCAAGTCGGGCGGTGACTACACTACTGTATGTGAAGAATGAAAGGGATCACTTTTCTGTACATGAGCTTACGGATCGCTAGATCAGCGACGCTATTTCGGCCTTGGACACCGATAGCTCCGAGACCCAGACCATTTTCATCGAGGAAGGCACCTATGACGAGCAGGTGTATATTCCCAAGCTTTCAGGAGCGTTGATCATCTACGGGCAAACTGAGGAGTGTGTTCTCCAGACCAGGCCTTCATTGAGCCCATAGCACTGACTACTGTAATAGCGACACCTCCTACTCTTCCAACACCGTTACCGTCACCTCCGGCCTCAGTCTGGAGGAGGTTAGTGACGACGATGAGTCCGGTAAGAATTCTTACGATACGGAGAAGCCAACCTGCTCTAGAGAGAATTCACGCTAAGACCCGACTTAGCCACTCTACGTAACTGGGCCGCCAAGTCTAGCATCTATAACATCAACGTCAAGAACACCTACGGTGAAGGTCATCAGGCCCTCGCTCTGAGCGCCTATAACACCGAGCAGGGTTACTACGGGTGCCAGTTCACTGGGTTTCAGGGTAAGTCTTTTTATTTTGTCTATTCATGTCCCTGGTTATTCTTGCTTGCTGACGGCGTAGACACTATCCTCGCCGAGACCGGCTACCAGGTTTTTGGCAAGTGCTACATTGAGGGTGCCATCGACTTCATTTTCGGTCAGACCGGAATGGGCTGGTTCGACAGCTGTGACATTGGTCTCCTCAAGTACTCCGAGGGTACTATCACCGCTCAGGGCCGTCCCTCCAGCTCCGATGAGGGATACTACGTGATTAACGAGTCCACTGTCGATGCTGCTTCTGGCGAGGATGTTGCCGAGGGAAGCTACTATCTCGGCCGGCCCTGGACCGAGTATGCGCGCGTTGTCTTCCAGAAGACCACTCTTAGCGATGCCATCAACTCTGCCGGCTGGATCGAGTGGTCGACCAGCGAGCCCAACACTGAGGATGTTCTCTTCGGCGAGTACGACAACTCCGGTGATAGCTCCGAGGGCACTCGTGCTAGCTTCGCTGAGAAGCTTACTTCCGCGATCAAGATCACCACCATCCTTGGCAGCGACTATGAGGACTGGGTTGACACCAGCTACCTTGCCTGAGCACTTTAGTTTTCCCAGTCTCTTGTCCTCGCACTTTATGCGTTGAATAATTGAAAAGGGTTGTCTATTTATCTAGTTTCGAGTCTATAGGCTACATCATATCTTCCCTCTCAAGCAAGCTGGGATATGGGAACCTTGGACCACCAGAACTCTGTCTCTTCTCTAGCCCAGTCATCTTCCACAAACTTAGCAGCTGGAGCCGTACTGCCCCCGATCAGTTCTTCGTTATCTTGACCGAAGATCATAACTCGGGCATCATCCGGCACAAAAGCCTCCCACTTGGGCCTTTGGCCATAGCGACCCGAGATGGCATTCGGGTCACCTGTAGCAATGAAGCTTGTAATGTAGGCATGCAACGTTCCCGACAGCTCTTTCTGTGACTCCGAGATCCCCGTGATATCACTATTGTATGTCTCATAGTACATATTGTCACCATGGTTCGCTCGACCGACAACAGTTCTGGGCAAAGCCCAATGATAAAGGTAAGCCGGTATGCCTTGAGACGCCGCAAATTGGACTGTTTGGCGGACGGGGGCAACATAGGCATAGTGCCCATACGCTGCCTCAATACGCTTGTACTGAGACCCCAAGCCCTTTCCAATCCTTGTTTCAACGTAGGGAGAAGCAGGGTCGGAATTAGGGTCAGGGTATAGTCGATCAATCGTATTCAGGTCGGCAGATGTCAGCTCGGGAAGAAGGTTTTGCCAGAACTTGCGGAACTGGTCAGGCTTGGACATCTTCTTGTCCACGTAGAACGTTCCTTCGTTGCTATTGAAGCCAGTCATGATTGGTACCCTGTTCCAAAGCTCAGAATTCCAAGCATCCAAAGGTTTGCGGTAGATGACCTCTTCGTCAATCACTGGCTGGAAAGCCCACCGAAGAGAGGGATTGTATTTGTCAAAGACGGTTGTTTGAGCATCTGTGACGGTCGAGCTGGGAAGCGATCGCAGAAAATGGAATATTTCGGACTCTGGAAGGTCTTTGGGGCAGCCAGCCTCTTGGAGAAAGTCTTGAAACTGCTCCTCGTGGACTTGCGCATTGTAGGGCCGAACAGCTCGGGAGGTTGGCGATCCCGATTCCAAAATGACGCGATGGAACAATGGCGGCGTGTGCTCTTGGTAGTTGAGAAGGTGGTGACCGATCTATAATTTGATTTTAGCTTGCGAGCACGCGATAAGAGAATGAGAAAAGCATACGGAATGCGCACCAGCCGACAGGCCAAACAGGGTGACATTGTTAGGGTCACCTCCGAATTTACCAATATGTTCTTGCACCCATTCAAATAAATGAATTTGATCGCGCAGACCAAGATTGAGGACGCCTTCTTTCTTGGAAAGGCTCGATGGCAAGAATCCTAGAGCTCCCACCCGATACCCGAAGCTTACGCCAATAAAGGGCGACTCAGACCAAGCGACCATGGACCCGGTATTGTGCATTGCAGCTGCTCCTCGGTTGAAAGCGCCACCATGGATATAGAGCGCTACAGGAAGCTTATCTGTCTCAGTAGTTCCAGCAGGTCGAAAGATATTCGCGGTTAGGCAGTCTTCGCTCTGATTGAGCTTCGGCCCGCCTGAGAGCAATGCTTTGCCTGGGGCCATGGAGCCATACTTGGAGGCATCAATTGTCTCTGTAGAGACAACAACTTTCTCTGCGGGCTTGAATCGCCTTTCTCCGACAGGTGGAAGGGCATAAGGAACCCCCAAAAAGGCATCGATGGTTTGGGGGAACGTATCCACGAGCTGGATACCCACCACCTGGCCCTGGGCAAGGATAACGGACGGGCGAGGGAAAACTGTCATGACGAGGAAGGTCGGAGCGAGTTAGTAAGTTGTGTGATAGGTCGCAGACAGGGAAGAGGGCCGAAATATAGGCAGAGCGCGCGTTTCTCTCCGGAGTTCAGAAGTAGTTCCGTGCGGGGGTGATTATACGATAGAAGAAAGAGAGTGGAGACGGGAGACTATCTTGGCTAGACCTAGATAGAAGCAACATGCTCCTTTATCTTTTGGAGTTTATCGTTTCGGACAGAAGCCGAACGAACAGGCTACTCCGCATGATACGCCCCAGGCCAAGCAATTGGGGTTGGATGAGTAGAGATAACAGGTAAATGGCGACCCGTGTCTTAAAAGCGGCCCTGAGACGATCGTCTTAGGGGCCAAGTCCATCTTTTTTCCCCCTCCAGTCAAGCTTAATTTGGATAATCATATCATTATGGAGAGCGATGCCAAAAAGTTTCCTATGACAAGTAATGCAGAGGAAAAGGACTTTCAGGTTGGGACCATTACAGACCTTGATGAGGGTGAAGTTTTCCTTCACGAACATGGGTTCACTCACGAAGCTGTCCAGGCCCTTTTGGATGATGTTCCACGCAACAAAGCCCTAGTCCGAAAGGTAGACCTTGTGCTCCTCCCCCTTCTTGCGGGTACCTATATGCTCCAATATATCGACAAGTCGGCCTTGGCATACTCTGCAGTGTTTGACCTATTGACATCGACCCACATGTCAAGTAACGAGTACAGCTGGCTTGCTAGCATCTTTTATTTTGCTTATCTCGTTGCGGAGTATCCTTGGAATATGCTTGCCCAAAAAACGAGGCTGGCGACGGTGGTCTCGGGCAACGTGATCGCCTGGGGCTCGATGCTCATGATCACCGCCGCGTGTCACAGTTTCACTGGAATTGCCATTTGCCGGTTCCTACTCGGCATTTTTGAGGCCCCGATTACACCCTGTTTTATGATGATTGTGACTATGTGGTACACCCGTGATCAGCAGCCATTCCGTGCCGGTGTATTCTATAGTTGCAACGGATTGGGCGCTATGGTTGGCGGCATCTTGACCTATGGGATTGGTCAGATTGAGACAATCGCGGTTTGGCGAGCGATCTTCCTCATCTTGGGTGGAATAACCGTTGCCTGGGGCGCCGTGATGTTCTTGTTTCTTCCCAACGATATCATCTCCGCAAAGCGATTTTCGTTGGAAGAAAAGGCTCTTCTCATCGGCCGTAGTCGACTGGGCCGAACTGGTGTGATGAACCATCAGATCAAATGGTATCAGGTTCGGGAGGCGCTCGTCGATCCTCAAGTCTGGATTTTGTTCTTTTTCACTCTGTTTAATGAGACAATCAACGGGGGCATCGCAAACTTCAGCAAGCTTATCATCAAAGGCTTGACTCACGATGCTCTTACCACCGTTGCACTGGGCATTCCCCAGGGCGCCTTCCAAATCTTCTGGATTCTGTCTGGCACATTCCTTGCATCTCGCGTGCGCAACTTCCGCACCATTGTGATGGTCATGTACCTCGTCCCTACAATCATTGGTGTTTGCCTTCTTTGGAAGCTGCCTCATGAGACGCACAAAGTTGGGGTCTTATTTGGTTACTACTTAAGCGGCGCATATGTCTGTTCGTTGGTTTTGGCACTCCAAATGCCGGCTACCAATCTAGGTGGGTATACGAAGAGAAGCACAGGTGTTGCTTTGGTGTTCTTTGCATACTGTGCTGGAAATGTGATTGGGCCTCATGCCTTTTTGTCCAAGGAGGCGCCCATCTATGAAACTGGGTGCAAGGTTATGCTGTCTTGTGCAGCAGCTCAAGTTGCCTTGGCAATCTGCCTGCGAGTGCTCTTGACGAGGAGGAACAAGCAGAGTGATGCAGCAGCAGCCAGTAACCAGGCTGTCGCAGACATGTCAGAGTATGATGAATTGGCGGATTTGACCGACTTTGAGGTGAGTTCGTCATCCTTGATCACCATGGAACAAGAAGCTAATCAGTGATCAGAACCCGAACTTCCGATACGTACTTTAAACTATACTCAGGATTTGAAGCGGGCTTGTTGGGTTTCTAATTACCATCGTTTACTTATGCGAATCTATCATCTACCAAGTTGGCCATTCGCGAACACTATAATTCGTTTGATCAACAAGACATAGAAGTTCTAATCGAACGTATAGACCCTGTAAGAACAAAACGGCAGTGGGTTTGCAGCCATACCTTGTAGCTCCTGAATGGGCAGAGGCATGCGTTATCTATCCCCACGCCCTTTGACAAACCCACATACCGATTCAGGAACAGCGACCCACCCGGGTACAGCACCCGGCGGTTGCTTCCCCCGCGGGCAACACCATTCAGTTCGTCTCTCAAGTGTGACAAGCATCTCTCCAAATCACAATACGAAGGCCATCATGGATCCTTTTACCTTGCCCCCTTTTCAAGCTGATGGGCCAATCAAGCCGATCACTTGTGTGGAAATGCACACAGCCGGCGAACCAACACGAATCCTCTGGTCTGGCTTTCCAGAGTTAACGGGAACATTGCTTGAACAGCGTGCACAAGCAAAGGAAAAACATGACGACTTCCGAAAGCTCTTGATGCTAGAGCCTCGTGGCCACTATGACATGTATGGCGCGATACTCCGCACCGAGACAGAGTTAGTATCGACTGGCGAAGCAGACATTGGCGTGCTATTCATCCATAACGACGGGTTCTCAACCATGTGTGGACACGCCACTATCGCATTAGGACGCTTCTTGGTGGATGTTGACGACTCTGTCTTCCCACGCAGACGTCAATTGAAGTATGATAGCGTCTCGGGCACAACCCGCCTGAACTTGCATGTGCCTTGTGGGCTCGTCGAGGTTACTGTTCCTACTCTGCCGACGGGGAAGTCTGATCCTTCACGCCCTGTCTCGTTTGTATCGGTCCCGTCCTTCGCGACTGCTATCTCTCTGCAGGTGCCTCTGGCGGAGAAGTACCGGTGGCCTGAGCTTCAGGGTCGCACCTATGTGACGGCGGACTTTGCATACGGTGGAGCCTATTATTGTTTAATCAGCGCAAAGGAGCTGGGATTCCCTGCAGGTTTGGGCGAAGCCGAGGTTCAGAAGATGGATCACGCTACGAAGCTTCTCAAGGAAGCTGTCGTAACCAACCCGGAGCTAGCATATGTGACCACGGATGTTGTGACCGGAGAGCAAGGCTACCTTTACAGCATCATGATCGTGGACACATCATTGGGACATGTTGCTGCGGCAGAGGGAACGGCTGGATTTGAAACACAGCAAGGCGTCGACGCCGAAGAGACCGGTCTCTGCTTCTTCGCAAACCAGCAAATTGACCGATCTCCAACTGGGGGATGTGTTGCTGCACGTGTTGCTCTTGCTCACGCAAAAGGGACCCGAGCCTTAGGGGAGAAACGCGTTTATAATTCACTGTTCACTCGTGCTTATCCGGCCCTTTCAGGCTTTGTAGGCTCCGTGTTTGACAGCGTCGAGGGCCGCCAATGGGTCCGTGTGCAAGTCGGTGGGTACGCATATTATACCGGATATCACTGCTTCGTGGTTGAGAAGGAGGACGGCATCGGCATTGATGGATTTTCGGTCAAAGACGTGTCAAAGTAACAGTTTAGCTTTACAAAGAAAATCGAGTTTGGAAACAAAGGAAACCGAGCCTGTTCTTGAATGGAAAACTGAGACAAAGTATTGTACATCGTATTAGAGGGATGGACAAAGCTGAAACAAACAAATCTAAGGGTAGTCTCTCTATGTTCCTCCCATTTCTACAAAACTCGAATCCTCTATTTGCTGATCTCAACACCACCGGTGGCACCGAGAACACGCTTGATGTCACCGTAGATGGCGAACTGACCGGCAGTCAGGGAACCGACCATGAAGAGACGGAGACCGATACCGGAGTAGGAGCCACGGAGACCGAGCTCTTTTCCGATCTTCACGAGGCGGGAGATGGTTCCCTCACCGGGAGCACCCTGGGTCTTGTTGATCTTGGAGAGCATGGTGTCGGCGGGCTGGGAAACAATGGCGGCAGCAAGACCAGCAACGAGACCGGAACCAAGGTTGATACCAGTCTTAGCACCGTCGGAGATGGTGTCCTTGTTGACCTTCTTGTAGACAGCCTCGGAGACCTTCTCGAAGACGACGAACTTGGCCATGGTGTAGGGGACCCTAGGAAGAAGAATTGTTAGTTTATCCTGTCTTGTTTCTTGTCTGCAATCAAGACATTGGCGCTTACTGCTTGAACAGAATGGGTCCGAATCCGGAGTAGAAGGCAGCGAGGCCCTCCTCCTTGAAGATACGGCCGGCACCACCAATGAGGCCGTTAGCGAAGGAAGGCTGGGAGACGAGACGGATACGGGTGGCCTCGAGGGGGCAGAGGGCAATGTCGGCCATGAACTCGGCGCAGGCGGAGGAGGCCAGGTAGACAGCAGTGCGGTTGTTGGCAGCGTTCTCGTAGCCGATCTGGTTGATAGCCTGCTGCTTGAAGAACTCGTAACCTCCGAACTTCAGGGCACCCTGGAGGAAGTAACCGGCGAAGGTAGGACCGAAACCAGTCAGAAGAGCGCCAGCACCCTCGTTCTGGATGACCTGCTTGAAGCTACCGACCATGCCACGGTTGTAGGTGGCGGGGTCGAGCTGCATGCGGGTCTTGACGCTATACAGATAATTTGATATCAGCCATTTTTATCCCCTGCAATTTCCTTTGAACTCTTTCGACTTACACATCAAGAGGAGTGACAGCTCCGTGAGTGATGGAACAGCACATGGCACCTGTCGAGGGAGTTAGAAGCTGTTTGAATGCCCGAGTAATGCGTCCGTGTCGGTGCGAAGACCGTCCCATCTACTTAGCGCAAGTAGGATGGGTCGTGGATTGGGAGGTCTGGTATAGAGCCGGTATAAGCTACCGAGCGGGTTCGTGGTACGTACCAGCGAAGGCGAAGCGCGAGTAGAGCGCAAGGCCAGAAAGAGGCTTCTGTTCCTGAAGGGCGGCCATTGTGATGGTTGTGATGGTGGTGGTTGAAAACCGGGGAGAGAGGAGAGCGTGTATGGGGAGGACGGAAGGGAAGGAAGGGAAAAAGCCTTTTCTGCATTATGAAAGGGATGGGTCCTACCGTCCCGAAAACTTTTCGCGGACCAATGCGGTACAGTCTCGGCAGCACACGGGGACATCCACCTAACTCCGATCATCGCCCGGTCAACCGCATAGCTTCTTGATGCTTTGATGCTCCAGAAGGTCAATGCAAGTAGTCCTGCATGATAGTTCTTGAGAGCCTCGGGGCCCAGCGGTGTTGCTTCAGAGTGAATGTTGTGGTGGTCTGGTTCTCTAGCCAGGAGGCCGGGACACACGGAATTATGCGGCTCACCTGGCCGGTAGACCGGAAGCTATATAAGTGCTTTTCTACGTGTCCATCCTATGCTACATCGTGTTCTACCGTGTCGCATGAGTTTCTATGATAAGTCGGCCGAGGGTGAGAATCTTCAAGGACGTGGCGTGGACCAAGACATGAAGTTTGGCCACCCTCGATAGATAGACAGGCACACACACACACACACACACACACACACAAATCACTTCACTTATCAAGTTCCAAATGAAGACAATCCCCATTTAACGGTTGCTCTGCATCGTGCAGCTTTTTCCGGTCGTCCAGAATATCAAGCGCCCCGTTTTTTCCCTCCCTACGTCACAAAGTGGACACCTGGCGCTTGCGACGGGGCATAATTTGTTACCGCCCTGTTTTGGCCACAACAGAACCAAGACCGTGCGTTATGAGGGACCGTGTGGCCCTTGAACCAGCATGAACCATCTTTCTTACACGTCTGAAACGGAATCTCTGATTCCCGCAAATCAGCGCTTGGTGTTTGCGCCAAAAATTACGAGGTACGGTTCCTTGATTGGCCAAAGCCTAGACCCAGATCTTGCGATCCGGAAAGCCTGTAAGTTAGGAGGCTGAAAGTACTCGAGGATCTAGAGCCCTTGATATCCTGACCCCTATACAGCCCAACCGAGAGGATAATCTCAAGGGGCCTCCGGGCTTAACCCTTCATCTCCTTTCCTGGAAATTTCCAGACATCTCTCTAAGGGTCTTTGTAGAACGCTTCGTGTTTATCATGCAGGTTATCCCTCTGGATGACTTCGAATATATCTGAGGGGATACATGAGTCGCGACTGCCTATTTATATTTGATCGTGTCATATGTACTCCTGGTCCCGCTATAGAGCCGTTTTTGAATGACCGTGTCTCATTATTGACGAATCGGTTCCGTAGATAGCATTTAGCTTGGCTCTAAAACTTGAGAAATAGTGATTCATCCTCGGTTTGAGTTTATTTGTAAACAGTCACAATGGCCGCCGTTTAGAGAAATAACCCATTTCCTGGCCCAGAATCAAGATCGGTAAAGCTCCCGGCAAGGTAGCCTCGTTGTGCTGATATGTCGTGGATCCAGCCTTAATTGTGCTTGACTTCATCCAAATTGCAGAAATAAACTTCTCCGCCAGACGGAGAATAATTGCAAACATATCAAGAGGAATAGAGGTGGTTTTTGAGCGATCCCTCATCATGGAGACCCCGTAGCAGGAACATAAGCCGGTGGTATTGCAATTATGATTGAATTTTGGAGATGATTGCACAACACGGGAAACTATTTTCAAGTACTGTATCTAACTCATGAGTTCTGCAAGATGATATCGACTTCTTCATCTGCCATTTCAAGAATGTGCTCCTCTGGAAATTGGGGCCTCCAGCCGATTTTCCGGCCATTTCTCGCTTGAAGCGTACAGTCACCTCCCAGGAACAACGGGACCATATCTTTCGGGCATCCCAATGCAGCTCCCATCTTCTCGAGCACGGCATCATCAACCAGACTCACCTCGTCCGTCTCGATCACCTTGCGCTTCGCCAGTCCTCTTGCCATTGCGCAATATAAGTCATTCCAGGAAACGCTTCCGCTGGCAGCGAGGTAATATCCATTCTTTCCGAACCCAATATTCTGATCGGACAGAATGTTCCGCATGATTTCCAGATAAAGCAACGCGTTGTCAACAACATGAGATACGGGCCAAGTCTGGAATGAAGTCAGTATCAGGTCAGCATTAGAGTGTAACGAAAGATTCCTACATGATGATCCGCGTCAGGCTTGTATACACGTCCAAGCTTTTTGGCAGCTTTGACGATTGCAACCGTCTGGATAGAAATCGGGTTCCCGAAACCTTCGCCTTTCCCGTACACAATGCAAGGGATGAAGATGTAGCTCCGCACACCGTGTGCCTCGGCAGTCTCGATCACAGTATTATTGGCATCGAGCCCCTGATCTGGAATCAGCGGTCCGTTTCATTTTGAGTCAGGCGATGTTCTTCATAACAAACCTTACTGGCTACGCCGTAACGCGGTTGGGATGTCTTCTGCAGCTCCCAGAGGCTCACATCATCATCGGGAATGGTTCGATCCGTTGGGTGGCCAGCATGACTGCTAAATAATTTGGCGCCTGATGTATGCAAGAAGTGGACTTCGCGACCGGTCTTCGCCTTGACTTCGGCAAGGGCCTGGATCATGGGCACCTGTGCTTCGGAAGTCATCGCATCAATGAGAAAATAGATGATGGTGATCTCTTTGTCGATAATGGCGGCCTTGATGCTGGCTTCATCTTTGATATCGAAGAGAATAGGCTCAGCTCCATATTGCTTCACAGCTTCACCTTGTTCATTCTTACGAATGAGGGCGTAGAGCTTATGGTAGGCAGGTAGGTTGGCGCTGCTCCAACGAGCGAGGAGGGTTCCACCGAGATAACCGGAGGCGCCGGTGATGAGGATATTGTGAGACATAAACGCAAAGGTGTGGCGCGATAAGAATAATTGGCATGTAGAATGTGTGTCAGGGACTGAAGATATAAAGTGAAAACTGTTCAAATGCCACAAGTTACACTGACGTTCGTCCGCTCAACATGGTTTGTAATCAGCTTAGAGAGCGACCCGAAGCAATTCATAATCTCATGATAGCGGAAAATGAGAGCCTAATGATCCACTTGAGTCTCAAATATAAATTCAAAACTCCCAGGCAAAGATATACTCCAATGGAGTATCAGAAGCAATATTCGGAAAGGCGCTGGTTATATAATCTTCTATACCGCGAGGAGGAGCGAGAGGTGAACCCCTTTCGTCAGGCTGAGGGCGTTGGGCTTATTCCGCGGAGTCCCTGGGCGCCGGGTCCTTTGGCGCGTCTATGGTAGGAGAAGTCTGCTCGAGCTTATCAGGATCAAAAAAAAAACAAAATGGTGGTTTGTTGGGGATCAGAATGAGATTATTGTTGCGCGGGTCGAGGAGTTGGCGCTCACTAAGGGTTGTGGAATGAGTGCTCTCGCGATGGCTTGATTGCTGCGAAAGGGAGCTTGTCCAATTGTTGGTCTGAATAGTGTCCAGAGGATCGAGGCATCTTTGCAAGCCTTGGATGTGGAGTTGACCGATGATGAAATAGAATATTTGGAGGAGCCGTATCAGCCGCTGGCTGTGCAAGGCATCTAGCCTTAATATCTGACGTGAGAATACCATGTTGACCGCTGTATACAGCTAACTTTATCCAGTTTTCCCCTCTATTTTAGAAGCCCGAGTGAGATCTGGGGCCGGATTTGACCGGAACCGTAGGATATCATCTAACTGAAAGTTATTAGGCTCGAGTCTACTTAACCCCGCGATATTGACCAAAACTTCCGCCTTGAATTAATCTGCATTATTTCTCTCGCCATGGCGTCGGAATCTGGCTTTAGTCTTCATGTCACAATTCACATCAACCCTTCCGATCTACCTAGATGGTTTGAACTATTTAAACCAGTCTACGACGCCGTTTGCCAGGAGTCTGAGTGTCGCTTTTTCGAGCTTTACCAATCTCCGGGAGAGCCAGGAACCTTGCACTGGGTTGAGGACTGGTATTGTAAAAGCTTCTTGATAGATATCTCCCAAAGCTAATTCTGTTTTAGGACTGCTACTACCGAGTGGTTCATGGAGGTTAGCAATGCTCATGGTTTGCCAGGTTCAATTTTCTTATCACTAACCAGGACAGACACAAATGACCAAGGAGTACTACAAGGAGTACTTGGCGGAGACAGAGGTCATGTTTGTTAAGCCGCGCGAATTTAAGATCTTGAAGCGTGTTGGAGCTCCGTATTATATGGTAAAGGATCATTAAGGAAGAGGGGAAATACGTAATATTGCCGCTTCTTCATTACCAGACTATCATTTCAAGACTTCTCTTAGTTACGGCTCACAGACATTTTCAATGAATCTGGAAGGAGGTCCAAAAGATCTTAATGAAATCTGCAAAATGATCAATCGGGGTTTGAAAGTCGCCCTCTTAGCTTCCACTTCCCTATCTTTACAAGACAAGAGCTATGTTGGACACAGTACGGATATTATTTCTCAATTGAGCTACCTCAAACCTAGCTAGGCTATCTGTAAGGCCCCGTGTAAAAGTACATACAGTGCAGTTTGGGAGCCCTCAACACCGACTGACTAACGCGGCGTGATCGATGCAACACAAAAAAGTCCATCTCTTGCAGATATGGGGGCATTGTTGATTTGAGTACGCTCGAACTTCTCCGAGAATCAAATCTCTAATCTAGTCGCCAAACCTGCAAGAAGGAATAGGGTAAGTGGAAAGAACGAACCTTATGCTCAGCGAGTGCGGGTAGTTCACTGTGGATGGGCCGCCAGTGCGGCGCATGGTCAGATCAAATTCATGGGAGAGAAATGGCATATTACGGAATCAGATACCCCTTGGTCTTGTTTCCGGAGGCTTCAAGGGTGGTACGGGTGGTGGGGACCGGCCCCGGTGGGTTCATGAGAGTGGTGCTGGAAAACGATGGGCAATCGATCAGGCGGGTGTCGCGGTGCTAGACATGGTATTCGGGGTAACTTGGCGCTTCGCATTTCCTTGGGTCTGATCCTGCGGGCAGAATTGGGCATTAGTTTTTCCTGGCTGGCCGGTACCCTGTGTGCTGGTTCCGCGAGACGGAGGAATTCGGTTTCGAGTTTCGAGGTTGAGCCGAGGAGGTCAATCTCGGTTTTTTCGGCGCACTTACGTCCAACTGTTGTTCGAGTCTTCGCTTCTGACCCAGGCCGGTTGCGTCGGCTTTCCTCACCACCTTCTTCTTTGGGCGCACAGGACGTGTTTCACCCGGTTGGAATACATCCTCGGGCAAGTCGAAGCTAGAAATGTCAAAATCTGGGCAATTCAAGTCTCATGGGCCCAACTTACTTGCGAACGTGGACGACGGCGAGGTCCATAACTTCGGGTTGATATCCGGCCCAAGATGTGCACATAGACTTGAAATGTTGAGAGTCCAGTGAAATATCCAAAGATCGAGCGGCACCTAGGGGGATTAGAGAAATCGGACAGTGGGGTTTGGCGTCCATACCGGGCTCCAGGGGCTTCAACTCCAAGCCAATGTAGTAAGTAGTGGTATAGACAGTCTTGTTATCACTTTCGGTGTCCTCCCGGGGTACCTCTGAATTTTCGGCTTTCTGCTCTGGGACTTCTGGGACAACTGCATTTTCCTCTCCATTCTGAGCTGCGGCTTCATGAGCTGCATCCTTGGTCTCGTCGGTTGTTTCTGTAGAGGTTCCTTTGGCTACGTATTGAGTCGATCCGGTTTTGACTGCTTCCATCGCCTGCTCATTAGGGACAGAGTGGATTCTTTCGAATCCCTTAGGGAAAGGATGCGCCACGGCAATAATGGGTTTCCGATCCAGGGCAATGACGAGATGTCGCAATTTGGACTCGACAAGGCCAGACCAAATTCCCTCCGCCTCCTTTGTTTTGCTCGATGCGGTGATGCTGAGGTAGTATTTGTAGTCGTTGGTGAAGAATGAGTGACGACTGAATAGATCATTCCAAGTCTGCTGCTTCGTGAAAATCTTGTCCACTACATCGCCTCCGCGCTGGAGTTCTCGGAGAATGACAGTCCTTGTTGACATAGAGATGTTGTGTGTCGCACACATGGAGGGATAGGCAGGGGTGATGATTGGCATCAGATGCCAACGGTCGCCAGGGTAGATCTAGATATTGAGTCAGGACATGCTGCACTCAAGTTAAGAGATCGGCAGGACGAGTGTTCACCTTTGGGTTCCAGATCTTCATTTGAAGAGGCCCTTCCTCGATGTTCTTAAGCATCACAGGCTGTGGCCATGCCCACTTATTCATGATCCTGAAGAACTTGCCAACAATAACTGAGCCGGTCGCTTGCGGGTACAGTTGACAAACTCGAGCAACCAACATCGCCCACGCGACACCTCCAGGGAAACCAACAATATTAGCATAGATTGCCCGGCGTTGAGCCCAGAGCTTGATTGCGCGCAAAGCCAGACGGAAGGTCTTTTGCTGGGGGACGAGTTCAAGAATCTCATCTGTGACACGAGTTCCATTCAGCGATCGCACCTCCTTTTCATCCAAACCACGCAGGTAATCGTTGTTCTTCAGGTCGAGGTTCATCGGCACCGAGGGAATTATCAGGCGACCGAAGATCAAATCGATACTGATCCCAGCCATCTCGAGCTTGATGATGGGAACGAAGGCATCTGGAACAGGCGTCATCTTTTCAATCGTTCCTTCGGGAGACATTTGTTCCAGGATGGGAGGGAAATCGGCAAAGAAATCATCAATGACAACATGTTTTGGAGCGACGACGAGCGTATCAATATCGGATCCTAGGACATCAGCTATCAGCGAACTTTCCAAATATCGAGTATTCGCGGAGTGAAACTTACCTGGGCCATAAACACCAAGTCGGTAACTTCCGTAGGGAAAGATCTTTCCTCCGGAGGCTTCGACAGCTGCCGGCGACAGCCCCTTCTTGCGACTGACAACCTTGACAAATTCCAAGGTGACGCGTTGCAGTAGCTGAAGCATTTGTTTTCTATCGATTTATAGTCAATTTCTCTATCCGCAAAGACCCGATCCCCCAGGGTTATAATGAACGTACCTCCGCTCCGTCTCCGAAGGCGGCTCGAAGTTGTTCTGACTTTTGAGCTCCGCGATGAGATCGTCGCTTGCGCTCAACTCATCCTGAGTAGGAAGGACTGTCGAGATAGGAGGTGTCACTCCCCACTGTCGGGCAGGCGGCGCAGCCATTGTGTCGTTGTGTGTCGAAGATGGTGAAAGACCGAAATGTGCAGCGTTCGCGACGAAGATAGGGATTAGATAACAGCAGGAATGTCGCTAAGGTAAATTGCACGAACGCGCGAAGTATGACAAGGGTATGAAAATGGCTTCTTGAAGCCAAACAAAGGAAACAAGGAAGGAATCGACCGCAATGGAGAAAGCGGCAGGTGAAGGAAGCGGCGTAAGAAGTGAAGGGCCAATCTAACGGTGATTCCCATGGGCCCAGGGCGCTTACTCATAGTCTGACACGTGATTCGTCCCATGTACGCTGAGTACATTCGTCCCCTTACGACAACACCTGGGCTATTTCATTCACTTAAAAGATTCATTTGACGCTCAACCGCTACCAGATGAGAGGAGTGGCTAAGTGTATTATTATACCAACACCACGCTTTATGGATCCTTTCCGATATGTCAATCACAGCCACCTTTTCAGTCTCTAGATCAAGCAGAGCCCGCATCCGACTTGTTTTCCGCGAAGAAAGTCGACAATTGTTTATCTAGCCATGCAACATCTTCTTTGCTGTCACCGGGGCCTCCCGCCCAGTCTGTTATCGGGTCAATAGGGAACTTTCGGAACGATGAGAAGCAATTGAGCAGGTATATACTTACGTCCCCAAATGGAAGGGAAAACTTCCAGTTTTCCGACCCCAGGCTTCATGCATGCAACTTCGTACTCAGAATCTTCCGGCCTGGTGAAAATTGTATATCAGTCTGTTGAACGTTTCAAGCTGACATTCAGAACAGGCCTACGGGAAGTAAAGATCCGTTTGCGAGGGTAGCACCAGTGTCTTGGCCTTGATAGAGGCCATCGCTTCCTCAAAATCGCCGTTGTATGGCTCCTGCAGGGAGACATCGCCATTCTGCCAGGTTTGTATCATGACGAGCAGATTCTCAGGGTCTGCCCAGATGGATTATGTGTCAGACTTGCTGAAACATGAGGGTACAACAAATGTCTGGGTACAATACCTTTCGAACATGCCCATTTCTCCCAGAAGTTTTGCATGAAATCCTCGAGGTCTCGATATCCGAGTGCGGTCTCATACAGCTTGTGCCGGTAGAAAGCTTGACTGAAACCCCTATTTGTTGAACATCAGACAAAGTTTGCCAACGGAAGGTTGCGGGGATATCTTACCAACCAGCATAAACCCTACCTAAAGCCTTCAAACCGACTTCTTTGTCGTTGGCAGTCCAAGTACGCGCCTCTTCCCCTTTGTCATTTATTCCAATTTTCCCAGGGCCAGCCGATCGGATGTTTTTGACGGCGATAAGGGCGCTTTTGACACCTTCGAGGAAGACTTTATTATGCAGTGAGGTCTTAGCAGCTCCACAGAATGGGATAGCCAGATCCATGAAACCTGGGTACTGTGTAGCCCACTGGAAGGTCTGGCCACCTCCCATTGACCAGCCGACAACCGCGCGTAGATGGGTGATGCCTAAATGCGCGGTAGCGAGCTCATGCTGAGCCCGCACGTTATCATGGAAAGAGACCTTGGGGAAGGGTCCGGGGGTAGGCTGGTTCGAAGGAGATGAAGACTGCCCATTACCAAATAGAGCAGTGATGATTATGAAGAATTCCTTCGGATTGAGTGTCTTGTCTTCTCCGATGAGCCAGAAGTTATCCGAGATAGCTATTGTAGTCCTTTGTTAGCCATCTCCACGAGAGTGCAATCGCAATCAGAACAAAAACAGACATACCGCCCGAGAACCAGGAAGGGTAGAGGACAGCTGGTGATTTTGGGTCACCGAACGTCTTGTATGCGATATGCGCGTTGGCGATCTTCTCTCCGGACTGCAGCTCCCAGTCCCCAAGCTTGAAGGTTTCGTAGTCTTCCTGCGACATGTTTGCGGATCTCTGACGAATGATGATCGTTGGAAGTAGTGAAATGATCCAATTTCGGGTTTATCCGACTGTCTAGGGCGGGCGCCTCCGATTTATAGCTGTTGGCTAGATGATAAGAACCCCGCTCGACGCGCTCTCCGCACGGCAGCCGCGTGGAATCGGAGTAACCTCAAGAACATCCTAGTATACTTTCCTGTTTGTCAAATTCCTATGTATTTGTCACAAATTAGCTATCCCATCAGCTATCCCATCAGCTATCAAACCCGCTATCCCACCCGCTATCCCACCCGCTATCCCACCCGCTATCCCATCCGCTATCCCATCCGCTATCCCACCAGCTACCCCACCAGCTACCCCAGTGTAAGTAGGCTCATTTTATATGTGTATGATGCAATAGCAACTTGTTTGTTAGTGAAATTCAAACCCGTCCATAGAATGTGCTTCTAGGCACTGAGCTGAACTAGTTCCACTGGCAGCATTGTAGGCGTTGAGCCTCATTAAGGTGATCCAGGCTTGATTTCTAGACCTATCAAAACTTACTGGAGAAATACTTGAGGACAGATATATATATTCCTGCCCGAGGACTTTATATTCACTCATTAAATAAGCTCAAATGTGTAATCTCTATATATACTCCATCTTCTATCTAGCAATACTTGATCCCATATACAGTGTCCGTAAATCATTCCCACCGAGTTCGTGTACTTAGAATTCCGGACGAGGAAGCTCCATCACCTCGGTGGTGCGACCATATGAAATGCCACCCAACCGACTGATAGGCTTGAGAACCTTCAAGTCGATGACACTCTGCGCCTCGTCGATAGCATCCTCGCGAACCCAGAATCGAACACCCTCAATAATAACCATTACACTGCTCGTTGTGCCAGGGTTAGACCGACTCTCAATCTCCTTGATTTCCACCAGCTTGCCCTCGATAGCCAGGACAGACTCCTTGACACGAGCAGGTTTGACCACCGAGGTGGGGGCCTGAGTCAGGCCGGAAGTATCCCACTCAGAGTGTCCATAAGGTGCATTGACGGATGTCGCATTGGCAGCTTCGATAAAGTGCTCGGAGATAATATTGATCACGCATTCTTTGGTCTCGTTCAGGTTCTTCAGGGTGTCCTTGGCCTTCTCTAGCGAGCCAGCGAACCCAACAACGAAGGTGGGCGGGTCATGGCAGACAACTTGCGAGTAACTGAAAGGAGCGAGGTTGGTGGTCTTCTCGTCTAGCGACTTGGTGCTGACGAGGGCAATCGGCCGAGGGGTCATGCCGGAGATCAGGAGCTTGTAGTTGTATGCTGACGGGCGGCCCTCAGCGTAGGGATTGATCTCCACATGGTCTTTCTTCAGACTCTCACCGCCGTCATTGGCGCCATCGCCATTCTTCCAGTCGACGTTCGGGGGCTGGGTGCAGGTGACTTCAGCGTCTTGGCGGAATTTCGGCCGCGAGGCCTGGAGCTGATTGAAATCGGGGCGGACTTTGTGCATTGTGGATGTGCGAGTTAGGGATCGTGAGGATTGGTATGGGAGGAAAGGTGTGCGATGCGATGCAGTGCGACTGGATTTGTAATGATTATGATCAGCTACCTTATCGATTCACCGCAGAACTCGCGTGTCGACTGACGCTGCCCAAATTTTGCCAGAATGACGGTAAAATACTCACAGTAGTTGTACAGAGAGCCTCCGGGTTGAACAGATAGTTGGAAGGAAATGCATGAGGCAGTTGTTGAAGCTTTCTTGTCCCGAAAGCTCAAGAGACCTCGGTCTCAAAAACCGGTCGCAATGGCGGGGCTTAATGCCACGGGCGTATACTACTGTACGTGCTACTGCGACGCGGGATCTGGCGGCCCAGGTCCATATGGTGCGTGGCAGTAATTGTATCTGCCGATATCCGGCCCGATCAGCTCGAGGAAAGCGTCATAGTCCTGAAGCAAATATAGGCCACCAGTTGATGTGTAATCACGGGTTCAGAAAGTTTGCGGATCGATGAGCTCTAATCAAGCTTGATATAAACACTAACCAGTCCTGGATCTGGGCAGGTCTTCTAGAATTGTTCTTTATTTGGCAGGAGACCCGACGTTCTCGCCCGAAAGCCTCGGTTAAATCGCCATCGGCAAATATCAGCGAAGACTAAGTGGATATACTTATTTCTTCTTATTTCTTTTTTGCATGCAAAATGGATAAATAGCGGAACTCGTGTCGAGGGGTAAAATTGAAAAGTTCCCATGGTTGCCCTTGACGGGCCCGTGGAGAGGGCGTGACTGGTCCGAGCTGTGCGACGGGCCCCATATATCGCCCAGGTGGCTCTGCAGATGGAGCCATAAATGGATCCCCAGGTTCTCGACGTCAGCGAACCCCGGCCTGTGCACATGCCCAGGTCTGTAACATGTCATGGTCATAGATCTTTTGCTCAGAACTAGGGATAGTGCCCTGCAGGAACCATCACGCCGGCAAATCCAGGGTTCATACCCCCAGGATAGTCAATAAATATACAAATGTCTCGGGAAGATCGCCGGGGGTCAACGTCCGCATAGCCGCTAATCCCAAACCCAAGGATCTCTACATGGGCCCTGCCCCACTAGGGCAATCCCATGACCATCAGATCTTGAAGTCATTGTGTCCGAGTGGGCCAATGTTGACTTTGTGTGGCACTGTTTCCGGAACACCCAACACATGGAAGTAATAAGCGGTCAAGGAGCGATCCCCTTTGGTGGCCAGGCCCACGTCTCATGTATTGGTGTACTTCTGATTTCTTCATTACCTTTGGTTAATCACTAGGGCCGTGTACCTAAGCTGTGATGCTGCAAGCGAACTGGGGCTTATCGTCACCTCCCCTCCTTTCAAACCCCATCCCCCCTCCCTTGACGTTCTCGAGCTTCATCCCTTCCTATTGGGCTCTAAGGCCTCCCTCTCCATAATCCAACGAACCCCGGCCCTCATGCAGTGGTCTCGAGAGTCTGTTTCCTTCTCCCACGATCTCCCATACAGCTTCATCTGCTCTTTGCCCGACCCTCTCGAATAAGCTCGGCGCGCCGACACTCGACCCTCAAACTCAGAAGGACCGACCGTTTACCCAATGGGTCACGACCACGAATATTTCCGGCGCTCGCAATGAGCCCCCCTTCTCCCAAGAAGAAGAACGGCGGCAATGGTTCTGGGCAACGACAGATTCGTTTCGTCGCCACCGACGGCCAGCCGCAGACCAAGCGCCGCCGCGTCAACGCCGCGTATGTAGAGCGCGCTCTCCGGATTTGAATAACGAGGGGCTAACAAGATATTTTTATATCTAGCTGCTTGACTTGTCGCCGGCGCAAGATTCGCTGCTCGGGAGAACAACCAGGTAGGAGGACCTTGCGGAGTTCTCCGCAACGCGATAGCTGGGAACCCTAGACTGACCGACCATCTGCAGTGTGCAAGACATGCTCCGATTATAAGCATGTGTGCCTCGGGTACAGCGAATCCACCGCCCACCTGCGATCGCAATCCGATTCCACCTCTCGACCGCCCGGTCCTCCCCTCGGTCAACGTGATTCCAATAGTCAACATTCAAGGGCGGTGGAGAGCTCTTCGCCGGAGGCTCCACCCAGATCAATCCCCGGATCGAAACAAAATCAGTCCCCGCAAATACCCAAACAAGTTGAGAACAAGGATGCCTCTTTATCAAGAGATAACTCGGCGCGTACGAATAAGGAAACGGATTCCCAACTTGTCGTCGATACCCCAGAAAGTAGTAAGCTTCCGAGCGGCTCCTAGGCTTGCCGAACTTGCATATCACGAGTTAACCTCGACTATCCTGCTTAGGTCGCACCTCTTTGAGCTCCGGAAGCCGCACACATGTACCATATTTCAGATATTTTGGGCCCACGGCCATCGTACCCGGCTTCAAGCAGATGGTATGTATACATGGCCGAGTCTAGCACGGGCTGTATTGGTCTAACCGAGTTTCAGGTTGTCCAAGTTCGAGGATCGCGAAAGAGTAACCCATCGATGTCATCTGGTTGGTCTCCACTTTGATATACTCTTCTTTGGGAGTGACTACTAAGTGCGTTCGTCTTGATATTAGATTCTCTTTCGCCGCTTCGAAGTCCGAAACCGTCTGATAACCCTTCTGGTCTATCGGCCACAGCGGCAGAACATCGTGACAGTCGTGATAGTCGCGATAGTCGCGACTCTAACTCGATTCCATTTTACGATCGTGACGATACCCTCCCAGTTCCTAATCTAGTCTCCCACTTAAGCGATCTTTTCTTTGTGCATCTTGGCTGCAGTTTTCCCTTTTTACAACGCGAGCGTTTTTTGCAGGACTTGAAGGACAAAAAGGTCGACACCATGTTGGTGGATGCGGTCTGTGCATTGGCCGCCAGATTTTCCCCCCATCCTTTGCTGGGACCTGCTCAAGTACCACCCATCGATCACTCACAGTTGCCGCCGGATCCCAAACTCTGGGACCGAGGTTTACCCTTTGCTCACCGAGCAACGAGTGCGCTAGTCGATTCTCTCTCGTGTCCTACTCTCTCGGGTGTTCAAGCCTGTCTATTGTTAGCATATGAGCAGTTCGGGTCTAACCGCGATAGCGGGCTTTGGATGTACCTTGGTATCTCCATTAGAATGGCCCAAGACCTTGGTTTACAAAAATACCAAGGCTTGAAGCACGACTATGGCCAAAAGGGTGTAACACCCAGTGAAGTGATGACTGGCCAAGCTGGAAAATGGAGAGATGATCAGTACGACGATTTTGATGTTTACCAAAGCCCCAAAACTGTTCCGCCTATTCTTGACACGGAACGAGCAATCGAACGGGAGCGAGTCGATTCCTTCTGGAGCATATTCTTCCTTGACAGAGTCATCTCGTCTGGTACAGGACGGCCTGTTACGCTGCGCGACGAAGATATCGAGCTGTGCTTCCCCCTTCAATCCGAATCACAGTTGCCTAACGGATGGCCCGCGCCATTCCCACCCCTTATTCGAATCATCCATCTTTACGGTCGAGTGACAGATCTGATCAACGGCATCCAAGATGTCAATCACGTCACTCCTGATACGCTGAAGAGACTCGCAGGCATGGAAAGCGACCTGACCGGCATCTATCAAAGGTTGTCGCCAAGGCTCCATTTCAACGCTGCAAACTTCCAAGCATACGTTAAGGCCAAAGAAGGAACCAACTTCATCCTTTTACATTTCTGGTTTCACACACTCATTGTGCTCCTTCACCAACCGACATTGCTGCACTCCTTCGGTGGATCAATACAGCATCTCTATCCCAACAGTCGCGAACTATCGATGTCCTCGGCTAAGACGATCGCCGATATTCTCTCATTTTCGGAACTGGTAGATGGGAAGAGCTTCATCGGCAATCCCTTCACAAGTCAACCTATGTACATTGCAGCATGCGCTTTTCTGATGGAGAGCGCATACTACTCTTCACCATCATCGACGGGCACCTCTCCCCCATCCCAATCACTTTTATCGGGTCAGTCCAGTGGGTTTGTGATGCCCAATATGGAGTCATCTCACGGTTCAGAGAGAAAGTCTAATGCCAGGCACATTCTTCTCGCTTCTGCTGCCAAAGAGAACTATCAGCGTTGTTACAAAGCTTTGAAGGCACTGGACGCCTACTGGGAGGGTACTAGATATATATTGACCGTGCTTGATCAGAAAGCCAAGGGAATCGTCGACCCGCTCCTTTATACGGAAGAGGATATGGAAAACACTACAGGTCTGGATTCTCTACAGCAATTTGCTCCAGGTGGGTGGCCCGGGTCCAAGCCTGCGGACTTTAGTCAGACCTTTGAAAGGCCTCAAGGCGTGGCTGATATTCCATCAGATGGGAAATGGTCACCAAGGATTGACCCAAGCCAAGGTAAGTGTAATGGTTTTGGTTTATGTAAAGCACTTTACCTGACCATTACTTCAATAGCAATTGGATGGGCACTCACTGGAGCCACAAACTCTTCACAGCCCAACTTGAGTTTACTCTATCAAATGCCCACGACTACACACACCGATGCCCCTCCGGATAGGCCGACCTATTCTTCCCAATACAGCCACAGCTACCCACCCCTACATGCACAAACCAATGCTGCGCAAAACTCCAATTCTAGCTTTGCGCAGGCGGTCACCCGTGATGACAGCATGCCATCATCTATCGCCCCGAAATACTCCGGCATGCCGCCGCGAACAATCAACGCCAATTCACCCTTCTTCTTACCGATGGGCTCTCCATTTCCCGAATCAAGCTCACGCGCCTCAGGGAGAGCCCCACCATATAATCAAAGTCTCTCATCCACAAAGATGGATACCCACCCCTCCGCATATCAGTACGACATATCATCAACCGAGCCACACGCAGGTGGTGGGATGGTCTCTCAAGGCGAGATGCACCCCGGTATGCATACGGACAATAATAGCATGATGATCGAAAGCCACGACGTCGACATGAGTTCCCTCCATCAACCAGATTCTTTCCCCTTCTCTAATGGCGAGATCCTTCCGTGGCTAGAATACCTGCCACAGGATGTTCTAAGCCTTTTTGGCGAACCCCAAAATTATCCACTCATGAGCCCTGAGGATACCACACCACGCCCTCAATAATGTCTGGTTTCACTTCTCGCACATATAAATTTTTGGGCAGGGTTTGCATTTGTGTTTATTGAGCGATGTTTTGTGCCTTTTCTGGGGCTGAGGATTCCGGCGTTGAATGGTCGGGTTTTACCCTCAACAATTATAGATCGTTGTCTGGATGGGCTTGGGGTTTGGCTTTGTTGGTATCTGTGAAGCGTAAAGCGAATGTTCTAGTTTAGTTATTGAAAATCCTTTTACGCCATGTGACGAAGTTCAAATTAATTTTCCTTGAGACTCTAGTATACTTAGTATACTTCTAGTGTGGATCAGTGGGTCACTAACGGCGCGTTGCCCCGCAACGCAGGCGGTCAGAGACCATCAACACGCAATGGACAGCACACCGCAATGTACATCATCAGATACAAAAGCGCTCATTCCACTCTTCCATTCTGATCTTCATGGCGAGGCTGAATGATGAAGGTGAGCCCGACTCGGCAATTTATGCCTCAGATTATATCTTAAGCCCCCAGCCTCGTGCCCCTCCCAGCAAGGAGCATTTACTCGCTTCTTTCGAGACATCCCACCTGCCAATCGAGAACGGATCGACAATCGATGATAGCCAGATGTGCACGCAAGATTATGAGTATAGTTCTTCCTCTTCCTCTGCCCGGCATTCGACGAGCGATATCTTCGGTCGCGAGATCGACGACGAGCTGGAACAGATGAAGTCGAGGGCATCGAGTCGCTCATCTCTGTCCTCTGTTCCGGCTTCTGTGCTCATACACCCAAAGCCAATGTCTGCAATGTCTTTACATGATAGAATCGCTGGATATGACTTGGAAGAGGACGAAGAGAGCTTTGGAGGTTTCGAAGGACCACCGAAGTCGATACGGACCATCCGCCAGCGTGAGGGAGCTTTCCGGAAACCGAGCTCCGTTCGTGCTATGCAGATGCACACGGAGGATGAGGCAGATGAGGACGATTACCTGACACCACCGAGACGACGAGGAGGCATGCGGTCGCCAGGCTCTTCATCGCTTAAACGATCGCCCTACTATTCGCCCAGCTCGTCGCACAGCAAACTCAGGCCTAAGGTTCAAAAGGAATACCCACTGGTTCTTTTGCACTGCAACTTGCTTGCGCCATCTCTTCCAGTACCCGGAGCAGCGCTTCCACAGAACCAGAAGCTACTCGAGGAAGTACTACCGCCTGAGTACTGGAAGCGATGGAGACGACTCCAGGACAAAGTTGGATCTGGTGTACTCCGCGACCGAGGAGTTCTGATCTCCCACCCGGAGGACCTCTACGACATGCTAGAAGAACGACTTCTAGAAAGCCTTGAATTGCAACGTTCACGACTGCATCAAGGCCACTTCGTCGGCCATGAAGAAAGTGGAACTGGGTCTGAAAGTGAACTCTCCGACCAAGGCGAGAGCGAGACAGATGGCGAACAAGATGAAGAATGCCCCGATTGTGGTGGACGTGTACGACATGGCGACAGTAACCGCAAGTGGGAGATAAAGGTATTTGCTGCGAATGGGCTGATGCGTGCTGGCGCTTGGGCTGCAGCTTGGAAGGAGATGGAGAAGGTTGATGTCGAAGTTGGGCTGTGGTTGCCATCTGAAGTAAGGCGCTCCTTGGAGAAGATTCTTGCGGAAGAGAATGCAGCCAACGCCATCGCGGAACTACATGTGTCGTCGCCCATTGACCCGACTTCGCACTTTGTTATGGACCCACGCCGGTTATCTGTCCAGAGACACGCGAGGACTGTCAGCGACGCAGGGTCATTCCAAGCCAGTGTATCAGCCTCAGCACCCCTGCCAAACATGCCTGAAATGAACTTCTCGCAAACTGGGGTCGAGAAGAAAGAGCACGAAGTTGCTCTTCAGACTCTTCTGATTAACTATATCTGTGTACTTGCCAGTGACAGACGCAATATCGCTTTGGTCTTCATGAGTATTTTGGCGGTGTTTCTTGCTATTGGGGCTCGTTCTCAGGAGTTACTGGTTCAACCTTCTTTCTACCCATTTCCTCCTGAGATGGCCGAGTCTCCTGTGATTCAAACAACCATCAATGCACCCTCTCCTTCTATTGTCTCCTCAAGCACAGCGATGGTCAAAAGCCTTGAGACACCGGTCGAGTTTTCTTCAATTCCGGTTTCTGAAGCTTTTATTCCAACTTCAGTTGAGAAAGTTCCTATGTCATCTATCCTCGGCGGGCGTGAGATAGAGCCGGTTGAGTTCACTGGTGCCACCGTGACTACCGAGAATGCCGAGCCAACAGAGACTGCTGAACCTACCGAGGTAGTTGAACCTACTGAGACGGCCGAGTTTAATGAAACAGCCAAATCCGCCGATTCAACCGAGTCCATTGAGCCTGCTGAGACTGCTGAGACTATTGAGCCCGGTGTACCTACTACTGAGATCGCCGACCCTATTGAGACTGAGGTGCAGCCAATTGAGCCAGAAGCAGAAACCGAATCTGCATCCGAGCCAGAAGCAACGTTTGAAACAACAAACGAGAAGGTCGACATTCCGGCGATGGACAAATTCGAAGATCATCACAACGAATTGGAACCACTCGATGAGCCCAACGAGGAGGAGCTCTGAGCATTCGGAGTATTGGAAAGAGATATCGCGCTCTGCACCTTAAACTTTACGATTGTAACGATACAAGCCGAAATGTTCGAAATGTTTGGAATGTTTTCATTTTTTTGTTTCCTTATTCTCTTTCTGCCATATATCTACCATATTCTGGGCGTGTTTTCGATGTTATGCAGCCAGCTAGTCTTTTTTGATGCCAATTGATGATTGAGTTATGCTTTAAAAGTATCCTGCCTTAAGGGTAGTTATATGATGGATGCTTACTTTGGGCTTGACACTAACAATCTCTTCACTCCATTCGAATATTAATTCTAAACAGAACTCTAGATAAGTTTGGGAGAAACCAAACCAGAACTTCGTATTCATTTGAGCTGTTCGATTTCTGTCTATGCATATGTAGAAACCCTGTCAATTTGTAAAGAGTGTATCCATTATACCACTATTCAACCCCCTGGTCACACTACCAACAGTTCAAGTATTTCATTTGTCCCCTATAAAACTGGAAAACAATCCTATAAACTACCCCACAGCCACCTCCCTCATATAATCAGGCATGTAACATTGGAGAGTTCCAACGCAATTCATCCTTCAAAACCCAGACGCATTCCCCTGATAATTAGCTGGAATACTAGGCCAGGCATCAACTCCATCTAAAAGCGCCAGCGCCATGCCCCCACTCTGGTGTACCTGAATATGACAATGCATCAAGAACGCCCCAGGATTGACAACATGATATCGGATAACTGACCACGTCGCCCCAGTTACCGCCGCAGGCGTCGGGGTCGTGTCTTTGTACGGTGGGTTCACTAGATTGAAGGAACCCGGTATATCCCGTATAGCCTCTGCGACGGACGACCACGTAAAGGTCCCATTTCCCTGTCCAATGAGGAAATGTTTGTTTGAGTGTTTGTGAATCGGATGGGCTGGTTGAACTGGTGAGTTGACTTGCAAGACAAGATCGACCCAGGTATTATTCATTGTTCGGATGACGAGATCACTGGGTACGGAGCTCTGGTTGAATAGGAGAGGTTGGGACTCTTCAAGTCCCAGACCGAAACTGCTGTTTGCCAAGGTCCAGCGGTATGAGGCGTCATAGTGGCCGATTGTTAGGAAGTAGGTCGCGTCGGCGGTTGCGGCGGGCGTTACGATGGGAAAGGGAATGGCGGATGTGTCATTGAGGAATATCGTGCTGGCAGTCGCGTTGCCGCCGGTTAGTGTTATCCATGGGTTTGATGTCCGGCCGAGCTGAGGTGCGGCGATATAGCGGAGGATTGCGGTGGTGTTTAGGATTTGTTGTGGACTTCCACTGACCATGCGGATTGTGTAGTCTCCGGCGGGTTTGTTGAGGGGGACGAGAACCGAGTATCGGTTTGCATTGGGAATATTGATTGCGTTGACTCGCACGGGTTGAACGTAGCGGCCGTCAATGGCGTATACCCACATATCATGCTCGTCGACTGAGATTGTCAGATGCAGAAGACCCGCAGCGCTGATTAAATCCCAGCTCACGTAATGTGCGGATGACTTGACCGTTAAAACTGCCTGAGGGCCACGAGAAGGAGTGCAACCAGAAAACATGGTAGGTAATAGCGCGCTATAGTTATGGGTGAAACTACCTTGAGCCGCAGTGATATTTGCTGGAAAGCACCTACCATTCAGTCAGTATAGTATTCCTTAGTCAGGGAGATTCCATACTCACGCAATGTCAGTAAGCGTTTCATTGCCCAAAGCAGCCCGTTGATTAGGTGTTGTCAAGCTGTCGATCTCATCCCGTGAGAAGCAAGTCACCGACCCCTTCCCATTGATCAAAAGTGCATTGGCACAGTAAGAATCCACGCCGGATGCTTCCTCCGCAGCCCAGATTTGCTCCGAGGTCAAAACCCGCCAATCCGAAAGCATCATCGGCGAGGTATTTTCCTCTGCGGCGCGCATTGCCTGAAGCTGAGTGGCATTGCTCGTAATCAAGCTGAAAGGCTTTGCTTTGGAGCTGGATGGAGCAATATAGATAGGGCCATAAAGTCCATCTTCTAGCTGTCCACGGTGGTGAGCGTGATAGAAGTATGAGCCGTACTGATCAGCCGTCCAACGGTATAGGAACGAGCGACCTTGTTGAATTGGCACCTGTGACACACCAGGGACTCCGTCAGACCATGGCGTCCCAACTTGTTCGATTCCTAACAGCCCTGATTTAGCATGGAATCTTTTTGGGATCGTATAGAGCTGCTACCATGAAAGTGAACCGTTACATTAAACGGACATCGGTTTTCCACTTTGAATTGAACATTATCTCCCTGGTTCAAAGACAACGGAGGGCCTGGATATTGTCCATTGGTAAGAATGACCGGTCTGGTAGCCCCTGCGACAGTCTTATTGGCCCAAGTTAAGACGGCAGTGACTTTCACGGTAGCAGCGTGCACCCACTGAGTGAGACACAAGACTAGCAGCAACCGGATAGTGAGAGGAAGCTTCATTATGTAGATATCAAATCAGGTTGGAATATAGTTGAAATGTTGTGCTGTGTTGCACAGCTTCGCTATGGAAGCTCCCATCTGTTATATACGGGCCCGCCGATTGATCGAAGGTGATCTGTGCATGGATCTGGTTTCCACCTTTTAACTTCATCGCGCCTTAGTTACTAAGCATAGCCGACTTTGCATATAATCGCAGCGGCCCTGGTTGCGAGGTTGCCCAGGCTCAGGATGAAAGAAGCCGCTTCTCAGGTTGTCGCGTGGGGATGATGGGTTCTCGCAGAGCGTCGCAGAGCGTCGCAAGCAGGGCGGAGGGAGTAATCAATTTTCCCGACAAAGGATAAACTCCAATATTATAAGCTGGGATCTTGGATCTTGATCTTTGAGAAACCAATCAGAGCAAACGGCATTTTCGTGGCGTCAGCGCGGGACCTCATTTTCGTCGTGGAGATTTCAATTAGAATGAAGAACGATCCATGACGGAACCGGGGTCCAGATCTCGGGGCATAGTGAGGCCGATGGGCAAGTTCATGGCTTTGATGGATCCTCTACGGTGATGGGGCTGAGCCCTGCAGTCGGGGAAGTAAATTCCCGACAGCCATACCAAAAGGAGACCTCGAATGGGACAGGTGGATGTGCTGGAAGCGAATCAGACTTGAATAACAAAGAGGTACCTGAGCCATGAAGACCCCAAAGTCAAGCTAGTAGTCTCGGCGTTCTGTGTGCCCGCCAATACCCAACCAAGCCGCCGGGTTGGGACCGAGAGAATGACGGTCTCGATCAGCGTCGGGTGTGAGTCAACCTGTAACCAGGGCAAAAGATTCAGTCTAAGCCGCCATTTTTTGTGCAAATTCCCTCCACATGAATGTGAAAATCAGGTATACAATTCAAAAGACAGATTGAAAGGCGATACTAAAAGAACTACGGATAGGAGGCGTGTGGAAGTTCGATTCTAAACCCAACTACCCACCACGAGGACTAGGTGTCGCAGGCTAATAGGAAAGATAGACAGGTCACAAATTAATTTCTAATGTCATCACCGAGATCCTAATTATCATGCTTTTTATGCCATGTGTCCAATGAAATCGTGAGAAATGAAAATATTTACCGGACAAGTTGGGGCCGGCATGCATTGAACAAGTCACCGTAGAAATCAATAGTTGCTAACATTGTCTTGGAATGCAGACATGCCCCCTTTGGCATCATCTGACTGAGGGGTGTGGCCCTCTTGCGAATAGATCAGAGAAAATGGATCCAAGCCAGACACCTCCATCATGGGCTGTGTCGGGGACGGATCCAACCACGGCTGCTTCCCAGTATCCTCAAACTCACCTGCACCACCCCGAGGCACATTTTCCAGATCGGGAGGCGTAAGTTCACTGTAGCTGTCATTCAGTCGTTGCAGGAACTCTGGGTCAAATCCCATCTGCACCAGCGAATCAGCTGCCCCCTCTACAGGAGCAGAAGAGGACGAGGCGTTGCCCGTGAAGCTGCTACCCCAATCAGAAGCGAATGCCGGCACCCCGGCTGACATCATTCCTGCACTCCCAGCATAACTTCCTGAAAGACTGGCCTGTCCACTGGGTACAGTAGAGGAAAAGCCGGTGCCGGGAAGGGCCGGGCTTCGTACACCGGGACTGGAGACCGCGGGACTAGGAAGAGCACCTCGACACACAGTCCTCGCGAGTACATTAGCTTCTCGTGGAGGGGCACGTAAGCCACCCTGAATAGCGAATGGGGGCTGCAGCCCAAGGTCGGAAAGTTGGATGCTATCACTTTGCACGGCGGTTTCCAGCCCGGTGTCTCGCTTCAAGATGCTCAGCCAGATCGCGTTATCTGCACAAGTCTGATTCCAGGCGTCCTCGCTGCTGCCATAGATGACTCGACGCCCTTCCGCCTGTAACATCTGATCTGTCGGGATGATCCCCTGAGCAGTCTGGTTTTGAATATACGCAGTAAGCTCGCGAGAAAGGCGCAAGTAGCAATTGGCATCGTTGGGGACAGGAAGCGTCGGTGTGTCGCCATCTCTTTGGGCTTGAACTGTGGTCCAAGGATCAAGAGACCTCCACTCGGAGTCGATCAAATATGGCGGGATGGCATTCTCAACTCGATCTTGAATATGGGCGTCAAAGCCCCAATCGCCTTGCCATTGAGCCATAGAGGCGCCGTTCTTGAAGTGGCCAGCGAGGTGGTCCACTCGGTCCTTCCAAGTATGCAACGCAGAGCCACAGAAACCACAGCGAGAGTTGATTTCTGTGATACTGCTTTGCCACTTGTCCATGCAACGTTGAAATTTGGCATCGTGCATCAATCGAAGATGCTGGTTGAGATGGTCTTTCCGGTAGAAGGTTCTCTCCTGGATAGACTTCTCCTGGCAGCTAAGATAGTTGTGGCTTTCAAGGTGATCCCTATCTGGATTAGCTGCCGAGCAGAAGACGCAACGAAGTATACCATTCTCCTCCGTTACGCCGCCATGAGGAGAGCAAGTCCACTTGTCGAGGATGAGATGCATGGACTTTTCATGGCGTTGCCAATCATATTTGGCAGCGAAGGAGTCAGTACAGAAGGTACATTGGAAGGGACGAACAGCCCGAGCCTTCTGTTGATTGAAAGTGTTGACAGGCAACGAAGCCTTACGGCGACGACGACGTTCTTTTCGATCCATTGAGCCAAAAGACCCTAGGGAGGATCGATGAGAAAAGGCAGAAGCAAAGGAAAGGTCAGAGCGAGATGACCGACTGGTATCCACACTACTGCCCGAGGCATCATATCTTTTATGTTCTGAGCTTGCGTGGCTTGACTCATTGGTGCTGGACCCCGGCCGACGGCGCACGTGACCAGCCTGGGTCAGCCGTTGACGCGAGGGATCGAACGGAGGGTTGGCCAAAGAGCGCTTAATATCACTGATGGCAGCAGGTTCGTTCTCAGGAGGAGAGTACTTCCAACGTTCAATAGGAGTCATGAGAGACAGGTCTTTGGGTTGTGATCCAGGAATCTCAACAGCGTCCGACACGGGGAACTCGGTGCCGTTAGCAGGATGAATTTTGCCGCGTCGTCTAGCGTTGGCGAGCCAATTGGAGATTTGCGTTCTGTTTAAACCGGTGCTCTGCTTCAATTGGTCTTTTTCGGTTTCATTGGGATATGGGTTTCCGGTGTGATCGCGAAGCCAGCCTTTGAGGATGTTCACAGCTTTGCGTGAGAATCGAGCGTTACTCTTCCGAGAGCGCCCATCTGAATCGTCGCCAAATGTGCCGTATGAGACTGACTTTAAAGCACGTTTCCCAGTCAGACCACCCGTAGGAATATAGGCGTTCTCGGTCACAGGATGTAATGTCTGAAGGAACCTGCCTGGGACTTTGACATGGGTGAAACTGCATTCACGGTAGAGCGAGATACAACAGGTACATCCGTTGTTCATCACCCCGCGCTTTGCAACAAAACAGTCTAAGCCCATATGCCGACAGAAATCACAGGGTTCTTGTGCTCGGAACATGGGATAGGGACCGGTGTCATGATCGGGGCCGACGAAGGTCTCTCCGATGTACTGTTCAGCCGCCTCCGGAGCCGGCGGGTCATTGGGAAATTCTAGCGGTTGGTCCCGGCGCAGCGAGTCGAAATTGGCCGCCCGCTCATCGGCTTCGTCAAATTCAAGGTCAACCGAGGCGACATCGTCGCTTTGGTGATTGGATTCGTGCGCTGATGAAGCGCCTTCAAAGTCGAAATACTCCATGATGGGCTGATAAACAGCCGTTACATTCAAAGAGAATTGACCCTGAGATGTACTGTTTAAAAGAAACAGATAATACGGAGAAGAGTGGGAAGGAAGAGTCGGTCTGAGAGACGTATCCTTGGTCCGGGGTAGAAAGGGTAGGGTGAATGAATAATCAGTTTGGGTGGAGCAAAGCAGCCTTGGAACCTCCACCAGGTGCCGCTAAGATGTAAGTCTCGGTAAATTGGGGCCTCCAGACTGGTCTAACATGTTTCTTCCCCAATGACAGCTTATGGGGGCTTGTGAGACCTTAGGATGCCAGATAAGCAGAATCAGATAAAATCAGTCATAACAAGATGTCATTTGCCAGCCCTGAAGACTCGTATCTGCATCTTAGGTCAAATTCAGGGAAGCCGAACAATCAAACCCACGTTAGTGCTTTCTCCGTGGAGTCGGCGAACCACGAGGGATTGGGGCCCGGAGACAAGTGACGAGGTCCGCGGATCAGCAGACGCAGATGCACGCCCTTCGCATGTCAGCGCCATGCCTATTCGGGAGAAGCGGGCCAGCCCTTTGTATTCCCGATTTGGCAGGAATGATTCATACTGCCCCGCGATATCGGAGTCTTGTATAACTAGCTTGCCCACCTTTTAGCTTTTCCATATCCGCCTCGGCATCATAGCGGGTCATGAACAGCAGAGCCTGAAACAAACTCTTCTACGTAGTAGTTTATCGGCCTACCTTATCTTCTTCGAGAAGTCTTACGCGACCGCGCTTAATAGCTAAGCCAATGGTTGCCATTCAACGGAGTATTATAATGCAATGGGTCTTCTATCTTTTGTTGTCAACGCTTCAATCAATTGTCAAATTTAAATTCGCCTTTAAATTTCAGAAGAACATAAATGCGGCCATCCGTGGATGTATCAATTAATGTGCACTATAGAGTCTTCACGACTCTCGCATAGAAGCACGCCAAGACTATTTACCATTGTCGCCTGCCCGATAACGCTATTTGGCAACACCCCCGAAAGACTCGCTATGATACCGATTCTAGCCGTTGACTACACCGGGAAAGGTTCGGTGGAGGCCGCTAAAAAATTCGGGCCGAATGATAGGCTTTCTTCCGATCAGATCAACTTGTGCCTGGACCTCTAGTGACGCAAATATTCGCGTTTCTATAGCCTTTGTATCCACATCTTCTTTAAAAAAAAGATTCGATGCGATGCGACAGTCTTGAGCTACTTTGCTATACGTTTTCCTGCCTGATGTGACTAACACTCGCTGGTGGAATGTATATGACAGCCTGCATTTCGGGGCACTAATATTCATAGCGAACCAGGAACATCTCACTTCTCCACCCCGTGTGGACAGGCGCCCGAGCTTAGACTCTTGCATTGAAGTTCCTGCGCATCGCTTCACCGCCATTCTTCTCATCGGCATTATGGATTTCTGGGCTCGCGCCCGCGCTCGTCCTGGACACGTGCAACTCCGTCTCCATCTGCAAAACATGCATATTTTCTCAAATTCCAGCTCCAGCATCGGTTTGACCATATAAAACATCAAATTTCCACCAGGTCGACCGTCAATACAAGCGATTAAACAGGGCTAATAAACAGAGAGCATAAATCCAGTCTACTGACATGGAACGTTGATGCAACTGTTTCCCGGACACAAAACGTGTGACAGAGAATATCACGTTCATTCCGGAGCTGGAGTCTGACGTCGAAATAAGAGATTTCAAGACCGGTATTACGGCACACAATATAAGACGAGCGTATGGGCCAGGCGAAGCCCAGGGTTGCCCATGACGACTTGATTCCGGAATGTATTCGACCTCAATTGGCTGTCACTTCTATGGCCCCATCTTATCGAGCATTAATACCTCGTTCCACTGAGACAGGGAAGCCTTCTCGGCCGGCGATCGCCTATTCACTCGCGGAATTGAATGCGTAAAACGGTGGGTGGTGGCTGTCCGCAAGACAGGGAGCTTTGATGGGTAATTTGGACCCAATGAACTGATGTGAATGGACTGATGTGAACTTATGAACTGATGTGAACTCTGCGAAAGTTCAAGGGAAAGGACTAACTAAGCAATAAAAATGCATGTCAATTCTGCAAATACTTCGCAACATAAGCTTGAGTCACATCGAGTCCCGAGGCGCAAAGGTGAAAAGAAGATGTGATGACTCGATCCCGTGACAATTCTTTCTCCGAGTCCTGTAGGCATTAAAAGAATACCTTGTGTTGATGAGGCTTTTGATGCTCGTATTTCTCTTCATAGAGACAGCCAATGAACGCCCTGCAGTGTGGCGCCACAATCCGCGATTCTTTCAAGGGGCGCCAAGCCCCACCTACTGCCTAAAATGACCGTCGACTGCCTAGAATCGACGTCTACAAAAGAGGGAGAACCTCACGCTCTCCGTTGAAATCCTGAAAGATACAGAATTCACAATGGGAGGGTCTGGCAAAATTAATCATTTGATTATTACGGCTCCGGTTGCTCGGTTCGAGGAAGTCGTCCAGTGGTACACCAAGACATTGTCTCCGTTGGGGTACATTGAAATTCATCGCTTTCCCGGGGTAGTTGGGCTTGGCCCCGATGGCCATGCTGACTTCTGGATCTCTGCGAAGGAGACTTGGACCAAGAGCCCCATTCACATCGGGTTTACTGCTTCTGGTGGGGAAATGACAAACGATGTTTCAATTTTGACTGTGCACTAACAATTGTCCCAGATCATGCGACAGTTGATGCATTTCACAAGGCAGGTGTTGATGCAGGGGGTGAATGCCATGGACCTCCGGGCCTGCGACCTCACTATCATGCAAACTACTACGGGGCCTTTTTACTTGATCCCCTCGGAAACAATATTGAAGCTGTAAGTGCAGCCCTTATCCTCGCCGCAGAGCAGAAAGGGAATTGACAAAGCCATCATAGGTCGATCAAGGTGTTGCAAGTGAACAGTAGTCGAGAAAATTCAAGGTTGACGCCCAGATTGCAATTTTCTGAGTAACATTAGCTAGAAAGGTTCCGCTACTAAATTGAACCCTAATTGAACAATTTACATGTTAAACTGTGACAAACCACGGACTCCCAGCTAATATGAAGAAAATTCCGGTCGGTAGAAGACCACTTAACTACCAATACTATTTGTCATATAAAGATTAGGTTCGCAGCGGCTACTAATTCACGCTATTCCTATTTCTAGCACACATCTACATGTTGAGTAGCAAAGATTTACCAAGGATGAGAACCGTCTTTGTGAAGAAATTTGCCGGCATCTTCATCTCTCAGCCCGATTACAATCTCCATGATGGCTTTCGCCGATTCTATAGGATCGCCAGCATTTACTTGAGCACTCATCGCTTCTTCAGAGTCACCCCTCAGTTTTGACCGCACAAGGCCAGGACAAAAGGCAAAAACGCGGACATTCTGATCTTTGAGTCGCTTCTGCATTTGAATTGTCATCATATTCAAAGCAGCTTTGCTCATCCGGTATTCATCCCACGACTCTGTACTATACACACTTTGTGGATCGGATGCAAGTTGCAGCGAGCCCAACACGCTTGAGATTTGGATGAGACATGGACGGCGAGATTGAACCAGAAGGGGAATGAAAGCCTCAGAAGCAAGCATCGCACCGAAAACGTTCGTTGAGATTATTTTTTCGATCTTATATCTTCCAGCAGAACCCAGTGATAATGTGCCTGCATTGCTGATTAGGACGTCGAGTCGCCCGAATCAGTCGGAAACAGTGTTGAAGGCCCTGGAAATCGAGGTTTCGTCTTCCACATCCAGCTGAATCACAGAAAGCGTCCCTTGGATTTTGGCCCTTTCGAGGCGGGAGCACGCTGCCTGTCCTTTCGAAAGATCTCGGCAGGCCATGATAACATGGTAGTTCGGGTGCGATGTAATGGTTTTTGCTATTGCATAGCCAACACCTGAATTGGCGCCTGCGTAAAATGAGATTTGGAGTCACCTGTATAAAGCAACCAAAAATTTACCGGTAATTAGGACAATGATAGATTCAGGCATCGCACTGCTCAAAACAATGAGATCCGTGGAGATAACGAGGTGAGCTTAAGAGTTGAATGGGTTGAGTATGGTTCTGACGTGAGTATCCCGACAAAGAAAAAAAATCAAAGGAAAAAGTCAATTGCTTTTATTATTGCATCGTATGATCAAGTCAAGAGTTTCCTCTGAGCTAAGAACCGTGGAAAGCACGGAGATAAGCGGCTTATTGGTCTTTCATATTCGGTTTTAGTTCGGAATCCGGGGGGTGTTTTTTTGCGAATCTGAAGGTAGCGAGCTATGCATCCCAGTGTGTGCCCAGACATGCGTATACTTGTAGTCGGAAATAATCGCAAATGCGACAATCATTTCCGTGACGGCACAAACTGTTTTCCACGGCATAAGCGGGTTTCTGTGTCCGGTTTTAGTTCAGAGTCCGCTGGTGTTTCTGTCGCGAATGTGGAAGGCGGAGAGCTACTCCTGCACCCCGAGTGTATTCAGGTCATATATACTTTTTAAAGCCGAATATAAGAGCGAATCCGAAAAATAATTTTTATTATGGCGCTAACCTTATTTTTTATCTCCGGTGAAGCCCGTTCTGGGCACCGCTAAATTACGTTTATTCAGACCGCGACTCCCAGACAAAGTTGCTAGATCATATGTACTCAGATTGTTTAAATGGGAACCATTTCCTGTACTTATCGTTGCTAGTTTCACCTAAAGATATTCTGACCAACGCCATACTGAAAAGCATTGCAAAAAAAGAAAATGTCACACACAATCAAGAATGTGGCTATTGCTGGGGTAAGGGTTAAAGAATAGTACAATTTCAAAGTTAACAAGCTGTTAGGCCAGTGGAAATGTTGGAGCTCAGGTACTCAATGTACTACTCCATCTTGAGTTCAATGTCACGGTGCTGAGTCGCAATTCCAAACCTTTCCCGGCCGCTGCTCATGTAAAGGTGGTTGACTTCACTTCGATGGAGTCATTATCCGCTGCTATCGCCGGGGAAGACGCAGTTATTGATACTACTTTCTCGCCCGAAGTTGAAACACCACTTCGACTAATTGACGCGGCGGCCAAGAGTGGAGTTTATCGCTTGTATGTGAGCACAACTTTGGCAACAACTTCTCTTTGACCAATATCCTTTCTAACACGCTATCAGTATCACCAGCGATTTTGGACTCGATCCTGATCTACCAGGTGTTCATGATTTACCTGTATTTGGCAGAAAGAAAGCTTCCTATGAGGCTGTCAAGAGACACGCGGCTGATAACCACTTGACGTACACCCTAGTGGCATGTGGTGTTTTTCTTGACTGGAGTCTCTCCACTGGCTTTTCCGGGTTGGACTTGCAAGAAAAGAAAGCTTTCATCTTTGGTGATGGAAATAACGTTGTTCCATGGACGACATTGGAAGATGTCGGCAGAGCAACTGCGAACGTACTTTTGCATCCGCAAGAAACTTTGAACCGCCCAGTCTATGTTCACTCCTTGTTCATGTCGCAGAATCAAATTCTCGGTGCTGCAAAAAATATTTTAGGGGGCACGGGGTGGGGGACCACGTATAACGACATGACACCCCTTTTGGAAAATGCGTTAACCGATCTCAAGATCGGCAATATCAGTGCATCAACTTTTGAAGTACAAATACAGTACTGCCTAGCTACTAAAAAGCTTGCACATCCCTGGGCAATGGATGATAATACCCTCTTGGGATTGGAAGAGTGGAACTCGGAGAAGGTGGAAAGGCTGATCCAGACGATCGCCCACAAGTCAACGTGAAATTGACTTAATTATAACTATCTTCCACGAATGTCACCTTGTCAATTGAAAATTTTCGAAAGAGAAAAGATTTTAAGTTTTCCACAATTGAATACTAAACAAGTTCCGTTGACGCAAAATAGAGGTTGGCTAAACGCCAAGTAATGCTAAATTAGTATGCTCTGGTCTCTTGTTTATAGAACAATCTTCGTCCGTAGCACTAATTTCAGGCTTTAACCAATTTTGTGTAAGGCAAGATCGGTACTAGATATAGTTCGGGGATCAGCCGACATGGGCACCATTCAGGTACATCTCGGAAAAGACATTTCTGGGGCTGCATGCAAATGGTAAAAATGGCAAACCACAACTTTGGAATGATAATTCGATGAAATGTTGAAGGGTAAAGGGAGGCATTCATAGATACATGCAAACTTATTCCCGGCTGTTCCCGCCCCACTTCCCTAATTCGGCGTCTTCGGCCTCACGAGGTAAATCCGAGAAGCCCCGCCATTCTACGCCGGAATTAGACACCACGCGAGCCGAAATTGGCACCTGGTACGAATGTAATCCATATCACAAGAAAATGAGACCCTTATGCTTACGAAGAACGCTGTAGCTCTGATAAAACCCATCAGCTGCTGTGCAACTTTCAGATTGAAAGGAAAAACGTATCTTTCTACTTATTGTTCTATTTCGCCCTCTTCCATCCCAACCACCACTACAATATGGCAGCTCCCCCGAAGACGGTCTTGATTACAGGCTGCAGCACCGGCGGCATCGGCTGGGCCATGGCCAAGAGCTTTCAACAACGAGGGTTCTATGTCTTCGCCACAGCACGCGATCCGTCTAAGGCCGCTGACCTCGCCGAGCTTGAAAACGTCGAGGTCCTGGAGCTAGACGTGACCATCCCAACGACCATCGCACAGTGTAAGGAGATAGTCACAAAACGAATAGATGGGAGCCTCGATATCTTAGTGAATAATGCCGGCGCCGAATTCAACTGCCCACTACTAGACACCGACATCGCCGAGGCAAAAAGGCTTTACGACGTCAACGTCTGGGGCCCTCTTGCTATGGTCCAGGCATTTGCCCCCCTGCTTATCGAGGCCAAGGGAGTTGTTTTCAACCAGAGCTCCATCGATGGGGCTCTTAACATGGTGTGGGCGGGTAAGTTTCCGTCGGCCAGCGCCTGCAATTATGCCTTTCTCTCCCCTGGGCAATCAGGCTAATTTAGCTACGCGCGCGCTTTTGACTAGGCATATTTGCCAGTTCCAAATCCGCCGTGGCGCGTATGTCGGAAACCCTGCGAGTCGAGCTCGAGCCACTGGGCGTTCGCGTCGTGACATCCATATGCGGATCTGTCAACACGCCCATGTTCAGTAAGCCTGGTGGTCCTATGGAACTGCCCGAGGCATCGTACTACCATGGAGTCCAGGACACGGCTTGGAAGGAGCGGATGGATCACCAACGCCAGGCCACGGACGTCAATGTGCTCGCCGGGAAGCTGGTTCAGGATATCCTCAGCGGTAAAAGGGGCGTCATCTGGCGCGGGGCATTTTCTCCATCAGTGCGGTGGGCTAGCTGGTTGAATCTCAAGTGGCTGGTGGATAGATTGATCAACTCGGCACGAGGCTTGAGTCAGGTCAAACTCAAGCATTGCTAGTGACATGAGAGGATTGGTAGGGAGACGAGCTCAAACGTGATTTTCTCTATTTGCCTCGAATTTGTCTCTATAGTACAACCAAAGTCAGGGCCTCCGCCTCGCATTTAACATCCAATGCGTTTCTAAATTTCAGACGTCTATGGAATTGACGCTTGTCGAGAGCCAAACCTAGAAATTTACAAATTTAATTATAATGTTTTGTTGACAACTCAATTAGTCCCCTTCAAACCTCTTTCACTAAAATGAGGCGATTCGCTACTTGGGAAACTGAATTAGGGCCATTATAGGTGTGAAGAAGGAAGGAGGAAAAAGATATAGATGAAGATTCTTGAGATGGAAGCTATGGAACTAGATCTATCATGGAGGTTGAGGCAAGGGATGCGGTGAAGAGGGGCAGAATCCCATTCACTGCGAACAATAGGTAAGTTGGTAACTTGTATTCCTTCTCTGGCTTTGCTTCAGATGACTTGGGACAAAAATCCGATTCATGTTGGACCACTCATTGTCCTTTTTATTACATCGGGCATCTTCGTTATCGGCTATGCGTCGGTTAAACTCACCGAACGAAGAAACCAGGCCACTTGTGATTTCCTTGTCTGCTACATACGCACAACCCTCAAAATATCTCATGTGAGTCGTCGACACACACATATTCTGCATGGCGAGCTCTACACTCTACCTGGAGACTTCATCTCAAGCAGCCATTTTCTTATAACAACCACGCACCTAGTGGTCGGAAATGCTATCTACCGTACGTCGACGATGTTGATATCTGCCCTTGCTTCAGTCTCATCGCTCATGATGAACTGAGTCTAGAGCACTATATGGCAGTCGTGGAAACCCGTCAACCCCCTTTTTGCTGAATAGATCCCGTTGGACCCAATTCCGCCTCATTTTCACCAATAGATCTCGTGTGACTTACCTTTAGCTACCTCTGTTTTGGTTCTAACGCTTACAGCTTCCTCTATATCACCTTCCCACTATGTAGATATAGAGAATATACTTCTTCATAATATGTTACGTATGTTATACTGATCTTATGAGGTTTAGTATCCCGAACTATTATAGGTACTAATTCCTAAAGAATCTAGTGAGTATGAATCGTCCGTGCTTCGCGCTTGGCCTTTGTAGTGTGGGTCTCCCCTATTCGGTCTCTCCAGTATTCCCTTAAGCAAGCAATTTTTTTCCTTTGGCTTTGGTGGAATAGAAAATTCATGACTAATAGACCTGCTAGTTCTAATATCGCCTTGTAATAATTTTTTTCTGCCTACTTGAAGTGTGGCTAATATGTGGCAATTATGCACATGTGGCGTTTATGAAGGGAGTTGGTCAGGTGAAACGGCCACCTGATGAGCTCCATAATCCGAATTGAGTGAAAAAAATTTTCAAGTCACAGAAATCAATCAGCAAATTGTACAGAGAGCCAAGCCTAATTACGCCATAAGACTAGAAACACGTGTCCGCAGACCATTTTACGCGCTTGCAGACGTTGGCCCATACTAATGTCCAGAGTCTACCTCGAGAGCCACCACGAGCACAGGGGTCTCTTTATGCGCCAGAGGGGTATCCCAGCGGTTATACCACGGCACACTGTGGTGAGCTTTTGGCTTCGTTCGTATGGTGCTTTTTCTTCCTAAATGTTCGTGCAAGGAGGTACATACTAGTAATGACCTGAAGCCCTGAATGCCGAAATGCGGGGGATCTTCGGTCCCCACGGCAAATTGGATAAATCTCTCAAGCATCACGGGGCAATTACTTCAATTTCTGGTTTTCTCTGAATATAGTAACCTATTAGAAAAGCGAAACGTAAATGTTTCCACGGTCATCTGACGTATTTGCGCCATATTACCTAACACCTCGGCTTGCGTCGGGGATGTACTTACCCGATCCAGCCGTGTTTTCCGTTTTTGGTCAATCCTGAGTCTAGAACCCCAAACTGTTACGTTATTTCACAAGGATCACTCAGCAATTTTATGCCATACTTGCAGCGGTTGGGGTTGACCAGAATAGCGTCATGATGATCTACCTCCCCCGCAAAATCTTTAAAAGGTGAGATTTTCCCCGGACATATCGCTGAATACAAATTGCAAGCCACTACCTCGAGTACCTTATTTCGCTTCAAGATCCATCCAACGTAAGTAACAAGACCACTTTCTCGAACCTAACAATTGCTTATACGATACCTTATTCAGTGTTCAAGAGTCAATACTCAATACTCTCCCACTATGTCCATCCAACCTCTCGAGCGCCCCTCACAGGGCTGGAAATGCCAATCATGTGGACTCCCCGGAGTTCGCTTATCCACTCGCCCAAATTGCTCTAATGAAGCTACCGGTCGGGCGTATTACAAATGTGTCCCATGCGATCGCTTCCTAGGTTTTTGCCCTTGCACCACGCCAGGAGCCAGGACGACCTCGACATGCCCATGTGGCGAACACAGTGATGACGAATCACCGGGTCTAGAGGACCAGGTGCCTCGCGGTGTCTCCGTGTTTTTCACGGATATGAAGAAAACAGTCAACCCACACAACCCAAACCCAGGGTTTGATGAGGATTGGGAAGCAAATTGCAGTCCAGGATTCATGGTTTCAAGGTTTAAGGCTGTTGGCATGGAGTTGCTTCCCTGGGGCTGAACATTATGCATTTGAAGAGATTTCGTTCAAGCGAGTCATGTCACATACATCAAGAGCCAATATTCGATTGTTGCCTTTCGAGGCGACGCTCAGGTTCTCGAGTAAAAAGTTACTATCCCATGGGGGTAATTGGGATGCACATCCCAGTAGGCTAGGCTTTCATCTACTATAGAACGCCAGTCCAGACCAACATTTGAATAATATTAATTTTCTTTCATTTGAGATGTGAACCAAAGATGGTATAATTCTAATCGAAGATTTCCAAAGTACCTTGGTAAATTTTAGACGTCTTTCTTCATTGCTCTTTTGTCCATTGGGATCAGGTTTGATCATAACTCTCTGTCACCTTATTCATTTTAGATATCTGATGCCGCAGTCAAAAGTCGTATCGCCCGTACCTTGATCGTGAATCAAAATACATAGCGGAGCTTGAACCAATGTTCGGTACGATTAGTGGCAGGAGGTCAATAAAAGTGGCGAAACGCAGATGCCAGAGAGCTGATTGCAGCAGAGAGTTTCTCCCGGTAAACATTTTAGTTAGTTTTAAACTACCAGCAAAGGCCCTTGGCAGTAAGAAAATCAACAGTACCATCGTAGTGTCACATAGACGCCATTTTCATTAATCCATATGGTGCGCACCTCTTTTATTGTGGCACCCACTTCTTGAATCACATCAATTTAGAAACCAATCGATGGCATCCAGAACATAAATCACCTAAAATAAGACACAGCATCATTCCTACAGAGATCAAGAGCCAAACCGGAATGAGCAAAATACGAACAATGTGCACCATTAACAAAGCGGGGCTCCACCAAAACTTGATATATGGATTATTCCGGTAGAGGAACCAGAATTTCTGGTATCAATCTCTCACGCAAGATAGCAATGAGGACATGTCGAGTACTTTCAAGGCTGTAAGGGCCAATTATCACACTTTCCTCACCTGTCTGTTTCGCAAGCTCATCCACGTAGCTTCGAACATAATTCCTCATCAAATAGAAAGGTGCGAGGAGAATTCCCAACCACCATTTTGATTTTTGAAGTGCAAGTAAGATTTTTGTTTGAAGTTTTGACAAGTTTATGCCCAGAAGGACTGTAAAGGTGAAAAATATAGCAAGAACCACAAAGAATGATGCGAAAGTTGCCGAATGTGGAAGAACGGACATGCTATATAGAGACTGACAAGTTTATGAGTCCATGGATGTTATTAGATATCGATCTGTTACGGGCTTGTGCTTACCGTGACGGTAGTCAATGGCAGATATATCGTAGCAAGATAGGTCAAAGTCTTTATGCGATCACCTTGCTGCAAAGCTAAGCGAGCTTCAAGAACTGCGGTGGCGCCATGCAACTGATAAAGGATTAGTGACTGCGAAGGCATCAGTGTTAAGTACACGCACGGCATTTCGCTGAATTTCTTGTCAGCACGCGAACATGACTGTTTTGTTGGATCAAGAGTCTACGAACGCTTTCCTGCACCTTTTCCCTGAGCGTTTGTGTTTCTACCTGGAGCTTGTCCAGCTCATTGACTTCTTCCCTCATCTTTCGCCGCCAATGTGATAGTCCCAGTTTCTCATATGCATGGGCTTTATCGGAAAGTTCATCAATCTCTCTTTCCACCACCACCACCTTGATATGTTTCAAGTTTGAAGCGACAGATCCACTCAATTCATGGCATGTTTTGATGACCCAGTGGTATAGTCTGGATTTCGTAAATGATTCGTCATCAAAGAGACTATCAACCCCATGCTCCTGAAGACGGTCATTCAGCATACCTACTATTTTTTGTGCGCCCGCTCTCTGCATATAGAGGGAGGTTGTGATGCCGCGTACGAATTGGGCGCAAGGTGATAGATGCTCCAGAGGCTCCAAATCCAGAGCAAATCGTGTAGTACCATTTGCAATGAGCACTGCCCAGAGAGCCTGAGGGCATCCTAGTAGTCCGACCTCCTCTTCGTGAGAAGGTGATTCTTCCGGTAAAACAAGCGTGAGCATAGTAGAAGACGAAGTTTTGAAAAGGTATGGTTCAGAGCCTTCGCCATTACTTTTGCCCGGTCGAAAGGGACATATGATCAAGCGATCAAGGGAGGTCTCTTGTCCATCACTTGCATTATCGCTATCCAGGATCAGGTAAGAAATGTGACAGCTTATAGTGACCCTTTTGTAACACTTATGTTTTGACTAGAAGATTCCGTAAGCATATCAACAATTTGGATGCTAGACTAGATATAAAATCTGCATCCGCAAATAAATAACTCACGTAGTTTGTCTCTACAGGATATATTACCTGCAGATGATCAGGGGACTTGAAAGTAGAGCGTAGGCTGAGATGCCTATCTATAAATTCTTGAATAAATGAGTGACTTTCATACTGCAGTCTCAGGCAGAAAGTGTGTATCATTAGCAAGGCTGCTCTTTGGGAATGTGAGACTCGTTCTTTTATATTGCTTTGCAACCAGTCGGAAAATTAGATATGGCAATTCTGAGAATTGATTGGATATGACCTTCTTAGGAGCAAATGCCATAACTTACATAATACGGCCTTGGGCGAACGGCAAATTTGAGGTGGAAATTTTAGGCGAAGACCCTATATATTGGTCTGAAGGATGCGAATTCCCGAAATGTTCAAGATGCTACAGTCATCAGTAAAAGGATACGGTTTACTGGAAATGACCACAGACCTTGGAGAAGAACAAATGACTGTAAATGTTGGGTTCTCTCGGAATAGCAGACCACGCTCTATTGATGCCATCAACAGTGCTTATCTCGTTTACATTTGCATGAGACAGCAAGATGTTCAAGGAGCTGTCCTGGTTAGTGCTCAGATAGTGTTGGACAACTGTTCGCAGGGCCTTCAAAGGGCTCGTGACAAGTTTGTCGTCCCAGTTGTGCAAAGTTTTATGAGATAACAGGTCTTCAAGGATTTGAAGTAAGACTGCCCTGACGCTCTGGACTGAGAGGTCATGGTGAAGCTCGAATTCAAAACGGTGCGCCTTTGTATCTTCATTTGAGAACTGGAATGAGAAATCGGACCAATTGGAGCTTGTCCCGGAAAGTGACATTGTGAAATTGACTTGGCCAAAAAGACAGTTCAGTTCCTGAATAGATCGTATTGAGAATTTAAAAGGCTAAAAAATCTTGGAAACAGGGATAGATCCAAGGCACTGAGACCAGCTAATATATTTGCCTGGTTGGTCAAAGGGCAAGCTCAGCGGGTAACTAAATGGCGGACGAATCAATACCCGCCACGTCTGATCATATGCAAGGCTATCACATTGATGGCACTATGCGTGAGCAGAGCCTCTTCAGTCACCTTGATCTGCAAGATACATCGCTTTGGAAACGAACTATAACTTCTAACGCCGATCCAATCACTATCAAACGCTCCCAAAATCCCAAAGGAATGAACTTCAAGTCCATCTTGTCCTAATTTGTCAATCTCGTTCGCTCTCTTCAGCTCAATACCTGTTCTAAAGGCCCTTCTGCCTCGACCTATGATTGGAGATAGAGGCACCAGCGAGGAGATTTTAAAGGAGCATATACACTGGCGTAGACTTAGACAAGATGAATAGATATGTATGCGGACGAAAATAGCAGAAAGCTAACGTAGCGACGGAGAGGGCTGAGTAGAACCACGCACGGAAGGGAAGGACAAGAAGCGCTAGACCGGAATCGGACTTCATCCTAGGCCCCGGGAAGGTATGAGAGAAATATTGTCAAAATGATACCCGAAACATCGAGTGATGTTTGATCGTATCTAATGTAGCAAACCAAAAATATATTGAGACGATTTGATTTGCCATCATTTCTTCTAGCTTAGCTTAAGGGGTCGCTTGGCACGCGTACACTCTGAAGATGTCTGTTGGAATTTAGGGGCTTTAAGAATATTAAAGCTCTTAAGAGAAGGAAATTGACTCATTCGACTAGCAGCTCCAAAATGGTCCAACTTTAACAACACAAACTTAAATCTTTGCACAAACCAAATTTCAGGCTATTTCAATGCGTTTGGGTAGGAGTGGATCAATCGGCTCCATGTTGGCAAAATTGGACCCTCTTTATATCAAGTCCGATATGGTGTAGTGGCTAACATCGCCGTCTCTCACACGGCAGCCGGGGGTTCGATTCCCCCTATCGGAGTATCTTTTTGCAAATTTCTTTTGGTCTTTTGCGTGCACTTGGTAGAAAAGTAGCATGGAGAGAGGCAGACTTAATTTTTGGTTGGGCCTGTTGTAGTGCGGGGGCGATAAATTTCTGACAAGTCCTCCTGACCACCTTATTTTTCCAAGATAAAGGGAAAATTTGATATAAAGTGAAATTAGATCTAAATGATATGGTTCGGTGTAGAACTGTCTTCGAATGGATGGTAGAAATTTAAGATGAGCCGACAGCAACCATTTTATCACCATTTCTCTCCCGCCAAATCTCAACCTCGCCACCGCCTCTAATAACACCAACTCTCATCGAGGAAAGTAAATTATGCGCCGCATTAGAGTGTTGATAAATACCGCCGTTGAACATTGCAGTGGCATCCTTCCCAATACCCGAACTAATAAGGGCTTTGCCCCCTGGATGGTTCTTGATGAAATCTGTCACATCATGAATTACACCGGCGATAGCAACAAGAGCTTTTCCATTCTGAGATTCGGCAACGAAATCGTCCCATGAAAAGAGAGGTAAATGCTCCAAGGGAATCCCCCAATCGAGCTTGGCTCGCTTTTGGTCGATCTTCTTTTGCAGCTGCTGGACGCGACCTTTCTCGATCTCGTTTGCGCGGAATTGCTTAAGGTTGGAGGCAAGGCCGATCTGCTTCCATACCCAGATTGACCATTTTGTTGGGTCGTACTGCCACCACTGGATAGCGTTGCGGTAGTCGGAGGGGAACTATTAGGAAGTCAGGGATGAAAGGAAAACTTGACAGGGAGCGTTGCTTACCTCGTGGTGAAAGTTATGATAGCCTTCACCAAGTGTAACAAGAGCGGTGATGACATGATCGCGAGGCGAGTTCCTGTCATCGAATGGCTATGGAAGTGTCAATGAGTGAAGAGCTTCATAGCAGCGGTAATGGCTAACCTGATCTCCTAGCCAATGAGCAAGGGAATTGACACAAAAGGTTGCCTGCTGGACGAAGAGGAACCTCAAGATCCCTGCATACACCAGGCCTCCTTTCCAATCACCCCAACCAAGTCCAGCGACGACCATGGGGAACAGCATGCCGAACACAAGAATGAATTCGCCATAGTGCTTGTGCTGCCAGACGACTATGGGGTCTTGGTTCAAGTCAGAGATATCTGTCCTTCCTTGGTCCTTGGGGTTCTGCTTCAGTACCATCCACATGAAGTGAGAATACCACACGCCTTTCCGTACACTGTAAGGGTCTTTGACAGTATCTGTCCATCGATGGTGTGCTCGGTGTTTGCTGCTCCACCATCGGATGGATCCTTGGATTGCACCGCCACCAACACAGGCAAGGAATATTCTCAACGGTAAGGACCTAAACAAGAGAATGGTTAGTCATTCTTGGCAAATTATTGCGAGAAGGTGGTATATAAATGCAAGAAGACTTACGCCTCATATGATCGATGTGCCCAGAGACGGTGATAGCCAGCAGTAATGCCCAATCCAGTCCAGAAGTAATAGACAAAAGCCCAGATAGCTGTCGGAAGACGCAGTTGAGTATAGAATGCAGCGATGCAGCCGAGAAATGGAACGATAAGGATAAGAGTGGTGTTGATCCAATTGACATGGCGATGCCAATTACTCAATGTGAAGGGCTGTTCACTGATGTGCAGCTTCTGGCTATTGGACATAGTGCCCGCCATGATTTTGAGGGTGATTTGGGTTTCAAGAAATTCAATATTGATCAGGTTGAAATTTCTCTTGAATAAAGTCCTAAGGTGATAGAGAGTCTTTATAGACAAGATAGACTAATTTAATGCGAGAAATTTCAATCCTAAACCATTATTACAATATTGAGTGCTATTAATTTCTCGGTTCCACGTGGAAATGATGCGTTGTAATTCTTGTTGGATGCTAGAATTTGTTGGGCCGTTGGGAGAAGCATCCTTCGGTCCCCCTGTCACCCAACATCTACCCGAACCGTAAGGAGCAGCACGACATGATTGAATTCAGTTTCATATTACGATCTGAAACATTGAAAAGTAATTTTAGCTTCATATCAGGGTTATTTGGCCTTCCGATTATGTGTCTAAACGAGTAGTAAGGACGTGAAATATCAAGAAACGAGATTGACGAGTGGAAAGACTGATCATTCTCATCTACAGCTCATTGCAACATCATGATATATTCATTCACACCGTCTTCAACAAACTGTTGGGCTTATTCAGTGAGTCATGTCATGCAATTGATGTTGAGTGAAGGGATCAGGCAACATAGTACAAGAGTACGGTACAAGAGTACGATACCAGTCAAAGAATTCCGCCACGTATGACGTCGAAGGTTGACACTGAAAATCGTGCATTTTTTCTCATTTCCAATAGTTCACTGGGTTTCATAAGCCTCGCGGTGGCTGGAGACTAGCAATGCACAATACTGTATTCAGGACTTGATTGCATGACTCTGTTGTACCTGACTGGTGAGATGCTCTAGTGAATGCTTTCGATTTCAACATGCACATAGATTTGGGTGACCCGTAGACATTGATCACCACGTTTTCAAAGTCTATACCAATAAAGTCACCATTGTTGAGAAGATGGAGTCGCAAGCGGATAGCCTACTCTTGGATAGCCTATGCGGGTACAACCCTTGAGGAGTTGAGGAACCCGAGTCGACTTCGACGAGCCTCCCCATATTTCCAACTCATGCTCAAAGTCAAGTTTTACAATAGTCTGAAGAAAGATTAAAAATAAAATAGGAAATAAATTAAGGATAGATAGCACACTCTCAGCCTCGATCTTAGATCTCTCAATGCCCCGAAAGAACCCCACTCTTATCAGCATATCAGACGCAAGAACGCTAGCATGTGAAAGTTGCTGCAAGAAATTGCACCAAAGCATGACCTGATCAGCATGACCAGCAAAACTGTTATCTGTCAGACCCCTCCATGAATTTTCTCTTCATCCGCTAGCCCTCGCCCTCGGAGCATGAATGGAGTTCTCACGACTTCCTCTTCTCCCCATCCCGGCGTCGATCCGCCGTCGGCTGCCCCGGTTATACCCGTCACATAGGGCTGGCGCCGATACCGAATCAGGCGGGGCATTGCGGCACTCTTCTTCTGAGCCGCATCTGCCTTTGCCGGGTCATGAGAGTCTTACGGAGATAGCGGTTGAGATGCGGCCTTCAACGGCGAGTGATGATCTGAGCTTTGACTCGTCTGGAGGGTCTAGCCCTCGTGAGGAGACGGGGGTTCCGACGAAATATGAGACTGAGTCGGGGTTACGGTGGAACCGAGTAGTACCCGGTAAGGGTAGTTCAGAATCTTGACACGTTTGGGATGACTGACAGAGATCATCCATGGCAGCATTCAATCTTCTCCGCAATGCAGGCTACGAAGCACAACAGCCACATGCCGATAGCCGACTTGCACGGTCACTTTATATTAACGCAACCATGTACCTGCTCGATGCATTGCCACCTGATCTTAGCGCTGAGGAAACTCTCATGATCGCACATCGATTACCACAGCCCGTCAAGGCATCAATAGCGGCAGAGCCCCAAATTCATCTGACGCGGTTGGAGGGCTCTGGAGAAGCGAGACCAGGTCCTCCCGCTAGATCATATCTGCATAGGCTTCTTGCGTCCGTGATTGTGCAAATCTTTCTTCTTGTGCGGTTCATCCTGCCTTATGCGAAGTTATTCTTGCGAAATGTTTATGAATACGAGCGCTCACATCGGCTGACGGAGCGCATTGTAACCACGACTTTAGATGCGGCGGATGGACTAAGCAAGAGCAGTGTCACCATTGGATCTGCGGTGTGCAAATTGAATGAAGGGAAGCTTGGGACTGTAGTAGGAAACCTTGCAGCCTGGTGGGTCGAAGGTATTGCGGGTGGAGTATACGAGGGGGTTGGAGAAGGTATGATGCATTTAGGGTTGTTGAGGCCGGGACTAGAGCTCGATAGATTGGTTTTGCAAGTAGACAGGCGCTAATTAGATATACGCTTAGATGCTATTTGACAACAAATGGCTAGATGCCCGCTGATATCTTATTCCTTGATCGCAAGGTCCAGTGCTGCGTGCGACAGGATTCGTGTAGTGTCCACAACCTTAATCTGGCAGTTTCCTTCGTTCAGAATGAGGGGAAGCTCTGTACAACCCAAGACAATGGCATCACAATGTGGCGCTAGCTGCTTTGCGACAAGGACGAGGTCATCGCGCGTCTGATCGGTAAAGATGCCCTTGATCAACTCGTTTTGAATAACATCATGGACAAGGTCCTGTTCCGCGTCAGGAACATAGACCGTACTTATGCCTCTCCTGTCAAGAGGTTCATCATAGAGACGCCTTCTGACGGTCGAAGATGTGCCGAGAATGCCAACTCGCTTGTAGCCCTGCCTCACGCAGTGGTCGGCCGTGACTTCCAGGATACTGAGAACCGGGATAATTGACTTGGCCAGGGTCTCAGGGAACACAACATGTGGAGTGTTTGAAGGAATGATAGCAAAGTCAGCACCGGCTTTGGCCGTACTGTTGACCGAGTCACTCAGCACTGTGGAGAGGGCATCGAAGTTATCTGTTTTGACGGCATTCTTTATCCCCTCATAGAGTGGAGTATGTGTGACAATGGGAGGATAGGGGATACCCCGCCGCATAGCCTCACGACCGATTTCTTGGTGGCAGACGACGCCGCCCTCAATGGTAGGAATGCAGATGCCGATGGTCTTCATGGTGGCAGTATTGGGTGGATCCAATGTAGAGGGCGAAGAGAAGTCAAGAGGGTTAGGTTAGTCGAGGGGGGGTAAATGAGGGGAATTTATAGGAAGCTCCCCGGATCATAAGATGACAGGATCGCCCTATAAACTAAGAGACGAAGTCTCAATGTGTAAAAGAGCATGTAGTCGGGTGAGTCAAGAGCTGAAGCTCCGACTCCGAAGCTCCACTGCGATAGCGAGATAAGCGATTGAAGCGATTGGTTTTGTTGTCAACATCAACTTTCACCCCCAATCATCATGTCGACTACGAGGTTACCCTGTGTCCCTTCAGTGCGAAGGCCGCAGCTGCATCTGGAATTGTGAGTGTCATTGCCATTCAAAGCGCGACACGTGCTGATCTCCGTCCAGCGCGAGCTTGCGGAATGCGGCACCACCAGGGGTATACGTGAGCCTGGCACCGGGTGATCCCACGCTCTGGAATGGGGTCATCTTCGTTCGTTCCGGTGAGTTCAGACTCCGGTTATCTCCAGACCGCGACTAATTGTCGAGCTAGGCCCCTATGCCTCCGCCATTGTCCGCTTCCAAATCCGCTTCCCTGACGTGTACCCCGACCTCCCACCGCTCGTGACCTTCGCAACAGATGTATTCCACCCATTGATTGTGCCCCTTACCACATACACGTTCAGCACAAACTCAGCAAGTGATGACCCGGTGAGCGCGACTGACGAGGAACGGCTGCCGCCTGGTGGGTTCAGCCTTCGCCACGGGTTTCCTCACTGGTTCGGCAGGGCCAGGCGACGAAGCGGTGTCGCGTCCGGAAAGACGTCTCGAAATGTGAGTGGTACCAGTACTGGCGCTATGTCCGGTAGTGTAAAAGCGGTACCAAGTGGTCCCACGACGGAGGGCAATACGTTCAACGGGCAGGATCCCGTAGTCGGCTCTCCGAGCAATCCAGTCGAGGGCGAGGACGCAGAAACCAATGACGACACCCCTCGTGTCGCTCAAATGACTTCCTCGAATCAATTGGCGGAAACAAAAAACTTTGTGCCCGTCGCCAAGTTATTGGATTATATTCGGTCGACCTTCGACGATGAGGAAGTCCTGGACTCGTTGCCATCTGAGGCAGCTGCCAACCCAGGGGCATGGCACGCATGGAAAGCGCATCGCCGAGGTGGCGTTAGACCCGGTGACATGAAGCGAGGAAGCCCGCAGGCTCGGCTCCCCGGCGACTGGCATTGGGATGGCATCTGGGCGCGTCGAGTACAGGACGAGATCGCGGCCAGCCATTCCGATCCGATGCTGTATGGCAATCCTCGTGGAGGCAGCGATGAGATGGTAAGTCCCATCGATCTGAATGTTCCGGCAGATGCTGACTATGATAGATACGCTTCTCCCGTATGGATGATGCAACCATGTGCTCCTTGAAGGAGAAGATGGAGTCGGTGGTGAACATATATAAACAATGACAATGGTTCTTGCCTCAATATACCCAATAATGCAATTGTTTTCAATATCACTCGCACCTGCCTCACAAGAACCCTCGCGCTTGGACTAAACTCAAGTTCTGCAGGAGACTCTGATCATGCATCTACCATTACCATTCTCACAAGATGCCCAATACTTTATCGCTCGATTTTAAGAGCTCTGCATTGCTTATCGCATTGGTCCTGGTTCCCGTTGTTGTCCTCTTCGGCACTGTTGCCATAGCTCTTGTCTGCTCCGAGCGCTGCAACTGCCAACTCGCCAAGCCCAAGTGTCTGACTCGTTTCCCTTGCTGCCGCGGACGGTGGCACCGAAAGAAGCGCCTTCGCTCCGACCCGGAAAATGGCACGGACAGCCGCGCAACCGAGACCTCCAATGCACCTCTCCAATATGGCCCAGTCTCCACGGCACTGGAGCAGGTCTAGAGCGATCGCCATGGACGACCCGTTCTGCGAGCCGCCTACCGTAAGAAAAGCCAGCGGCAAGTCACGGAGTCGAAGCGTCAATTCCTACATGTCGTATCCTCGCATTCCTCGCCGACAGTCTTCGCTCTCGGCGAGCTTGAGCAATGACTCCAATGGGCCAGCAACATCAACTAGAACTCCATCTCTATGCGACAGTCTGTATCAAATCAAAGTAGTGAAACGACGGCAATCGGGTGGAAAGGCTATTCGAGATATGGGAAGCCAGGACCTTGGCTCTCCGGAGGACGACTCACTTATCACCGAAGTATCTACTCCCATCTTTATCGGTTGTTGTCTTGCTAACTCGTCTTTCAGAACCCAAAGCAGCTCGCCAACCCCCTGGAGAACCAGATCTGCGCCAAATATCAGCCTCGTTCGCGGCTGACGGTTCGCTGGAGCTCAGGATCATGGAGTTCTCTTGGGTCGGATCTTATATCTGGTTCGAACTCGGTTTATGGCTCAGCGGAGATGAAATCCGAGACTCCGGACCCGAGACAAGCTCGGAACCCTACAACTGAAGGCGGACTCGGATACCTAGGTCCACTGGATCTGCCGATATCTTTTGTCAGTGTGAGATCCGTTACCAACAAGTCTCAAATTGGTCTGCTATCCTCGACTTTATGTACCACAGTACAAGTCTCTGCCGATGTCAGCTCTGTCCCATTTCCAGGAAGCTCGGGTCTTGCGCCCCTTGATGTGATTATACTCCTTCATAGTTTGTGAGTCAACGTCCTCGTCTCGTCATTTATAGATACACCAGCTCACTTACTCACCAGAGCCCAGCCGTCTGTCGATCTTCTGACGCAGATAACTCTTGCGTCCTCCGTTGTAGCTTCAAATCTCATTTACAATCATGACAGAATTGGTCTCGCATGTATTGATTGGGGGAAAAGCCTCGGCTTTGAGTTATTACTCTCATTGGACTTCCACTCATTGGACGCTGTGCGATCTGCATTGACCTTTTTTTCTCTGCGCCAACCTCTCAATCATCGGAAAGCGAGTTTTGACCTTGGCGAAATCATTGAGCGAGTGTCTGGGCTTTTTTCAATCTGCCCGAGGTCTGCATTCTGCCACTTATTTTTCGTTTCTGCAACTCCCCCGATGCTTTTAGCGATACCTTTGATCGACCAAGCAATCGGGCTTAGTACGATTACACCTCAACCCTGCCTCCCGTTGGACCAAAGTCCTCTTCAGCCCGGATGGCACATTTCTTATGACGTTGGTGTTGACAATACATGCCCGAAAGGGACCCACTTCATTCGCAAGGTGGCAAGAGTCGTTCGGCAGCTTCGCACTGGCATTCGCCCAGGATCCGTTCTCAACCTTAAACTTTCTATCATCCCTGGCGAAAACTGCCAGATTCATTCTGTCATCAACAACTCCCGACTTACTTCACTTCGACCTGGGGAGATCTGGATTGTCCCCATCGAAATCGGCGTGCCCTCGGCGTTTCATTCCATCACCCCTAGTGGTCATTACCAATGGCCAGCTCACCACCCTTTTATTGAGGAAATGATTTCCCACATCAATGATCTTCTGATGGCGTATTCTTCTGGAGAAGTCACCCAAACTATCCTGACTGCTCACGTTGAGTATCAGCATTCGCTTCTGCCAGCAACCAGTACTATTCATGAGGAGAGCCAGCTCACAGTTATCCGAAGTGGAAATTCAATCCTGAGTTCCTCACTTGACATTCGACAGACCAGTCTTTCAACTATTGCATCGGCTAACGAGCTGAAAGCGAGGGCCTGAGTGTTCGGACAGGTAGCAGATGAGAGTCTATCAGCCTAGCTTTCTTGTTCAGATATCATTACAGCGTTGTTTACTCATGGAAACTGCCACTATGAGCCACCTTTGTTCTTGCTTTGGCATGAATACTTGTTTACGAATTGCACCGGTTTGTTCGATCTGATGATTTTTCCATACTGATTCCTGAGCCAAAGTAAATTTAAAAGACAAACATACATCTATCCTGAACATCGGCCCCTCAAATACGGGGGTAAACATTTCCAGCCATTCTCCAAGTATCTTTAATCAGGTCCGCACACTTCTCACCAATCCCATACGCCGGCATCTGCGTATGCCCACCATGCAAAGCAGGCATAACACTACAATCCGCAATCCGCAACCCCATAACACCTCTCACCTGTAACTTCTCATCCAGCACCGCCATCGGATTCTCTTTCTTTCCCATAGCACAAGTCCCAGCCGCATGGTAACAAGTCGTAGCATGCTCCCGGACATAAGGAATCCATTCCTCTCTCTTCGTAAAAGCATGATGAGTTAAATTCGGCGGCCAAGACCCCTTAACAATATCCTTCGTCCCAGCTCCATTCATAACAATCTCATTTCCGAAACGGCACGCTTCACTAAGAACAAGCATGTCCATCGGATCAGAGAGATAATTACAATCCACGATCGGATTATCCATCGGATCCGCTGAATTCAACGTGACCGAGCCCCGCGACTTCGGAGCGAACAGTTCTGCGATCATCGAGAATGCATGTTTCTGGTCATTTGGGAATTGATCGTATTGCTTTGGTCCACCGTAGCATTCTGTTGTGAAGAATTCGACATTTGGTTGGGATGGTGTTAAGCCCATTGGGTCTCGGCCTGGGAGGCGGGGGGCGTTTTTCCACATTGGTTCGTTGGCGAGACGCTCATCCATACGGGCGAAGGCGAATGAGCCGAATGGGAAAGTGGAGAGGAAGCCTGATTTCTTCTCTTTCCATTCGAGGTAGGTTTTGTCGAAGTTGTCGCCATGATAGACGTGGTGATCGTTTGTTAGGCCTGGTTTTTCGGTTTCGTAGAACATGAAGACGATCTGTCGTTGTTAGATTTTGGTTGGCGGGCGTGTTTGGGAGATACGTACCAGGTGATCCATCAGGTTGCGGCCTACGCCAGGCGAGCTTACCAGACATGGGATGTTGTGCTTGGCTAGTTCGTCTTTGGGGCCGATGCCTGAGCGAAGCAGGACTGCAGGACTGCAGTATGAGCCACTGGAGATGACAATCTCCCTTCGGGCGTGGAAGGTCTTCAAGGTGCCATTAGATGTCTTGGTGGCGACACCGGTGGCACGGATCTGGGCTCCGTCTTTCGAAAAGACAATCTTATCCACGGTTGTATCGGTCATGATGGTGATATTCCCACGCTGGTTTTTATTAGTGACGAAGTCAGCGCCCGTCGTGCGGGTGCCTTTGTACACGGTACGAGGTACATGGCCACATCCGTGAGGAACATCTCCAGTGCTGAACATATCATGGTGTAGGGGAAGACCCTGGGAGATGAATGAGTCAATCAGCAGTTGTGAGATGGGCGCAAGATCGTGCGGTTCTGTGTGAAGCGGGCCGCTATAGCCGTGGCTTTCCTTGTCGGCCTTGAACCAGGACTTGGGATGAAATGTTTCGGCCTGTGAATGTTAGAAACAGTTTTTTTTCAAAGCCAAGTCAGAGCATTCACCTTTCGCATATATTTGAAGAAATCCTCTCCACTCCACCCATCCAGACCCCAGTCATCATAGTCCTGCTTGCAACCACGAATACACAGTGTACCATTGCAGCCACTGCATCCGCCGAGGAATCGGCCACGGCTCAATTTGACCTGGCGATTGTCGACGCTGGCCATCGGAGGCGTCACGAAATTCCAGTCCGTCTCGGAATCGAAGTTGTTCGACCATCTGGTGCTATCAGCATAGTCCTCAGTCGCAGTTAATGGGAAACCGACTCACCCCCCAGTCATATGAACATTCTCCAGGTCTTTGTTATGCTGTCCGGCTTCGAGAAGAAGGATGCTGATCTCGGGGTTTTCGGCCAGACGAGCGGCCACTACACAACCCGCTGTGCCGCCACTATGTTCGTTAACAGCCACCCAATACTTTCGAAGCTCGAATCTACTTACCCGCACACGATATAGTCGTAGCTTTCTTTTTCACTCACCATGATAGTTGCTGTGGAAAGTGCTCAGAAAAAATGTTTGACAAAAGTTTTCAATATATAGCAAGGGTCACGACGATCGGAGTTGTTTAAATCTGCCCGAACTTGCGAACCGCAGCCCCACTATTGCCTCTCTTTGCACAGCTATCTCCTCCACGATCGGGTAGGGAGCACGGAAAACGCGGGCGGCGGATTCCGCCCTCTATAGAGTTGAGGGGCCCAGATGGAGATGGAGATAGAGCTGAGCTGAGCGTGAAACCCACCCATCTCATTGGATACATTAGCATGTCCAGAGGTGGCGTCCTTGGCTACATTCAAGTGAGCTTGGTGGTGCTGACAACTGTTCTCTACGAATCTTAATTTCTGGACCTTTTTGATGTTCCTCGGAGATCATCAGGGCGGATTTCATCTTGTTTTGTTCCGTCTATTCCGCATACCTCTAAATGCGGAGATCCAATTCTGGGTCGTTCCCCATGGGGAACGACCCACCCCATGGGGCTGGAGACTAGTGGTCTGAGAAATTGGGAATCTGGAGTGATGACAGTACTGTTGTGACAAGAGCGGAGAACTTTGCAGGTCCTTATCATTCCGCGGGGGACAATATAGGCGAAATCTATTGCGACGCTGAAAAATTGGCTAAGGTCGGTGCCGTATCTTTGGCGTTCTCGGCGAGCTGCCGATCCCACACCGGATCGCCGTCATCATTGAATTCGGCCCACTGGAAGAAGGTGCACCCCTGTTTACCTGGTGCAAACCCCGCATAGCACATCCACATGTATCGACCCCGAGTCTCCTGCTTGCGCTGTGAGCACCGAAGAATCGCCTGCTTGCCACATCGGCACCGGGGGATGTATCGAGGATGCAGAGTGTCGCGATACCAACGGTAGGTGACATTGATGCGCCTATTGCCTGCGATTGAATGTGGAGAGACTGTTTGTGCAGGGGTGATGGCATGCTTCCATTCTTCCTGCATCTCTGCATGCATGACCAGGAGCGAGTTGTGGGGCAAGTGGATGGAGATCTGTCCTTGTGCATCTGCACGGGCCGTGGCCTTCTGGTCTTTGGTCTTCGATGATGGGCTCTCTTTGCCGCTATCATCTGCCGCTTCGTCTGCATCTGCCTCGTCATCCCGGGCGACAATCCGACGTACTCGGAATTCCCGTTCCACGCCTAGGCTGAGACTACCTATCACAGGGTGTGGACCGAGATAAGTCAGTTCGTCTGCGTGGTATCCTACGCTCTCAGCCGGTCCATTGTAGCAGTTGACGAAGGCTGCGTTTGGTCGCCACTGCTTTGGTGATTGGTATTTGAGTTTCTTTCCGTCAGGGTAGATCTCGCGGATACGCTGTTGAATCTCTTCATTCACCTTGCCCTGGACCTTCCGTGATACCGTTCGTAAATGCGGCGTTGCTTCCCGCACGTTTGCTCGGTAGGTACCGCCGTACGTGTATTCGGAGGTCTGTTGCCTGTATTCCTCAGGCGTCGAAACGTATACACATGCGGTGTGGGGACTCTGTACTGTTCGACTGAAAAGTTGAAACTCGTATCTTGAAAAATGGTCCGCTTCATCAAGCAGTTCTTTAAGGAGCTCGTTGGCCTCTTCGGGAGGAAGGAAGTTGTGAATAATCGTGCAAGGTGTGTAGGCTGCTACATCCTCGGGGGCGTAGAGATGCAAGGTTTGGCCTTTCTTGGTAGAGTGAGATTTTCGGCCAGACATGCTTTCACTGACGGATATGAGAGATCCATCTTTGCCTTTCTTCAGAATGTGCGACGACAACGATGTTTGAATGCCGACTGAAGAGTTTGGTACCGCGCGTTTCTTAGGAGTCACTGCTTTTGCTGTAGGTCCTTGGGAGGACAGCAGCACCGATGCCGCATCTACAGAGCCCTCACAGGACACAAGAACGTCCAGAATATCATCTTGCTCGAGCTCTGGGTAAAGTGATATCAAAATGGCGAGCTTAATGTCGGTCGACTCCTCGACCTGGTTCTCAGGAACCGAAGATGCCTCGGATGGACCAACGCCAGCTTTTTCAGCCAGAGACAGTCTTCGACGTTTTCTCGAGACGAATGCGTCCATGGATGCTTCGCTCCATCACTTTGATGATCAAAGGATCAAGATGAGTCGCAGCCGTCGATAAGCCGCCTATCGACACATGACTGGCCCCAAACTGACCAATCAGGTGGTGTTCCATAGACGCTGGAGAGAGACAGTCTGCTAAGTGGAAGGGCCGCATCATTCTTTCATTAGAGAAGGATACTCAGGAAGGGGTGGAGAGGAAGTTACAATCACTCACTGCTGCTCATTCACCGTCCGGACTCGACTATGAATCACTCTCATCGCCTTTCCATTCCTTTGTTCCTCTCTCCTCGTCAACTGAATATCAATGCAGTAAGCGACATACCCAATCCCGGACCTCATGTCCTGCGTAAATGGTATAAGGAACTTAACCCACATAACCCGGGAACAGCCCCTGACATTTTCATGAACTCGTACACTACCTAGGTAAATACTCTAGTCGCAGCAAAAATTATTATTTCGTAGTTTTCACTTTACAAAAAGGGCTTCCAGATAGTCCCCTTTTTTTCGCAGTCGTTTTCTCTAATACATAATGGCGCCATGGGCTTAGACTGTCAAAAACAAGTCCAGGAAGGCAAAAAATTGGACTCGCGGGGAATCGAACCCCGGACCACTCCCATGCTAAGGGAGTATTATACCACTAAACCACAAGCCCATTGGATGAGTAATCATTCACCCCATGGATTTATGGAGACCACTAGCGTAACGATGGTCTAATCACGGAGAAGACAATCTCTAGTAGGGAGAGATAGAGCCGTCGAACAGGACGAAAATCGAATTTACAGGTGCTTTCAAGATGATAGGGTGATGAAATTTCAATCAAATTAGTACTGTACCTTGTGTTCACCAACATTCGAAATGAAAAAGCGTGATGATTATGTCGTACTCCATTTTCCCTCCCCTAAATATATCCGTCCCTCACGATGGTACTCAACCAGGTATTTCATTTGTCGGAGACCATCAAAAACCTCAACCAACGCCGATAGTGCCACCATAGTCCACCCCTGATATAGCCCACGATAATCCCCAACGCCATCAACCTCATCAAAATCGACAGATTTAACATACGGCTGGTCACCAAACCGCGCGTCAGGGAAATTATCCTCGACCACTCTGACCCAGCAGCTCCCGATATCAGTATGCTGTTCAGGTACAGCAGATGAACCAAGCACGCTCATCATATGTTCGAGCACATCATCATCCACCATCAAACAAACACGGAGCCTACTCGGTAGGTCTGTCGCTGGGATCGCCAAGGAAGCCTTGAAGTTACGGAAGGCTTCGCGCACGCCCTCCACCTTGCATCCACTGTACGTGTGTTTTGCATTGAATACCTTCGAGGTGTATGCCTTTTCCATAAGAAGAAGTTGCTCAGTGGAGCCGGTCATTATTCGGTGTAATGACCTATTGACAGCATTGTTGAGACAGCGCAGAAAGATAATCAAAAGACGCTTGGAGTCGGGCCCGTAGGATGTGCGATAGATTACAGGGCCCCAGGTGAGGAGTAAGAAGTCGCGTGATGGCCCTGGAGGTATGGATCGTAGTCCTGGGGATGACCCGAGTCGATATACTTCCTCCTGGAGGAATAGCTTGGCCGAAGTGCGGGCAGACTCGGCCATAGTATCAGATCAATTGAGCCTCAATATAGGACATGCAAATGTCTTCTCGGCCTGGTAATTACAATTGAGGGTTCTTATAGGTTGGAGTGATGGTGTAGAGGACGTCCAGGGCCTTTATATATGGCGTCATGTTTTCTTTTTGTAAGGTAGAGTGAACTCGCTGATATGGTTCCGAATCCTTGGCTTGCAGACTTACCACTGTTTCACCACATGGTGATTGGGAACCGACAATTATAGGACAAGAAGCTGTCATGGTCCTTGAAATGGTGCAGCTATCCCCCAATAGGGTACCTAGATCCACGACCAAATCAGCTATTGACGTCACGATCTCAATTATCAAAGTCTCCAACCAAACAAAAAAAGGAAGAATATATCATTTATTTGGGGTGGTCTCTAAACTTAATCTATCAGTTCCTGCAATTTTGAAGGTTGGTGGAACTAACATTGTGATCAGAACCTATCCCAAATGCCGTATGCTCAGGTGACATTTGCCTGTGATATACTACATCGAGCTGGGCTCAATCACAGGCCAAACACGCCAATTACCACACATAATTGGAAAAGTTCTGGATATTCTAGCTATCTGATTTCGCATGACTATCCAAATCTCGAAACGATATACCTTGAATAAGCTCCGTATGCCCACAAAGAATGCGTGTAGTTTCGCGCGGGAAGGGATCGACCGATAAGCGTGGCCCGCGCGAAAACCGACCTCGGCCCATCGCATTGCGTTTGGATTCTCCCCGCAATCCCGATGTCAATCCCTCCGACCTCACACCGTGCCCGACATGGTGAACGCTTGTTTTTGATACCCTAGAATATTTCTTTCCAGTTCTGTTCCGTGATCGGTGGACTCCGATCAACCCCTCACTATGCTCCACTTCCGCACACAGGGTTTCAACGGTTGCGCGGTCAAGTATTCGCCCTTTTTCGACAATCGGTTGGCCGTCGCAAGTGCAGCCAACTTCGGACTTGTCGGTAATGGCCGGCTATTTATTCTAGAGCTCACTGCCAATGGAATTGTGCCAGTGAAAACGTGAGTGGCGTTGACTACGCCCTAACAGTCACTGATCTCCCATCAACTAGGCTGACATCTCCATTTACGACCCAGGTTCACCACACAAGACTCTCTATATGACCTCGCCTGGTCGGAAATCCACGAGAACCAGGTCCTCACCGCTTCAGGCGATGGCAGTATCAAGCTATTCGACACCACAGTCGACGACTTCCCTATTTCGAGCTGGAAAGAACATAACAGGGAAGTGTTCAGCGTCAACTGGAACCTAGTCGCCAAAGACCGCTTCTGCTCCAGTAGTTGGGATGGCACTGTCCGAGTCTGGTCGCCGCATCGCCCACAGTCCCTCCTCACCCTCCCCACTCACAGCTGCACCTATTCCGCCGCCTTCTGCCCGCATAACCCAGACCTGCTTTCATGCGTGACATCAGACTCCTACGTTCGCATCTTCGACCTACGCACCCCCGCCTCAGCCTCGAACCACCTCGCCGTCCAAATACCCATCCATGCATCCCCCACTGCGTCCGCCCTACCCGGCGGGCCAGGAATACCACCAACCGCAACCCCGCCCGCTGAGGCCCTTACGCATGACTGGAACAAATACCGTCCTACAGTCCTCGCTACTGGCGGTGTAGATCGGGCCATCCGGACATTCGACATCCGCGCCCCGCAGCAAGGGCCACTAGCTACCATGCTAGGCCACGAGTACGCAGTGCGCAAAGTCACTTGGTCGCCACATCTATCCAATGTTCTTCTGAGCGCTAGTTATGATATGACTTGTCGCGTATGGAGCGATCGATCTGATGCAAGCGCTCCTGGTGATGTGGATCTCATGCGCTCTGGCCCGGCGGGTCCGGTTGTCGGCCAGGAACTTGGACGGATGGGACGACACACTGAGTTTGCGACGGGTGTGGATTGGTGTTTGTTTGGAAATGAGGGCTGGTGCGCCAGTGTTGGATGGGACGAAAGTCTCTACGTATGGGATGTGCGAGGTTCAATGACGTGAACGATCATCTAGCATGAAGAACCTATCAAATTATTCAGAACACTGGTGGTTCTGTAGAAGGCATTCTTGAATGATACCTTTCCGTGACGATGGACTAGGTCGTTCATTCATTTTTTACTCTATACCATGGAACACCGGGAATAAGGTATCAATCATTGCATTTCGTAATTTTTATGCCCGAGCCGCCCAGCTATGCATGGTATGTGAATTCAGAGAATTCCGCGCTCGGTCTATGTATGCTGCATCCGCCAAACCCCAATCAATAGTACAGCCACAACTTAGATCAACCAATCCCGTCTCAAGCTTTTTTCAAGGCATAAAGTGGAACAGGAAAGCGAGTACCTAGGGCCCAATTTCCAGACTGGTGACGGTAATCCAAGGCCTGGGCTCGAATAGCGCAGAATACTCATATTTGGAGTTTTCCAATTTTGATCAAAGGCGTGTCTATTTGCCCAGACGAGCCTCAGTCTTGTTGCGCTCCTGGTTCCGGACCTGAGAAATCTCGTCTCGGGAAGCGTTAACCGCAACGTGCACCTGGTTGAAGGGGTTCTCCTCGCTCTTCTCGAACTCCTTGCGGCAGAGATCCATACGCTGCTGTCGGCGCAGACCGGGGTTCTCCTCTTCAATCTCGGGCATGCGACGAGCCTCAAAGGCAGCGTAGGCGGCCTTGAAACGGCGCTCGGGGTGTCGCTCCACCTTGGAGGTATCCTTGTTTGTGAGAGACAGGGCATCCAGCGCGTTATCAATACCGGAGGCGTTGAGAGAAGAGCTCTTCTTGCTGGTGGGGTCGTCGTCCAGCTGGGAGAGATCGAGACCGCGAGTCTTCTTCTGGGCGGTCTTCGCATTAGTACCCTTGGCCTTAGCGGGCTGGGAAGCCTCCTCTTCAGCTAGTAGGGCATCACGCTCGGCCTTCTTACGGGCAGCTTCGGCTTTCTTGGCTTCGCTGTCATCCCTGTTTATTAGAAAAGAATTTGTTAGCTTGAGTCTCATTGTCGCAAACAATAGTGCAAGCTCACTTCTTAGCGTTGCTCTTCGAGCCCTTGGTCCATTGCTTTTCCTCTTCAGCTGAAACCTTTGCGTTCTCGGCAGCCTTCTTTCCAGCGGCGGCGTCGGCTTTCTGTATAAAGATTAGCATTCACGCAAGCATGGTGGGGGCGGGGTTAACATACACGGGCCTGACCAGCAACCTTCTTGGAGTTCTCTCCAGCACCTCCTTTCTTGCCTCCCATTTTGATGTAATGTGTACTTTTGACGCGAACGACGCACAAGGAATGGCGAATGGGTGGGACGAGAGAAAAAGTGGATTGTCTTTTATGATCTGATCCTCGAGATGATTATGCCGGCTCCGGTGCGGGCGGTGACCGTTTGACTAATCTGGGCTTCCACGCCTTCAGAAGCTTGTAGAACAATAATCTTGCAGAAACTACCTTGATTCTGATGGTGCTACACATAGAGTGAGATAGAAATAATAGATAGTAAGACTTTGCACGTCTTGGTTTCCAAGAATGTTACGACTCAGTACATAACTTGGCCCTTGTCGCGTTTTGTGCGTTATGTATAGATAGAAGTGGGATGATGTCACTGCAATAAACTCGAGAAGTACAACACCCGTGGACGCTATAATCGTTGGGGTTTCGCACATGCGGCCTAGCTATTTTCTGTTTAAAGCAGAGCTGACTCTCACATCCCCTAACACCGTCTCTCGAATATATTTGATGCCCGTGACCGTTATAGAGGGCCGTCCGCTTGGCGTCAAGTATCTCACAATTTAATTAGACAGGCTCTATGTCCGTAATTTTGTATTTAAGGGGTAGTCAAGACGAGCAAGAGCCATTGGATGATAAATTTACACGTTTCAATGTCCGGTAGGACCGAGTTTCTATAGACCTGAGACCTCGTTTTTCATAGCCTGGGCTAACTCAAGACGCTCCGCCCCATTTCGCCCCCATGTTCACTGACAGTAGATATAGCAATATAAATCCACTAAAAGCGCATCACGTAGACGCCATATCAGAAAGTGCAAACTGTTCCAAATCTCGCTGCCGTTGCTATCATTGCTCGTTACTTCCGTCTGTCCCTGTTCCGTCCTTTGTTCCGTCGTATGCTCGGGAATCTGTTCCGTCATCTGCTCTGGTAAGTTAAGGTCTTGTCAGGATTCAAGGTCGATCTAATTAGGCGTCATGAATGTGCCATCCTGGTCCTCGTTCTTCATTAAAAGCGACTGGAGGGTTTGGATAAAGGCCGCCGAGCCGCCAGAATGCTCTGCTTTCCAGAGTTCGGCCTCGAAGTCTCTGAAAATAATTTGTGTTTCTATCGGAAGAGCAAATTCCATTTCCATGGCTGTTAGCTGGATAAGCTGAAGAATATTCTTGGCTAGTTTCCACCGTCGAGCGAGCGAACGGAGAATGATGAAAGATTCGATAAATGCCTGTTTACTCTGGGCATCGTGTAGGTTTTCGAGGAGTGTGAACATCACGACAGATGTATACTGCATTGCAGTCCCTGGTACGCAGTCCACAGACCATTGAGACCGAAATTGATAGAGTACCGCGCCGATATTATGGGCTGCAGAAAACCTCAGAGCCCTGATGTGGCTCTTGGTGGCTGAGTCGCTCTCTTCTAGAACTGGTTCGATAAACCCGAATATCAATAAGATAACTGTGTAATATCTCATGCTTTAATACGGATTTGTTAGAAACCTTGGAATTCTTGCCGTTGTAAGTGAGACTTACTGCATGTCCATTACTCCGGGTGTCGGGGTGCAACCCAGACCGATGCATTCTGGAAGGGTTTCAGCCCAGGTTTGCAGCCGATGGTAGAAGGAGTTAATATTTTCAAGATCAAGTGTAGCAGGTTTCCCATCTCCGAAGAAATAATTGCATATATCCCATACGATAAGCATGAGATCGGAAACGCCGTTGATCACACAGCTCGTGTGCGCCGGTTCAGGCTCGACTTGGCGGGGATAAGGGCACCAAGTATCTCCTGGATCATGGCTTCGAGGAAGCCGCTCGAGTTTTGTGGGCCTTGTGGCGATAGCAGGCTTTTGTAAACCAAGGATGCTGATCCTTTAGGAATGTCAGACAACAGACATCTTCCACATATCCATCAACGGGGTTGGTTACTCACGTGCAGGCATTGAACAGCCCGAAGACTGCCGTAGAGATGGCCTTTGTCATCTCTGGAGCTTCTGCACCGGCCTCTGCTACCATTTTTTGACTATTGTTCTCAATATCGCGGGCACAATCCGCAATCTCGACAATTTTCAGCCATCCGAGCCTGTCTTTTCCCATGCCGTTCAGACTGCCCATTCAAGTTAAAATCGACTCATTGGGGAAGGGAAATGAAAAATTACCACATATAGATGCTACCCCGCGCTTGAAAAGTTGTGAGTGATAGTCGATCTTCGTCTTCTTTCAACAATTGCATTGCTTCCTCCAAAAAGTGTTCTCCTCGCGAGCTTTGGTCACCTGGGATGGCCAAGGTTTCGGGATAATCTGAGTATAACTTGATCGAAGATATTAATTGTGAAGTTCAACCAGAATCTACGAAAGTCATGGAATAGCGAGGGGTACTCACACACGCCATAGCCAAGACACTATTGACAAGCAAAGGTGAACAGAACCTAGATTCCAAATTTCCAGATCTCATATCCCTCAAAAACAGGTCGCGGTCAATCCAATTGGAAGTGCAGTTGTTCCAGGTGAAATACAGTGAGATCAAGTGCGACACGAAGTCATCATCATTCGTCACAGATGTCCATGGTTGGGCAGGTACCCTGTAGAGAGGAATATCAGATATACGCTTAATATCCATGTACCTGTGAGATGACCCAAAAGGGCTGGAATTAGGCTTTTGGCCCTTGGCAATAGCCTCGTTGTTATTACTTAGTTTTTCATTTTCCGCAAGATGAAGGCGGATCTCGTCTAATGGCGCGTTGCTTCGAATCAAATTCAGCAAGCTAGGTCCCTTTTGCTCGTCATCTTCACGGATAGTATTTACGAGCTGCATCAGCAACTCGCGGTCTTGCTCCAAAGATTCGATTCTCCGCTTAAGTGTGACTCGTCGGCGGCCATCATTGTCCGCGTTGAATATGCATTCTGTCTTGGAATTTTGACAAGGGAAGCACGGATTGCCTCCAATACACTGGATCGAGGTTAGAACGATTTATTGCTCAGCGAAGCTGATTACATACTTTGGATTTTCGTTTTTGACACGCCGAACAGGCGGTGGTTGCTTTTTTGGAGGTAGCAACTTGATAATCCGATGTTTGATGAGGATGATCACTCGGTGTTGGGGCAAGTGATTGTGAATAATTGGGAGGAACCATTTCAGCTATTGTGCATGATCGTCAAGGGTCCCAGAAAGCTATCAAAAACAAATGATGTCGATGGAGCGGGGAAGTAATTTCATTCGAAGATAGCGCCGGAAATGGATTTCCCACACCGCTGCTTGGCTTTTACCCAATCACGAACTGTAATTTATTCATAGAGAAAGTCTTCATTTGGTATGTCATGAAAGATATACATACACTTGACGGTATTTGAACATCCTGCCTAGACGTTAGTGCCATACATTAATGCTCCATAGACATAGATTGAATTAATCCCAACGTGACACACACCTATGTATAGAGATGGTTTTCATTTTGATACCCTGACTAATACCAGGTAATCTCATGGTTTGACGTAAATTTGGCTGATGAATCTCTGTAAGGGGACATGGCGCGCAGGGAGTAAAAAGTGGGACGCGTGAAGAGGCGACTAACTAGCGAGGTGGCACTGCGCGTGGCGTCGACCACAGGATTACTGTGGCCTGAATATACAGGTGTCGATCCGGGCGCGCGTTTGTCATCTCAAGTTAGCGCTCCTGGAGCTTCGTCCGCATTCGCAACGTTCAATTATCCACGACATCAAGAATGGGCTTATTATAGCTCAGTGCTGTGAGATTTTGGGTACTGCATCCAAGTCCGACTTTGCATCTTGAGCACATCCCTCTACGACCTGTCACGTTGCCTTTTCCTATGACCTGAACCCCCATCCGCCGTGATGATTACGCTCTTCCGCTTAATACAGAGCCTCTCGCTCTTACTGCTGCTCATTGGAGCAGTTACCGCCGAGCACACATCCAACTGGGCCGTACTGGTTTCAACATCCCGATTCTGGTTCAACTACCGTCACCTCGCCAATGTTCTTTCTCTTTACCGAACGGTCAAGCGACTCGGCATTCCCGATTCTCAGATCATCCTCATGCTCCCTGATGACATGGCATGCAACCCTCGAAACGCCTTTCCCGGAACCGTGTACAGTAACGCAGATCGCGCCGTCGATCTGTACGGAGACAACATCGAAGTCGACTACAGGGGCTACGAAGTGACAGTCGAGAACTTTATCCGACTCTTGACAGATCGCCTGGACGAAGATGTGCCGCGCAGCAAGCGTCTTGGATCGGATGCTGGAAGCAATGTGTTGGTCTACATGACTGGCCACGGGGGTGATCAATTCCTCAAATTCCAAGATGCGGAGGAAATTGGCGCATGGGATCTGGCCGATGCGTTCGGACAGATGTGGGAGAAGAAGCGCTACCATGAATTGCTTTTCATGATCGATACCTGCCAGGCCAACACGATGTACACCCACTTCTACTCGCCCAACATTGTCGCCACGGGATCCAGCGAGCTGGACCAGTCTTCATACTCCCACCACGCGGACAACGACGTCGGAGTTGCTGTGATTGACCGCTGGACTTACTACGTGCTCGAGTTCCTCGAGACGCAGGTGACAAGTGCCAACTCGAAATTGAACCTGGGCGATCTATTCGACTCCTATGATGAATCGAAGATCCACTCGCAGCCCGGTGTTCGATGGGATTTGTTCCCTGGTGGTGAGCCAGAGGGCCGCTTGCGAACTGTGGTTGATTTCTTCGGCAATGTGCAGAATGTCGAGGTCGAGAACGCCAATGCGACTGAACCAGGCTCTCTCAAGGAAGACTTGGCTGAGATTGCGCGATTGGTTGAGAAGTGGCAGAAGCGTGACGAGGAATATTCCGCCATCCTTGGCAACTCGTCTCAACAACACGGTGAGAATCAGCCCTCGGAGTCTGTACGCTTGGGCTCGAAGAAGACAGGGCCGACCAGAATGGCGGAGGATAACAGTTGGGGCAAGCGTCTAGTTGGCCTTTCTGTTGTAGGTGCTTGTACTGCTATCTGGGTCGCTGGATCGATTCTTGGCCGTTCAGCTTAATGGCGCAACCTTATTACCTACTTTCGGTTCATTCAATTGTATATATAGCACGCAAGGCCTTTCGGCATGGCCTGGGGTAGTAGTAGTAGTAGTAGTAGTTGAATTCATTGTCCCGATCTAGCTCGCTTTGCTATATGCTGCTAAACTGCATGCTTATCTGACCGCAAAGAAGCGAGCAAGATCGGGATAAGTCAATCTACTAATACTACTACCACCCCAGTCCATGCCATTTTTACTTATCTTAATATTTGAATTGTGTCAAGTATAAAGAGTTCTCCAGTCTCGTCCGATACCCTCAGGATCTCAGACAAACATCTTAGTAGGACAAAACAGACCAAAGTTTGCTATCCTTCAAGGTAATCCTGTAAAGATATCTAGAAATGCCATGGAGAAGTAATTTAGACAAACCCTCGATCCTGGCTCAGAGAGTTCAAGGTTGTCATATCCGAGTAACACTCCCGGATCCGAAGTACAGTCGTCCGGAGCCCCGGAGCCGGAATAAGCCAGTGCTTGGTAATACTTCAGCGAACTTTCTTAAAGAGTGATGCAATTACCTACCCAATGTCTATATAAGACATTTTTGACCCCTACATAAGGCACAATTGAAATCAGGAACAACGCTACGAAAACACCATGTCTCGACCAAACACCATCTTTGGCGGTGGCTTGATAGGCACCAGTTTCACCACTCCAGTACAAGTGCAAGAGCTACTTGATAAGCTCAAGGCCCTGAAAATCGACCGCATCGACACGGCAGCCCGGTACTCACCCACGAATCCCGGCTCCTCGGAACGACTTCTAGGTGAAGTCCGGGCCGCAGAGCAAGGCTTCACTATCGACACCAAGATCAATTCTGGGGGCTCGGCCAGCAGTGATGGATCAGGAAGCCTAACTGCAGCTGCGATCAATAAATCAATCGACGAGAGTTTTAACCGGCTCAAGGTCGATAAAGTGGATATTCTATACTTCCATCGCCCGGATCCTCAGACGCCTATTGCGGAGCAGGCGGCCGAAATTCAACGGCAATATCTAGCAGGTCGATTTGAGAAGGTATTTCAGCTCTGCAGATTCACCATTTGCTGAGTGATTTTGACTTGCGACTAGTTTGGTCTTTCCAATTTTCCACCAGAATTGTTGGCAGAGTTTCTTGCAGTGTGCGAAAAAGAAGACTATATCAAACCTAGTGTGTACCAAGGCCTGTACAATCTACTCAGCCGCCAGAGTGAGAAGTCCTTGTTCCCTCTACTCCGACAGCATGGTATTGCATTCTATGCTTATAGGTAAGATTGCAAATTCCCAGCCCAGTATCATGCCCTAACATCCGTACCAGCCCTCTCGCTGGAGGCTTCCTGACTGGACGAGCAACTCGAGGGGACGTCGAAGGAACTAGATACGCGGCCGATAATCAAATTGCGAAAAACATGAATGCTATGTACGATAAGCCGGACATGCACGAGGCGATGACTGATCTTCTGGACACCATCGAGCCCCTTCAAATCTCCGGTTCGGAGGCCTGTCTGCGCTGGCTTTATTACCATTCCATCTTGCGTGAAAGTGACGGAGTTATCCTCGGCGCTAGCAAAGTCCCACAGATTGTGCAGAACGCAAATGATGTGTCCAAGGGGCTGTTGCCACTGGAGGTCGTGCACAAGATTGACACGCTCTGGGAAAAGATTCGATCATGAAGAAGTTCGTGTTCTACTTTGTGCTCAAAGATATAGCGATAGTACTATAATACCATCGTATGAATTTCGTGATCTATAGCTCATCTCGTTAAGTCACAAAGCACTATAAGTGGAGCATACGTCTCACGACGGGGAAATAGATCAACTGAAATGTCAATAGTGTGACCCTTGCAAATACCGTGGTGGAGACTAATTTAAATAAGTGCAAGCAGGGAGTGCAATGCAAGATGCAAATACTCGTCTTTGTCGAGGCGACCGATGGAATCTCGGGGCACGTGCCCGACGCGTCGCGCTCCGCTTTCTCGTTGCGCTACCGGTTTACGACTTCATTCACAGTTCACGGCTCACGGGTTACGGCTTCCTCTCTATTCTTAATTTACCTTCTCAAATCTCGTTATCCATGCTCGCATGTGTTAATATTCCTTAGCTGGCCATGTATCTTCCACGGCAGCTCATCTCTCACCTATATCTCCAACTCCTCCGATCCCACCATCCGCTCTCCCCGCCTGTCCTGATCCTCGTTGCGCTCGAACCTGACGCGCTCTGTGCCTGCCGCATCCTAACGGCTTTATTAAAACGCGACTATATCCCTCACAAGATCCAACCTGTTGCTGGCTATGGCGACCTCGCGCGTGCAGGTGAGGACCTTGTCCGGCCTATGCAAACCACGAATGGCGGCAGTGGAGGTGTCGTGGTATGTCTCGGTGTAGGTGGACTCGTCGACCTGGGAGAAATCCTGGGGTTGAATCAACCAGATGACGATGTGGAAGACTTGGGAGGTGTCGAGATCTGGGTTTTCGACGCGCGCCGGCCGTGGAATCTCGCAAACGTCTTCGGTGGGCAAGCTGGAATTGGTCAAGCCATGACGGAAATTGATGCGAACGCGCGACGGCGCGGACGGGGCGTCGATAAAGGCTGCATTACCCCTGCATACACTTCGAAAAATGGCGGCATTGTCGTGTTCGATGACGGAGATATCGAAGAGGAACTCCGCAACGAGCGAGAGGCATACTACGCGCTTCTTGAGATGCCCGAGGTGGATGAAGATGACGCGAGTGAGGACGGAGATTTGGACGACGATGAAACAGTCACAGGATCCAAGAAGCGCAAGTCGTGGTCAGGACGCGAGGATGAGGACGAGTCAGAAGATGAAGGTGGGCCGCCTCGCCAGCGGAAACGAAGCAATTCGGTATGGACGTCTTTCCGTCTCATCTCGTTTCAGTATTAACACGTTCTACAGGGTTCTTCTATGGTCTCGTCTCCAAGTCGGCGACGGCGGACTGCTATTAATTCGTCCAATTCATCACGTTCCGCGACCCCCACAGACTCACCGTCACCAGCAGAGCCAACCGTGCCATCTACGCAGTCATTGAAGCGTCGCCTGCTCCGAATGAAAAAGAAACACGAAACAGTCTTAGCGAGCTATTATGCCGCTGGAACATCCTACTCAGAACCCATCTCGTCACTAGTATACTCCCTCGCTTCAGAGCTCGGTCGCGAAGATAACGATTTGCTCTGGCTTGCCATTGTTGGGGTCTCCAGCTTGGAGCTCAGCGGACGGACAATGACCGGCGTAAGCATCTCAAATGCATTGGAATCCGGAGGCTCTGCGGGCTGGGGTGGGCAACGCGGAGAACACATTCGCCAGATCTTTCGAGACGAAGTCCACCGTCTAAATCCTCCCGATCCCTATGAGCGAGATCGGGATATTAGAGGAGAGATCAACGGTGTTATTCCCACGACTGCTAGATCTCCTACAGACACGTCGATCCGTCTTTCCCCCGAACCACGATTTCTGCTCGTTCGACATTGGTCACTCTACGAGAGTATGCTTCACAGTCCTTACCTCGCCACGAGGCTTCATGTCTGGACGGAGAACGGCCGTAAACGACTTCACAAACTTTTGGCCAAGATGGGTATCAGTTTGACCCAGTGCCACCAATACTACACGCATATGGATATGGAGCTGAAGAAAGTGCTGCGAGGGCGACTCCTCAAGTACGCACCTATGTACGGACTGGATGGCCTGGTTCCTCCGGAGCCATCCGGCCATGCCAGCTCCCGTGAGGGCTGGGGCTTTGTACGATGCTGGGGTTGGAAGGCTTGCCTTTCTGCCACGGACATAGGCGTCATTTTAGGTGCTATGCTCGAGGTCGGACCGAACGAAGCTTCTGCATCATGGGATGCTAAACGTCTCCCGCGGGCACGGGGCTCAAATGACGAGATCGAAAATGGAGGTGGCTCTGGAGAATCCGATCTAGCCAGTCTTCTTCCTCGATTCTGGAGTGCATATGACGCTCTATCGCTCACGTCCGAGTCACCCACTCTTCTGATGGATGCGCTGCCTTTGGCTCAGCATCTCCACCGTGCCATTCTCCGCACAGGTACGTCGCTGCTGTCTAAGCATCAAATTCGCCATCTTCGGGCATTCCGCATTGCTGTGGTCAAAGACGGCCCCGACGTGAAGTTATTCACCAACCCAGGTGCCCTGACCAAATTGGCGCTGTGGATTGCAGAGGCTATTCGCGTCCAAGAACGTGAAAAGGGTGACTCCAAGATTGGCCGGAAACGAGCAGCCGGTACTCCTCTTGTCCTCGCCGGCCTGGACGAAGACCGCGATCTTTATGTGGTCGTAGGTACAGGTGGAGGTGGCGGTGTGGTTGACTTTGCAGCCATGTCGAAGCGCCAGGAAGAACGCCGCAAAAAGAAAGAAGATAAAGAGAAGAAGCAAAAGGAACGAGAAGACCGCCGGGCCAAGCGCGCCGCTGAGCGAGCTGAACGGGAGGGTTCCGATGCCGAAGAAGACGACTCGGAAGAATCGGAGTCCTCCGAGTCCGAGTCGGAGGATGATGAAGAAGAAGATCCGAGCGGAAAGAAGCATCTCGTTCGCAATCGATTCGGCATTGCTTTTCAAGAGGTGGTTCAAGAGACCAGCGCCCGTGTCCGTATCGATAGCTTCGACCATTGCGTTGTCGAAGTACAAAAGGATGACCTCGGCGGATTCCTCGAAGCACTCAGTTTCCGCAGTGTGGTGGGCTAAGACTCGCCCGCATATTCACGCAGTCTACGACCTTGCACTTCATTTTGGAATGGTATGGGGGGGAACTTTGAACTCTGGTATAAGGGCTCATGCATTGTACTACGCATTTCCACGATCATCTTTGCATCTGAGAACTTCCTGGCGTTGTGGTGTTAATCTATAGCCTCTACAATCTACTCTATTCGGTTTTCTTTCCGACCTCCCCGCTTCCCCGCACTTTCTCCGATTTCCATCTAAACACGTAAAATAACCTTAGGACTTGAGACACATTCCTACCCCTCAGCATTGTCCCCTATTCGCAATTACACAATGGCGCCACAACAATTCCCCAGCGTTTCGCGAGAAAGCACCCTCGCCAAACTCCCCGCTGAGTATGCCTCCGACGCGCAAGACCAAATTTCCAACATCCTCGCAACGACCCCAATCAACCGCCTCGTCGTACTCGACGACGACCCAACAGGCACACAAACCTGCCATGACATCTCGGTCCTAACGGTATGGGACGTCTCAACTCTAGTAGCCGAGTTCCAGAGCAATTCCCCGGGCTTCTTCATCCTAACCAATTCACGCGCCCTCCCACCCGCCGAAGCCGAGACTCTCATCCGCACGATATGCACTAACGTCGCCGAAGCGGCGAAAGCCACGGGTAACAAGGTCGACATCGTCCTCCGAGGAGATAGTACACTACGCGGTCACTTCCCTCTCGAACCAGACGTCGTGCAATCCGTCTTTGGGCCCGCTGATGCCCTCGTGCTCGCACCATTCTTTTTCCAAGGCGGTCGCTTTACCATTGGAGATGTCCACTACGTCGCAGAAGGTGTCAAGCTCGTCCCAGCTGGCTCGACACAGTTCGCGCAGGATGCGACATTCGGATATAAGAGCTCTTGTCTACGAGATTATGTTCTTGAGAAAGCACCCGGTCGGTTCAGTGAGGATCAATTGTATTCTGTGACGATCGAGGAGATCCGAAAGGGTGGGCCGGATGCTGTTTGCGAGAAGTTGATGGCTGCGCCGAAGGGTGGTGTCGTTATTGTGAATGCGGCTGCTGAGTCGGACATGCATATTTTCGTTGCTGGGTTATTGCTTGGTATGCTTCTCCCCTCATATTTTCTGTGTGGATATTGATTTTGCCCTTCACAGCCGAGTCAAAGGGAAAACACTTCCTCTACCGCACTGGCGCAGCCTTCGTCTCAACCAGACTCGGTATCCGCTCCAAAGCACCCATATCCGCCGCCGAGCTTCGTCTTCCCTCGCCTCGGGAAACAGGTGGGTTAATCATGGCAGGCTCATATGTGCCCAAGACGACAGCACAATTGAAGGTCCTAACAGACCGACTTGGGACAAGCGGGAAGCTGGAGGTGATCGAGATCCAAGTCGAAGAGCTCATTGCGTCACCGGAGACGGCGGAGCAGACTGTGCAGCGGGTGGTTAAGCAGACGGAAGAGTATCTAAAGGCTGGACAAGATACGTTGGTTATGACCAGTCGGAAGCTGGTCACGGGTGGTGATGAGCTTTCGTCATTGAAGATCGGTTCGGCAGTTGCGGAGGCGTTGGTTAGTGTTTTGCAGCGCATTGAGGTGCGGCCGAGGTATATTGTCGCCAAGGTATGATTGAATTTGGATTTGGGATTGAATTGAGTGCGCGACACTAACTTGTTAGGGCGGTATCACTTCTTCGGATGCTGCTACGAAGGGTTTAAATATAAAGCGGGCTACTATTGTCGGTCAAGCTGCGCCGGGTGTGCCGCTTTGGAGATGTGATGAGCCGACGTCTCGTCATCAGGGCGTGCCTTTCGTGGTCTTCCCTGGTAACGTCGGGGGAGAGGAGACGCTTTGTGATCTGGTAGAGGGATGGCACTGAATGTCGTGTACACTAAGCTAGAGTCGGGAAAATGCAATACTGCATAAGTAGGGATATCATGTCTCATTTAGAGGTAAATGTTGTAAATGAAAAAGTAGGACCGTGTAAGGTCATGGCACATTGCTCATGGGAAGAGCACCGCTCATTTCCACCAGAAGCTCACGCTAACACCAGCGCGCAGTCCACGAACATAATGCCACCATCCGATGGGGATGTACAGGCATTCACCCTCATGCAAAATAGCCTCGACATACTCGGCGTCCTGGAAACCAGGCCATTTCTCATCCCAGTCCTCAGCGGGGGACAGCTCAATAGCAGCGATGTCCACCTCGGATGTGTTGGACATATCTATCAGATTGCCGTTTTTGATAGGGTCTTCCTCGGTTGGGTCACCGGAAGGCACCATTTCCTTGCCTCGAGGGTGGATTTTCGATGCCGGGGTCTGCGGAGAGTAGAGGCGAATGTACTTTGTTCCAACAACCTGCACGAGGATGTTGTTGTAAGGGTCATGATGAAGAGGCGAAATTGTCGACACGGGGCCGATCCAGGTGTTGATAATCGGATCCTTAGGGACATCCATCAATGAGCAAGTATCCGATGCGCTACCATCGTCTTGATGGGCTTCCTGAGAATCCTGGAGATCTTCAGTCTGGGGATCTTCGGTGGGAGGCACATTCGACTGGGGGGATGTCTCAGCTTCCTTAGCCTGGGCCTCTTCGCGGCTCCGTTGCTGAGCCAGATACACAGGCGTACCAGGCTCCGGGCCCGGGGGAGGAATGAAGCAAGCCTCAGGAATAGCAATGTCCTTTCGTAGAGCAGGAATCTGAGCAAGCAAGTCATGCTGAGCCAGATAACCAGTGGGTCGGGTCACGCCGGAACTGTCCTCTTCGTCACTGCCACAGAGAGAGTTATCCTGCCAAATGTGATGTCTGACGAATTCATTTAACGGCATGAACTGCTGTCCCCATTCCGGGTCGGTGTAGTCCCTGCCGATCTCGATAGGAACAAGGCGGCGGCCACCAAAGGTACGCTTGTACCAATAGTCCTGGGACCCCCAAGGACGCGTCGACATAGCAGGCCAATGGTTCACGGCATTCTCAATGATGAGAGGCATGCGAGTCTCCTGGATGTGTTTCTCCATGTTCTCGAAGGACTGCTCTTGCACGCGGGGCACCGGGTACTGAAGGCGAGGGTCCGGGAGGGCGTTCGGAGGGAACATGGGTGATATGAATCTTCTGCGCTTAGTGGAATGCTGGTCGCGTTCCATGAGATCGTCCTTGAGCTCAACCTCCCAGTTGGTAGCGTCTTGGAGGGACAACAGCAGGGAGTCGATGGTGAACTCGCGCATCGGCGCACCGCAAATGATCAGTGCCTTATCAAGGGTGTGGATGACCTGTGTCAACCAAGGAGACCGAATGTCGATTAGGGCATCCTGGTCCGACTCGCCAAGATGCTCGAGGAGCTCCTTGGTCAGTCGGGAGAGGTCAAGCTCATCGGTGGGAAGCTCACTCAGGTTGCACTCTTGGATGACAAGGTAGCATGCCTGGACGATGGATGCATCGGTGAACAGGCGGCGCCAGCAATCTTGAACATCGCTGAAGGGAAATACACGTAGCTTAGCGTCAGCAATTTCAAGAGCTTTGGAGGGAGTGTTGAACAGTAGGGCACGAAGGCCTTCACCGCTCCCGAGATCGCAGTTCAAAATGGGATCGGATGGTTTAGGCTCCGCGATGGCAGCGAGCGTGGCGCCAATTTGGCTCGCGAGGTTGGGCTTCAGAGCCATGACGTGGCAGGAAGCAGGGAAGGGAAAGGAGTACGTGTTGTTGCAACGCACTCAGAGCGTGAGTTGGTGGCATTTTTGGAATTTTTGTAAGTGAAGTGCAACGGACGACCTGAGGCAACAACCAAAGTGCGTGTGCCTGCATGTATGAACGTCGATTTTCATAGAAGCCTAGGGCAACATGATGATTCCAGTGATGTGTTCTCATGTTATATGGTACATGGTGTTCATTTATTGAGATAATTCTAATATACAAGGTCCTTGACTGTGCAATGTTCACTCCAAAAATTCCATCACGAGTTTCGGGATGCGAGAGACTCCTTGGCCTTTAATAGCACTGACTGGGACCGCAGTCAATTTTTCTTTCCACCCATCTTGATGGCCCGAGGGATGTTCCTCGGTGCCATTTTGTACAGCAGAAAGGTAATCTTGTAGAGCCCGATACTGGTCCTGGGTATGTTCCAAATCGGCCTTTGTAGCCACAACAAACCAAGGTTTGGTGTGAAGAGGAGGCATGGTAAGAGGAGGTAGAGATCCGGTGGACTGGTAGTTGAGTGGCCGACTCATCGACTCGCCGTCCGGAAATTCTGGCTCTGAAGCATTCCAGTCAATCACTCCTTGGGTCTTCTCCGAGGTAGGCTCAGGTTTAGTGTTGCGCAGTCGTTCATATTCTCCAAGTTCATGCCACAGCTTCTGCAGCTCTTCGACTGGATCACCGTTGCTGAGATCAAGCACAAAAGCTAAAATGCCCGCACGGTCAATGTGTCGAAGGAATCCAAGGCCTAGGCCGCGGTCGAGGTGGGCACCCTCCACCAGACCTGGGATGTCAGCAATGGTGAAGTGGGTGCGCTTTCTCTTCGATTCGACGAGAGGACGACCTCTGTTGTCATCGATAATCACTGTGCCGATGGAAGGTGATAGAGTTGTAAATTCCCAGTTCCCGATCCGCGTACGACTGTTGGTCAACGAACGAAGGAGCGTACTCTTCCCAGCATTGGGCTTGCCCACAAGGCCAACATCTGCAAGCAGCTTGAGCTCAAAGTCAAGTTCTAGCTTCATTCCACCCTCGCCACGAGATGCAAACTTCGGTCGTCCCATCGACCGGGTCACGAAATGCGGGTTACCCAATCCACCAGCACCGCCCGCAGCCAAGAGCATCGGCTTGTCCATCGGCTGCGAAAGATCGAGATAAATAGGTGCCTGGGGTTCCATAGCCGCGATCGCCTGCCTCCGCGGCTTAAGTCGAGGGAATTGTACTGTCAAGAAATCAGAAGGATTCGCACCGGGGTGAAGAACCCAGCGATCATGGCGAACCGGCTGAAAATCGATAACCTCTCCATCTTCGTCCACAGGCAATGGCTCTTCTCGGATCTTTTTGAGACGAGCCAGTTCCTCTGTCACGGGATCGTAGCGGTCTACCTCGCGCACAACTGTGCCGATGGGTACCTGGATGAGGATATCATCTCCCCGTTTCCCTCCTTTGCTTTTGCCTTGTCCATTTTTTCCTCTGCTTGCTTTGATGACGCCTCTGCGGGCAAGTTTGTGTAGACTGGTCAAGCCCTCAACGGCTTGGATGTAAAGGCCTCCTCCGCTGCCGCCGTCACCTCCGTTCGGTGGTCCTTCTTCGACGTATTTCTCACGTAGGTATGCAGTACATCCGTTACCGCCAGCTCCAGCAAACATGGTTACATGGCATTTGTCTTGGAAAATAAAGCGCGCGTAATCTTCCGGTTCGGGGTTCAAATGCGACAGGTCCGCGGTTTCGTGAGAGTCATCATGCGTTCGCGGGCTGTCGGAGGTTGTGCTCTGCCATCTCTGGCAGGAGAGTGCTGGTAGTCGCGGAAGTCGGGTCGCAATGAACCTCATCCGCCCGGAAGCTAAAGGCCGTAGTGGGAGGGCAAGGCAAGCTCGGTAGTATGCCATGATGCTGCTGGTTGATGGCTCACTCTGGTTCATTCGGGATGCGCCAAATCTCGCGCTGTTCATTCAACTGCAAGCATCATCCGGTAAGAGTAATTGAAAAGTTTGCGAGGTCCAAGACGGACAGGAATGGTCTGATTGAAACTAATCGTAGCGCGCTGCACATTTTCAACGTTGACGTCGAAGCCTGATAAGATGGTCACGTGGAGATAGCATGAGTCTATACCGCACCAGCTTTGGATTTCTACGAAGACGAGACGACGAACTGTTCGTAATCTGTGAAGACGTTTTCGGAATTTTTCGAGGTAGCTCTGGCAGTTCTGGAATTTCTAAAATCGGACTATTGCCTTCAGAGTCGGGCAGATGGAGAGTCGGTGTACAAGTACTGCTGTTCCAAGCAATGCATGTTAAAAACGTTGAATGCGAACCTCACAGTCAGACTCTTTCACAATATCTATGTCGGACTCAAATTTCGTCGATCCGACTTTGTCCCCATCAGACATTAAATGAAGCACTAATCATATGTGGAACATTGACGAGTCCATCTCAGCACAACACAATCCCCCAGTGTTCCCGCGCCTCGCCATTGCATAAAGTTCTTGCACATATTGATTTGGGAAAGCAGGTTCTACCATCTCCATCGACCTAGCTATTCTTCCCTTATCATGGCTGCATGATGCCGCGGTGGCTGACAGATCGACCTATCAAATGTGCATATCAACCAATGAAACATGACTGACTTGATTAATACCTGACAGTTAGTCTAGTATGCACCTAAATGAAGGAACAAATATTGAGCTGCCAAGATAGCCTCGACGTTGACGCTAAAGAGGCTCATTGCCTTTTCCACTTCTTTTTTCACGGCTGACAGCTGCATGCAGTGTCGGCATCGGGCTTGAACTATTCCAGGCTTAGGTTTGATGACTCGGCATATCGCAGATCCTGGTCCGGCTTTGGAGCTAAAGGTCCTTTCTATGCTCCGCGTACTCCCGATTGGGCGTGCTTTTGCTCGGTCCCTTTAGAATGACCCTACCCCTCACTTATTACATTGAAGGAAAGCCATTTGGGGCGGATGTGGCCTTGTCTTCTTCTTGATGTGGGCTAGACCGATGTGAAGGCCCTGTTTTCGGCCTTGAACGGGCATAAGGTGGACAGGGAAGATAGGCGGGATGTTTCAGCTCCACTGGATTCCAAGGCTGGCAATCGACGGCTAAAATCCCGACCAATGACCTCTCATGACAGTATACTCTCGACGTAGATTGGTCACAGATGAGCTGAATACTGAAGAAGCGGTAGGCAGGTCTTGATATATAGCTACTCGTATTCTCTGCTAGTCACCGCTTTACTACAGGGCAATGGCATGATCTCGAAGTCTAAATAAGCCGAGTCCCGGGTCAGATCTCAAATCGGCTCTCGGGCCTCGATGAGAGCGGCAGGGAGATCTTTGGCTGCAGACGATGGACAAATTCGGACTTGTATGTGAGTGGAATGTTTTGAGATGGTGGAGATATTACAATGTACAACATGTTACTAGCTTGGATAAGATAATTTGACATGTCAAGCAGTGACGCTTGCAAGGTTGCCTTATTGATTTGGAAATTGTGGCAGGCAAGGGTATGGATATAGTGCAACACGAACGTATGCCATGAGGAGACTTGACTCGTGTAGCGGGAATAGTGATTGGCTTCTCCTGCCGGCTGAGCTGCTGGGCTGTCACAGACAAAAGGATTCGTGATCGGCTGTCACATCTGTGACATGCATATATTGGGGTCGATCACAAAGAATTTTGGGAACGGCAGCAAAAGTACTGCACGGAGGAGAACAGGTAGTTGTACTTCTGTCCAACGTTTGAAGAGGCAGCCTTATCTTGGAGAAGAACTTGACATGCAGGGAGAATAAAGCAAGTGCGAACTGTTAGACTCTGCCGAGCTCGATGGTGTAAATAGAGCAACGAGATGGAGGAACTTGGACCACCTCGTGGACTTGTGCGTGTGTTCCACATCTACCGAGCTGGAGAGCGTACAAGTGTCCTAGGGACCTTCAGGCCCGGCATTGAAAGTAGACGAACTACAGACTGCATACACAGGTTTCAACTGATCCACCACCTGTCCTCCCTCAAGATTCGCATAGGATTCGTCAATGGATAAGAAGGTTAGAAATGATGATTAGTCTAATGGATCGAATTACATTCAATTTTGGATAGTCTTGCTATGACCTCGGAGGTAGTGATATATATCCGGATCTCAGGACTCAAGGTCGACGAAACACATATATTTGTGACTACCTAGATTGTACTGTACGAGCTAGAGCTACATAATGCAATTATCCTTATCCATCATTACTCTTTCAACCCATCAATCAAGCCCCTTTGCGAGTCTACGTACATAGGATGACCATCACACGTGACGTCAGCTCCCGGATCAAACGTACGGGGCGTCAAAGATGGGAAAATTACTGCAGGGGTAACTTTACTCATCACTTTGAAACCAAGCTGATCACGGCAGTCTAGTGCCGGCCAGAACTAAAAGTTCCCCGCACGAAAAGAGCCTAGAAAGGTACGACAGAGCACAAAGTACGTGTCAACAGGCGCCGGACCCAGCGACCAGGAAGCGCGAAACCTTGGAATCAGGAACGCAGATCAGGAAAACTGAGAACAGTGGATCAGGTGTACAGTAGAGGATCGAAGCGAAAAGGAGACGGAGTAGGCCCGGAAGATCGACACAGAGCGCAGGCGTGGCAACCTACTGTACATAGGGCAGAGTGAACGCAAGGGTGGATCGAAAAAGAGGTCCAGAAGCTCACATGATCGAAGGCGGTTTCAATAGTGTGAAATCATGGCTACGAGAAGAGAGCCGGGGCCAGTGACGAGTGAAGGAATGGTGGTTTTGTTACCCGTCACCGCGGCACCGGATCCTGCATTCCGATGGGGCTCGCCACCAGTGGAGGCCGGGGGGACACTTCCCATTAGTCGGGGAGATGTCACAAAGAACCGGGTGAAACGAAGAAATTTATTCGAAAAGGTACCTACTTTAGGTACGGGGCTAGGAGCTAGGAATTTAGTCTAACGCTAAGGGATTGACGTC